AAGATATAATGTGCATGGGTGTTTGTTTGCGATATGCAGATTGCTCTTTGCTCCTGTCTCTCCTCGGTGCATACTAAAGGATCGTGATATAGGCGAACGAAGAGGATCAGAAATGCATGTTCTATGAATTACAGTATAGTACAAAGTCACTGCTTTTCTAGCACGTTTTGCCTTCTACCCTATTGCACCGCTATTGCGACTCTGTCCATGACAGAAGGCTGCTCTCATCTAACCCTCCCAGCCTCAACATTCTCAAATACCTGACCAAAAAGCCTCATCCAAGCCCTCTGTCTCTCAGAAACAACACTGCGACCCGGCTGTCTGAACTCCCTGGCCAAAAACTCCTTGACCTTGCTTCTTAGCACCTTGACCGCAAAAGCAGTTCGCCAAGAAGCAACCTTGAAGCGCAGGCGATTGCCATCAATGACAACAACTCCAGCATACAAATCAAACTTTGCATCCCCAGCAAGCAGTGTCAACACAAATGGATCCACCGGTGCTGTTTCCTGGGCATTGGTGAAGCGGGAGTTGGACTGCATGATGCTGTAGAAGGATAGGTAGGAGGGAGGTGTGAGCGAAGGAGAGAGTTTGTTGACGCTTTGGGGGTGCAGCGATAAAGATTGTGAGTTTGCAACGTTGCGCCAGCCTTTGCCTTCGCGCACGGCGAGCTTGGGGTAGAAACTCCATGCTGTCACTGCGTTGAGCAGGGCATCGTTGGCGTCGAAGGTATTATGAGATGCTGGTACAGCGACAAAAGCTCTGGGTCCTCTGCCACTGTTGCGGACGCGAGACAGAGCAGCGCGTTGACCGGACTCCAAGGACACAAATCCTGCGTCGGACAGGGAAGCCAGGAGTTGCGATTTCAGGTCTTCGATGTTGCCGAGGTTTATGGGTGAGAGGAAGTTCTTGCGGCAGAATTGCTGTTCGGAGATTCCTGGTGTAGTGCAAGCTTTGCGCCAGGCACAGTATGCGTTGTAGGCTGTGAGTAGATCTGAGTTGCCGCGTTTGAAGCCTAGTCGTACGGTGTCGGCTTGCTTCTTCGCTCCCATAGGTGCCACAAAGGGAGTCTTGGATGAAAGAGTTGCTGCAACGCTGAGGGCAAAGTCAAGACATCCAAAGACGGACGACAGTAAGATAAGTTTGCCGAGTTGAGCATCGAGAGGAAGTTTGGCGAGCTGGTTTCCCAGTGGTGTCAACTCTTCCGACGAAGTCAAGGCACCGACATCGATCAATGCATCGATAGCACGGCGGATGTTCTTGAGTGAGGGAGGATCAAGCGCCTGAGACAAAGCTTGCTCGATATCGCCGAGCTTACAGATCTTCACACGCATGACAAGATCTTGAAGTGACAGACGCAGCATCTCAGGTGTCTGCTGCGGTGCCATGATCTCGTCGTGTCGGTATTTCGTGAACAGATGGAAGCAGACACCTTCTTGCACACGACCAGCACGTCCACGACGTTGCTTTGCGTTGGCACGAGAAATGAAGGACTGGATCAGGCGTGAGAGCTGTCGACGCTCATCGAAGCGCATCTCCTTGTGCTTTCCAGTGTCGATCACGGCTGTTACATCAGGAATGGTAATACCAGTTTCTGCAATGTTGGTAGCCAGCACAATCTTTCTCATGCCCGGAGGAGGTATCTTGAAGGCAGCTTGTTGTTCCTCGCTAGAGAACGAGGAATGAAGAGGATACACCAGCCAGCCTTTTGAGAAGGCAGGATGTCCACCGAGGAAATCGTTCAGCGACCTGATTTCTGCAAGACCTGGAAGGAATACCAAGACGGCCTGGCTGAATTGTGTATATGATGGATCGTAAGCGATCTTTTCCAAAAGCTTCACGATCAAAGTATAGTCAACAGCATATTCGTCGTATCCTGCAAGAGTTCTGACAGTCTTTGGACTGTATCCTGTGAGCTGCTTGGCTGCTGCAATGGTTGCCTCCGAAGAACCCGCTTCGAGGTCATCCTCATCCGCATCAGCCGTCTTTGGCGAACCATCCTCAATAGTGTGTCCAGTCAACTCGATGGCATCTTCCAAATACTTGGCTGCAACTGGGAAAGTACGACCTGGTACCGTCACAATGGGTGCGTTATCGAGATAGCTCGAGAACCTCTGGGCGTCCACGGTAGCACTCATCAAGACCACTTTCAGGTCTGGCCGGCGGATCATCAAAGCTCTCAGAACGATCAACAAGAAGTCAGTGTCGATGCTTCGCTCATGGATCTCATCAATGACCAAATGCGTGACCTCGTCGAAACCCTTGGTGGACTCCAACATACGAAGCACAATACCAACAGTCGCATACACAAGACGAGTCTGCGCTGTAGTCATTGATTCCAGGCGAATAGCGTAACCGACGAGCGAGCGGGCAGTACCAACAGCCTTTTTATCTTCGCCCATCTCTTCGCTGACGCGTTGAGCCAGCGAGATGGCCGAGATACGTCTGGGTTCTGTACAATAGATTTTGCAGGGTCGGCCAAGTGAAAGCTCATGCTCGAGGATAAAGGCAGGCATCTGGGTACTTTTGCCGCATCCAGTTTCACCACAGAGAATGGTGACCTGGTTCTTCTCCACAGCGTCAAGGGCGATGTCTCGGAACTGGAACATAGGCAGACTAGATCGAACCAAGAGCATTTCCTGGTATGCAGGCGTTGAAGTCTTGCGCGCCCACAGATCTCTGAGGGCTTGAGACTCTTCAATCTTTGTAGTCTTCTCAATTTTGTCGCCAACCGGAGTAGAGACGCCGCTCAATCCCTTGTTACGGTTCCTGAAGCCGGCGGTAAGGATAACATCTTCGTCTCCATCTTCTTCAGTCTGGCCCTTGACCATCTCTCTCAAAGATCTGACAGTCTCGCGATCAGCGGTGTCACGCTTCTCTTGACGAGCATCAACTAACTCAGTCCAGAGATCTCTGAATGTAGGAGGTAAGCGCAGCGCAGATTTCTCTTCTTTTGGAGAATTCGAGAAGAGCAGAAACAGAGCAACCGTAGACACATATCCTTCGCTCTGAAGTGTTTCTGGACATGCAATTCTGGCCATGGTAACCATAGTCCTCCGATCACTTGATACGACGTTGACGTCTGGTGTGAACGAGCCGTCGATGATGTCCTGATCTTTCGACCAATGAACGATCACAGAGTGACGGCTGTTGTATGTCGTGGATGACACCATCTTGTAAGAGACTTTTGCTCCGGAATCTCTTGATCGACAAGCTTCCTCAAAAGTCCTTCGAGGACTAATGCCAGTAATTTTTCCAAAGTTACGAACCGTCAAGTCGGGGTCTGCGTTTTCAGCTTGTCCTGAGGTGTTACCGTTCGAAGCGCCTTCGGTAGCCTCGCCGAACATGCCCCCAAGCATTTCATCGTCTTCGCCCATCTCGTCCAGAAGTTGCTGTGCGGCCGCCTCGGCCTCGGCCATGACATCGTCGGTCGCACTCTCCCTTGGTGTGTTGTTTGAATTTTCATCCGACTCTTTCTTCGCCTTGGCTTCTCCTGCCAGGTTGAATCTTTTCCTTTCGGTTTGGTTCTGGAGTATCTGATTTCTTCCCTCGATCCATCTTACATCGGCAAGGCCTTTATCGAACAGTACATCTGATTCAATACTCTTGAGCCTTTGCTGAAGCTTGGACTCTCCCGGTGTAGCTTTTCGTGGACTAGGCGTTCCATTTCCTTGCTGTTTCTTTGGTTTTTTGGTAGAGTCATTGACGAGCAGCGGGTTACGTTCGTAGAGTCGTAGTTTCGTGCGGAGGTATGTGGACAGCATCTCGTCAGGGTCGAGATCACTCTCAACGTCGCTGACTTGAATGTCATCGACAGGGGTATCGCTTGGTTGTGAAGTTTGATTTGAGGGCGCGGGGGCGGCCTTCTTTGGTGTTTGTTCTCCGGAAGGTTTCGAGGGTGTGGCGGGCTCTGATGGCTCATTGTCTGGGGCAATCAGAAAAGGCACGGTGATGTGTGTGGTGAGAAAGGCAGGCGACACAAGCTTACCGTCGTTGAATTGAGCACTCGATAGTTGAGGCTTAGGCTTAATGGCATCGTAATCAAGCAATTGACCAGGCGCGCTATTTAGTGCAAGCCAGTCCAGGGCTTCTGAGAGACCCCAGATCAGACCGCCATTGTCTTCAGTCGGAGGACTGACGAGGATGAACTGAAGCACTTTACGCACTTGATCCTCGTCAATGTCCAGATCAGCAAGAGTAATACTAAGTTGCCACACTTTGGAAAGCAGATCGTCTTGAGAAAGACGCTTATTTGCAGGAGTAGAAGAGGTAGCAGAAATGGACGATGTCTCATCCAAGGCAAGATCAACAATCTGTTGCATCAACTCTTCAGGTAGCCATTCGCGTATGTTGAGCAGGTCGGCCTGACCACGCAGGACGCGACGATCAGTCTTTAAGCGCAAGACCTGACGCGCCGATTCCTTGCGCACTTTTGGACCTTGCTGCTCGATGAAGGACTGTAATTCTGACAAGTCCAATCTAGCTTCGAGCTCTTCCGGGCTCAGCTCATGTAGTTCTCTGTCTCCCGAGGCCTTGTTGGTGTTGGACGCCTGCTGTTCTTGACCCTGTGCTTGTTGACCGGGCTGCGGCGATTTTTCAGCAGCAGCAGGCGTAGAGACGCTGGATGGCTTCTCAGAAGGTTCATTGCTCGTGTCGGCGTCTTTCCTCTCGGGTTTTGGTTTACTGGCGATGGAAGTGGTGGCAAAGCCGCGAGCTGGGTTGGAGGCGACCTTCTTCTTGCCCTTCTTGGCCACCATGATCGCAGGTCGAAAGATAGATGTGAGGTTGTGTTTGTGCAAGAAGTCAGGATAAATTGTGCGCAATTGGCATGTGACGACAGGGCAAGCACGGACGTTGGAAGTTCGGTGTCGAGATGCAGGCGTCCGGTGGTGGAAGTCGCGAAAAACTGCCCGACTGTCAAGTCAAGTCAATCGCAACTGCAGTTTGGACTGAACAACTTCAGCACATGAGTCTGCGGCGTTTTTGATAGCGCATCGCACACCATGGCAGACGCCCAAGTCAATGGAGAGCAAACGCTGGACGCAGGCCGTCTGCGCCAGGTTGCCCTCTCCAGCTCCACCAAGAGGCGCTCTGCTGAGCTGCTCTCGCTGCACGACAAGATTGTGACCAAAGGTGTGCCGCCCATGTGCTCTCTCCTCTGTTGCGTCACCTCTCTGACCAGCCCATATAGAATATCCTCTCGAGCAATTACCCAACCTTCTCAATCTCCTCTTCGACACATACCCTCTATACATCGACACCCAGTCGCGACAAGCCGTGGAATTGTGCCTGGTCGCCGTCTTCTCTACACCCGACACCGAGTCCCACGTCTCTAGCTTCATCGCCGCTGTCGAGAATGAGACCAACAAGACCAGTCTGGCTCCTGCCAACGCCTTCGTCTTGATCCGCTGGTGTGCTCTGTTCCTCCAACAATTCGCTCTTCAAAAGTCTCTCTGGGATGCATGGGGCCTCAAGATAGTTCAGGCTCTGCTTCGCGCTGTATACACCTTCGAGAGCTCCAATCCCCGTCACAGTACCCACCAAACCGTCCTGCGCGTTACTCGCCGTGGTTTCAGAAAGCTCTTCAGCTCCGATTTTGGCGACGATGCCTTGAACCAGTCGATTACTGCCCTCACCACAAAGGCCGCCACACCCACCCCTCAGAACGCCCTGGTCCTTGGAATAATCGCAGGAGTCAGTGCTCGTCTGCCCAAGCGTAGCGCCACATTCGAGACCAGAAAGCCTGATTACAATGCTTTCTATCTGCGCGAGTTCATTGGATCACGAACCGTTCTTCCTCCATTCCTTGCAAACTCTCTGGTCGATTACTTCAACTCATTCATTAACTTGGAGGACCTGAAGAAGGAGATCATCCCCGCTATAGAGAAGGCACTCCTGAGAGCTCCTGAGATTGTCTTGAACGACCTTGTTACTCCCATGATCGAAGCCTTGCCCAAGGATCTGGACCTTTCCGAAATCCTTTCCAACAACCTCCTGAAGCCTCTTGTCTCGAGCGCAAAGTCCAGCAATGCTACTATCCGCGCAGGTGCTTTGAGAACTTTCGCCGCTGCTGCCCACCGTTCGCACGACGACAAATTTGTGGACAAAGTTTTGGCTGAGGTTCTGACTCCCTTGAAGACTGGCAAAGTGCCTTCAGCCGACCAGAAGATTATGTTCGCGCAGATGCTTGCCGCATTGAACGGCTCAGAAGCTCTAGCTGCCTCTATCCCTCAAGGTCTCGCACCAGTCGCAGCGAAGGAACCGAACGAAGCAGCCGCGAGTGCTGAAATTGCTGCCCTCTCCAAGCACCTGAAGTTTGGTCTCGAGAAGGGTGTTACAGTAAATGCTGCAACAACTGATGCTTATGTCAAGGGTGTCGCCGAAAAGCGACTTCCATTCAGGAAATTGTGGACCTTGAGCATTGCCGAGATCGTTTGGTCGCTTGAGGGAGACGTGTCGAAGCAGCCCGAAGTTGCAGCATTGGTTGATGCAGTAATTGGCAAGATGATCGATTCGTTCAACGAAGTGGTTACCAACCCTGTTTCTGCTACTCAAAACGGGCAAGTCACTCTTGCTTGCGCTGTTACTGCTTTGTCGTTAGCAAAGGTCCCCCAGCTTGCGGAACTGAAGAATGCATCCGTTTTGAAGAAAGCTTGCCTCCTGGATCGTGCGATCGCCCTCGAACCAAAGCCTTCCTTCCTCCTCAATTCTCGTGTATATACCAAACTTACCTCCCACGAAGATCTGGTTTGGTTGACGAGGGCACTCGCTGCGACCAGCCCCGGTATTGCCTCATCAAGCCCTGCAATCCAAGACGCCTGGGCTCAGACTTTCATTTACCTTATCGTGGCCTCGGGCTTGCCAGCAACAGCCCGCTCCGAGACCGTCACTTCTCTTCGTACAGCTTACTTGGCTCAGCCTGAGGCGGTCGGAAGAATCATTACTGAGGCTCTGTCTCATTGGTCCGCAGATGTCGAACTAGAGACCAAGGAGAGCGCCGCTCTGCTTGCCAAGACTGGCAGACAAGAACTTCACAAGGTAATTCGGTGCATCTGCCTGACTGAAGAAGAAGTTGCCACAGGCCAAGCCACCATCGAGCAGAGTGTTCTGGACCAGCAGTTGATCAATCTTCTGGTCTTGTGCCGCCCGGAATTGATGCCAAGATCTTCGTGGATCGAGGCTTGTCTCAGAACAGGCACCGACCCCGGTGAGCTTGTGAAGAGAAACACTTCAGAGTGCATGGAGCAAATTGTTCATGTGTCTGAAGACAAACTACTCTCTACTATCCCTGCATTCCAACTTGCTGCTTTCCAAGCGACCGCAGACTTGGTGTTCGTGGCTCCCGAAGAATTGACACCTATCGTCCTAGATCAAATTTGTAACGATCTGGACCCTAAACTGCTCCAGGATGTTGGCCCTACCGAGGCTGCCATCTTCCGCACACCTGAGGGTACCGCTTTCATCGATGTTCTTGCCAAGCAAACCCAAGCACAGGCCCCAAGCAAGAACAGCAAAGACTACGATACCTACAAGTGGGAGCAAGAGCTCAGAGACCAACTCGCCCAGAAGAAGGGTACTACCAAGAAGCTGACTGCTGATGAGCAAGCCAAGGTCAATGCCCAGCTTGCAAAGGAGACTGAAGTTCGTGGTAATGTCACATCGGTAGTAGCCAAGTTGAGAAGAGGTATTGGTATGGTCACTGGTCTCGTCACAGGCCCACCAACCGAGGCAGCCAACTGGTTCACTGTAACCACAGCACGCCTTTTCGAGGTGATCAACGCCGGAGCAGGCCTTGTCCTGGGCGATGCTGCTGTTCTCGCTTATCTCGAGTGTGCTCAAAAGACATCATCTCGTCTGGGCCCCATGCGCTCATTCGTTGGTGTTGCAGCTTTAAGAGCTGCTGGTCTGACAACCCTACCTGAGTCCATGCAGGAGGAACCCTTGGGTGACTTGATCACTCGTGTGCTTTATCGTCTACGCTTCTTGGGCGAGCAGCGACCTCTTGACGCCGTCACATTGAGCTACTGCCTTCCCCTCGCGTTCTTGGTCTTGGAACAGGGCGGTGTTGGTAAGTCTGAGGAAGAGGAGGCCCAAGAACAAATCATTCTTGCCGCCGAGTTCCTTAGCTTCCACGCTGAGACCTGTAGCGAGCCTCGCTTGGCCCGCAAGGAGGTTCTTTCTGTCTTGATCTCCTCGCTTCAAGCTTACCAACAACACTTCCGTCTCTTCAAGGACTGTTTCTCCGATGTCTGCAGAAGCGTTGCTCCCAATGCTACCGAAGCCGAGACCGATGTGGTTGTCAAGGCCACTATCGTGCCTGAGGCTTCCGTACGTGAGGTAGCTCTGCAAGTCATTAGTGCCGAATTTGAGCTTTCTGGCAAAGACTTCTATGATGAGATCTTCCTCGCGACACATGATGATGTTGAGGAGAACGTCGAGTTGGCACACGAGATCTGGGTTGAGAACGAGCTCAAGACATCGCCCGACTCAGCCGATACCATCGTCAAATATCTGACTTCGCACGACATTCAGCTTCGCCGTGCTGCTGCACGATCATTGGCAGCACTCGTGCAGGAGCATTCGAGCATCTCCGACAATGTTATCTCTCGCCTACAAGACACCTACAGGGAGGATGCGAAGCCGAGAGCACCTCAGCGTGACAAGTACGGCATGCCTATCAAGATGGATCTTTCCGACCCTTGGCAATCCAGGCAGGGTATTGCCCTTGCTTTCAACCAACTTACCCCAACCTACACTAGTGAACAACTCGTACCTCTAATGCAGTTCATGGTCGCAGATGGCGCTCTGGGAGATAAGAACGTCACCGTTCGCGATTCCATGCTCGATGCAGCTACTGCCATCATCGCCGCCAAGGGCAACCTGCAAGTCGAGACTCTCATGAAACTTTTCGAGACCACGCTCGAAGGTGGCTCTGGATCTTCAACTCAAGATGCAGTAAACGAGGCCGTCGTTATTTTGTATGGTGCTCTCGCCCGTCACTTGAAAGCTGGTGACAGCAGAGTGCCCAAAGTCGTACAACGTCTCTTGACGACTCTCAACACTCCATCAGAGTCCGTGCAGTACGCTGTCGCTCAATGTCTTCCTCCTTTGGTTCAGGCTTCCAGCAAAGAAGCAGGACAATACGTCCAGCAGATGATGGATACCATGCTTACATCCAAGAAGTATGCTGTTAAGAGAGGTGCAGCTTATGGTCTGGCCGGTATCGTGAAGGGTAGAGGTGTCTCTGCTCTCCGTGAATTCCGTATCGTGTCGAACTTGGTAGTCGCCACCGAAGAGAAGAAGGATCCCTACAAGCGCCAAGGTGCTTTCCTCGCCTACGAACTTTTGTCTCTCATTTTGGGTCGTGTCTTCGAGCCATATATCATTCAAATCGTGCCACAGCTCTTGTCTGGCTTTGGTGATGCTATTACTGACGTTCGTGAAGCATGTCTCGACGCCGCCAAGACATGTTTCGCCAGCTTGAGCTCCTATGGTGTCAAGCAAGTTCTCCCTACGCTGCTCGAGGGTCTCGATGAGCAGCAATGGAGAAGTAAAAAGGGTGCTTGTGACTCTCTCGGTGCTATGGCCTACCTGGACCCTGAGCAACTGGCTGTCAGCTTGCCAGAAATTATTCCGCCATTGACTGAGGTTCTGAACGACAGTCACAAGGAAGTCAGAGCATCTGCCAACCGCAGTTTGCAACGCTTTGGAGATGTTATCAGCAACCCTGAGATCAAGAGTCAGGTCGATATTATCTTGAAGGCTCTGAGTGATCCTACCAAGTACACCGACGATGCCCTGGACGCTTTGATTAAGGTAAACTTCATCCATTACCTCGATGCTCCGTCATTGGCGCTGGTTGTTCGTGTTCTGGAACGTGGTCTGGGTGACCGCTCTGCAACAAAGAAGAAGGCTTCCCAGATCATCGGTAGTTTGGCACACCTTACTGAGCGTAAGGATCTTATTACTCATCTTCCCATCTTGGTCGCCGGTCTCAGAGTCGCCATCGTCGATCCTGTTCCTACCACTCGTGCCACAGCCTCTAAGGCTCTTGGTTCAACAATCGAAAAGCTTGGTGAGGATGCTATGCCGGATCTTATTCCCAGTCTTATGGCCACCCTCAAGTCAGACACTGGTGCTGGCGACAGACTTGGATCTGCCCAGGCTCTCAGTGAAGTTCTTGCTGGTCTCGGTACCAGTCGCCTCGAAGAGACTCTGCCCACTATCCTGCAAAACATCTCGAGCTCCAAGCCTGCAGTCCGCGAGGGCTTCATGTCATTGTTCATCTACCTGCCCGCCTGTTTCGGTAACAGTTTCTCGAACTACCTTTCCAAGATCATTCCTCCGATTTTGTCTGGTCTTGCTGACGACATTGACACAATTCGTGAGACCGCTCTGCGTGCCGGAAGATTGTTGGTCAAGAACTTCGCCACTCGCGCTATCGACCTGCTGCTTCCTGAGCTCGAACGTGGTCTGGCAGATGACAGCTACCGCATTCGTCTCAGTTCCGTTGAACTTGTTGGTGATCTACTCTTCAACCTCTCTGGTATTAGTGGAACCGCAGAGCAAGAGGAAGCCGAGGAAGGTGCCAACGAAGCAGGCCAATCACTTCTCGAGGTTCTTGGAGAAGAGAAGCGCAACAAGGTTCTGTCTGCATTGTACATCTGTCGTTGCGATACTTCTGGTCTTGTCCGCACTGCCTCCATCAACGTCTGGAAAGCGCTTGTCGCCTCGCCCCGTACCCTTCGCGAGCTTATCCCCACCCTTACCCAACTTCTCATTCGCCGTCTTGCAAGTCCCAACATGGAGCAGAAGGAGATTGCCGGCAATGCTTTGGGCGAGCTTATCAGAAAGGCCGGCGAGGGCGTTCTCTCGACTTTGCTGCCTACTCTCGAAGAGGGCCTCCAGACCACCGATGTGGATGCCAAGCAGGGTATTTGTATCGCTCTTCGCGAATTGATCGCATCTGCCTCGCCCGACGCCCTCGAGGATCACGAGAAGACTCTTGTCTCCGTGGTACGTATCGCTTTGGTCGACAGCGACGAAGATGTCAGAGAAGCAGCCGCAGAGGCCTTCGACTCTTTGCAAAAGGTCCTTGGCAAACGCGCCATCGATCAGGTCCTGCCTTATCTGCTCAATCTGCTCAGGTCCGACGAGGATGCAGACAATGCTCTTTCGGCTCTTCTTACCTTGCTCACCGAGCAGACCAGATCCAACGCCATCTTGCCCAACCTTTTGCCCACCCTTCTCACTCCCCCCATCACTGCGTTCAACGCAAAGGCTCTGGCTTCGCTTGCTCAAGTTGCAAGCTCTGCCATGACAAGAAGATTGCCAAACATCCTCAACGCACTCATGGACAGCGTGCTCGCAACCAAGGACGAAGAGCTCCGTACCGATCTCGAGAACTCCTTCGACGCTGTGCTTCTGTCCATCGACGAGTTCGATGGCCTTAACACTGCCATGAGCGCCATGCTTGCTCTGACGAAACACGAAGACCACCGTAGAAGAGCCCGTGCGGACATGCATCTTGCCACGTTCTTCAAGACAAGCGACCTCGATATCTCACGCTACCACCCCGATCTCATCCGCACTCTGCTCATCAGCTTCGATGACAGCGATGCCGAGGTCGTCAAGGCAGCATGGTCTGCACTGTCGGCGCTTACCGGACGCCTACGCAAGGAGGAGATGGAGTCTCTGGTCTTCTCTACCAGACAAACACTCAACCATGTCGGTGTTGCGGGCCACGCTCTACCTGGTTTCTCGCTGCCCAAGGGTATCAATGCTATCTTGCCTATCTTCTTGCAAGGTTTGATGAATGGTTCTGCCGAACAGCGTACGGCAGCCGCATTGGCAATATCGGATATCATCGACCGTACCAGTGCCGATTCGCTCAAGCCTTTCGTCACTCAGATTACCGGTCCATTGATTCGTGTTGTGTCTGAGCGTTCGGTCGAGGTCAAGGCTGCTATTTTGTTCACTCTCAACAACCTGCTCGAGAAGATTCCCACTTTCCTCAAGCCTTTCTTGCCTCAGTTGCAACGCACATTTGCCAAATCGCTTGCCGATACTTCGAGCGAGATTCTTCGTATCAGAGCCGCAAAGGCTCTCGGTACTCTGATCACCCTCACTCCCCGTATCGACCCTCTTATTGCTGAGCTGATCACTGGTTCGAAGACTGCCGACTCCGGTGTCAGAAATGCCATGTTGAAGGCATTGTATGACGTGGTTGTCAAGTGCGGATCCAGCATGAATGAGGCTTCTAGAACCGGTATCTTGAGTTTGATAGACTCTGACACTGGCGACTCAGACGAAGCTTCTGCCATCACCAACGCACGCTTGTTGGGTGCTTTGATCAAGGTTCTCCCAGAGGATGTTGGTGGTGGTCTCGTCAAGGCACGCGTCCTGACCCCCGACCACACCTACCCCTCCGTCCTTGCTCTCAACTCAATCTTGGCCGAGGCTCCTGAGTCGCTGACAGGGCCTTTCGCCGATGTCCTGCCTTCTACCATCTGTCAAGGTATCGGCAGCAGCCTGCCTGCCATTGCAGACAACTGTGTCCTCGCAGCTGGCAAATACCTTCTCACACCTTCGTCCGACAAATCGTACGAGCCTGTAAAACAGATCATGGAGGCCCTCGCCGCAGCAATCGCACCCGGCAAGCCCGTCGACACACGCCGCCTGGCCCTAGTCGTTGTCCGCACCATCTCGCGCGAGCAAAACGATCTCATCCGCCCGCACCTCGCCCTTCTGACTCCAGCCGTCTTCGGCAGCGTCCGCGACATGGTCATCCCCGTCAAGCTCGCTGCCGAAGCCGCATTCCTTGCCATGTTCAGCGTTGTCGAAGAAGAAGACGCAGTGTTTGCCAAATACATGGCTGGACCTGGAGCCGAGCTTGCCGCTGGCCCTAAGCGTAGTCTGCAAGATTACTTCAAGCGCATTGCCACGAGATTGGGCGCGCAGGCCAGAGAGCGCAAGGAAGCCGAGGGTGGACAGGGTGGATTGGGCCTGTCTAGTGATGAGCAGGAGGACATGAAGGAGGTGTGGAGTGTTGGTAAGGTGGACATGGAGAGCGGTGCTTTCAAGGACGAGTAGAGCTTTCACTTGTCACTCGTCACTTACCCATCGACCACTTGAATATTGTGAAGCGAAAAGAAGCGATTTTCAATCTGTTGTAGATGATGCATTTTCTTCTAGTGTTTCTTTCGTACAAAAATTATATGTTTTCTTCCACTCTTGTTCTCTGGGACTGGCTGCTGCTAATGGCTGGTTGACGTCGGGGCTTCTGTGGGTACGTAGGCACGATGATATACTCCCTACATTCTCACCGTCTTGTATGCTTGAATTGCCTCTTTCTCATTACCGCTTCTTCCCAATCCTCTATACCCACACAGTCAACATTTGGGAAGTTTCTGATAGCTGAGGGCGTCATGCGTATTGTGGTGAATGTGATGGCAGTGTTGATAGAAGACGAGATGTGTTTGCATCTCTTCTTGAAGGGGAGAAGAAAAAAGAAAAAAAGGGTTGTAACAACCAAAAAAAAACGCCAGTAAGAAGAAAACGCCCCGATGCAATAAACTCGGCAGCAACTTGACATTTGCTGCGAGTCGGTCCTTTTTCTTTTCTTTCGCTTCAACCCCTCCCCCCATAGGCGCCAGAAAAACATATAACAGGAAAGTGTTAGACATGGTAGAATGCTCATATACACCAGCGGTAACTGGCATAACGACCAGCAGTCTCGGACTTTCGGATGATCTTGACGACCTGACCTCTGCGCAGACCCAAGTACTTTGCCACGGGATCCTCGACCCTGATTCTAGGCAACTGCGTCTCCTTCAACCGATACCTATCCAGCAAAGCCTTCTTCTCCTCGGGACTCAGCAAGATGTGCTTGGGCACCAACTCATGCTTTGTGATATTGACCAACAGATCCGTCTCTTGGAAAACCTCGATGGTGATTGGCAAGTTTGCGGCTTGCTTGAGCGCTGAAGTGGTGACTGAAGCGGAAGTGATGTAGATGCCAGAGTAAAAATTGCGGTCGTTGAGGAATTGGGCGTAGTTGCGCAGGTGCTTGATGCCGATTGCGGTTTCGGTGCTGAATTCGACGTAGATAGTGCCGATTTTGGGCTCGGGGTTGGGATCGGATTTTGTGGGTAGGGCGGTGTATTTTGTGAGCATTGCTTCCGAGGGGCGGGCTTGGAAGTTCATTTTGGATTTGCTGTGGAAGCTGGTCAGAGAGTGGTCGTGTGGAAGGTGGTAGGCGCAAAGGTAGAGGTGAAGAGGATCGCGGGTGGTGGGTGCGGAGGAAGTAGAGAGACGTACTTGACAGCGCCGCTGCCGTCGCCGCACTGGTCGCGGAACTGATCGAGGGAGACGTCGAGTTCATCTTCAGCCAGTTCGTAGCCCTGCGACGTGTTTGAGTCAGTGTGGGTGGTCTTTTGTTTGATTGGTAGGTGGTCGGACTCTGTCGTAGCACAGCTGCTTGGTCGTCTTCCAGACACGCCACAGTCTGGAGGTTTCGCGTCTGGTCTCGTCGTCGGCCATGGGTGCAGTTTGCGAGGGGTGTGGAGGTGGAGAGATGGGGTGGAGTGTGTTGCGATGGCTCTTTGATGGTCGGCGCGCGCCAAAGATTGGATGCTTCACTCTTGGGCAGGTGAACAATTCTGCCGGCGTCTTGGCAGGGCGGTCAAGGGCGGGCGCGGCCTCTCGGTCCATCTGTTATCGAAGGTCCAGGGCGGCGTCATTCTGGAGAAAGTTCCCAAATGGCCGCGCCTTCGATTCCCAATCTCAACAGCCTCAGAGGTCGCACAGGCCTACGACGAGGCAGAGGCCGCGCCACCCCTACACACCCAGAAACCACAGAAGAAGATGCACAGAATGCTCGCGACAAGATCATTCGGCAGACCGACGGCGACGCTTCCAATTCCCGACTGAGTGCTGTTGCTTTGGGTTACTTGACCGACGACTACGCTTCTTGTTTTCTGCAAGGCCAAACTCCCAGGCGATATCCTCTGATCAACCGCGGCACCTATGTACGCACTTCGGCCATTGATCGTCTGGTCGACAACTTCCTCGCTGCCACCATCGACAACAACACCTCGAATGCGTCTGCTGCTCCCCAGGCCCAGATCGTTTCTCTGGGTGCAGGCTCCGACACTCGCTTCTTCCGTCTGTCAGCCGCTCGTCGCCAATCCATCCTTTACCACGAATTCGACTTCCTCGACAACGTCCGCGACAAGCTCTCTTCCATCTCCTCGACTCCAAAACTACTCTCCATGCTGCCATCCCACACAATCTCAACAGACAACTCCTCCCTGCAATCCCCAACCTACAACCTGCACACCCTCGACCTCCGCGACTTGACCTCTACCTCACCACCCTCGATACCAAACCTCTCTCCAACCCTGCCCACCCTCCTACTCAGCGAATGCTGCCTCTGCTACCTCGCCCCAGAAACAACATCTTCAATCCTCTCCCACCTCACCTCTCTCATCCCCTCAGCCTCCCTCGCAATCATCCTCTACGAACCCATCCGCCCTTACGACTCCTTCGGCAAAACAATGCTCTCCAATCTCGCTTCACGGGGTATACAACTGCAAACGGTGCGTCACTATCACTCTCTCGCTGCCCAGCGCTCTCGTCTGCAATCTGCTGGGTTTGCAAGCGGCCAGGGCGCTGTGGATGTCGAGCAGATTTACTATTCGGGGGAGTGGGTGGCCGAGGCGGAAAGAGAGAGGGTGGAGAGATTGGAGTGGTTGGATGAGGTCGAGGAGTGGAAGTTGTTGGCGTCGCATTATTGCGTTGCTTGGGGTTGGAGGGATGCTGAGGATAACAAGGTGTTTGGGGAGGCGTGGAAAGATGTCGGTGGGGAGTGGACGGTTAAGGAAAGGGTTGATGATATTTGAGTTTGAAGAAGGCTGGCCTTTGCTTGATACATCCATCCCCCGATCCTACCTTGCTAGATTATGAGAAAATGACCTTCTTGGGAAATACTGCCGTGTCTCAGACATCCTTTCTTCTCTTGCTTGATAAGAGAGGATATTCATTTCTTGTAGAGAAAGAAAGAGCTGAATGCTACCTAGTTCTACTAACCCTCTCAAGCATCGATCTGCATGATATCCTCATCATCCAAACCTCCATACTCATCTGCCTCAGCAGCAAGATTAGCTTCCCGCATAACCGCATCACCACTCACCCCATTCACCCTCTCATCCCTCTGTCTCTCCCTCTCAACCTTTTCCTTGTGCTTTTCCAAATCCGTGATACTCCACGTACTAACGCCTTCCTGCATGCGCGCAGGGAACGGCTTACTCATCATCTTCAGAAACCTTTTTGCAGTAGCCACCGCCTGATCGACGGAAAGATTGGAGTCGCCTTCGAGCAAAGCAGCATTGATCCATTTGGGGAGTTGCACGCGCTTCTTGCCAAAGCGGCGGTCGGCGAGCACCATGATGCCGTAGTCGTCTTTGCCGCGCAACACGCGTCCCAGACACTGTGCAGCATGCCTCATGGCATCGAAGGACAAAAAGTCATTTTCGCGGATGCGGTAGGTTTCGCGGAGGAATTCGAGGCGGGCTTTGAGGATGCGGGATTCGGTGTATTGGAAGGGCACGCCGATACACAACACGGTGCGCCCGTAGTGATGGTCGAAATCTATACCTTCGGACACTTTGCCGCGAGCCACGCAGAGCAAGATTGCGCCGCGGCCGTTGGAACATGCGGTTCTGTAGGTTTCTAGCGCGAGAGAAGTTTCTTGCGAGTCCGGGGTTTCGACGAGGATGAGCTTGTGTTTCCAGACTTGGTCGAGGATGCCCATGCCTTGCCACATGGAGATGATGCTTTCCATGTATAGGTAAGACGGGAAAAAGACGACTATACCATCAGGAGTGATTTTTGAGAATTCGATGAGGAGGTTGCCGTAGTTGCGCACCACGCCTGGATCGTTTCTGATGGTGAAGGAGGAGGAGATGGCGCCTTGATCGCTTCCTCTTGTTACGATCATGGGCAAGAAAGAGCGACGGGCTAGTGTCATGCTGTAGGATTCTTGCACTACCGTGTTGAAACCCAGCATCTTTGGGTAGATTTCCAGAGGAGAAATTGTGCCAGAGGTGATTACTACCGAGCTGAAGCGGTCAAAGACGGGTTTGATGGCGATTGCGGCATCCAAGCAAGTAAAGTGGAGGATTGGATTGGGTACAGTGGCGGTTTCTGATTCGTAGGGTTCGAGGATCAGGAGGAAACCTGTTTCGTAGGTTGCGACCAAGGTTGCGAAACTGGCGACCTCTTGTAGTGGTTGGTAATCTTCGATGTTTTGTAGCTCCAGTGTTCTCACTAGAGATGTCAAACGCTCTGCACAGAAACGCAAAGGCTTTCTCTCGATAAAGGTGAGCTCCTTGAGATGTTGCAAGAAAGACGGCGGTGTTTCCGAAATGACATGCAAGACTTTCATGCGAGTCTTGAGGTATTCGACGAAGCGTTTGAGGAAAGCGACGAAATGCTCCGCCCGTCGAATGTTTCCTGGCACAGCTTCTTTGAGCAAATCATCCGGCAGTGCTGGGTTTCTCATGAATGCGCCCTCATCATTCGCTTCATCGGCATCCCGAAGACCTTGCACCAGCTTTGCATATTCGTTTTGCAGCTTTGCAGCATCTGTCGTCTTCATCTCGTTGATCTTCCTCTCCAGATTGGCTGCACCTTTCCCTGCTTTCCGTAGTGAGTCCTCGGTAATATCAATACTTAGCGACTCGATGCAGACGTTGTCGATGTTGTGAGCTTCGTCGAATACGACGATGCAATCCTTGGAGAGTTCTTTCGACACTCGTTCGGCAATCTTGGGGTCTAGCAGATAGTGATATGAGTAGATGACGACGTTGCAGAAAGGCATCTGGGAGACTGGTTAGGAATTGCAGGCAGAGATGTATGAACAAACCTACCATTCGCCTGACTGTAAAGTATGGACACTGCTTTTGCTCTTCGCCGTACTTGAGAACATCGTCGAATGTGAAGACACCCGGAGGGATCAGATTGTGTGGTTCCAGAAGATCGAGATTCTGAGACAAGTCAGCAACAGTAGCAGAATTTATACAAGATCGAAAGCTTGCCTCATGGTAGACGCAAAGTTCTACATCCTCGCCCCTCTCCTTTTTCTCCTTGACGAAGCCTGCGGTAAGAGACCGACATCTGGCATCAACAATGCTACCACTCTTCTCCCTCTTGACTGACGGATGCAGACAAAGGTTTTTACGAGAAGTGAGACCCAGTCCTCTAAAATCTTCGACATGGCCAAGTTGTTCGGATCGATATTTCATCAGAGCTTTCAATTCTGCGAGAGCCTTTTCGATCTCGGACATTGTACCTAACCATGTCAGATTTGGATGTTTATGAGTTAGATGATGATCACACACGCGAGCAGTAGATCAGTTTGCGATGTTCGGGGTAATGTTGCTGATATGCCACGATGAGGGACAAGAGTGTGACAGTCTTTCCGGTTCCTGAAGGCATCTCTAGGACACAGTGACCTCCTGCGTCCAGGGTGCCTATTCATGATGTGAGTGCTCGGATTCAGATATTGGTTCTGTTTGACACGTACGCTTGAGATCGCACATGTATCTTTTCGAACATGTCAGTGATGAGAGCAGGATAGATGACTAGTTTGTGGCTTACGCATATTGTTCTGTTCACAGAGTCAGTATGCTTTCCTGAGAGCAGTTTGCCGCCAGATTAACTCACCTGGATAGATTCTGGGGTAGGGAAAGAGAATTGGCAGGTCACTTCGAGTGTCAGTAGGGGCTGAGAGACAGTAGCAACAGTGCTCACTCAATCATGAACTTCATTTTGGCGGATTGTGCCTCTTCCTCAGAGGCTGAGGTAGAGAATATTGAAGGAGGCAGCAATTGTATGGCAGTTGGCTGACCAAACACATCAACGAAGGGCCGTCTGAAAGCAGCTAGTGTCGATGGGCGCACGGACTGCGAAAGGTGTAGGCGGATTTTGAGTGACGTAGAGTAATCGATGATTGAGAGACTCAGACGCGACTTTTTGGAGACAGAAGCGACCTGCTACTCTGTACATTTACTGGTTCTTCCTTGTTGTTGCAAAAAGGTGCCTACTGCTATCCCAGTATTGTCTCACTGGTTTGAATTGCTAGCCGGTCACAAAATGAAGAAGGCATTCAGGCCTCAAGCAAGCAGTGCGCGCTCATTTGGAGGCAGCGGCTTTGGTGGGGGGTTTGGTGGCACTGGATTTGGTGTATCTTCGTCGCCGCTGTCATGGATTGCTGAACCGCCGGATCTCTCAAACATCTCGGACCCCAATGTCGGAGTCGCCTTTAAGAACTTGACCAAGAAGGACAGCACAACCAAGACCAAGGCTCTCGAGGATCTTCAGCAGTATGTTTCTGTTCCGGACCAGCACATCGAGGAACCTGTACTGGAAGCATGGGTTTGTCTACACGATCCGCCTTCTCACCACTCAGCATGTTGACCACTATGCTTAGGTCAAACTATATCCCCGTCTCTCAATAGACAGCGCCCGTCGCGTCCGTCAATTGGCACACAATGTCCTCGGTCACATCGCGACCAAGAGCGGAAAGCGAATGGCGAAACACATGTCCAGAATCGCTGGCCCATGGCTTGCAGGTGCACAAGACAGCGATCGTGCTGCCGCCAGAGCTGCTCAGGACGCCCTGAAGCTAGTCTTCAACACCCCCGAGAAATTGCAGAACCTCGGAAAGGCTTTCCAACAGCCCATCCTCGAACATTGTAGAGACGCCCTTTTGAACGAGACAGTCCAGACACTGAGCGACGAGCGAAGTGTCAGCCCTGCCGATGCCCAGGCAACCTACTCACGAGTCGTCGCCACGAGCATAGCCGTTATTTCGAACCTCCTAAATGACCTCGCCCCGGAAGAGCTTGCCAAACAGCAGGAAACATACGAAGACATTGTTGGCCAAAGCAAGATTTGGGATTTGGCATCCTACAAGGAAGATGTTGTTGTCAGGAGATCCATTCACCGTTTCTTGCGCACATGCTTGACTAAGCAGAAGCCTACTGTCGAGGTCAATCTTTCAACCATTAGCGAAGCCTACATCTCCAAGGCTCTTCCTCACGATCAGACCGGTTCATCTTACGACTTTATGCTGGCTCTTGTAGAGCTCACAGAGGCCTTGCCTCAAGCCTGGACCACAAGCTACACATCCAAGAAGCCAGCCAGCACTAGATTGAGAGGTTGCATCAAACGCGGTTCTCAGGCTGGACCTGCCGAGTTCTGGACCAATGCCTGGCTTCTATTCAGCAAATTGCCTACAGAGGTTCTGCCTCAAAAATACTCTGAGGCTGAGGAGTTGCTCAATGCGGTGCATGACGGTGTTGGCCAGAAGGACGACCGATTCAACGCATCTGCGGCGTGGTTTGCCTACTTCAAAATCCTTGATCTGGTCCAAAGCAGTGCATCCTTGTCTGACGAGGAGCACGAAACTCTGCTAAACAAAACGGCCATCCCAGCTATCGAGCAGTATTTGCGTCCATCCTCTAGCACTTCCGACTGGTCGATATCTGGTGCTAAGCCTGCGTGGAACGTATCAAAAGCTGCATTCTGCAAGCGTTTGCCGGCTGTTTTGGAGAAGAAGTGGCCTGAATACGCTACACTACTCATTGAGGACATTCGAACATCACTTCCAGAGCAATCAAAAGATTTCGAAAAGTCTCAAGCGCATATTGCCTCCGCCGCTGAAAGATGGGCATTGCTTCAGTCAGAGCTTCTACGTGAAGAATATCAACGCCCTGAATCTCTACAGGCAGTCTTCTCCCAATCAGCCAAGGATATTGTCAAAGCATCTCTCGAAACGCTCAGATCGCGAAACGGAAAGCCGTATGGCGCTGCTGCCGCAGTGGACGAGTTGCAAAATCACTGTAAAGCTCTACTCACCAAAGATCAGGACACTCAAGACATCATCGCGACTTTCGTTATTGATGATTTGCCAGAGTTGGTGTCCTCCCCTTCGCAGAGACAATTAGTCTCGCTCCTATACCATTTCCAAGCCGACTCCAGATTCGGCGAGGCTTGGAACAAGACAGCAAACGCGATTGGTAACAGCCCAGATTCTGACGAGAAGTTGCACGCCTTCCGAGACTTGCTAGTTTCACCCAGAGTCAAGCCTGCTGCCGAGCTTGCCGCTCAAAATGGTGATATCCAAGCCTTCCTACAGCGTCAATTCAGGTCTAGTTTGGAAACAGGACAGCAGTGGAGCTTTGTCTCAGGTATCCTCAAGGGCACACCGAGCGTAGCTTCTACAGAAACTGTCGACGGTATGTTAGCGGACCTGACTGCATCACTCTCCGTGTCAGACAAGGCGGGTTCTGCTCTTGATGGTTTGCAAGAAATTTCACGAAGCAACAAGACTCTTGTCAAGGAGCATATTAAGAAGCCTAGTGGATCTCAGCTACTTCCTAGCCTCCTTCTATTGGAAGAGTCTTCCGATGAATCACTGGCTACAAAAGCCTCTAGTATCAGCAAGAGCATTGTCACTGAGGCTGACAAGGCTGGCTCTCAAACCATTCTTTTCGACGTTGTGCACCAGAGTTTGAGAGATGTGTCGGCGAGCTCACTTCCGATGCCTCAAGTCCTGGACATGGCTGCAAACCTCATCCACGATAGTGACCTCGAGCACAAGAAGCAGGAAGTTTCCAAACAAGCTCTGCCCGATTTGAAGTCTTGGAGAGCCGCAATTGCGCCATTCATCGGAACTGCACCTCCCATCGCACTTGCCATTACGAGTGTTTTGGGTGGTGCCACTTACCTGGTTGACCCTGAGGCAAAGCCCGATTCTGCCAAGATCCTCAGAGATGCCGATGGCTTGTCACAAGCTCTGAGATTTGCCATGTACACCTCGAGAGTGTTCTCCAACCGTGATCTGCTTCAAGCACTTGATCCTGAGACACAAACAGAGCTGTTCCAGCTCTTCTATATCACATACGTTCTTCTGAACGAAAGCATATCCCTGACAGCGCAAGGTGGCCTTGCCTCGCCTAACACAGAGACCGAGGCTGAGGTGGTCGAATTTGTCAACGAAGCCAACAGACTCATTGGAGACTGCTTCCAGCAGTACGAAGATGGTTCGTCCTACGCATTTGTTGGTACGGTCATCGACAATTTTTTTGAGAACTCAAAGGGCACTAGCACGTCTGCGTTCCACCATGCTCAAGCACTGAGCCATGCGCTCGGCGATCTTGAATCCATCCACGGTGGTGGTCATGCCAAGGTACAAGAATATGAAGATCAGGCATTACAGCTCTACAAAGCCAAGGACGTCATTCCCTTCACAGCTTGCGCCAGTGGTGTCAAAGAAGCATTGTCCGATAGCAAGAAACTCGACAGGCAGACTAACGAGCTGGTTGCCGATCTCACTGGCGTGGACGCTACGCAGTCTCCTGAGAAGGCCATCACAAAACTTGTCATGCTCAATGCATTGTTCCCCGAGAGCAAACAAGCTGACAGTATTGTCGCCAAACAGCGTCTCATCTTCTTGATGAAGCATATCTTGCCCTGGCTCGACAATGATGAAGTTGTTACACCGATCAAGGCTGAGACATGCAAGACGCTGCTGTTCGTCTTGCCTGGTGTTAGCGATATCTACGGTGAACACTGGTCGCAAATTCTGGCATTCCTGACTCACACATGGGACTTGGGCTTCGTCCGTGACGAGACTGCTGATGAGAGTCGTATGGCTTTGATCTGCACCACTCTCCAACTTTCTTCCATCCTCCGTAGCCTCAAATCAAGTGAAGAGCCCAACGATGATCTTGTTGATGCTTGGAAGGAGAGTTCCGAGGTTCTTTACATGGGCTTGATGAATCTTGTCAGACAAGGTCAAGGTCAGTCCGATGAGCACCACGAACCTCTGAAGGCACTGTTCCAGTCGCTAGGCAGCGAAGTCGCAAAGTGGTCTACCAGTGAGGTTGAGGATGAAGCAGAACTCTACCCTCTGCTCTACACACCGTCAAAGGCCCTGCAGAAGACAGCTTTCGATATCTTGCACCGTGTTATCCCAGCAGCACAGGAGCAAGTTTCCTTTGACGCAGCGCTCGAGAAGAAGGCGGCAAAGTTGCCGGAGGAGCTGTTATCGCTGCTGCTTGCCCCTCCTACACTAGACAGTCTAGCCGATGCATCTTTCCGCACTGGCATCCCTCACGAGCTGCAAGCATACCTTTACAGCTGGCAACTCGTCTTCGACCACTTTACCAACTCCAGCTACCAAGTCAAGTCCGACTATGTTGAAGCTTTACGCGAGGGCGAATATCTCGGCCACCTGCTCGAGCTAACCTGGGAGCTCTTGGGTCACGTCCGCGGCCGCCCCGTCGACGTATCAAAATACGACGTCCGCCGCTTCGACTACCTCGACCAACAAGGCGACCTCGAAGGCCTCGGCGCCGACAAATGTATGCACTGGCTACTAGCCCACCTCTACTACCAATCCCTCATGCACGTCCCCTCTCTCACAAAAACCCACTTCCTGGCCCTAAAATCGCGTCAAACCGGTCTCGCGGTCGAAAGCTGGACAGCCAAATACATTGCTCCCCTTATTGTCTCTGCATCTCTGGACTCCGTGTGTCAATGGGCAGACGCCACAAAGAACGACCCCGAATACGAAGGCTGGAGCGCCAAAGTCTCCCCCCGCAGCCGCGAAGTCCAGTTTTCGTATCTGGTCGACGAGCAAACAATGTCCATCGTCATCCGCCTACCCGAAACCTATCCTCTGGCATCCGCACGCGTCGAAGGGCTCAACCGCGTCGCCGCCGACGAGCGAAAATGGCAATCCTGGCTGCGCAACTGCCAGGGCGTGATTCAATTCAGCAATGGCAATCTCATCGATGGCTTGACAACTTGGAAACGCAATGTCACTGGTGCACTGAAAGGGCAGTCCGAGTGTGCTATTTGCTATAGTATCATCAGCGGGGACAGGCAGTTGCCGTCTAAGCGCTGCAGCACTTGCAAGAACTTGTTCCATAGTTCTTGTTTGTTCAAGTGGTTCAAGACTAGCAATGCTAGTACGTGTCCGCTTTGTAGAAATGCTTTCAACTATGGTTAAAAGTGTTTTGGTGGCGGGGTGGTGAAGGAAAAGAGGCCGATTTTATGTAGAAATGCTTTGAATAGACTTGTAATGTCAAAGATATCTCTCCATAACCCTCTAGGAGTATTCAATATACAGCATCGTCGCCATCGTTCAGCAAAGTTCTATGAGTATTGTCTCTTGGTCTCTTAAAAGTTCTTTGGAATTGTAGATACACGAGTGTTATGGGCTAACCACCCACGAGACATTTCAAGAATGGTTTCTTTTTGCAATGAGACTCGATGCTTGCCAAATTCGATGCCCACCATTGTTGCCAACGGAGCTGTGCTGTTCGTGCCTGCCGAAGCGCGGTCTTCTCCCCAACATCAGCCAGAGGATTTGATGCCCGCAAATACTTCATAGAATGCCGATACATCTTCAGCACCCTCGAGCTTTCTACCATTGACCTCGAAAGTCGGTACTGAATTTACTCCCGAGTCCCTAGCCCGCTGTGCCTCTTCGTCGACCTCTGGTCCGCCATTATCGCTGTCCAACCATTCTGTCGCTTCCTGTTCTGTCAAACCTGCAGCAATGCTAGCTTTGAGCAGGTCATCGTAACAAGTAATATCAGTATCTCCTTCGAAGTGCATCGCAAACAACTCTTTTGCAAGCTTCATCTGCACATCTTCGCCTTTGAGTCCCGCGAGATACATCATGCGGTGTGAATCTCGAGTGTTTCCAACTTTGCCGGCGAAGCTGAAGTTGATACCGTGAGCTTGTCCTACACGTTTCAGCCGCATCATGATGCCTTCTGTGCGCTCGGCACCGTTCTTCTGCGCTACTCGGGTGGATGCGAGGATGCCAGGAGTGGGCAAGTTGGCATCGAGGTAGTAAGGCGACCAAATTATGTGGAATACGTCTTCGGAGGCGCCAGGATAGGTGCGTTGGTAGAGGGTCATCGCTTGTTCTAAGGTGCGGAGACCGATGTAACACTGATATGATCGGTTCGTCAATGTGGTGGCTATATGAGCGAAATACGGTTTGGATTTACCCATGGACAAATGGTGTCGGAATAGACTTTAATATTTATTGTTTTTGGCGATGCCATGTCGCTCAGACACTCTTTAGGTAAACGCAACTTTGTTCTGTAGGTCACTTAGGCAAAATGGTCGTGAGCTTCATTGTGTGTGTTGGACAAGCTCTGGCTGTTGAATGGTCGATCGAAGTAGGCAGCCTGATAAAAAGGGCAATCCTGCTTGCTAAGCAACACGACATACCTCAGTGTGTTTCGAAGGATTTTAATGCAACCTAGGATACTTTGGTAATTGAACTCTGCCTACCTTGGCTCAGTATCACAAGTGTGCTGTCAATATGTGTTAAGCATTATCAGGGACAGGGTGGTTAGTCCAGCGACCAAGCTGATCAAGTTCTTCTTTGTATACGGAATAGCAAACCACGGTCCACAATAGCCAGCGGCATACATTTATCTTACTGAGCACGCAACTCACATCGAAGAAGTTCTGTAGAACGCAGAAACAACGTTTAGGCAACACTATTGGGAGAAAGCAATATCCAAACCAGCCACCTGCCAAGCTCGGTATAGCGTCGTAGGATTGTCAAAGCGTGATTAAGAACAAGGCCGCAGCGAACATGAACTTGATAAAGCACATCCTCAGCCTCGTCTGAGAACCTCAATTGTTACTCCGAGAATCGTTATCGTCAGAGTCATGTTACTCAAAAACTCCGCCCTGTTGTCGGGCGCATTCTTGGCTTCGTCTGCGATTGCCCAGTTCCCGCCGAAGCCTGAGGATGTTAAGACTGTAAAGTCAAAATTCCATCAGGGTATCGAGATCTCGTACAAGGAGGTTGATGTATGTACTTTTCGAGCTCAATAACCTTACTTGTTCTCCAGATCATTGGCTTATTGATGCACTTTGTCATGTTCAGAACTGATTTCATGTCCAGCCTTCCGTTTGCGAGACGACCGAAGGTGTTCGCAGCTTCTCCGGATATGTCCATCTGCCACCTCATAGCATTAACGAGACTCATGAGAGTCAGGACTATCCCGTCAATACGTACGTGGAAGATCGTCATGGCTACAACAGTGTCACAAACTAATTGAGCTCAGCTTCTTCTGGTTCTTCGAGTCTCGCAAGGACCCACACAAGGCTCCATTGTCAATCTGGCTCAATGGTGGACCCGGAGGAAGCTCCATGATGGGGGCTCTCTCCGAGAACGGTCCTTGTTTTGTCAACGACGATAGCAACTCCACACGTCTGAACCCTTGGTCATGGAACAACGAGGTAGGCGCACATCATGCTATAGCACAAGACATTGCTAACAGTTGCATCAGGTCAACATCTTGTACATTGACCAGCCAGTTCAAGTCGGGTACTCTTACGACATCCCAACCAACATCACTGTCAACTTGCTTGCCGATAATGAGGGTTCCGATTCCATCGAGGTTGCTGACTTCAGCTCCGGTGTTCCTGACCAGAATGCTACTTTCCTGATCGGCACTGCTAGCACTCAAAACGTTTCTCACACTGTCAACAGTACGCAGCACGCGGCTGTCGCTTTCTGGCACTTTGCTCAGACTTGGTTCGAGGAGTTTCCCCAGTACAAGCCTCACGATGAGAAGATTTCTCTCTTCACAGAGTCGTACGGCGGCAGATACGGTCCTACCTTTGTCAAGAAGTTCATGAATCAGAACGAGCTGATTGCCAACGGATCTATTTCGGGGCCTGGTACACACTATTTGCACCTCGACACTTTGGGCATAATCAACGGCTGCATCAATTCTGAAGATACCACTTCTGCATACGTTGAATTTCCCGTCGCCAATACCTACGGTATTCAAGGCTTCACCGAGGAGCAGTACTTGCACGCAAAGTACGAATTTGTTCGTAAAGGAGGTCTACGCGATCAAATCCGAGAATGTCGCCGGATGCAACTCGAGACCGACCCTAACGATTACGGTGATGTCAAGAAGACCAATGACTACTGCGCGGAAGCAGCTGAGAAGCAGGAGAAACACACCGTTGCCTTGTACATGGAGAGCAAGAAGTTCGGTTGGTTCGATGTGACCCATCCGCAGAACGACCCTTTCCCAAGCCAATACCTCGTGGGTTATCTGAACCAACACTGGGTCCAAGAAGCGCTGGGTGTGCCTGTGAACTTCACTGCGGTCTCACCCACAGTCTACGAAGCTTTCAAAGGTACTGGTGATATCTCCAAGGGTGGCTTGATCGAGGACATCGCTTACATTCTCGACAACGGCGTCAAAGTAGCTATGATGTACGGCGACCGAGACTATGCCTGCAACTGGATCGGTGGTGAAGCTTCATCCCAAAAGATTCCATGGGAGTCACAAGAAGCGTTCTCAAAGGCCGGCTATACTCCTCTTGTGCTCTCTCCTGTGCACTCTGGCGGTCTTGTTAGACAATACGGCAACTTGAGTTTCACCAGAGTGTACCAGGCTGGCCATCTGGTGCCTAGCTACCAACCTCAAGCTGCATATGAAATTTTCATGCGCAGTTTGTTCAACAAGGATGTTGCTACTGGCGAGACTGCGGTGTCGGATCAGTACAAGACTAACGGTACTGAAGATGCATGGACACCCAGTGATGTCCTGCCTGCTCCCAAGAACGAGTGCTACACTCTAAACCCTGACTCTTGCACTGAAGAGGAGCAGGCTTGGCTCAAGGATGGCACTGCCATCATCAAGAACTGGATTCTTGTTGGTCGTGAGAAGGGTGGTAAGAGAGGAAGTCAGCAGCAGGTCTTGCTCGCGGAGGGCATGTACGAGCTTTAGATGAGCACAGCGTGCAATGTGTTACTGTGTATGGCAGTCATTGGTTTTACACAGTCTTCGAGACATCATTCAGGTAGCATACCCCTGTGAACAAATGGAAGAGAATTCGAGCTTGATTCATTCTTCTGTGCCATACTTTCCTCTTACTCGAATTCGCTCTTCCCTTATGGGTACAACGTCGGTTGACCATTTGCACGTGTCAATTCATCCGAATCGCTACTCTTTAAAGGAAAGAGCACTGCACCATCGCTCAAACTTCCCTGGTCTTCGCATGTGGGCTTCTTCGCAACGCTACTTCCCAACATAACTTCGACCTCACAAGACTTCTAGAGCATCTCGCCTCACTCTCTCCTCCGCTTCGACAACCATCACCACCAAGATGTCTGCGTTTGGTTACTACATGGCAGCGTCAGGCGCCCAGACACCTACCACTACCAACGATGAGCATGATACAACTTTCGTCCACAACTCGTCTGCCGTCCACAACTCGTCTGCCGTCCACAACTCGACTGCCGTGAACAGCTTCGCTCCCATCACCGACTCTACTGTCAACAGCGCCAATCCCACACAGAGCAAAAAGTACTTCTGTAAGCATCATGTTCACGTTCGATCTCCATCGATCGCTAACCACATACATATGAAGGTTCCTACAAAAGACATGGCTACAATGACTCCCACGACACTAAAGACTGTCGTAAGCTCAAAATCGAAGAACAACAAACCAAGGTCGGAATCCAACAGCTCATCAAGTGAGATCCGGGCATTGTCTGACTGACTTGAACAGGGAATGCGCCACATACTGTTCTCGGTTGCAAAGCAGGTCGTGGACAAGGCAGACAAAACAAGAAAGGCCAAGCAGCAGGGGAGCCACTGGGCTAGCTACAACAACCTCGAGTTGAAGATGGAGGTCGAAGAGTTGAAGAAGAAGTTGGAAGACGCCAAGCAGGAGATGAGAAAACGCGGAATCAGATGAAGATGATACCTGATCAAACGCAGACAAGGATTGAACGACGGAAACTATTGATACCACGGGCTTCCTCACGACATGATTCCCATCCTTCCTGTCTATGGAAGCTACACAAGCAGACTTCGATCAGTCAATGCAGCCAATCATTCTTCCACCACATCCCTACAACTTCGCCCCCTGCCTCTTCTTCACCCACTCCTCCACCGCCTTCACCCCAGCAGTCGCAACCTCCTCGTCCTGCGCCGGCGTCCCCGTACTAACACCCACAGCACCCACCACAACCCCATCAAGCTTAATCGGCACACCACCCCCAATAAGCATAAACCTACCACCATTGGAGTTATGAATACCATAAGCCGGACCCCCAGGCAAGAAATTCGGAGACTTGTAGGCAGAGGTGGGTTGCTTGTGGCCTGCAGCCGTAAAAGCCTTGTCCATGGCGATGGAGATGGAAGTCAGTTTTGCGGTGGGTTGGCGGATGAAGTGCAAGAGGTGGAGAGTGGAGTCTACGATTGCGATGTTGAAGTCTGTGATACAGAAAAAGATTAGTTGTTTGATGTGGACTGGGTTTTGCAAGGTAGTAGAGAGTCATACCAATGCCTATCTCCCGAGCCTTTTTCTGAGCAGCTGCCGAAGCTATCTCGGCTGCCCGCAGACTGAGTACGGGCAGCGATCGTGTTGCCGAGTCTGACATGTTTGTGTGTTTTACGTTTTCTTGGTTACGTTTCTTCCGTTGGAATTGGCAAGTATCAAGAACAATCACGATGGATATGTAATCGTTGACAGCTTCAATTGGCTTCTAAAGAGAATTGCAGTCGTTTGCGATGGGTCGTTGGTTCGTCGTCTCCACTTGCAAGTAGGTGGAGTAGCAAGCAAAGCACCCGAGGTTGAGCGGCTTTCTGCCCGCTGCTTTCTTTTTTTTTTTTTTTTTTGTTGCATGACTTCATGACTTTCACATGTTTTGATTGCGATGTTTTTCCCCTTCATCATTGTTCTTTTCTTGTGTTATGCAGACTACTATCGAGGAGTCATTCCAGCAGGATTCAAGGACAGGTGGCCCTTTTATCTTTGTACAGCTGGCACCAATCTGATGTGGGAGAGTCATCTTGCGAACCATTTGTGATTAGACCGACACGTGTATGGTTCGATTTTTGTAAATGGTCTGAGCGCAATTTGAACAATTGGGAAATGAACATGTCACCATTCATGCCGACACCGGCCTTTGCAGGCAGTACACACTCGAAAAACTTTGGACAGCATGAGAAAGAGGAACAGAAGAAGTTTAGACGTCGTTAAGAATGTACACACTCCTTGTTGCAGGAAGTGTGGTGTGGTTGTAGTAGATTTGTTGGTCTATCTTGAAGAAAAGAAGTATAATCATTTCCCATGAAAAACAAAATGCCGTGAGTCTGGGATATTGTTGAATCATCGCCAAACGCCGACGCTAGATGCATGCATAGCACGTTACAGCCAACCCGAGTCTATGTTGAATACCCCCTTAACACATTGCCTCAAGTCTGGCTGACCTGCCGCTCCTGTAAAAGAAAGTGAGCAGCAGGGTTTGATGCAGGTTTTGTTCCCTGTTCCCCAATTATACCGTGACAAACGCCGTGCCCAACTGCGAGCTCCGTTCGCACAGAGTATCACAGTAGGCTTTTAGAAAAGCACAAAGATCCCAACATGAAATTATCAAATGTCATGACATGTTTAGAACTTGAGCTCCTTGGGCTGCTCCCAGGTGAAGGTCTGGTCGCTGAAGTGACCGTTCTTGGCAGTACGGTTGTAGATGGGGTTGGTGAGGTTGAGCTCCTTGACAATGACACCGGGACGGAGGTCGAAGTTCTTGCGGATGATCTCGACGAGCTCCTCGGAGTTCTTGTCGGAGGTACCATAGTGCTCAACGAAGAGCGAGAGGGGCTCGGCGACACCAATGGCGTACGAGAGCTGGACGAGACAGCGGCGGGCGAGACCGGCCTTGACCAGGGACTTGGCGATCCAGCGGGAGAGGTAGGCAGCGGAACGGTCGACCTTGGAGTAATCCTTTCCGGAGAAAGCACCACCACCGTGGGCACCCCAACCACCGTAGGTGTCGACGATGATCTTACGGCCAGTAAGACCGGCGTCACCCTGGGGACCACCAATGATGAAGAGACCTGAGGGCTGGATGTGGTAGACGGTCTTGTCGTCCAAGTACTTAGCGGGGATGACCTTCTTGATGATCTTCTCAAGGATCTCCTTGCGGAGCTCCTCGGTGGTGATGTCGGGGCTGTGCTGGGCGGAGACGACAACGGTGTCGACGCGCTTGGGGATGACGGCACCGCCGTCGTGCTCGTACTCGACGGTGACCTGGGTCTTGGTGTCGGGTCTCAACCAGGGAAGGGAGCCGTCGTTTCTGGCGTTGGTCATGGCAGCGTTGAGCTTGTGGGCGAGCTGGATGGTAAGGGGAAGGAGCTCAGGGGTCTCGTCAGTGGCATAACCTGAGCAGTGAATCAGCGCGAGATTGCAAATGCAGATGTAGCACCAAACCTACCGAACATGATACCCTGGTCACCGGCACCGAGCTTCTCGAGAGCCTCCTCGTAGTGGAGACCCTGGGCGATGTCGGGCGACTGCTCCTCAATGGCAACGAGGACGTTGCAGGTCTTGTAGTCGAAACCCTTGTCGGAGCTGTCGTAGCCAATGTCCTTGATGGCCTGACGAATGATCTTCTGGTAGTCGAGGCGAGCCTTGGTGGTGATCTCACCGAAGACCATGATCATACCGGTCTTGGTGGCAGTCTCGCAAGCAACCTTGGAGAGGGGGTCCTCCTTCAAGCAGGCGTCGAGGACGGCATCTGAGACCTGATCGGCAATCTTGTCGGGGTGACCCTTTGGGACGTGTCAGTATATGCCACCTGAAGAGCCAAACAAAATTGATGCCACATACCTCACCGACAGACTCGGAGGTGAAGAGGAAGGTGTTACCCTTAACATTTCCGTTTGCGTGGACCATTGTGAGGAGAGGGATGTGGGAGAAGCACGAAAAAGATGCAGATGAGAGAAGAGAAGGAGGGAAGATTACAAAGGCCAATCGTCTCGGGGGAACAGTTGACTCTTATGGAGGGGAATGGCTGGAGGGAGGAAAATTGCACCATTGGATCCCTTTCAAATGGGTTGAGAGCTTTGACCCGCATTTCTTGGCGAGGTCGGCAGACTCGCGTTGACACTGCCGAACAATGCCAACAGCCCAAGACTCAAGAGCGACCCTGTCCTTGTTCGCAGGTTCACCCACCATGGCCAGTCGAGGGCGTGTTACAAATGAAGTGCGTGAGCGGTATTGATGCGCTAGCCGCTTTAACTAGATATATATCTTAGGCCTCTAATGTCTCTTTTCTATCTACTCTTTATCTTATTATATAGGTTATCTCTACTATATATTAGTAATTAGAATCTACTACTAATAATACTATTTCTTAATTTTATAACTATTAATTCCTCTAACTTAAGATATAGTAGAGACATTAAAGGAGGCTAACCTATTTAGGAAGCTATAGCAAAGTCTTAGCATTTTTGCACGCGCTTCTAATGTAGTAGGTACGTCTTAACTTACGCTATAACTCTTAAATCTATTACTTCCTTCTTACTTTACTCTATTAACTACTTCTACTACATATAAGCCTTTCAAAGGCTTTTAACGACTGGTTTTGCACTAGGTAAGCACTAAAATTTATGTACTAACTAATATGCTATATCTACGCCCTTAACTTAGTAGCTAGAGCGTGTTGTCTTATGGCGGCACGCGCATAACACGTCCTTCTCTTACTCCGGCTCGTTATACATCCACTCGTAACTAACATGTGTCGCTCTAGCAATCGAAGGCATCATGTGCGCTTACCAGCCGTCGCGTCGTGTGGCTCGGAACCTTGTGAAAAGGTCATTGGTACGTGTCTCCTCTACTACACTAAGCTTCTGCCGCCCTTCCACTCGCAATCTTATACACCTTCACAGAGCCTTCACTATCCCTTGACTGGTACAGGCGAGTTCTTTATATTAAGCAACTAATCAAAGTGAACAGGTCGACGAGATATGCGTCCATCGCATCGACGAAGCAGGGGTAAGTAACCCTGTCCTTCTCCCAACGCTCCCGTCGGTTCAGTCCAAGCGGCTGACCACACTTCACTTCCCAGGCAGAACAGTATCTGATCAAATGGAAACACGATACTCCCTCACAAGCCGTGTTATCTTGGCACGACGTTGATGATCTCGCATCAATCGCCGACTCTCTGCAAACATATATCAACAACTTCTTGACAAGGTACCTATTCTTGGACTCCACCTGCTTCACATGTCTTCCGTATACTTATTGCGTTCCATCAAAAGATTGTATGGTGATGATTCACTGAAGCCGCCTCCAGCTGGAGTTTCCTCCTTGAAGCGTAAAAGCCCTCACGACGAGGAAACTACACCAAGTCGTGCATCGTCAACGGACACCTCGACGACATCTACCTCATCACCCGCTCTGGCCAGAAAACTCGAAGTCTACAATGGAGTCCTGTTTAGAAAGGCTGGAGACATCTATCCTCACCCCCTGAACACTGGAGTTGAGCAAATCGATTCAACCACAATACCCACGGCGGAAATGCTTTCTGTGGCCAAGAGACACCGTTCTGGCGGAGTCAGGCAAGGACGCAAACTCCTTCAAAAGCAGTTTCTGGAAAAGCTCGCACGTATACCTGGTCCTCCAGTTACCTTCAAAAACGACGTGAACAAAGACACGCCATCTCTCGCCTTCACATACATCCAAGAGTACGTCCTTGGTGAGGGTGTGTCTCGGGCCGATTTGGACGCTGTCAAGACGGGATGTGATGAATGCCGACCAGACATGGGAGCCAACCGTGGCTGTCAGTACACCAGAAAATGCAAGTGTCTGGAATATGCTGCTCCAGACCTTACTCGTTGCAAGACTGATAAGCAAAGAGAGCAATACGCAGCCTGGGAGAGAGGCGAGATGGGCTCCGAGGGTTTGCCCAAGCGATTCCCCTACAGAACTGACCCTATTAACAAAATGCTTGTGCTGGACAATTTTTATCTGGAGAGCCGAAACCCAATCTACGAATGCAACGAACTTTGCGACTGCGGCAAGAACTGCAAGAACAGATTGGTTCAGAAAGGGCGAAAGGTGCCGCTCGAGATTTTTAGGACACTGGGTCGAGATTTTGGTAAGTCGATTTTGTCCACATTTGTGACTTTGACTGACGAGCAATGAAGGTCTGCGTTGCCCCATTGATCTCAAACGGGGCCAATATATTGACAGATACCTCGGTGAATTGATCACTGACGCTGAAACAAGCGCTCGTGAAGCGACCGGCAGTTACGATAAGGCATCTTACTTGTTCTCGCTCGACAAGCATGCCGAAGACGATGATCGACCCGGCGCGCTCCACAAGAGAGATTGCTATGTGGCCGATGGAGAGAAAATGGGTGGACCGACACGTTTTATCAACCACAGCTGCGACCCCAACTGCCGCCTGTTCACCGTGAGCTACAATCGCAACGATCGGTTGATCTACGACTTGGCGTTCTTCGCGTTGGAGAATATCCCCGCCGGCGAGGAGCTCACCTTTGATTACATGGATGTTGAAGACACAGAGTCTGCTCCTGGTCAAGCACCCAACGATACTATGGATGTTGGCGGCGTGAAGTGTCTTTGTGGGGCAGAAAACTGCAGAGGCAAACTGTGGATGTGAGTAATCTCAATGTAAGAGCTTGGAAGGGAGTCATCTTCTTTTGCGAATGGTTCCCCTTTCTTCTCACGTCGGTCTCCTCGGGATCACGAGAAGCAGATCAGGGCTGGTTCGACAGCAGTATGTTGCTTTGGGATGATCATACCATAGCATAGGAAAAAGTGCTTTCCAGTTATACGCTTTTTCTGTGGTTTCTGTCTCGTGCTCGAAGATCAATACATATCGAACCAAGAAGGCAACAAATAAGCATAAGTCAAACGTTAGCCTGAGGCAACAAACATCATACTGACTTTGTCTCTCCTATCTCGAGAATTATTGATTTTGTAGTGACACGCATGGTTGGAGGCTGATATGCAAGGCCGGACGGACTTAAGGCAGCAAAAAGCCGACGAGATGCCTTGGCGCAAATTTCCCGTCAGTCGAACAATACCATCAATTCATCATCCGCCTAGCAAATACCAGTTACAAACAAACACAAGCACGAACCGTCATGTCCAAGTACGGCGTGTTGGCTATCGGTCCAGCTGGTGCTGGCAAGACGACCTTCTGCTCGGCGCTGATTGGCCACCTGAAGAACTCGCGCCGCTCATGTTTCTACATCAACCTGGACCCTGCCGCCGAGGAGTTTGTCTATGAGCCCGATCTTGACATCAGAGAGCTCATCACTCTGGAAGATGTCATGGAAGAGATGCATCTCGGTCCCAACGGTGGTCTGATCTACTGCTTCGAGTTCCTTCTGGAGAACATGGACTTCATCACCGACCCGCTGGAAGAGGTGGGTGAAGAGTACCTTATCATCATCGATATGCCTGGTCAAATCGAGCTGTATACACATGTGCCTATTCTGCCTACCCTTGTCAAGTCTTTGACTAGAGGCTCTCTCAACGTCAACCTCTGCGCCGCCTACCTGTTGGAAGCTACGTTTGTTGTAGATCGCGCAAAGTTCTTTGCTGGAACTTTGAGTGCCATGAGTGCTATGCTCATGCTCGAGGTCCCTCACGTCAACATCCTGAGCAAGATGGATCTCGTCAAGGGCACTGTCGCGAAGAAGGACCTTAAACGCTTCATCGACCCCGATGTCAGTCTGCTCGACGAGGATCCAACTACCGGCCTGTACTACGACGAGACCAATGATCCCGACGACGTTACCGACTCCCACAGTGTCATGGCAGGCTCTTCATTCAACAAGCTGAATCGCGCGGTCGGCCAGCTCATAGACGACTTTGCCATGGTTTCCTTCCTCAAGCTCGACGCCCAAGACGAAGACAGTGTCGGCTCTGTGCTCTCCTACATCGACGACGCTATCCAATTCCACGAAGCCCAGGAACCAAAGGAGCCGCAAGATGAAGCACAAGATGAAGAGATGGCCGAGATGGGTTGAGACGAACGCTCCCTGCACATACCAACATAAACCGCAAAGCAACACAGCATGTACAATGCTACGCTTCCAGAGACGCAGGCTGGGTGTCTCACGCACTCGTCAGCCACTACATCTCCCAACCAACGACGTATACGGCCTTGCGACGAACCTCGGAAAAGCACAAAGCCCGTCTTACAAGACTCATGATGCGGCATCGCTTCGTAGAGGTTATATTCTCCCGCCCCTCCGATTTCCAGAGCCTTCAGAAACTCCTCACACCAATCAGAGAGGAAAGCTTCGGGGCTCAACTACGAAAAAGACAAGAAGAAGCGATGACATCCTAATCACTCTCGGCTGCAGATGGAAGCGTGGATTTCAAACATTGATGTGGCGTATAAAAATGAATATAAAACATCTCTGTTAACCTGTTTTGTCTCCATTCGTCTCTTTACTCTGTAGATCGCGACTGGAGGAGGAAGCTACAAGATCTCAGGAAGCAAAACATGCCAAGCCAGAGATGCAACTCCCAGACAGCTGAACCGCGCTTTGCTCCCTTGACTTGCACCTCGTCTGTTGACTCCTGAGCAATTTCTGGTTTATGCAAACACACAGTATCTGATTGAGCAGATACGACTGCGGAGCATGAGCAATACCGCACGTCTTCTGCTACGTTCTTATTGCAGAGTGGCTGCGAAGCCTGTCAATTCAACTGTGCCTCTGGTCGGGTCACGAGAACAAGAATAGGTCGTGCCTTCCATCTGAATGCCGACTTGGCGCCTGTCCTTTGCCATGCAGATCCATCTGGCATACCTCGTGAAGAAAGATCGCCTTGAAAGATAAGAGAGGGCGTGCGGGGTTCTATTCAGATGTTGCTGTATCTGATGTACCTGGTCCTTGTAAGTACTAAGTATCGTGTGTTGTCAACTTCCCACATGGCCAAGAAAGTTTGATTGGAAGCTCTCTCAACTCCAGCACTTTTGCTTCGTTCATCTCACCATAGCATCAATCTTCCTCTAAAACCAATCACCCACCAAGCTGTAACGCATCATGGCTCCCAATGATAGTATCGTCATAGGGACAACGACACTTCCGCAGGAGGGAGGGTCGCCTGATGCACCACGAAGACTGTGGTGTCGTAGAAGGTAAGATGACATCGCTGAAACTCCGGCAACAGCATACAGTACGTATTGATGCGATCAGCTATACTGGAACCTTGGCCTTCAACATCTGCGCCTTCATACTGCCTGCTCTCTATGGAACACTCAGCAAACTCTGGATCGCCAACATCGATTCATCTATGGTTGTGACCACTGATGTCTATACCTATATCGGAGTAGTCGCCGAAGTTCTCAACGAAGGCCTTCCTCGAGCATCCTGGTTGATTATTGGAGACAGAGCGAATAGATCCATCTCTGCAAGATACAGTCTCTCGTTCACTTTGATCATATTCCAGAGCATCCTCGGACTGATCATGTCGATCGCTTTTGTGGGCGCCGCCAAACAGTTTGCGAGCGGTTTTGTACCCGTAGACGTACGCGCAGCTTCTCTGACGTACATTCGCATCTCAGCGTTTTCGGCTCTATTGTCGGCCATCGAAACAGCTGTTTCTACCAGTACCAGAGCTCTCGACAAGCCTGATGTGCCTCTGATCATTTCCACAGTCAAGTTCTTGATCAACATCGTTCTTGATCTATTGATCATCTCCAAGGTTCATGTCGGCAGCTTCACACCTACAGTCAACATGCAGGCGGCCACTCAACTGGCTTGCAATATGGCTTCTGCCTTCTTCGGTCTTGCGTACTTCTGCTTGATCACTTTCAGGATGGATCAGCAGCGACTTGCGACACGTCAGCATGAGCCAGTGCGACCTAGTATCGCATGCTTGAAGACACTGGCAAGACCTGGTGTTTTGACATTTACCGAGTCTGCCATTCGGAACGCTCTGTATCTCTGGCTGGTCAATGGTATCGTAGCAATGGGTAATGACTACGCGACCGCGTGGGGCGTGTTTTCCTCCATGCGTTGGGGTCTAATAATGGTTCCAGTATGTCAGATACCCAAAGCTGTGGTCTTTCCTGTCATCTGATCCCGTGTAACCATACTAATCATACCTTGACTCTAGGTTCAAGCGCTCGAAGCAACAACATTGACATTCATCGGCCATGCCTGGGGAGAATGGAGAAGAGAGACCGATGGCGAGAGAAAACCCAGAGCCTCACGACGCCAACTATATCACATAACGCGTCCAGCTCTATGGTCTTGTCTCATCGCACTAGCCGTCGAGATACCCCTTTGCATCTTCATGTTCGAGTACGGAGCTCGACGCTTCGCCTTCTACCTCTCCGAATCCCAAACCGTCTCCCTGATCACTGCAAGAATGTGGCGGACCATCGATTGGTGCTACATCTTCTATGCTTTATCCACACAACTGGCGGCAATTCTACTCGCGACTCGTCCTCGATGGTATCTTTATCAGAGTCTGATTTCGAACTTGCTGTGGGTTTTGCCGTGGGCGATTGTGGTGAGTAAGGCACATATTACACCGAATGATGCTTGGACATACCATTCGATTGTGTTTGGTGGATCGCTTGTTTTTAGCTTCTTTGATATCTTGATTGTGGACTTCGTATGGGTGTGGGCGTTGTTGAGAGGGAGGATGAGGTTGCCGAAGATTTACTGAAGTGGCTGAATCCTCCCCGTTGGCATGCAAGGCCACTACGATTTGACGATGAAACCTTCTCTCAGAGTCATGATATTGGAAGTTGGAAAATCGCACGGCCTGTTTTTGTCAAGTGATGTTTAGGGCTTATGATCATTCTGTTCTTAGTGGAGGACTTTTCCTTTGAAGACTAGTCAGCAGTCACAAACCAGTGAACAATCGTCCCACTACTTTCTACCAGCAGCCAAAACAGCGGTACCAGCAAGCACATAACCGCCCTCCTCATTCCTCTCGCAGACTTCCCTGATCATCTCTTCAAACGCCTTTTCCACTTCCCTAATCTCTTCCTCGCTCAGCACGTCCGTAATCCATGTGACAGCTGGGTTCCCACTTCCCAAAAAGAACTTCGCAAATCCCTCCGGATCTTGCGCCACGATAGGGGCTTCCACATACTCAGTCTGCACATCTCTAAACCCTGCATTGTCCAACAACGTCGCGATTCCCTCTGCGTTGGTCCACTGAGGAGCTATAACAGGCATCTCATGCACTGGTTTTCCGAAACCAGGGAAGCTACGTTGAGCGGCGAGATCAAGCAACTCCATCCATTGACACCTCGCCCATGACGAACAAGCGCATATGCCTTGAGGTTGGAGCACCCTCAATGCTTCTGTCAAAGCCTTCTCTGGCGACTCAGTCATGAAGAAGACAAAGTTGGCTATGATGTGAGAGACCGAAGCATCCGGCAAAGGACTCAGATCCGTTGCATCCATCACCAACGGCTGCACCTTTTCCCAGATCTCCCTTTCCTTGCTTTCCTCTGACAATTCCTCGAGTTTTGCACGGCGAGTGCGAGCGACGATATCGACCATCCCTTCACTGAAATCGGTAGACAGGATTTGACTCCCAGGTGGCAGCGTATCGTGGAAAGTAGAGATGATAGCTGCAGTGCCGTTGCCTGGTCCACAACCAACATCAAGGATTGTTGTCGCTGAGGAGAAGGGCAGGTGGGTGTCGAGGAGTGAGATGAGGTGAAAGATTGGGATTGACATAGGTGCTTTGGAGATGTTTGCAGCATAGTTGGAAGAAGTTTTGTTCCAGTCTGCTGCGCTGACTTTGAAATTATGGTGGGTGGTAGATGACATGTTGTGTGTAGATTATCGGAGAGACTGAGTCTGTGAAGTGAAGAAAAAGATGATGTGGAAGATAGTGATGAAACAACATGGAAGACCTACAGATACTTATAGTTGTGGGATGTGTGAGCCATCAAGGTCTATTCCAATGTAGTCCGATTGGTGGTGACTTGTCAAGGAGTTTTCGGAGACTTTTGTTTGGGTGCAGATGTGTGAAGGATTGAAGCAAACCGGTGAGAAGGAAGCACGTTGTTGCACAACTGCGTACAGACACACCTGGAATCCTGCGCGGTACCATACCCACTAATGTTCTCGTCTCATCGCTATCGGAGTGTTGTTTTGCACTGGTAGAGTAGAAGAAAGTAGGTAGCTCGTTGAATATGTCCCGAAGTTTCGCCATCAAGTGCCTATCGTTTGACCGCTTGGGCTGTCATTCTTCCGACCAAACCCAGACAGAGCGCCGAGTGCGTCTTTCGCTTTCTTTGCCATATCTGAATCTCGCTTGCAAAGTATAGGGCTGTTCCCTGGTCTTCTCGTCGCTCGGCTCTGCTGTTGCGTTTCAGAACACAGATCTTGGTCTTGGCAGGCTTACCTCAACCACAACCTCATGTCTGTTCTTTGCGGGTTTCCACCTACTCACAGATCGTCTTGGGCCGGTGACTTCTTGAGAACTCATGCTCACAATTCTGGCAGTAGTATATTGATGTACACGAGATTGGCATACGACAATTGATTCCAATTCTTTTCTCCATCGTGTAGGTGCAATCAACCTGAGACGAAACCACTGCGGGGCACATCAAGAGTTTCTTTCGACATCGCTAACCGACTGCTCCCAAACCCTTTCATCTCACACTGCAAGGTATACTCAAACTGTCAAATAAAATGCTTTGACCAAAGCCACAGTCTAGCCGGCGAATAGATTGAACTATAAGCAATGTAAGAATGTCTCGCCAAAGGATATAAGCCTCGTTCGCTGCTCATTGCGAGTTTCCGTCCTCTCTTTCCTTTCAAGTTTTGCTCATCGTACCTTCCTTTCATTCTTTTTGCACCTTCCATTCTTACGAGTTGACCTCGTACTGTCATTCGTTTGTTGGACATCAAAGCAGAAGAAAAAATGTACTTCAACTCCATCGCCCTCACCACCACCGCCCTGCTGGCAGGCTCCAGCATGGCCTCTCTCCTCTGGGATGGTCGCTTCACCAGCACTTCCGCCGCAGACATCAGCAAATGGTCTTGGGAAAACCAAGTCGGCGCCTACCAATACTACATCCACGGCTCCGGTGCCGCTACCGACTACATCAACATCAGCCCCGACTATGCCAACCCCGCCGACTCCTCGTCTTCCGAGGGCGCACGTATCACCGTCGACGGCACTTCATCCTGGAACGGCCAAACCATGATGCGCACAGAACTGATCCCAAGCACCAAAGCCGCCATCAACAAGGGCAAAACATACTACCACTTCAGCCTCAAACGCAGCACCGAAAACGCCCCAGACACCACCGCCGAGCACCAAATCGCCTTTTTCGAGTCTCACTTTACAGAGCTCAAATACGGTGTTGATGGCAGCAATGGAAAGCTGCAATGGATGACTGACGGCAAGTCTGCCTTTGACATGGATTTCGTGGCTGATCAATGGCATAATGTGGCCTATGGCATTGACTTTGACGCCGGCACTGTAGAGTTCTTCCACTCTACTGGTGGTGATGCGTTGGTCTCTAAGGCTGGACCCATCAAGGCTTCGGTCAGCAGCAATGGAGCTGATTGGCATGTGGGTGTGCTCAAGTTTTCAAAGACAAAGGAGGATTGGTTCTTCAGTGGTGTGTACATTGAAGATGGCGAGCTTACTACTGCTGTGGGGGGTGGTGCTGCAGCTCCGGCGAAGTCTTCGGCTGCCGTGAGCAAGGCTCCTGTTACCACTTCTTCCTCTTCCTCGGTTGCTGCCGTCAAGACCACTTCCTCCAAGGTCGTGTCTTCCATTGCGACTACAGTAAAGAGCTCTGCTAGCGCTGTTCCTACTACGCTGCAGACTAGCGTCAAGGTTGTTCCTACTTCGACTGCTGCTGCCCAGCCTGCTCCCACTGCGACTTACGGTGGTAGCTGCGCTGTCGAGTACGTCTACGTCTAGAGAGCAAGATGAGAAAAACCTGCCGACGCTGATGCGATGGAGTCTTTGACTTTTGTGTCATCTTCTTCTTCTTCTATATATCGCTTGTTTCTTCCATCAGACGTACTTTTGTAAAAGTCAGCTTCATCTACCTCTGTTGCATGTCTGTACCTTGTCCTTGTTCATTCGTACCTTGCTGATGATCTTCCTATCGAGGTGTTGTTTATGCCTTTCGACTGTGTTTCTTCGAGCTGGAACCTCTGGGCTTGTGAGAGAAAACTTGCTACGAGGAACAGCTAAGAGTAGAATTTCGAGAAGAAACACAAAATGTCTCTTGGCAAATCTAGCATAGTCTCCCTATGCCCTCCTGATTTAGCAACGACGACTTTGCGATGAGTGTGGAACTGCACGATGACAGTACTCGGTCATTTGTTCAATTCTATTATTCCACTTTCTGTGATTGTTATCAAGAGAAAGAATACGAGCCGCCAATGCTAAAACAATCTATCCACACCAAAAGCATATCATGGACACCTGTGCCATATCACCCTTAGAGTCCATTCCACCACTGAGTCTTCTTGATCTCAAAAGTCTCTTCCGCAGCACAGTCACCAACAGCACTGCTATCCGCAACAATAACCTTGTATTTGCCCTTTTCAGAAACCCAAGCATTTCTACGCTCATCCCAGAAGCTAGTGGCATATTTGACCGCCACCTTAAGCTCGACAGTCTTTTTCTCTCCGGCCTCGAGGAATGCTTTGGTGAAAGCTTTGAGTTCCTTTGTTGGGCGACGGATAGAGGGAGTTACTGGTGAGATGTAGAGTTGTGCTACCTGTGCTCCTGCAACTTTGCCAGTGTTCTTGACTGTAACTTTCGCGATCAGGTCGCCGTCGTTGTTCGAAGGGACATCCAGCTTCAAGTCCGAGAACCCAAAACTCGTGTAGGATAAGCCATGGCCGAAGGGGAATGCTACAGGGCGACCCAAAGTATCGTAATAGCGGTAGCCAACATATACATCCTCGCCATACAGCACTCTACCAGCCTCTGAGCGGTAGTTGAGAAAAGCAGGGTTGTCTTCGTTCTTGATGGGGAAAGACAGGGATGTTTTGCCGCAGGGGTTGACATCGCCGAATACGACGTCGGCGATACCGTTGCCGGTCTCGTTGCCGCCGTACCATGCTTGGAGTACTGCGGGTACTTTGCTCAACCAGGGCATTTCTACTGGTGTACCGCTTTGGAGCACCACTGCTGTGCGAGGGTTGGCTTCTGCGACGGCGGAGATGAGGCGGTCCAGATGGCCTGGTAGCTTCATGTCTGGTCTATCGAAGCCTTCGCTCTCCCAGTCCATATTCAGTCCTGCGCAGACCAGGACTTGGTCGGCGGACTTGGCGAGTTCGGCTGCACGGCGGACTTCCTCATCGGCGTCAATCTTCCAGGCTCCTCCGATGCGGACGGCACCGCCGCCAAAATCTACGCTGCCGCCGGTCAATTTGCTCGTTGGCGCACTGGCAAATTCGAGGCGGACTTTGTAGGTTTGGTCTTTCTTCATGGGAACTGAGCAGATATCTTCGTCGGTGCCCAAGCCGAAGAATGCAGAGCCCTGGCGTTGGTTTTCTGTAATGTCGAGCACGAGCTCATCATTGACAAAGACCTTGGCTGATCCATACACACAGACACCGATCTCATATTCACCGTCGCGGTCAGCTGTGTAGTATGCCTCGATATCAGCATACCAGAGTCCAGACTTGAGCTTCGGGTTCTTGTAGTCCATGAACATCATAGAAGTGTTGGTGAAAGGTCCAAGCACATCGACGCATCTGCGGTCCTTGTCCTCGGGAGACTCGTTGTATGCTTTGAAGAGAACACCAGCCTCGCCATCTTCGCCTGCGGTAGTCCTCCAATCAATTCCCAGGCTGGGCATTTCTTTGTGAGAGTATGCACCGATGCTGAAGTCGATATTCTCCTCACCGACTTTGTCGACAATTCCCTCGTAAGGAGTAACGGCGTAGTATGGACGGAGAGAAGCCGAACCACCACCACAGTAAGTCGCAGTCTTTGCGTTAGGTCCGATAACGAGAATCTTCATGTCTTTCTTGAGCGGTAAGATATCGCCTTCATTCTTCAGTAGCACAATCGACTCGGCGGCAAGTCTTCGCAGCAGCTTTGACGTCTCGGGGGTGTCGTTGGTGGTCTCCTCGGCGTTTTCCTTGACACCTGATGCAGCACACTCGTTGACCAGCTCCAGAACCTGTCTTGCTCTATCATCAATCACACCAGCGGGAATCTTCTTTGCGCCCGCGGCATGGAACAAAGCATCTCCCCTGAATCGAGTCGGACCAGGCATCTCCAGATCCAGACCCGCAATGACCGATTTGGAAACCGAATAGACACCAAACCAATCACTCATCACCAAGCCCTTCCATCCCCACTCTCCCCTCAAGATATCCTTCAAGATCCTTGTGTTTTCGCTGACATGCGTACCATTGACTTTGTTGTAAGCAGTCATGAAAGACTTGGGGTAAGCATCGCGAACCGCCAATTGGAAGGGCATAAGATAAATCTCCCTCAAGGCACGTTCGGTGACGATGGAATCCACGCTGTTGCGTTCGTGCTCTTGATCATTGCCCACGAAATGCTTGATGGTGGCCACGACGCCATTCTCCTGCATTCCCTTGACCAAAGCTGCAGAGCCCAACCCAGCTAAGAATGGGTCCTCACCAATGGATTCGAAACCGCGGCCACCGAGAGGAGAACGCTGCATGTTGATCGTGGGACCGAGGATTACGTGTGCGCCTTTGGAGATGGCTTCCTTGCCCATGAGACGGCCGGCTTCCTCGAGAAGTTCGGTGTCGAAGGTTGCGCCTAGAGCTGTACCGCAAGGAAAGCAGGCTGCTGGGGCGCCGTTGAAGAAGCGTGTGCCGCGAACACCATTGGGACCGTCAGAGAGTCGCAGAGAGGGAACGCCATGTTTGGGGATTGGTTGTGTATGCCAGAAATCGATGCCTGGACATCTGTGGTTAGCGACACGAAGATGATCGTCCAAGCTAATGCCGACGGCGAGGAGGACTACCTACCAGCGAGCAACGATATCTTCTCTCTTTCCGTTAGCTTGGAAAGCACATCCTCTACATCTATGGAAGCCATGACATGTAGTGTCAAGACAGCAAGCGGGTATCGATAACAAAGCAAAAGCGAACAGATGTAGGAAAGTCAGTCCACGAGAGGGTAGGCACGACCTTCTTATACGTCGATCGACGAATCCTACTTCTTCGATTATCGAACTCTGCCAACCCTAGCACGTGTCATTGTATCAGTTTCCATCAGCCTACAGATTAGCGGTGGCAGACGGTTCAGCTCCACACCAATCCGCGGCAAACGCACAGATTGAGCCAGCATACTCATGCCTCAGCACGCGATTGAGAAGGCAACCCAAGACCTCTGCACGGCCTGGCGCGGTTGTCAGGCGGCAATGCGGTCCTGCGTTCCGCCCGACGTTTTGCCATTTGCTTCGGCTTTCTTCCCGGCTAAAGTCAAATCGAACCCCTCTTCCTGCCACCATTTCCCTTGCCGGAAAGGAGATGGATGCTCCGAATGCGAGATACGGTTCGACACAAGCGAGGCGAGAGCAGATAGATTATCGATGGTTTCGTCTCTGTTGTTCGATAGAGGACAAGGTCTCATTGTATCCACCGAAGTGCATCCATGTATCCGCCCCACAGCTTGATGACTGATCACATTGGAGCATCGTTACTGATACTCATACTGGACGCTGGAGCATCGTTACTCATACCCATGTTTACAGAGCAAAACACTCTCTCTCATCAAACCCCAGAGCGTCCTATACAGCATCCTTCCTCTTCACCCAATCCACCTCACACAACAGTCAACGTAGCATTACTCCTCAAATCCGCCGAACTAGCACCCACAAACACCGTAAAGTTGCCCTTCTCCACCACATACACCATACTCTTATTCCACAGCCCGATATCCTTGACCTCCAACGGAATACTCACATTTACCGTTCCTCCCGCCTTGATAAACACCTTTTCAAAGCCTTTGAGTTGGATGTTCGGGACAGCGACGCTAGCAACTTGATCCTTGACGTAGAGTTGCACCACTTCAGCGCCATCATAAGTGCCATTGTTGGTGATGGAGATGGAAGCGATGATGGAGTCGGTAGCAGAGACTTTCGAGGAAGACAACGTGACATTGCCATACTCGAACGTGGTGTACGAAAGCCCGTACCCGAAGGGAAACCACGGTACAGGCGTATCCAGAATGTAGCTGCTTCCGAAGTACAGGTTTCCATCCGCGCCCACAAAGCCGGGATAAGTAGGTCGTCCGCTGTTCAAAAAGTCGTAGTAGGCAGGCAGAGTACCCACATCGTGAGGGAAACTGACGGAGAGTTTGCCAGAGGGGTTTACAGAGCCAAAGAGTATGTCAGCAAGAGCATTGCCACCTTCTTCGCTGGGGTAGAATTGTTGAACCAAACTGGCAGTGGTGTTGGAGATCCAGGACTCGGTGAGAGGTTTGCCGGAGGAGAAGACGACGACGGTGGGTTTACCCGTGTCGATGATGGCTTTGACTAAAGCTCTTTGTGCGCCGACGAGGCCGAGATCGCTAGTTGGTGTCAGCATAGTACTCAGCGAGTAGATATCAGCAACATACCTCTCATCAATGTGCTCGCCAGTGGTTGCATTCAACCCCTGCCACAGCTCTTGTTGGTCGCGAGACCAAGTACCCACGATGACAACAGCGACATCTGCATCTTTGGCGACCTCAACAGCCTCAGGAATACCAGACTCGTCAGTCGACCATCTCTCGCAACCTTTTGCATACGAGATCGTCGAGTTGGCTGAAGCACCAACCGCATTTCTAATGCCTTCCAAATACTGCACACCCCTATACTGAGACTTGTACACGACATAATCGCCATAATTCATGAACCCAGAAGCCATGGGTCCAATAACAGCAATCTTGTCAGTCTTGCTGAGTGGAAGCGTCTTGTTCGGGTTCTGGAGCAGCACGATTGACTCGGCATCCAAATCACGGGCAAGCTTTTTGGCAGCAGGGGTGTTGATGATGTTAGTCCATTGATCCTTGGGGGCAGCAGGATTGGGGTTTTCGAAGAGGCCCATTTGGAATTTGACTCGCAGGACTCTAGCGACGGCTTCGTTGACGACACTGATGTCAATGGTGTTATTGGAAACCAGGGCAGGGATGGAGCGGAAATTGAAAGAGCCGCCTCCCATCTAGACAACATCGTTAGTACAAGTGTATTAACAACAGAGGGCAAGTTACTTACCTCGACATCGTTTCCGGCAGTCAGACATTGCTCAGTAACACATCCGAAGTCATTGACACCACAAGTCAAAAAGTTCTTGAACAAGCGATCAGTAGCGCCAGCATCGCTCGAAACAAAGTACTTGTATCCTGCTCTCATCATCAGCAAACTCTCCATCTCAGACCTCAAGAAAGACACAATACATACCCCACTCATTCCTCAAGATCTCCGTCAACATATGATAATCAGCCACAGCCGGAATACCGTCATAAGCATGATAAGCAGACATGATCGCATACGCCCCACCGTCAATGATAGCACGATGGAAAGGAGGCAGCCAAGTGGTCCTCAACTCCCTCTCGCCACCATGAACAGGGGCAGTATTCAAACCACCTTCGGGATCAGAGTATGCAGCAAAATGCTTGACCATAGCCGAGACATTCTGGCCTTGACATCCAATGATGTAGTTGTATGCCATTTCGCCAGCGAGAAAGCCATCTTCACCATATGTTTCTTCGACACGACCATAGCGAAGCTCGCGGGCCAAATCAGCCAGAGGAGCAAAAAGTTGGGAAACTCCCAACGCAGCGGCTTCGATGGCAATCTGCTCGCCCATCTGGCGTTGCAATTCGCGGTTGAACGAGCAGGCTTGCGCAATCGGCGAGTTGAAAATCGTAGCATTGCCGATGAGGAAACCGTGGATACCTTCCGTCTGGACGATAGCCGGAATGCCCAAACGAGTGCTGTTGACAGCATAGTCCTGACCTTTCTTGATGCCTTCGGCGAGCCAGTCCCAAGAGATTGGGTAGCCGACGTAGAACATACCGCTGCGGTTTGCAAAGTTGAATTCTAGGCCTGTTTGATTGTACTCTCCTGATGTCGTGTTGAGCCAGTTTGAGATGTCGCCTGTGGGGAGATGAGGTTAGTGGATGATTGTAGCAGAGAAGTTGAGGATGGTATACCCTGCATCAATTGTGCCATCTTTTCTTCCAATGTCATCAAAGAGACGAGGTTCTCGACTCTAGCATCAACAGATTGTGAAGCATCTTTGTAGATGGTATTGGCCAACGATGCATTCGACTGTGCATGAGCAAGACCAAGACCAGCCAATGCCAGGCCAGTAGTAAAAAGGCGAACCATGATTGCGACGACACTCTGTCAAACAAAAAGACACAACACAAAGCAGAAAGAGGCAGACAGCATGCTTTTACTTCACCTACATCACCACCCAACCTCGCAGGATCGTTGGAAAAGTGATCGCTTAGTTGCATACCAGAGACCAAAGTCCGAAGGTCATCATGCATTGCTGATCACACATACAGGCTAATATTGCAAGCAAGGAAATATGCTTCCAGAGCAACAAACTTTTGCTGGTCGACGGAAGAATTATTTCTGAAGATCACGTTCTCGAGAGTAAGAGGTGAAGATCCCCGCATTCAATCACTCCATGCTGCCCCCGCCTTCTTGCTGCGATGCAGATGGGCCACATGAGTTAGCCCTAGCACATAGATCGTTGTCTGTGTTGGCAATGCAATGGCTGAAGTGGTCTCTTCGCTGGCAGTTCCGTCAATACGAGATGTTACTTGGAAGTCCGGTGGGAGAGAAAACGATCATCCAATTTGACCTCGGCATGCATTGTTCCGAAACTCTTCCTCCTTGAAAATCGATCACTGAAATTGCGGGGATATCATGTGCAACAGGTGTTGTGCATTAGCTGGCATTCCGCTGTAGAAAGAAAGTTGATGGTACACGGACAAAATCAGCGCTGTAGAAAGGCTCGCGGTCTAATGCATAGAAAGTCGTAAAGAATAAAGAGAATAAGAAATCAAGGAAGTCGAGATGGCTTAACCAAATCTACTCCTCACTCTTCGCATACCAACACCACCTACTTCGCTTCCAGCACCAGCACCAGCCTCACTGCCAGCATAACTCGTCGTCCTGCTCATTGGAATAGCATTTCCAATAACACTAGCTGGAGCAATAGCCGCAAGGGCAGAGTTGATCCCATTGACTACAGGTGCCGACGGAGCAGCAGCAGCAGCCGTACTCACACCAGCACCATTTCTAAGGGCAAAGCGCAAGGAATCAGGGTCTGCAAAGCCATATGGAGGGATTCTGTTGACACCACCACTGATGGCTGCTGGGCCGGTCTCGAGAACAGGAAGACGGAAGGGCGCAACGCCTTGAGTGGTTTGGCAGGCTTGTTCGAGCAGGCGCTCGCGTATCTGTTGGAGATTGCTGAGGTTCTCGTCTTGTTCGGGGTTCGATGTTGGAGCGTCATCCTCTCTAAGCATGAGTGCAATATCGCTGTCGACTTCGCCGGCGCTGACGCCAGGTGGAGTTGGAGCACCCTTGTCTGTCTTTGTGATGGGGATCAAGACGGGCACGAAAGGGTTCGTAGAGGTCGAAGTAAGAGCAGCGGCTTCTGACAGTGCGGCCAGCGGATTGGCTCTCGTAGCACCACGGGTGGCATGATGCGAGATGTTGCGCTCCATCTCTGGCGCTTGTGTGGGAGGTGGCGAGGCATTGGCTTGGCTTGCGACAATGTCGTCAATCTCGGTGGTAATGGCAGGAGGGCCAACAACGGCATCGGCAGCACCGTCGACAGATGCGAGCGAGGGAGGGTTATCGGGATTCTGCTGGCTGGTCTGGGGCTGGTGGAAAAAGTGGTGGGTCGCGAGTTGAGCGACAACGGTGGCATGGCTCAGCTCTTTGTCGGTAAACAGGCGGTCGATGGAGAAGGCTGGGGCTTCGTATTGTGTGTAGAGCGTCTTCGTGCGAGCTTCTTGGAATGGCGAGGCAGCACCGTTGCTGTCGTTTTGCAGAGGACGGAAGGACGGGGCAGCCGAGTCTGTGGCTTCTTCATCGGCCGGAGCCTTGCGTTTTCTCTGGCCCTCGACATCGGCCTCGCCGACACGGTGCCGCGTGTGACGAGTTTTGCGGTTGCTCTGAAGGCCGCCTGGACTTTGGGGAATGTTGACGGTGAATTGGCTGGGGTGGAAGAAAAGGGCAGAGTTGTCGGCAATGTCAAGCTGCTCTTTTTCACGCAAGAGCTTGTCGCGCTTCTTCGTGACACTGTTGATCAGGCGACTGCGAACTGTGCTCGCCAGCTCGAGGTGCTCTCGTTGCGCAACCTGGACCTTGTAACTCGAGCTTCGTTCTAGTTCGGCGGCTGCGGCTTCGTAGCGATTCTGCTCGTGTTAGTCTTTGACAGCGTCATGATCGCGACGAAGAGAGCCTTACTTGCAAAGCCGTCAGGTCAGCATCGCGCTGCTCCAGTGCGTGGTTGATCTGCTGGACGTATTCGTGGTATCTCTTGCCGGCCAGAGCAAGGTAGTCCTTGACAGAAGCGTCTGTATTTGGCAAGCTGCCGCCAGTCACGTTTTCGATTTCTTGCTCGACGTGTTCAGCCGAGTCGTCGAGTGGACTGTTCTCATAAGGATTTGCTCGCAGAATCATGGTCATGTCGACCTGAATAGCCTGCAGTTGAGCGCGGTAGTGCTGGTGTTGGTCTTGGGTAAAGGTCTGGATCATGTCCGAGAGCTTGTCGGTGATGTTGTTGCGTCGCTTGTCTCTCTTAGACAAGGGCTGGGGTTGCGGCGGCGGCGATGCCGAGACTCGCCGCTCATGCGCCATTGGTGATGTGTGTGCCATGGTTGATGCGTGGGTGGTGTGTACTTGACAAGGATGCAACACTCGTCTCTCGTCATGAGAAAGCCATTCTGAAAGCGCAATCGTCCATGTCCAAAATCTGGGGACTGCTTAGCACGGACTCTTGTCGGCACACTCTCGGCCCGACTGCCGACATCCTCCTCCCTGCCCTTCCTGCTCTCTTTAGAACCACCATCATACAGACCTTGTCTGTTAAACAACATTGTTGATACATTCACAAAACATGACGAAGAAGGAACCAATTTTTACATAACTCATGACATGGAGTTTTTTGTCTATCTATGTGTTTTTGTCATTATACAATTTTCTTCATAATCCTGCTCCTTCCTTCTTCTCTCCTGAATGCTTTTGTCTTTCGTTCCTTGAAAACCCTGATTAGAAAACTCCTCCGCTAATGTATGCTGAAAAAAAAGGCATCCTGCTGTTGGTATTGTTGATGGCCGTCAATGTAAGATGATGCTTCGGCTAATTCTCTCGAAACAAAAATACAAGAAAGAAAAGAACGCACTCCTCGTGCCAAAAAGACAAAAAAAAACTTCGTGGCGTAACAACTCTCGTCGTGCTGATTCAGCAGAAACCAAAAGACAACAAGAAGCTATATCCAAGCTTGATCAATCATCCTGGGTGAATCCAGACGAGAACTTGATCAAAGAGTTAAACTTTTCGTATCCCGAGATACGCTCAGTGCCTTCCAAAACGCCTTCGCCGCCAGCGGCGAGCAGCATCTGTTTAGGGACAAGCTTGTACTTTCCATCTCGCTGGTCGCGGATGAATTGAGTCTTTTCAGGCTCGGTCAAAGCCTGCTCAAGCTTGCCTGTGAAGTCGGTGCCGAACGTGGTCTTCTTGACGTTGGGATCCTGGTACTCGGCCAAAACGGTTGTGCGGTGCTCACGGTGTTCCAAGATGTCAACATCGATCGTGTCAAGTGACACGAAGCGGTAAACGTGCACCTCATACTTCTGACCTGGACGACGGACGCGACCAATGGCCTGTGCCATCTGTGCATCGTAATCGTATTGTGAGCGTTTCAACAGAGGACTGAAGAAGATAACATGATTGGCGTTCGTGAGGTTGGCGCCTGCGGCAGACTCGTCGTCCGAGTTCAAGATCAGAACCGTCGTCTTCTTGTCGTTTGTAAATGGCGCAAAAGACACTTTTGTGGCCTTGTCTCCATTGGAAACTGAGAGCTGGTGGTACTTGATAGCAGCGTTATCGAGAATGTTCATCATCTCAGTGATCCGGTCCCCGCCCTGCACAAACACGATTGCTTGCTGGTTCTTAGCTTCGATTGTCTCGAGCAGCTTTATCAGCTCATCTGCCTTTCTGCCAAATCTGCTGGCAGTCGACGGTCCAATCTTGTCCAGATCTAGCAGGTGATAGGATTTGACGTCCTTCTTACAACCAGTGACTGGACAGATTCCAAGCAGGTTCTTGCTAGCTTGGATGCAACCATCACACATTGCGTGGCCGCAGTCGGCCGAGAGATGGAGTTTTGATGACTGGCTAATGTTGTTCTCGCAGTACTCGCCGTCACAAGTCAGGCTGTCAGAAGGGTTTTGGTGGCGCCTACCATATTTCAGGGCGTTTGTGACGAAACGAAGCGTTCTCGTTGAGGAGGCGTAGGCTTTAGCATTGCCAACGACCTCGCTGGTCTTTTGCTTGGCAATTTCCTCTGGTTTACCTTTGTATTCAGGTCTGGTCCTCTCAACAGTGGCAAGCATGGAGGGCTCTCGTCCTGCCATTTCCCCTATCTCGTTTGCCACACCTCTATCTCTGAGGGCATTGGTCGCGACAACATCTTCAACCCAAGTGGAGAATGCATTGATGCTTCTGGGTATTTCTACCAGGCAGACCCTGATACTGTCTTCGAGCACTTGTTGGGCTGTCCTGTGGTCGGCCTCAGACTGCTCTACAAGGGCTTCGAGTCCCAGCTTGACGCCTTGCTGTCGGCTTCCGGTTGACAGACGCTTCAGAGGGTTGAAGACTGCGGCCACGCGTAACAAAGCCTCCTCTGCTGATGTGACGTTGGGCATGACGCTAAGCTCGCCTGATTTCTTCGCACCTCTGCGGATTCTCATATCCTGAGAGTTCAACTTCTGAGAGAGGTCGGTGTAGACCAGGCGGTTGTCCGCGTTCAGTGTGATGGGGACGATGACATCCTGGTAAGGATATTGATCGGATTTCATAACGTTCTGGCGAAGAAATGTGTCAAGGAACAGCTGGGAAAGAGTATGAATCCTCTTTTGCGTCGTGCGTGAAGGCAACTCTCTGAAGGTTTCAAACACTTCCAAGTTGGTCATGTCCTTACGTAAAGCTTGCAGGTTCGCAATTGAGAGGAGCCCTGGACCACTTGCTCCGACCGGCAAGTTGATACCCAGGAAACGTGCCATTCTCGAGACGTCGTATGTGTCCTTCAGTTTGGGAGTGGCGGAGAGTGCCCAGCGCTTGTGTGCCTTGATGTTGCAGTACATCACGAGTTCGCGAGGCTCGGTGTACGAGAACTCATCGACCACCAAGCGGTTGAATCTGAACATCTCAAGAAGCGTCAATTCATCGATATTGTCGTAGTCCTGGCGTACGCTAAGGTCGTCCACCTCAGAGATTTCGATGGCATTCTTGTTACTGGTGTAATCTCTTCCCTTACGTCGCTTTGACTGTTCGGCGTACTCGCGGTACTTGGGATCTCTCAAGGTTTTCTTGTACGTCTTCCGGAGGTGCGTCTTCAAACTGCCAACGCCTTTCTGTTCAGCGATGCGAAGATGCTGTGGGACTCGGGAAGCAGCATCACGTAGATATGACTCCAAGGCTCGATTGCTTCTGCCGGTGTACTCAGGCATTGCGGCGTAGAGCGCTAGTAGCTCGAAGTATTTCGTGTGTTCAGATGCAAGCACATTCTTGTTCAGAATGACGATCTTGGCTCGCCTGAGGACTTCAGTCCCACAGTTCTTCTTCAGCTGGTCATTCCTCTCGATGACCACGAGCTCTTCATCGTCGTATCCGAGAAGTCTTCGAACCTCCGTTCTCCATTGGTCGACGAGGTTGGTAGGGCAGATAACCAGTGTGGCAGCAATGTCAATACGTCCTTCATCAACACAGGAGTCTTGCATCTTCTGTAGGATCCCACCGTCGCCATGTTCCTGGAACTCTGACTGGATCAGTGCGAGTGAGGTGACAGTCTTGCCGAAACCGGCGTGATCGGCAAGAATGCCACCCTTGACATGGACCTCAGCAGAAGCCTCTGACTCGAGTCGCCAACCGAGGTGAGGAAGCAGAGCCTCCTCAACTTCCTTGACCGTGAAAAAAGTACCGACTCCTTCTTCCTGTTGCTTCATCCAAGTGAGGGATTTCTTTTGGATGTCGAAGAGGTCAATATCATCAGCCCAGCTGATACGACGGCTGAATTCAGCGTTGGCACTATTGTTGCGAAGTGTAAAAGTTGGAAATTTGGTGGAAGACTCTTCCACCCAGGATGTATCCAGCCTCCAAGACACAGAATCCACCGAGCCGGTCAACAACTTCAGCTTTCCAGCGGCCCTGTGACAAAGAGTAGTTGTGTTTAAGCCAATGTCTAGCGCAACTGAGTTTCCCTCCAGCTTGCACTCGATGACAACTGGCTCGGGGCGAGACTTGATGGCGTGCTCATACTTTCTAGCAGTCTCAGGATCTTCGTATGGAGCAAATTCTCGACTGTTCGCCTTTGTGAGAATACGCCAGCGAATCTCAGGAAGCAGAGGGGAACATTCTTTACAATCGTGATAGGCAAGCGGAATCCGAGCACTTTGCTCTGCTAACACCTGACGGAGCGGTTCCATAGCCCATCCGAAGGCCTCAAAGAAAGCCTTGTCTTCGCACTTGATCCGATGCTGGCCTTGATAACGTTGATGGGCGATTGAGGAGGGCAGGACGAATTTAAGCGAAACCAGTGCTTTCGTGACATCGCAATTAGTATTAGTAAGAGCCAATGTGTCGGAGCGAATCTCAGATCTCATGTCCATAGCTTCGAGGAAGCAGGAGTCTTCATCGATCCAACGGCCGTTGAGTGATACTGTGAGGTCCGAGGGATCCCCAGTCAATAGCTCGGGGCGCCATTTGGCATCAACCCTGGCAGTGATCTCTCTGACTTGGTCGTACTGCAATCTCGAATGGTCACGAGCGAAGACAAAGCAGTCCTCGCGAGGATTGCCGATGCGTGCGGGGTCCAGGAGGAGGAACATACTGAGACCCGAGGCTGACTCGACACGCTTGTAAAGAGATTCACAGGCAGTACCACAGTCGGGCAGAAGCTTGTAGGTCCCTTCGATCTGCTCGTAAGTGCCTTCGATGTGCTTTGGAAGGTTGGTGTTGCCGTGCTTCTCGATGCGCAATTCGGACCACACTCGTTCTTCCGCATAGTTTTGCAGAGCGAGACGCGCAGTCCACGAGGGTACTTGCTGGCCACAACCTCGAACCAGAAGCTCAAACGACGAATCTTGTTGGGGAATCCGCCATTGCCATTTTTCCCCAAAGAAAGCATTCTCCTCAACTCGAGATGTTGCAATAGGTTCTTCGAAGAACTTTCGGACTTCATCCTCACCACTGAGTGCTTGGTCGGGCTTTGCGTACAGATTCCAACAAGAAACGTGGACACCCAGCACAAGTTCGAGACGAGCCAATGATGATTCGTACACGATAGCCCAGGAAACAGCTCTCCTGAACGTCTTGAAAGCGAAAGGATCGCGCAAGACGTTCCTGACCGCGTCAAGGAACTTTTGCTTGAGTTCTCTCTGCTTCAACTCCTTCTGCTCTTCCAACTCTCTTTGCTGCTTTTGCTGCTTGGTCTCCTTCGTCGGCCTGGGCGGCTTGGGTTCCTTTTGCTGCTTTGACACCTTCTGCTGCTTGACCCTCGATGCGACCTCGCCACTAGGCTTAGATACTTGGACAGGCTCAGGGATTTGGACAGGCTCGGGGACATGAGTGAACTCCTCGATGTGGGACATGAGGTTGTCCGAGGAGCTGAACTTCAGAACCATAGGGATGCGTGGTCTCCACTTCTGAATGAAGTTCTCTGGCTCATCGCGCTCAGGTACAGATGGTTCTCCGTATTCGTGAATAGGCTTGACACCGCAGGCAAGACAAGATGTGTGGCTACACTCGCCGCAGGTTTGGATGGCCTTCTCGGCCAAGCCAATTTGACCTTCGCAGACACACATGGCAGCCGATTTGCGGGCATCAGCTTGAAGTTCAACGACATTGGTGCGATCCACCATCGCCTGAGAGAAGGGCTGGAATGTGAGTTCTTTACGTGAGGTGATGGCGCTCTTGAAAACAGCTTCCTTGTGCTGGTCTTGATGAGTAAGGACTCGCGGCAACGCCTGGCATCCAGAGATCAGAGCAGATGCGATGGCTGAGCCCACGACTGTGGTGCTCATGGCGTTTCCAGCCAAATCCTGAATCTGCCGTTCAGTCTCTGTGGTGAACGAAATTCTGTCCAGGGGAAGGCCTTGCAACATCAAGCTCTCGGTGTATGTCAAGGGGCCACCTCTGTCAGTGATGTAGAAGATGCCAGTAGGGGTTAAGCAGCTTGCGACACCGAAGGGGGCACTATCAGTGAATCGATCAATGTTCTGCGAGACGTCCCAGATGCGAGTCTTGTATTGAGCGTCATATTTGTCCAGGATTAACTCAGGTTTGGCATTGGCTTTGCGGAGTAGGGCCACATCCATGAAATCCCATACTCGTTCGACCTGCTGCCTGAACCACACTCTGTTGCAATTCTCGGGCAAGACAAGGCTACCGCTCTCCTGCCAGTCTGTCAGAGGGCGCGCAATTCCAAGCTTCTGCTGTCTACGGGTGTTGATATGGCGGATTTCGCACTTGGCCCAATCAGCGTCCCTCAGGGAAGTGTCGAGCACAGACTGGCGAATCATAGACTGGCTGGCCCTGGTAACGAGCGGATCGTCGTTAGGTAGAATGAACGACGACAAGGGAGAGCTGACTTGACGTCTAAAATCTGCCATGCGGTTGTAGAAGTTTCGTTTGAAGATGGCAGAATCAATGCCATTGTCGTTCAACTTTGATCTGTCAACGCACACCATATAACCTCTCTGCCGAGTCTGAGGGAGGTAATAATTCTTGCTGTCCACAAGAACGCCGGCCGAGACATAATCAATACTCTCATACTCTGCCAGCATATCATCCCATGGAGCGTTAAAGACATTCTCCAGGACGATCATTGTCGGACGATACGTCTTGGCGTACGCGAGAACTGCGGCGAATGTGTCGCCAGATTTGCCCCGTTCTTCCAAGGTCTTCTGGTTGTTGTTCAACTTGGAGAAATCGACGCATGCGGTACCGGCAATCACCATGTCTACGTTGTCAGGAATGTCCACCCTGGCGCCGTATGCAGTAGTGGCCTTGCCATCCGTGCTGCTGGTAATCTCAGTAATGTCCCTGAAGATGATCGGGGGGCGGAAGTTGCGTTCAATGTAAGCCTGCTTGTATGGCACGATCTCGGCGCTGAAGACGTGCTCAAACTTCAACACCAGATTGCTCTCTTTGCTCCGAATGCAGTCCGAGATCATGTCCCAGGCGAGCAGAGGGCTCTCAGTGCCCGAGCACATGGTAGCAACTCTCAGAGGGCGCGGACCGACATGCTCGCAGACATCCCTGAGGCTGTAGCTGGGAGCATGCTCGCTCGCGTTGGATGGAAGCTGTTTGAGCCCCTTTGTAACTAGGTCGTCGAAGATGGATTGGGTGTCGAAGAGTGGAGGCAACGTCAGATCGACTTCCTTCTTGATACCATTGGTCAGGTTGACCATGTTGACCTTTGCCTTGGGTTTCTTCTCTTTGGGCGTGGCAGAATCATCGTCTTGTACAGCATCAGTGGCACGAGCGGACTCACGGACTGACTTTACAGCTGGCCGAGCGCGTCCATTGTTGGTCCTTCTGCGCTTGCGGGATGGTTGCATGTCTGAGTCGCTTGCATCATCATCAAGTTGCTCGGATGACGAAGAGTGGTTACACGGGATTTGTGATTCAGACGATGTTGTGGAGACTGTTGTCTGCCCATTGTCCGAGATTGCATATTCGTCATTGTTCGTGTCTGTGGTGTCCATGGCATCGTCATTGAAATCTTCTGGATCAACTTGGTCGTACTTGACAACTTTTCTAAGGTTGCGGGCAGATCGGCGTGTGCGAGCCATGTGCGCCTCGGGGGATTGGGGGGCGCTGACTTGAGCTGGTGGGAGAGTCTTCTTCTTGGGAAGACGAGCAGAGTATGCAACGTCAGGACTCTTTCTCTTGAGCGCCATAGTGGGCAAGTGCGTGGGCGAGCGTGCCTCTGCAGTTGGCGGGGGTGTTTTGTGCTTGACAAGCCGATGCAGGGGTTCGTGATGTTTGCGCGCAGGGACAATGACTGGACAATCAATGTCAATGGATGGCAGGAGAAGAGAAGGCGTAGCTCGGCTTACTCTCGATATGCGAAAGAATGCGGACCGTCGTGGTGGGAGGTGAATTTTGGATGCGTCTCTTGTTATTTTCGGATTTGGGCATGGAAGCATTGACTCCAGGGCGCTGGCGACGTCTCTCGCGGTCCTCAAGCCAGAACCGTATGTCCCCTACCCTCTTTCTGACTCCCCCGTGGGCAGCGTCTTTCCCACCAACAAATATGTGCTCCTCGGCCTCTGAGTCGCTTTGTGGCCTCTGCACATACAAGCTGTATCTTTCTCTGGCCATGGTGAACGTATGCACCCTGACCAGTACCGCTTTCAAGAGTTGATAGATGTATAGTTGTTCGACACAATTGTTAGTCTTTGCAGACTTGATCAAAGGTGGAAGACGCGACGACGCGACGACTTGGCAGGGACTGGCCATACTCTTTCCTTAAGGGGGCTGGCGTGCTCGGTGTTCGGGCCGATAGTCTCCGAGCGGGCCGAGGTTCTACTAGACCTCAGCCAGACCACAACCAGGGTCATTCCTTCCTCGAGATTATTCGAGATAGGAACGTCTTCCACGTCGTCATAATCATCCCAGAGACCTCGGGTTCTGCTGGAGACTGATTCCAGCAGTGTGCTCAAGTCTTGGGAGGTAAAAAACGCACCAGTCCTCGAGTCTGGTTGACGGTATACCATATATTCGTGTGTTTTCGCATTTTCTGGGTCAAAGCGTTGGACTTCCGCTTGTTCCTGATTGTCTTCGAAGAGAAGAAGAAGAGCGCTGGCTTATCGATGACCGAGAAAGAGTCCGGAACTTGGAGCAATGTAAGTATGAGGTGGGCGTCATCGTGCAAGCCAAGCATCACATCTGGTGGTTCTGGTCGAAGACAGCCGTGGCTCGCTGAGACGACATGTCCGAACATGAGCACATCTTCCTCGAGTGCGACAGAGTCTGGAGACCCTCGGAAGTTGCAGCCTTTTTCTAGCAAGTCCTACTTTAACGAGATTATCAGCCTGCGTGAATCAAGAGCCGATCCAACACGTGCGGTGGCCAATACATACGTGTTCGAGATCATCGCAAAGGACAAGGCTGATCAGGAGTGATAGGTACGAGGAGGGAATGGGAAGAAGACAAAAGAAGAGAAACTAAACGTACCTCCACACGTGAAGCGGCCAGTAGGCACGTGTCTGAGAATCATCCCGAAGGGTCAACGTTGACGGCGGGCAAGCCCGCAGCACGCGTTGCAAGTCATCGCATGTCAACGCAAATCAACGTTGACGGCAACACAATGTGTCAGAGGCGGATGGTGGGCGGCGAGTGTTGGTCGATCACAACGCAAAGGTATTGGAGAAACGAGTCTTGTCGTGCGTGGGAAGACGACTCGTCTCTCGGCACGGTATGCACTGACCGCCCGAGGTAACTAGACGACGAACAACCATTCTCCAACCACAAGAACACAGAGGTTGAGACAAGCTAAAGGTGAAGTGGTAAGTCGTATGTTCGAGAGAAGCTGTGTGGTCGAAGAGGAAAGGTTAGTGTGCAACTGGACAAGTAAGATCAAGAGCCGTACCTTCCCCTACGACAGTGACGACTGGACGCATGTGTCAGTCAAACTACGTATGAAGGCACGATCTGTGTTGACGGATGAAGAGGCAAGTACGATGAATGGTGGAAGAAAGATGTGACGATGCGGTGCAGCCGAGAAGGAGAAGGAGTAAGTTGGTACATGGCAGAAGATCTTCTCATACTGACCTTCAGCGGTGACTGACGATGCCGTGCGTCAGCCACGTAGCACGAGAAGCTACGAGCTGTGTGTAAGCTTGAAGAGGCAGGTACGACGATGTCGAAACGAAGATGTGGTGGCGGAGTGTAGCTGAGGAGAAGAGGTAAATCGGCACGCAGCAGAGGATCTTCTTATACCAATCTCTACACATCACTGCTGATTGCACGTGTTTGTACGTGTTTCGGTCAGTCTTCAGATGTAGATGAGAAGGCATACCGTCGGGGCAAGTTGTCAGAGTCACGTACCGACGACGTGTTGCGATGGTGGATGTCAACGATGAAGAAGCGCGAAGTTGAAGCGTCGACTCAAGCCAGTTTGCGGACGAGATCCACGCTCTTCCAGTCCTGCTTCCGTTTGTTGGCAATGGCCGCATGCAGTCAAGTGCTCGTCGAGTCTCGGCATGGTGATGGTGCTGCGGCTTGAAGAGTGACTTATGTTTCTCGGCATCAGGTCGTTTCTACGAACAAAAGCATCCTGAAGCTACCACATTGCAATAGATCTTGGGTAGATCCGCAAAAGTAACGATGTTTTGATCCACTGGCATGCTGATGGCATGGTAGTCAGATCGAACTCAAATACTCGGCGTGCGAGACTGACGGCAAGCTACAAATTGTCTGTCTTATGGTACGCATAACACTCTATTGCATGGATCTCTCGATCTGTTACAGAATCTTATCCATACCCATCCGAGTATCTTACCGTCGAGATCAGCATCTGGAAGCTATATTTCATGACCGTCCCCGAGCCGATATACTGCAACAACTTTGCGGCACAATTACCACACATGCAGGAGGAAAGTGATAGAAGCACAGTAAGTATGATTTATCACTCTTCCTCAACTATACATCATACAGGCAGAGGAATAAAGACAACATCTCTCAATCTCCAGCCATCTCAACCAGAAATGCGTACTCGAACTCGACACAATTCATACACACTCGAAAAAAAAACAAGACCGGTCTTCCTCATACACGAAAAGCCTATCACAATCTAGCTACATGAATGCATGATGGGATCCCAAGCTGAGTCACGTCCAAAGATATAGCGTAGCTTGCAATAATCTCGTGGCTGATCTTCCTTTCGGAAGGTTGCTTCGCATTCACATGACTTGTGGAAATCGTTGATTTCGAGTAAAAGGGCTCATGTTCACTAGCTTTCCATTGTGGACGAAATTCAGTGTTTCTGTGTGCTATAGACCGTCCTTGTTGTACGCTATTGACCTGGAGATCGTTCTCCAAATGTCGAGTAACGCTCATGGAGAGAAGTCATCTTGAGGTGTTTCCTACGGCTATATATGTGTGAATCAAGATATCTTGCATTTGGGTAGGTGTATAAATTCATCATTTGTTGTTGTAAGAGAGGTACGATCATCACCTGTGGTAAAAGATATGTAGTATCTTAAAAAGCACACATTGATAGACGTTAGCTAAAAATGCATAATACTTTCCAACAACAAAACAACATCCACGGAGAGAGATGCTTCAAAATGGTTCCATAGCTACACTCGTATCTCTGAATATTTGCATCCGGATAGGTGAATGAAACCCATTACTTATTACTATAAGAGCTAGGACAGTCTATCCCCATGCACCCCATTCTTAGCCGTCATACTGTCAAAACAGTGTCTCTTGAGCTCAACACAACAGCGGCTTCGTTCCGTTGCCAGGCAACTTGACCCTGAAAAGCGCAAAAGGACGCTGTCTGTTATCCGTACCAGGCCACACCAGCGGACCGAAGGCCAACTGGTTGTTCGTAAAGTAAAGATATCCATCAGTACCAGTACTCATCTACCACCAGCAAGTCAGCATTCCACGCTCATCTCAGAAATCGAAGGATCGGCAACTCACCGTATCAACCCAATTGAGTCTCGGATCCCTCACAAACAGCGCATCAGTCCCATTAGCCGGATTGAAGAAACTGATGGCGTTTTGCTCAGCATTGCCATGGTAGATATACCCATTAGTATCGGTCTCATAGCCATCAGAAACACCCTTCTGCCCTCTACTCACCACCGCCGCCTGAGCAAGCGCTTCCGAGAAGGGTCCGTTATCTCTGAGTCTAGCAGTAGGAACAGAGTAAAGATACCTCTTCCCCACACCCCCAAAGAACAAATCCTCACCATCAGCAGACAACGCGATTCCGTCAGCGCCAAAACCTTGGAAACTCAGTGGTTGGCCGGGCATAAAGGCATAAATGGGACGTCCCCAGACGTAAGCGAGGAACTGTTGGGCGGGAGCTACGTATGTGGAGCCCTGCAAGTGACGCCAGGATTCGCCGGTGCCGAGGTCGACGATGACGAGACCGGTGCGACCTTCGATGGAGGAGTCGGTGATGTAGGCGATGCCTTTGCCGCTGGAAGTGACGTTGGGACGTAGATCGAAGCGAACGTCGTTGAGGTAGGAGTCTCCGGGCGCGACGTTGGCAGGGAAAATGATGGTCTGGAAGACGGTGTTGTTGGTGAGGTTTATGCCAACTAGTTTTGGGCCTCCCACGGTGGCTTCGACGATGGTGCCGTTGGGATCTTGGACGCGGCCTGTGTCGAGCACCCACAGGCGGTCGAGTGAGTCGACGACAACGCTCTGCACACCGATGAAGTGGTTGGCGTAGTTGGCGCCTGTAGGCGGTGTAGTGGTGTAATTGATAGCTTTAACAATGCATCAGCTGATTGCACAACATTTCTTGCGGCAATGCCACTCACCTCCTCCAGGAGGATTGTTCCACTCGGCATTAGGATAAGCAGCTTCTGTGTTATTCGAAGTCAATTCAGCAACAGTATATTTGCCATTAGACCCGTTGTTGGTGTTGTTGCCATCGAGAGCACCAGGGTAATTCGAAAACTTGCGGCCGGACGAGGACACAGCAATACCCGTGGGCCACTCGTCGTAGTACAAATGCACGACCTCCAAAGCAGGTCCGTACTTTCCAGGATCCTCGATGAGCTGTTGACTCGAAGCAAGCAAAGGCAGCAATGAAGCTGCTGCAAAAAGTGTCGATAACATTATGGCAAGTATCAACTATGAAGCTGAGAAAGATAATTGACCTACCTCGAGTTATGCTAAGCTACTTGTACCTCTGCGTGCCTGGGGCCTGCCATGACATGACGTGTAGGTTTAGATTGAACAGTAGCACGTCATGGACGTTCTTGGGTTTCTCGGCGATCTCAGGCACTCCCCTTGCGAAAGATGATGCCGCGGCGGGAGGGGATGAGGTTATGTTGATGCGAAGGCGGCAGGTCGGAAGTGCGGGGAAAGCACATCACCATCATCATCTTTGCGTCGAGACATGTGGACGTTTCTGAGCTTCCGTCTCGCAAGCCCATTAGATACTCCAGAACTTGACAGTTACAAAATAGAAACGAAAGTGGAGCATCGGAATCGAGAAGAGATGGGTTCATGAAGACATCGAAGATTGGGCACGAAGGCTATGTGATAGCTGGAGGCATGATTTTGTATCTTTTTTCTTTTCGTTCGCCTCGCCCGGTCGCTCAGGTTCTTTTCGCTGTGGCGCGCGGACAAAGGAGTAGAAAGGACAACCCTAAGTCGAAAAATGCGTTGACTCGTCCCAAGCCCATTTGATATTCGCTTACTCCGTGTTGACGACAACGATGATGATATTTCTCATTTGTATAGAAGAGAAAGCCACCAGGCCCAAGCAACGTTTGCCAGAATGCACAAAACGCGACGCGCTTAGAAGACAAGGGCGGCACCCTTGGTCTTCTTGTCACCACTAGAAGAGAAGAGTCAGTATGTGAGAGAAGCGCAAAGAGCAATGGCGGAACATACCCCAGCTCGAAGTGCTTGCAACGCTTGAGGGCAAGCTGTGCCTTGGTCTTGCATGCTGTGCACTCCAGTCTCAGGACAACCTTCTTGGTGGTCTTGGCCTTCTTGTGGAAGACAGGCTTGGTCTGACCACCGTAACCGGACTGCTTACGGTCGTAACGTCTCTTACCCTGGGCGAAGAGAGAGGCCTGCAAAGTATAAGTCCCTGTCGTTATTCTGTAGCAAGCGCTGTATCCGTACCTTGCCAGCCTTGTACTGGGTGACCTTGTGCTGGGTGTGCTTCTTGCAGTCCTTGCCCTTGCAGTAAGTGCGGCGAGTCTTGGGAACGTTGACCTGGAAGGCGCGCCTTGATCAGCTTATGTTCAAGGTGAGCTTTTGTTGTGTTTGTGCGCCGTGTCTGTTTCTTTGCAATTGTCGTGTTCATTTGGCCGTGTTCGGTCTCGCTTCGAGTAGGTAGGGATTACTTCGAATCGTGTGACGGGGAAGTCGAGAGTGTCGAGTGCCGCATCTGCCGGGTATTCGATTCGTCTTGTAGATTCTTTCATCCAGCATGTTTGCGATGCACGGCATTCGACTGCGTCGTTCGGGGAAGATACCGTCGGCGTTGAATCAGAGTAGTTGTTGTCGACGGTTCAGAGCTCGTGGGCGGCGGAGCGCGCATTCGATCGGGCGAGTGGTCGGACGGCGACATATGGCCTCGGTCAAGTCGAAAAGAGATCCAGTATTGCTTCCAGAGACACGGCGCACGGGATAACATGGCTGCTTACCATTTTGGCGGTATTTGTGTGAGTCGCTGGGTGGTGGAAGGAGAGTCGTTTTCGCGGGCCAAATCAGCGGCGCTTCGTGGAGCAAAAATTCAACAAGGAAGGTGCGTGCCGCGACTTAGCCGAGCTCTGCCAAGCATTGACATCTCTCACTTTGCTTTCCATTCATGTTGACCTCCTCATGTGCAAAGTCATGTCACGCAGAGCCTCTGGAAAGGCACAGTCTCTTTGGCAAATAAGATGTATCCATCGAGAGTCATGACTCCGTTGCCTCTCTGTGGACATTTGCTATCGTCTAGAAACAACTATGCATTTTCATGGCCTCGGCGCCGCCTGCATGCTGTCGTGAGAGCGGAGTGGGAGTGACACAGAATTTAGCACTTGCGAGTGAGGACTTCACTACGACCGTATAGAACATGCCGTCGCTCACATATGGTCAATTTTGTAAAGTGGTAAATTCATCTGAGATGGTGGAGGGCACATCCGAAGTTGACTTCAATGTCTGGATGGGAACGAAGCTTTCTTTGGCATCTGCCGTCGTTGCCAACAACGACCATCTAACTATCTGTACTCGTATCAAATCAATAGTAAGGTCTGGATTCCTCCCATTTACGCTTCTCAATCTCCAACCCACTTCCAGATGCCATGCTATCATCCAGTCTTCCAGGTGTTGTGATTTTGCCCACTGGAGTTTGGTGTGCCGAACCTCCTTCGATACGGTAGACTGCACCAATCCACTCCCACATCCTGCTAACGTCTCCTGTGCGGCCCTCTCGCACCATAGTCCTGACGTTCGCATTACCCTCGACTAGTTTCTGCACAGCTGTCCAGATTCTGTTGCGCTCTTGTGCGCGGAACTCATCACGAAGCACATCGTCACGTAGAGCAACCATGCTGATTAATGGTTCAGGATAACCGACGGGATCTTGAGCATGCAGACTTGCCTGCGTGGCGAGCTTGTCAAGAGCCACACCTGCCAACTGTTTGGCCTGCGTCGAGGTAGAGCGACGTTTCGAGATGGTGCGCTGTCCATATACAGCCGTGAATGCCAAAGCAAGAATGCCTACAAGTTCTCGAAGATGCTGTCTAATCGTGAGGCGAACTGATCGTTTGAGGGCGCATTGGAAGCTGACGGCTGCGAGAGACGTGCTGCGGAAGGAGCGGACAGAGGTTTGTCTGTGGTACCGGAAGCGGTTCTGTTAGTGGACTCTTCACGTAAGCCTGATGATGCATAACTCAAACAAAAGATCGAGTGTTAAAAAGAGATTGAACTTACGGATCGACTTTGGTCTTGACCTCATCACGTTTGGGCACATCTCCGATTGCTTGGTCAAGCAAATCGAGGATATCCTTCATGTTCTTGCCCTTTGCAGCAATGGTTGCCTTGAGCTCTGGCTCGGTGACATAGGGAGTCTTGGTCTCACCACACTCGTAATGAGCGTTAGCCTCGCGCAAGACAGTCTCGACAGCATGGCTCGTCAGTGCTCCGATCTTGCGAAGCTTCTCGCTGTCCGGCTCGCAGGTAGGCGGTATAGGGACCAGACCACCGAGCGAGAGAGGGTGCGAGACAGGAACAAAGCCATCGTCACAGACAATCTGGAGGTTCTCCCGGCATTCGGCGTGCATGGGGCATGGCTCGCACTCTGGCTGCAAGAACGAAGCCCACTCAGGAATCTCAGCACCAGCAAACGTTTCAGATGGCTGACCGATGCCACAGAAGCCGACCTTGATCTTCTCCTGTCGCCAGACACCAGCGACTGCAACGAACATGGTGAACAAGATGGTCGAAAGAGCCGTCTTGGCTGCTCCAGATCTCGGTGTCTTCTTGCGAGGAACACGGCTGAGGGCAGAGCTCGGGTTTGCTTCTTGAGCCTTGACGAGTTCATTTTGTTCTTCTGGTGTGAACTCCTCACCAGCAACCATCTGATCATATTCCTCCTCATACTCCGGCTCAACCTTCACACGGACGACGGGCGTTCTCGCTACTGCGGTCAGGTCCTCCTCTTGACGGTAGAAACCATCTGTTCTGCGTCTGGCATCTCTGCTCTTTCTTCTTTCCCTGTCGGCTGAGGGACCAATAGTAGTTCTTCTGCGGTCTCCGCTCTTACTACGATGGCGGTATGCAGATGGTGGTGAGCTTCCACTTTGAAAGGGGTTGTCCTTCGAGAATGGCGAGTCTGCGCCCTGGTCGCGATAGACTGGTTGTGGAGGTTCGCTAGGGAAAGATGACCTGGCAACACGTCTTGGAGTAGGCTCAGGCTCAACGGTAGCGTGCTTGCTGGAAGCACGTCGAGCGCTCGTCGGAGCAAAAGACCTCCTGGTGGAACGAGGCGTGGGAGCAACATTCTCTTCGGCAGCTGGTTGCATGACGGCACGCCTAGTAGTTCGCCTTGCTGGAGTTGCAGTAACAGTGATGTTGTCGTCAGCCGTGTCTTCGTCGTCGTTGGTGCTGGACTGGCTGGAGGGCACGTCGACGATGCCTCTTGCAGAGCGCACAGTGCGGGACTGAACGTTGAGTATCTTTCTGGCCTGGGGCGCAACGTTTGCGTTGAAGATGGCAATCAGATCTGACTTCTTTGCAGATGAAGGGTAGGCGACATTGTGGGCAACCAGGATGGAGCGCAAGCGGGGCACTGTGAGAGAGCTGGGATCAAAGTCCGGCTGCAGGTACGCGTATTCGTCGTCGGCCATGGCTGTAGAGTGTGAATGGGTTGTTGACGTTCGCCTTCTAGAATGTCCCGAGAGTCGATCGTGCACCAAGTCGTTCGCGCAAGCTGTGCAGAAGGAAACAAGGAAGGAACGAAGAAGGCCGTGTTTATCTGTGGCCCGAGCTTGCTGTTGCCTGTCCAATGTCGTCAGGGCCTTCCCTTTTTTCAGACAGAATCTGGGGAAGCAACCATCATCTGTGAGATTTTGTCTGAGCTGTCTAGAAATCTTCTGTCTCAATACAACAACTTGCTGTCTCTCATCATGTCTTGTGCAAAGTGCCAGAACCCCCTGACTCTTGTGGTCGACTACTCGGACGACGAAGATGTGTCCATGGGTGCTGGCTCATCCAGCGCAGCAGCTCAAACCACTCAGACCGTCCCGGACGATGTAGCTCTTAACTGCGGATGCCACTTTCACTGGTATGGGCAACTTCTCTGTGTACAAGTCTATAACTTATCTAAACAAAATACAGGCAATGTTTGATCGACGAATACCAAATCACCGAATGCCCTTCATGCCACCAGTCACTGCTTACTCCCGGTCCCAACGGAGGCCAGCAGCTTCTGTGCACATTGACCAACGAGGGCGGTGTACAAGAGAACCTCGATATCCTGCCCATCCTGACCGAGGAAGCCTACCTGCACGCGTACCCCGAGGACAGGATCAGCCGCGCATTCCTCGAACTCTGCCGCGAAGGCGACGTATCTGCCGTGGTGGATTTGTTAAAGAGCTGTAATGAACCTGACTCGGACGACGACGAGATGGATGATGAGCCTGCCACACCCAAGAAGTCAATGGACGAGATACTGCGTTACCAAGATCCCATTGGCGATATGCAGTCTGGTCTTCACGCAGCCGTCGCTGGAAACAGCCGTGAGGTCGCTTGGCTGTTGCTATTGCTTGCGTCTCAACTGCCTGAGATGGAGTTCCCCGCTTTGGTATACCAACAAGCAGCCTCGTTGGGCATCATGAGAGAGGATCAAACAGGCAAGGTCGACATCAGAAGTCTCAAGGATGGTCAGGGAAGAAGCGCGGAACAATTGGCTGTCGAACTCGGTGGCGTGTGGCATGGCTGGCCCGGAAGTGGTCGCTTGACGGTTTGAAAGCATTACCCCTTCATGTTCTGATTGCTGCCTGACTTGCGCACCGTTCTCTGCCGGGACAGAAGCTGCGATATCATGAAATGATTCACATCCTCATCTGCCCAATAGGAAAGATGCGAAGCCACGGCTGCGATGAGGGAAATGTCGAATGCACCCCTAGATCTTGGATTAGCTTTTGCTTGGTACTGAGAATAACATTCTCACTCACTCTTGGATGCTGTAGTCAACTCTTCCGTTGGAGTTCAAGGCTCGAACCTTGGCCTCCTCCTTCTTCAGCTTACGACCACGTTCCTCTGCTTCTACTCTCTCGCTTTCGGCCATGTCATGATCTACTTCACTCTGTGCGCTCTTTCGTGTGTTCTGGAATCCCGCGTACAAAGTTTCCAGTTCAGCATCGATAAGAGTTGGAGGGCGTTCACCAGCTTCATCCGCTCTCTGCGCCTCGCTGACCAGTTTGTCTGTCGGGTCACCGTCGACTTTGTCTATCTTAGAGTTTGAGGCTGGCGCAGTAGGGACGATACCTCCAGCCAGGTTGGTTCCGGCACCCAGAGACAATGGAGTGCGAGACTGGCTGGTGCCTGCTGATCCTCCAAGTTTGCCTGCATCCTCAGCTGTGAAGCCAAGACTGCGGTTGAGTAGACTGCTTGCGATACCAGAGCTGAAGCTTGACCAAAGTCCAGAAACGCTCTGTCCGACACGTGCGCCGATACCAGTAAGACCTTGGCCAGTCGCAGTACTGAAGATGCCTCGTTTAGTGTATGGTAGCGGTTGTGGCTTGAGAGATGACATTGCAGGCGAGATCAAAGGCTCAATGCGATAGCTGATAGGATCAGTAGGATGGAAGATGTTGAAGACCTGTCGGCACTTCGGTGAGGAGATAGGCAGGTCAGAATTCTGGGTGCCCATTCCGGACAAGTTATCAGAGCTCTTCGTTGTTGAACCAAGGAATATGTTGGAAGCTGAATCCGCTGATTTGTGATTGCCTTGCCCGGTTTCTCTAGCCGAGATCGTGCGACCCTTCAGCATCTGGAACAGACCAATCGGCGACCCAAGAGCGTAGAAGTCTTCGACGTCAAAGTCCAGCTTCATCGGGTTGCGTGCAGCTTTGCCGGACTGTTTTTGGTGAATCTCGTTCCTCTCCTGTAGACACAAGATATCGAACATAATGGCTGATCCCAGTGAGTGACCGACCAAGCTGACCTTGCCCTTGAATAAAGGGTTGCGTTGGCAGAATAGTTTGTAGATACGGTTGCACTCCTCAAGCACAATGGTCGCAATGGCATCTTTGTATGCCGGGCTCTGGTATAATAGGATGTCCAAAGCCAAATCAGTGATGAGGTTTCTCACAGCTGGCACGCCTTCAACAGAGATGTTGTCAAGATTGGGATAGTCCTCCTCTTCGCCAAAACCACCGTGTGCAAGATCGTGTTCCTTTCGGTTGTGTTTCAGAGCACGGTTTGGGAAATCCAACTTGTGTCTCCAGTTAATAGGCAGTACCTGGATCCGACAATTCTTAGGCAGAGCGTTGACCTCCGAGTTCAACGCCTGTAGATCAGCACTTTCATGATAGACAGCCTTGAGAGTCTTGCGAAGAGTGTTCACGTCTCCAACGAAGTTTACCGACTCCATTCTTAGACCGAGACGCTGGCCGATGCCGTGAGTTACGAGTAGGAGATGCTCAATCTCTCGATCTTGTTGCTCTCCCTCTCTGTCGCGGTAGTCGTCTTGGATCTCCTTCTCATCGCGCTTTCGAACCTCTTCCTCCTGCTTTTGAGGGTCCTCACGACCAGCACTAACAAGCGAGGACATTTGCTGCTCCAAGGTCTGGCGGTGTTTTTCGGACTCCGGACTCGCAATCTCTGCATGAAGACTGTCCGCTTTACCACCGTCTGCGGGCACGAGTGCTAGGTTTCTCCCAGGTTCTTCTGAAGAGATATCTACAGTGGCAGATTTAGAGTCCGAGTCTGCCTTTGGTTCCTTCTCTTCGGCCTTCTTCTGGCTGACATAGCCACGAGTGACCTTGATGCCGGCATAATGAGCACCTCCAGCAAAGCGTCTGTACACACCACTGCTCATTCTGCTGATAAAATCATCTGTGAGTATCCATGCAGTGGTAGTATCTTGATACGTCACGACGGAATTTGAATGCGGTCCGAACAGGCGATATGTTTGTACAGGGTGAGTAGATTGCGCGTCCTCGGCCTCTTTGGCATTTTGCTCGCGAAGATTCGGAAGTGAGCCCTTGGGAGCCAGTGGAGACGAAGCGGTAGAGCGAGATTGGGAAGCTGATCTTGGAGGAGTGGGTTCCTGTTTCTTCCATGTCCAGGGGGTAGCCCTAAGATATTGTTCCTCCAGCTGAGCAGCCAAGTTCTCATCGCAGGGCTTTTGGACAGCACCCTCTGTTAGACATTGTCAGTATCATGACTTGATCATCGAGGATTCATGGACTGACCTTGATAAAACCAAGTTCCACGTCGGACTTCATATACGGGTCCCAACCAATAAGCGGGAGCTAGCTCCCTGTTCATAACGTCCACATCGAACAGGTAGTCTTCATTGACAGGGACTTTTGCTGATTTGTGGTGCGACTCGAGTCCAGGATGTTTGATATCTGTAATATCTTCCGAGTTCTCCAGCTCCCTTCTTTCAACGGCGTCATCCTCTCTGGAGAGTCTATGGAACGCCTTTTCTATAGCACGAGAGTCCTTTCGGGAGAAAGGAGCGTATTTCTTGGGAACGACCTTGGGTGCTTCGACACCCTCGACCTTGCCTAGGGGCTTGTCCGAGTAGAGTGGTTTGCGCTTGGGTACATCGACAGCAAAGAACCACTGAACACGTAGAGGTGGGCAGTCCCGAGGGTAGCGTTTCAAGCTGAGTCGGTGCCTATGACTGACTTTGTGGTCCCCTCCTCGCTGTTGCTTGAGGCCAATGTCACTAGAGGACTGCTCAGAAGTGTCTTGCGGCTTGGTGACGGGACTACGAGGGCCCCAGGGAGATAGTCTGTTGATTCCAGCAGCCAGGTACGACTGGTTGTCAGGGGTGGACATGTTGCTGCCCTCAGCCCGACGGGCAGTAGAGGTATCTTTCGACCAGACCGAGGTTTGCGACGGGAAGCGAGAGGGTGAAGGAGCTGTCGGAGGATATGCAAGTTGTGCTCGCACACGATTGATCAAGGAAGCGATACGCGCCAACGTGTCTACAGCTCGAAGCTATCCGATCTATCGTCTTACGTCTTGGCGAACTACTGCTGCGATAGGGTATAGAGCGAATACACAAGCGAGGGAAGGATCAACGAAGGCCAACGTGTCTCTATGCAACTGAGGATAGCTGTTGAACGCGAGCTTCTCCGTACAGAGAGATGCCCTGCATGCAACGACGTGCCTGCATCCTGCCCCTCGTCGCGAAGGCCGTCCCAAGGTTTGCGCCAGCTCAACTCTGACGTATTCAGCCCTATCGGCACTCTACAACAAGATTCACCCGACGCTGCTTCCTTTTCCTCTGTCTGCTTTTTTCCTTCTCCGTCCTCCTGCATCTTCATCTCCATCACAACCTCTGATCTCTGCAGCCCTCTGCAACATGGCGTCGGAAAAGTCGGCTGAGCATGCTCATATTGAGAAGCTCATTACCAACAATCTCCCTGGCAGCCCCATCTATGCCTTCCTACTGACTCCGGTGCGTGTCGTTTCGGCTACCAAGGGACATGTAGTCTGTCGCCTGCCCTTGACAAAGAGTCATCTGAACTCCAAGGGAGGCATTCATGGTTCAGTCTCGGCCACCATTGTAGACTGGATGGGCGGCATGGCTATCGCTTCGTACGACCTGCGCGAGAAGACTGGTGTGAGCGTCGACATTCATGTCACCTACCAGTCCTCTGCAAAGGAAGGCGATGAGGTTGAGATCGAGGGTATCGCTGACAAGGTTGGTGGTTCCTTGGCTTTCACAAAGGTCAACATCTACAAAGTCCAGGACGGTCAGCGTGGTGCTACTGTCATTACTGGCACCCATACCAAGTTTGTCAGAGTCTGATGAACACGACACGCTTTCTTCTTTGCGTCTGCCATACATTTGCTCTTTAATGGCCCGGACTCACTCGGAATGCGAAGATCAACGTCTTTCGTGCTTTAGAAGCCATTGGGATCTCACGATCTGACCAGTGCGCAATTTTTAAGAGACCACATACACCTAGATATCATCCACATATACTTCTTGCATATACAAGGCCTGCCATAATCTTCCGGATCATGCCACTGCGGCACTGCCCATGTGTTGTTCTCCTGCAGACTGAAGGCCTTGCATCGAAGTCCATGCAAGGCCTGGCCATACTGCCACTATCGTTTCATTGACTTCTCGCTGGTACTTCAAGCGCAACAGTACGGGCGTAGGGTACGGCAGAGCCCCTCTCAGGGGCTGCCAATGGTCACTTTCTCTACGGACGGCCATCATGAACCCACCAACTATCGAAATTCTCTTCGGCCTTGTCCGTGCAGCGGCTGGCTTGTCATGTTCCCACCGAAAAAAAAGATCCCATCCCTACACGGAAAGCGCAATCTAGTTTCTGCATCGAATGCACCGCGCACTTGTTTCTGAAGGATCGAACATCTCATCTACCTTTTAAACTCATCGTATGCATGTCTGTCATGCTGCGTCTGTGGGGTTAGGCGCAGTAGGTTCCGCTGCTGCATGTCAATCCGGTCGTTCATGGTTTGTTTCATGGATAGGAACGCTCACGCAGAGAAGTGTCGAAACAATGGTCCGCTAAGATCACTTACAGATGTCAACTCGAGATAAGATCCACCGTCGCTTGCAAACAACTGAGACACGGCAAGGTGTAAACCAACTGTAACAACCCTCAGCAAAAAGCCATCAGAAACAAGAGTGACCTGCTCTGCAAGACCTCCGGTAACCGAGCGGCTCACCAATGACTTGCCCTGACGCTCTTGGGTTTGCGAACCACTCCCTGCCGTCTTGGTGATCGGCTTTCCGGGAGCTTGTTCATGAGTAATGGCGGTGAAGGGCAGCCATCTCGCTGATCCGGCATCGCACGCTCATCATTACTCCTCTTTTGGAGCATTAATATACCCAGAGACAGGGGTTTTGAAAATCCTCCTGCTCAATCAAACCCGTCCATGGTCGTCAGACGACGGTGTCGTGGCACGGTTGTGTAAAGACATAGAGACGTCTCGGGGCAGAGAGGTCCGTACGAAGGCTGCGGCCTGAGAAAACGGTTGGCTCTGCAAGGGACAAGCTGCTCTGTTTTCTAGCACGGTGGCTTGAAGCTAAGGGCTTGAGAGTGGAGGATAAGCCTGATTGATGATGTGGCAGCTGTTTATTGGAGCCGTGTGTTGAACCAATCAGCTTACCATCTCCTTTAGACTGCGATTGTTCTTGCTGCTAGGCCCATCGTCCGCTTCTCGATGGCTGTGTGGATTCGCGTAGAGACAGACGTGTTCATCTATTGGCGAGGAATGTGAATAACAAGCTTTTGTCCGTCGATGGCGGCATTGCGAGCTGGCAGTTTCAGATGATCGCAAGTGCTCGACAGACAAAGTTTCTCGTGGCCTTTGCAGTGAACTGCACTCAGGCGGAGATCGTTCGCACACTCGCGTCATGCAGGCGGAGCAGGAAGAGTCGAACCAGTCTCAGACGCTACCAAGATGGCGCAACTCAGGCGGCGCACCCGATGCCTAGCGCCGCTGTTAGTGCCGTTGTTACATCTGGTGGGCTCCGTGCGGTATCACACAATGACCGGGTCGAGGACCAGAGATGAGAACGACCAAGTTCTCGGGTCAAGCTGGCGGACCAACGTTTTGATACAGGGCGGATTGACATGCTCCCTGCGGGAGCGTCATCGTGGATTCATGGAGGCGGAAAGGGAGTCACCAAGTGTAGCGTCTGGGCTGGGAACATGGATCCGTATCGGCTCGACATGCTGGACTCCACATATTTCTCCATCTCTGTTTTTGCATATGACTCGCTCTGCATGATGAACAGGTTGGACGTCGCAGCCAGAAAAGTGCTGTGAGCTTGATTTGACAGCGACCAAGCTCCCAGATGTGCGTGCTGTCGTGTACGTAGCTTGACAAGTGACTTCACGCATTCACTTGCTTTTGTCGGCGATAAAAGATGCCAATCGCTGGCAGAGTGTTGTTGGCCCAAGTGCGCCATCTTCTGACATGGGAGCCGTCATGCTTGTACCAGTGGAGGCGCTTATCTCTCAGCGATTGGCGTCTGTGGTGCAAGTAGAGGCGCTACCTGTGTCTGGCCATGCCCGTTTCAACAATCTCGACCAGTTCGGTGCGTTTCACACAACCACAACTGCTCCGACCTCCTCCTCGACCTGCAATCCATCGTCGAGGACAGAGACAATTACACCAAGAGACGATGAGATCGTAAAATCGAGTCGGCGATCCATCGCGCGAGTAATGCGCTATATGCGAATTTGGAAACAATAGATTAAGTATGACCAGAATTGACCAGAATAATTCACTCGCTCGGCCATGAGCGCGCGCAGCCGTTCGGCAGCAAGAGAAGTCACTATTCTCTTCGTCCCGCCACCAAACAATCCATGTCGAGGTCTAGAAAATAACATCGACCTTCTCGCTGGGACAGACAACAAGCGTCCTAACCCTTTCGGGGAGGCGCAAATCTACCCAGTTCCGCAGCAACTGGCAAAGCAGCGAGTGAGGTCGAGGATGGAGGAAAGCTTGCGTGCCGCGGCAAACGGGCCCTACCCTTCTGCGCTTTACTCGTGGGCTTTTCTTGTTGCCATGATCATCGTCCATCATGATCCACCATCCACGATCCCAGCGCGACTTTGCTTCGTGACTGTGGGTCCTCGATGGCAGTGGCGTGCATTCCGGACGATGCGAGTTTCGGAACGCCACATCACGCCTTTTCCCCACCCACCTCAACGATGTTAAGAAACAGCCTACTCAAGCCGCCAACAGCCAACCAGCGTCCGTCTGCACATCGCGTCGGGCCGCTGTTTGCTGCACAGCTCCGCCGCATCTCCATCCCGGCGCGTTCTGCTGACCTGCTTTGGCCGTCCAGTACGTACTAGGTACTTTGTTGCAATACCGACACGGGACAGGCATGGCGAGCCTCATCCACAAAGCTTCTCGAGCGTGCGTGTGCGTGTCTATGTGTGCTCAGGTGTCTTCTCGCTCCTGGCTCCGTGATCTCAGGTCACGCAAAGGCAAGGAGAGGTATCGGAGGAGGCGGCCAGAATTAGACCATGAGCTACGTCGTCGTCGTCGTCGTGCTCCCCAACACACGTGCTGCTGACGGCTGTGCCTCCTCCTTTGTTTCCCGCCGCCTAGTTAGGCCAGGGGATAAACAGCATTTTACCCAGCCGTCGGCGAGCACGCCAAGTAGGATCCCCGCTCGCGAATGACAAGTTTAAACGGCCTAGCCGCTGGAGACCCCTGTACCTTCGCAGTCTCACCGAATCGTGCACGCTGCTCCGGCCTTGCGCTAACGGGCGCCTTCCTCCTCGGATAGACCCCAACCTCTTTGCAGAAGAGCTCCGGCCTGTTCTAATACTATCTATCTGAGGGCTGCTCCACGCCCTTTTTCTCGTTCGCGTTCGTCTTTCATGCACTCCTGCAGCTAGGCCAACTACGAGGTGTGTGTGTCTCCAGCTACTTCTATCTGCTGCTTGTCCGTTGCCGATGCACCTGCATGCTTTTACCTTGCCTTACCTCAACCTCCTCCACCACACACTACCACACTCACATCATCCCACACATAGTCGCTAACCCGTCCCGTCGCCCTGCAGCCTGTTTCTGTCCATCCACGACCTACGAACTGCTACGACACGACCTTTTTACGACCATTCAAGGACAATTTATCTGTTTTGACACACATTTTTTTGTGCATCCTCGCTGCAAAAGTATCTTGCTGCTGCTGCTGCTGCTGCTTCTTGCTTTCTGCACTCCACAAGCTATAGACGTTTGATTAGTGCCTGTCTGCGACTGCCCTCTCGCCGTACTACTTGCTCGTCGTCTGTTCACCCGACGTGCCTGAACTCAAGCTTCGACCTCTCACGATATCAACGACCGGCGCACTCTGATCATCAACTCGCGCACGCGTCTTGCATCGAATTAAGTCCCATCACGACCTGTTCGCGACTGCTTTGTTTAGCTTCGAGGTCTCATTGATCCAGTCGACTCTCAATTGACGTGTTGGATTCTGTCTCGCCGGCTCTCGTGGTTCCTTCGTAACCACCCCACACTCGCTTCATCCTAATCCACCAAGGATTAACCGGAGGTGCTTCCTTTGAGCAGCATCTTCGTCGTCAACAATAGACAAACTGGCTCTACCGTCCATCTCTCACGTCCAAGCGCGCGGGTTCGAAGACCAGTGGTATCAACCAGCCAACGTCTTGCAAGCCACGTCCACCGCTGAGCGTTTGCCTGCCCTCTCCCAACTCCAGACCTTCACGTCTGTGGGTTCTTCACCAAGAGGAAGCTCTATCACTTCAGCAGAACCCATCTGCGGTACCGACACAGCCACCTCATACTCGTCCTCCTTCCACGGCGCCTACAGCACCGGCCTCAAGACACCCTCTCCTGACCAGACCCCCGCCTATCGCAGAGATAGTGTTCAGTCCGGACTACACGGCCAATCCGTTCCTATCACGAGTTACGATCAGAACAGCATTTCTTGTATCAGCATGAATCAAACTCAGCCTTACATGGACGTGAGTCAAAGTCACATGTCTAGTAGTATCCCTTCTTCGGCTCCCCCGCCAGGCCTCGGCCATTACGCCAGCTACCACCAACCCCAGTCTCACCCTTACGGTTCATCACCTTCGACCTACTCCCAATACTACACCAATGGCCTCGCTCCTCTGCACCACGCCTCGGCAGGTGGGTTGGGCTCTCAAATGGTTCCTCAATCGCAACTTCCCCTTCCCAGTAAGTTGCGCGCAGAAGTGATGTCTTTTCGAACCGTCGCTAACACAATCTACAGCACTTGCGAACAGCGTATCGCCTCAATCTGCGCAGGGTCAATACTCTAGCGCGACATTTGACATCACAGGACAGATTGCGCCTCCTGGTATGAAGCCCAGAGTGACTGCCACTCTCTGGGAAGACGAGGGAAGCCTCTGCTTCCAAGTCGAGGCAAACGGTATCTGCGTGGCTAGACGCGAAGACAACCACATGATCAACGGAACAAAATTGCTCAATGTGGCTGGTATGACGCGCGGTCGTCGTGACGGTATTCTCAAGAGCGAGAAGAACAGACACGTGGTCAAGATTGGCCCTATGCACCTCAAGGGAGTGTGGATTCCCTTTGACCGCGCTCTCGAGTTCGCCAACAAGGAGAAGATCACCGAAAAACTCTACCCCCTTTTCGTGCACAACATCGGGGCTCTGCTTTACCACCCTTCTAACAACGCTAGCCGCACTATCGGTGGTGCTACTTCTTTGGTTCCGGGTGAGCGCAGACGTCCTGATGAGTACATGAGAGGGCCCGTAAGCCAGCCTCCTGCCATGCCTCACGCTCACTCGATGGCCATGCCTCAACCGCCGCATGCGCTTGCTCCTAATGCTGGAAGACCCAACTTGGACAGAGCTCACACTTTCCCCACTCCTCCTACCAGCGCATCCAGCATGATGGGCGTCGGCTCGGAAGCTTCTTACCAGTGGAGCGCTCAACCACCTTCAACTATGCAGCAGCAACAGCCCTCGCAACAGCCTTTGGCCATCGATACCAACATGAACAACAGATCCGTACCCACCACTCCTGCAACCACTCCTCCTGGAAGCGCTATGCACAGCATGCCCCCTTACCAGACCAGTCAAGCATACGACAATGGTCGTCCGTTGTATTCGGCGTCTTCGCAATCCTCTCAGTACGGTCCTCGTTATGGTCAGCTCCAGCCCAGCCCTTACATTAAGAATGAAATGGCTCCTCCGGCTCGTGCTGGCGCAGAGGCCGATCACTCGGTCGACCAGAAGCCCCAGGATGCTTACGCCAACCACTCTGGCGCCCACGACGATGCTCAAGGTGAGCACGAAGGCGAGTACACACACGCTTCTGGACCTTATGGTGGAAACCGTGCTTCATATGCTTACGCCACACCTGCTACGACTGCTTCCTTGCACAGCGATCAGACGCACATGTCCTCGGACATGACCGGCTCGCCTCATCACAAGGCTTCCGGCGGTGCTACTCCTCGTACTACCAACAACTACCACGCTGGATACACCACGCCTCAGCGCTCTCAGCACATCCAGTCCAACTTGTTCAGTGTCATGAGCGACAATCGCGCTCCCAACGGCTCTGAGATGTACGGACAAGCCAACCATGCCTACGGATCTCAAGGATACCAAGCCGTGAACGGTATGCAGAAGCGCATGCGTGATGATGATGTCGACGATCGCTACAACAACGACGACTCGGACGGCCTCAAGCGAAGAAAGACAGTACGCGAAGGCAGCGCAGGAATCGGGCGCCCTCGCTCTGTCCTTGCCGCACACCGATAAAGCGCGATTTGATCCATCTGTTCATTTCAGCTGCATCTTTTCGCCTTTCCCTTATGGTGTCTTGGTAAAACTTTTCTTCTTCGGCTGTCTTGCGCTGTTTCCTTTTTTTCCCCTTTTTTCCTTGACTCTCAATAACGACAACCATGATGACGAACAAATAACTTTATGATGAATGATGTTTCATTTCATAAAGCGGGACGGGGGATCTAACAGACAGCATAACCGGTCTCCCTTTGTTGTTTGGATTTGCAGAACATTGTTTTTGTCTCTTTTTCTTTTCCTGTTTTCATAAGTGTTTTACTTTATGCGTTGCATTTTCGCTTTTGTTTGTTTTGTTTCCTCTTGGCTCTTCCTAGGGGGTTGATGATGAATGAATAGCATGCCTTATACACAAAAAGAAGGGCGCTGTCTATGGTGTGGAAAGATGGAAGATGATGGTGTGGAAGCAAGAAAGGAGGGAAATAAAAACGGAACTTGGGTCTATCTCTCTCTTGTAATGAACAACACACTCTCTCGCTCTTTCTCTGTCTCTCAAAACAAAAGTGTCACTTCCTTGTGTTCTCGATGAAAACGAAACGCGGATCCTTCTTCCTTCTTTCCTCGCTCTTCGTATCGCCTTCCGTGTCGTCTCTCCATTACCTTCACTTTTTCTTTCTTTCGCCATCTCAACTTTTTTCATTCTCCTCTCCTCTTTCACTCCTCTTCCTTCTCCTTACCTTCACTCTTCCACCTCCCTATACAAGTCACCAGCTCCACCATCAAAAGTAACTTTCTCAGCCCCTTTAGTGCGGTGGTATTAGCACGTTCCCATACCTAATGTCTTGCAAACACAAGCAGAGTAAGGCGGGCGCACTGAATCCTCTCTTCACTTGGCTTCTTTGGCTCGTCGGAGTGGGAGAGGCGTGAGTTCGAATCTTACAAGGGACGGATCTCTTTTTTTTTTCTGCTGGTTTGAGCCGATATCAGGCATGTGAGGAGGGAGATGGAGATGGAGGACTTGGATTGAGTGGTGGCTACTTCGGATTGGTATATAGATGGTTTTTGGCATAAGCTGTGCTAGTAGGTTTTGTCTCGGATGGCTTCTCTAGTTCGGTTCTCCACGTCTTGTGTGGAAAAAGGTTTGGGTTGGACGTTTTGGTTTTTTGGTCGTTGAGCATCCGTTGTTTTTTCTTTTTTTGGTGTGGTATCTTCGGAAGGCTGGGGTTTTGATATTATTGTTTTTTTTTCTGCTTTTTCCTTCCAGCTTGTTGCTTTGCATGAGCATTCGTTGTGCACGCTCAAATATACCTTCTTGTTCTTTGTGGGAGTTGCGCTCTCTCGGTCATGCAAGTTACCTGAAAACAGCAGGGTATTGGTGACCTTTGAGTGTGAAGCATGGATTTGTTAGAACGAAATGTTAGCGCTGGTGGAATTCGTGCTGGACATGTTGGATAGAACATTCGATACCGAAAATCGCACATGTTGGCTACCACAGCGCGATCAAGCTATGTAAGACCTACTGGATCAACTACAAACGACACTTTAAACATACTACAAGAGATGATAAGACGGTATACCCTTGTTGGCGCGGTGCAGTCGATGGTACAGGTTTGAGACAGGGTTGTACCCCCGACCACTGACAAGGACGAACTTCTGATGCGCGCTCGGTTTGGCCTTCACGAAATCCATAAATGCACTTTTTCCAAGATCGGAACTTCTTTTTGCTTTGGAGATCAGGAGATGTACTTGAAAAGTCGTATCCGAGGATGTAAGCACAGAGGTGTATGACTGACGTTGCTACCCTTACACCTTCGCTCAGTTGTACTTGTACTTCTCACTGCCCCTCTTTGTAAACTTGACAGGCACCTTGCCTGCGCGCATCTGAATGGTGATGATAGTCATCATGCCATGCTTGAGTAAACCTTCCGCTGTATCCCTAGCCTTGTCCCACGTCTGTCTTTTCAGCACGTCATCCATACCCGCAAGTTCGTCTTCACTGGCAAACTTGTCCAAGTCCAGCTCTACACTGTAATCGCGGAAGATGGCTGCTAGGACAGCCAAGACTTCGACTTGAGCAAATCGGCGACCCAGACATGCGCGGTAGCCTTCGGAAAAGGGGATGAAAGCGCCTCGTTCGGGGTTGAAGAGGTGAGAAGATGTATCTGAGGATTGGGGGCCGCCAATGTCTTCTTCAGAGTCAGAATGTTGGGTGTCTTGTTGCTTTGCTGCTGACGAGCTTGATTTCGAGGGGTCCAAGATCCAACGTTGAGGTTTCCAGCTTGCGAGATCTTTTTCGATTTCGGCTGGTGAGGCGTTAGGACCACAGAGAGTGGGCCAGTACTTGGGGTTGCGGTGGGATGCAACTGTGATCAGATTGATTGCGGCGCCCTGAGGTATGATCACACGGCGGCCACCGATATTCAGTGGTTGTGGTGAGTCCTTGAGGGTGCATTTAGGAATACCGACGACGGGTGGAATCAAACGGAGTTCCTCGTTCATGACGGCGCCGCACATACCGCCGAAAAGTTTCGGTACATCTTGATCGTAGTTCCATTGGTCGATCGTCCTGTCGCCAAAGATTTCATCCAGGTCTTTTTGGAGCATTTCTTGGGTGGACCAGTTCATGGCCAGGTACAACATGGCGAAATGAAGCGTATTTGCTGCAGTCTCGTGGCCAGCCAGGATGAATACGAAGGCATTGCCCAAGATCTCGCTGTCGGTGAGAAGTTGTGTGTCGGCCTTTTCTGGATCTTGGTTTGCTTTGATGCCTGCTCCGCTCACAAGAGCTCCCATGAGATCCATGCCTTCTTCCTGCTTTCCACCTGCTCTGATCTCCGCCTTTTTGTCTTGATACATTTCTCGCATATACTTGCCCCACTCGGTGAATGATTCATAGGCGATTTTGTTGGCCTTGATTGGGGAATTTGCTTTGCATCTCTGTCAGTTTTTGCACTTGTATTGCTGTGACCTGGAGACCTACCAAGGAACCATTTCGGGAGAAGCATCACAGCAATGATGTTCTCCAACAATGTGCTCAGTGCGTCCTTATAAGTCATAGTGTGACCTTCAGGTACGACACCGGCTTGTCCATTCTCCTTGAGTTCTTCGTGCGGCCACAGCAGACGTCTGCCGAAACCAGCACGACTGATGACATGCAGACTCAAACGCATAGTGGCAGCAGCGATATCAGAAACAGTGCCCTTCTCGGCATTCTTGTCAAGGAAAGAAGCCATCATACTTTGCGCCTGATGTAAACTCTCCTGCCACACAAGATGATTGTTCTTCTCGGTGAATGGAGGAGAAGTGATCTTGCGATGGTGGCGCCATATCGAGCCCTCTGTACTAACCACGTTCTTACCGAACAAATCCACAGAGCCATAAATCTCAATTGGCTTGGGAAAGTCATTGCGTCGGGTAGTAATCTGTGTGGTTGCCTCTGGGTCGGCAACAAACACCGAGTTTCTACCAGGCGAGCACACGAGGAAAATGTCACTTCCGATGGCCTTGAAGGGCTCGTGTCTCTTCAACCATGTCCATTCAGGATCCAAGAACCTGGACTTCGGTCAGCTTTCAATTCCTGTGTCGGATTGACGGGTGTGCCACAGCTGTAGTGCGACCTCGAAATGCGGAGACGTACTGTAACCATGGATCTGTCCAGGATTTGGGGAGCTTCTCGAGAAACGGGATCCAGAGCTTGTGCGTCACGAGCCAGAATCGATTGAATCCATAGACTGGTGCTACGACATAGGGCAAGCCCGATTGTTTGGCTGCGGCGAGGTTGCGGGTGAAGCAGCGGTAGTAGTTGAAGATGTAGACACTAATTGCAGAGGCGAATGCCAACCACACAAATGGTATCATGATGGGAGACAGTTCTTTTGATGTCGCGCAAGTGGGCAAAGGGCAGGAAGCTGCGACGTCTTTAATCCTCTTCTTACGCCAAGTGAATTGAACACCTGAAGGCGTTGGCTCCTTCGTTACTTTCTCTCTGAACTTTCCCTGATGATGTCGTACATGTGCTCAAACGATGTACGATAACCGAGCAACGGGTGGGAGCTGATCCGGGGAATGGGGTGAAACGCTAAAAGCAAAAAGGACCAAGAAGATACGAGCAGTGCTTCAGCTGCCCAGAAAGCACAGTGAGGGCGAAGGAAGCAGATATATACATTGTTTCAAGACTCGACAGCCGACAGAGACGCGGCAAGGACGCATGCATCGACCGTTGATGCGGTCTAGCAAAGAAAGTTGGGAGCAAAGAGCCAGCCGCCATGCAGCCTCGGAAGCCGGCACTCTTGGGAGAAACCTTCTAGCAATCTGCATCTCGGCCGCCGCAGATGCCCATGTCATGCAGCAAAAGCTTGACAATGCTCGCTTGGCTGCAAAATAAATAGGATGCGCTCGCCCTCTCGTCGAATGACCTTTCGTATTACAGCCAGGATGGGTCTTGGTGACTGGGATCTCCACGAACCAGATACCGCAAAATCCACTTCGCGTAAATAGGCGTGTGTTGATCAGATCTCGCTTGGATGCAGTTCGAGGAAGATCATTTGCAAGCGACGTTCGAGAGCTTCCTGTGCCCCAAGAGTCGACCGTACGATCAACCAGATATCGCAGACGACCAGATATCTAACGGACGTGTAGCCGCATAGACTCCGATAGAGGATGCACTGGACCCGCACGTTCTCGCGTGATTCACTTGTCGGTACACCGCCCTGGAACTTACACTTGTCTATCAAACTAGATCGGTGTCTTTGAAGGCGCATGATCACACAAGACAAACTCATCACTAGAATCATGTAGCTTGATCCACAGTATTTCCCGAAACTCGGTTCTGGTAGGATAACTGTGCCCTAAACTATGGCGACCAGCATCAGTATGCTGCAGCTGAGGAAGCGACGCATGGAACCATCTCGCGGAAGCCTCTTCGCATCGTATCTGCAACGTGCCTTCCTTCCAGTCTTATCGTAAAGCTGATGGCCAAGCTGAAGCTGAGAATCCTTCTTCCCTATCTTTCGTCCGTATCGCCATCCTGCACTAGCATCCTGCTCATCTTCAACACTCATTCTCATCATCCTATCTCTTTCTAGAAACACCTGAAACTCAGCATTCCATCAATCCCGTAACCGAAGAGCCAGCAAAGACCTCGTACCTGCAAACGAACCCTGCATACGAACCAAATACCTGCTGAAGATCATCACAACCACACTTCCGATATCCTTTGCCCTGTTACAGACTATGCAGCTCTTCCTCGTCAATTTTATCTTGATCGTCTACGCATTGTCTTCGTTTGTCCGTGCCGATGCTGTTACAGATGCAATTCAGTTGCAGGGCCTCGCTTCCAACACGGCGGATACTGTCTTTGCTTCGTTGAACGGGACTGCTTATCTCGTGAGCGGTGATGCAAAGGGTTGATGTGCAGATGCCAGACTAATGCTTGTTGTTAGAACACGTCGGATCTGGTCTCGAAAGTCGCCGTCGCTATTCAAAGTGCAGATTCGATGGTGATGTCGAATGTTGTGCGTATTGTCTCGAGCCTCAATTCATCATTGGGAGCTTTGTTGACATTTTGCAGTCCTCTCCGGGCACCGCAAATGTCACCTTGAACGATGCCTACTTCAACGTATGGCACATGTTCACTTTGAGAAGCCGTCAACGAGGACAAGCTGACCACTGCAGTATGTCAACTCAATGCTCTATCTCGCTGATACAGTTCAACGCCGCGGTCGTCTCTTCCACTCGGAACTGAACCTTCCAGTGTACCAGTCTCTGCAGAATCTATCTTCTGCTGTCTCCGTAAGTTTCTACCGTAAGCTTATTGTTCATCAGAGCGAAACTGATGTCCAGAGCAGACATATGGTCACGACCTCGCTTCGGAAAACTTGATCCAGAGAAACAGTACCATTCGTACCTTGACGACCAGCAGTGCCATTGTCAGAGCACAGAGTTCATGGGCCAACAATCAGAACTATCCAGGCAAGAGGGAGACTTTGAGCTGGTCAGGTTGATCTGCGTCCGTCTGTAGAAGCCTGGGAAGCGGTGGTATTAGCTTGTCGATACAACCTCGAAAACTTTCATCTTGGCACCCGAATTTTTGCATCTCTGAACTCACGAGTGGAACAGAGGACAAACGATGTTGCTGAAATAGAAAAAAAAACAATCAAAACCTGTCATAAAGGGGTATATCCGCCCAAGAAGAAAAAAAGTCCAGCGAAACCGTCGCCATCTTTGGAAGTTCCAATCCACGCCACGCCAGTGGAGCAAAAGAAAAGAAGTCTCCCTCTCACTTCCCACCCTTCTGATCCAAATACTCGACCACATCCCTCGCCTGCACCAACCGCGCACTCGTAGCTCCAATCCCCTCTTTAACGCCCACCAACCCTTCAGTAGCAATCCTCCAATTCCTCTCGCACTCATCCCAATCCCTAACACCCTTGACCCCACACAAATCCTGCTCCTCTTGTATCCTCTTGCTTACTTCCTGCTCTGCTGCAGTCCTCGATTGAGTGAAAGCAACATCATCATCTTGCAATCCAGCAGCATAAGCAGCGGCCGCTCTAGCAGGCGCCTCCCTCCTCATCATCGCAAGCTGCAAGTTCAGCGCTTCAATCTTGCCCGACAACTCCCGCAACTTCAACCCTAGTTTTCCATCATAGGCTTCCTGTTCTTCTTCGCCCTTTTCCGCTGCTGTGATTGCTTCATCCATTTGTTTGTTTTCCAGTCCATTGATGCTCAGGTTTTCTTTGGCGGAGGAAAAGACTCGAGTCAAGTAGGAGTTGCAGAGGTCTTGGACACGGGATTTCAGAATGTCGTCAGAGGCTGAGGGGGGAGCGGCCGAGGGTGGAAAGTGCAGGTCTAGTTTTGCGCGGAGGAGAGAGGAGGCGTTGGATTGGAGGTAGAGGAGGTCGAGGGGGGATTGGAGTTCGATTTTGCGGTGGGTGGTTTCCATTGTTTTTTTGCGGTAGAGCGGAGAGAGAGAGAAGGCTGAAGAGAGTGGAGGTGGGATTGTGGTCTTGTTCTGCGGCGCGGCTCGCGGAGAATGATTGGGTGGAGCAGGGTTGATGGTAGATGGTGTGGTTGAGGGAGACGATATTGGTGGATACGTCGATGACGGTTGTGTGGATTGTATGCGTTGAAAATGCTGTAGTTGTGGTAATGGACGCGCGAGCAAAAGGTGTATCTTTCTTGAACTGGCTTGTTTACTGCTTTTCGCAAAAGTGACGGCGATTGTTTGTGGAGCCCATGTGCCAAGACGCTAAACATCAGCGCGGGGGAACTGGGAGTTTGCTTATCGAGGCTCCCTTATCGCCGAGATAGCAGAGGCCATCATGGTACTCGGATGACTCCCACCTCGGCATATGGCAAGATAACACTCTTCGAGTCATCGAGTCACAGAGAAACAGGGGACGATGAACAGTATGTAGGAAACGCATTTCAAGGACCTGAATCTATAGACTACTTCTCTTGTCTGAATCGCCGATGTTCCGTTCGTCCGCTGTGCTTGGGATTGATATCCCGTCGTCGATGACTTCCTAGCCTTGTATACCTGAGCCGCCCTGCCAATCCTCAACGCCATAATCATGTAAATTAGAAGAAGAACCAAAGCCCCAATGTCCCATATGTGTACCCCCGTTCGCCTTGTCAACAGTCAAAACTCCGTGTTTGCATTATCAATCGTCATCATGTTTCTCGGTAACTCCGTCTTGAGTTTGTCGGGCATGCCTGTTACTTGGGAAGGATGGCTGCAGCCTCCTCATCGGTGAGAATGATTTCCTGCACGGGATCGGGTCTGTGCTCGAGGTCTGACGAGTCGTAGTCGAGGTAGGAAGGGAGGAAGATGTCTGTGTTTAAGCGTTAGACCTGATATGAGTACATGGAAGATAACGTCACATACCCTGGTTCCAGTCGAAGCCTTGAGAGGTTTTGATACATGTGATCTGTGACGCTTGTCAGTATTGATCCAAGACTGGAGAAATCACCTTGATGTTACTCACCAAACGAGGGTGCTCAGGTCCGCCAATGTTGACGACAGTGTACTCGGACTTGGACAGCGAGTCACCTATAGACCTCATCAGTGACGCTCGACTCGAGCAGCGTGACTCGAAACATACCAAGCAGTGAAGGTCTCCTCTCGGCATAGCGGGCCATTGACGATGGAGTCGACGACGAGGATAGCGATGCAGACGACGAAGCCAGAGACGAAGGTGAGAATGAAGGAGAGGCAGCACTGTTGGCCCAGCTGGGATGAGGAGAAGCTGAAGACGACGACGACGCAGAAGCAAAGCCAGAGCCACTGAACACAGCCTGCTTGCGTTTGGGGATCGCTATCGACGACGACATGTTGTTATCTGTCTCGGGAGAGAGATGTGCGTTGGTGATGATGCGGTATGGGATGGAAGTCCAACTTGGTGAAAGAAGAAGAGTAACAAAGAGACGATACAACACGCAAGAGTGTGAAAGTGCAAACTCGATGAATCACAGGAATAGCGACAAAGGACGAGTCGAAGAGAGGCTTCGAGGTGAGTCGGATGGTACCTAGGACAGATACGGGAGCGACTATCTCCGACCTATGCGTGATGCCATGGCCCACCCCCGCCCATGTGACTCAGGGACGTTTCACCATAATGCATCATACCGTAACCTACTTGCATCAATCCCGTGCACATCTCTAGATTCGCATACTAGATATCTCGAAACTCTCTGAATGGCAAAAGCAAGAACGAAAATGCCATGAAGATGAATATAAAAGAACCACCAGGAACCCGCCCGGTTTACTGCTCTCGCTAAGAATCGGAATCAGAATCCCTCAGGCCCAGCGGAAAGAGACACTGATAGTCTTTCTTCCACTGCCTGCTCGCTCTTCCTTAGCGACCCCTGATGAGAAGTAAGGTATGCTGCGAGTATGCAAACACGCATGTCTCGCACTCTCCTCCTCTGCCACCTGCCTCCACTGCTCCTCCATTACTTCTCTTGATGAAAAGAGAGAAAAAGGGTATCTCAGAATCCAAAAACGCACTCGAAGCAAGAGAAAAAGAAAAAAAAAGGAAAAGAGAAGAAAAAAGAATCATCGCATCCATCCCCCGTCCCTAGATTTGCGCCTCAACATCCCTTTCATGTCTTGTTACGAGAAGCCATTCGGACACCTATATCGTTGTTGTGGGTTTTCTTCCATCATGATCAGATTAGCTTTAGAAGACGAATAGAATCGACGACTGCATCTACCAGCCTCGCTTCCGTGCGAACTTCTTGTTGAGATGGACGAGCAGCTTCGACACGTTGAACTGCACATACTCGAGATCGAGATCTTCTTGGCTGTCTTTTTGCATCTCGAGCAAGTCGTCGAGCTTCAGGTCAAGTTCCAGCAATCCGCGATTACGACCTGAGGATTCGTTAATCTTTGAATAGCTAGCTCACTTGACGGTGACTTACCTTTGTAGTGCAGAGAGATGATAAATGTTCCCGGACTTGGGCTGGTCATGTTGAAGTAGATGTTCGCTTGTCGATTCGGCGGCACATTACTCTTCTGAATGACGCCTTCTTTCTCCAGCTGTGCGTGCGTGAACTTGTACGGCCCGAGCACTTTTTGGTTCTGCACTCGCTTGGTCGTTCCTTCGGACTGTCCTCTGACATTGTGAAGATACGACTTGTAAGTCTCGAGCTGCCCGACAAGGTATGCGTTGTGGTCCCGGATCGTCTGGTATACTTCTTCGAGCTTTTGGCTCTCAGTCAAGACCTTCTCTTTCAATGAGCCAAGGTGGTTCAGTTCTTGTTCAACTTCGTCGCGGAGGGAGGCGTAGTTGTCCGCTTTGTCGATTGCGCCCATATCGTTCAACTGGCTTAGTAGCTCCATGCTACGGATACCCTTGCGCACCATGACCGAGTCGTTCTTTGTAGTGGCAGCTGCTTCAGCGACTCTGTCAAGACGAAGCGGTCGTCGAGCAACCACGGCATTCGCAGGCAGAGAGCGCAGAATCATGACGAATGTCGATTTGGCTTCCATAAAGAAGACCTCCTCTTGAGTAATGTCGAGTGCGGCCGTCAAGTCGTCGAGTGCCGTCTCCCACTTGCTGTACAGTGGGAGGTTGATGGCACGGTTCTCTTTCCTCGGTAGTTGTGCTGGTGCTGGACCCAGATCTTGCAAGAGAATCTTCAGGTGTGAGCCCTCGTCTCTAACCACCAACTCCTGAGTGTGTTTCTCGAGAAGTGCGTGCATAGCGTAAACTTCGTTGAGCGATATAGGCAGTTCGAGATCTTTCTTGGAGAGAGCGACGTAGTTGTCCATTTCGAGTGTTTCGTAGAAGTCTTGGACCTCGCACAAATCGAGCAGAAACTTATTCATGCGCTCTTTGTTTTGCTGAATGAAAGGCTGAAGCACGGCCATGTACGGTTCTTTGGCGTAAGAGGGCTTGTTAGCCAGGTTTTGAAGCATTTTTGCGACCTGGAGAGTAGGAAGTCAGTATGCTGCATTGAGAGCTTGAAGGTCGTGCAGACGTACCAGAGTAAGAGTGCGCTTGGGGTTCTCAGCAGGGTTCTGCTCAATAAGCATATACGACCTGGGAGTGACTATGGCGGGGTTGATGAAACGCAGGAAGAAGAAACCGCCGATCAAGGTACAGATTGTCTGGTCCTGGGCATCCGGGTATTTTCTCCTCGAGAGACTCCTAATCTGCTTGCATATCCATCGAATACCATATGGTGTTTCGTCCATTCCATTGACGATCGTGTCGAGGAAGTAGTTGGCAAGCTGGATCAATTGACCGACCCTGCGGCTGATGATGGCTTGGACCTGGGGGTTCACAGCGGCCTCTTCGGCAGTGATGCCACCAGGGGGCAGACTCGAAGTAGAACCGCGGACAGAAGCACGCTCGGCCATCATCGTCTCGTATACTTTGAGCGGGTTGATCTCGAGGTCGACATCGCGCAGCTTGCTGGTAACGTAGTTGATTTGTTCGGACAGCACCGTCTTCAAGTAACCTTGACCAGGACCTCTGCGTGTGTACGTAGTCATCATGCGGGAAACGGGCGTATTGGCACGAAGAAGAGAGGAATAATCGGGCGTGTTGTCGAATTGGTACGTCAGGACAGACTGTAGAATGAATGGGTTAGACGATATTTTTCGAGCGAGTCAGAATTGGTGCAGACTGACCTGGAACATGGTGAGCAGCAAGTGCTCTTCGCGGCTCTCGTACTGGTTTCCGTAGATGGTGAACATGACTGTCTGTAGCAACTGGTCGATTTCGGCTAGCGTGACTAAACGACACAGGTGGGCGATGTGTTTCGGTTCGGACTGTAGTAGGAACAACAGATTGCCGTATTTTTGCGTCTTGTCGTCGTTGGGAAATGCACCCTCGGTCAGTTCATCGGATTCGTCAAGGTGGTCGGCGACTTCGTTGCGCTGTCTTGGGGTCAGCCGGGGCTCGAGAGAGTGTAACAGGCTTCTAGACGCACCTCTTCCAAAGCCATGCGGTTCTGCACAAGCAATGCAATTCTCGAGTCGAGGTATCGCACATCCTTCTCCAACACAAAGTTCTTCTTGGACTGGGACGAAATCCTCGATTTGAGGTCACGAAGCACTTTTTGGGCTGTATGGCCGTCAGCGAGCTACCAGAAGACATTGATGGTAGGACATACCGCGGGCAAGATCATCTTCAATCTCGAGTTCGCGCGGGTTGGCATTCATAGACAGGTACAAAGCCGTCATGGAATAGCGCTTCGAGGTGCGCGTTGACCTTGCTCCATCGTGAGAGGAGCGCGTGTTCTGTCGGCCGACCATGGGCAAGTAGGATGAAGACGACGATGTAGAAGCCCGCGACGGCGCATGCAGAGTTGCAACCGACATGAATTGGATGGCAGTCGGTTCGGTCGTGGTCGTTTAACAAGGGGAACGGGCGTCGATACGATCGGCAGCGCTATTATCTGGGGCCCTCTTTGTTGATGATGTCTCGAAGCCCTCGTCTTTCTAGCAGCGCCGGGCAATGAAGGAAAGTGGATACGAGGCGAGTAGAGAGCGACGATTTGCGAGTGCGAGGATCTAGCAGAACGAGTCGAATGCAGCGACACTGCGGCAGTCCGCTCCGGACGTATCGCGTGCTGGTGGACTGGGAGAAAGCGAGTCGAGGGTGACAATTGCTTCGTTTGGGCGCGGATCGGCTGGGCTTGGGTTGCTCGGGCTTCCGGTACGCTTGATTACTATATTCTCGCAAACCAAAGTTGCTTTATTGCGCGCTGCAATCAACCGTCAAACAATCAGATTGGCATTCCACGGTCTCGGCTGATCTAGTGTCGTAAAGGAGAACAAAATGAAGCAAAGGAATGTAGGAGCTGATGAGTGGCAGCTCGGATGCTTTCTTTGAACCACTGTCTGACAGGTCTCGCGCGCCCCCCGCCGTCACGCACCACCCTGACTCTTTGTATGGGCCCCCCCCTTTGCTGCCACCAGCCTGGGAGCAACCTTAATCTCTGGACTGTCTTGCGCAAAATCATTCCAGCCTGCAACAGCGCCGCGGCACTGTAACGCCCTAGCTGCTGGCCGACCACAAATTCATGCCAACGTCTTCCTCGCAGTGAATCGTTACAAAGTCCAGACAAACCCCAATGGCCACCACTTTTCTCACCAAAAGCCACTGCCGTCTTGTGCCTGCAACATTGAACCTGCACATCTTCTAACCCTGCGCCTCAATATACTCAGGTTGCACGACATGGATGCTAGTTCATGTACTCTGCGGTTACAGGAGCCGCCTCTTGGTCGCTCGCAATATCCAGCGACTTGGCCCACGTCTTTGATACCATACACATCTTGATCTGACTCAGTCACTCTGTTGCTTCTTCTGTGCTCCACCAAGCCGTCTTCTATGCGGCTCGCAGATCGTGCCTGCAACGTGTGCTGATCAGGGTCGCGCGATGCAAAAAGCCCCTGATGCCACCATGCAACCACAGCCGCCCATTCTTCTGATTCGTTTTCCAAGATTGCGACTCTCTTTTCAAAAAAGATCTGCGGAACTGTGGAAAGAAAAGAAAAACCCGTGTCTCAACCAGTTCCACTTCTCTGGAGAAGGAGTCGGTGCGCGCGGTAGAGAGTCGCGCATCCGGCATTTCTCAAAACTCTCCTCTTGAAACACTTTGGCTAGCGCCCACCTGAAACGCCCAAATCCGTCCATCCTGATTTGCCGCTACCCTCCACAAATCCTGCGAGATCCGTGTTTGTCAATGCTGTCCCTCTCCGGACTCCAGCCACTTGTATGAGATCAACGAGGTACAGCAGCGATTAGTGTCATGAATGCTACATATCTGAATGGACATCAAATCAGCCTGTTGTGTTTGACGTGACCATGATCTCCGTTACAACTTACATGCCTGCAGAAAAGATCCATTCGCGTGCGGTCAAGACATGCCTTATATCCATGATAGAGCAAAGTATCCAGAGCCCCATACTGCACACAACAATGGCAAGAACACGGCAAAGAAAGCTAGGCATCACTGCAAAAGCCAGAAACGGTAAGAGTAGCAGTACGGGCAGACCGGCTGTCACTGCTGTCATCGCTGGCGTCTCAATTCTTCTGCGTTCAAGCACGAATAGGTCTTTGTCGTGCTTGAGAAAACTCGCTTCTGCCATGTCGACAGGTCGATGACTAGTCATCCACTCACGATATCGTTTTATCTCTGCTTCTGGCGGTCTACGCAACTCCTTGGTGGCATTGCAATAAACCTCCACAGCACGATCTGCCTCACATGATCAGCTACCACACTGCCCCCTCCACACAAAAAAAAACAGAACAGAACTTACGATATCTCTCCAACTTCACAAAAATCTCTCCCAACACAAATTTCCTTCTGAACATCAACTCACTATCCTGCGGCAAAATTCTTGCTTCCGCGCGTCGAGAAGCAGGCTTGGATTTGCCCTCAGAGACAACCAAGCTTACTTGAGATATCCATTCATCTAGATTCCGAAGTTCTTCTTCGTACTCGCAGATTTCGTCTTGGAGATAGAGGAGTAGACGATGGTGCAGGTGCTCGAAACTGCGGTACATGGGTCGTGCTCCGATGCTGCCATCTGTCAATTTGGCGGCGAGAAGTTCGTAGCCTTCCAGAGTGGTCTTGTTGAGATCTGGGAAGCCGGATGCTGGAGGAGTTGGCGGTGGTATCGAGGCTTGAGGTGGCCGTACGGAGCGTATGGCTGTATTGTTGTCGTATGCGAAAGTTGCTGGTTGGGCTTGTGGAGTTGAAGGGTACATTTGTGGCCAGTATGGGCCTGGTGTTGACATGGGACCTCCGAAGTTGGGGGCAACGGGTCTCTGTTGAGATGCAATGTGTCCACGAAGAGCTTCCATCTGATCCTCAAGTCTGATATTGGACCGAGGACTCTGAGGCAATGGAACTGCTCTCGTGTTGATCATAGAATGCGCAACTTGAGCTCCAGGCTGTTGGAAGAGCGATACGCCCAAACGGATTGGAGCAGGTGTAGGGCGACCTGCTCCTTGACTCCAGGCATCCTCGCTCTGCTGACCAGTCCAACCACTATTCTGAGGCGGAGGCATGGTTGGAGGGGATTGTGGAGATTTTGAGGCCTCAGGCGAACCGTACACTGAGCGCATAGACAGAGGTGAAGGCAAGGAAGCCGAGCCATCAGTCTTCAACAACGGTGGTCTACCAGCGTTCTCTGGAGTCATTGGACCTTGCAATTGCGCTGGAAAGACATGTTGATATGGTTGGCTCTGACGTTCCACGTTCTCGGAAGCCTTTGGCGAGGAAGAACTCCATTGCTCGCTAGCTCCATTTGCTTCGGCAGACGATTGCTGATGCTCTTGGTTATGAGGCATCTCACTCGCACCAAGCCTCCCAGACACGCCTGTAGCTTCAGAAGACGTAGTAAGTATTGATGAAGCATTCGTACGCGATGTCTCGTCCACCACAGTCTTCTTGGAATGGCCGACATCGCCAGGCACTTTGCGAGGACCATGTCTCCTCATCAGCATTGGTTCCCCGTTGACTGTAGTAGTGTTCGATAAGCGTCTCCCAGCCTTTGTGACCTTGAACGGCACACGCTGTAGCACATTTGGCAAAGCTTGCTGCTGGTTTTCGCGTTCGTCTTGTGCTGGGGTAGCTTCTTTTTGTAGGGCTGAAGCACTTTCATCTATATCTGACCATACTTCGGATTCTGAACGCGATACTTTTCTGCCAGCTTGAGCGTGGAGAGAAGGTAGCTCTGTTGAAGGTTCTTGTGCCGAAGCTGATGGGGTCGATATCGGGGATACTGGTGTTGATCCCGATGTTGGAGTGTTGGTTGTATGAGGCTATGTTTGATTTTTGGTGAGTGTCCCTCTGATGTAGGTCGGGAAAGAGGGGCAGATGAAACCCACCATTTTGGCGCGCACGAGCGACGGCACTTCCAAGCCGTAGATCTTCTGCTCTTGTTGCTTCCGACTTCAGCTTCCTCGGCCTCAATATCCTTCAAGGTAACTGCTGTCATAGGCTTGTGTGTTCGACACTTGTACCTAAGCAGAGTACTCGAGACAGATGAGAAAGATGGCAAGTCATGATTGCAAAAAACGTGGACTTGTTTGCCAGAGAGCAAAAAAATGGTGGGTGGATGAAAGCTGGTCCTGTGCAACCAGAGGCTTTCCAGTAGACTGGTTGCATCTGGTCGCGTGCATGATCGGGCATTTGCTGTGTTGGCGGCCGATATATCCAATAGATGAATGACGCGGGTGAAGTTGGGCCGAGTAGGTATATTGATTATTAGAGAGCGAAGAGCTCGAAGAGGAATTAGATGATCGCGGTCAAGAATTTGAATGAGAGTTGAGACCTCATCCTCTCTCACGGATGGCTGAGATGTCTGCGTGACTTCCAAGATTGTTCGTTTGAGGGACCGTCTTTGGGAGTGCTCTCACTGAGTTTGCGAGAGAATCATCTTCCCATACCTCCCTCCTCAACAATCTATCCCCACGTGAACAAGATATGACTCTTACCTAGCCATGGACTGTGTCTGACACTTCTTGTCCTCGCTCTGAGAAAACACAGGATTGAAATGTTGACCACGAAAGTGTCATCCGTCCAATCACCGGACTGCGATAAGGAGGGGCAACGAGAAAGAAGAATATTGGCTATTATTCAACCCATAAGTAGGTACTGCCTATCATAAAACAACCGTAACACATAACATCAGTGCCAACGCCAACGCTAAATCGACCGCAGCCATCTTTGACGCTTTTGCGACACCATATACACACTCTCACCGTCTGAGCACTCTCTATAGCAGAGTGTCACCAAGACCGCAACGGACAATGGAGATACCGGCACGAACGGTCTCGCTAGCACCGTGCGACTCAAGGCTAGGGTTGACCTCGACCAAGTCCAAAGCAACAAGACTGCCGGTCTCGTGAACGCACTCGGCGATGAAGTCACCCTCACGCAGAGTCAAACCACCACGGACGGGGGTGCCAGTGCTGGGTGCCCACATGGGGTCGAGCGAGTCAATGTCGAAGGACAAGTGGATGGGAGTGTCGCTACCGATCCAACCAAGAGCCATGTCCATGACTTTGCCAATGCCGTGTCTGTGAATGGATAATCAGCATCATTGTATGCTTCGAGAGCAAAAGACCAGACTTACCTGTCGATGTCGTGCATGGAGAAGGCCTTGATGTTGTGCTCACGAAGGATCTTCTTCTCGCCGCGGTCGATGTCTCTCAGACCAATGTAGACGAGCTTCTTGACGCTAATGCGCTGGTCGTCCTTGATCCAACCGAAGCAGTCCTCCTTGTCTTCCTTGGCCAAGCCGGACAGGAAAGCAACGGGCATGCCGTGAATGTTTCCACTGTCCGAAGTCTCGGGAGTGTTGATATCTGCGTGTGCATCGACCCAGATGACGGCCATCTCTCTGCCAGTTCTTTCTCTGATGGCCTTGGCTGTGCCGGAAATGGTGCCAATGGCAATGGAGTGGTCACCGCCAAGAGTCAGGACGAAGCGGCCCTCGCGAGCGTGCTCGTAGACCTGCTCGCTGAGCTTCCGGGTGACAGCACTGACAGCGCGAGGGTTCTTCATGCCGCGGTAATCGGGATCTTCCTTGGGCATGATGTCGGCGTATTGGTGGACTTCACCATCGTAGTGTACGTTGAACTCGAGCTCTTCTCTCAGCTGGTCAACAAGACCGGACTCAATCAGAGCCATGGGAGCAGCATCGACGCCAGTCTTGCCCTGCCGAGGATGTCAGACAAAATTCTTCTATTCAGGACTTTTTGTTTACCCACCTGGCCTCCGCAGAAGCCTACAGCAACAAGGCCCAATTCGTTGCGGGAAGGCAAGAACTTGGGCTGAAGAGTTGGTGCGTCCATTGCGAGTGTGAGTTTGAGGTGGTAGGGCTCGAGTGGCTCGTAGAAAGAAGAAATAGGATGTAATAAAGATTTGGGAGTTAGGACAGCGAGGTATCACAGAAGAGGGTAGAGATGGAACAAAGAGATGGGAAGAAAGAGAAACAGCGAGCTTTTCAACAAGCCCAGCTGACCCGTTGAAATCATCTTCGTGGCCTTTTGCAATCGCCAAAACGTAAATCGCGGTTGCAACTGTACTTAGCGGTATGAAGCAACAGAAGGTGACCGCTAAGTGCAGGTCTACACGGCGAGAAGTTAGGTCTCGGTGGAAGCAGACCTCGCACGGACAACGCGGCCTGGCGCCGGGTTTCTGATCGCAATCTTCATTACGAAGCCGAAACAAGCTTATCGCATTCTATGGAGTCTGGGGATGAGATAGATGTCAAGGTATGACGAGGCTATGACTGTGTTCCTTTTGAAGCAGTAAGAAACTTCGACGAGGATAACGTGAGGTACCTTGCAGTCGCACATCCATGTGCTTGATATTAACACAGCGATCAATAACTGCCAAGAATTGGGTTCGGAGTATGGCTTGCTCTGTCTCCGAGCGCTCAACAATCCGATCTTTCCGAGGCCTTAAGCAAGACTCGTAATGTTCAAGAATTAATAACCACGAGTCCATCTGCTTGTAGAGCACTGAATAATCCGTACCTGAGTTTGGAATACGAGATTTCGCCGCAAGACTTCGATCAAGTGTCTGCTACAGAGTCACGCGCAAGACCAGTTTCGTTGGTATGCATTTTCTGAACCGACTATGCCCTCCACACAGTCTCACTGAAACATAATATCGGACCTCGGCCAAGAGCTCATTCGAGACATGAAGAACTGAAATCAGAAGTACCAGTTTCAAACTCATCAAATCCATGGGAATAACAGGCTTCTCTAGCGTCTTGAGCATTGCGACTTTGGTTAGCAGATGTGATTTCTCTACTGGAGAGACAGTTCTCGTAAGAAGATACAAGCAATGAAGTGTCGATAGACTCTATCGAAAACGACGCATGCATGATGCATGGGAAACTCTAGGTTGGCTCCGAAGCAAGATGGATATGCCTTATGCAGATATCCGTATAGCGGGTGGCCGCAGACAAACGTAGCTACGCAGTGTACACTGTGGACTTTCAGCTCGCTCTTGTGTGGGACGTCGCTCAGCGCAGGAGGATTGTTTGAGGATGAGTGGATACAGAGCCCTGAGTGAGATGAGGCTTGTGCAATATAAGCAAGAAAGCTCCCTAGAGAAGATGGTATGCGGAGATGTCGGCATGTGCTTGGATATGCAGGGCGATGGGCGGGCGCATGTGAAAGAGAGAAAGTCAGTGGGATGTGACGAAGCGTGGACCGTCTGGGAGTCCTCGCTCGCCAACGGGGGTGCAGTTGGCGCCCCTTTCAGACGCAAAGCGGGTCCTACTCCTAGTGCGGTGATTATTGTGGGTGTCGAAGCAGCATGATTTGAATATACCACGCCGTCTGATCTCCATTGACGAGCTCGACTGGCACGATTGGCGCGGGAAAGACGAAGCAGCCTTGGTGATCGACGTGTCTGAGCAGCAGCGACTCTGACCATCGACGACACGATCACCTCCAATCCAGCCTGCCACCACTCCGAGGCGTCCCTTGGTCAACAAGCATTCATCCACCATCCATTGCTGTCCAATCCTCGACACGATCCGACACGACACGAATATATCCATTACACAAGCCAATCGCCATGCACTGAACGACAAACGATACACAGGAGCCCCAGTCCTTCCCAGCATGCTCCGTACAAGCGCAGCGCAATCTGGCGACGCAATCCATGCCCGCCCCCATGACCAGCGACAACAACACCGGCATGACCGCCGATACTACCAACCATACGACACATCCGCTCTTGGTCAACGCGCCCCTTCGCCGGGCGGAGACTCGGTCCTGACAGTCCGCATTCCTGGTCACCAAAACCAACATGACCAACACGATCACACTCGCCGCCAAAGCGTCCTTCATGACCGGGGTCCCAGCGACGCTTCAAACTGGTCGCACACCGAGAGAAACGGACATGGATTAGCCAACCTGAACCGATGGTCACACTCGACCGCCTCCAGCATAGCATCCATCGACACTCCACCTACTGCAGTTAAGCACTCGCAGCCTCAGACCAATTCGTCCACCCACGGCTTCCACACGGGCTCGATTTGGGCTCGTCGCAATGTCTCTGATGCTCAAATGTCTCCCGACGACGTATCACCACGAAACATTGCATACCAGCGTCCTCCGCCTATGCAGAGTCCCGAGTACCATCGCCGCCGCGTCCCTCGCTTCGAGAAACCCCTTCCGCCGCGCATGTCCATCTCCAACCACTCACCCAACGACGAAGTCCAATTGACCGCCGCCACCTTTACACCCTCGAGCGCTGGTCTGCTCACACCCAATAGCTACATCGGCTCCGACTATTTTGGGACCACTGCCTCTGCCTCGAGCAGCTACGACAGGTCCCCACAGCAACTACCTCCACGTACTTCGTCGCGCCAGAACGGCTCCATGTCGAGATATGATGTCAGTCCTGCTGAAAGTAGCTCGGGAAGAGGCAAAGACAAGGACAAGAAGACAATGCTGTCAAAGGCCCTGGAAAAGGCAAACACTGCCGTCTTGTTGGACAATGCTATGAACTATGAAGGCGCCCTTGAAGCATACCAGGACGCCTGCTATCTACTCGAGAATGTTCTGGACCGCACATATACTATCGATGATCGCCGAAAACTCGATGCTATCCGTGACACTTATACCATGCGCATCGATGAGCTCGTACAGATTCGATTGACCACTCAGACGACAAGGAAAGACAAACAGCTTCCCCCGAGACCAATGAGCAATGAGTCCCTGGTATCCGCGATATCTGGCCCAGACCGCAGCTCGGCCATCATCGAGACTGCCACATTGACTCGCATTATCGATGCTCCGCCTTCTACCAATGTCTCAGCTTTACCGTCGCCCATGGATGGCCCACAGACTTCCTTCCTGGCTGTATCACCTGGTCCTGGACCACGTACTTCATTCTTGACTAGTGCCATCCAAGAGGTTGAAGGCACTTCTTCTCCTGGTGCTTTCTTGGGCCCATTGTGGGAGCGTGAGCGATCCAGGTCTCCTTTCAGAGACTCTACTTTCAGTCACGAAACCGCTCGACCTTACGATCTCGAACCTGCTTTCATGCCGCGACCTCTAACTCCTCGAGGATATAATGAACACGAAGAACCTATCGAGCTTGACTCAAGACCTACCACAGCAGAGTCGATGGACATTCATCCAAACACCGACCCGGTATCATGGTTAGACACGATAGACGAGTCTGGGTCATCTGGCTCTCCATCCAATACCACCACATCTACACGCTCACGTTCGTCTTCAGTACAACAAAGGTTCCCCAGGCGAGGGCTACACCGTAGAGACATCAGTGGTGCGCACAGTCAAGCTAGCCTTGACTTCGACGCTGCTTTCGATGCTGCAGTTGAAGCCGCTTACGAAGATGGCTACGAGATCAACGATGAGTTTCTTGTAGACCATGTGCCTATTCAGCATAACCAGACATCCTTCGACTCAGATCTAAATGTACCTTCGGCTTCTTCATTGGGCCACTACAATTCATTCGATGGCCAACTCGATGATGACGAGGCAGAAGAAGAACGAATTCTGGCAGACATTACCAATGATTATATAGATCACGGCTTCAACTTTGACATACAATCCAAATCTGCACTACCGCGACAGTCTGATTCAAGTGCATCCTCTGGCCGCACATATCAGAGCTCACAAGTTTCCAATCGGGCGACTGCAGGCACTTCGCTATCAACTGTTGCAGAAAACGCTGTCTCCCGACATACTCCATCTTCATCCTTAGCCACCGATATTTCCAAAGCATCACCCGAGCAGATCAGCGGAGCTCAGCAGACGACTACTCCAAGCCGACGAGTTGCGGGTCCCAACTTCAAACAACTCAAAATCGAAACTTCGCGCAAGCCCACACTCAGGTCGCGCGGTTACACAAATACCGAGCCCAAGGAAGTGGTTGACGAAGCTGGTGCAGAGGACGAAGCAGATGCAGATCGTCGCATCTCAGAGGTTCCTAGCTTACGTCGTGTGGAGGCAGCGCTTGCATCGCCCTATCACATGCGATCTGCCGCTTCAGACACAGCAACGTCAATGTCTCTGGACAGCCTCCCAGAGAATGGAGATGTCCTCAATAGCAGCTACCGTTCGCCCAGGCCAAGGATGTTCCGTGGCAGAAACAAGTCCTCGCTCAGTCTTCGAGAGACAGGAGGCTTTATCTCAGAAGAGACTGATACCGCCCCAGCTTCTCCTATGTCAGCCTTTCCGGGTGGAGAAGCACCGCCTTTCAAGAGGTACATCACACCGCCTGGAGGTCCTATGTCTTCTGCACGTACTACAGATTTGGCTTCTGGCGGTCATCATATCTTCGAAGGTTTCCTCAACCCTCCTAACCAACCTCCATCACCTGGCGCAGACGACTCATGTTCCCCATCATCTCTCGAACCCTGTCCAGAGCCGACAATATTACGGCCTTTCTGGATGCTTCGATGCATTGCTGGCGTTCTCAACCAACCCCGCGGCGGTTTCCTGACCACTCGATTGTTTGTGCCTCGTCAGATCTGGATGAATCGTAGTGTCAAGTTCAAGAGCGTCGAGGACAAGATTGCCAACTGCGATCTGTTGACAGCCGCACTGGGAAAGCTGTCAAAGGTCGACACTTACGACGCAGATGCAGTTTTAGAAGAGCTTCAAGGGTTTGAAGAGGTGATGGAGCGCGTCCAAGCCGCACTGATCAAGCGACTTGGTAGTGAAGTCGGTGTACAGGCTCTGAGTGCGCTCTTCAAGGATGCGCCAGTACCAATTGATAGTACCGGCACCACTGCCGAGACTCGCGAGGCAAAGCCAAACAAGAGCTACCTAAGCTCTTGGCGCAAACTCCGAGGCAAGAACTCCTCAAGCGGCGTCACTATTCCTCTAAACAGCAGCCGTACAGACAAGGAAGTCGCCAACATGGCCAGCGTCCCCATGACTAGCTTTGTCCCCATTGACAAGCGCACTGCACACAGACAAACCTTGTCCAAGGAAGCTACCACTTTCGAAGGCCCACACAAAGAGTACATGAACAGTGTTTCTCGTCTCTGCGAAGCTGCACAAGTGCTTGACCAGGTCGCTCGCCAAGTAGAAGATCCTGGGCTCAAGCACTCGTCGCCTACTCACATTGGACTTGAACTCAGTACGCGTCATGCTGCTGAATTCTTTGGCTTCTACATTTGTAGATTTGTGCTTGGGGATGTGACGTTGTTGATGGACAAGTATGTCAAGAGGAGTACCGAGTGGGTCATTGCATGATGTCTTTGCTACCTGGCAGCTAGCCAAGCCACCACCATTGTTTGTGTTTTCTGTTTCTTCTGGTATCTGTGTTTTAGCATACCCCATACGGTCATAGGTGACCTCCGTTGTTTGTATTTGATTCTTTCTCGCTGCAAGTTTTACATGTTCTGAAATCTAATATCCATGGGAAGGAGCGAAGGAAGGTCGGAGGGGGGAGTACTAGAGTAGCGGTGAAGGCGTAAAGAAGGCTCTCGATAAGCCCTCGCTGTATGAATTGTTTCACCTTTGTTCATTAAATGCCATATTGAACTCTTGAAGCACTTTATCCTTGTGCCTTTCGTCAGGACATGTGTGCCGGGCAGTGACTTGTGCATTCCGCTCACCACCGCCCGCCAAGATCACAAGCACAGACCACTTCCGCTCCGCTCTTCCATCGCAGCGCATCGCAAGTCGAACAAGCAGCGCAGCCACAAAAAGATACCCTTACCATCTCTAACCACGTCACAGCAAATCCACAACAATGGCCAAGAAAGGTATTGCCACCAATCCCAATTCACTACGCCCACTCTGTGTTGTGAGGATCGAGTTGGCTAAACGCAAATCGCAACAAACAGCAAAATCCCGCACCATCGCCGTCCGCCTCATCTCCATGGCCCTGACCGGCTACTACAAGACGCTCGTGCGACCTCGTCAACACAGACCGTTGAGTATGCTCAAATACGATCCTGTCGGTACGTTTTTCTACACTCCACCCGAGGCGTCAACTATCTTCCCGCGTGATTGCGAAAAAGAGAGGGAGCGTGTTACGATTGCGATCGAGAAGAGATGGCGTGTGAACAAAGAGGGGAGGATACCTAAGCGCGCAAGAGGAAGAAACAGAATTCTGTTAAAAGACGAGGACAAGGAAGATGTTGGGAGAGGGGTGCAAAGAGAAAGATCCCCCCCCAACACAAAGGACAGAAAGATGAAAAGACACATGCAAGAGAAGACAAGATGTGGAAAGATAGGGTCGAGCAAGCCGAGAAGAACAAAGGAAACAGACTGTGGCAGCAAAGGGACCAATGCAAAGGCAGAATGGCGAAATTTCACATACACAGAAAGAAGATGGAACAAACTCGCTGGACGAGAGTCGCAAAGGAAACAAACGCGTCGAAGGATCGAATGCTAACTCGTCGTTCTCTACAGTCAAGAAGAAGGTTCTCTTCCTCGAGGCCAAGCGCGGTGGCTCAAAGTAATTGCATCAGTTGCTTTGGAGGAACGACCAAAACGAAAGCGACATCGCCTCGGAAACACCACCGCGTCCGATCAATGGATCGGTTGCCATATTTCAAACCTGTCGAGGATACCAGGGTCACTTTTTATTTCGGAGTCTGGGAAGAGCATGGGAACAGGCGTTTTTGGTTCATCGACATTATCAGCAAAACGATGCCCGGTTCAGGGGCCCATGTACAAAATGTATCATAACTCATACAATCTTCTTATGGAAGCCATGTTCTTGAGCAACTCATTCCTCCTTAAGCTATACCCGAGCAATCGTTTCCCGTCAGCAACCATCCTTGAGGTCCCTTGCATACCGCGTTCCGATCCACCATTTCATAAATCATACCAGCATAGAATGTTGTTTCACACTTCCGTCGTCTTTTTCTCGCAGCTCGTTGTTCGTAACAATCCATTCTCAACGACGAGATTGTGGACCGGTCATCTCATGGTCGAAGCGACTCACCATGTTCTGTTCCTTGTCTGTAATGCTTTGTCAGATGTGTTGTGAGAAATTACGACATTATCTCTTACTGGTTCTACTGGAACGGCGTCTCTGAGACCCTGGTATTGCAGATGACGTCTGAGAGCGGCGAGGTGTCGCGGCAGCGTTGCGTTGGCCAGCAGGAGCTGTAACAGAAGCTGCACTCTCTGTGCGTTGTCTTTTGTTGGTCTTTGGACCTTGAGGAGCTGATCGCTTCTGAGGGCTGCGACTGCCGCTGCTACTGCCACGGACCGAGCTGCTGGGAGCCGAGTGATCATCCTCGTCATCGCCTTCTTCTTCTGCATCCGGAACATCAAAGCTAATGCTTTTGCCTTTGCTGCTACCTCCAAGCTTGAAGTTGCGAGGTCCGCTGCTCAGTGCTGACACCTTTTTCTGCACTCGTGGAGTAGCTGCTGGTCCTTTTGGAAGTTCAGGCATTTTGATGGGCTGCAGAGCTTCCGGTTTGCTCTGTCTCGGCTGACTTTCAGGTCTGGGTGTGAGCTTCCTACCCGTACCTTGTAGGTTCTTGCCACCCGGCTTCATAGGTGTCTCGAATGCATGTGAGCCTACAGCCAGATCACTGAAGATGCCCAGACCTATTGACTGCTGCTGAGACTGCGGCTCAACATCCTGAGATTGCTGCTGAGACTCCTGCGCACGTTCTTGACTCTGTGACTGTTCCCATCCAAGATAAGCTGCGCTTCTGTAACTCTCACCAAGGTTACGAACTTCACTCAGAGACGAGGAAGATGAGCCATGCTCAGAAGGTCGGACTTGTGTCTCTGCCTGTCTTTGGTTGTTCTGGCTCCTGAACGTGACTCCCTCGGCAGTCAAGACTTCCTGTGAACCGAGGCTGAAGGCTCTTTGAGCCTCTGATTGTGAGCTGTTGGGTCTCGAAGTTGGCTTCGGGAATGACAGCTGTGAGTTGTTCATGTCTAGCATCTCGTCGTCTTCCTGTGGAGAGCTGTGTCGGCGAGTGTCGTAGCTGTTGCTCCTTGAGTCGCGGAAAGGTCCGAAGATAGAGGGACCTGTGCTTCTTGGCTGTGTACTTTCGAGAACGTTGTTCGTCGGCTGAGTTTCACTTGAAGACGCAGTTGAGCTGGTAGGCTTCGAGACCGAACGACCGCTTCTGTTCACGACCTTTCTGCCTGTCTTCGTCGATGGTGCAGACGTCTGGTCTTGAACGTCTTTTTGTGGCTGAGAATTGGGAATCTGAACAGCAGCTGCGATAGCTTTGGCATGATCCTGCTTCAGGTTCTCGATGTCTTGCTTCAGTTTCTCGTTTTCTTGCTTCAGCTGCTCAGTATCAGAGTGCTTCTGGCGAGCGACCTCTTGGTGTTGGGTATGACGTTCGTCCATTTCCTTGAGGCGATGGTCGGCATTCTCTGATTGTTGTCGTAGGCCAGAGATCTCTTTCTGTCGCTGTTCGGCTTCATCCTGGGAACGCTTTTCAAGATCGCGAAATCTGGTCTCGACGGCAAGCTTGGCAGAGTTGACTTCTCTCAGGCGGACCTCCATGGCTTTCAATCGGTCCTGGGCATCTTGAGACTTGCGAGATGCATCTTCCTGGACGGTCTTGACAGTCGCCTCTCCAGAACGCTTTACTTCTGCAAGTTCTTGCTCCAAGGCCTTGATATTATCGTGCGCAGCAGTGCTCTTTTCGTTGAGAGTTTGTATTTGAGCGTCTCTCTGTTGCAACTCTTGTGCTCCTTCCTCTAAGGAGGTTTCGGCTGACTGACGTGATTGGTCAAGGTCTTGCTGCAGTTGCTCAAGCAGACGACTCGCTTCAAGGCTTTGATCGGTTAGACGCTCGATCTCTGTTTCCTTTTGCTGCATGTCTTCTGCCCAAGCGGCCGGGCTGCGATTGCCATAGTCATGCTTCACGCGATCGAGCTGAGCCTGCAATTCTTTGATGTTGTCTTCCCTGACTGCAAGATCTCGATCGACTTCCTCTTTCATCTTCTGTAGCTTCACTTGCTCGTTGTGAAAATCGATAGAAAGCGTGCGGACGTCGTTGTCTCGTTCAACTTTAGCCTTGTCGATTTGCTTCTGGGCCTATTCAAGGTTAGCAAGCCCATCGTCTCTGGGCAAAATCAGAAATCGCTTACTTCTGACTCAATCCTGGCTTTCTCTAGGCCAAAGTCGGGGACTGCATGTTGGGCATCCTCGAGCATTTTGGTAATTCCGCTGATCTGATCCTGATCGGGAGTCAGGATAGTTGACATTTGCTCTTCTCCAACAACTTACTTGAAGATCTCCCTTCTCGCGCTTTAGGGCACTACTCTGCTCTACCATCGATGTGATAGTAGCTAGACTCTCAATCTTCTCGTTCTTCAACTTCTCAAGCTCCTGCTTCAAGTTGCTCTCAGACGTGGTGAGTTCCAACAACTTGGCTTTGTCGGCCTCAGCAGATGCCTTTTCCGACTCCAGGCTGGCATTGGAAGATTGAAGTTCGTCGATCCTCTTCCTGAAGCCAGATTCGGCATTGCTCTTGTTGAGCAGGTCTTCTTCAAGCTTCGCGATTTTCTCCTTGCTCGACTCCAACCTCTGTTCCTCTTCAACCATACGCTCTCGTAAAGCAGTATTCATTGCTGTGAGCCCATCCAGTTTTCTGAATTGAGACTTGATGGCGTCGAGAGCTGCAACGACCTGGTTCTCACCCTCTGTGCGAGTCTTCGAGATTGAAACATTGGCGTGCTTCAGTTCTCCAAGGTGTTTCTCGAATCTGGAGTATCTTGTCAGTGCTTAAATATGCGATTGTGCAACAACGCACTCACCCTAGTGAAAGGTTCTCTACGGACGTCTTCATCACCTCCATGTTTGTTCCAGAAGAACGAATTTGGTCCAAGATGACCGTGCTCTCTTTCTTCATCTGCTCGAGAAGATCCTGGGAGGCCTTACTTGACGAAGTGCTTTGTTTGATGAAGGCCGTAAATTCGCTCAAGCGATCGTTGATCTTGTTAATGCATCTATTGAGCATCTCTTCCGTGGAGTTTCTTGCTGTCTGGAAGGATTGGAGACGCTCATCGAAAGCATCTTGGCGTGACTTTTCCTGAGCAAGAGATTCAAACGCTTCACGAAGACGTTTCTCGAGATCGGATTTGTCACCTTTCAGTTTCTTGATAGCCACTTGTTGCTCTTTGGCAAGGCGAAAGATTTTGGCCTTCAAGTCGGACACTCTTGCGATCTGCGGTGGAACGCTAGTGACAACGCCTCGGTCGGCGAGAAGCTGGGATTTGAGCCCTCGGATCTCCTCGTTGTAGGCGGCCTTGATCTCGTGAAGTCTCTTGAGGTCTTTGCCTAAGCCATTGTGGAAAGTGGCAAGGGTATTGAACTGTTCGGTCAGCTCAGAGCGCTTTGCAAGACTGGCTTTGAGCTGTGCACATTCGACTTCGAGTTTCGACTTGTGGCGATTGGCTTTGTCCAGAGCTTCCTGTTTGGCAGCAAGACTTTTCACCCAGTCCTGCTTTTCCTGCAGCTGCTCTTGTTCTTTCATATACTCAGCAAGCTGATACAGTTGTGCGGCTGTGTATGAAGAAGAGTTTGAGGTTCGTGCGGTAGAACCAGACTGGAGAGGCTTTCTCTTGATCTTAGTCACTCTCGGTGGACCAGAGCGGTTTGTTCCATGAAGGGGTTGTTGTGCATCTATAGGTGTAGGCAGCGACGTGTCTGCAGGGGTTGGTGGATGCTGTATGTTTTGATCAACACTGGTTGACGGCATATCGTGAACAGTTTCAGCAGGTGGTCCAGAAGCGACTGACTGTTTCGCTTTCACCGGATGAGGCTCCTCGATAGCACAATCGTCCTCAATGCTTTGCTGATCTTCGAGAGATTGCTGTCTTGGAAACGGGTCTTGCTTTCCATCGTGATCCTGGTGACTACCTGGGTGCCGGGCCTTCATGGGAAGCTGTTCTTCCGATGTGATCCGGTGGCCTCCATGAGAATCGTTGTAGACAAGCTGTGCCTTCAAGACTTCACCACCTCTGTTGCTTCCGGGCAATTCACCTGGCACAACAGTGTCTTGCATTGAGATATCGGCGGAGTTGACATGTGTTACCTTGGGCTGGACAAGGGCCTCTTCTTCGACGTCCGTGTCTTGCTGCTCAGCGCCCTCGGAGACAATTCGCTGTGAAGTCACGGCAGGTACAGCTGACTTCGGATCTTTGAGGTTGAATATGTCCTCTGTATCAGAGGCAGAGTTAGGGAGAACTTCTGCATTCTTGACGCCTGCGATGTGCGTGGGGGGTGTTCCTGCAGGAGAGCCACGTCTGGTAGAGGGTCTGGTGTGGTCTTGAACAGGTCCATCCAAGACTCGAGTATGGTCATGAGATCGAACCATTGAGGCATTGGGCCGAGCAGAACTGCCATATGGGTCAGCAAGTGCGGCATGTCATCTGCAAAAAGAAAGCTCACCTCTGGCGCCTAGGCTGCTTTTGTGGAGGCTTTGGTCGTGTGTGAGGAGTCGAGGAAACCTTCTGGACCTGAGCACCGGGGGAGTTCTGGGACAAGGATGAGCCTGGTGGCTGCACTTCTTTCCGGAGGTCGACAGGCGCTTGAAGATTTAATGTCAGCCAGGAACTCAGCCAAGGTAGTAGTCGCGACAGACCTTGTGAAGCCAGAGCAGGTGAGGGTCCTTGTTGAGCACTACGGGCCGAGACTTGGTGTTCTTGATTCGACTTCTCGAACGAAGGAGGGAAGACAGCTTGACTCGAATGGTCGGCCTGGCTTGACTGAGAGTTGCCTAAAACATGTGCAGGTGGCGCCCTCTTTCCATAGGCGAAGCAAGGTTCAAACTCAGACTCGGTGGGAGGCTTCACAAATGTTCTTGTTTGAACGGCGAACTCTGCGGTGGAAAGAGGAGCAGAACATTTTTCGATGACATCTGCGTCATCACGATCAAGTTCACCGGCCCTGCTGCTGGGTCTGCTACTCAGGCCGCTTGTTGAGGGGCGGTCATCAGGTTGTTGATTAGAGCGAATGGCAACCTCTGTGCCAGACTTGGTGGGAATGCTGACAGTCTGTAAGCTCTCGTGGTATGGCGATTCGGCCATGCTGTCAGAGTTTGGGTCGTCGGACGGATCAGCTCTGGTCATTTGGCTGAGAGTACTGTATGTTCTAGGCTGGCTTGACTCGGGCATGGCTGTAATGGGACGTGGCCGCCCACCTTCGAAGACCGCAATACTAACAAGGAAGATGGCAGTACGAGAGATGAGTGAGTGGCTGAGTGAGTGGGTCGAGGGGAGAGGCGGAGGAGCATAACAGATAGGAACGCGTCAAGTGCCATGTGCCCTCACAAGGAAGGAGCTGCCCTCTGCTTGTCGCATGGCTCAGTGGTCGTCATGAACCATGTGATTCGTTTTATCCACTTGTACAGACCTGTGTAGTCGGTGTTCATTTCACTCGCTGATAGCTCTGTCGCAAGCTTTCTGAAGCAATTCGACTTTGATCTTCCCATAATCACCTACTCAATACGTGTCGCAGACATCTCTTGTAAAAGCACATCACGATCCTGGACTCCTGCAGCCAGGCTCTTGCCAGTGTCTCGGATTATCAAATACAATACCCACTGTTTGTCAAGGTGGGAGTCAGGTTCAAGCCGGACGATGCTCTGGAAGGAAGAAGGAAGACAGGTGTTGGCTTGGCAGGGCTTTATTAACTCCGTCCATGATATTAGTCCACGTCGAACAGTAAACATTGAAGCAATTCCATGTCTTCAAGCTCGATGCAATAACCCTAGCCAGCCTCATAAACACCTGATAGATCCCGTCACACGCGACTGGAGATAGCCCTGTTATGGCTGACTCGCTATATGAACTTTTGGCGCCATACTTCGATCAGCCAACGCCAGCGTCCACAACCTCCGACTCGATACCTCTACTCACAGATTCTACAACAAATGCCTATCTAGCTCGATTGCCAACTCTCTCGCTACAATCTCTAACTACCACCGAGCCTTCATACCTCAATGCCGCAACCCAATCGAGTCTGCGCTCCTTGCAGGCACTTTCCAAGCGCTCGCATCGCTCTGTCGTTACTGCGACCGACCACCTCTCGAACCTCTCTACCCTGCTACCCTCACTATACACACAGTCGAAAGAGTTAGAAGATGCATTGCCAGTCTTGGAGTCGGCCGCCACAAGTTTTGCGACCAAATATGACAGAAACACCGAGAACGCCGTACTCGACAGGAGGAAAAGAGCCATGTTGCTGAGCAGAAATGTGGATAGGGTCAGCGATGTCATGGAACTACCGACATTGTTGTCCACTGCTATTAGCTCCTCGTCAGCTGCCGTCACACAAGGCACTGGAGGCGCAGCTGCCTCTGGCTATGCTTCTGCTCTTGACTTGCATGCACATGTCAAACGTCTGAGGACATTGTATCCGGATTCAGATCTAGTAGGAGATATATCACGACAAGCTGATGATGAAATCCAGAACCTCGTCACTGTTCTTATCAATGGTCTACAGAACCCTGCCCTCAAGCTTGCTGGAGCGATGCGCATGATCGGCTGGCTTCGACGTGTCGCTCCTGAACTTGCTGATGATACGTACAGCAGCGTTCATGGTCAAGCAAGAGGCAGAACCTTAGGCGCTGCGACAGGGGAAGGTTCATTGGGTGCACTTTTCTTGGTGTGTAGGCTGGGCACATTACGGCGGACGCTTGAAGCATTGGATCCATTGAAAGACCTTGCGGATCAAGAGACGAGTCGCCGGTCAGAAAACAGTGCCAACCAAGAAGCCTGGGTGGGAGGAGCGCAAACCGAACGCTACTTGAAGAGATACGTTGAGGTTTTCCGTGAGCAGAGCTTCGCCATCATCTCAATGTACAAGAGCATATTTCCCTCAGCGTTACCGATTCCGGGAATGGCTGGGTCAGACTTCACATCCCCTGCCGGCACACCGACACAAACTACGAGTATTCCGGAAGATGCGACAACATCGTATTTCGACGCCGACGACGACAAAGCCCCATCAGCACTCGCGACTTTTGCACCACACCTGGTCGACATGTTGTCTGAGACCTTACGCGTCTACATGCCGAATATCTCGGAAAGGTCGTCAAGGGACAGCTTGCTCACTCAAGTGCTATATTGCGCAAGCTCTTTAGGCAGACTGGGTGCAGACTTTGGGTTAATGCTGGCCCTCCTCGAAGGCGAGCTGGATGAGGAAGACGAAGATGGTGAGGCCGTGCACATAGACGAGGATCAACATGAATGGGTACAAGTCATGAAAAAGCACAGAGTGCAAGCTAGTAGACTAGAAATCCTGGCGAGCGGAGTTGGATCTGGGCGGAAGACGAGTGCCAGTCTTGACTCTCGCAGGCCTTCCGCCGTTACCGGGTAGAGAATGACAGATGACAGAAGGGCGCTCGCTTGCCCACCTCCCCAGTCTTGCATGGTGTTTGATCGAGCTTTGCCGTCTTTGCCGATCCGTTTGAGACTCATGAGAATTCATATCCCGTGAATCAGTGGACGTACAACGATCGTCTCTATCGGTGCGGATGTCCGGATTATACCAAGAACAGATAGGCAAAGGATCAAGCATGTGATGCCTTGGCTGTTGAGCGAGCCTGAGTCCTCCAACTTGGCGGCGAGGTCGATGTCGATGAAGATTCAAGAAGTGGCTGGTGGTTGCGGGAGTGGCTTGCAGGGGAGCCGCGATCCGCGTCATACTTGATATTCTTCATTTTTTTCCCCCGACCTCAACCCAAGTGCCGAGTACAACGATCAAGGATATCATGATTGATCAGCAAATTGCGCGTTTGTACAGTGCACGCGACACAAAATCGATATTCATAAGCCTACGAAGTTTTGTAGCACATGTTTCATCGTCTGGAGATGACAATCATCTTATACATGTAAACCAGGGGAAAGGTGGGTCAGTGAAGTCGGGATGCGCATGTCCGTCGTTTGTCTGCCGCGCGGCCGTGGTCGACTGCATCTGTGGTATCGATATCATGGCAAGTCCGTCTCAAATACACGGGATGCAGGAGGAGGTGACGCGGTCATGTAGGTGTGTGGCCAAGTTGTCTTGCTCCATAACTCGTCACCCAAGACCTAACTCGCCTATCCGAACTGCTTGTTATTCTCAGTGCCTGCCTTCCATTGTTGTTTTTAATTGTATTTCTTTCAAAATTTGATTCTTTGCGCCAACTCGCCTCTTTCATCAATACTCCTATCTAGGATCAATTGTCTTATTCCTGGTCTACAACCACAACACACCAACCACATTAATATATGCTCGCTTGAACCATCATACAGCAAGTCGGATTGCCTCAACTACCCCACAATTCGCGATGAAAGGATCAAATGCTCTGTTCCTTGCCAGTATCGTTCACACCTGCACACTGGCATTCGATGTGGCAACGGAAGCGATTTTTGACCCTGATGATGGAGAGGCGTGGGAGTTGAACTATGGTTACTATCCATATCGGTCTTACCAAACCACCGATCTCATCTCACCAGAGTTCAGACATATGGTCGATTCACCCGAGTGCCACGACGATCGATATACATTCTTTACACCTCGAGGGTTCTCCATTTCAGCACCAGGACCTATGATTGTGGACAGTCACGGCGAACTAATCTGGGCAAAGAGTACGGAAGGGCAAGCGTACGACTTCAAGGTGCAGGAGTACAAAGGCGAACAGTTTTTGACGTATTGGCAAGGTGACGACAAGGTTCGAGGCCATGGCGCTGGAGACTTCTACATGGTATGCGCTGTTTGACACCTAGTATTGACCAACCGCTGATGACACTAGCTCAATTCTGGTTACCAAGAAGTACACAAAATCTCAGCTCTCAACGGTCTGGCAGCCGACCTCCATGAACTCGTTATCACGCCTCAGGGCACAGCGCTACTCACCGTCTATGATATCTACCAGCGCGACTTGAGCGAGCTCCGCAACTTTGAAGAGTGGGAGGAAGACCCGCACTACATCTGGGACAGTCTGTTCCAGGAGATCGACATCGAGACTAACGAGTTGCTATTCCAATGGCGTGCGTCGGATCACTACTCTATCGGTGAGACTTTCAAGGCAATAGGAGGTGCAGGCATACGGAATGAGCCTTTTGACTGGTATCACATCAACTCTGTGCAGAAAGATGAATTTGACAACTATCTGGTCTCTGCCCGCTACACTCACACCATAACCTATATCAACGGCACTTCTGGCGACATCATTTGGATCTTAGGAGGCAAGCGCAACATGTTCAAGGACCTTGACAACGGCTTTGCCACAAACTTTGCCTGGCAGCACGACGCTCGTTTCCATGCAAAGACAGAGTTTCCTGAACTCTTCCACGAGGATATCGCACTCCACGGGAGCAGTAAAGAGGTTGATGGTCTTACGAAACAGCTTATCACACTCTTTGACAACAGCGCAGAAGATGTTGAGCACACTCTTGACTCGTCTCGTGGACTTCTCCTCGAAGTGACATATCCTTCTGCACATCTGCCATCATTCCAGCCTGATCTTGCTAAACGCGATGCTGCTCAAGACCAGGACGATAGGTACTCGGCAAAGGTCGTCAGATCGTACGACCATCCTCAGGGTCCTTTATCGACCAGTCAAGGGTCGTTACAGGTGATACCGTCCGCTGATGATAAGAAAGACTCCAAAGTGTTCGTCGGCTATGGATACAACGCCCTTTTCTCTGAGTACAGTGCGGATGGCAACCTGCTGTGTGACAACCACTTCGCAACCAACTACTCATGGGGAAGCGGTCAAGTTCAATCTTATCGCTCTTTCAAGTTCCCCTGGACTGGTCGCCCTGTTGATCCGCCCACCGCAGTTTTGTCCGCAAATGGTCAAGTCTACGTGAGCTGGAATGGAGCCACTGAGGTCGGAGGTTACGTTCTCCAGCATACCCGCAAATTCCCTGCCCCAGAGAATGCTTGGAAGAATGTCCTTCATATCGACAAAACCGGCTTCGAGAGTGTCATTGATATCGAGGACGCTGAGCTGCTACGATACATTCGCATCAAGGCGGTCGACAAGAACGGTGTGATGCTAGGCGTGTCAAGGGAAATTGATATGGGCTGGAGTGCTGTTCTGACTAGCTCTGTGCCACAACTGAACACTGCTGACATCGGACCCATCAAGCTGGTCATGTTGATCTGCATCAACGTCGCTATTGTATTTGTTATGTACGAGCTCTGCAGACGTCTCTGGACATGGCGCCAGACTCGCAAATGGCGGCAAAGAAGGGGCATTCGTCTGCTCTCTGATGCATAGAGCTGGGCTGTGACATTATTTTCTTTTGTCTTATTGCATAGCGATGCCAGCATAGAACGTTCTTATGTGGAAGGTATTGGGGTTGGTTTGGCGTATCTTTTCTCCATTCTTGGACCTTCTATAGCGGATACCCTTCTCTTTTTCGAGTTGTTCAATGAATATATTTCATCACACTTTCGTGTCCTTTGGTGCTCGAGATGTCGTACTATGGAGTGCCATGCCTTATGACTGCCCTATCGAAGTTGAAGTGCCCAGTATACGTGACAGCCAGCATGTTGCCGATAGCCTCTCAACGACCCTTTCCTCTCGGTTCACGGGGGTGATCCACCGAGTTGTGCTCTTCGGGCAATTACATCCGCTATCGTCCTGCAGTCGCCATAGCCTTCAGGCATTACCTCGTCCCAGCTCGCTTTGGTATAACCTAGTAGTAAAGGCATAGTCAGCATATCTCTTGTACAAAGATGATAAAGATACAAACGACAGATCAAAAGTCATCTGATGGCTTTTGACCTGTCTCATTTGTACCTTTGCCTCACGAACAAGTGTGACAGGTGAATGTTCCTGGATCGGTCCACCATAACTTCGAGCCGTTGTTGCGTGACATTCCACAGCTTGAACACGTATGTTTTATCCCTTGATTATACAGGAGAGGTCGATGTGATTTCCAAGGGAGATCGCGAAACCAGGTGTAGCGAAACACCCAGTTATAAAGAACCGTCCTCCTAGCGTATGGCTCCCGTGTGTTTCGATATCCGACCTTTCGCAGCCGACTCTTCTCTTTAGTCCTTCTGCGAAACTCTGGATTCTGCCAATATCTATTGCGTTGCCGGGTCGCTTCTCTGAGGAGATACTGTTCATATTTTTCCGGATCTGCCTTGATTCTGGCATATTCCACTGCAGTTGGCAGATAATTAATACGGCAGGAAGAAAACAGGCGCGGTGATTGCATAGGCTCGACTGATTTTGGTCGTCGAACAACCGTATTACACAAAGTCGAAAGCATTATCTTGGACATGATCTGATGAATGGTGGAAAGACGAGCTGACTCTGATGCAACGCCAGTGTATTGATCAGTGACAGCGAGACTCTGGTTATCACAGCTCTGCTAGGTCAAAATGTCAGCTACAGTCACTGAGTTCTGGGTCTGCCCACTAGGGTCGTGTACCGTACCAAAGATTCTGTCCCTGATCAAGTTTTGCGATGATTGTGATTCTGAACGCTTCCAAAGTTCGCGATGGTGTCTTGTTTCGCGTGCGCGCACTGTCGGAGTTCAAGACGAAAGCGGTAACTCGGCGCGAAGGAGCCTTGTGGACAAAATGCTTGGTCGTCGGATTGCGACGAGACTGGCTTTGAACTTCTACATTCTCGACCTACTGAGATGCCAGATTGATAACCAACAGACATTCAAGATATACGTGCAACTGTATTTAGATATGTGCGTCTGTCTTTTTATCCTTGGCCACTGTAGATCGGATGTTACTCAGGACACGAAGGATTGGCTTTGATATATGGCCATACCAAGCCACGACCGGCCCGTGAAATTAGCGACCAATCGCTCGAAGCCTCAGCCTTGACAGGGCTGACTTGTCAATCCAAGGGCGCGCCCTCAAAAAGAGTCACAGGCATCTAGGTACTCAACGGTAAGCAAAAGTCAATGGTCTGACATCCTCCTTGTTTTGCTATTCTCTGTCTGGCCGTACGCCCTATACTTTCCTCTTTCATGATTCTTGACATCCTGTGACACTTTCCTTTTCTCACTGTACGCCCTTCGCAACATGTCAATGTCGGCTTTGCAAGAAGAAGCCGAGCTTGGCGAATTCTTCGACTTCCAGAACGCCGTCTCGGATGGCGGTAGCATGCAAACCAGCAGTGTCATCGCTGATTCGAGTCATCTTTCTCAAAATGCAGAGAGGTTAGCTCATTGACAAGCTGCCCATCTACACACATCCCATCTAACACCAGGCTCAGCGATCTCTACAGCAACACAAATCTCCCCGACTTCGGCAGCGAGGAAGCTGAGGCAGCGGCATACAGCAACTTCTCCAAATGGATTCCTCGATTCATCCAACCTGATCACCAATGTACTTATTGTTACGAGAACAAGCTCAACTGCTTCCTGAGTTATGGAAAGGTCACATGTACTGCTTGTGTGAGTAGTGTCATGTGCTTCATCATCCACGAACTTGCTGACAGTTTGCTCCAAGGACACTCTCTTCAGACCGTGTAGCTTTGTCAAGCCTCATGCTCACAATGCAGATGGAACTCCTGAGCAGGAGCCGTTGAAGGGTCTCATCGACACACTGCATCCTATAGGAGAGGATTCTTGCCAAGAACAAGGCAAGTTGACTGGCGTCCGATCACTCAAATCAATGCCAGACAAGAAGTCCAACAGTCGCTTCTCAAAAACTGCTGTCAAGGTCTTGAGAAACTGGCTGGATGAACATCAAGCGAACCCCTACCCCACTGAGGAGGAGAAAGAACAGTTGGGTCGCACGACTGGATTACGACTTGCACAGATCAACACATGGCTTGCCAACGCTCGACGCAGAGGCAAGGTCGGTGTCAAGAGCAAAGCTACCATGGACGGTTTACCACACTCGACCACTACTTCGCAACCGCCGACAGCTGCTATTGGTATTCCTGGCGCCAGAGAGATTGAGATCAACAAGTGGTCTGACATGAACCCTCTGGAGCGATGGAAGCACTCGCCCCCCCAGAACGAACCTGCTCCCTTCAATGCTATCGCCGACGCTTTGGGCCGCCGAGATTTGCCTGATTATGCAGAGGAACCAAGCTCCACATCGACCTTTGGTTGGCAAGGTCTTGAGTCGAGTCAGGACGACTCGTCGTTCTCTCACAACAGGGCAGGCTCCGTAACGTCCCAAGAAAAGTCTACGTCCAACTCAGCTGCATCATCTGCGGCATGGTCAGGCTCGCGCGAATCGTGGGGATCAGGATCATTCCACTCGTTTGGAAGCAGTCTCAACGGCAGAAAAGAACGACGACGTCGTCGAAAGATGCCTGGTCCTGTTTTGAAGAAGCCATCGAACGACAAGAATGTCAAGAAAGACAGAATCTTCCAATGCACATTCTGCACAGATGACTTTACGACAAAGTACGATTGGCAAAGGCATGAAAAGACACTGCACCTGTCTTTGGAGAAGTATATATGCTGTCCGCTAGGGCCCGAGACTTTGGACCCCGCCACAGGCCGTACTGTCTGCTCTTACTGCCATGCACCAGAGCCAACAAAAGATCACATCGAGTCTCACAACCACCGCCAATGCCTTGACAAGGGATTCGCGGGAAGAACGTTCTATCGCAAGGATCATTTGCGACAACATCTCCGACTTGTGCACGAAATGAAACTTCTGCCTCATATGGAAGACTGGAAGACAACTCTAACAAATGTCAACAGCAGATGTGGTTTTTGCACTAAGAGATTCAGCGTATGGTCGGAGCGCAATGATCATTTGGCAGCACATTTCAAAGACGGGGCTAAGATGAGTGACTGGAAAGGCTGTCGAGGCTTCGATCCAGCGATCGCCGCTCTTGTCAACAGCGCCATGCCGCCCTACCTAATCGGACTCGAGGGAACCTCAGTCAACCCGTATTCTGCCACATCCCCCATGAAGTGCATGACACTCCAGACACATCTCGATGCTGGAGGCGCCCCGACCACATGCTGGGAAATATTGACCGTACGGCTTGGAAAATTTGCAAAAGAGCAGACGGATAAAGGCGTCATCTTGACCGATGAAATGCTTCAGAAACAGGCACGACGCATCTTGTACGACTCCGATGATGCCTGGGACAACACTGCAGCTGACAGCCCCGAATGGCTTGACTTGTTCAAGAGAGCCCACGCGCTAGACTATATTCCAACCGAGGTATCAGGCGTAGGCAAGAATATCCCCGAAGATCTCGAGTTATACACAGATCTGGGTATCAGAGTGCCCTTCAGCGTACAAGTAGCACGCGGTATGTCGCTTGACTACTTGCCAGCTGGTCTACCAACGATAGGAGGGTATGCAGAGCTCTCTGATGCGATGATTCCTCATGAACGAGCGACATTGATTGAGGGCCTGGGTACGGGACACAACGTTGGCACCATTTCCGCTTCTGGCAGATCATCGCTGTCGCAGCCATCGCCACAACAAGGCTCCAACTCTGCTACACCGGTGACTTATCAGAGCCATGGCTCGACGCCTTTGCAACTCGACACGCCCCAAGGAATCAGCTCAAACAATCTTTCAGACCAAGAGATTGATGCTATCTTGGCAGAAGCAGGCTACCAAGCGCCTCACCAACTCAGCGCGGGCGATCTCGCACGACAACACAATGCAGAACTAGCCGAGAAGCACGGTCTGTCTTCCATAACACCAGAAGAGGCTCAAGAGCAACTCGCTGAGTTGAATGCCGCCATGGCTGTACTTACCGAGCAAGCCGCCTCATACGATGCACCGCTTTCCGGCCACTCGTCAGATACAATGGACTTTACAAACATGAGCATAGACGCAGAGCTTTCGGAATTCATCAACTCGACAACTACATCGAGTCCTGATGACTTGCTTGCAACTACTTGGGGGAACAAAGAACAGTGTGTGATGCAAGATGCTTTTACGACTGCCGGAGAACAGGCAGGGATGATGGTGACGGATATGACGATGCAGGATTTGGATATGGATGGTTTGCAGTTTGGTGACATGGATTTTGGTTTGGGTTTCCAGTGATTGCATAGTTAGAAGAAGATAATATCATTGTTTCGGATCTATTGCTTCTCACATTTCTTGACGTACGTAGACATGGTTACACCGATGAACGATCATGTTGAATCTGTTGCTTCCTCTCTCAACTTCTCAACGCCGATATCAACAATATCGTTCATGGGTCTCTCTGCATTATGTTGCACAGCAGAGATCTCACTCAAGGTAAACTTCGTACCCTAAGCCATCGGCACACAGTACTCACGTCAACAACACCAGAGAATCAGTAGCTTCCTGGAGCAAACATACGAAAACAGCAGCAAAATGGACTGTCAACCTAGTCTGAAGCTCATCTCATCCCTAGAGGACCTTGAGATGACTACACACCCCATCGTAACAGCGCCACCAGTGCATCCTTTTACATCACCTTTTCTGTCCAGATCGCCAGCAGAGGTCGCCGAGATACTCGCTGCAAGGACGTCATCTGATTCCATGATTGAATCTAATCTGTTCGCTATCTTGGACGAGAAGTCACTCTCCGAAGACTCTGGTCTGATTGTGCAAGTCAAAGCTGGCAGGGTGGAGAGTGTGCGTGTGCATCTCGATACGATCAATGCGGAGCTTATTAGAGTTAAAATGATTACGTTTGACGTTAAAGAGACGCAAGGGTTAGTGGGGAAAGATGGGGTGTTCAGGACCAAGCCACCTGATGAGAGTAAGAAGGGTGGGAGTGCGGTCAGGAAGAAGTTGGGTCAAGTGGTCATTGGGTAGTGATTTGGTTGCTCCGTTCTGAGGACTCTGGAATCAAGATGCAATCCTCATGCGATGAAATTTTTGCAAGTGCAGATGTGACACGCAACAGCATCGCAGAGGAGGGCATTGTTCGTTGAATGCTTCATCTCCTCAGCACTCTTTGGACACGATTCTGCTCTGAGCCATATTCCAGATTGCCCATACCTCATCTATCGCTCTATGCAATCATATAAAGGAGAGCGGTATGGCAAACCTCAGCACCAGAGGAGGAGTGTGCTTTGAGTCAGACCACAAAGGTTTACATGGCGTTGACAGAGCTCACTGGTGTCTCGTTCCGTTCCCGTCCAAATCCATATCTCACTGCACTTTCCCAACCTCGTGATGCTGAGTCTCGACATCCTCCAAGGGGTTGACTTTGCTGCTTCGCTTCCCAGCCACAACATCTTGCTCCTCTACTCTGTGCACCTCTTCGTTCTCCCTTTCGATATACTTCAAAGGTCTCGTACTAGAAATTGCGTCTTTGTCTCTGAACACAAACAAACTGGGGTCAGATCTGAAGTATGCGTCTAAGTCTTCAAGAGTTCTGGAACTGGTCTCTGGATAGCAAAGGTAGATGACAGGCAAGAAAAGAGCATTGGTTCCAACCCAGATTGGCCAGAAGCGCCATCCCAGGTTCTGAAATCCTATTGGGGTGATCTCGACAATGACGAAGTTTGTAATCCAGTTGGTGGCTGTCGCTACTGCGGCACCTTTGGTACGCATTGGCAAACTGTTAATCTCTGCAAGGACGAGGTCAGCTTCTAAGCCAGCAAGAGACGTTGACGCATGACTTACCGGCTGGGTAGAGCCAAGGTACGCCGAGCATACCCACGGCAAACGCGATGTTGTAGAAGAAGAAAAAGAAAATGGCCGCCTTAGCACATTCAGTACTACCGTTAGCGATAGCATATTTGAGAAGAATAGAAATGCAGAGGAAGGCGATGAGCTGCAGAAAGGTGGATATCATCATCAATGATCTGCGGCCCAAACGTTCGACGAAAAGAACCGCAACGCCCGCAAATACGAAGTATGATACCGCATTGCAGGCGGACAGCAAGCGAGCCATAGAGTTGCTCAGTCCAACGTACGTTATCATGATCGTCGGTGTGTAGTAAGACATGATGTTAATGCCTCCAAACTGTTGCATGAACTGGGTGCCGGCTCCAAGAAGTAGACGACGAACACTTTTGGTGCCATCTTGGGTACGGCCGCGAAGTAGATCACTCCACTTGATCGCATGGTCCTTTTCGTACTGAACACCGTACGTGATCTCTTGGTACTGTGCTATGACATAAGCATGGTCGATAGGCTTGTCGTCGAGATCGGCTAGAATCTGAATAGCCTCTTTTTCTTGACCATGAGCGATGAGCCAGCGAGGTGACTCGGGCAGCCAGGGAACAGTGACAAACAGAACAAAGATGAAGACAAACTGTAGGGCCAAAGGAAGTCTCCATTGGATCGAGCCCGGCACGAAAGACAGACCATAATTGATCCAGTTGACTATCATGAAGCCTCCGACGTTGGTCATCATTTCCAGAATAACGAGCTTTCCTCTGAGCTCTGCAGGAGCTGTCTCGGTTTGCCAGATTGGCGCTGTCGCAGTGTTGATGCCGTTGCCAATTCCGAGTATGATACGTCCAACGAACATCTGTGGTAGGCTGAACGAGCTAGTCTTCAGAATCACCCCAACAGACATAATCGCAGTGCCGATTATGATGGTCTTCTTGCGTCCCAGTCTTTCGCCAATGGTGAAGGCCACAATTGCACCAATGAAGCAGCCCACATCATATATGGCAGCGACAGTGGATAAAACCTTGGTCCGAGAAGGGCCTTCAAGGTCGTGCAGTTGGAGAAAGTTCTCGCTGACAACAACTCCAGAGAAGACTCCCTAGGACAGTAAAGTGGTTAGCTACTCAAGTTAGTGCCACGCAACATCAGCCATTGTTTACCTGGTCGTAACCAAAGAGAGTCATATCTGTTGCACAAGCAACGGTAATCCAGAATACCAGCCATCCACCCTTGAGGCCGAAGTACCTCTCCTTAGGTGCAAGCAACATGTTGTGAGAATATGAGATGAGATCACGAAGAGCTGAACGTATGGCAGATGCGAATCAAGGCATGCTGCTGTTCGCACGGTCGGAAGGAACCTTTCTTATACTTGACCATACTCATGCGACCCCGACCACTTCTCGGAAACGATCCGAGGGAATCGTCGACAAGTCGACCTGCATACCTCGTCGCAATTCTGCCTAAACTGCGTTGCGCGGGATAAAGTGACACTCACCCCACAAAGGTGATCCGCTGAGAAAGCCGTTGTATCATGGTATACCACCTTGACATGGCGTATGACGGTCTCTTCGCCAGTTCCTGTTCAAGGGTCAATACAAGAACGTTGCTCTCATAGATGACAATACAAGAACGTTGCTCTCATAGATGAGAGAGTTTGCCATCGCGCTTTTCGGAGTCGAAACACCACGGATGATTTCGCTCGATCACAACTCGACATGATATCCACGCGGAGAAAACAGCCGAGTCTGCTTGATGTGGATGGTGCGGAACAAGGTCATGGGACTGATCCTGCGAGTACAGCTCTTGGCGACGGTGACACAGCATGCTTACCAGGCTCGCGGGACTGAGACGCGATGGCTTCGCGTGCGATCCTGCAGAAAATGCTTGGTAAGTTGTCTGGCAGCAGCGTCCCGCAAAGAGCTCATTGTAGAGCGGAGAAAGTGTGAATAGTTCGCTGGTGTCACAAAGAAATGACCATGAAATGATCACAATGTCTTGTTGCAAATGAACAATAAAAGGTACTGGTCGCTATAAGACTCTGACTGGAAGTTCAATGCGAAGACTGCCGAGGTTCAGGCAAAATCGCGGGCAGACTTCTGGCTGTGCTAGCCAATGTGCAACCAACTTCTCTTCACTTCCGATCCTAAGCATCTGCAAGAAGAGTTCGTAGGCATGCAGTCAACTGTGTGAAAAGGACGCCGCATGATGAATCGACTGTCGCTGTGTTGCTACAGTTCTACCAGGAAGCTAGGCAAGTACGCGGACCACAATGAACCCTTATGAAGAAAGACTATATGATCGTAAGGCAGCTTCAATCTTTGTGACAGGATACAATCAGACTCTTGTCAATGGTCTAGCAGTTGGCCCGTCCATCGTAAGCTCATTTACATGTGTTGTAACCTTGGTTCAGCAGGACCGTCTCAATGGACAACTTGGCTCGTGAGCCTTCCACAAAGACGTGGCTTTTCCTGAGAACTCTCTGAGTTGCGACAGGCAGTTCTTCACAGAGAATGCTCGAAGATCATCCAGTGTTCCATCACTTTCCGTATATGTCTTGTTTGTTTGTTTGTTTGAGACGACAAACGGACTTGGCTTTCACTTGCAACATCATGAATTTCAGATAAACCATCACAGATCCGTCGTTCCTTCCTACACCTCACGCGCTCGGCAAGATGCTTACACCGACGCATATCAACCCCAGGTTTTTTTCCTACCCCATCGGTAATACGCCAGCTGCCAACTTGCTGCGTGATGTCCGTCCGGGCAAAGAGCCTGTCGAGATACTCGCGATTGGCTGCGGCGATGTTCGAAACATTCTATTCACCCTCTGGTCCCAAAGAAACATCGGATGTAAACTCAATTTCACCGCGTGCGACTTAGACCCTGCTGTTCTAGGTAACCATATCTTTCCCCTTCTCCCGAAAATGACTTTCAGCTGTCCGGAGACACTACTGCTCCCAAGATGGCAGTCAAGTCGTAGTACCTTGGCGTCGAGACCAACTGGATTTAAAAGTCACTGACACCTTCCGTAGCCCGCAATGTGTTCCTTCTCACAGCCATCCCTCGCAGTCCCTCTCCCGACGAGATTGAACGTCTGTGGAGAATCTACTACCACTTCTACGTTACCAGTACCGACCTCCTCTTCGTCCAGCAGCATTGTCAGAAGCTTCTTGCAGCGTCTGAGAGTTTGATCACATGGAATGACTCGTCTTTTGGATCATCGCTTAGGTTTTCTACAGAGGCTGGTTTATCTGAAGTGCGTCGCATCTGGTCCTTGTACGCTCAGACAAGAACCAAGCAAGAGGACGATAGAATCAGAAATACTATCAAGTCCATGTACGATAGGTATGTCACCGCAGAGGACATCATGTTGAATGGTTCACGCTCCGCTGGAGCTCATGGAGATCTTGCAATTCCTTTGGTCACCGACGCTTACCATGAGTATTGGAAAACCGGCGTCGTAGCAGGCAATGATCAAGACCTCTCTGCACTTGTTCAAGAGAACGGCGGCAGAGCCAATCCGCTCATCTTTGTCTCGTCATCCGGCGCTTTCAACGTGCACTACGGTAGCGATCCCCTTGTTGGGTTCCATTTGGCTGAGGCGCTTGATTCCCATCAGACAACTGAGGCAACCTTGAGTTCTTTCGCACGTCTAGCGAAGTCCCAATTTGGTGGATGGTGTCACGAGTTTATCTCTGGCGTCGCATCGACATCGGTCAACATCATGCATCATTGTGGAGATGCTGTTAACTTCTCACATGCTCTGCAAGCAATCCAAGGCTCCGCCACCGTGCCTCCATCCACATACTTCTACACAAAGCCGTGGGGTTCAGTTCCTCTCGACCTACCCTCATACCTGGTCACTCAATACGATGTGATTGACACTTCGAACGTTATGGATCATGTGGGCCTCTTGAACCTTCTATCTGCCATTGTGCCTCTCTTGTCCGATAAATCTGGGTCTGTCATCTACACAGACAGTCTCGTGCAAAGCTCAGAGCAGCCAGAAAAGATCTTAGAGACTCTGCTGCATTCGGACGTCACAGTGTTGTCCCTAATCCTCAGTGTCGCCCCTGTTGGACACCTTTTAAGAACTATGACAGATTCGACGCACACCGAGCAGCTGGCCACTATGTGTGCTCGTTCTGACACAAGCCCTCAACACCAGCATCGCATGCGCATCCCGTGGAAACGTGCTGCTCAAGCTGATAGCACAGCGTCTGACAGGCACACATCGTCACACCGCATCAGAATGGATCCGGAAGAGCTCGCTTCCTTCTTCATGCATACTTACCTCGCCATGTTTCGTGAAGCAGAGAACATAAAAACCGTAAGGCAAGTCACAAGGCGAAAACTGACTTGTCCTCTGACTGGTGATATCGGGTTTTACTCTCGCCTTTCGCTCGTCACTCTCATCGCCTCAGCGAAACGCAACGTATCCACGGACTGGAACAAATGCGTGGATGCTCTCGTTCAGATGATCGAGAACGACCGTTCTCTCATTATTGGTTCGAACAGTTTGCAAGAACTCTACATGCATCTCCATCTATACGGACTCTATCACTCGCCCATGCTTGAAGGTAATCCAAGAGATCGCAGAACGTACTATGGTGAACCTCGTGATGCGGGCGAGCCTGGAGTTCTTGGACAACAGTCACTGTCTGGAATTGTTCATATTGCCCTGATTGTTCCCAGAAGCAACTTTGCTGTTTTCACAGCTCGTCAGTTGGGCACTCCAGGAGTGCATCTCAGTGTTCGTGGCCACGGTTTCGACAACTGTTTCCATGCTATCGACGTCTTCTTTGGTCGATTCGAGTCAGACGCTGTCGATTCATCGAAAGTTGTACAAGATGCTTCTGGATGGTCAGGTACTTCCGACATGATCGTTACCTGCAGAATCCCTACTCGAGGATTACTACTCGGACGTCGGCAGGATCTTCATGTTGAGCTTAACATCAACACTTCGGTAGTCGATCGCGGCTACATTCCGCTTCTGGGGGTCCGCATGACAATTTTCGGCGCTACCCTCGACAGCAAGAACGTCAGAATCCTGACGCAAGCACCCTGTACAAAGCCTGAGTCTGTCTCACATACTGAGCCAGCGAGATTCACTGAGTCGACAGACACAATTTCTGCCACGGTAGCTCTCAAGCGCGATAGTACTGTACAGTCTATTGCAGTTACGAACAACTTCGCACCTGACTCTGATCAGGATCATGCTTTGAAGAGTGGTGGCGTGGTAGAGAGTTTGCAGATCTCGCCGAGCGTTCTCGCTGTCTCGATCGGTGGACAGAAGGACATAAGCGAGTTCGTCTTCCCTTATCCCGTCGATGGTTCTGCTTGCAAGATTAAGGTCGCCCGTAAGTCTTCCTGGATCGAGATCAAGGCTCCTGCATCTAATGCCCTCGAACCTGGTGGCTTCAGTCTCAACCCATTCCCTATCGTCGGCCAAGATACCAGCTCTCTAGCTTGGGGTATGGGACGTGTCGACCCTGAGCTCCAGCCTCCAGTAAAGATCTCTGCGTCGACTCCTGAAGCTTTGAGGGCGTTGCGTTGGACGGCGCTGAGCAAAGGTGAGCTAGACCAGATTAAAGCAAATCCAGGTCGTGTGTCCAGACCGCGTATGCTCCAGCTCAAAGAGATGATTGGTCAGATGTTCGCTGGCTGTGCTGGATGTAATGCAGACGCTCCTAACGAAAGAATAAACATGTTCGTGTGGAGACACGACGGAGTGTCCAAGTTCCAGATCATCCCTAATGCTCTTCGCCATGATCGGGACACAGGTTCAATCTTCTTGGACGGCTTCTTCGTACCTGTAACAGCAGAGTCTATCAGGCGTATAGTCACTAGCAGCATGACTCCAAATTGCCTCGTCATCGATGCTAGCACAGAAGATATCGAGCTTTGGCAGCGTCTTATACCCGCCATCGCCGAACGTTGCCGCTCATGGGAGCATTCTTCGGAATGCAACTACAAGACCAAGCCCGACACGGCCTTTCTTTGCGACTGTGGAGTCGGACAGAACGCAGCAAGCATGCCTAGCGCTTTCAAATCTGTCGCTGGTCTTGCCACTCGCATTGCTCTTCCCTTCATCTCCGCCGTCCCATACGTTGAGGCCATGACCGACGCAAAGATGATCTCAGAAATTGATGCTGTTATGGCCGCTGTTGATCTAGAGCGGAAGACCAAGACACCTAGCGGTGACGCCTGTGACAACTGTGGCAGCGACAAGCCCGGTCTCAAGGCTTGCTCTCGCTGTGAGAAAGTCAAGTACTGCAACCATGCTTGTCAAAGGGCTGCATGGAAGAAGCACAAGAAGGTTTGCAAGCGCTGATGATTCGGAGCTCAGTGAAGACCTTTCGTGTTTCGAATTTGACATATCTGGCTACTTGGATAAGAAGCCAAGTTATTGCATAAGCAGAGCGGGAAAGAGGAGATTGGAATGATGATTTTCAGGGTGTAAGATACAGTGTGATAAGAAAGCGAGGAATCAGGAGACGATCGGCCGATGAAAATGACACAGACTTTTGATGTGTACTTTCCATCACCTATCCACTACAAATTAACAGTAGCTGGAATGGAAAAGAGAAAGCTCCACTTGACTCTCTCTCGTAAAGCAATAAGATTCTGATCAAGCATGCTTCCTCACTTGGGACGCGAGGTTCTGTAGGATGACCTGAACGGTAACATCAGATAGAACGATGACAGAGCTGACTTGGTCAAAACTTTCCATGCAAGTATATTCATCACCCCAATGGGCCTCTCTAAATTTGTGAAAGTGTATATTGTAAGAGAAGCTTCCGACCTCAAATGTCGTCCTCAAACCTCCTAACCAACAACCCTTCCTTTTCCAAGACCTCCTTGACCTGTCTAACCGTGTACTCGCCACGGTGGAACATGCCAGCACCCAGAGCCGCATCCACCGTCGTCTCGTCAAAGACTTGTGTAAAGTGTCCTGGGTTACCAGCACCACTACTCGCGATAACGGGAATCTTGATTGCGTCTTTCACACTGCGAATGAGCTCAAGATCGAAACCAGAGTTTGTGCCATCCTTGTCGATACAGTTGAGCAGGATTTCTCCGGCGCCCATTGCCTGCACGGCTTTGCAGAGTTGGATGACGTCCAAGTCGGATGTTGTGCGACCGCCGTGGATGGTGCATACGTACCAGCAGTATTGCTCTCCATTGGGACCTGCATAGGGTGTTTTGAGTGTAGCGTGGGTGGTATCTTCAGGTGAGTCTACGTAGATTCTACGGGGGTCGACTGATACCACAACGGCTTGCACACCGTAGGCTTTTGAAATTGTCTCGATTGCGGTGTTGCCGCTGAGAGTGGAGTTGTTGGCGTAGTATTCTTCTGCTGCTGTCACGGCGTCGGAGCCGATGCTGACTTTGTCGGCGCCGGATTTGAAGTACAGTGATGCGACTTCCAGGGCTGGGACTACGGTGTTTGTTTCAGGGTCTTTGGTGTCGCGGATGCCGCCGCCGATGGTCAGTGGTACGAATACCGTTGATGAAGCTTGACGGAGGATCTCGAGCATAGGCTGGTCTTTGAGCGGTGTTTCGCGGAAAGAGGTGATGTTGAGGAAGGTGACTTCGTCAGCGCCTTGGTGGTAGTATTTTTCTGCCATTGAAACTGGCTTGCCGAGATTTCGGACGGGGGCGCCATCGGCCTTTTCGCGTACGTCGTATTGGTCGCCTTTCGTTACTACGAGGTCGCCTTGGTCGTTTGTGCGGACGTCGAGGCAGGCGATTATGCGACGGGTGAGGCCTTCTTTTGTGGTTTGCGCTGAAGGTGTGGAAGGGAGAGTTGTCAGGCGGTCGCCGTTGAGGAAGGCCTTTAGCACGCGAAGGCCTGCTGCTCCGGACTTTTCGGGGTGGAATTGGGTGACGAGGACATTGTCTTTTGCGACTGCGCCGACGAATTCTTGGGTGCCGTAGCGGGCGGTTGCGACTTGCCAGCCAGCCTTTTCGAGGACACCGGGTTTGTACATGGCGGCATAGGAGTGGACGTAGTAGTATTTGCTGTCTGGACGCATGCCATACAGACTCTGGTTTGCAGCGAGGCCATGTTCAGAAGCGGTGTTGGCAGAGTTCCAGCCAATGTGAGGAACACTCTTGTCGCTGTCGTCGAAGCGCTGGAGACGACCAGGGATGACAGCTAAGCCAGGGACATCGGAGTTTTCCTCTGAGCCTTCGAAGAGAGCTTGTAGACCGACACAGACGCCCATGAAGGGTTTCCCGGCGGCAATGTGTTTCTTGATGGGCTCGACATAGCCAGAGTTGTTGAATTGGGTGAGGCAGTGGCCGAAGTGGCCTACACCGGGCAGGATGAGTTTCTAGGTGGTAATCTGTCAGTTTTGTCTCTATCAGGGTTGACTTTTGGAGAGGTTGGGTTTGGTGGGGGTGATGGGTACCTCTGCGTTTGGCACGTCTTCAGGTGACTTGATCCATTCGACAGTGTAGCCGACCTTCTCAATGGCATTGACCAGTGATCGGATGTTGCCAGCAACGTAGTCCAAAAGGTGAACTGTCGGCATTGTGCTGTATATGTCTATCAAGAAACAAGAGAGCTATGAGTGCGAAACAAAAAAGACATGGCGGGCAGCGAGCGATGACTCGTTTGGTGACTCGGAGGTGACGCGGCCCGATCCGATGACCGCCCTCGGCCCGCATCTCGAAGCATGGCAGAAATCATCTCAGCCCTACCAAGACAAGCATCTGAATCTTTGCAGACGCAGAGGCGCATTCGAATCGCATTCGCATACCGCATATCACATCGTCCATCATGGTCAGACAACTCAAACACCATGAGCACAAGCTCCTGCGCAAAGTCGACTTCTTCAAGGCCGACTCGAAACAAGGCTCCATCCGCCAGAATGATGTAGTCCGCCGCGTACGTTCTTCTGCTCTCTTCCTCTTGCATCCTAGAAAACACTTCTGACATGCAACACAGTACATGATCCAAAAACCCGAAGACTACACCTCCTACAACCGCCTCTGCGGCCAACTCCGCCAACTAGCCCACCGTCTCACCCTCCTCGCTCCCGAAAACCCCTACCGCCTAGCCACCGAAAAGAAGCTGCTGGACAAACTCTACGACATGGCCATCCTCAGCGAACGCAGCAAACTCTCCGCCGTCGAAAACAAAGTCACCGTTTCCGCATTCGCACGCAGACGCCTCAATGTCATCTTGACCAGACTGCAAATGGCGCCTGACCTCAAGGCTGCCACTACGTTTATCGAGGGTGGTCAGGTCAGAGTGGGCACCGAGGTGGTGACGGATCCCGCGTTTTTGGTCACGAGGAATATGGAGGACTTTGTGACGTGGGTCGATTCGTCCAAGATCAAGAGGACGATTCACAGATACCGTGACAAGCTGGATGACTTTGACTTGCTCTAAGTCTTCGTCTAGATCAGTTTTGTGGTACCGTTTGCATTTGTTCAGCGTGGCGTTTTGTGGGTTCAAGATCGCGTGGAATCATGGTCTGAAACAGGTTCAGAGAAGGGAAATCAGTGCTTGGTAGTGAATTGCAAGATATTTGTAAAATTGTCTTGTCTCGTCTTGTCGGGTATCTTTTGCTATAAAACCAAATATCAAATCTCCCCAGCCAAACTCCCGATGCGCCATGCTATCCTCCCCAGATGCTTTTTGTGTCTTCCTCCATCAACTGAAGTGGATGCCCTCCTGGTTGAAGGCGTACAGCAACTTCAAAAAGTCTCCCTCGTCACACATTCTGGCACGCTTCTCGCAGAGTTCAGTCGTCTCGACCAGCACCTTGGTCACCTTCTGGCGGACCAGCTCAGACACTTTGCCCTTCTTCTTGCGGTTGGGGTTGCCTGCCAGCTTCTTGGCCTTCTTGTCTGCCTCCTCCTTGAAAAAGTCGGGAATGTCGTCCTCGTCATCAACATCCATGATAACTTCCATGTCATCGTCCTGATCATCTGCAGCCATATCGGTGTCCATGGCAGCATCTGCGGGGTCGAGCGGGCCATCGTCGAGCACAATGTTGTTCTGAGCGCAGTAGGTGCGGTAGTTTGACTCGAGCATCTCCATGACACTGGTGGTGCCCAAGAAGCCACTGCGCAGCGTACGGTTCTTGCGGACAAAGCAGATGCGCAACAGACCATCCCACTCGTCGTAACTGATTTGCGGACGCGGGACCTTTGGCACAATCTTGACGACATCACTCTCGACTTGAGGAGGAGGGTTGAAGTTGTTCTTGCCGACCTTCATGACATGGCTGATCTTGGCCCACATCTGGGCATTGACGGACAGTCTCGAGTATAGTTTTGTTCCAGGTTGGGCGAACAGACGCATGGCGAATTCACGCTGGAACATGAGTACGCAAGAGCGAGGGGCGGGACTCAGAGCAAGCAGTCTGAAGGTCAAGGGCGAAGAAATCTGGTAGGGCGTGTTCGAAATGCAGACGTCAAAGTAGGGCAGTTGTGGGTGCTTGAGCACATCTCCGAGGATGATCTCGAGTCTCTTTTGGGCAGGGGTGCCTTGGAAACGCTTTGTGATCTCGGCAGCCATTCGGGGATCGGCTTCGCAGGCGATGACTTTTTTGGCCTTTTCCAGGATCTTGGTTGTCAAATTACCAGTTCCGGGGCCGACTTCGAGGACAATCTGAGTGCTTGTTAGAGGTGATGTATAGCGGCTATATGATGTTAAACATACGTCGGACTGCTTCAGGTCGGCCTTGTCGACGATAGCCTGGGCGACACCAGGGTTCTTGAGAATGTGCTGACCGAGATCCGTGTTGAACTTGAATACGTTGTTGGCCGAGTGGCCCTTTTTGCGCGAGGCAGCGCCCGAGTAGGGATCGCTCTTGGACACGCCGCCGCCGTTGTTCTTTCTCGCAGATTTGGGCATATTGACTCGATGTGTTCTGGTATAGGACAGTTGCGGAGAGGCGGCCGGAGGAGTGAATTTTTGGAAGCCGCGATCAAAAGCTTATCGATAAGCCCCGTCGTCAGGGTCTCGACTACCATGTGTGCGTATCCGTACCTACTGAACTTGGCATCACCTCGACATCCCAACTCTACTTGACTATACTCCAACAACATGCCTCGTCCATCGAGAGCTAAGCCTGCAGTCACCGAAGACTCGTCCGCCATATCATCCGTCGCCCCGGACACTGCTGGACCCGCTATCACCAAAACTGCTTCCAGCGGCACCAGAGGAACCAAACGCAAGCTCAAGCAGGAAGACGAGCCAGAAGAAATCGTTACTCCTGTCAAGAGAGCTCGTCAAAGCAAAGCTGTCAAAGTCGATCAGCCCATCTCTCCGCCGCCCAAGAAAGCCACAAAGTCTAAGAAGCCTGTTGAAGACACCGAGGAACCAGAAGCCACAAAGCCCAAGGTCGTGAGGAAGCGCAAGACCAAAGAAGAGAAGGAAGCAGAGGAGATGCCCTTGGCAGCACGCACAGTCGGCCACAAGCTCTTCATCGGTGCCCACGTCTCGGCCGCCGGAGGTGTTCCCAATGCTGTCCAGAACGCTGTCCATATTGGCGCAAACGCTTTTGCTCTATTCTTGAAGTCTCAGCGGAAATGGGCCAATCCTCCACTGGACGAGACTCACTCTGTCAACTTCCATGCTCATTGCGACAAACATGACTTTGACCAAAATTCACATGTCGTTCCACACGGCTCATACCTGGTCAATCTAGCACACACCGATCCAGAGCGTACCAAACAAGCCTACGACTCGTTCCTTGACGACCTCAAGCGTTGTGAGAAGCTGGGTATCTCACTCTACAACTTCCATCCCGGAAACAGCGTGGGTGGTGATCGTGATGCTGCCATTGCCCACCTGGCTAGCAACCTCAATCGCGCACACAAGGAAACTTCAAAGGTCATCACGTTGCTCGAAAACATGGCTGCGGGTGGAAACGTCATTGGCTCGACCTTCGAAGACTTGCGCGATGTCATCAATCTAATCCACGACAAGTCTCGTGTAGGCGTCTGTCTAGACACCTGCCACGCCTTTGCGGGCGGCTACGATCTACGCACCTCCGAGACCGTCGAGTCAACCTTCTCTGCCTTTGACAAAACAGTGGGTATGAACTACCTACGCGCCCTGCATCTCAACGACAGCAAAGCACCCTTCTCAAGTCATAGAGACCTCCACGCAAACATCGGCACCGGCTTCCTAGGTCTCCGCGGCTTCCACGCCATCATGAACGACTCACGTGTTATCGGCCTCCCCATGGTCCTCGAGACTCCCATCGACGTCCGCGACGAGAACGGAGTCCTTCAAAAAGATGCCAAAGGCAAAGACATGGAAGACAAGTCCATCTGGGCCCGTGAAATCAAGTTGCTGGAGAGCCTTGTGGGTATGGATGTCGAGGGCGATGAGTTCAAGCAGTTAGAAGATAAGCTGCAGAAAATGGGTAAGGTGGAACGAGATAGGATTGCCGAGCAAGTGGAGAAGAAAACCACAAAGGTCAAGGATAAGGAAGACAAGGCAAAGGCTAAACAGACCAAGCTCAACTTTGGCAAAGCCGCTGCTGCTCCGGCGAAGAAAGGCAAGAAGGCGAAGAAAGAGGTTGATGATGAGCAGAGTGATGCTTCATTATCGAGTGCACCTCCCTCGGATAACGAGGATTGATCGACAGCTCGAAACTCAAAAACGACGAAGGAATGATCCCCGCCAATGGATTCCAGAATGGATGAATTCATGATGGCGGTTGTATCTCTACCACAACATGACTGGCAACCCATCCCGGCAGTAAGGCCTGAATGGCATCGCAGAGCAGAAACGAAACAACATCAACATTACTGTAAGTAGAAGTTGGATTAATATACTCTTCCTACCACCGTACCTCCATGTGCTTGATTGGCTGTAAATATAAGCATGGAAATGGGCTGGACGGTAAGCTATCACGACCCGTTGGAGCGCCTCAGTACGATCGCAGTCAGGGACTACTGATTCAATCGAGGTAAAATCATGGTGGTCAAAAGGCTTGCAACTCGATTCGATGCTTAGGCCATGCTTTTCGTTATTTGCATGATCTTATGCTACCGTCCTTCCGTGTTCATCATATCGTTTCTATCATCAAGCAAAGCTTCCTATCTCTCTCCCGTCGCTTCCATCTCTCTCGTCTCATCCCTCAGGCCAGAGTAGTCACAAACGACTTGGTCAGTGGCACACCGAGCTTCTTGCTGATCGTCTTCTTCTCCATATTCCTCACGATGCTAGAATCTCTCTTGCTGGTCGTGGCACTGCTACCTTGGCCCAATACAGTGAGACTCACAATATTGGCGTCAGTAGGGTAGCCAAAGCTGCCGCCCATTGTGAAAGTGCCGTTGACATAGCTGAAGGTGATGAGACTGGTTTGAGGCTGCTCGATGGCATCGCCCTCGTCCAAGTACAGAGTACCTTCTGCCTTGCCCTCGAGATCGGGTGCGATGATGAGGACAAAGTCTTGCTTGCGCAGTTCGGTGGTTGTGTTGGCTGAGTTTTCACGTAGAGGCAGAATGCTGCCGCCGCGGATGTGGGCTGTGATATCGGTGAAGTCGACGTTGTCGCGAGTAACCCAGTCGCCAGTGCCACGCACGGGCTCGTAGGTGAAGTAGTCGTAGAAGATGTCATCGGGGAGGTAGAAAGTGACGCTTGTGCTGTTGTCTTCTACGACAGGACTGACCAGGATACTGTCACCCCAGAAGAATTGGCTCTCGATAGGGAACGTGTTGGAGTCCTCAGGATAGACGAAGAACAGAGGCTGAACCACTGGCTTGCCGCTCACAGTCTGTTCATGGAAGTTTGTGTAGAGGTAATCGAGCAGTCTGTAACGTGTGTCGATCGCCTTCTGAGCGGCAACTGTGGTAAGATTCCAACGATAGAACTCTTGGTTCAGGGTACCGGACTCAGCATGATTACGGTAAAAGGGGTAAAAGGCACCAAGAGTGGCCCATCGAGCACACAGTTCGGGCCAAGTGTTACCGGCATAACCGCAGACGTCGCTGCCTACCATAGGAAGCTAACAAGAACATGTCAGTCCAAGAACCAGTCAGAAAGGTGCTGGGAGAAGACTCACCTGGAAGATGGCTGCAAACTCGAGCATCTGCGCAATCGATACTCTGTACCATCGCCACCCAGAAACGTTGTCTCCCAGCCAGTGACCGACGTGGCTTCCTGCTCCGGCAAAGGTACTGCGGGTGATGACCATTGGTCTTCTTGTAGGTCTACGTGCAAGCATGGCTTCTCGGCTGGCGGAAGACATCATGGTGCCGTAGAGGTTGTGAGTGTCATACATGGCCAAACCGTTTGCATGATAGAGATCGGTATCAATGGTCTTGTTTGACAAGCTTCCGGCATCGTTGTTGATGGTATATGGTGGGTCTATCAGGTTTCTGCCTGGCAGACCCAGGTGGGTGCCGGTGCTGTTTGACTGACGCTTGACCTTACGTGTAGCTGAGCCAGGCTGGAAGTCGGCAGGGAAGCCAGCAATGGGATAGCCTGCATTTGCTCTGACCTCTGGAGGGGTAGGAGGATAGCCATTGGAAGCAGCGTATCCAGATGGGTCGCTGCATGGCCAAGGACAGAAGTTACTGGCCTCATTCATGTCTTGGTTCCCGTCAGTATGGTTCTTGTAATGTCCAACGAGCCTCTAAACGCTTACCAATCCACAAAGCATCGATGTCGACACCAGTATCAGCATTGAAGAACGTGGTGAACTCGTTGGTCCAGTAACCCTGAGTGCTCGATTGGAACCAATCAGGGAACGCAGTGACACCTAGTGCTGTCAGTCGTGTCAAACTGGTCAAGAATTTGGTTCCGCTGCTTACCAGGCCATACAACACCTTGATAGATTGAGCCGTTGGCTCTCTTGAGGAACGCGCCTGCCTCGACACCATTATTGAACGCAGAGTAGTTGTAGTATGCCACGGCAGGATCGACCATGACGATGTAGGATTGCTGTCTTTCGTGTAAAGTAGAGACCAACTCTCGCATCTTGTTCAGCGGGAAACGTTGTGGATCAGTGGTGAAGACGTGTCTGGAGTCCATGTAGTCGATGTCAGTCCCTAAATCGTGTGTCAGTGAGCGTCTTTAGACTTCGTTATACCCGATACTGACACATGACTTCCAGAGGAATGCTAGCAGCACTGTAGTTTGCAACCACAGCAGCGACTTCATAGACATCTCTGTATCCGTATCTGCATTGATGGAAGCCGTGGCCTGTCGCCAAGATATGGTTAGCAAAGATAGTCTCCATTGAGAGAATCATAGGAAGTCTAACCCCAGTATGGCATTTGAGCCGGCAGTCCGACCACTTGAGCGTACTGTTTGGCGACTTCTGTGGGCGAAGGTCCAGCCATGAAGTAGAGGTCAACAATGCCACCGATCGTGTTGTACTCAAGGTATTGGCCAGTCTCTGCGGTGTTGTTGATCTTGATGTCCATGCCGTTGCTGTTCAAGAAGAAAACACCATGTGTGCCATCAGCTCCGCGATGATCGAAGTACACTGGGTGGTTTCCGTATAGGTTACTGCCTGCAGGGATGGAGTAAGCATCACGAGACCAGAGAGTGCGAGTGTAGTTTGTGGTGTTCAGCTATAGCCATATCAGTGGATGAATTCTCTGATAGTCCAATGTTGAGCGTACCTGGAAAGGGTCAGAGTGTTCGCCGAGTCCGTAAAGGTGAGGGTTCTCGGGAAGTTGAGTACGAAGTCTCAAGTACTGAGACTGGAAGACAAGCTCTGTTCCGGTGGTGTTGAACAGAGTTGCTCCACCACTGCGGCGGGAAACCGCAAATGAGAATGGATCATTGACAACTTCGAAGACAAGTTTAGTTGAAGCAGAAACATTTCCGTCTGCGCTGGGGCGAGGAAGAACTGATTCAGGGACCTGGTAGACGTTCTCGTCGGCATCGTAGATTTGAACATGAAGTCTATCTCCAGTCTGGTGAGTGATCTCGAGCTTTAGATTCTCGATGTCTTGACCGTAAGTGTTGCAGGCTGGACCGTTAAGAGTGAGGTCGGCCTGAGGTACCAGTCAGTAAGACAGGAATGATTTGGACGCAGTGCAGCACTCACAGTCAGTCCTTGGCTGGTCTGTTGAACATTTGACGCCTTGTATCCGGGACAACTCTCAATCGGCGAAGAGTTCTGACGAGGCACGAGGCCATGTGGGCTGGCGCAGATCTGTGTGACACTGACAGCAGCCAGAACCAACTGCGCAGTACGACGCAGAGTCATGATGGTGGTGGTGATGATGAATGTTTGGAAGGGAGTGAGGAACAGCTCGGATCAAACTTGCCTGCTCTCAAAGCTTACCGGGCATCAACAATCATTTATAGGAAGTGATTTACCATCGTCATCAAGTGAAGCTGCCCGAAGAAGGTAGCTACCTACGTGACTGCCTCTCCGAGGCCCCGAGTCCCGCATGCACTTGCCCCCGACCATACTTGCCAACATCGGACACTGCTGCGGGGAGATGTGATGCTCTATTGCATATCCCTTACTTGAAGCACATGATGGCATCTCCTGTTGATCCAATTGCTCACTCTCTCGGACCTGTTCTCGGTAGGAATGGAGAGAGGGGTCAAGATGCACATTGCACATCACCCTCGAGCTCCATCATCTGACCTGGCACATGCACGCGGCAAGACAGCAAGGACACGATTCTGCACTTGCCATGCGGGGATGTTTGTTTGCTGGAGAACCTTGAAAGGTGGTTTCAGATCAGGAAGGGATGCACGTTGTGCGGGCACTGCGGGGCATGCATGCGTGCTTTGTCGATCTTCCTACCTTCTACTTTAGCCGATTAAGCATCACCAAATAGTTGTATAAGCTTGGAAACAAGATCATAATCACGATGTGGAATGTCATCTCCAGCAGAAGCATCATTGTTGGGTCTGTAAGTTTGGTTAGGCATTTTGGTATGCCGGCTTTCCGTTTGTCTCCAAGATCTTGACTCGTTAAACATTACCGTCATCAAATCTTGGATCGTTGGTCATTTAGTCAGGCATGCTTCTTCTGATCTTCCTCCTGGCCCTTCATCACCCAAGCACTGGCCTTCTTAGCATGCTCCTCAGATTTCTCCTTTGAGCTCATAATCTCCTTCAATTTGAATTCGTCAGGAATGTTGACACCCTTCTGTACAGCAGGACGTGCGTTGATGACGTCCAGCCATCTCTCAATCTCAGGGAAAGGCTTGGTCTCAATACCAGCCCAAGCACCCCAGTTGACCCAAGAGAAGCAGGCAATGTCAGCGATGCTGAACTTGTTACCAACGAGCCAGAGTCCTTGGCCTGCCTTTTCTTGCTGAGCAAGACGATCATTCAAGACTTGGTAAAGACGCTTGGTCTCGGTCTGGTAGCGGTTGATGCCATACTCGATCTTCTCGGGTGCATATCTGTAGAAATGGTTCGCTTGTCCCTGGCGATTGGTAAGCATCTGGAATAACCTCCATGTTGAGAACAAGCTCTCGTACCTGCATTGGTCCAAGACCCGACTGCATCCAAACGATCCACTCGACAGTCTCCCAGTACTCATCACTGTCATGGTCGAAGCTGATCTTGTTGTCCTTGTCATACTTGTCGGTCAAGTAGAGGAGCATGGCACCACCTTCAAAGACACGCTTGTCCTTACCTGAGGTCTTGTCGACCATGGCAGGGATACGGCCGTTGGCTGGAACACATCAGTATCATAGTTGGCAGCACAGTGTTGGGGAGGGGCGAGCTTACGGCAGATCTTCAAGAACCATTCTTCTTTCTGCGTGTTCTTGGAAATATCGATCTTGTGGACGTTATATTTCAGACCTAGCTCTTCAAAGGCAATGTGCACTTTGTGGCCGTTAGGTGTGCCTGAATGTCGTTAGTGGTTGGCAATGACGAGGCGGAGTTCTTCGGATACCAGCGGTATAGCTGTAGACAGTGGTTAGTACTCGAGTAGGTTGAATAGCAACAGTAATCCCTCCAGAACTTACAGGTCAATGTTGGTGTTGGATGTCATGATTTCGTGTGTATACACAACTGAGTACTCGGACAGGAATGGAGAGATGAGGTGTATATGGTCACTGGTCAGAGTTGGGATTAATAATACAGAAGCAGACGTCATTCGGTATCATCAGAACGCCCATCACTTCATGTCGAGTAACCGACCCTGACCAGGGTCAAACACCTTCATCATCAATCCGGTCTTAGACTCTATGAATCTGTAGGTGTATTATCTTAGACTTCTGGTAAGCATGTTACCAATGTAGCCTTTACTTGGTGGTTGAGGCATCTTATTGGTACAAAAGTCGTTTGTTGATTTTATTGACATCCCAGACCGTGGGAACGTTGTCTGGCACAGGTGATTCGAAGCATAATCTTTTTGGAAACAATATTAGAGACCTGGATATCTACGAACTCAGCTTCATATCAAGGGCAAACAGGCGGATGGATTACTATCAATCGTTTCGCATCTTGACTACCGCATCCTATACACAAAACACCATAATATGCATGTCTCTCTCATCTCTACGCTCTGACCTCCCAACACCTAATCTTACCCTGCTCATTCGCGACAGCCAACCCATCACTCCCCGGCGCAAACGCAACACCTGTGATTCTTCCCAACGGCGTATTGCTAGTAGGCCAATTCTTGAACACCGTGCATGTAGGCAAATGCACAATCCTCAGCGCATCCTTCTTCCACCTCGATGCCATGACAAGCATCTGTCCATCAGGCGAGAACACAAGATGCGAGATGGGTGTAGTGAGATTATCGAGAGCGCGAGTAGGTTTAGGGACAGCAGGGATGGGGGAGGCAAGGGCATCGGTGGAGGAGGCAGAGGCGACGAGCCATGCGCGGCGATCGTAAATGTTGACCACACCGCTGGAACTGCCGACGGCAACCCAGCGATCTTTGCCGATGGGTGAGCCAGCGTTGCCATTGTCGCCGCCGAGGGTGATGGTGGTGGTGCCCACGGCGCCTTCGTCTTGCCAGCGAGCTACCGCGCGTTGCTCATCGATGTTCCACTCGGTGACTTCGCCGTTCTTGCCGGCAATACTCATACCGCGGCTGTCGCGCCACCAGGCAAAGTCTGCGATACCGTTGTTGCTTTCTACACGCACTTGACTTGCCCATTGCAATGTGTATGCGTCGAGAATATTGATCACACCGCCGCCCTTGCGAGCACTGCCGATGAGAGCCATGCTGCGACCATCAGGAGATAGCTTGAAGCGCTCCATGCTGCGCTGTTCGTGTTGATGTCCATAGACACGAGCGATCTTTTCCACTTTACCAGTCTCGAGGTTCCAGACGTGAAAGTAGCGGCGGCGGGCGGAGAGGAAGATACGGGGGTCATTGGGGTGGAAAGCGGTCGTTGTGAGAGGAGTCTTACGGATGTGCAGAGAGGTGAGAAGAGGATTGGCTTCAGGCGCAGGAGGAGAAGCGACGATGTGGTGGAGGTAGAGGGTTGATGAGGGACCGGAAGAGAGCAGCAGAGGAAGCTCGGGGTGGTACTGCAGCGAGGTGATGGCCGAGGGTTGGGTGGTACCAATGTCCTTTGTACGCTGGATATCGATGACTTCGGGTCGCAGCTTGCGCTTCTTCGTCTCTGTTCGTCGTACGAGGCCTCCTCCTTGTAGCAGCTTGCTCAGTGGTTCGGCTGAGATTTGGTCGTCGCCCTCTTCCTCGTCCATGTCCATGTCCTCGTCTGACTCAGCATCAAGATCGTCGTAACTGAGTCTGCGCTTCTTTCTGGGCCCTTTCTGGGCGGCTTCGACAGCCCAATCGGGGACGGGGTTGAGCATCTCATAACTGCATCCATATTAGCCATCTGTCGCAGCAAATTGTAGAACAAGGTGACATACTGTTTGCGCAGACGGCGGACGTAGTCTTTGCCAGAAATGACATCCTCAGCCTCTGTCCTCCTCAGCTTGCGCAGTCTCGGTACCGAGGCCAGCGACACAACCATCCTCTCATCGTCGCTGTCTTGCCACGCAGCTCCCTCGTCCTCTTCCTCCTCTTCCGTGACTGGCACAGGCTGCAGCTCAGTCGATGCACCGACATCAGTGAAGAACAAATCAGCGTCCGCAAGACCATCGTATGCCTGATCATCTCCAGAAGCAGCAGCGCCTTCGTCGGCAGAATCATCGCCATCCAGACCAGTCTCGAATCCAGCAAGTCCAGCTCTAAACCCCATGCTGTCGCCAAACACAGCTCTCTCCAACTCTTCCTCAACAGCGTCCTTGTCGTCCTCGCTCATGTCCATATCGTCTTGTCCAGCTGAGGCGTCGTAGTGCTCGAGATCTGACATGTCGCTGGCTGAATCGTCCTGCACAGGCGCTGACTTTTTACTTGGTGCGGCGGCCTTCCCTCTGACTCCATTCTGACGATTGTCCTTCTTTCCTTTTGTTCGCGCCATGTTGTGTGGTGATTTGTGGTGTGTTTCAAGAAATGTTCGGGTTCAAAAATCTCCATCCTCCAGACTCGGACATCGGAGGTCTGCAAAAAATCCCCGTCCTTATCGATAAGCTTTAGCTTTGAACTCGCTCCAGAAGAAGAAAAATAGGGAATAAAAGAAATATTCAGATCGGTCATTCACATATATTCGAAATGACAACCTTTGCAAGGACGAGAAGTCATGCTCAGACAGATATGAAATTACTATTGTGGGTGCTGCTCAAACAATCATACCGAGAAGCCTCGTGAATCTCTTCTAATCCTTGCCGCGACTCGAGCTCTGTTCGCTGTGCAGCTACTCTACTTGGAAACACAATATCGCCGTCCACCTGTGGATATGACATAACACATACAAGGAAAAATATTTCATAAACGACTGAAAACTGTCATCTCATCTAGATGAGAAGAGCTGCGGCTGCCATAACGACGGCATAACCAGAAAAGCTCATGATGCTGGCAGAGCCGGTGTAGGTTGTGGGTGACATAGGGTTTACTGACCCAGTACCAGCTGCAGTACCCTGAGGAGCAACTGGCGAGACATCGGTACCATTACCGTAAGGGCTGCTGGCGCTGGAGGCGCTGGACGCGCTGGTTGCAGGCGATGTAGCAGGGAGAGTGGCGGGGCGGATGTAGCCATTCTCGAAAGATGAGCCATCCTCAGGGCATTGCCAGTACTCAGCGCTGTAACCACCAGGCTTGCCTGCAGTCACACTGGTGAGAGCAGTGAAAGCTCCCCACTGAGGGAACTCGGTTTCATCGGCAGCAGGTACGATGGGAGACGATACAACGTTAAGCGAAAGATCGGGTACATCTGCAACAGCAACTTCTCCTCCATTGTACTTGGCCACTCTCCACTGAAGGTTCTTACGAAGGTATGGCTCGACGTGGACTGGGCGCATACTGCTCAACTCTCCACTCTGTTGCTTGGCAAGGAGAGCGGTGGTCAAGGGAACGGTACCAGTGATCTTGAGATCCATGTTTGCCATGTGGTTGTCATCGGAGGGCATGTTGGAGAAGACAGAGTAAGTACCGACAAGGTTGCGCGAGAGTTGGAGTTCCTCAGTAGAGTTGGAGGAAACATTACCCAGGAAGACATAGACGGCGTATGATCCGTTCATGGCGAATTTCTGCGACACAACGTTGCAGATGTACTCGTGGTGGTAATCGTCGGTACTGTTTGTGCCGACGGTCATGTTCGAGTACGGTGCGCCAGTCATATTGTCACGCTTCCACCAAGGGCTCCAGATATGGATAGGGCTGGATCTCCAGATGCTGAGAGGCTTCCAAGCTTGAGTTGCTCTGCCGGGCGCGGCGGGTGCCGGAGGTGTTGCAAGGCCATTGGGAGCTGGAGGTGCAGCGGGGCCATTGGGAGCTGGGGCTGGCGAGGGCGCATTGCGTGCAGGGGCCGAGGAAGAAGCTGCGGGTGCCTTGGAGGACGAATGAGCCGAAGTAGCTGCAGGTGCTGCCGAAATAACAGAGCTGGCTGAGCCACCGACATCGATGCTTGCAGAAAGATCGACAGGAGAAGAGTTCTTTCCGTAGAGCTTGTTGATAGCTGCACGAACGCTAGAAGCAGTAGCACCGTTCTGAAGCTCGGGGTAGGTGTAACCAAGTTTAGTGCAGTCGCGCACATCAGACGAAGTCCAGTTAGTGCCGGCCGTATCCTTGAAGAAGGGGGTAAGAGGTGAGTTCACATCGTTGACTGTTCCGGCAGGGTAGGTGAATGTGCTGCCGACTGCTGCGAGAGGTTGAACATAGCTGTCAGTGTGGATAGTCTGCCACAATGCGAAACTGCGGTCGACCATACTAGGAAGGATCAGTTTGCGCTACGCTGAAAACACTCAATTGTGTACTTACACGTGATGCAACCAGAACACAGGGTCAAAAGCAGCGTAGTCGAGGTAGGTCATGTGTCCGTTGTTACCAACACTCGAGTGAATACCATCGTGGATCGACTCAAGACTGTCGGCATTGGTCGAGCTAGCAGTGATCCATGCCGAGTCACCAAATTGATGGAAGTTGTTGTAGTTGGTGAAAAGGTTGTACAGACGGTCGCGGAAGTTCACCTGACTGTTGGCGAAGATACCGTTGAGCAAGTTGTTTTGACTGCTTGCGGAGTTATCCCACGAAGTAGGGTATCTTTTGGTAACGTCCCAGGATGCAAACTATTGAGAGTCAGAATGTGATGTGGAGACGTCGAGAAGCAGTTCTTACGGGATTGTAGACCATGTCAGAGACCGAGACAGGGTGGAAATCATAACGGAAAAGAGGGTTGGCAATCGTCTGCACACCAGTAGGAGTGGTGACAGTGGCCCATTGGTTGCTCAATTGAGTGGGGAAGGTCGAGCATCCGTTGCAGGGTGTTACAGCCCAGTCCCAGTAAGGGTAACGCCAATTTTGAGCTGCGGCAACGTACTTGTCTCTGGTAGCACCAGCGGGGAAAGATTGTGCAGCCTGTTGAACGTGCTTGTAGAGCTCTTGCTGTAGGCACAACATGATCAGCAAGAGATTCGTATGTCTGCGATACAACAACAAACCTCGATAAGAGCCAGGTAAGGTCGGTGCCACGGCAGGAACATGTTAGAAGTGTGAGTGCAGTAACCACCGCCATATCCAGGAGCAGTGCCAATGTTATCCCAAGGAACGTAAGGTCTTCCGTGGATACCTGGAAATGAGTGAGTTTGGGATCGAGGTCAGAGTTCTGTTCAGAATGAACATACCGGCAATCTGATAGTATGAGAGAGGGTCCGACTGGCTCACTTGCATGAAGCTGCGAAGACCGAGAAGGAAGACATTGAACATGTCGGGATACTGTTGCTGCATAACACGAAGTTCCATTCTAGGTTGAACACCGTTTCCAGTGACTCCAGTAACAGGAATCTTTCCTCCTGATTGACGGGCCTCGAGACGTCCAGCGTCCACGAGGTCGCCATCGATGTTGATCATATCACCCTCAACATCAGGTTGCATAGATGCAGCGACATGCTGCAGGGCCGATGAGCCCAGAAGAGCTGCACCAATGACTCCTTGGAAACGCATATTGAATTGTTGTTAAACGAGTGTGGTGTAGAGAAGAGAGAGGGATATTGAGACAAAAGTAGGCATACACCTTCTCGAGTCGTGTGTCTGCCGAAGGGTTGCCGTGAAACAGTGTCAAATAGGTTATGTGACCGGAGTTGTTTGACTTTTTGAGGTCAGAACTAGAAATATTAAAAGTAGATGGCTGGGGTTGAACGAGAGAATGCAAGGAAACGGAATGAGCAAACAAGGGAAGCTGCAGCAGAAAAGTCGCTCCTGTCAATCGAGAGAGGAAGAAGCAGCAGAGGAGGGATATGAATATGTATAGTAATAGACCTCGCGCTGAGATGGTGGTGGAGACCAAATAGTGGCTGACCTCCCGGAATGGATGATCGAAGATCATGGTAGCGTCTTGAAGACTGCCGCCAGGCACGCAGAGAGCACGGTGCGTATACGAACGTTGAGCATGCGGAAACCATGAGTCTCATTGCATGCGTACAACACTACATACGGGAGGCATGACTAGGTAAGTCTGATTGTGAGACGATGGTCGCAGAGTTAGCCCTTAGGCTGGACCACTTGTTCGTCACGCGTTCTAGGCAGGGTGGCTACCGGAATCGGACTTCTAGTGCGACCAGATCCGAAATGCTGCCTTTACCTGAGACGCGATGCGATACAAATGTAGCTAGTGCTTTTGGCAATAGTTGTTTGGGCGATGTGCAATGGAGGGAGTCTGGCGCCTGCTTGCATTGCAAGAGAAGCCAAGCTTGTGCCGCATCTTCCAATCAGCGAAGCCTCTTCTGGAAACTCATTTCGCTTCAGTGTTTCGAGGCTTGCCATCTGCTGGTTTGCTGTGTCGCACGACGAAACCGTGTTGGAAAAGGACGTCTGAGACACTTAACATTGTCAATCATGCCGTTTTGAGGTTCTGAGAGATGAATGATAGACCATCCGACCTGATTGTCCGCGCCTCTTCCGCTTTACCGCCTGTCGCACAGATCTATTCACTGAGGGCATCTATCTCTTTACCCTGATCTCCTCGAATTAAGCCAATACGGCTCTCGCTTGATCTTGACTTTCGAGGTCGACATGCCATAAATACACCCGGGAAGAATGTTCAGGCCGTCTGTGCTTTGAAGTCGTTGTTTCGTGCTTCTTTGTCAGCCCTCATGATTCCTCTTCTTCCGGGTCGCATATCGACAATTGCATCCTTCCGTAACCCTCGAGCAAAGTCTCCCTCGTGCGAAGCGCAAGGCGTAGAGTAATAACTGCCGACACTCCCTCCCTGGCTTGAATCCGACAGCAAGATCGACAAGGACTGCTTCGAAGCTAGAGCAGCCCACTTTTCTATCGCCAGGATCCTGTGTGGCGATACAAACGGTCAGGCCATGTATAGCATTCGAGGTCACATCCTTACGTGGTCATGAACAATGGATCCGCTTCTCCCAAAACTGCGAAACACGCAGAGCTTAATGGCTATCCAGTGTAGCGGGTCTCCGCGAACCGAGTTCGGGTCACCTGCCAAAAGAACGAGCGTAAAGATGGTCATGCAAGGAGTCGTGCTTCTCATCGCTACGACACCGCTCGTGGTAGAGGAAAAATACACGCATCGTGGCACTTACACACGTTCAAAAGAGCATGTGGAACACACATGGGTCGCAAATCACGCGAGATACTAAAACCTGACATACATTTGCTGTATGTGAAGAGTTCTGGTGGAAAAGTTGATCAATTTCTCGCTATAATGGAACCGGGAACGACAGTTGTGCTCAAGGCCTTGCTCATGCCGACAAAGAGTGATAATTCTTTGGTCAAGTAGACGATAATCCCAAACCATCTGAAGGTAAGCGGATCAACTCCCAGTGAACCTCTACCTGTGTTGCTATGCCGGCCTTTCTACCCGATGTCAGATGTGAGGCACTGTGACAGTTCGCGTCTGAATTTCGACGCACTGCTGAAGGGCGTCGATTCTCGCACCAACTTTGCGTACAAGGGTCCGGGAATAGAGCTCTGGATATCGCGAGGGAAGCATTTCGCGCTTGTCCATATCGACAAGATATATGGAGGCTTGTATCAGGTCCAAGTATGCCACGTCATGCCATCCAACAAGTCCCGGGATCAGCCAGCCGGGTATACTACGTCTGGCCTTCTCAGGGAAAATGCTGAAATAAAACAGCGGGTCCTGTTCTGGACATAGATGCCAAACAACGAACATCCACTCTGGAATACGTCTTACAAGCCATCGAGGGTCGATCTCGTGAATGGGTTCCCATCTAGAATTCGACGTGCTTTGTCAAGAAGTTCATCCGTCTTTTCGTTCTCGCCTAGAGGCCATTTCGTACTAGTATCAGCATAGACAGACTCAGCGCGAGCACGCTCATCCTTGGAATCATCTTAGCAGGGCCCCGTGATCAGGATTAAATCCCTTTCATTTGCGCTGCGAACGTACCTCAGCTTGATACCAGTCGTATAGGGCCGCAGCATAGAGGGCGTGGGCATGAATACGGTAAAGAGGTGGAAGCTCGATATAATTCAACATAAAGTCCAGCTCTGCGATACATTCATGGTTTCTTTCGTCGTTGAAGAGATTGGTGATTGTGTTGAGTCTCTCCCTCCAGTAGGTCGAATCGAAGAAGGATGCCATGATGGATGATCTGGAAGCTGCTATGTCAAGATGTATGTTTGATGTGCCTGCTAAGTCACGGAAACGATGCGCATGTAGATACAGGTTGCTGCTGAAAGTGAAGATGGCCAACAGACTGATAGTGAACAAGCTGTAACGATTAGCCCCAGTTTATTTGTATAGGTGAGCTTGCGGAGGATAGCTCTCGCTACAACAAGAATAGCAATTCCTTCGAGACTGCGCATAGGTTTTCCTCAGCATCCTATCGATTTGGCGCTTTCGAAGGTCATTCATCGTGGTATTCTTCTCCGACTCGAATGACTTGGAATAGTGACTCAACACGATCATGAGCTCTCCCAACCCAGCCAGTTCTCGAATTGAACCTAGTAAGAGGACATTCACTTAAGTGAAGACAATGCATACTATACGCGTATCAGTAAGGATTCGTCCGAGATCGTGTTTTTGCTAGTTGAAAACTATCAACTGACTGCTTCATTTGGCGCAAGTCGAGTGGGACATTTTGTAACCATACAAGCAATTTCATTGCTATAGCGATTTTTCGTTGGCTCAGAAAGCACCGTCAGACAAACAAGCCCGCTAAGGACGACATGGAAGTGAAGCGACGACAGAGAAGTGAAGCTACTAGAGCCAGCAAGATGCGATACTTGAGGGACTCGACATTTATTGTTCTGCATTAAACAACCGCACGACCTCGTATTGACCAAGAACACGGTCTTGATAGTGAAAGCCTTCGAAAGCGGCAAGTTGGCTATTATGATTATTCACTGTGTAGATGGTACGGCACATGATGAGTGTCGACGCTCCAGCACTTCTAGTTGTTGTTTTCTTCTTCAACGCCCTGCAACAAGCAGATGAGTTAATGAAAAAAAGAGATATAGCAATGAAATTGCTTGTATGGTTACAAAAATTCCCATTCGACTTGCGCCAAATGAAGCAGTCAGTTGATAGTTTTCAACTAGCAAAAACACGATCTCGGACGAATCCTCACTGATACGCGTAAAGCCCGTGCACTTGGATGCCAGAAGAAAGATGGAGCGTGAGGGAACGCAGAGTTTTATAGCTGGCTTGCGGCGGGATAATTATGTAAGCAACAAAGCTTGGCGTCGAAGACCGGCCGGGGGAGCGTGTTGGGCTGTCGCGTTACAGCGCAACAAGAATTCATGTGAACGAGGCCTCGAAGAACATCAGCAAGATAAATCATCAACTCGGCTCCGAGGCGTATACACTGCTCTCATCAATCACAGAGCACGTTGGCTCAGAGCACAACGCTACTACCAACAACCACTCGCCCAAATTGACCGGCGCATCGACGCGTCCTGCCTATGCAAGCCAGTATGGCGGACCCCAGCTACGGAGTGCCTGCGCAACTCGTCAGTCCATGTGTCCCCAGTCTCGTGAAGCCTGTAGACTGACATATAGTGAACAGCTGCCCCATGTTCATCTCATCTCCGGTCACAAATATCCCTTCTCTCCCCAACTCAGCATCGATGGCGCATACTCGTACCTCTTCGATGCCCCCAAGGTCGTCAAGCAGGTCGCTCCCATGTCATGGCAGTACATCTCTGCTCCTCAGGACGGCACCGTCTTCCTGACCTGGATCGGTGGTCGCATGCAGAACCAGTTCCCCACTGATGGGTACGTCTGGGTTGACCCCGAACAGCGCTATACTCAGGACTTTGGTGGCTACGTGTGTCGCATGCACTTCTTCATCTAGGTCGCAACTTGCTAACACGAGTCAGACATTGGAAATCGCCTTTCACAACAGCGGTTACCGTCCTGGAGTCGACACCGTCACCAGCCACAGTCGCAGACGATACCGCTTCATGTCAAAGAACCCTAGCGTCCACGCCCTCCCTCCAGACCCGAGTCTCTGGCTCGTTCACTACGGCCAGGCTGACCCCCAACACTGCTTCCCAGCATCTCAGCTGCCTCTATCGCACCAGTCGCGTCAACAAATGGCCGAACGCCAGTGGATCGAGTCCCAAGGCCGCCTCGATCGCCAGGACTTCATGTTGCACGACCGTGAAAAGTGGCCTCAGCTCAACATGCCCGGTCGCGCTGCTGTTCCTGGCGTCCCTGCCTACAACCAAAGCATGTACCAGCAAAGTCCTATGGCGCACATTGGCAACCCTCGCTTCTCCGGCAACTTCTACCAACAAGCCCAACAAGGACATACTGGCCCCTCGCCTGCGAAACGCGCCCGACAGCACCCACCTGCCCATGCTCCTGCATCGACCGCTGCTCTGATGGCCCAGGACACCAGCATCGAGGACGAGGAGAACGTCCTTCTCGGAGACTTGCTCGACCACCTAACCCAGCGCGACATCAGTCTGACCCGCTATATGCAACATCATGACTGGATGGACGAGGTCTACTCTTCACCTTTCGCTACTGGCAAAATCGTTCCGATGGATCTTGGTTTTGGCTTGATGGGCGAGCTGGCCGGCCTCACCGAGGGATTGTTCGACACCCCTAATTCGGCACTGGAGAAGTCTGAGTCCAAGTCTACGGATACGCCTGCTGAGTACAAGAAAGTAACTTCTGAGCAACTGCAAGAATTCGAAAAGCGCGTCCAGGCCCACAAGGAGAAAGAGCAGAACGAGATCACACGCATGAAGGAGGAACACGCCAGGCGAATGGATAGTCTGCGCAAGAGCAAAAGTCTGGTCAAGGCCGAGAAGAAGTTGAGAAACGCTTCGTGGAAGCCTTCAGGATCAGGCAATGAGTTCTGGAGACTGGAAAAGACAAACGACCAGGACGCCAACCAAATTGTCGAGCAGGTGGAGGAACTGCTTGGCGGATCCATCTCAGCACAGAAAGAGGCCACCATGATCAGTGAAGGAGGCTATCGCAAGGAAGAGAAGAGAACACCACCTGCAGACGCCGACATGGGAATGCAGATGGACGGTGCAGGCATCGATGCCACTCAATCTCTGCAGTCTGCTTCGGGTGCTCCTGCCGAACCTGCTCCTCAGGCTGAGCAAGTGCAATTGCCAACCCAGCATGCAGAACCACAAGCACCCCAGCAACTTCCGCAGTCAGCCGCCCCCAGCGCACCAGACTCCAATATCGAGAATCTCGAGACAATGGACACTGGTAACTTCTCACTACCGGACGACATGGAACTAGACACTGGTTTCCAGTTCGACACACCAAAAACCGATGTTCAGACACCTGGCACGTCAAACTGGCCCGGTCAGCCGCAGCAAGCACCAACACAACCACAACAACCGGCACAACCCAATGCAACAGACCCAACAAGTGGTGGCGACCTGTACGGTGCTGGTGGGGACGCCAACTTCGGTGACTTCGACGCAGGTGACGGCCTCATCGACTTCGAGGGCGGCGCCGGCGACGACATCGATTTCAGCATGGACAACTCAGCGTTTGGCGATGCCTTCCATGGTACTGAGGGCCATGGCGATGACGGAACAGGCGAAACACAGTAATTTGGTACTCTTTTACTGGACGAAATATAAATTATCCAGGGTAATCATCGATCTTCTCTCTCTTCCACAGTGACAAGCAATGAATGTGTATACTATTAAAATGCACAGTGACTTGTGAGATTATAGTGTGGCCATGGAAGGCCCCTGATTCGCCTCTCTCCGTGGACATGGCTGTGTTTCGAAGACTGTCGTGTGTTGCTATGGGCGCTAGCAAAGTCCCTAGCACACGAGAGATGCATATTTTCTACCATGGGCAGGGTATGTTTAGACTCAATAAACAGCTAAAGACTGATCAGATGTGAACGTGACGTAGAGACTCCACAAAAGACAATAGTTGTCATTCAAAACGCCTCTTCGTTCTATAGCAGTGTTTTACCTCTGATTACGCAAGAGATTTGATGGATTGGAGTCGTGTGTCAGTATCTAGATGCGTTGTTGTACTGTACACCTATGAGTTTCAACTCCATAGAGCGAACATTAACATGGTGGTTCTTCATCTCCATCTCTATCTTGCGACATAAAACTGCTCTATATAGATGATCCAGGAGCCACTTATCAAACACAGTCATAAGTCTAGCCATAGAGATAGGTCAAGATGATCTCTCTCGATGGACAGACCTCTGTTTCAAGAAATATTGTGCAATCCTGTAGTCAAATGTACTAGGGTAGCATATGAGGGAGATATATCTTTGTGACCAGGATATAGACAGAAGACAACAGAAGAAGTGATCGCTTGCAAAGGGACGATTATGAACAGGAGGATTGGAACGCCATCAGCAAGACAACTAACGACGAAGATCGTAACAAAGTTGGCAAAAAGGCTGCAAAGCCGCACATGCCATGCCACTCTTCCAAACACACGACCTCGAGCGGCATCGATACGAGCATACCAGGCGACATTGGTATGGGCCAGACTGACAGAGAATACTCCAAGGATATTCTTGCCAACCGCCGCAAGATTTCCCTCCGTCTTGGCAGCAGGAAGCGTGTCAGAATCCTACAAGACTTGTCATCAGATCTCGGTATCATCGAAGTCCATGCCATTTGACGTTATCTCGTAAATCCCAAGTACGTTGCTCTGGACATATCGATTGTTGGAGTAAATTTATTCGTGGTGGTACTGAGAAGCAAGATATAGTCATTGTATAGCTATTGTAAAGCATCTTGTGTGAGCTCTGTTTTCTTTTTGTAGCAACGCCTCACTTTGGCTGTCAGACCCCGTTCCTTCCCACTCTCGGCTCCAGCGACTAGAAATTCCTCAATTTGACCACTTCGAAGTCATCCAGCAAGTATATCAGCAGAAACTTGATCGTGTGTTTCATGCGTCTCAGACCATGTCGTCATCCTCGTCCTCATCCATGTAGCTTGCATAATCTCTGATCGGCATCTTTGGTCTTCTGGTGAGCTCAAAGTCCAGAACGTCACTTCTGGGCTCAATGTATTGTCGGGATACCCAGCTGACGGGCACTGCCGTTGGTTCCTCCTTACCGTCAGCGTTAATGAGGGTGGAGCGTAGGAAGATGAGTTGGTTGTTGCCATCTTGACGGCTGGGGATTCTGTCAGAGACGCCAAAAGCGATGATCTTGAAACAAGAAGCTGTGTAGGATGTCCAGAAGAATATCTGAGTTGCTTGCCAACGGAGCATCTCCATATACATGGCTCTCCCGAGATTGACCTTGGGCGAGCAGCTGGGGAAGGTGCTTATGTGCAGAGTTATGAGACGAGACAGTGAACGGATGCTGAACTGATATGCATCCCATGAAGGACTGTTGGTCCTCAGTATGCTGGAAGCAGGCCAGGCACAGCTGATTTGACGCAGTTTGCTTACGCTCAAGCAGAGACGTTGGAAGTCATCACTGGTCCAGACGTGTTCTTCGACCAAGTCCCCCGAAGCGTGGACGAGAAGCACATCCAATGTCTTACCATGCTTGATGATACCGTCAACGCTGGGCATGGACTTAACGCTTGTTAGATCTAGATAGATCTCCTCGACTCCCTCGACCAGACACAAGAAGTCGTCCAAGGCTGTCAAAGCATCATTGTCCAGGTTGTCATTGTGCTGGAACTCAAGGCAGCGTAGCTTACGAGGGAGGTAGGCACTCTTGCATAGCAACGACAACAATGCATCTGCGCCGGCACATTTGACGATACGCAATGCCTCAAGTTGAGTGAAGTCGATGAAGCGTCCGTACGAGTCTGCGCAGTGCCGGAGACCCACATCTACCAGACGGAGAGATTGGAGATGGGCAAAAGGCGGATTAGTGATCTGGGTGAATGGAAGGAGGTGACGAAACATGGTTCTGTTCACCAGTCCCGGACCTGATGGGGAGTCGTTGAGTTCCCTCGTGTTGTAATGAATGGACCCGTGGGCGAAGTTGGTGTGTATGATCAGTTCTGTCAGAGTCGACATCTTGGAGAGTAGGAATTGACCAAGTTCCAGGGAGGGCAGAGAGTCGGGGTAGATAGCAAGCTTTTGACAGTTGTTGTAAATTTCCGCATGGTCACTTGCCTTGGCTTCGAGATTCTCAATAGCGTCCGCTCCGTCCACTCTGAAGGCGGTAAGCCATTGGAGTCGCTTTTGGCGATTGAGGAGAATGATGAAAGTCTCTTGATCGAAGGCAAGCCAAGGAGACCACTCAAAGTCTTCGAGAACGTTCTCGGGCAAGAAGTCGATGAGCATTCGAACGACAGTTTGAACGCGTGAATTGTCAGCTTCAGGAAGACCGTTGTGCAGGGGATTGAACTGGATACGAAGGATCCTGATGTGCTTCAATCCAGCATTGTTTGGGTGTAACATAGCGCTCAGTCTCAGATCAGATCTTTTGCCAATCTCGAGGCTGACAGTATGGTAGAGTTCTTTGGCAGCGACATCATACAGTCGCTTTGAAGTACGACAGAGCGATTTGAGATCTGATGGTCGAGAGATCTGATCTTCGTTAAAACTCTGTGATCATAATCGTGACACGTGTGAACAGTGAACATACGTGCTTGAGAATGTTGGTTTGCAATTCTGGAGTCAGCTCGTTGAGATTCAGAGCACAAGAACGGACATCTTGTTCGCGGTGGGAGTGACCGTTCTGGGTCGGTTTGGTGGTGTTTACCACCTTCAGCTCAACCTGACCAGCCATGTCGTTTGGTGCGGATTCAGTATGGGCTGCGAAGGCAACGAGAGTGACGTTGGTAGCTAAATTGTTCCGAGGATCAGGTCGAGAAGTCGAAAGGCTGTGCGTGTCAAGAACGGAGGCGCGCGCTTTGGTTGGGTTGGTGATCAGTCGTCGCAGCCTCGTGCATGCAAGAGGCGCGGGCTGCATGAGGTCGCCGCGATCAGCCCAGCGGTACCTCACCCCGGAGAATGAGCGACGAATAACAACCACTCAATTCGAGACCAAGCAATGAACAGTGAACCAAATCTTCAAATCAGGTCCAGTAAGTTGAACTTCTTCCGAATCAGTGCCGTCTTTACATTACTTACCCTTCCTGGCTTTCGAAGTCACGGCCTCAAATGTCTTCACCACTTACCATCATCGTTGGCTTCGTGATGCTACGCCTGGTTGAAGCCCTCGCATAGAGACAGCGTGACGGCTCGATCAATTGGACTGTTCCTCCCGTCTACAACTCCGAGCTGAGTAATTGCAAACGAAGCCGGTGCAAGAGACACGTCGACATCCCGAGAGACTCTTCCAGAGTGGCGCGAAAGTCAGTCACAAAAAGCGAATTTGAGTATACTGACCATCCTTCCGACTGGTCCGGCTTCATATTCAGAGCAACGTCTGACCATCCAAGACAGTGTAAAACCGGAAGCCGCAGTCTCAAGATTGGCTAATTGTCGAGCAAGCGAGTGGTAACTCGAGAGAACTTTGAAGCCATAACGACAAGACACTCTCTGACGATACTACACCAGCCAACATATATACACTGGGCGGATCCAGGTCCAACTAGATGGGATAGTTCCTGAGTCAGGTGGGTCCAAGGCATTGGTAGAATGGAGAGGAGAAAAGACGAACAACTCATTGCTTGAGCGGCCGCTTGGGTCAATTATATGCCATCACGAGGCCAAAGAGGCTTTCGATCGCACACACGATGCTTGATTCCTGTGACGATTCAGGGCCTGGAGTCGAGGTCCATCATGATCCCCCTCCCGTCTGAAGTCAGGGATCCGAAGTCAGGGATCCACTGGTAGGTTTCTCTCCAAAATGCTGAGAGGTAATATGCACAGTCTCGTGACAAGAACACGATTTCTTGAACGCCCAGACTGCATCCAGGAAATCTTTGAACCAGTCAATCAATCCAACAGAGAGGCGCCGATCGCAAGGAGAAGTCTTTGGTGTGATTGTCCCCATGGGGATCCCCCTGGAAATGTCATTTGAAAATACATCCAGGGAAACACGATGTCAGCGTCTCTGATTGGCTGTACTTCCGAGTATTCCGAAGCTAGCTGGTTGAAGCACGACCAGTGCGACCTCTGCTTGTTGCTTTGCGTTTGCTCTCTGCTCTCTGTTCTCACTCCTAGCGTCGTCCGTGTCCTGGAAAGATGCTCAATACATATATCGTTCGTATATGTTGTCGTGGTGCGTCAATGGATGTCGACAATCCGGGAAAGCTCCAAAGTCAAGAGGCAAGCTGAACGGTGCCGCCACGGCGCCACGCCTCCAGTGTTTCGTCGTTTGGGATCGCAGCGCCCCTGTGATAGACAGGAGGGTGCTGCGTCAAGCTGAGACTGGCCTATGAGGGTGGTCAATTGGCGCTGCGGTTCCAGGCGTCAGCGCTGAAGGGGGGAAATTAGATGTTGGTGCAATCTAACATACCTCACCTACTGGTCGTGTTTAACGGCACCAAAAACGGCCAACTACATGTTGCCAAACCACGGTCGCCGTACTCATAAAAGCCAAGTCACACTGCGTGCCAACTTGCAGGTATCAGTCTATTTTCATCTCTTGGTTCGTTTCATACAATCACTCTCGCCCAAATACCCCGGATTGTCTGCGTTTGCGTTCCTTCCGGTACCTTCTTTACTGTCAGCATCCCTTGCATCCACCGTTTCTTGAATTCTCTCAAATCCGCTCAAGCTCTCTCACGCGCATCTGCCACCCACACTCCCTACATTCAATTCTTCTCCCACCAGTTTCACAATGCCTTCCATCCTCAAGACTGTTGCCGCCATCGCTGTGCTGGCCACTGCCGTGACCGCTCAGTCTGACACCACGCCTGTCACCGGCAAGCTGGGCAACGCTACCGTTCAGAGCAACAACCCTGCTGGAGTTGCTTACATCGCTACTCTTAGCGCAACCAGCAAGAGCAACATCTCAGGCAATGTTCTCGCGCTGACCAGCTCTGACAACACCGGCGTCAACTTCCAGATCGCCTTGACTGGTCTGCCTTCCGAAGGTGGTCCCTTCTGTATGTTGCACACCCCGCAGACCTGTATCTTGCGCAATGCTAATTGAACATCTCAGTGTACCACATCCATGATTACCCCGTCCCCAGCGATGGCAACTGCACTTCAACAGGTGCTCACGTCGATCCCTTCGTCCGTGGCGAGGCTCCTCCTTGCGATGCTTCCCTTCCCGAAACCTGCCAGGTCGGTGATCTGTCCGGCAAGCACGGCAAGCCCACTAACGAGACCTTCTCCGCGACGTAAGTCACCTAGATCTGTATGCCAATTGTTACACCACTGACACAGCAGACAGCTACGTGGACAAGTACGTCTCCACTGTCGCTGGCGATGGCGCTTTCATGGGCAACCGCAGCATCGTGATTCACTTCGCCAACAAAACCCGCATTGCATGCGCCAACTTCGTTGATTATACTAACGGCACCTCTGGAGCCAACGTCTCGACCTCGACCAACGGATCTTCAAGTGCTTCTGGCTCGTCCACCCGCTCTGGCTCATCTGCTTCTGGCTCTGCCACTGGCAGCAGCAGCGGTTCCAAGACCAGTAGTTCGGCCATCTCATCTAGCACCGGTGCCGCTTCTCAGATCTTCGCCAACAGCGCTCTGGTCGGTCTCATTGGTGGCGGTGTTGCTCTCTTCGCCCTCTAAGGTGGTGAAGCATTTTTCCCTGATGAAAAGGTCATGGTGACTCTGCATGGCCCTCATGTCTTTTCTGTACTTCTATAATTCCCCCTTGAGCAAACAGGCTCCTTTAGCTACTTTGATATGGTACGGCGTTCCGGATGGACGTTGATCGAAAAATGAAATTCGCTTCTTCTCATCACTTGTCGTATGTTTAACAATTGCTAGGGTCATTTGACACATAGGCTCAGTCGAAACAACTGACCTATTCAAGCAACTCAATGGTCAATCCATGCGTCTCGTCGTCGCTCTCATACCGTACGCGCCTATTCACCTCGTCGTCGTCCTCGCCGCTTGATATTGTGCCTCTTTCGCTCTAGATTTAGCCACCTCGTTAGAATAAAGCGCACCCGTAAGACCGACGCGTTCCGCGCATAAGAACCCGAGTAATTAGTATACTAACGCGCTATCGCCTACTATAACGACAATACTAAGAGCGTTTGCGTCGTCGCTAGCTACTTCGGTATCGAAAAGTCGACCTTCTACCGTCACGTTAATAGTATAACTTAATGCTACGACTAAGCTTAGTACGCTATAACTTAGAGGCTTGCTACTATTAAGCGCTACGTTTGCTACGCTTATAGTGCTAATTAGCTATTTTACTACTATTCTAGTACTAAGTTCTATAAGTAGGCTTAAGAGCTAGTTAATTAGAACTACCTACATATTTACTTACATTTCTCTATACTAATAAGCCTTAAGAAAAAAGATTTAAATAAGATTAAAAGAAAAATTAGAGATAAAAAAAGAAAGACTATTACTAAAAATATTACTACTTAAATCTCTCTCTTATTTAGTATATTTACTATAATGTTATAAAGAAGCTTGATCCTTAATGCTTAGAGCTATAGCTATATAGCTAAGGAGTTAAGCTAAGATTACTACTATAGAGTAAGTAAAACATCTAGCTATTAATAATATATTAATATAGCTAACTGCTACCTACCTATCTAACTAACTAATAACCTCCTATGCTCTTTAGTTAGTAACTTTATTCTTAACGCACTACGTATAGGCTTCTACCTTAGTTAGCTTTAGCCTTAAGTTATATAAATATAATAAGAAATTTTACTTCTTTCCTAGTAAATGCTTTTAACTTCTTTCTTAGCACTATAGCCCCTTCTTTCATTTATACTACCCCTCTAACCTATTTATCTCTGCTAAAGCATTCTTTTAATAACTATATAAAGAAGATGTATTTAGAGGCTCTAGTAATAGCTCTTAATTTATTAATGATAAAGATAAAACATATATCTCTAGACTGTCTTCTTCTACTAGACACCTTATATAAGCTAAATCTATTTATTGCTACTAACTATCTAGTGGCCTTACATAAATTAAGACTTAGATTATCCAAAAAGGTAGGTGCTAGTTAGCCATAACGCAATATAAAGGAAATTCTATAGTTAAGGCCCTAAAATTCTAATCAATTAATAGCTATATAGCTAAGGTACTAAGTAAGATTCCTTCTAATATAACTAGTAATAGTAAGAGGCCATGGCTAAGTAGCTAGATACGTTTATCCGTTGCCTCTACACGACGAATAGCTACATTAGATAAACGTATAATAGTCCATACTATATACTATGGATTTGTCTATGTACTTTTTCACTAAAGCCTTATAAACGTTCATTTAGTATAGGGAATTGGTAAGGCTCCTTCGCTAGAATATAGCTTAGCGGGGGCAGATTGTAGCTGCATTGGCGCGTCTTAACTTAGATTATTCTTGATTCGAACTGTCGAGCGTTACCTCTCGTGCTCTTGTTTAGTTGTAGTGTCCTCTCGTGCATGGCTTGGCCTTGATACGGCTAGCGCACACTCATGCACGTGATTGTGGAGGAAATAGATGTACTATAGCACGTGACTCGGGTGATGCAAGACTTTGGCGGTGTATTGACTATATCAACATGAGTCCTATTGCACGTTCTCAACCTTCCAGACCTTGACAGCAGCATCGGCTCCAGAGCTGATGACCTTGGTGGACTCCGCCCAGGCGATACCGCCCACACCATCCTTGTGAGCATTCATGGCCTTCACACGCTTGCCTGGGTCAGTCAGACTCCAAACGAAGATGTTTGTGTCAAGACCACCGCTGGCTGCCTTGTCACCGTCGGGAGACCAAGTGATACAGGTCACACGAGCAGTGTGGGCAGACCAGCGGTTGGTGGTCAGCGTCCATTCTGAAGGTGAGGATGAGGTGTAGGCGTAGATCTTGCCGTTGCTAAGACCAACAGCGAGACGACACGTTGAAGCAGGAGAGAAGGCAAGAGTCGAGATGGCCGCTGTGGCATCACGTATCTCAGCAGCAGCAGAGAGGGATGTTCCTGAGAGAGTATAGATGCGAACGATCTTGTCTTCTGCACCGACAGCAACGATATCACCCTTGGCAGCGATGCTGGTAGGTGTGAATGAGACAGGCAGAGATCCAACCTGTTCGTTGTCCTTGTAGAGGGTAATGGCGGAGCTGGTGGCCACCAAAGTTACAGGCTTCGAACCTGAGCTAGCGACGGCAACGCTTTTGGGTTGACCGTCGGTCTTGCTGGAAGAGCCAGTGAAGGAATGCGTAGAAGCATCAATGGTTCTTAGAGTGTCATCCCAGGAGACGGAGTAGATACGGCCATCGCTTTCTGATGGCGCAAAAGCGCTGACATAGTTCTTGGGCGACTCGCCATCCACGTTCTTAGCCTCTGCAGTGGATATATCCCAAGCACGTACGCGGCCGTCGTAACTTCCAGTCCAGAGGGTCTTCTCTCCTGGAGTGTACCCAGCAGCTGTGATCGCTTTTTGGTGGCCGTGAACGACACGCACAGGCTTGTCATTGCCTTCTTGAAGGTAGTTGAGGTTGCCATCCAAATCGACACTGATAACGAGCCCGTCACTACGTCCGCTGGGCCAGGTGACACCGACTTGTTGGTTGGCAATGCTCACTGAGCCCTCCTCGCCCATGCGCCAGGTCTGAACACATTTGGCAGCCTCGACGTCCCAGATCTTCACAGTCTGATCAGCACTGGCAGTGACGAGCTTCTTCGAGTCCTTGGCCCATGAGACACCAAAAATGCTGCCCTTGTGCTCGCCCTCACCGATCTGGTTCTTGGCCTCACCAGTCTTGCCGTCGTATAACCAGATTTTCCTATCACTGCCCACACTGACTAGGGAGGCACCATCAGGGCTGAATGCAGTGCCATAGATGAACTTGTCGTGCTTCCCGCGAATACTGGTGTTGAACTTGAATGGAGCGCCATGGTAGAAGACTAAGCTAGTGTCGTCGGAACCAGTGGCAGCACGCAGAGGACGCTGTTGGCGGATGGACACGGAGTTGATCTGAGAGCTGTGTCCTGAGATCTCTCCTACGCTGTTTCCGCTGTCTGCGGTAATGCAGTGACCGAAGCGCTCTTTACCATCACCCACGGCGATGATACGCTGCGAGTCGCCATCCCAGGCAATGTCGTTGATGCGACCAGCAATGATGTGGTATTCTCCCTTGGTGGCACCTTCACCCTTGCAGTCCCACACACGTACGGTACCCGAGACATCACCGCTGGCTACGTAGAAGCCACTGGGAGAGAAACGAGCAACGGTGGTCTGAGTGATATGGTCCGTGTATTGTCTTGCAATACTCGGGTCGTCGATGTTGCGAACGAAAATGGACTTGTTGGCGGCGTAGGCTATTGACTGGCCATCGGAGCTGGAACTAAGGGGAGTCGATTGGCCTCGGGTTGTGGATGGTGAAGCGGCCCAGATGCCGTCTGTTGGCTTCTTTGTCAGTCACTGGACCTAGAGGGAGGAGTGGTTGTAACATGGCACTCACCTGCTTTAATCGACATGGTGTCTGTGTGAGCGAAGATGGTACTGAGAGCTTCTGTTTACTCCAGCGCTTATTGCTACTCATGCTCGCGTCTCGACTCGCCGAAACACACCGTCATCGCTTGGCGTTTGACCCGTGGGGTAGTTCGAATTTCAGCCTCGAGTGACTTGCACATTTGGTCGAAGACTCGAAGACGACTGTTGTCTTTCGAAACATATCATGATCCTAGCGGTCTACTGTATAACACACACAATCGAGTGCCCCGGGTCATTTGCAAATATATTCAGTCAATGATAATATTCACCGTAGTTGGTGACTTTGCATCGAAGTGTCTGCTCAGGTTGTATTGGGTTGATGTCGATTTCAAATGATCAAGTGGAACGGACAACAGACACACATCGATTAGACACAAGCCACCAGAGATGTTCTCACCATGACAAGCAATGCTAAGTATACCTCGACAACCTTTTGAACCCCCGTTATACTGCTCTTTGACTCCGTCTGAACGCTGTCAGATGCGGGACAGGGTCATATGGGGAGCATCGAAGTCTGTCAGATACAGGATGGAACGTCCGCGGGCCCCGACACATATCGAGCGAACTACTCCGTGCAACTTTGCACAACTCGAATTCGCCGTGCTGCGCCCATGTGCCTACGAAATGCAAGACGAGCTTTCACAGCTACGCACCGGCATACGTAAGTAGCTGCGTCGAAGGGTGTGTGGGTGTGACGCGGACCTGGAGTCTCCATGTTTAGGACAAGCAGCTCCACTACGTTCACGTCGAGTCGGCTGACTCTCAACACTTTCCACTGTCCAGCATGCAGGCCAGGGCGTGCAGTGGCAAAAGCAGGTCCAGTGCAGTACCTGCACGTCGTTGACCCGAGTCGCGAGCTCAACAACTAGTCGGCCGCCAAACTTTAACTAACGCGCGTCCCCTTGCCCAGACCGTCTCACTATCGAGCTGTTTTTGTTCCTGGCTCCCACCAGCGCCATGTTGTCATTAGTGTGATCCTGTCGCATAGGGAAGAAGGTGGTGGCCAAAACAGGCATGGCCACCGATGGCTATGCTGATCAAAACACGAACCGGCGGGACAATTTTTCCTTGTGTGCATGCATGTTTAGATCGGTGGGAACGTACTTGAAGGATCGTGCCTTCTCGTCGTGCAGCATTTATTAATCAACTCTCGTGCATTCGTCTCATCACTCTCGTTCCATCCATCTTACCTGTACATCTTTCCTATAACACAAAGAAACCATCTCCCATCAACTCACAATCACAGCCAAGATGCAGTACAAGTCCCTCGCCGTCTTCGCTCTGTCCGCTGGAGCCCTCGCTGCTCCCGAGAAGAGACAGGCCACCGATGCCAACCTGTAAGACTCGACAGATACAATCTGCTGCTCTCCCTCATGCTGATATACGCAGTATCTCCTACTACCAGGTCCTCGCGACTGCTGTGCCTTCTTCGCTCGGTGCAGAGTTCTTGACCAACAGCGCAGGCGTCCTCTCTTCGGTCGGAGCCGAATTGGCCGCCAGCTCGACCCCCTCATGGATCGCTGCTCTTCCTTCTGACGTCCAGTCATACATCGTCGGTGCTGCCCAGAACCCGTCGCTCGCAAGCTCCGCCATTGCCAATGCCACCTCTGCTGCTTCTGCTGCTGCCGTCGTCACATCTGCTCCGGTTATTATCGCCAACAACGGCTCAGCTGTTGCTAACCAGACTGCTCCTGTGGTCATCGCCAGCAATGGTACCGCTTTGGTTAATGGCACGGTTCCCGCAGCCCTCGCACCCAATGGAACTACCATCATCAACGGTACTACTCTAGGAAACGGAACCGTCCCTGTCGTTGCAAACAACGGCACTGTCGTTAACGGCACCGCTCTCGTGACGGGAGCTTCCTCTCGCACTGGCTCTGCTGGCTCATCTTCCACCAGCGGTTCGGGTTCCAGCTCTAGCTCGCGCGGCTCTGGCTCTGGCTCCGGCTCCGGCTCCAGCGCTGGTTCCTCTGGCTCTTCTGCTACCTCCACCGGTGGCGCATCCCTTCCTACCGCTCTTGGTATGGGTCTTGCTGGTGCTGTCGGTCTCGTCGGCGCCGTTTTCGTCCTTTAAGCCAATCCGGCTTCTTGTACCTGAGCATCTGATTCGCATGGTCCCGTTAATGGCGCAAAGCATAGATAGGACTTTCGCACGGGAGATTGTATCAAAAGTTTAACTAAACCTCTTGTAATGTCACATATCACACGTTATCATACCTATTCGTCCTGAGAAGCGCAGTCGCCTTCTAACGCTGGTGAAGCCTGTAATTTGACACACCCAAAGCCGATGCGTACGATTCGGAGACAGCTCGAGTAGTCTTCAGTTCGTGACTGTCATACAAGGATGCATGTCATCGAGTCGAGAGACGCGGATCATAGATGTAGTTGAACCGCGTACATAACCGAGGTTGACGTCACAGATTCCAGAAGCTCGACGAACTTGATGAGGATGAGATATCACCTCCACTCTTGATACCTTACCTACACAATAAGCTTACCAATCCAGAATGATGTCGAAACTTTCAAAGAGCGTTTCCAGTGCTACTTCTCGCCTCGCTCAGGTGTCTCAGCAATTCAGTTCACAAGCCCCGCTCAGACAGCAGCAGGCAAGAATGCTCCACCAAGGCACTAGACATAAGCTCAACACTGGAGCGAGCATTCCAGCACTGGGATTCGGAACTTGGCAAGACAAAGAAGCACAAGAGCCAGCAGTGATCGCTGCTCTACAGGCTGGTGTGAGGCACATCGACACCGCAGCTGTATACGGCACTGAGCCTGCTGTTGGCTCTGCAATCAAGAAGTCTGGTGTTCCCCGCTCCGAGATCTTCATCTGCACGAAAATCTGGAATAACTCGCATGCTCCTGAAGATGTCGAGGCCGCTCTCGACACATCTCTTTCGAACCTCGGAACCGATTATGTTGACCTCTGGCTGATGCATTGGCCATCGTCTTTTGCCAGTGGCTCGTCGCTCTTCCCTAAGGACTCGAACGGAAAGGTCAAGGCTGGAACCTCGGACTATGTCGAGACCTACAAGGCCATGGAGAAGGTCTACAGATCCGGCAAAGCCAGAGCTATTGGTGTCTCGAACTTCAGCAAGGCTGAGATGGAAAGACTGATCAAAGAAACCAATGTTGTTCCAGCAGTTCACCAGCTCGAACTCCATCCATACCTACAGCAGCCATCGTTTGCCGAGTTTCACAAATCTCAGGGCATCCACGTCACCCAGTACTCGCCTTTCGGAAACAGCAATGAAGTTGTGAGTACACCTGTGATTCGAGTGTCATGTTCCGATGCTCTTGAGACATTTCCATAATATTCTCACATGGCACTTGTTCAAAAAGAATTGAGCTAATCAGATTTTCGTGTTAGTACTCCAAGGGCCAGAATCTGAGCAAGCTCATCGATGATCCGACTTTAGTCGAAGTTGGAAAGAAGTATGGCAAGTCTGGCGCGCAAGTAGCATTGGCTTGGGGAATTGCTCATGGCCGCAGTGTCATTCCCAAGAGCAAGACACCGGCAAGAATTCAGCAGAATGTCGAGGGAGACTTTGAACTATCTGCAGAAGATGTCAAGAAGGTGGATGCAATCGACAGAAAGCTGCGTTTCAACGATCCAAGTGCGAACTTTGGATGGAACTTCTATCAGGACTTGGACGGAAAGGAAGCTTGAGTTGTTGATGTGAAAGGATGAAATCGAAGGCGCTGTTTATGTGGACTTGTGATGTACAGATTCTTGCAGTCTCGACTCGCGCTGGCGTATTGCGGTTAAGTCATTGTTCTCGCATGGAATGAAGTTCATATAGACCGTACAACGTGGCTGCTGCGAACCACTTATAGCGAGTAATGGACCGCATATGGCTGTTTATCCTCAAATTTGAAGCAAGAATGTGCCGCAAGAAGCCTTCGCATATTGAAACGGAACTTGGCCTGCAGAGCTTGCTGCAATGGCAGATATCAACACGTCTTCCAAGTTGCAGCAGATATCGTGAAAAACAACCAGGCCAATACTCACTTACATCGCCGCATCAGGATGGCCTGTACGTTCTCCCCAAGATGTTCAGACGCGATGTTTCAAGGTCTCAAGGTCCGAATTGGGGAAGTCGGTCTCGAGTTCAGGGGTCAGCCAATGACGAGGGGTGTCCCTTGCGCGCGGGCGGGAAATTCATGGCGGCTCCATTGGTGATCGGGCGGACGCGCTCATGATGATCACTGCACTATGCGTAGTCTCTCAGAAATTGCTTGTGCCATTTGGCGCTGTATATGATGGGTAGATAGTGAAATAATCGTCTTCTGCTTGCAACAATTAGAGAAGCGACACGACAGAGGCAGTTGTTCGAAGCTCGTTCAATCCTTCCTTCCAGCCTCTCCGCGCCCTTGCCGAAACCTAATCACTCTTTTACCCCTGGAACCGTTGGCGACACGTTCGACGACCAGAGTCTCGTATTTGGTCAATTTGTCGGCTCCCTTGCGATGCGAGGGTTGAACTGAGCAATGGCAAATGATGGCTGGCATTCCCCAGACGGCGCAAGTGAGACCTCGCAATCTCATGGTCGGTCAAAGCTGCAGGAGCAGATGGCTTTGATTGAAGCTGTCAGCGTGCCCTCCTTTTCATCATTCAAGAAGCGGACCTCGCAGATCCCATTGGCGATAGCCTCATCGCCTGTAGGGAGGAAGCCCGTGCAAGATAAACCTTCACCTAGAGCCGTTTCCTTCTCCTACGCACCCACTCCCTCCCAGCCCCACGATGCTGCGCTGCCGACAAGGCCTTGCTCTATAGACCACTTGTACCTGCAGGAAACGGCTTTAACGGACGTTAACGTGCCCCCTCGCGCGTCAGAACAACAGGGCCACCAAGACCAAGTCGCATCCTCGATCCTGTCAAAGTATGTTCCGCCCGTTGGATAGGGGATGCCATCTACCTTAATGTCGCGTGCATGGCTGACTCTTTGTTAAAGGGATACACCCAGTCCTGAACATCTCCCACCCGTTTCGTCTCTCGCCCTCTCTCCCTCTGGTGCAAAACGTCGTAGCATAATCGACAGTCGTTTGCCGGTACCGTTGAGATATGATAAGACAACCGCTCCCGGCCACCACCAGAATTCCAGCCTGTCTAGTCAGACGTCAGTCCCAGCCTCTCCTCCTCGAAGAGGCCGCTCTTCTACCATGAGTGTCCCCGTCCACGCTCCTGCCATGACCGTCCAGCTCGACGGCATCCCGAGGTCATTTACAGACGAGTCCAACGAGTCCTTCGCCTCGTCATCACCACAAAGGAGATCCAAATCTCCTGGCCGCAAACTCGGCTCCTTCTTCGGCTGGAAGTCATCGTCTCCCAACCTCGATCCACACTCACCGGCGACATCCTTCTCCGACGTGTCCGCCTCACCTGCCCACTCTCGTAACACCAGTCACATCGATGCTACACCCACAAATATGGGCCTCACACCACCAGCACTCGATTTCCACAGCCACCACCGTGATGGCTCTCAGCCCCAATACTTCGACCTCTCCCATGCCCACACCATGTCCGGCTCGTCGACCATCAACGCCCATGTAGAGGAGCTGGAACGCGAGCTCAAGCAAGTGAGTTCCGAACTTGCTGGTTCCATCCGTCGTGAAATGGAACTTGAGGATGAGATCGATCGTTTCCGCAGCGAGATGCCTGCTGGCACAAGCGACATTGGTCGAAGAACAAGCGACTACTTCTCGGATTCTGGTACCAGCTCTTTGAGATACCCCACTGTCGATAGCGAAGCCAAGATTGACGAACTGGAACGTCTCAAGAGGAAGGCAGAGCAAGAGAAGGCGCAGATGCAAGTCGACTATGCTCAAAAGCTGTCCGACGAGCTGAAGTTGAGAAAGAGCTTGGAGACACAAGTACAACAGCTCGAAGAGCAGCTGCACCACACCAAGGATGGCGCACCTGTCGAGACGGGCCCCAAAGACGAACGCGTACGCGAGCTCGAGGTCTTCCTTGATGAAACCCGCCGCCGCTTGAGTCAAGAGCGCCAATCAAAAGACAACTTTGAGGACCTTTTCGCAGCCCTCAAGGACGAAAGCGAAAAGCATCGCAACGAGCGCGACAACCTTCGCGATGAAGTTGTTCCAGAGCTCAAAGCCAGAGTCGAAGGTCTCGAATCCGAAGCTGCTGAGATGCAATCACTTCGTTACGAGAATGCCGGCATGCAACAACAGCTCCAAGCCCTTCGTGCCGAAGTTCAAATGCTGCAAGAAGCACAAGACAGAGATTCTGGATTCAACGACGATGTCTTCGCACCACCGCGATTCCCCAAAGCAGGCTTGTCACGATCGAACTCGTTGGCCAGGCCCTCTAGTAACGGCAACCTCCGACGAAGCAACTCTTTGGCAAGATCCGGCTCGGTCAGAGAGCGCAGTGAGACTCGCCAAAGATCCGATTCGACTTCTGGCGATCGCCACAAGGATATCGAGGATCAACGCGACGCGCTACACCAGGCTCTCAAGAATCTTCTGCGCAGATATGAAAGTGAGAAGCGCGAGCACGCAAAGACTATGCGCAAGCTCGCCACTGATCGGGATCGTGCTAGGCAGGAAACCACCGGCAGAACTCCCTTCACGCGCGAAGTAAACCTTGTTCGTTACGAGATTGGTGAGCTTAGAAAGCGTGCCGACGATGCTCTCGAGCAAAAGTGGCAGTGCGAAAGCAACATCGGTGGTGTCAAGATGGCCCTCGACAGAGCGCAGCAAGAGACCCAGTCTATGCGTGAATACCTCAACGGTCGAGCCGTAAGCGGATCATCTCGCAAGTCCACCTTTGAGGGACTCGGCATTGAGATTGCTGACGAGAACGTCGAGCTCGGCGAAGAAGATCGCAAGACCATGATCAAGGTTCTCAGACAAAGCATCGCTCTGGCCGAGACAGAACGCGATGCTGCTCTTCGTGAGGCAGAAGAGTACCGCCAGAAGGCGTACCTGCTTCAACAATCCGAGGACGAGCATATCGATACACAGAACGACCTTGCGGATCAGTTGCTCGAAGCCGCAACCCGCATGGAGCAATTGGCATCTCAGGTCCAGGAACACCTGCAAGCCAACATGCAACTGCGTGAACGTCTCAGTCACGCGGTCGGAAAAGGAGAACAATCACAGAGCGAGTCCACTGCTCTTATTGTGGGCATGCAATCTCGGCTTAAGTTGATGGAGGATAACGTGGTTGCCGCACAACAACTATCAGAGTTGGCTCTGGTCAACCACGAAGAGGAAGCCAAGCAGATCGACGATGCCAATAGCCCAAAGCTTCAGCGTCTTAACGTGGCCGGAAAGACAGCAGCATCGTCCCTGCAAGCGTCACCTCTTTTCGGAGTCAAGAGTCCCAGAATCGGCACGACCAGCGGGAGCATGGCCGAGAATCTCTTCGAAGCCAGCAAAACTGCCACGCTTGAACGCAGGGTCAAGGAACTCGAAGCAGCACTGGTGGATGCAGATTCGGAGATGCAGTCGGTGGTACAGAGAATCAACAGTTCTCAGTTCGAGATCGCCGAACTACAGGGCGAAAGGTACGTACCCGTGAAGCGACATGTACACATGATAAGCTAACTCGTAAACAGGGACGAAGCAAACCGACAGATGCGCCGTTTGCAGGCGTCGATCTCAGCTGAGAAGCAAAAGGCACAGGCGCTTTTGATGGCATAGAAAGCTACGAGGATGATGATGCATTTGGATAGGTGTTTTGACACCCAAGTTTCTTGTTTACATTCTTTGTACGAGCCCCAGTTTTTGGCATGAGTTTTTTGATCGGATTATTTTTGGATATTATATACCCTTTGGCGAAGAGTAGAGTTAGAAGTACTGGATGGGTGTATGCATAGCGAAGCGTTTAGACAGCGAGACTAGAAGCAATGGCACAGTGGTACAAGCGCGTGGAATGGAATGTTGTGTATCATGGTGCAACGTGGTGGTCGGTGTCGATAGGGGAGAATAGGCTGTGGTGTTTCAGAAAGCATCCCCAGACTCTCTAGCGCGGCAGCAAGGGGGCGGCGGCCTCGTGCTGTCTAGTTTGCCAACTCCCAATCGACTGGCATTCGTCTTGACGCAGTGTGCAGTCACGAGGCTGTGTTTGCAACTGAGCCAATCGACCGGCCCCGGCAGTTTTGCGTACGTGCTTTCATCTAGATAGCACACCGACTCGGACTTTCTTTCGCAGCTTCCCCTCCATCCTCTACTGCCCTCGCTGCACCTTCCAACGTCGTCTTTGCTAGCCAACTTCTCCTGACGACTCTCGTGTACCGATCGAAGCCTCTGCCGCTCGCTGCACACATCCAAGGGTCATCTGCCATTGCGCAGTCGACAGTGCGTCTCTCCCAGCTCGATGCACCCCTCAGCCTTTCGCTCAAGACTAACATCGCCGTGTCGATAGCAGCAAGCATGAACCCCAACAACCAGCAGCAGTCCAACCGACTGCAACTCAACTTCGGATTCCAAGGCGCTCAGAACTTTGGCGGCGCTGAGCAGGGCCGTGCCTATCCCACCACCCCTTCGACCTTCCCGCAACCCTTTCCCAATCCTCAGGGACAGCAAGAAGTCTGGGGTACCGCCCAGCCTGGTATGAACAGTGGCTTCACCAACCAAGGCTATTTCGCAAACAACCCCTATACCTCAGCCGTCCAGCAGCAACAGGCCAATTTGCACGCACAACAAGGCTACAGACCTCCGCCTCAGCAAGCACAGCAGCAAGCACAACAGCAGCAGCTCCAACAACAACCACCACCACCACAACAGCAGCAGCAGCAGCAGCAGCAGCAGCAGCAGTACCACGATGCCGCTACAAACGGTCTGGTGCACCAGTTCTCCAACCAGAACCTTGGTGGCACACCTCGCGCCCAGAGCCCTTATGCTCGTCAAGTTTCACCCAACCCCAACCCAAACCGTCCGCGTACCGCCAACTCGACCCACCAACAGCAACAACAACACTACTCGGGACCGTCTTTGTCGGATGAAGAGCCGCCGCCAAAGAACCCAGAGCGCTTCTCGACAACCATTGGCAACCGTGCAAAGCTACAGACGGAGCTGGTCAGCACCTTCTTCCGTGACAGCGTGGAGCGAGCTCGCGATCGCAACGCACGGTACGCTCCTATCTCTTCAAGATTATGTTAGTCCCACAGCTGACCCGCTCTGCAGTGCCCAAGAGCTCGAGACGATCATGAAGGATGCCACAGTATCAGACTCGCGCAAACAGCAGAAGACGACTAGCATGCGTCGCTCCGAAGCAAACTTCCTTCGTTTCCTTCGTACCAGCGAGAGGCCTCAGAATTATTCAACTATCAAGATCATCGGCAAAGGAGCCTTTGGTGAAGTCAAGCTCGTGCAGCGCAAGCACGATGGCAAGATCTATGCCCTCAAGTCGCTCGTCAAGGCCGAGATGGTATGTCGAGACAAATTCAAGCAGAAAACCATGACTGATACTATCACCACAGTTCAAGAAGGATCAGCTCGCCCATGTGCGTGCCGAACGCGACATTCTTGCCAATGCCGATAGTCCTTGGCTCGTCAAGCTGCACACGTCGTTCCAGGATTCGACCTTCCTGTACATGCTCATGGAGTTCTTGCCAGGTGGTGATCTCATGACCATGCTGATCAAGTACGAAATCTTCTCGGAAGACATCACTCGTTTCTACATGGCCGAGATCACACTGGCTCTGGAAGCCGTGCACAAGCTGGGCTTCATCCATCGGTACGCCTCGCTGCCCGACCACTACGAACCTCATAGCTGACAGTACCCCAGTGATATCAAGCCTGACAACATCTTGCTTGACAGGGGTGGCCACATCAAGCTCACCGATTTCGGTCTCTCGACAGGCTTCCACAAGGAGCACAACGCCTCATACTACCAACAGCTCATGTCCAATGCTCGCTCACGTGCAACCGCCGCAAACCGCCAGTCAGTTTCACTCGACCAGATTCAGTTGACTGTCAGCAACCGTCATCAAGTCAACACCTGGCGCAAGTCCCGCCGTCAGCTCGCATACTCGACCGTTGGCACTCCCGATTACATCGCTCCCGAGATTTTCAGTGGCAAGGGCTACGACTACCGCTGCGACTGGTGGAGTGTCGGCACCATCATGTTCGAATGTCTGATCGGATGGCCTCCATTCTGCGCAGAGGAGCCCCACGATACCTACCGCAAGATTGTCGACTGGCCTAGAAACTTGCACTTCCCTCCTGACCAACAGATTGGCCCTCAGGCGGAGCACTTCATCCGCAGGTAAGTTTTTTGTCGTCCACGCGTCTGTACATTATTGCTGACTTGGACAGTTTGATCTGTGATGCCGACAACCGCCTTGGTCGCCTTGGAGGTGGCACCGAGATCAAGCAGCATCCCTTCTTCCATGGTGTTGTCTGGGATCAACTTCGTCGTATCCGCGCTCCTTTCGAGCCCAAGCTTTCGTCAGCAATCGACACACAGAACTTCCCCATCGACGAGATTCCGCAGACGGACAACAGCGCTGCTCTGCGTGCTCAAAACGAGGCCATGGGTGGAGAGGAAGCCAGTATGAGCTTGCCCTTCATCGGCTACACGTACAAACGTTTCGATGCTTTCCGTGGAAGCTGAGCAGTCTTCTGCTTTGTGTTTGTATCTCATGTTATTTGTATCGGTGGTTGAGGGTGGCGGAGAGAGCAACACAGCATAGCGCATCAAAGCCGTCATGAGGATGGTGATCAGAAGTTCGTACCCATTTCTCGTTGTTGTTACAATATCTTTCATCATCACACGCAGGCAAGCAGATGGGGGCGTTTGGGCGTCTTGTGCCTTTTATGCAAAAACAAGACCGTTTTGCGCTGGAACCGCGAGATGAGTTTTAACAAAAAATGAGCATTTGCAATTACTGCCATATTCCTTGGCTTTGTACTCCGTGAAACCATGCCCCAATGATGCCCATCATGCCTTCGTAGCCAGAAGCCTTGCCGTGACGCGTGCAACCTGTGCCAGCCCAGGGGAGTTTACTTCTTTCCGTTGTTGTGTGGCGAGTTTGCGTTCAGCACTGTGTTTTTGAAAAGGGTCAACAACTTGATAAGAAGGGACGAATGATGCAAACGTACAGCTGACGATTCTGACTTTATCGACTTCGATAGTCTGCGAGTTATCAAGCTTGAACTTGATGTCCTTGAGGATAAAAGTCCAGACGTCGTCGCAGAAGCGATAAGTGTCGAGATGGCCCTTGAAGCTCATTCTGGCCTTGACCTTCTCCCCGAGCACTTGAGCGATGACTTGGTCGAAGTTTGTCATGATTTTGATGGCGAGTTGGGGCTCGATGCGACGACTGCTGATCAAGTCGTCGAGGGTATCTGCGAGTGTGCCGCCGATGCTGGAGATGGGGGCTTCTGTTTAGCTCGATGGTGGATAAAGGCAAGTGTGTTTGGACAGTAGGCTCACCTCGCATTGCGATACATCTCGTAGTACTTTGCTTGCTCAGCCATGTTGAAGGTGGGTGGGTGACTAGTGGGTGATGCGAGAGAGACAGTTGTACGGTCACGAGCAAATGGAGCGGGAGGGAGTGTTGTTCGATGATAAATATAGTGAAGGTTGATTGCTCGTCTGCGATGGTGAATGACGGGGGTGGAAGGAGGTGGGTGCTAAGGGTCTCGGAAGTGACAGAATGGAAGTCGGTTGTGATTCGCTGGTGCTTCAAAGTCACTCCGCCTGGAGACGCGCGCATCGGCAACACCGCGTCCGAGGGACTCCCGACTCGGACCTCTCTTGCTCTCTGCCATGTAGAGGCCATTTGAACATTCGCGCGACAACCAGACTGACCTTCTGAGGTCCAGCCGCTACGATGCCGCCCATACTGCTGATGAAGCGAACCCTGGATGATTTGGACGACCTTTACGACTTTGACGACTTTGACGACACTGAAGACGACCAAGAGATAATAGAACCCCGACCAAAGCGCCTACGAGATAAGAGTCTCATTGCAAAAGAGGAGGGACCAACCGCGAATGCTACACAGGCAGAGGAAAAACATGTAGCCGAAAAAGTCGTCGAGCTTCTGGCCCCTCGCATCGAAGCTCAGGTGCAACAGCTCATGAACGGCACCGCTATGCGTATGCTGGACGTCCTGGGCCAAAAACTCGCCAGACTCGAGTCGCGTATGGACGAAATGCACAATGAGTGGAGGAAGAGCACATCTATAACCAATCTGAAGCAACGAGATGCTATGGTCCAACAACTGGCCAGCCAACAGTACCAATTCGGAAACCGCCATCAATCCGCAGTACAGCAGTACTACGGACGTACACAAGCTCCACCTACTGCCACTCCCAACCAAGACACAAATGACGCCTCTCGTACTGAAGATCCATTGCAGACCTTCTTCCAAGAAGCCGCCCAGGCTGCAGACAGTCCCCAATTGATAGGCCCAACCGTCAACCGTCGCGGTCAATTCATGACCCGTCGCCCTCGGATAGAAACTCCAAACGTCACGCCAATCATCCAACCAACTCAAGACGGCAAACCCGACATGAATCCAGAAAACGCCCCACAATACCGCCTGCAACGAGGTTCCGAATCTGTAATGCAACTCTGGCGCGAATTCTTCGTCGGCTCTGCCGAAAAACCCGCCATTAATGAGCTGGACCACAGATATGGCAGTGCCTGGCGCTGGAAGGACAGCAAAGAAGGTGTCTACTACAGCATGCGCCGCACCGTCATCGACGAGATACAACCACGCGTCGAAGCTCGCTGTCACCACTCCACAGGCGCCACAGGCGACATCTGGCTCGCTGTATGCGAGGAAATGGATGCCGAAAGAACAAGCATGCAGTTTACCCTCAACCAGTACATATTCGAACTGAAACGTCGAGACAAACCAGTCATCCCGCCTGGAACAAACAAATGGGATCCTGAACATCCTCATCCACCGCCTCCACCCATACTGTCACGAACGACACCTTCAGTACAAAAACTCTGGACAGAATGGTTCTCTGGGAAGTCGAATTACAACGGTTATGCCACGTTCCCATCCATCGTAGAGATCAACCACAGATTCGGAAATTCGTGGCGGCAGTTCCAGATGCCAGAGTACAACATCTACCTCAAGCGTCGCTGCATCATCGACATCGCTCTACGCCGCATAGTAGAAATAGGCGGCGACAAGGCCGAAACCACCAAAAAAGTTCTGAAAATGATGGATGCTGAGAGGGTGGCACATAGTCTGAGTTTATCCCAATACCATGCCTGGGCGAGGGAGAAATATGGTTATCATGCTTCGACGCGAACGCACCTGCCAAAGTTTGTTGCTGACTTGGGAGAAGGGCTGGAAGAGGCGGTTGAGCTTGAAGCGAGGACCAGATCGCAGCTAGATGAGGAAGAGAGTGCTGTGCGAGATCATAGCACCGATATCGATACCGCCATCTTGGATCATGAGCGGCAAAGCCAAAGCAGAAGTGGACACGGTCAAGTGAGTTCTGTGCCACCCTCACCCGCATCCATGGGCTAGCCGGGACAAAACTTTTCTTGGAGTATATACAAAATCTATCAACGAGTTGAGTGGTAGCTCGCGGTACAAGTTATGCTGCAGAGTGATATCTAAGCAGCTCCACCTCCCATGATATTCTTGCCTTTGATGCTCTTCCACTCGATGAACAGACTGACAACAAACGCCAGCCCACTAGTGACGATGGGCACGATGAAGGCAGTTGTCACAGCATTGCTGTATGCAGTCAATACCCCTGGTAACTGAGCCGCCGACACCACGTCCCTGACGTGTGTGGCACCAGCGGATATTACAGCAGCGGGATTTACTCCAGGGGCGTCTTTGATGATATCCTTGACCAGCGTATTGGCAAAGATGTTCTGTGCAATCGAGATAGAAATGGCACCTCCCAGGCTGTTGAAGAAGATCGCAATGGCGTTGCCTGACGGCATGTCCTTTTCCTCCAGAACGACTTGTACAGCGATGAATGGAATCTGGATTGCAGAGCCGGATCCAATTCCAGCGAGTAGTTGATAGCCGATCCATTTGGCGGCAGGAGAAGCGACCTCGAGGGTATACAGCATACCGGCACCCACGGTGAAGACGGCGGCTCCAAACCACATGAAGGGCGCATACACGCCGATGACAGTGATGGTACCTCCAACTATGATAGAGGCAATCGTGTTAGAGCAGAGGTATGCAATGCATCTGATTCCAGAACCTTCTGCAGAAGTGTTTTTTACTGCTTGAAAGTAGAACGGCAGATAGAAGATATGGCTACAACAGTCAGGACAGCTAATTCGCACTAAGGCTCGGGGGGTGAACTTACGTGTACAGCCCCATGGCAAAGAAAGTCGAGTATAGTGCGGAGACCAAGACCGTACGGTTTTTGACCAAGATACGAGGAGGCAGAGTAGCTCGGTCTCCCAGCTTGATTTGGAGGGCGATGAAAATGCTGATCAAGAGTCCGAAACCAAGAAGACAACCCCAAACCTTGCTGTTGCTCCATGGGTAGGTGGTGCCTCCCCATTGTAGAGCAAGGAGAAGACAGACGATGGCACAGATCAGAAGGAAGGCGCCCAGGAGATCGATCTGTTTGAGCTTTTCCTTGGTGGTCATGTTGGTGTGTCTTCTCTCGGGATTCTCAAAGAAGAAGAAGACAGCGACCAAGCCTATACCGCCGAATGGAAGGTTGATCCAGAAGCACTGCAGGAACGTCAGCAGATGCACGAGGAGGACTCGCTCATGTATCGTACCCATCGCCATGTCGCTGAGACATCGTCAGCATACAGTAATACTTTACACGATTGATAAAGCTTTGCTTACCATGATCTGTGAAGACTCCGCCGAGCAGAGGTCCAACTATACTGGCGATTCCAAACATACTGGACAGCGATGCAATATAGATTGCACGCTTCCGCAGAGGAGCGATGAACCCGATTATAGTCATGCCTCCGGAGAACAAAGCTGCGGCCCCCACGCCTGCGATCGCTCTTCCCACGATAAGCATCGTCGAGCTACTGGCTGCGGCACAGATGACTGAGCCGACTTCGAAGATGATCAGAGCCGAAAGGTAGGTCCATTTGACATCAAAATACGTGTAGACCTTGCCAAAGGACGGTTGGAGCGATGTGGTTGTAAGCAGGTAGGAAGATCCAATCCACCCTACATCATTGAGTGCATCGGGCCATTCGGTCGTGATTTTGGGGACTGCTAGAGTGAGTTCGTGAGTACTTTGATAATACAGAATAACCTACTGGCTGTTGCGATGACTAGAGGAAGAAGCGACGGTCAGCATGGGCTCTCTCCAATCACTACTTATAGTAGGTGCAGAGAAGGAACAAACGTACTCGAGTTGTCCAACGCGACTACCCAAATCGCAAGGCAGAGACCCAAGACGAGCAGCCAGAGCTTTGGACCAGTGGGATATTTGGACTCGTCTTCGGCTACTCGAGAAGCAGCGTCGGTGTCACCTTCTGCTTTCGAGGCTGCGTCTTTGTCGACCGATTCTTCCCTGACAGCAGTCACTGCCTCGGCCTTGCTCATCGAGTCGACCCCGCCTTCGTGTTCCTCCTGTGGTACAGTGTGAGGGCCACCAATCGTCTTGTTCTTGAAGAGACCCATCATGAGTTTTGACACTTTCGTCGCGACGATGCACGAACGAGACAGTAGAGCTCGAGCGACAGTTACCTCCTCGCTTCCATTATGTATGTGCCCGGCTCCTCAATTTCGTTGCGTAGGAGCCGATCAACGCCTGTTCGTGGAAAGATCTGGATCCCCCAGCCAATCGATATACACGCAACGGTACTATACGATGTACGGAAGTATAACCATGTTTTTTCCTCCAAGCGAGCTGATCTTGTCACATCTGCAAGCTGAAGTCCTGCCCTCAATAACATCCCCTGATAGATAGACAGTACTATAATCTATAGTATCAGCTGTAGATATCACATCGCTTCTGTCAGAGAGGGGTTACACCAGTTGCATTGCTTCAAGCGCCAAGCCGAAATATGTGCATCTGACAGGTGCCACAAAAAGTGTGATTGGACGAACGTCGTGAAGTCTAAATGATGATATGTGATTGAAAGTCGATTAAAATATAAGATCCTAGGTATGACGCAGAATATCGACCAAGTGCCCCTAACGCTATGCTTTGGAAATCCAGCTCCAAGAATACAAAAAAACGATGAATGATACTGGCAGCCACCAAGATTATTATGCCTGCTTCTCGAGGTCCTTTGGACCATCGGAGCCGCTACCAGGAGAGGCGGGTTCGTGGTCTGGGTTCGCGCTGGCCTTGTTTGCGATCGGAAAAGTGGGGGCGAATTGACTCTTGCTTCTGATCTGAGCTCCCTTCATGTAGAAAAGGATGGGCAGAGGGACAAGCAAGAAGGCAAAGCAGCCAAGCAGAGTGCCGGCCCACTGAATGCCCATTCCTTCAATCATGTAGGTCGCGAAGAGAGGGAATCCGGCACCACAGAGAGAACGCAAGAAGGTGTTTGCAGCGATGGCGGATGCGGCAAACATCAGGTAACTGTCAATGAGATAGTTGAGGCACTGAAGGAAGATGGACATGATGCCGAATCCAGTGAACAGTCCACTCAAGGTTGGGGCAATCCAGTGGATGTCTGCACGGTAACCAGTCCAGCCAAACCAGAGGAGACCGACACCGAAAAGTACACCACCAATGATGACCGGGGGAAGACGCCACTCAGGGATGGGAATGTTGTTGTTCGCCTTGAGCTTGCGGTTGTACGAGGGAACGTCGATTACGATGTAGAGACCAGCGAAGACCTCACCCATAATCATACCGAAATACGGCAGTCCACCAACACCAGGGGACATTCCGTGTACGCCTTGGAACACAATCGGGTAGAAAGTCAGGAAGAGATAAAGCAAGCCATAGACGAACGCCATGTAGATCGACAAGAGCAATACGATGGGCTCTGTGAAAAGCATACGCATGGGGCGGCCCAAGTTCTTCTCGACCAGCTCGCGAAGGTTGATCTCGATTTCCTCTTGCTTTGCGTGGATACCCCAGTTCTTGGTTCTGCGTCTGAGTTCGGCGGCCTTGTTGACGAGAATGACGGGCGGGTAGGTCTCTTCGAGGAGGAAGATCAGAAGGGCGAGGCCAGTGAATCCCATGATCGCGGTGATATATTCACACCAGCGCCATCCGAGATATGAAGTCGTGATGAAGCCTCCGATAAATGGCGCGAGAAGAGGTCCAGAAAAGACTGCAATACTGAAGACTGTAACAGCGACACCTCTTTGAGCGTTGTTGAACATGTCGGCGAATACGGCTCCTACGACGGTGAGGGGACAAGCGCCCATGAAACCACCGAAGAATCTGCAAATGAGGATAGTCTGGAGATCCTTTCCGACAGCAACAGCAATAGAGAAGATGGAGAAACCAAACGAAGCGATAAGAAGAGGAAGACGACGTCCGTACAGCTCTGACATGGGTGCCCAAAGACTAGAATACATCAGTAACATGTAATTGATTCTTACCCAGAAAGACACTCACATGGGACCAGTAGCGAAACCAAGCACGTAAAGCGAGATACCAAGGATACCAACTTCTCTCGAGACGTCATATTCGTTGGCGACGGCACCAGTAGCGGAGGAGAAGATAGAAGAACCGAAAGCAGCGGTCAATGTAACGAAGCCTAGCGAAGCAGCAACAGGAAGCCTGAAAGGACAATTAGTACACTGAGATCACATCGGGTTTATATCATACTCACTTCTTCTTGAAAGGCCAGTTCTGAGCATGCATTGGGTCATTTGGACCATCGAATTCTACTACATATTCCTCCCTTTCCGGCAATGGTGGAGGGTAAGGCTTGCCACCACCAAAGTTAGGCAGAGGTTTGCTAGCCTTTGAAGATCTCGTACGGAAGACTCCAAAGCCTGTGCCTTCTCCACCACCGACTGTGGCACTGTGTTGACTTCTGCCAGTCTGGATTCTGCTCAATGCGGTAGGATGCCTTTCGAGATCGGCCTCGTTCTCGTGTTGTGTCTCGACTCTCGAAATGCTTCTGCCCATCTCCTGAAATCTGACCGAGCTTCCAGAGTGTGATGATGCAGAGTAACGCCTCGCAGCAACGGGCGATTCGTGAGATTCAAGTCGTGTAATGGGACCGAACCTCTCAGGTGAAGCATCGCGCTCGTTGTTGGCCATCACCCTGTCTTGCGCGTTCATAATGGCGGAAATACCAATCTCGTGGCCTGGCAGGAATTTGCTAGTTGAATAGGAGAAGTTGGAAGAGGATCAAGGGCAACAACAGATAGCGGCGTGAGATCGATAAATGAGAACAAATACTCGAGCACGGGGCACAGAACGATAAGAGTGGAGCCAGAAACGGTCCAAGGAAGCGGCTGTCACGGCAATTGTTGACTGCCTGGCCTCCTAGAAATTCGTGATTACGAAGAGCTTGTTAAGATTTGCTGCTCCTTTGGAAGATAGAACGACATGGAATATTCTGCTTCTTTGTCTAGTGGCGTGTCTCTGCTTATCACTTCCAGTGGAGCTCTGCTCGAGGTGTTAGACGAGGGATGACAGCACGCCAGCTCACCGCTGTGTTTGTCTAGGATAAGCAACCACCTGCGTCACATTTGCTTCAGCAACAGTTCCCTTTCTTGGACCCTGACGCCGCCCAGACGCCCTGCGAGCTAGAAAGCTAAAGGCGCGAATTTCGGCGCCTCTTCCAAAGGATTTTCGTCTGTTAATCGGCAGTTGTTGACCTCGTCTGTTCTGGCTCTAATGGCCGAGGCTAATATCCCAATCACCAAGGCATCACTCGGGTGTTGGAAAAGTAATCACATCCTGAAACAACCCAATGACAGAAGCATCGCGGATGCGAGGGTAGCCACCATCGACAAGCTTTTCTCTCTTTCCAGCCAAGAACCCGGGGTTAGCATCCAACCTGACTCGAGCATGAGCCTAGAAGAAGTCTTCTAACAGTATCTATTGAAGCTCAAAGATCTTCTTTGCAGATTCATCTGGTGAGTACCGGAAATGAACAATCCGATACATACCACCGGGGTTGCAGCCTTAGTGCCTCCTCACAAGATGATGTGAAGTCCCAAGTAGATAAGTATCGAACGACTGCATGGCATTCGATATATCGAGTGAACAGCTGGAGGGGTGGGCAGACGTGTGTGCATACAACGGACAGTCGCAGTCACCAGTAGACATCGAAAGATAACATGAAGAAGGTGATGGAAGAAAACACTAGCGCACGTGATGACAGAATCTTTGCACCGCCACAATGCCGCCACTAATCGTCATATAGTGGCGTAAACCACCCACTTGATAAACCCAAGGCATCCATCGCTCTTTCCACGGCAGCACCTCTCTATCACTCAAATCTTTCCAACTGCAGATCCATCAAAACATCTCAAAAAATCAACAATGGGTCTCCCTCAACAAACAAACACCCCTATCGAGAAGCCCTCGACCTCCGAGACAGCCGAGAACAACATGGACTCCATTCCTGCCGCCAACGTCAGCACACAAAACAGCTCGATCGGCGCCACGAATAGCTCAGAACTGGCTGGAGGTGCCATTGGCGGTACCTCAGGAGATGCCGAGAGGGCAGCTGAGAAGCTCTACGAGGAGAGAATGGAGGTAAGCAATCTTGATGATGTGAATGTGACAGGAAATGATGTTGACTTGTCTTACAGGAGGAGTACGCCAAGCGCGAGGGAGGTGCTTAAACGACTTTGAACGCGTTATGAAGTGACGGGTAGCCTAATGGTCAATATTGGCTGTGAACGTCACAACCTATGGGGCTCTGCATATAACTCTAACTAATGTATCACCACTTTCTAACCAATTGTCCCGTTCGCAAAGCATTGTGTCAATCTCTGGTAACCTGGCTCCTCATGTGTCTAGTGATCTACTCTGAAGCTATCTGATGGCTATCAAAACTCGTTCTAGCATAGTCAATACTTTTCTGTTGCCATAGCGTTTGTCTCCCGCTACACTGACTGCTTTGACCACCAGTGGAAACAACAATCTCAAGTCTGCTTTGCAATCTCTGCCATTGGCACTACTCGCTTGAGCAAAGGCATCCGACAGGCTGCATAGCTTTTCGATTTCGGTCAAGCAGAAAAGCAACTCTTCTACCTGCGACAGTGGTTGCGGCAGCGAACCGCGAAGGGGCTGATCGACGATGTACGCCTTGAGAGGCAGTGCAAATCGCAGTACCAGATGAGGAGCTGCGGCCTGCGAAAGCCTGACTTGACGTTGGCTGAATCCACCAACCAAAAAGACCAGCTCTCTAAAGCATAAGTATGCCATGTCCTCCCTCGAGCTTGGCTCTGGATCTCGGACTCGGCCAAGCCGTAAGGTATTAAGACTGCTGAGTCGATGGCTATCTTCCGGGATGTCTCCACGCTCCACAGCATGAATGAGCGATGCCTCGAACAGTGAAGACGTGTATTTGTGTCGGATTGCATCAGGGATCTCCGAAGAGCCCAAGAGTGGTGTGATCATAGTTTTCAATCGTCGCATGCTTTCACAGTCGAAGACCTCGTCTTTCTCGACGGTCTCGAACGTAGGCTGTGGTGATGCTTCATCGATATCGGCACGCATGATGGCATGCGCAATGCTGGCTATAGCTGTCCAGATTCGAGTGTTCATCTTGTTCTCGATGTTGTGCTTTCCCATCTGCGCCAGGGTCTTTTCGATGATAGCTAGCGATGCAGACGTTGCCTTCTGCCAAAGGGCTGGTGCCTTTGCAGGCTGTGTCCATCGATACTTGAGTCCCATTGGTATTGCCAGGTCCTCCAAAGCTTTTGCTACTGCACCTGAGTGGAACATTTCAGGTTTTGACAAGTCTGTAGCAATTAGGTCGACCAACCAATCCATGCTTGCTTTTGACAGAGCAACAAACGTGAGGTTTGTTTTGAGCTTTTCAGATGATGCAAACGGCAATGCCACCAACCGCGAAGCAGCGTTGACTAATGTCGAGGAGACCAGTTCGATGTTGCTATGTAGCGCTTTTAGGTGTTCAAGGACTCTCTGCTGAAGCGAAGTGAGATTGTTAACATCCGAGCTGTAAGCTGCGCCAGTCGAGAATTCGATGCAATCAATCATGTTCTGAATCAATCTCTCGAGGCGTTCTACTGTCGTGTTCTTCTCGACCAGGCTGTAGATGTTCCTACCACAGTTGACGTATGCAATATACTGCTCTTGTTCGGCATTTTGACCCTTGACATCTGCGGAACAGTCGGGTACACTGGACGACCACAAAACTTCTGTGCGCAAGACTGCCTGATTCAAACTCTGGTTGGTAGATACAAATGCACCGAGCAGGGTGCTTACACCGTTGTACACAGCCGCATTAATGACCGAAGAATGGAAGGACAAAAGGACTTCAAAAATCTCCATCAGCTCTGACCATAATCGATCAAAAGAGACAAATGAAGCCATCTGGTCAAATTGGCCAAAGAGGAGGCCGGTGATGTTGTCGATGATTTCGCTTGAAGTGGAGTCCAGACCGATGATGGCATCTGAAGATGCTTTACCCGAACGAAGAGACTTTTGCTTGTTGCCGTTTTCTCGAAGGACCTTGAATAACAGCGTCTCGATAGCCAATTGCCAGGCTGGGTTAGCAAAGTCAACACTGTGGTTCTTCAGAATTCTCAAAAGTGTTTGGAAAGCGCTGTTCCTGACTTCTGAGCGTTCATCGGCGATGACATCTGTGAGTCGATACATGAGTAATACCCATTGAGCAGGCCGGGATTCCTTGCTCCTAGTCACGATACGTTCGTGTCCCAGAACAAAACGCCCTTCAGAGATACTGCTGGTAAGCTCGTTGAGCCCAGACACCACTTCCTGCTTGACGAGGAAGTCTGATACATCCCAGAACAATGTGATAGCCTGCAAACACACTGTGAGTATGGGAATACCTTAGCACGGTACCAATGACTTACTGTGAGAGAGATGTTGAGGTCAGAGTTCTGAGAAGCGAAACGGAAGAGGATCTCTACCAGTGGACTAAGACAAGTTTGTGGAAGCGGCGCGAGAAAGTCGGAGCACAACAACTGCATCACGCCGAATGCTGATCGTCCTAGGTAGGGGGCGACGAATTGACTCGATAGCTTCAGCCAACCTTCCCTGACTGTGTTGTCGTCACGTTGTTGTTCCTCGTTGTCATCGATATCAAAGACACTACCTATTATGGCAATCATAATGTCCCAACCAGCGGTGAGTGCCTCTCCAGACTTTTCAAGGACAGCTCTGACTGAGTCCAGGACTTTGTTGTGAATATCGATATCAACGTTGGCGAGGTCATCGTCTTGTTCGTAGAGTCGGCGAACAAGCAGATGTAGAGATGACAAAACCATCTTCTGGGCTATTGCTGCATCGTCCTGTTCCTCAGACGTACTTGCCTCGGCAACTGCAATGGAGCTTCGAGAGAGAATGTCAGCAGCAAGACGGCGGGCATCGTCCGGTATGCTTGTGGCAATGCTAAGATCTACAACGCGGTCGACCAAGATCAACCATCCACTTTCCGTAGATGTGTAGTTTGCAAATCTTGAGGTGTTGTGTTCTGCAAGATCATTGATCCTCGTCAACACGAATAAATAGTCTTGGGTAGAGAGCGCAATGTCTGTGGTGATGCCAGGCAAGCTTGAAATCCTACGTGCGGCACTTGAGGGCTTTGTCTGAGTGGGAGACGAGAGCATACCCTCCGTTCTTCCATTGAGTAGCCTGCACAGAGTTGTGAGGACATGGAGAAAAGCGTCGTTTGGATAGTCGGCCGTGCTTTCCAAGAGGCGTGAAACTGCACCCTCAACAGCTGCAATCTCGGGGCCGATTCCTGCCGATCTAGCTTGAGAAGCGTTGAGAACTACACCGGCTTGGAGAAGCGTTTCGAAGACGATATTGAAGGAAGATTCAAGGGTTGGGCCAATCGCAATAGCTACATTGAGAAGCGCTCTCAAACAGAGGAGATTACGTGTGGACAACGTAGGCCTCGATGCCGGATCATACGATGTTCGTCTCGACCTGTCATTTGACGCCGTCTGCGTTGAGAAGCTCTCCACACTTAGTAGACCACGGCCGTTAGAATACACACCAGGGGTCTCTGTTGTAGGCGACGACACGGTCGATATGCTTGAAGTCACGACACTTGGGGGGACCGCAGCTTTGCCTAGTGTGGTCAAGAATGCATCTCGCGAGGTGGATAACCTCAAAAGACCGGAGACTTGTACAAATCTCTGGTATGACCTGATCAGTGCTCGGTAGTAATCGTTGTCTAGAGACGCATTGAGGAACGTTGAATATGTTGCAAGCAATGCCGGCCAACATTCTTCCACAAGCTTCGCGATAGCTCTAATACGAATAGCCTGGGTACTGTCATCTGTTGACAGCGGATTGAGTGGTACAGTGCGAGATCGGTACGACTGTGATCTCTTTTTCCTATTTCTCGTCTTTTGTGTCCTCGTGGTGTATTCTTCACTATCGGCTTCCCCTTCTGAATCTTGCTCTTGATCTTTCGTGTGTTGTTGGACGGTCAAGGGAAGTACAACCTTTGCTAAATTCTCAGACAGGCCGTTGAGACACTCGAGTACAAGACTGTAGATATAGGTCTCCGGTAGAGTTGGGGGATCTGTTTTGTCAAGCTGGTCCATGCATTGGGTCTTTGGCACACTCCAGCGCGTACTGATACCAGGAACGTTGACGTCTCCTGCGGTCAATGTCGGAGCAATGACACTAGTAATGTCACTAGCAGCTTCCATTGCAACCTGATCAGCAACGACGTCTCTTGCTTGATCGGTAGGAGCGCTTGAGTGTTGGCCCAACCCGATAACGGAGGGCTTTTCTGTGGAAATCCTGACGAAGGAGGCAATATTGTCTCGGACAATAGGCTTCTTGCCGACTTTGGCATCGTATTGCAGGTAAGTCTGTACAGCCAGACCGGGCTCTGTATAGATGAGACGAAAGACTTCCATGCACAAGGCACGTTTCCAGGCTATTGCTTCTGCATCTACCATGTGTGTCAACAAGCCCAGGACGACCTCACATTCATCGGGCATAGCCTGGAGGTGACGACGTATGATGAAGGATGCGACTCGGAGAGCACGCAGAGTAACACCAAAGCTTTGACGTTCTGAGATGACGCGGATTATGTGTGGCATGACCACAGTTCGAAGGATGTTTGTCTGCTCAGGATGCGATGCGAATATATTGGAGTGACTACCAAGGCAGGCGCCCATGAGTTCCAGTCCGGAGACCGCCGAGAGTCCAGCGAAGCGCACGAATCTTGTGTTCTGTCCTTCTGTAGCCAGACAGATGTCCATAAAAACGCGATAGGCATCATACGCAGCCTCTTTCAGCGGGATGGGGCCATCACCACCAGGTATCCGAGTGACGATCGGAATCCTGTCACCAGCCTCGTCCTCAGCGGCTACTCTGTCAAAGACCGAGACAACGAGTTGCTGGAGGGTGGCAGCGGCTACACCACTAACCGTAGCAGCCTTGACATTTTGAAGAGCAGCACATACTTGCAATGCAGCAGCTAGATGATCACCTTTCAGATCATCGGCGTAGTTTTGGGCAAGAGCGGGAAGAGCCTGCAGGATCTTGAGTTGGATGTCGAGACTGAGCGAAGTGCATGCATTGAAAGCGTTCAGAACATCTTTTAGTCGAGATTTTGGCAAGCCTCGGATGATGACAAGACGTTGCAGACACACAGTGGCACTGGCAGCATACTTGGGGTTTTGAGTGTTGCAAGCAAGAAGGAAGGGGTCGATAAAGGTTGATCGTCTACTCAGATCTCTTGCTCGTTAGCAAAAGTGAAGGTATTGTGTCAGGCGCGTCTCACCAGCAGCTAATTGTGCTTCTGAAGTAACAGTGATCGACTTGAGATCTTGCAACGACTTTTCAGCAGCCTATACCGCATCAATACAGATATGTTAAAGTATAGAATTGAATCTCACATACAGTACGGATCTCCGGGTTCTTTCTTTTAGCCTCCTGGGCGAGGCTCGTTAATTCGGCCTGGAGAGCCTGTCCGCTCATAACTCTAAGTTGGATTGGCAAAGCCGAGCATTCTAGGTGTACACGGTCTGCTAAGCCGGGATGGTGACAACCAGTGTCAAGCAATTGTTGTCAAATATGAGCCTGATATAATTGGTAAATCAAGACTATCAAAGGGAGAGGTACCGAGGGACGGAGGACGGAGGACGGGTGGCCTCGCGCCGGTTTGCCTGTCTGGCAAACATGTGGGCATGCGACTGCGACGTTCCAGCCGAGCTCAGGCCTGTGACGCGGATGATTGCCGTGTTTATGTCCAACAGACCCGCATCCTTGCACTTTTGCTCAAACTCATCAGCTTACTTGATTCTGTCGCTCCCTCGTCTTCCACCCGACTGTTCACATCAACCGCTTTCAGAACAACATGGCCAAGGTCCCCCGTAACTTCCGCCTGTTGGAGGAGCTCGAGAAGGGCGAGAAGGGCCTCGGTGCTGGTATGGCCAAGAGAGTCTGATCATGTAGCAACCGACGAAACTGACACGGTCACAGAGGCTTGCTCTTACGGTCTCGACGACGGCGATGATCTCCTCATGACCAACTGGAACGGCACCATCCTCGGACCTCCTCACGTACATCTACCCTCCCCGTCCACTTGGAACACAGCAGGCATTGACACATGATCCGACAGAGCGTACACGAGAACCGTATCTACAGTCTGAAGATCCGCTGCGGCGAGAACTACCCCGACGTGCCTCCCGAGGTTACCTTCATCTCAAAGGTCAACCTGCCTTGTGTAGATCAGAGAAACGGCAAGGTTCGTCTCGCCAGAGGGCCCACCCATGAGACGTGATTGCTGAGACAGAACAAACTAGGTCGAACTTTACAAGCTTCCCAGCCTGAGCCAGTGGAAGCGTGACTTCACCATGGAGACCATCCTCATCGAGATAAGAAGGCGAGCCCGCCGTGCCAGATACAACCTCTTTCATTGTCTAACAAGAGTCCAGATTTATGGCCGCACCCGCACACAAGAAACTGCCTCAGCCTCCGGAGGGTACCAACTTCTAGATGGCCATGACGCCCTTCTCGCACAGCTCTTGACGAAAATGAACATATCTATTGGGTACACAAGTACCCAGCCAACGACACGACGCTTCCAACATGATCCGCTCCTCCTTCCGTACTCTCAAGTTTCACTAGCATCGCGTTGGCGCTTGGCGCATAAGAAGAATGAAATCAATATACATATCTCACTTTGGCATCTATATTCTGCTCTATTTCGACGGTCTGTGAAGAACAAATGTAAAGACATCTCAGAAGATCGACCGCTCAGCGACGGCCGTGACCAAAAAGGCATTCCAATGCTTTATAACCCGTCCCCGAACTCCAAGCTCCAAGCTCCAAATCTTGTGTTATGTAGTCGTAGATGGCATGAGTTTAGTCGTCGTTGGAGTAGAGTCTGGCCATGTTCTTTGCACCCCTGGGCTCGATGAATAAGGCTTCGGCCTCGACCAAGTGCTCCCCCTCTTCGACACCGTCGCCCAGAATCTCAATCCAACCCTTGACCCACGCCTTTCTACCATCAACCTTTGTGGTCTCTGCTCTGAGCACAACAAAGCTGTTTGCAGGGCAAGGCTTCTTGTATGTGATGTTCAGACTCGCAGTAACGCCGACCTTGTTGGGCAGAGCAGGAAAACAGGCGCGGGCAAGGCCTTCGTCCAGAAGAGTTGCAAGTAGACCTCCGTGAATGATTGTAGGGTGACCACACAACTTTTCGCCAAGATGGGCAATCTGGACAATGGACGGCAGTTCGGCCTTTGTGTTGGCAAATGTGAGAGGTGGAGAAGCAATCTTGTCGTCTCCTTGCAGAGTACCCGCCGTCAGGTTGTGCGACCTCATGTTCTCGGGAATCTTCATGTGCGGCCTGGACTCGGTCCATTGGGGGTTTGCGCGCAGAGACTCGGAGAGAGGGTTTGAGACGATGCGTTTGTTGATTTCTTCGGCTTCGGAGCCGGCAGGTACGAATAGCGAGAGGGTCTCGGCATTGGTGGGGGGTGAGATGAAGCCATTGGCCGTCTCGATGGCAGGAGCGACAGACATTGCTAGACCGGCAGCTGTTGCGACTACGAAGAGAGCGGTTGCGCCGAAGACTCGCGAGGCACGAGAACGAGGAGGGGGAGGTGGAGGGGTTTGTGTCGGATCAGAAGCCTTGTCAAGTGGGGGTGTAGTAGAAGGGGCTATAAGGATAGTATCAGTAAGCGAAGGGAAGCAAAGGAGAAAAGGTCCAGACGGCACTCACCAGATTGGATGGTCTGGTAACGCTTCTGGAGTGCGGGCTGACAGGCTCTATATATACAGCGATTGCCGGCACCAACTAGAGTCCTCCGAACTAGAGCCGGTCCTGAAACCGTCGACATGTTTACTGCAAAAGACTCACTCCCTTTGCTAATCAGTGCCGAGTCAAGATATCCTTCGTAATGTCGCCTATTGCTTTGAAATTGTTCGAGGCCAAGAAATCGTCCGAGGTTCAACACCCGACGACGCCGTAGCTTTAACACTCCGACCCCCGACGCGGCTCGATGCGGTAATTTCTTGCGAATCCGAAGCGAACGAGCAATCGTCTCGAAAAACTGTGCTGAACTGATTACACGTCCGCTTGTCTGGAAAACACAAAATGCTTGGAGGACACATAAACTCAGCTTGGCTCGGGACTATCTTCCTCTTCTATCATGAGCCTGTCTCCTCCATTGCATCTCAACATCGCCCGTACTGACGCTATCACCTTGGCAGCGGCCTCTGTCCTTATGCTTCCTCACTGAGAGTGAGATCAATGATTGAACTTCCGAGCACCTGCAACCTCAGTTGCAGAGCGGGTACGCTGACAACGATAGCAGCTTGGCTGTATTTGGTCGCCATGGATGCTTCGTTTCCATACTGTCCGGCCGTTAGTCAATGCATACCAACCATCGACTTGAACTTACTGCCAGGTGTGCGATTTCGAGCTGCGAGTCTCGAGGATGCCTGATCCATTTCACTGGTCCGAGACGATCCCATCCGGGCATGCCATTCCGCAACTCATGCTCCTCTACCATCCTGTCAGAGATCTTCATCGCCTCGAACCCAGGTCGATAAAAGATATCGTTTTTGCTGGATTGGAATGCCAACCTATCATCCTCGTCGTCCTCATAATCATTACCGTCATATTCGTTGGCCCTTAATTCAGCGCAGACTTCGGACAAATCCATCACTCGTATGAGCTCAGTCCTCAGATTCAATGCCAGTAGAGCTTCATACAGCATCATGTCTGCTCCTTTGAGCGCTGCAGGCATGTTCTTGTGTAGAAGGGCGTGCGTGTAAGGATATGCATGTGCAAGGCCTATCGCCATGAAGCCACCCTCATTCATGAAAGTATGAGATCTGAGCAGGTCGATGAGAGGTCGGTACACCGGAAGGCACGTAGCATCCATGCTAGTCTTTTGGCCAGCGAGCAAGCCACTACCGCGTGACGCATAGAGGTTGTATGTCAATGTGACACGGTGGCCAGCGGTGACTTCTTGCACCTCGTGAGAGCAATCAGAATAGAACGCTGCCCATTGGATGCAAGGTGTCTGGTCAGCCTGAGAACACGGCGACCAGTCAAATTCAGATGGCAGACATAAAACAAGGCTGCCAACCTGCGTTTCACTCCTGGGGGTATCCACATGCGCCTTGAACTTTCCAGAAGGCCCGCTGTAGATATTGAGCTTGTACAGTTCAGCTCTGATACCTATGTTGATCTGGTTGTTGGCGTTGTCTTCGTTCATAGCAGAATCAAGCCCATCGCCTTCTGCGCCATGCTCTGCGAGTATATGTAAAAGGGCTAGGTCGGTACCTTCCAGCTTCTGCTCAAGGACTTGGTCAAGATTCCGCTTATACCTTGCCTTGTACATGTCCATAATCAAGGAAAGATCAGCAGGTGAACGTGAGGTTACGATCTCCATGACGGTCATCGTGTCAGTGTCATCGGAGCCCTCGATCGCGGCATGTAACATTTCCACATCAGCCTTAATAGCTGGTGAATTCTCATACAAATTTGAAGGGTCGGAGTCTGCCACCTTGCGCTTGATGGAGGGCATGAGAAGTTGCGATACAATGTCAATGATCCCAGTCTCGTAAGGACAAAAATCTGTGCAAAAGTCCGAGGTGTCCAACTTGGTCGCCTTGCGATACTGTTCGTCATATACGTCCCGACCTTCACGGCCAAAGGTAGCTGGCTCACATGTGCTAATCAAATTGAGGAACCCGGGATCCTTGGTTGTTTTGGTTGGAAGCCTCAGAGTCTGACCTTGACCAGGTGCTCCATAACGTATTGTAACGGGCTTGGTCATGATGACTTGATCGAAGATTTGAGATTCGACATCGCTTTTCTCGTTTTCAAAACCAGTCGTTGGACCGAGGATCACCGGAATCTGTCCACCACAGGCGAAAGTACTTTCGCTATCCGCTTCTCCTAGGGCAGAGGAGAACGCACCGAGTAGCTGCTGTTCAGACATTGTGAAGACTAGTTGATGACGACTCTTCTCGAGCTCTTCCCACTGATAATTATACCATTCTAAACACCTTGCGAGACTCTGGGCTCAAAGCACACTGCTGCCTAAGCATCATCCCTGCGCTTCGGGCCCAGGCAGCATGTCGCACAATCGCGTCTCTTCGAGCCAGGAGATGTTCTACTCGTCAGCCAAGGACAGCAAGGATTGGAGAAGCGCTACCGTGGAGTTAACAGGAAGCCGTGTTCTGTGGTCTCGTAAGATGATAGAGGTCAATAGCATAGTGTGCTCATGTCGAGCTTGTGCGACCAGCAGCAAAGGGATACGGTCATCTACCACACTACTGACGCGGTGGACCCAGCTCAGAGGCCGAAGCTCAAATGGTGCCAAGAGAGACGAGAACGAGGTAAGCAAGACGAGAAAGCCTGTCGAGGAAAAGAGCAAGGCACACTGACAAACATCTCAGCTCTCCCCGCATAACACCTCCGGATCAACATCCACGTCAACAACTGTCACCAAAAAAAAAGCCTTGCATCCATCCGTGCAGCCGACCTCGCAGAGACAACCAATTTGGTCAAAATTCCTTTTCTCTCCAAGTGATATTCAGGTGTATGTCCGTTGTTTGCCTAGCAATTCCGACACGAATGCAGGTCAGCCGCAGAAAATATGAGATCATACCTACGTATAACCGCACGTGTGCTCTCCAAGACCGAATTTGGTCGCAAAAGGGATAGGCGTCAAGAGTCACAATGCGGTGGTCCTGACGATAGAAACTCCACTTGTTTGCTCAAAACGAAGAATGCTTTGAGGGGTCACAAGGATGTTATCCCATATAGGGTCGGACCCCAGAGCCTCATTTTCATGTACCTACCACATACCAGATATTTCTTTTCTTGAATCTTTGGAAAAAATCCTAAGTGAAGGAAGCCTTCATCCAACCAACCTCTTTTTTTTTTCTTTTTAGATGACAGCCTGTCTCCAGACAATATGGACGTACTCAAAACCCTCAACCACAGTTCGAAGTCAACAACGGGCAATTTGACCTTCTCATTCACTCACCTTGCTGCGATAACCATCCTCATGCCAACGATACGACACCTCTACGTTGACTACAAAAACTTCATCGCATTGGGTCCTGGAGGCACGCCAAAGACGATTATGGGCTATTGCAAAGTCAAAGCACTAAGCTTGCTGGCTCTCCGTGACCCATACACACCACCGAAGATTCCGTGGTCCATGGTACAAAAACAGGGCACTTTGTCAAGTCTACCACAAAGAGAAGGCCCTCGGCCTTCGACTCTTGGAATCGCGCCTCACCGTCAAACGGACCAAAAACCATCGCAAGAGATGTACGAGAAATTGGCCAGTGCCCTACACACGATTGCCGAGGATAACCTACATCTTCTGGAAGGAACATCGTGTTTCGAAAAGCATGGCACTGGTCTGTTCAGCGACAACCCTCAACGACGGACTTGCGGAGGAGAAATCTGTCATGCACATCCTTCAGACGGATCATTGCATCTAACGCTGCACCCCGCCGACGCGAAGATCATGCTCGAGGGCGGTTGGGGCGAAAGACACCCACTAGCAAGAGGCGGATGGCTGGAAAGATTCGTCCCTGGAGGGTTCGTCATGATATATGCGCCTCGCAACGACGTCGAGCTCGATGTGGTACTGGAAATCGTACGCGCTGCAGCATGGTTTGTCGGGGGTGAAGAGATCAAGAGCGAGCATGACAAGCGCAGGGACAGTGGCCAGGAAGAGTGCGTCGCATGTTGAGGCCGTCGTTTGTTGAAAGCATGTGAGTCTTTGAGCAGGAAGGGGGGGGGGATTTCGAAGGGCCGACCATTGTCGACAAGAGTGGGGGCTAAGGGCAACGGGATTGACATTGACATGGACACGCGGCGCAAGACGGCTGGGATTGAACACACGGGGGTAGCGAGGTGAACGGAGTCTCTGCAAGTTATTGATAGCTCTGTACTTTACGGGCTTGGTATGGACGTACATGACGAATCTGACACGGCTTGTTGGAGTCTTGAGAATGACATCACTCCGCATCCACGGCAAGGCATTCAGCCCTTCGATGAACCACTTCTTGCCAATGATTGAACAAAACGTCCAAGGTGTCTTCACGGCAAGACTGAGCTGCAGGGCAAAGGTAGGGTAGAATCTGTTGTCTCGTCTGACAATCTGGAGATTACGTGCTTGCTTGGTTCCACTTTTTGTTTTTGCGGCCGCGCAGAGATCCGACAACTTCACCGACTTGACCAGGATTTGAACGAACGCTCGAGAGCTTTTGCGACAAGAAGCTTCAATTGATACGAACCGATCTCATTCGAAGAGACATTCCACTCTACCTGATCATATACCCGTTCTCGCGGTAAACTAACGCATTCCCGGTCAATGGAGTCCATAGTTTGGAAGCGTTGAAGATGACCGTGTGGAGAGCGCTCCCGCGAACAAGCTTGAAGATGGAAGCGCCACAGATCTCGGCGTACGACATCCGTGAATGCTTCAACCCTTCCTCATGAGGCTCTGACCACACTTTTTGTCGAGCCGCGGCCGCCACAGTTGCTTGCCTTTGCGGTTAAGCTCAAATCCTTCTGGGCAAGGCTCGTCATTTATAAACCTGTTGTCTGCCGCAACGCGCCTGTTTTCTTCCTCCTAGTCTCAGTACACCGAATCGACTCGCCTGTCCATTATCTTGATCAATTCCGGTGGTTAATGCTGCCCGAATTCAACCGACGCGACCTTTTCACCTACTTCACGCTCGTCCGGAGCATTCGTTCGATAAAATGGCGTTAGGAAACCTTTTCAAGCAGAAGCCTACTATCGTTGCCGATGCACCTCCTCTCCCGAATGCGCCTGAACTCGAAAAGCCAATGTGTGGCAACGAGGGATACGGCGACCAACCTGCAGGCTACGATCCGGAAAAGACTGGCCCTAGAGGCATGAAGATGAACAGAATCGATGGTCCCATAACCAAATCCATCGGTCAAGGCGACTTCAGCGACGACAGCTCCGGTATGTCGGTGGGCAAGCAGATGGAGATGGAGGCTGGAAATGCCATCAAGTACAGGACTTGCAGTTGGCCAAAGGTGTGACCCTATTGCGCGTGTTTCGTTTCCTCACCACACTCCCACTCGCGACATGGAGCGAGCCAACTCTCTGCCCTAAGCGACAAACCCTTTCCTTCTCTCAGATTGCCTTATGCAGCAAAACCCAGCACTACTCCATTTCTCCTTGCCCTATTGCTTTCTCTTTGCGAACCCTCGAACGATAGCTCTTGCGATGAGCGTACAAGAACCGACCTAATCCATATTCTAGACTGCAGCGCTGTTGTTCTCTGAGTATATCTGCTTGGCCATCATGTCGTTCCCATACTCGTACGCTACTTTGGGTCTGGTCCCTGGTCTAATCCTGACTGTTGTCGTTGCCGGTCTGGTTCTGTACACTTCTCTGGTTCTCTGGTATGTTGACAATGAAAATACTCTTGGAAACATGATCTGACGAAATTTATAGGGAATTCTGCCTGCGCCACCCTGAGGTCAAGGATGTCTGCGACATTGGTCAGATGCTCTTCTGGGGTCAAAGATGGGCATGGTGGGCTACTGCCTTCATGTTCCTCCTGAACAATACCTTCATCCAGGGATTGCATTGCTTGACCGGTGCCAAGTATCTCAACACCATGACTGGTCACGGTCTCTGCACAATTGGCTTCAGTGCCATCGTTGCCGCCGTTTCCTTCTTCGCGTCGTTGCCTCGTACGTTCAACACTCTTGCTTTGTTGGGTACAGCATCGGCGTTCTTCACCTTCATCTCAGTCATCCTGGCCACCATCTTTTCTGGTATCGAGGATCATCCCGCTGGATATCCCAAGTTCGGCGAGCCTCGCGTGCTCGCAATCCCTGAGAAAGGCACTACTTTCGTCGCTGGAATGTCTGCGTTCATGAACATCAGCTACACCTTCATCGGTCAAATCACCTTGCCTTCTTTCATTGCTGAGATGAAGAACCCTCGCGATTTCCCCAAGGCTCTTTGGGCTGTTACCATCGCCGAGGTCATTCTTTTCTCGCTTGTGGGTGCTATCATCTACGCCTACACTGGTACTCAATACTACACCGCACCTGCCTTTGGTTCTTTGAGCAACGAAGTGTACAAGAAGGTCAGCTTCTCGTTCATGATCCCGACTATCATCTTCTTGGGAGTACTTTACGCCTCGGTCTCGGCTCGCTTCGTATTCTTTAGAATCTTTGCGGGAACCAGACACATGGGCAGCCACACTGTTGTTGGCTGGGCAAGTTGGGCTGCCATTCTGCTCTGCACTTGGATCCTCGCTTTCATCATTGCCGAAGTCATTCCTTTCTTCAGTGACTTGCTGTCGCTCATGAGTTCGCTCTTTGACAGTTTCTTCGGCTTCATTTTCTGGGGTATGGCTTATCTTCGCATGCGCAGAGCAGACTACGGACCAGACTACTGGAAGAACAGGGGATTCAGAGGAACCTTTGGGTTTGCCTTCAACCTGATCCTTATTGCCATCGGATTGCTGTTCCTTAGTGGTGGAACATATGCTTCCGTCCAGAGTATCGTGGACGGGTACAACTCATCGACTTATGGTACAGCGTTTTCTTGTGCCGATAACGGTCTGTAGAAAAGTCAAAGACATTTGACAAGGTTGATATGAGAATTGCTCAGACTTGAATGATGTTAATGACGAGCAGTGGGCGTGAACTATGATTTTTCCTTATACTAAATTGATAGCTACTTTTAATCGATCTCTTCATGTTCCATGTCACCGTCCTGAATGACCAGCATTTAATACGCCCATTGTGCTAGGGCTGGTCAACCACAATTAGGCTAATTGACCTATGTGATAATTCATGTGATAATGCCAAGAGCGATGACGAGGGGGTGAGCTTCTGCCATGTGTTCTTCTGCAACCTCTCCAACTTGTGTTGTTTTGAGACAACATACCACTCCCTCTCGCCTTTCACGGCGCTCAAACTTTAGTGTCATCTTCAAAATATCATGTCTTCAATCTCCGACTACGTTGATCTTGGACAGCCAATGTTTTGGTGTGAGTCAACTAGGCACCGACATCACGGCAGAGTCAATGCCACATAAGAGGAGACACGCTGATTGAGACAACATAGTGTCTGCAGCTAGTATCTGTTTCAACCCTACTTTCTGGAAGTGAGCAAACGACGTCTGGACGGTTGATCTTGAAACAGACTTACTAACAACCCCTTAGCTCGGCCGCAAGATCAGGTAAGGTTCAACAGTCGCGAGTCTACAAGCACGACGAAAGAAGACGCAGAAGCTGTGTGATACAAAACAAGAAGAGAGAGAAGAAGACAAAAATTGACATGTTTTTGCAAAATCTGCAGAGTACCACAACAAGACCATCACCAAGCTGTTTGGTGGCAACTCGCTCTACGGCTGCTATGCCCTCGCCGTGACAATCTTCACCCTTGGAATCGTTCGAGACAGCATGTACGCATCTCCTTTTTTACCATCTTGACCAAGAAGCAACCACCCGTTACGCGCCAAATCCGTCAATCCTCGTCCCACAAAGCACCAAACTCCCTAAAGCGACACACGATCTTCGAAAGAAGCCAGACAATGATTATCTGCTGACATGACACAAGCTACGAGCGTGCTCTCCGAAGCCAACCTACGCACCCGCTTCTACTCGGGCCCGTGTCTGAAGCCCTGGCCGTTGGTCTGTTCGTCTCGGGCAATGTCCTTGTTCTGACGTCCATGTACGCCCTCGGCATTACAGGCACCTACCTCGGCGACTACTTCGGCATCCTCATGGACGAAATGGTCACCGGCTTCCCCTTCAACGTCTGCTCGGCACCCATGTACTACGGCTCTACCCTCAGCTTCCTAGGATCGGCATTGTGGTTTGGCAAGCCTGCCGGGGTGATGTTGACAGGACTGGTATTCTTGGTCTACAAGGTCGCTTTGACGTACGAGGATCCATTCACTGGTGGTATCTACACCGAGCGGGAGAGAAAGCAGAAGGCTGAGGGCAAGAAGGTGCGTTGATCACCTCGAGGTCAAGAGATGGTGGGCGAAGGATGTTGAGAAAGAGCAAGGTGAGGAAGGAAGAGTGAGGGGCAGGAAAGACTGGACTCTCGCCAGGTCAGACAGAGCTGGTGGAGGGAAGAGAATCAAGATCGAGTTGCTTGATGGCGCGACTAAGCAGAAGAGGGAGAAATGAAGGAGTATGCGTACAATATGTACATGTCATTACAAAAGTTGTGGTCTCAGAAAGCGTGCCTCATCCGAGTCGTATGCCCAAAGAGCGTTGGAGCATTTTGACTTGATCATCGAACTTTTCATAGGCGTCATGCCTCAACCTCATGGCCCTCTTATCACGTCGCCTAAGCTCACGCATCAATCTCACTGTGCTTAACTCTTACCTCATCATCTTGACACTTACAACAGACCGGGTACATCCTTATGCCTAGTACCCCAAACGTACAGCAGATTCCTCACAATCTTGTCTTCAAGGCCTTTGTACATTGCAGCATTGTCCAAAAACTGTAGCGTCTGTGATATTTGCTGAGGGCTGAATGAAGATGTGGGGTTGCGGAAGGATGAGCGGAGGTGTGATTGCAGTGTGTAGCGGGCGGGTTTTGCGTAGCGGATTGCTTGGAGCGATGTCCGGAGGAGATGGCGGTATGCGTGGATGATTTGTTGCGACATTGGTGTCGGCTTGTATTGTGTCGTGATATGGTAGATGAGCGATGGGAATGACGCTGTGAAGGGAAAGTGTTTGTGTTTGGTTTGTTTGTTTGCGAGGGTTCAAGGATGCGATAGATGGCATCCTGAATATTCAAGCAGTGTTCACAGTCTTAGTGCTTTCTGAACATGACGGTGACAGAGCTGTTGGGCCATCCTATAGCAATCGGTCTTGTAGCGGTCCTGATCGCCAGTGCCGCAATGGGTTTATTCTCGTCCAACAAGCATTTCCCCGTCGAGGGACGGGTGAGTGTGTCGCAACCACTCGGGTTGTTCTAGATATGCTGACACGACGACTCGTAGACGGTCTTGATCACAGGCGGATCGAGTGGGATGGGTAAAGCTCTCGCGACCAAGCTGGCTCAACAAGGTGCAAATGTCTGTATTGTCGCAAGAACACAGTCCAAACTGGACCAAGCAATCGAGCACATCAAGGTGCTTGCTCCTACATCTTCGATCCCAATACCCACCTTGACTGACCATGCACGCAGTCGCACGCCAAAAGCCCAACCCAACGATTCCTAGCTATTAGCGCCGACTGCACCTCTCCTGATGAGAACATGCGTATCCTCGCCCAGACCACCTCATGGAATAACTCCCAAGCACCCGACATTGTCTGGGCAAACGCCGGCTCATCCTCCCCTGGCCTCTTCCTCGACACTCCTCTTGAGACACATCGCTCCCAGATGGACACAAACTACTGGGCTTCCTTCTACCTCGCCCACGCAACTCTCAAACTCTGGCTTGCACCGCAGCAAAAGAAAGAGGTCATCAAACCAAGACATTTCATCATCACATCCAGCAGTGTCGCTTTCGTGGGTGTCGCAGGCTACACTCCCTACGCTCCTGCCAAAGCTGCTCTCAAGTCTCTGGCTGACTCGTTGCGTATGGAGTTGAATCTCTACAATGGCAGTATCAACTCTTCAAAGCCTTCTCCCGCTGCCGCTACCAACATCCATCTGGTCTGCCCTGGCACCATTCTATCTCCTGGCTATGAAGCTGAGAACCGCACAAAACACCCCGTCACCAAGATCCTCGAGTCTGGAGATCCAAAACAGTCTGAAGATGAGGTAGCAGACGCTTCTCTGAGGGGACTACAAAGAGGTGATTACGTTATTACGACACAGTGGTTGGGTCATGCTATGAGAGTCTCTGCTCTGGGTGGCTCTCCGAGGAATGGCTGGGGCATTGTTGACGTCCTCTTTGGCTGGGTCACTGCCGTTGCTTGGTTGTTCATTGCTCCCGATATGGAATCGAAAGTGTGGAATTGGGGCAAGGAGCATGGCTGCGCATAAAGTCTCGATGGAAAAAGCTTTGACGATTCGTATATGATACCCTTTTGTCTTCGAGCTCTGCTTGCTCTTCTTCTGGTGTATTCCATCTACCGAGTGTGCTCAAGCCTTATCTTTCACGTTGGCATCGAGCCATACCGTGAGCCACGAAAGAGTACAACCGCACTCGCGCAGCTCTCGCTTATCAACATTACCGAGTCCTGTTACATTTCAACATCCTACTGATCTGGTTCTGTATCCTTCACTTACCGACTCTATCTACTTCGTCACTCTTCCTCGTCACTTGTAGTATCTTCTTCCTACACTCGCACATCTCATACGCCAAAGATTCGCCATGGCTCCGACTACACCAAAGACACCCAAGAAGAGCGGTCCCACTAGACGAGTGTATGTTACTTGTGTGAACAACAGTCGCTTTGGACTGACACACACAAGGCTCAGCAGTACTGCCTCCTCGCCTACCAGTCCAATCTCTCGTGTTCGCAAGTCACAGAAAGATGCTCCAGAGTAAGCAATCCGCCTCGCTCTTTCACTCTCTTCCCTTCACTAACCAAACACCACAAGCCTGGGCAGCGAAATGGTGTTTGTCCTTCTCGGCGACGGCCCAAAAGCCTCTCGTGAAACCAAACTCTTCCACAGAAACCTTCTCATGTCCGTCTCCGGCTTCTTCGCCGCCGGTCTGACCTCTTCATTCAAAGAGGCCTCAACCGGTCTCTTTGAGCTCGAAGAAGAAGACTCGGCTACCTTCTCTGTGTTTGAGCAATGGGTTTACAGAAACCGGTTGTTCATCAAGAAACCCATCACTTCCTCTCCTGATCTTTTCTCAGACACCGAAGACGACCGACAAGAGTGGGAATGTTTGCCCCGTCTCTACACTCTGGGCGAACGCCTGGATGCGCCGAGATTCAAGGATGCGGTTGTCTCTGCCATCATCGAGAAAGTCAATGAGAGTAAAGTTGTTCCCGACAATTGGGCTTCGTACGTGTATCAGAACACTGTTCCAGCTTGTGCGCTGCGCCGTTTGATCGTTGACTTTCATGTCTTTGCTCATCAGTTCAAGTTGTTGAAGAAAGGAGCTTGTCCTGATTCTGAAGATCCGGAGATGCAATTTGTGCAGGATGCGATTGCGAGGATGGCTGATGCTGGGCAAAAGGTCTTCGCTGTCGATGCTGATGCTGAGATGCCTTGGAATGATACGTGTGCTTATCATGAGCATGGTGAGGGCGCCTGTCATTTGGCTGAAGATGATGAGGAGGCTGCCCCTTCTCCCAGTCCCACTCCACTCAGACGCAGTGCTAGGTCTGCACCCACGCCAAGTCCCTTCCACACCAAACAATCGTTGGGCTGACACCGTTTCTCCAGATACTCTCAGGGTGGGTAGAGGTTTCAGGGTTGACACTCCTCGTCCTCTTTGTGTCCGTGTCCTGTCGGACAGCACTCAAGAGGCTTGATTCTAGCAACCTCATGACTTTTCGAACATCGACTGAATCTCGGCTGCCATGAAATACGCTCTGAGCAGGCTGGAGGTTACATGTGGTTCGCAAGTTGACGGGATGCATGGGTATCTGACATGCTCATCATAGAGTCTGGGATTCTCGACGTTCTCTCAGCAATGATGAAAGAAAAGGAAAAGAAAAAGCAAGGAACATGCATGGAATGATGGGAATGACATGGGGGGCGAGATGGTATGGATGAACGGAACAATGAACGAGAGGTGAGAACATGGCAAGGATGCGAGAAGAAAGAGATGAGATACGACAGAAGATGCGATCATAACATTGACGAGGGCGACGTTTGTGTTTTACATGGCAGGATGACCATGGGTTTCGTAAGAGCACAAGGATGGCAAGCATGCTTACAAGTCATAGAAAGAGCTGAAGCATAGACGGTAATGCTTTCCTCTCCCCGTCGGTGAAGCTACTTCCAGCCTTCCTTTTCCTCCTTTCTTCGTTCTTCAATCTTTTCCTCTCCTTCCTCTCGATCTCGGCCAACTCCTTTTCTTTGTCAATGATAGCAACCATCTTCTCAGCCATATCCTTATTCTTGAGCCCCTCAGCGTCGATAGCATCGAGAGTGTAGCGGTAACATCCATATACCTCCCTCGACCATAGAGGATTTTTTCCTTTTTCGCTCCCACCTTCATCTTGTACACCCTGTGCCAGCAATATACGATCCCACTCGTCCTCGCCCTTTGCAATCTCCAGATGGGCCTCCAAGGCCACCTTGCGATCAAGCCGTTTCTGACGGTCGACGATGCGGGATTTGAGATAGTGGGACAGAGCGGCGGGCTGGGGTTTTGTGAAGCGGAGGATGGGGACTTTGTTGGCTGAGACCAGCACAGGGATGCGGCGACGGGATGGCAGAGAGAAGGCTGGACGGGGTCGGAGTGCTAGTGCTGTTCCTGGTTGGGCGGCTGGTTTTGCTTCCGCAGTTGGGGTTGATTTGGGTGGAGCAGTGGTGGTAGTGGTCCTGAGTGCGGCGGGCATGCGTGCCTGCAGGCTTTTGAGGTGCGAAATACTGGACTCGTCTCCAGCGATTGCAGAGTCTAGATAGTCCAATGCCTATTCTCGTCGTCGCGTTAGAATTGATGATTCTACAAGAGATCAGGTTGAGAGCAAGACACACCTCGTAGCCACCAGCAAAGCCGATTTGCAGGGCGTTTCGACTCGTCACATGGCGATTCTTTGCGAAGGTGTTCCTGACAGCGGCTTGTAGAGTGGAGGCTTCAAGAGGTGGTGGTGCAGCTCGACATTTGTTCAAGAGGGCGCGGTATAGGGCAATCGCTGTGCAAGGCCCGTGTCAATGTCTTGTGCTGAATGACCGGAAGGCACCAACGTACCCGTCACACGATGCACGCCGGACTTGTGGGGCGCGAGAAATGCTGGCATAACATTCTATCGTTCTGCATGTGGAAAGGCACGAGCGAACAAGAGTAGTAGCATGACGTCTGGACGGGCGAGATTTGCATCCTCCAAGCCCTCCAAGCCTCACAGGCCAGTGCTGCCGAACCGAGACACCTTCTACGTTTTCCATGTTTCATCTATCCTTGCACGTGCCTTGGTACCGACTGAGACTCTCGGAACTCTTGTACACCACATGGACCCGACCGAGCACGCAGTCAAGTCGACTCTGACATCGAGACAGGATACAGATCGAGTCAACATTCTCGAGCTAGGAAACATATTGTACAAAGGGGATAACGAAAGAAGCTGCAACCAGAACCAGAACCAGAAAGACGAAACTCCAACATATCAAGTGTGTATCAACCATCCACCAAACTCTTGCGCCCGCTGGAAATGCTTCAAATCCTTCCCATAGCCATTGGCTCCCATCAAATCCAAACGAAAGTCCCAGAGTCCGCTCCTTGATCAGCCAAAGACCAGAGCATTGAGGATGTGTCCTTCCTTCCAGCTCGTCTGGCTCAAGACCTTGTTTTCTTCGAGAATCTTGCCCATGTACGCAAACTTGATCTTTTGCTCGATTCCAGCCTTCTCTTGCACCTTCTTGACAAGCACAGACACCTTTTGGTTTGTGCCCATCTCGACCACTACATCAGTGCCACGGTCGCTGAGTCTCGCTCTGACTGACACCATATCACCAATCTTCTCCTCCATGGCAACGCCCTTTTCGGCGTCGATCTCGTCGTCCGACTCTTCGTTGATGTCCTTGCCTTCGATCTGGGGCTCTGCAACGAGATCCTCTGGGTCAGACACTACCCAGCCAGGCATCTCGTACAGCAAGCCCTTGTCATCATAAACACCTCCTTTCTTCTGTCCACCTCTTCTTCTCTCGACACAGACTTTGCCAGTCGGGCAGGTAGCACCACTAGCATCGAGCATGGTTTGCGCCGCCTTCAGGTCACCAGATCGAAGGAGTTCCGACACTTGCTTCATGACCGCCCACATTTCGGGTCGTCCGCTGACTCTGGTTTCGAAGAAGGCTTCGCGCTGCCTTGCGAGTTCCGACCGTGTCCATGGCGTTAGTGCGAGTTGAGGAGGCGAGTGCTTGACAGTGGGTGCAGCGCGCAACGGCTGGTTGGGTCGGTCGATCAGTTCGGTGGGAGTGTTGGCCGAACTCGTGCGTGAGGGTGCACCGCGAGCAGTAGTAGACGAGGGATCCGGAGTCGCATGACGGGCAGCGCCCTCGTTGTCATCCGTGGCCGCAGCCCGGGATTCGCGAGACAAGCCACAGCCCTTCGTAACAATCAGCACTCTTGTCGCCTGCAGCCAAGAGGAGCAGGGGCGCATACCATTGTGTTTCTCACAATCTCATAATTTGTCCAAACAGACTTGGCCAAGGTAGTACTTTGCCTCTTCTGAACAAAGACAGGGTCAGAATTAAAGCCGATGATTGTCGTTATGAATGTGGTCGAAAAATGTTGTCGCGCCGTTGTGCTTGTGAGATTAATTCGCTGAGAACTGGAAGGGTTCAGAGGAAATGGGCGTTGACGGTCGGCGGTGGAACTGGCGCTGGTAAGAGAAAGAAGGTGACGGCAGATGCGAATAAGAAGGATCCCAAGGGAAAGGTAAAAGTCACGGATGTCCGAACGAGGGCAAGGCCAAGTTCAAGATGTCTTGGGCCGGCGACTAAATACTTTGGTAGAGATTTAATCTTTAAAGGGGCGGCGCCGGACAAGAGTCGAGGCTATCGAGCACACACTGACGACTGTCGGCAGAGAATCGAAGATGGCCCTCTGCAGACGGCGTGCAACACTACAGAAACAAGACACAACAGTCCAAGAAACCAGCGGGAACCTCGTCCGGCTCTCGTCCTAAAATTGGCAAATGGACAACGCGGATACAGGAAAGTCGTCGTCATGAATCATGGCCGACCAATGACTTCAGAAGTGAGCCGTGGGCCGCCCGTTTCCGAAGTCTGTTCTGTCAGCCTTGTCCGAGGAACGTCGACTGTTTCAGCTGCTCGACCTCATCCTGTCTGTTTTCCTCTGCAAACACTCGAGACGAGTCCACAACACATTGCAGGCCACTCTTGCAGACTCCGCAATACCGCCATATGACCATCTTTTCTACTCAAATCACATCCACCACGACCAGAGTCACGCGTTCGCATTCACGTAATCACCACGCCACTCTTGGGCCTTCGCTCATGGGAGTTCAGCTGAACATGAGACACTCCCGGCATCTAAACATGACAAAAGACGGAACAAGAATTTTGAGTGTGGAAAAAAGACAAACTTTCTATGGATTGGTTATTAGTTGCAGAGCGAGCATAGATCTGCCCGGGTACTTTCCCTCTTCCTCCCCTTTTCGTTATCAAGTGAAGTGGACAGGGTATCACGGGTATTCGCGATCAACAAAGCAGAACCAATAAATGAACAAACTTGCAGGAAACCAAAAATTGACAAAGCAGAAAAGACAAAACAAAAACCAATGCAGTGATCATGCCCGACACCGAACACTGCCTTTCTGGTCGAACGAAATCGACATTTCGAGGAGGGATCAGCGTGACGAGCACGACTGGGTATTAAGCAATGAGAGCGCTTCGTGGCCAGGGAAATCCAACGCTTCGCGGTATCTCATGTCTGAAACAAAACAAGCAGAATGAGAGGGGGTATCTGTATGTCAAAAAGAAATAACACATCAAGCCAGTTGCAGTGACCGACGCACTCGCAACGGCGAAGACGGGTCTTCAGCGTAATCGCTGGCCCACCAAATGGTCCTTCGAGGCATGCTACGCAGCGGCGGACACGGTGGTGTTGGCGGGAGTGTGTTGGGTCTCGCTGACGGGAAGGGCAGCATCGACGGCAGACTCCTCAACTTTGGGCTCAGCGACGGCAGGGGTGTCGACGACGGTGGGCTCGGTGACAGCCTCGGTGGCGGGAATGGCAGGAACGGGCTCAGTAGGGGCGACGTTCTCCTTCTTGACGGGACGAGCAGCCTGAGACTTTGTGCGGAAGAGGCCTGTGACCTTGCCGAGCATCGACTTGTCCTCTTGAGGGCTCTCAACATCAGTCTTCTCCTTCTTGGCACCACCGAAGCCGCCGAAGTAGGACTTGCGGCGGCTCTCCTTGGGGGTGGCAGCCTTGGGAGTCTCGATCTTGGTCTCGGTAGTGGGAACAATGGGCTCCTCGACAGACTTCTCACCAACGACCTCGGTAGTGGCGGCAGGAGCATCGACAACGGGAGCGGCGACGACCTCGTCATCCTTGGGAGGGACGGCAGGAGCTTCAGTGGTGGTGCCAGGAGCAGGGCTCTTGGACCTAGCCTTCTTCACCAAGCTGTCGAAGAAGCTCTGCTTGCGCTCAGCCTCGGGTCTGGCGAGAGGAGTCTCGACCTTGGTGGCCTCAAGCTCGGCCTCCTTGGGGGCCTCGGTGACGGGCTCAGCAACAATAGGAGTGGTCTCGACAGCGGAAGGGTCGAGGTTGGAGTTCTCAGTAGTGGGCTCGGGGAGCACGGGAGGCTCGGCAGAGACAAAGGTCTCCTTGGGAGGGACAACGGGAGCGACCTCGCTCTCCTTCTTCTCGCTGGTAGGGCTGCGGACCTTGTCGAAGAAAGCGCCGAACAGGCTGCTACGCTTGTTGGTCTTGGGTCTCTCTTCGGTCTTCTTCTTCTCCTCGATAGGCTTGGATGAGACACTGTTGACAACAGGCTTCTCCTCGGCAGCGGCAACCTCGACGGGCTTCTCCTCAGCAGCAACAGCGGCAGCCTCGACAAGGGCAGCAGAGTTGGCGACGGGAACCTCCTCGACGTTGGCAGGGACCTCGTGGGTAGGCTCAACGATGGACTCGACGGGCTTCTCCTCGGCAACCTTGAGCTCCTCGACGGGTGCGTCAATGACACGGGCAGCTACAGCAATCAGTATCATGAACGGATCATGTGAGCACAAACGACTTACCAATGGCCTCGGCCTCGAGAGGCGCAACAGTCTCGGTAACAATAGGCTCCTCGACGGCCTCGGTGGCGGGCAGACCAGCCTCGACGGCCTTCTCTTCGGCCTTCGCCTCCTTCTTCTCTTCCTTCTCAGCATCGTGCTCGGCCTTCTTGCCCATGATGCCACCGAAGAGGCTGTGGCGCTTACCGTTGCGAGAAGCAGAGCGACTCTTCTTGGCCTTCTTTGCCGCGGCCTCGGCATCAGACGAAGACGAGCTCGAGGTGGATGTGGCACGAGGTCTGGAAGCACCACGGGATCTGGAGGCGTCCATGCTCTTGCGACCAGCACCGGTGTGAGGAGTGTGAGACTTGACAAGGCCGGCGAGGGTCTCCTTGTAGGACTCGCTGGAAGTGACGGTGTCCTTGTTTGCCTTGGCCTCAGTCATGGCCATCTCGATGGCGACGAACCAGGCATCGCGCTCGGCATCGCTGGTGGCCTTGAAGGCGTGCTTGTGGTTGTGAATCTTGAAGGTGAACTCGTGGCCAGTAGCCTTCTCAAGGTCAGTTGCTTCAGACAGGTTCAAAACACCCTGGGGGTGCTTCTTCTCGTCGGCGTGCTTGACAAAGTAGAGAAGGCCCTTGCCGGTGTGGCTTGACCAGGCAGCGGTAGCATTGCCAGTCTCGGGCTTCTCGCCACGGAGGTAGGTGCTAAGGTTGTCGACTGAAACGGGCTCCTCACCCAACCAGAAGCTTCTCTTGGAGAACTTCAAGCTCCTGCTCTATGGTTAGTGTGTGATGTTTGACGATGTTTGCTGACATTGCTTACTTGATCAGGCCAGGGGCCTTGTAGCCAAGAATACCAGACTCGATGGCCTTCGATTCCTCGGTGGTGGTAGTGGTGGCAGGGGTCTCCTCTGCGGCGATAGCAGCAGCCTCGACTGCAGGGGCAGACTCGGCGACGGGGACCTCCTCGACGACAGCAGGTGCCTCAGTTGCGACGTGCTCGGTGGCAATGGGCTCTGATGCAGCTGCCACAGGAGTCTCGTCGACGATGGGCTTTGCGGTCTCCTCAACGGGGTCGACAATGGTCTCTTCGGGCTTGATGACAACAGGCTCGGCAACGACAGGAGCTTCAGCCGGAGCGGCGATGGTGTTGTGGACGTCAGACATTACGGATGGTGAAGAGAAGAGTATGAAGTCGTAAAGCTGGCAGGAGCGAAACAGAAGAATGTTAGCTTTGAGGTCCCTGGGTGGTGTGGTGTGATAGCCAAGATCACGCGGACACGGACAATCGCTGGCAGGCAAGATGTTGATACACACCTTGTATTAATTAGATGTAGAGCTGACAAGGAGTCAACTTATCAGGGGTCTCCGGCTCGAGCTAGCGCTGGTCTGCAGCGATAAGCAATGAAGCTCTGTTTGGAGGGAAAGGACGAGGCTGAGAAGTGGCACAAGAGTAGAGAATGAAGAGAAAAGATGGTCTAAACAGCAGGTGCAGTAGAAGAAAAAGGATGGCCGCATGTGATTGCAACGAGATTACCTCCTTCCAAGGGGTTGCATCCCGGGTCAAAGCTTCCTAGACTCTGCTGCGTGCGACAGGCGAAATTTGCCAGGCCTTGAGCAAGAGGCGGCCAAAAAAAAAACATCTGCGAATGCGACAAGACGTGCCTGTGATTTGCTTTGAATTTGGTCTATCCCGAATAGATTGACTCGCGCGGCGCCCGTTTCAGCTTCTTGCTAACCGCTCGGCCGCATCCTCGACCAGGCACAGAATCAACGGCCTCGCTGCCAGCATGCTGCAAATAGACTGTGTGTTTGTGCCCTCCGTCTACAGCTGCCGACTGTCGCAACACAGAGCCCAGCCATTCCCCCTGCTTCTCAAGTGCACATGATGCCTGCTCCCAGCCCTCGAGCAGCATCAGACGCGCAATCCCAGTCCCAATCCCTCCATGTGCAGACACGCGAAGACTGGTCTCGTGTCACTTCGTCTCGTGACAGGGCCGAGTCAGATTCGCATACCGCCGGTCGACTTCTTGACTGGCTCGGCCGATCATCTCTGCACTTCCACTCTCCGTTTGACAGGGCGTTAACGCCTTGCCGCAGAATCTCAAACAATAAACACATCACTGTTTTTTCTTCCTACCGCCGTACTCTCTGCCCTGCAGCAGCGGCTCCAACCTGTGAAACGCCGTCTTTAGCGGACAGTTGCGGCGCTTTCCATAACCTCCCGGCGACCGCATTTCTCTTCTATCGCGTCCTTGAGCGCTCCAACACTGCCGTTCGGTCTTCTGATTGTTGCTTGGTCCAAACAGAAACACGTCATTTCGAGTTCATTTCCCTTGATGGCAGATCTTCAGCTTTCGGTCCAAAGCTCGAGATGCCCCACTTGGTGTCCGCAAGGTGGTGTTACCCGCACGCAGGGTTCGGCCGCAGGGTCGAGAAACCGAACATCCCAACCTCCAGAAGCCAAGCCTCCTGGCTTGAGATGCTTAATTTACCACCAACTTCTCCAGCGGCGCATTCATGGCTCTACTCGACAGCCCCGGCAGTTTGAGCAGGCCTTAGGTGGCTAGGTCATAGAAGTCTTGTGGAAGAAAAACAGCGGTGACCGTACAGTCAGAAGGTGAAGAAACGTCCCTGCTCGTAACCTTCTAGCCTACCAGACTTTTGGCAACATCACAACACACCAATACACCCCTTCTCACCGACTATCGCAAGTTGCTCCTGCTTTCTCCGTTCAGAGTCCCAGCGGCGATCGAGATGGAAAAGAAGTGATCCCTCTACCAAATTTCAGAAAAACTCGTAGACTCGGTGGCTTGAGACACAATTACGGCAAAGAAAAGCCTGGCTGCAGACTATCAACACCCCAGCAAGAGAGCTAAATTTACCTAACCCATCGACCTCAACGACCATCAAAATTCCCCCGACATGTTTTTACTAACCTCCATGCTTAATCACAGTCGACCACTGTCCGTCCAATAATCGTTCGCACGACAAGAGAGCCACCGATCTGCATACGTGTCTGCCATGTCCAATGTAACCGTGTTTGAAACATGACACTGCATCGTTGTTGACCGTTCGTGAACCTCTTTCAAGGGTGAATGATTGGGCCGACCGATATTTATCGAGTCGCACATAGCCGACAACGGCATTTCTGTACTTCCCTCTGCACGTTCGATGCCCTCCTCACTGTACGACAACTTCATAATGCTTTGAGAAGTGTTGTGCCAATGCATTCAAAGTGGATGCAAATCTAGGATGGTATATACAGCTGTCGATCGTCTGACCCTGACCTAAATATCGAGCTTTCTTATAATTTGACTACCATTCCAAGCTATAAACCATATAATGCAAGTCTTGAGCAATCGATATGGTGGTTTACAGGTTGTTGTTAGTAAGACTCGATGTCTGCGACAAAGAAACTACTCATCCATCAACTCTCCCGTACGAAGAATCTTGTACGATTTGATTCCCTCAGGCTTCTTGAACCAAGTATGCTTATGCGCGGCAAAGCTCTCCATCTCAGGCGCTGGAATCACCGGCATCATACCCATCTTGACAATCGCCTTGCCAGGCAACATATCAACCTTTGACATGATCGGACTGGAAATGAAGTCAGCCACAATTCCTATAACGCAATTTCCGAAGACGATACTCACTTTCCATCCACAGCGCAAAAGTATCGATATACTGGGTTACCGCTATTGGTAGCTTTGTCCTCATAGACCTTTAGTGTGCCATCTCTATCTTTAACGTCCACTTTTTCCTCTTCCATGATCAAGTTTGCAGATACCACAGAGCCGGACACCTTTCGGCAGTTTGCGCAGTGGCAGAGGTGACCGCGTGGTTTTGTAAAGAGCTCGTTGTCGTGAATTGTCACGGTGATGCTGCCGCAGAGACAGGAGCCGGTCAGAGAGTCTTTGAAGGAAGACAGATCGTGTCGCTTTGGGTCGCCGGTGAGATGTGACATTTTGGATGAGAAATAGTGAGAGAGAATAACGAAATGTGATATATCAATGGTAGCTCAGAAAGAAGATAGATGATGGATGTGTGTCCTTGAGGTGATGTTATACTCGAAGTATAATAGGCTCTGTATTCCATATCCCCGCCATGTTTGCCGCGGCCCCCGCATGTATGTATGGTAGGGTATTGGTAAGCTGCACGGGATGGCAGTGAAGAGGACCATCCAACATCAATTCTTCAAATATCATTCATACAGTGCTGCAGTTGAATTGTTTATACATCAGACAAAAGAAAAAAGATAGAAGGGAAGAAACGCCACGCTCGCGTAACTTCAAGATGAAAGAACAAAGACATCAAGAATGCAAAGGTCGCCCTGACTCGATCTACCTGCAACTCCAAACGATATACGCATACTGACAATACACCCTGGCCTTCTTTTCTCCTCCTTACTGGATCAAACACCCACCGTGACATGCTATTAGACACAAAAGAAGGAACAGTCCAGAGATATAATATCGTCAGCTCAAAGGCACGAATGTGCGATCAACTGGCCGTGATAAGAACATATCTGCAAAAAAGAGCGTCAGTAATCAGAAACTCGGAACGGTGCCAGCGTGGGCAAGACTCACGAAGTGATGGCGTTCATCCTTTCGGCACTCAACTTCATGCCAACCTTCAGCATCTCCTGAGCTACTGCTGGCTCCTTGTCTTGCATCCTCTCCCAAGCCTCCAGCGTTAAGAGCCATGCCACGCAATCCATCTCGGCCATAACGGTACTGGTGCGTGCCGTCTCGGAGAAGAAGGGTAGCTCACCGCACGTCGTGCCGGAGACAATGCTTTCGTGATAGCTTCCCTGATCGAGATCATACTCTGCCCGTAGGATGCCCGACTGAAGAAGGTAGAAGCCATCGGGCTTATCACCACGTGAGTAAAGGATTTTACCTGCGGGGTAGGTGCGAGGTTCGAAGTAAGACACGGCGCGGAACCAGAAGTCTTCGTTGCGTGCCGTAAGGCCCTGGAAAGATTGCAAAATCAGTGGCAGCGGTTGCTTGAAGTGCTTCCAGCGGTTGCTATCACCGTTGGGTCCGCGGTGGGATTCCAGAGTCGTCGTGGCAGCTTGGTGCAGGAAATTACGTCTAGGTGATCCTACGCTCATATCTGCCGATGCAGGTGTTTGGACAGCTAAAGTTGAGGGGATGTCAATGTTCTCGGCAGAGGCTTCCTTTTGCTGATTCAGGGCTTCAATGCGTTGTTTGTCGGACAGAATGACCAACATCTCATTCTCGCAGGCTTCGAGCGCACCATTCAGATCCTCAAAGACCTTTGGAGGTGGGATCGTCGAGTCCTCGACAGGATCTTTGAAAAGACCGACCATCTGGAGACTCCTGCCAATCTCGCCTTCAAGACTTACTCCCGCCAGAGCTAATGTTACATCGCGGCGGTGTAGAATTCGGTTCATTCGGTTGAAGGCTTCTGCTGCCGAGAAGTCGATACCGGCAACGTGAGAAAAGTCCAGGATGAGGTAGCGGATGGGTTCTGCGGCAAAAGCTTCTGCTTCTATCAGAGCTCTAACCTTCTTCTCGACCTTGACGATACTGCCAAAGAAGAGATAACCACCCAGCTTGACCACGCGGATTTGAGGACCAACTTTGTGGAGGTATTCACGTTGACGGGGATGACGGCGTACAGTTGACTCTGCTACAGCACCAGAGAACTCGGCACGAATTACAGTCTTGCGTGACGTTTGAACAACATAGACCAGACAAGCAAGCCCAATGCCAACCGCGATGCCGACGACGAAATCATAAGCACCCATTACCAACGAGATGATGACAATGGTAGCATACTCCAGACGGTGCAATCGTCCGTAGGTAGCCCAGATGGCTTCTTGCGCAAGGTCGATGCCAAGCATGTAGATCAAGGTGCCGACAACCATGACAGGCACATAGCCTATGACAACGGGGCCAGCAACGAGGAGACCAAAAGTAGCTAGAGTCAACATGTAACCAGCAAGACGGCTATTGCCTCCAGTCTCGATGAAGAGCACACTGTTAACGAAGGCCAGGTAGTTTTGGATGCTACCAACGCAGCCAGACAGAGTGTTCGAGATGCCGTGCATGATCAGTTCTCTGTTGACGCTGACATTGTCCTCTTGTACGACTATGGCCAGGTTGGGGACGTTGATAGGAACGTGCAAGATGCCGAAGAAGGTGAGGGCGAATTGAGTAGGCACAGTTATCCAGATGGCATTCCAATCGACGAGATGGAACTTGTAATGGCTGTAAAAGTTATAAAATGGCAAACCAGCTTGGGGGGCGTCAAAGACCCAGCCTTTGCGACGCAGCTTATCCATACCAAGGTCGGGGACTGCAGCGACGACAATGTAGAAGATGGCGGTGATAGCAATATAGTATGCAGGGACAAGCCATGGGCGATCATAGTAATGTTTGACGGTCAACAAGAGAATCGCCAGGAAAAGAGGAGGTAGCCAGAGCACAATGGTATCTGCTTGGAAGAGCTTGTGAAGAACAGCAGAAGTGAATTCGAGGTTGCCATCCAATCGTGCCGAGACTTCGATGCCAGTGACGAACAAGAAGATACCCACACCTCCAATACAACCAGTAAGAATGCTGTGAGGGAAGAAGTTGACAAGCGTACCCAGTTTGGCAGCACCAAGACCGAGGAAGACAAGACCAGTGAGGATAGAACTCATAGCATAAGAAGTGATGACAGTGGCTCTCAAAGCATCAGGGTTGCTGGTGCCCATGTGGGCCATGATCATGTAGGTCATCTTGTGGAAGAAAGGCACAACCTCGATCATCTCGGAGCCGACACCTCCACTGAAGATGCTTCCGCTGGAGTAGGTCAATTGAGCAGTGATGCAACTCACGTAGAACATTGATACACCATCAGCACCCATGCTGGAAAAGACTTCCTCGCCGAGAGGGAAAAGAATGATTCCGTAGGACAGAGCATCCAGGAGATTCAAAAGGACACCGAGGAAGACAGAGGGCATGACCAGGGCGGGCTTGACAACGACTGTCTTGAAGACCTGTTGCATGTCCCACTCCTTGGGATTGGTTGCAACGCGGTAACCATCGGCGGCGACTTTTCGCATAGAGGGATAGGCATGTTGCAGCTTCTGCCACGACTTGACTCGGGGTAGTCGTTGGCTCTCGATGTCAGGCTCATCCTCGTCGTCGTCTTGAGTGCCGTCCAGGGTCTTGTAGGCCGACGCTCGTCTTGACGACCGTCTGCCGAAGAGGGGAGTCTCTTCATTGGCGTCATCTTGGCCAGCTTCACTGACAACCAGGCTCGGCACATCGCTGTAAGGACGTGGACGCGGGCGTAACTGGCTATCGTTCTGCTGCCACAGCATATTGGGCAGGTTGGATGTTGAAACTTCGGGCGAGACGGGCTCTGACTGCTCCTGGATGACCTCTGGCCGTGTCTGTCCCTTCTGAAACCTTTCGTCATCGCCCAAAGACCTTTCTGAATCGACGCTCTTCCTGTGGTGGGCCAGTTCGAGCGACTGTCTGGGAGATGAGGCCGAGTCGAAGCTTCTACGATGGGCGGTCGAGTCCTGCGATTGGCGGTTCGGAGGTTGAGCATCCGAGTCGCCTAGAAATGAGGACGAGAGTTCGGCCGTCTGCTCGCGCACGCCGGACGAAGAATAGTGGAGTGGTTCTGGTGGTTGGCGCATTAGTTGGGACTCGCAGCAGGGATTGGCATGGACTGGATCGTACCCTGGAAGCCGTGAGCAGCATGGTGGATGTAGGACCTGCTGGGAGTCTTGTACGAGGATGGCAGAGCCGAGATGGAAGTGATTGAGCGAGCTCTTGCTCTGTGAGTGGACGAGCGCGGACGGCTATCTTGAGCCTCCGAGTCGTCATCCTGGTGTTGCAGCTCGTCATTGGCAAAGGGCAGGCGCTGCTGGTGAGACGAGGCATCGGATGGCGTGCGGCCACGCTTGAACAGTCGCGACATGGTGCGACCAAGAGTCGGCGAGTTGGCAATGCTGGCTGGTTTGGCGGATGCTGCGGCTAGTAGAGGGATTGGCCCCGGCAAGTGCAAAGAGACGTGGGCTGACTAGACAACAGGAGGTACGCTGGCCCAGAGAGCCAATTGCTGCTATTTCAAGTCTGCATCAGGTTGAGGCCAGTGGGGAGTGCGAAAAAGCAGACACTATACTAGTATCAACAGTGACAGGATTCAATTAGTTGCGAGATAACAGCTGCTGCGCTGCACGCCGCATCCACCCGCGAACACACGTCCTCCAAAAAAAAAACGTCTGGCTGGCCTCGCGTCGAAATCCCTGCTCCACTTTTGCCAAAACTAAAACCTACCTAGACCTCAATGAACCATCCCTGCCAAGTTGCGCCGTACTCTTCTCTGCAAACACAAGACACGGCCTCTTCTCGTCCAGCCTCTGTCGTGTCCATATGTAGACCATCTCTTATTCTCAATCAAGAGATACGCCCCCGCAGAACACTTTCCACTTGGCAGCCATGTTCAGATCGACGTCATCTCTGGCGTTTTTGTCGTGACGGCGATCCGCGAACCACCACGTCAAGTGGTCGCGAACCTCCCCCACAGTCCTGATTCGTGCCAGCCGGCCATCCGATCCGCTAACTTCGCGCGTGGGTCGACCTTGTCAATGACATGGCCGGCACTGACTTGTCTGCACACATTCTCTTGTGCAGTATGGCCACAGCCATCGCCTTGTTCGCTGTTCTCGGTCCCGTCATCTTTGCTGACCAGACTCGTCTCGAGTCGAAGAAGGCTGCGACAAGCCATGTATTGGTGGTACGGTCTTGGATGCTGGCTTGCTGAACAGCCTCGAGGTTCAGCTGAGTTTCTGCAAATAGCCCTGCTGGATCAAACGCTCGACGTCTCCCTGACGGACATAGAATTGACTGTTCTTGGTGAGGTTGATGGCCCTGGTGATATGTGTGAGTAGAGTGCACTCGAGCAATTCCGACCAACTTACCCGTATTCTGTTTGGATTTCGCCAGCATCTTTCAGGACGCGGACATCAATGAAGAGATCGGTAGGTGGATCCAGGCTCCCGGTCAAATCAATGTCGGTCCATTGACCCTTGTAAGCGGCCAAGAGATCGCTGTACAGACGGACGTATTCCTCTTCTTCGGGACTGAGGCTGCTCTTGCTGTCTTGGACATTCATGGCTTGGGGTTCGGCGGACGTCTGGTCGTTTCCGAGGATATCAATGCCTTTCCAGCACATGTCTTCTAGCTTGTCGGTGCGCACGCGGTGGTAGGCCAGGAGACAACGTTTGTTGCGACGCATGCTCAGGTGGTTGACAAGGAGAGCGCATGCTGTAGCGGGGTCTTGGGAGGGGTTGAAAGAAGAACCAAAGGGCTCGAGCAGAGAGTTGACTTCTCGGTTGAGTTCGCGGACTTCGCGTACTACGGTGCGGACGAGCTCGGTCTGGTAGGCTGGCAGCTGGGGGAGTGCCTGGGTCCGCTTTGCATGTTGCACCTAGACTCAAACGTCAGTCAGTTGGGATCAAAAAGGGCACGAACAAAGTGTACCAGTTTGTTGCCGACGTCTCCATACATTGTTGTGGTGAGAGAGTGGATTTGTCTGCCTGGGCGGTCCAAGAGGACGCGACGGATTAGCGCCGTGACGGGTGACGGGTGACGGCCCACTTGCCGAGTCGTCGGCGCGTTGCTCTTTCTCCAGAGCTCGAGTCCACTTAACAACATTCTTTGCCTCTCTCACTCACCATCAAAAACACACGGAACGCTTGATCGGTCGACGTGACTTTTATTGACGCTAGCTCTCATCCAAATACAGACTTCATTATGCCCCTCCGCCGCATATCCAATTCTCCTCCTATATCAACCCAAGAACTCCATCCATGCAAGACCCTGCGGTCACGCTTCTATTGCTCGAGGAACTGCTGATATGGTGAATTGTCTAGCATCCCTCCCAATTGCGGATCCACAAGAAACTCTTCCTCTGCTGTTTCCTCAGTAGCCACCTGCCCACCACCCATCTCGAATCCGCCGTTCATGGCATCCTGATAGCTTGCTGTCTCGAGTCCGAGATTGTACGATGTGTGGTCGGGATGTAGCAGCAGCTCGTCGTGGCCCATGAAGTTGCCGCCGTGCTGAGGTGCTTGGTACGACGAAACCGGTGTCGCTCCCCTGGACTGCAACAACTCGTGGTGCTGTCCGCCGGGTAATGACACCAATGCTCCACTGGATCCAATCGATGCTGGCGTGCCGTTCAGAACCATGCGATTGTCGTGCATCTGTTGTCCTCCGCTTCCTTGTTGGTAGATTGCGTACTGGCCATGACCGTTTGACACTGCATAAGAATACGGTTGGTTGTAGTACATCTGTGCTTGGCTGGCAGCATATGGCTGGTATGACGCAGTGCTTCTTCCGCCATCCGTAAACTGCTGATACTTGACATCTCCGTGCGAGTAGTTGGCTGCATATGGATCCGTCATTCTTGGAGGCTGTTTTGCTTGTCTGCTCTGCCGTCCTGGACGATACTCGCCATCGGGCTCGCCTTCGGAACTGTACACGCTCTCGGGATAATCCAGGATACGCTTCGGAAACTTCATGTTCCTCTTGGGTGTAGCCTTCGCGGGTGCAAACTTGTACTCTGGAAATGCCCGCTGGTGGTTCTCTCTCTCAATCGTCGCCAACCGGTCGTAGTAGTCCTTGATTTCCTTCGGCTCTAGCTTTTTCCAGCTTTGACCAGTAACCTTTGACACAATCTGGTGGTTGTTCTGATCACACCATTTTTTGGTGCGCTCGGCGTAAGCGGATCGGTATAGCATGAACCTGTTCATCGGCCTTGCGATCTTGTTGGCTTTGGTCACCTCGGCACGCCTGTTTTCCACCGATCTGTTGACCCAGGCCTCCATGTCTCTCAAAGGTGTCTCCGAGTCTTTGGTCAAGACGCTCAATGGTGCTTGGAGTATGACGTCTGGTTCAGGCGCCTTCTTGGCTCTGTTCTTTCTCACTCCAGCAATTTGAGATATGCTGGTCGTGGGTGTAGACCGTGAGGAACTCATTGGCGAGTCCATGGACTTGGTCACTCGCCCGCTTCGCGTCTTTCTGCTATCATCGCTTCCAGTCGTGGGACGAGAGGCTGGAGCGCTGAGGCCGACATTCTGGTAATCGTAGCTGTCGTCGACGTACGGGCCCAGATTGCTGCCGTCTGGCCAGCCTGTGTTGTCCTTGTCATGGTCAGTGTGTCCTTGTAAATGCCCGAAAGGATACTCACGAAGGCAAAATTCTCATAGGCCTGTCCCTCGTTGTAACGTTCAATGTGGGACAGCTCATGATGGTTGTCTAAGGACGAGCCATAATGGCCTGACTGAGTGAATTGGTTGGATGACATTGCGATTTGCACTATGGCTGTCGGATTGGAGCAGGACGGAGTGTTGCTTTTGCTGTTTCAGACGTTTGCTCGGCCTTTTGGATGCACCAGATGTCGGCTTTGTTCAGTGTGTTGAAACGACTATTTTGTGACAAGGGATAAAGCAAATGGCAGCAGAGAGATGGTGTCGCCTCTGAGAGTTGCTGGATTTGATCTTGATCGGCTACAGGCTAAGTCACCAGCCTCGCACCAAGCGGTCTCGGATAAAGGTCGAAGGGGCTCCGAGTTAGTCTCACTTTGGAGCACAAAAGCAAGATAGTATGCGTCTTCTTGGCCAAACACCTGCAAGCTATGACTTGGTAAGCAAAGCTCTTGTGCTGTCAGAAGAACGGAACAAGGTTGTATTCGTCCACGTCAACCACGTGCGTGGGTCAAAGACAGATGCAACAAACCTTGTCTCTTTCTGCGATCGCGCTTCCTAAGTCGCGATATTTTGGTCGATGGCTGGGATTGTGGCTGTTGTGGAGTGACAAGCTATGGCTTTGAGCTATCGATTTGCTTGTGTCTCGACGCAGATGATCTTTGATGTTTTTTGTGTTAGACAAAGTCCTTACAACCTGGCAAGGGTCCCGCAAGTCGGTAGATTCTCCAAAGGAAAGAACGAAACAAGCAGAAAGACGATCAGGAGGTTACCAGGTTCTTTGTCGATTCGTCAAAGGTATTTGTACAGGCTCTGCCCTTGAAGATGAGCAAGTGCCGATTGCAAACTTGTCGTTCTGCAAATGGCCAACTACTGAAGCCGGACAAGCATCACCGCATCCGTATAGGGAGTTGAAGCCTGGACCCCTCTGACGCTCTCCTTGTCCGCCCGTTCTGGGACAAGTCTGCCTCCTATTGGATCTGCTCTGCTGCTTTCGAAAATCTACTCGGGCTACTGTCTTCATACAGAGCTCACTTGAGGTTGCGATAGTATTGGAGATGAACCATGTCTTTTACCAGCAAGATGGATTGCCTAGGCAAACCCTCGTTTCAGACAACGACGCTCCTAACTTTGATTGCAGCTGGCGACGCCACTACCTTGACTGTGGGATTGGCTGTCTTTCCGACAACTGACCCATTGCATCGGTACAGTTCGCAAGCCTCAGATCTGCAGGACCCACTGGTTTGCAGAAAGACACGATGACCTGCATCATTGAACAAGAGGAAGCATAGCGTGCTAAACTCCGCCCGCCCTACGAGCAATTCCACTTCAGACTGCATGTGCTGTTTACCTTGGGTACCTGTTGGGTCACTGCCCAATCACAGTCTTGCTCGATGGGGACCGCCGGACCCGGCCAGCACCATCAACATTCTTCAAGCAGTCGGTTATGCGACTCTAACCGCGACAGGACACCAACGGGCACGAAAACAAGACCGGAAACACACTTTTCAAATCTCAGACTGAAGTTGAAGCGAGGTCAACACTTCTTGACCATCACTCTGTCTTCCAGTCAAACTAGGCGTCATGACGCCGCATAGCCAAGATGGACACCACATGTGGCTCTGGTAATTATGGTCACCCGGCCAGCGGCAGGGCGGTCCGCACATGCATAGGGCTTGGGGAGATACATTGTTTGGTCCTGATTCTCGTGACTGTGTTGATCTGAGGCAAGGCATGTATGCATGCGTGCATGCACGTCCCAACACACGCAGGCATCCAACCCACCACTGCGGTCCTTGGGCTTCTGTTTGGATGGTCTACTTAAAGCAGCAGTTGGCTAGCACACAACCCCCTCATCCCTCGGCCGTAAGGCACTGCAAGAGCTACCCTCTCGAGATGCTTCACCCCCTCCGAACTAACAACCAGGCAAATATCAAGCTACTGCAAACGGTAGACATGATGCCCGTCTGACTGATCTTTCGCATCGAGACGGACAAGACGTGGTCTCAGAGGAATGTACACTAGGCCAGTCTAGTCCTTTCGCGAGTGTTGTCGTTTGTGTAACCACACCTCCCCAGTTCCCTGATCCGAGGTTGGCTGCAGCTACCCGGGTGGGGAGCACGAGCGCAGACGGTCTTGTGCAAGGCACCATGTCGCCCGTCTCCCATGGTCTACAGGTCCTCCTTTTTTACACCGAAGACTTCTTCACGTAGTCGCATGTTGCTAGAAGTGTAAACACGAGGTTTGTTCCACCTATTTAGAGGTTTGATCCCGAAATGAGGGATTCTGGATGTTGACTGGATTTGCTTATATTGAGTCTTGATTCTCAGCATCTCCAATGGAACAGATTGTTCAGAGACAGTTGTATGTCTTGTGTTTGGTAATCGACCGCTTTCCTCGTGCAGGTGAGGTGGACCATCTCCTCACCGGTCCGTGTCGACGCCTGTTGTGCCGCTGATCAGTTTGGGTCATTGACAAAGTCCAAGCAGGATCAAAACGTTATCGAGGAAAGAACGATTCGAAGGGTATCTTCTTGTAACGCAGCTGCTGGTTGTGTCCTCGTTGATGATCGACCATGCCCACACCATGGAAAAGAAAATTTAGACTGCTTTCCATCACGGACGTATAGAGTGAAAACATGCTTGCTACTATAGTCATCCCCGCAAGCATCGATGTCAAGGAACAGTGCAGACAGTTTGGAATGCGAACATGGGTTGGCTGAGGGTATGACCCTGATACTCGATAGAGAAAGTCACACCTTACTTCGATCTTGGTATGTATTCAGGAATGACTTTGTGATGATTGCAGTGATGGCCAGCAAGGTTCTTGAGTTGCTCCAGAGTCATCAAAAGGCAGATGGATTCGCGCAAGCAGGAAGTCGTGATTCTGGAAGCTGATAAAATAGAACACCACACTAACTTCCTGTCAACTCGGTCTTTCTTTTTATCGTCTGATAGATCGGACGTTCGCATGCACCATTACAACAGACACATGCTATACTGAACGACCACGGTACTGTTGATCAACTTGAAAGCCATGCTCCGATGTAGATGACAATCGAACATGGATATATACATTCAGCACGGTGCCATCGTTGGGGAGGTAAACAGAGGAAACAGATGCGATGAGCTTTGATTGTAGGGGTATTATGTAAATAGAAGTAAAACAAGGTACGAAAGCCAGGCTGTAGCCTCGGACACACGTCAGAATAAATATGGATATGACTCCGTCAAGATCCAGACGAATAGGTTGCGCCTAGAACATCTGGCGATCCCTCATCTCGACAGGCAGGAAGACCATGGTGATTGCAGAGAGCCAGATACCGCCAGCGCCAAGCCAGAGAATACCGGAGCTGTTTGCAGCGAGTAGATTTGCTCCAGCGAAAGGAGCAACAATACCAGCAATGCGGCCCAAACAAGACAGCATACCGCTGGCGCTGCCACGGTAGGCAGTATCGAACAGCTCAGGAGCAGAAGCGTAGAGGACGGCGTTGAAGTACTGTTGGCAAAAAATTAGCTCGTGATTCGAGATTGAAACGGCTGGAATGTAACTCACAGTCTGCATGATATACTCGAAAGCATTGAGGCCGACATAAGCAGCTGTGTTGTTGACTTGAGTGTACATGGCCATGGCGATACCCTGACAGAGAGCAGAGAAGACCAGGGACCATTTTCTGCCCACAAGAGGCAACTGCACGGACGCCATAGCAATGACGGCGCCGAGGATGCCAGGGGTGTAGATGTAGATGTAGTGCAAATAAGTTTCTGTGACCGAGCCAGATGCGGTGACTTCGTTTCGGAGGAGAATCAAGGGCAAGAATTGACTGGCAAGATTGAAAGACCAGTAATCACCCTAAGGAAAGCGAGTTAGCAAGATTCCGGTGGATGTGGTCATGTGTACTCACCATGTAGGCGATGGCCAAGAGAACAAAGATGAAAACCTGTAGCTTGTTGGTGAAAAGAGCCTTGAGGTGTTTGAAGCTGTTGGCAGTGTTGCGAAGGACGCGCTTGAGGGTGTCGATGGTGCTGAGAGGTTGACCAGAGACTTCGAGCTCATCAGTAGACAAGGATGAGGCTTCGTCAACAGCAGCAAGATGGGCTACGGTCAGAACGGGAGGGGGAGCCCTGTTGAACTTGGCAATCTTGTGCAGGACCTCAATGGCCTCTTCCTCTCTTCCCCTACTGACGAGGAACTTGGGAGACTCCTGGAAAGTGAAGACGAAGTAACGCAAGAAGAAGACGACCAAGGTGGTGCCTCCGAGAATAATGAGCGTGTATCTCCAGCCCATGTTGCTGTCGGCGGTGCAACAGGGTCTTTCACCAGTGCTACAGGCGGGGAGGTTTGCATCACAACGCCACTTTGGTCTTGCGGCAGTTCCATATGTGATGGCCGAGGCAACGACGACACCAATGGGCTGCCACAGTGAGAGAAGAGCGACAAGGAAGCGACGTTTCTGGGGAAGAAACTCGAGGGCGATGGTTGCGTCAATGGGGATGTTGCCGCCGAGACCTAGCGAGGCAAGGAAGTAGATGGCGCAAATGGCACCGTAGTTGTTCTTGGGAGCAGCCTAGGTAAAGGTAAGCTTCTGCAGCACTGCGAGTGGTGAGAGAGAGATACCAAGATCAGACCAAAGATTGAAGTGATCAGACAGGTGAGATTGAAGGCCCAACGACGGCCAATCACATCGACCAGAATACCGAACGTGAAAGCACCAATGGCCAGACCAGCGTTGGCACAGGCAAAAATGTCGCCTTTCCTGGGATCAGACACGCCCATCTCCTGATAAATGGCCGAAGCAATCAGACCCACGCCTTGCGACCAAGCCAGATCCAAGAAGTAGCCAAAGCCGCACAGGAACCAGATGCACCATTGGTACCTGCCCATGCCGAACTTGTCGAGCTCGGCATTGATAAGAGCGGCCTTCTTCTCGAATGGCGTGAGAGAGTGTGCGGACTGGCCTTTGAGAATGTTTCCAAACGAGAGTGCTGCTTCTGGCGCAACGGCGACTGTAGCCTGGCCTACTTCTGCTTCGGCCTGGTTAGACGACATGTGGCCGAGGCTCTTGTCATCTTGCGTGTGCGTGTCGACACTCTTCTTCGGGTGCTTGAAGAAGTCCATGGTGCTGCTGCTCGTGTCGCTCGACACTGCTGTATCTTGGTTGCTTCGTCGATGCGAGTCGATCAGCTGTGTCGCGAAATAGCAGATAGGTCTTGTCGCAAGATAAGGCAGGTCCAATCGCCCGAGTGATATCCAAGTCCAATGTGCAGGAAGGAGCGACCGCCACTCCTTCTTATCACTCGACCGTCGACCGTAGGATTGCTACGCCACTTCGAAAATTTCTTGCCATGTCATTCCACTTCCCGCAAGCGGATACCCAAGAGCGTTTACTGCTTCTGCACATGCCGCTATCCAGTAGCGGTCCCAATACGACGACCTTGCTTGACATCGACCTGACAGTCGCTCGATCCTCTCACAACCCTGCCAATGCCACTCTGCCATACTGCCATCTCTTTGCCTACCACCGTGTACGCTCTGCAACCAAAATCACACGCTGTTGCTGCTGCAAACTTCTGGAATGGAAGCTGAAAAGCTCATGCTTATGACGTTGATATTATTGATCAGATCGTGCTCGGGCGATTCTTGATGCGGGGACCGCAGTGAACTCGACGCTGATTGGCCGCGTCTGCTGAACTCTATCTATCTTGTAGATCTCTCAATCCACTTCTCGGCACGATGCAACCCTCTCTAGCTATTTAGACGGCACGCTATTGACTAGTGTCTTCGGCCATGACCGAGCACCGGACGTGCTGATCCTCACCTTGAGCTGGAGAACGCCTGAATGCAGCTATGACTACTCGTTCACAATCATATCTGAGCTAGAAATCTAGTCGTGAAAGCACAAGAGATAATCACGGATCTCGCCTTTCCATGCGAAGTACTGTGCATTGTGGTGGCTTGGCTCATCTCTACATGTTACCGCGAGAGAAGGGTTATTATGACTTTGTGACGGAGGTACATATTTCAGCCAGCCCTCGGCATGGAGCATTTGACACTCAGGCAGAAGTGGGAACAGTGAGCAAGAATCCTGTCACCCAAGCCTTTTGCCCGTTGACGCCAACCCGCATGTGCATGACGGACGGACGGACTATTTACCGCTTTTATCGCCGTCTAAACTTGCGTGTGCTTCTGTAAGGTCAAGGCCAAGGCATTGAAATCGCAGTTGACGAACTCGGTAGTGGAAGATGCAACGCTCGTCCTCAGATTTCCATAGCTGAAGAGGCCAAGCTATCGCTTGCTCCCTCGAGAACACCCAGAAGGCGAGCATAGGGAACGGTGATGCGCTGGAGGTCACGGTGCTTGCCTGGAGCCTGATGTCAGCAACGCCAGCGAGAAGAAGAAACGTCAACTTACCTAGTATGAGAACAACCTCCTTGAGCAACTCCTCTCGAGGCCACCCGACAAGATCTCCTTCCTCGGCCATCCAGCCTTGTCCCTTGTCTTCGTCTGACTTCTCCTCTTCATCCTCAAACACACTGCCCATGAGCGAGCGCAACAGCTCTTCGACCTTGGCCTTTGAGCCCTCGGCGCCGATGCGCTTTGCGTACATGAGGAGATACAGATGAAACTCTTCGCGTGCACCCAAGGTCATGGCTGCTGCAACGCGGTTCTCGAGATGTGCAACACTCACAGCACTTTCAAATCCTTCGTATCCTTCAGCCACAAGTAGCGTTTTGACCAATCTCTGCAGGAAGTAAGCCCGACCACGCAGCAAAGATTGAGTCGTGGTATTGCGTTCGAGTAACGGTATGATGCCAGCAGACAAGTTCTCCGGCTTCAGATCATCGTCACTGTTGGAAGTACCGTTGACGCCTTTGGTAGTAGGTTGCACAGTAGATATGGATGTGTCGGCTGTGTTCCAATACTGGCTGCCCACTGCCCACCATGGCTCTGAGAGACGTTGCCAGATGTACATGGCCTGCGAGTAGCTGAACCCGTCTCCGTTGGACAAACCTACTATGATACGTCCTTGTGAGTTGAGGCGAGCAAACATGACAGCTGGTCCATTCGTAGTGTGGCCTTGCTGTGCCGTGGCAGCGATATCGAGTACAGGGGCGAGAGACACCGGTGGGTGCGGGGCTGACAGGGTCTTGATGTTCCAGACATAGCACATACCTACCGCATTCACGCACAAGAGCCACCAGCCTCGACAATCCATGATTACGGGTTGGGCATCAAGGACAAGAGCGTTGAGCAGCCTACGACCTGCTGGTGTCCAAATATGAACTGATCCGTCTTCACAGGCAGCGGCCCAGAAATGATGGTTTCCTGTAACAAGCAAGACGGCTCGCGGCAAATAATCTTGCCATATAGATTGACCTCGTCGAGAGACTGTGAGGCGCGTGGGGTCACGATCCTGGACTCTACCTGTACGTGCAGGACCAGAAGCATTACGCGCCTCAAATACCATTGATGAATCATCACCAGTGTCCATTGGTTGACCTTCGTTCTCCTGGTGGCTATTTGTATCCAGAGGACGGACTATGATCGCTCGAACCAAGGGCACTGCGAGTCTGACCTGGCTTGTAGTTAAGCTAGGATTGACAATGGCAGGTCTTAGTGGTTCAGCGGTCTCGGTCGTACTTTTACCAGTGGAGCTTGGTGGAATGAGTCCAGCAGCAGTGTTGATGACCACAGGCGTGGCTCCAGTCTGCTGGATAGACGCGATGCGCTTTTCGGCACGACGATCATCGTCCCCTTCGATTTCGGCGAATTTTCTCTTATTACCAAGCAACAAAGAAGCAAGACCACCTCTTGGCAGACCGTCGAATGGTTTCGACAAGTCCAATGTTGTTTGAGGAGCGTCGTTGCGACTGGCTTGCGAAACACTGGACATTAGTTGCGGCTTTGGCAGCGAAGACTCCCCGACGCCCGAAGACGAAGACACTAGCAGGGGGGCTATGCGTTTCTTGCCATCTTTCGTAATGGTCACACGCTGCTTGAGCTTATCAATCTTGGCGACCTGTGGGTCTGGAGGAGGCATCGGTTCCTTGGGCTCAGTAGCCTCTGTGCCGCCGTTTGGTATTGTTTCTTTGGTGGTGCCATTGGACGAAGACGGGGCAGGCTTGTCTGAGGAACCATTCAACGAAGGGACAGCAACTGTGCCATCGCCCATCAGTTCACCCATGCGACCTTGGACACCCTTCAGTTCGCCGGCCTTGCTGTTCTCTTCAAGCCTCAAGGCATCCGGGCCTTCGACAACGCCGACTCTTCTGCCAGCACCAAAGCGTGCCAGGGCCTTGTCGTTGTTCACGACTGGTGCTGGGTAGCCCAATTCTCCGGCAGCAAAGACGCAGCAAGCAATGGTTCCATCCAGACTGGTAAAGTAGATAGTCTCGCCATCAGGGGACCAGGCAAGATCCGAGATGGGCTTGGCGGCAAGCTCCTGTGTGACGACAAAAGGTCGAGGAGAATTGGTGTTCCAGACGCTGAGAGTCTTATCCTGGCCAGCGCACGCGACGACGGTGACAGCACCAGCAGCAAAGTTTTCCTGGGCAGTGATGTCGCTAGCTGGCGGCGGCGGCTCGGGACAGAAAAGGCGCGGAGAAAAAGCACACACTTCGACAGGACCTTCATGGCCTATCAAGTTGACCTCGCTCTCCCAGCTGCCTCTAGTGACGATTGCGACCGAGCTTACAGGACCATTGACGGCGTTGGCAGCAGCTATGTGAGCACCATCAGGGGACCAGGAACACCTGCGGAAGTATGTGGTAAGGGGGGAGGTGGTGAAGGGGACCGAGACGGTGGCTTCGAGGACGAAGTTGTTGACTTGGTCGTAGGTTGTAGCGTTGGGAGGGGGTGAAGTAAAGCGGAAGATGCGTATGGTGCGGTCGTCGCTAGCGGTAGCAAAGTATTTGTTTGCAGGATCGAATGTGATACCTTTGACGTGGCTCTGGTGTTGTGACAAGGTCTTGAGCTTCTCAAAAGTATGACCAGACCAGACAACGACCTTGGAGTCGAGACCGACCGAGACAAGGATGGAAGAATCGGCAGACCAGCCAAGATCCTGGACATCGTTGTCGTGGCCGATCAGACGGCGGAAGATGCGCCAATTCTCGACGGGGGGAGTCTCGTTGGAGCCGAAGGTGGTGTGGGCGGGAGGGTTGGGGTCGAGGTTGTAGATGCAGACAATCTTGTCGTCGGCGCCCGAGGCCAGATATTTGCCGTTGCCAGAAAAGCGCACAGAGTGGATGGTGCCCGAGTGGTAGCTCATAGCGGCCAGCTGTTTGGGCTTGGTGTAGTCTGCGCTGGCGCCATTGCGGATCGCGTCCGTCGACCAGATGCGCACATGTCCATCTGTACAGTGTCCGTCTTAGCATGTCTGCGCTTGTTCAAATGTTGGCCAGACAAGGCGCACCTCCTCCTGCTGTTACCAGGCGGCTGCCATCCGGCGAGACGTGGCAGCTGTATACTTCAAAGTCCTTCTTGTCACCTGTCGATTCGTCTTGTTAGCTACGTCTCCAGGCTTTGGGCCATGCAGCAAAAGCGACCAACCTCCGTGGGTCAACCAGAGCGGTTTCGTGAAGCGCATTGCGACTGTTTATCGAAGCTGCATGCTCCTCCTGGCGCGCGCTGCAAGGAATGATCGTATTCGCTCCCTCTCATGCGACAAGCTGCGTTTGAGTGGTGACGCGACGCAGATGGGAACGATGGCTTGTTTCTCGTACGCTGAAATTGGACGTGTTGTTTATTGCATGTCCTTGCGACAATTCACATGCTCCATCAACGTCTATTCGGAGCTTGGCGCCGACAACTGCTCGCCGTGACCCTGCCCATCTCGCTCCATAGCTCTGCATGTCGATCCTACAAATGATGCCATTGGTCCACTCTGACCATTGCTTTTCTTGCATACAGACCAACATCCTCTCTTGTCTCATTCTCTGCAGATGCAAAGATTCAGCACAATTGCACGCAAAATGTCTCAACGTGTACGCACTTGCTACCTTTCCATGCTTCTACAAGATTGGGGCTGACCATATACCTCACAGATCAGCTTCAAGGTCGAGGGCGAAGGTACCTACACCCGGATACACATACGATCGTTCCCATCCTGACCTTGTTATAGTCCAGGGTGTCAACTTCAGAAGCTTCACAGTCAAGCAAGCAAAGTCTCTAGGAATCACCGGTCACGTCCAGAACGCCAGTGATGGAAGTGTATGTTCGGCCCGTATCATTTACCTATCTCGATAACGCTAACTTTCATACTTAGGTTACTGGTGAGGCTCAGGGTGACAGCAGCTCTTTGGACAAATTCAAGCAGCACTTGAACAAGGGGCCCTCGGCTGCCACTGTCACAAAGCTCGATGTCGATGATATCAAGACTAAAGATGGCGAGAGCGATTTCACTCAGTAATTTCTCCGCAAAGGCCATCCCAATACGAATGTAACGAAGAACGGACGGAACAACAGAAGAAAGTCATCATTCATGCAAGAGGGTCAGAGCAGAGGACCAGAAGCATCCTCGCCTTTCCATTCTTGCGATCATAATACGATGTTCTCAACACGGCATCATCTTGGTCAAGGCAAAGTCGGTCGTCAACAGACATTATGAAACAGCAATGGAACAAACTCTTTACATCGCTTTGCCAATGTTGTGGCTACAGTATTCTGCTATCGAATGCATCTGTTCAAAGTTGTGTGCATGACTCCAGGCAGAATACTCTTGTTGCCAACGTGCTTCTCTTCTCTTGTCGCCTCACATTCGCCGAGCCATCTCCATTTGTATACGGCCCAGACAATATCGCCGTCATCAGAAGAACTCATTTTGAATACGACCGAGTGTAAGCCGCAGTGTATGACTGTTGTTTCTCTGTCGCGTGGACAGAATGGTCATTGAAACATGCTGGTCTTCCGAATGCTTCTCGTGCATCCCAAACCCCGCGACCGGCATTCTACGAGGGCGCGTTGCTAACGCCGACTTATTGTCGCCGGCTATTCTCGACAGGGCAACGCCTGTAATCCTTTCTACTTGGCCTTGCCGGTCAGACTCGGGCTGTTCAACGGTGGCTCGGAGGAAACCTTGACAGCTGAGCAAACATTCCGCCGACGGCGATTCCTCTGTCCGGATGCAGAGTGCTTACCAGCTCGTGGATTGTCCATATATATATATATAGCAGCAGCCACCATAGACATTCTTACTGTATACAAACAACCAGTCCATCACACAACCATACCTTCGAATTCTGAACTTCACATCCACATCCACACTCAGATTCACAATTGCAACAATGTACAGAACGAGGACTCTGGCAGCGCCTAGGGGTGTCTGCACTTGCGCTACAGCGGTAGCCACCGGAGAGAAGAGAGGCACATTTCTCATCATGAGCTACACGCAACCAAGAAAGTTCAGCACAACGCCCTCTCGAACCTTGAAGCAGTTTTTCCCTGCTCCCGATGCTCCCAGCATCAGAACCACAGAAGCAGCATGGCCACACCCAATGTGAGCATACAACCGATTCCAACACACCAAGAGACCGAGGACTGACCGGATATGGCTAGATACACCAAAGAGCAAATGGAAGCTGTCGTGATCGCGCATCGAGAAGCCAAGACATGGTCAGACTGGACGGCACTGGCTGCCATCCGCACACTGCGATGGGGCCTGGACCTGGCTACTGGCTACAAGCACGACAAGGCTGTGGCTAGTGGAGAAAAGAGCGCCAAAAATGCCAACCAGAAGCATGTCATGACGGCGAGAAAATACATGATCCGGAACATCTTCCTCGAGTCTGTAGCCGGTGTGCCAGGAATGGTCGCAGGCATGCTACGACATCTGCACTCGATGCGGCGAATGAAGAGAGACAACGGCTGGATCGAGACTCTGCTCGAAGAGTCATACAACGAGAGGATGCATCTGTTGACCTTCCTCAAGATGGGAGAACCAGGACCGTTCATGCGGTTCATGGTTCTGGCTGCTCAAGGAGTCTTTTTCAACGCAATGTTCGCCGCCTACCTCGTTTCGCCTCGAACCGCCCATCGCTTTGTCGGCTATCTCGAGGAGGAAGCTGTGCTTACATACACACGCGAGATCGCAGACTTGGATGCGGGAAGACTTCCAGAGTGGGAGAAGCTTGTTGCTCCCGACATTGCTATCAAGTACTGGCATATGCCCGAGGGCCACCGCACGATGCGCGACTTGTTGATGTACATTCGCGCAGATGAGTCCAAGCACCGCGAGGTCAATCATACACTCGGCAATCTCGATCAGAAGGAAGATCCCAACCCGTTCGTGTCCGAATACAAGGACAAGACGATTCCTCATCCGGGAAAGGGTCTCCAGCACCCCAAGCCTACGGGATGGGAGAGGGCCGAGGTCATGTAGAGGGGCCAAACAGGACGTGCCGCGCGGAAGAGGAAGGCGAAGACGAAAAGGTGACGTTACGCATCTCAGGTCTGGTGTTGAGTAAAGAAGGTCGATGGTGACAGGCGTTCGGGAGTGAGATGGTTATTAGAGTGGGGCGTTTCATGAGCGATCCGGGCGGGAGCATTGTCAGAGCACCTCCACATTACGCTGTTGATGTGCTACCCAAGTAGATAGCTGCTGCTTTGTTTGGAGAATATCATGACGCATACTTGAGATCTTAACTGGCACACAATCCAAGTGTGCAGAATCGCAAGGTTGAAAGACATTGGTCTCCTCTGGTGTTTGACAGCCACTTTGGCGATTCGGATCATGAGGCAGCAGTAGCGACAGCGAGCGCCCCCTACCGGTACCTTTCATCTGTACCTACCCACCTACTCGTCGACAACAAGCAGCCGGCATGAGCGAATATTCGTCCGTCTTCAGTGTCAATGACAGGCTGGCCTTGCTCGACAACGACACCGACGACGGCTCCGAAAGCTTTGTGAGCGACCACCACTTGGACAAGTTCACAATAATGCCCGACCGCTACTCGTTCAGCCCCAACCGCAGCTCTCAATCTACTCTCACTCCTCCCGACTCGTCCGACAGACCAGAAGACTACGACTCGCTCAGCGGCGCCACTGATCTGGAAGCCTACTACAACAGCGACAACGACTACACCTCGCACCTCTCGCGCGCCGCCTCCATTTCGAGCAGATACTCGATCTATTCATTGTCACGCGTCAGTTTCGCTAGCCAGCTCGCCCAGCTCAGCTCCATCCAACTCCCCGACGCAACCTCGCTATCCGCACGTATATCATGCATGCCCACTTCTGCCAGCGCTGCAAACGCCTTGAAAGACTCGTCAGATCAGATCAGACGCTGGATCCGGAATGCACACGCCGTTCTCGACGGCTTGGACGCAGAAGACGATGTTGAGTGGGCTGCTGCTGGAGGGAGAGAAGGCTTGGATCATGTTGACCGTGCCATCGGCCGCTTCGACAAGGTTGTCAAGCTCTACATACTCTCGGTTGAAGAGCTGCACTTGCGACACGATATTGCCACACTGCCCAGAGATCAGGTCCAGGCCAACTCGGACGACATGGATCTTGTCATTAAAGAATGGCAAAAGATCAAAGACTCGTTGGCTGGCGTAAAAGAGCAGGTCGAGATTGCCATGGAGTGGGAAGAGCTGTCCAACTCTGTCGGTACTGGAATAGCCCACGAACTCGACGACCTGGCTGGCCTAGTTTTCGAGATGGAAGAGCAAAGACATCTGTCCGTCACGTCGAGTTCAGCAGATGCCGCCCAGCACGTCGATCTCGACGAATTGAAGCACATCGTCGACGAAAAGGCTGGCACCAGCAAAGTCGCTCCCAACCCTCGCTTGAGCCTACCGGCCCCCTTCTCACCCACCTCTACCTTGCAAACAACGCCTACCATTGGAAACATGGAAGATAATTTGCTCGCTCTCTTTGCTCGGATGCAGCCTCTGAGAGCATCCCTGGACTTTCTACCCATGCGACTATCTGTCTTCCATTGCAGAGGCAACAGCGTCTTCCCTACCGCCTGTCTGCATCTGGAGGGCAGGAGGGATTCTCTCGAGGCTCAATGGAAGAAGCTTGAAGCTGATGCCGAGGCCTTACGGCGTGAACTCGGCGAGGACCGTTGGCTCCTAGTCTTCCGCAACGCTGGGAGGCAGGCCTTGAAGATGTGCCAATCCGTCTCACGAAGTGTACAAAAGCTCGCGACAGCTCTCGATCATGACGAGCAGCGTACGGATACGGCTGCGCTAGCGAAGAAAGTCGAGAGCTACGAGGCCAAGAAGAACCATTATGGTACCGCGATTGAGAGAGTGCTTGCCATCATCGATCGTGGCGTGCTTGATCGATTGACCGTCAACGGCGAGATCTTGGGCCTCCAGTCGGACATGAAGCGGAAATGGGCGAGCATCCAAGCAGAGATGCGAGAGCTGGACTCACGCCTGCTAGGAGTGAACCTCGATGTCAGGAATCAGCAGCTACGAGACTCTGTCAGCACCATTGTCTCGTCCGAGCATTCAATGACCAGCAGCTTCATGGACACGCCTAGGAGCTCGTCGGCCTCGTCTGTAAGTCGACCTGACATGACCCCCCGACGTGAATCTCGCTTCACCCGCTTCGTTAGCGCTATTCCGCGCAGGACACCGCAGTCAAAGCCCAAGGATTACAAGTCGTCTTTGAACCACAAGACCTCGCGAGGTAACCTGGCTTCGGGTGGAGCTACACATACGCCGTACACGCCTCCACCCCCAGTGGATCCACTCATTCGCCAGTTCAAAGCTCCAGAGAACAAGCCTCGATGGAACCTCGCAACCAACACAAGAAGCACGTCTCTCCAATCATTGCATCCTGCATCGTCGGAGCCTTCCACAAACCGAAGAGTGACGCTTCCTCATCGGCCGACGACTCCGCACTCGACAGGCTCTAAGATTCCTACTCCGAGTTCGTTCAGCCGCAGTACAAACTCGCCAGTGCCTTACACTCCAGCTACGCCTTCACGACGCCTCGTGTCGACACCTTCAAGCTCGCCATTGACCCCACGAGCAAACAGCCAGCTGGCATATCGATCCGTTTCGTCAAACGCAAAGCCTCGATCGACCTCATTCTCGTTATTGCCAGGCGGGAACCCACTACGGGCTCCTTCATCCCTTCGCAAAACCAGCTATCTTTCACCAACTTTGGACAACCACGACGAGAACGAGGATTACGCGAATGCAGACAGACTAGCTCCTGGTCGCCAGATTAGAGCTGCAAGTGCTCTGGGTAGTGCCGGCGCCGAAAGAAAGACCAGTGGAAATTTGTTTGGCTTCTCAAGGACCAAGCAAGGCAGAAGTGGGAGCAGACTCGACACCGCCGCTTCTGCAGGTGCAGTGGGAGAGTGAATGGGTGCTGGACAAGTCTAGTAATGACATTACGATAGGATCAGGCGTTCACAGGTATTATTGCGGACGGAAGCATCGATACACGCAACATGGATATGGTGAGGAGTCGGCATACTGGTTTTCGTTTTGTTCTTGGTCGTTGTTACATCCGCCTACAAAGCATCAATCTGTAGACCCAGCGTATCAAGCTATGACTAGACACGCAGTCGAATCACAACAATCTGAATCGACGGAGCTCAGAAGATGATGAATCTAGGTGGCCTTCTTGAGTGCAAGAATGCTTCTGCGTGCCTCTCGCAGACTTTTAGAGATGATCTAGCTCAAAATGGTAAGTGAGATAGCCAAGATCATGTGATCTTGGCTATGCTAGAAATTTTTTCCATCATCTCTTGATTTGTGCCAGCAGTCCTCCATCATGTGCAAAAGGGTGAATGCGTATAGCTATAGAAATGCGCAATACTTTGTAGAAATGAAGAGTTTCCATCGAGAGGCGACATCACGTCAGATGTCCTTGGATGCGTCTCTATCTTGGAAACAATCGTGCATTGCTATGGTTAGAACTTCGCTCTACAGCCTCGTGGGAAGGGTGTGTGTGCACAGGCTGGTATAGCTGAATCTCCCACGGATTACTGGTATGCATTGGCCATGTGGTGTAGATGTAGGAGAGATAGCCGTCGAATCACCATGAAAGTATCGCTTATTGGACGTGGAGTGGTGGACAAGACAAAAATTGGAACAAGGTGTTTTGGTAGAGGCAGGATTGTGCCGTGCGAGACCCACGTTCATCTCTACAGCCCCTAGACTTATTTTTCGTTTCACTCAAGTCCAGGTATCATCTAAGACTTTACCACACACATTATTTGACCGATTCCCCTTGACCTGGCCAAAAATTGGATGGCTAAGGATTGTTTGCTCATTCCAACTTGCAAGCTAGTGTGTTTGCGAGGGGCGTCCGGAGAGGCCGCGGTGTTCTGCCGGTTTCGAGCAACAACATCGCTGAGAAAAAAACTCTGATGAACAACATACCCAGCCACAACTCCCGAACCCAGATAATTGTTCATCGACACAGTCATGGACGCATCAGCACTGCAGAACTCGCGCCGCCGTGCCAACCCTTCCAAAAAGCCCAGAGGAAACCCCAACAAGCGTCCTAAGACCCACGAACCTAGAGATCAGCAAACCCGCACTCAAGGAAATGCTGTTGCTGCTGCTGCTGCCCCTCTTGCCCCTGTGGCACCGCTCTCTATCCCAGTCCCGTCTGACTCGATGAGATTCACTGACCTGAAGAACTTGCTGGACCCCCTCCTCCTAAAGACGATCACTGATGATCTCAAATTTGATCGTATGATGCCCGTCCAGGAGGCCACCCTTTCTGAATTGCTCGAGAAGCGTATCGACTGCCTGGCTCAAGCAAAGACTGGAACTGGAAAAACAGTTGCATTCCTTCTACCTGCCATCCAAACTCTGATCAACAAGAACAAGCCGCGCGGATCAGGAATCTCTCTGCTGGTTATCTCACCCACTCGTGAACTGGCCATGCAGATCGCACAGGAAGCGTCAAACTTGCTCCAACGCCTTCCTCAATTCAAGGTCTGCGTTGCAATTGGTGGTACGAACAAAGACAAGGAGGAGCGCGACATCCTCAGAGGTAATGGCTGCGACATTCTCATTGCTACCCCTGGCCGTCTCTATGACCACCTTGGAAACCAGCAGATCACACAGTCTTTCCGCAACCTCGACACATTGGTCCTGGACGAGGCTGACAGACTGCTCGACATGGGTTTCATGGAGGACCTCAAGAAGATTATCAGATGTCTCCCCGACAAGGAGCAATCAAAACGCCAGGGAATGCTCTTCTCAGCCACTATTGCGCCTCATGTTCAACAGTTCGCTCATCTCGTCCTGGCATCTGGCTACAAGTTCATTTCTACCATTCCTGCAGGCGAGGCTCAGATTCATCAGCGCGTGCCGCAACTGCTTGTGACGGTCGAATCGTGGGCTCAAGTTGTTCCAGCTATGGTGGCCTCTATCCAGTCCGAGTGCAAGCTTATTGGCCCCGCTGAGTTCAAGGCCATCGTCTTCGCACCCACAGCAGCTCTCGCCGACTTCTACCACGACGTCCTTTCGAACATTCCCAACCTCCCTCGTGCAAACGTCCTTCACGCCAGAGTCAGCCAGTCGCGTCGCACCAAGGTGACAAACGACTTCCGTGAAGCCAGCAGTGCCATCCTTGTCGCCACTGACGTTGTTGCCCGCGGCCTCGACTTTCCCGGCGTCTCAAACGTCTTCCAGGTCGGTCTTCCCGCAGACAAAGAGTCTTACATACATCGTCTCGGCCGTACAGCTCGTGCAGGCAAAGAAGGCAGATCCGTCTTCATCGTCACTGAGCCCGAATCCTTCTTCCCTCGCCACATTCTCAAGGCCATCACCTTCGAGAACGCCAATCCTGACTTCACATCCGTGGCACCCCAGGTTGAGGCTATCGTCAACAAGTATGAAGCCAAGGGAAAGACTTACCAGGCATGGTTGGGCTTCTACAAGGCTCATGCTAGAGCCATGAGATGGAGTGACGACCAGCTCGTTGCCGAAGCCAACAGATTCGCTACCGAGGCTCTGGGCTGTGGCGAGATCCCCGGTCTGGAGAGAAAGACTGTGGGCAAGATGGGCTTGAAGGGCGCAAGAGGTTTGAACATTGTTGCTAACCTCCCTCAAAAATCAAACGGAGGTCGTGGTGGTGGCGGTAGACCTAAGGCTTCGGCTGCTAGATAAGGATGGTCGCTCATCAATGGGTCGAGAAGTAAGGGAGGATACTTGATATCCAAGCACAGAATAGGTTTCGCTGGGCGAACATGGAGCTTGATTTTTATTAGATGATACCCCAAAAGCATTAGAAGGAGGTCTAGAATAACGAAGTTGCATTATTGTTCATGCAAACAGCCCAATTCCAGATGTATGCTTCAACTGTTGCGATTCAAAAGCTGGTCTCATCTCTTATGCATTTTGATACCCTTGCTCGACGGCTAGATACCCTGTACTTTTCGAAACAGAAGAGAGAAGTGGTATGAAACTCTTCACAACGAGTGGTCCAAGATCTTCGATCTACCTATACGACTACCTATACGAAGACGCGTCAGATGACCTGCCTGTTGCTGGTTTAATGCTCGGACCAAAGACGATCAGATGTGGCAGGTCAAAATTGGAAGTCGGGCATGCTTGCAAACCCCGAAGTTCAATATCCAAACCCCGAACCAAGCGAGGGCGGCACACAAGACGCAGGGATCAAATGATTGAGACAATTGAAACATCAGTATCCACTTGAAATGAGGTCGAGATGGAAATTCCATAGGCGGGAAGAATATATGCAAGCACTTGGGGCGTACCAGATTGGTCACTCCTCACGCCTCGGAACCGGTATGAGCTGCCGGCACTGATACTGATAGCTTGCTGGTTCTGAGCGATTGAGCGCGAATGACAAGCCGCGCCGTGGCATGAGAACTTTGGGATCGACCGGGATCGACCGGTGACAGAGACGAACTGCATAACTGCTACAAATATAGGGTCTGGTTGCCGAAGGAATGTTTAACAGCGACAATTTTTCTTTTGATTCACGTTTCACTGACAGCAAGGGTGATAAGCCCGGGAGACTGGCAAGCCGGAGGCCTTTGATGTTAAGGCGCATGGCAAGAGGTGTCGGCCCAGCGATCCGTGTATGGCAGACGAAGGGCCGACACCAGCATGCTAGATCACGGCTGTAGAGCTGAAGATCGCTATGAATGTCACACGAAGACCGCGAAGAACAGGGAAATTCGTGTTGTAAAAGAGCAATGGAGATCGAGGTTTGTGAAGTGTTCAGATACGAAAATCGCGAGACATACTCAGTAGATGTGACGCCGCATGCTTGCTCATGAAACGCCGTGGTATCAACAGCTCAAAAGTCGGGTTTCTTATAACCGACAAGACCCAACAGAAACAAAATTGAAAGAGAGTTTTGTATCATGAATCAGGATCCAGCATCGAGGAGTTGTTGAACGACCCCGCATCCCTCGCAATTGACAAGTCGTCGCAGCGCCTCAACTGTCATGCGTAACTCTGCATTGCGCTTCTCCACTTCATCGTTCTGAGTGGATAGCTGGCGCATGTACTCGGCCGCATGAGCAATCACGCCAGCCTTGCTGAGAGGCCTGATGCCGTTGTTGTTGTTTGCAGCATTTTGCGACGCACTAGCGGCATACGTGGGGCCAATGTCCTCCATGTCGAGATTGTGACATGGCGATGTTGTCGATGGAACTGCTGCTCGCAACTGTTCGATTTGTGTGTTTAGGTTTTCACGATATCGTCGCTCGATTACATGGTGCGGCAGTCTCTTCTCTTTGGTTGCAGGCTTGACAGGGGCAGCCTCATCAAGTGTGTCGAGAGTGGTGTCGGTGCGAGCACGCTTCAGACTAGGCCGGGCATCAAACGGCGGCGAGTCGGCAGGAATGATAATGTCGGTCGTGGGGGTATCATTGCGCAAAGAGGATGTCGTCAGGTCTGTCGCCGTGTAGTTGGCTGCGGTATTGTTGCTCAGGCTTGTGCCGGGGTTGCACACAGTTTGACCGGCGGACCGCGCCGAACCGTTCTGCGGCATGTTGCGAGGGCACAGTGGTGAATTCCAACAGTCAAAAGGTAGTCCAGCAGGTTGCTGTGCTGCTCGTTGTCTTCCCGTCTCACAGATGCTGAGACCTTTTTCGGTTGGTTGTTGCTGCCACGATGTGCTGGGTGTTGTGAAGTCAGACTCGTTGTGCTGCTGCTCGGATCGTGCAGCCATGGCGACGCTGTCGAAGCGCTTGCGGCCTAGAGCTTGAACGTCCTGCTGCTCGATATGCTGTGCACACATGTTCCTTCGCTAAGGCCAAGGGCGACGAGAGAGATGAGAGAATTGACTCGAATCCGTGCACCGACTGACTGGGACTGGAGCGAACCACAAACACGACAGCTGGGAATGCCCACGTAACGATCAGGTCCCAACAGGATTGATAGTGCTTGCGTACGAAAGAAAAGGCTCGGTACGGTTGATACGATGGAAGAGAAATTCACCTACCTCATCCAGAGGCCTTCGGGTGGTATATACGTGTGCTTCGAGCATTGCTGCTGTCAACAGTTTCGGGATGAATTCTGGGCAGACCCGTGGTGATGGGAGGCTACGACAGCTTGTTGTAGGAACGGGCAGCGTGCAAGGTCCAATATCAGGTGATGGCCTGGACCAAGCTGTCAAACATCACGCCACTGATCCCTCGTTTGTACCCTTGTACTCACGCTAAGGCGTTCTGTCGCGACTCGAGAGCCTCCGGTTCCGAATATACCCCCATCGGCCAATCACACGGCACTGGCTCTCTGCCTCAATACGCGACAACAGCAAAAATTGCGACAGAAAAACAAAGTCACTAGGGCTCAGGCGAAAGAGCCATCCAGCCTTACGAGAAAAGACCGACTGGCGTGCAATCGTCGTTGTCTCTACCGGTACTCGACTCGTGGGCATTGCGCAAATCCTGCTGCGTTGCGGATTCGACTGCGCTCGCTCGATGCTTTCAAAACTGGCACCCCCACTCGTCTGGACCTAGATAACTACCTACAACTATTCTGCGCTGCTGCAAACTTCCGGCTTGGTTACTTGTATCCCCTTTTCTCTCTGCCGTGCTGCATCTCGATTCGTGCTTCGCTGTGTCGTGCCTGAGGGACGTGCCTGGTCCTCTCTTTGTTTCGCTCCCCTCCGTCACCCGTTCTGCCCCTCCTCCCATCACCAGATCAATCACCAGACCCCGACACAACCATGCCCTGGCGAAACTCGGAGCCATACGGCTCCCATCCATACGCCACCTTCGCCGACCCGAATGGCTTCAATTTTGCATACGATGTGGGCTCGGACAGCTTCATGAGTCCCTATGCTTTCCCTCATATGTCGCCTGATTCCTCATGTTAGTATACGCCCCTCGCTCTAGCGTTTCCCGATATCATCACACTCCTGTCATGGACCTTCTGCTGTCGTCTCCAAGTACCCCAAGATACTCATACAGTGTTGCAGGGACACCGACCTCCCAGCAGTTCGCTACGTCGAATCAGTCAGACTCCTTGTCTCCTCTAGAAACCAACAACTTCACGTCCCCAGCCCAGGACCAGGATCTGCGTTATGCGCCATCCACGAATTCCTCTGTTCATTCTGATGGAAACTGTGACGTCGCCTTCTCCGTCTCCCAGTCTTACCTAGATCAACATAAACCCCTAACGCAGATGGCCGATCTCAGCATACCGACCCAAGGCCAAAAGCGTAACGCTTCGTTCCTGGACTTCGAACCCCCACAAGCTCTCTCTCAACACAATGATGACCAACAAAAGAGCTTGACCACCCTTTCAACATCGTCCCCAGTTGTGCCCATCGAAACACGGCAGAGCTCCACCGCCGATAGTCCCGAGGACGCATCTCAGACCTCTGATGCTGCGGCCGTGGCTCGAGTCCGTACAACAGACTCTGCCAAAGTGCGCCATAATATCGTAGAGCGACGATATCGCGAAAACATCAACGCACAAGTTGATGTCTTGCGGGAGAGCATCGTCGCCACCATTCACTCGAAAGAAGAACAACAGGGCGGGTCAGCTTCTCGTCTAGGAGCCGATGAGCTCAAACGACTCACCAAAGCCGCCGTCATCGCAGCGGCCACGAAACAAATCCGGCGGGCAAGGACTGAGAACGAGCGTCTGCTTGACGAGCATCGCTCTCTGCAGGCCCAGATTCGCGAACTCGAGAGTCTAGTCAAGTGTGGAGACTGTCCGCTCATGAAGCTGACAGTCGATCTCAGCTTGGAAAGTCCAACTCAGCCACCTTGAGTTGTATTTGGAGTAGCATATCCACGAATCAAGTGCTTGCCGTTCGTGCCCGTGAACTGAGTGGCACCGGAAAGCGCCGTCCGTGGGAGATGATGCATCAGCCTCCTGTACAAAGGCTGTGGTCAAGCATGTCCAAGTCTCGATGACATCCATGTATCGTCAGCCAGGCAGGGGTGGTTGGCAGTGACCGGTGCTCAGATGCGCGCTAGAAGTTTTGCGTTGAATGGTTTCTAGCATTGCGAATGGCCGGATACGAAAGTTGGTCGTTGTGGCGCGCTGGGTCCAACGCAAATATGCTCCAGGGTAAAAAGAATATCACATAGAAGTGAATGCAAATGACGGCAACTCTCTGCTATTCAACTGTAGACCAGGGAAGGCGTAAGCATGGTAGACCAACGCCCCTGCTTGGTCAGGAAAGGATTCAAATCTACTTTGAACGGGCATAAGCATCTATCTATATATGCCTCGACGGAGCAGGATTAGCCACCAGGTCACTGATCACCTCTCTGCCCTGTTTGCATTCCCCTCGATCTTCTAATAGATCCAAACTCACGTGCCTTTAACTCGCTCCAGACCATGTCCCGCATCACCTGTCATCACCCCATTTAGACCCCATTGCGGTGAGATCCATCAATTGGTTCGACCAACCAGAACTCAAGAACAAGGACACCTCGCCCCTACAGTTTGGCACGGACTCATGGGACACTGCCATCCGCGCGTAGTTCTTGTCGCGTTTGCATTTGCAATTCATCGCTGTCGGACGGTCGACTAGCAGCCACTGCCGATCAGACCTTGCCGTTATCTACTGACCGCTGGCTATCTTGTGATATAGTATCGGACTTTGAACCTCTATCTCCAAAAGTAGTGGTCATTATTGCCTGACGTCACCTGAGTTGCCTTACAAATCCGCAGATTGTAACAATCGATATCTTCATGGCGATCATGTCCAATGTATCGAACAGTGACAGAACCAGTGTTTGTCTTGGACTGAGGAGCTGGAGTAGGTGGGGTGTTGATGAGTGGGTGGAGTCGTCCAGCATTTATATGTTGACCAGCCCTGGCAACTTGTTTAATGCCGATGTGTCTGCAAATCGTACAAGATGCATTGAGCCTATAACTTCATCTTGTCTGAGTAGCACATATATAGATACAATGCTATTGAGGAACAGGGCAGTGTCCATTGGAGGGCATTCCACTGGCTCTCTCTTTCTTAATTAAAACTTTTATCTGGAGGAATTTGTGTCTTTTGTAAAGTGAAAGTCTGGCTCTGTATCATGCGAGGCGGTGTAGGGCCACAAGTCCGAGCAGACGAGGAGGAAGCGTCGAATCAACCAACGTGCCTACATGTCCTACAGGCTGATTGGAGGATTTGATGAGGCCGTACTGTGTTTATCAGTGAATGGCCTCGGGGTCCTACGGAAACTGTCATACAGAGCCTCACGCAGCAGTCCTTTTGACCCCTGCTCAAATTTCTGTAGCTGTCAAGGATAATCACTCTCCACCACATGGAGTTTTTACCGGCACTTGACCGGTTCAGTACTGCGTTGGTTGGTCATGTGAGGTCTCTCGGCTTCTGGAATGGAAGCACAGTGCTGCAGTGCTTGTCAGAATCTCATGCGAAAGGTCTTACCCGCACATCTTTCTGTGTCTATCGGCAACTCCCATCCGCAAACTTTGGAAATAGAGGATACCTACCAACGAGGTCAAACCCAACAACCAACCTGGACAAGTAGGCTTGTGCTTCGAAGCTCGTGGCAAATTCCGAGAAGACCATCACGATCGCGGCGTACCCCTTCGTGCTATGCAAGCATGACAGGGCCATACCCAGTCGAAACGCCCAACTGTAGGGGATTATACTGCTCTGTATCCAGCTGGGCGGTGTCGATGCTGGACACGTTTAGTACTCGTGCCCGACGAACCCAATATACCAGGCGAAGAGAGCATGGGGTGTCCAGAGTCGAGAGCTTTAGCTGGGTAACAAAGACTGACCGGTCACGTTTTGGATTTATCAATCGGGATTAGCGACTTTTGCTGCTGTCAATCACACGCATGTGGTCGCTGGTGAACTTGTGCGCTCTTTGTGCGTTTGAGACTTGCCATTATCCGCATTCTTTGTCTTGCTAATTCTGGATGCACTCGTGGCAGATGCCGTCCTTACTTGTTCTATATTCGAGGACATCAAGAAGATTCGGTATTTTCGAGCAAATGGCGATTTGGTGCAAGCGTCAGTCGACGTTTGTATTTCAACGATCGGCGTGATCACTCCGAGCAGAAAACGGCAACAACTGCGAATCTGTGCTGTAGAAAGCGTAGCTTGCAATGATGCGATACTGCAAGGATCTACTGCTATCAGCCCTATCAATGCAGTTCACAATTACATCCTCTGACGTGCAGGTCAAACCTCATCGTTGCCTGTAACCGTCATTTGGTCCAAGTGAGCAATAGAGTAGCGTCAGCCCTATGGACAGGGGGACGATGTTGGTATGGATGCAGGACACGCGAGACCACACACGAGGATACCCAGACAGTCATTGGTCTGCTCGTTCCTGCCAGACGCTGCTTCGTACCCGCGATTTCGGTTCGCAGCGCGATCAAGAGATTGGTAGCCGGCAGGTATGCTCGCACGCGACGGGGGGAGGACAAGGATCGGTTCGCAAACGATCCACGCCGGATTGGGTAAGTGGTCTATGGCGTTGGTGAGGGACAGATCGATTGGTCTCACAAAGCTCAAGCTCCGAGCATGCGGCCAACCACGCCCCACAAGCCAGCCAGCCTCCTTCCTCGTTCCGGATCCTTTCCCATCCTTCCCCTCCTCCTGCCAATTTATTTCTAATCCGGCCTCGAGGGTGCCAGCGGTGAGCCTTGTACTCAATCCTTGCAGCAGCATCGTCCGTAGGCGCAAGATGCGCAGGGAAACGTCGCATCGCCTCGAATCGGGGCTACCGTTCGGAGCAACGTAGACATTGCTCAAGACGGCCATAACAGACTCTGGGCTTTCAGGTGTAAAATCTGGCTTTTCCGCATGATGCTACGTGGTACGCTCTGTCCATCGTCTACTGTTGACGCAAGCTTTGGGTACAAAGGGGTCTAGAGGAGATCCCGACCTGTGGTAACCTTCACCGTACTCTCGTCCCTTCAGCCCTACGCTTTTGTGTGGGAGGAACCGCTGGTTGGTGCTAATAATGGCGGAGTTGGCGACTTGGCTCGGTGTCACTGTCGACCCGCCTGCATGGCTCCTTCTGTTCCATTTGCGGAGCGCCCGTGGAATGCCACTGCAGCTTTCACATGGCACTTGCGCTAAACAGTCCAGGGTGCTCATCCTCTGAGCTGTATCCAGGCAGAGAGCTGTAACCACAACAGGCCTGCTATATCAGAGCCACTTCCCTCAAGGCTGAAGCATGCAGATCCTCGAACCTGACCCGAGTATACAAAACCCATCCTCCCAGCCCTCAATATTTCATCCTCCTCACCACTGCGCTCCAACCAATCCATACTCTATACACAGACACCATGAACAGACGCTCGGGCTATTCATGCTCATGCTCCCCACCTTCCTCACACAAGCACCATGCCTCATCGCATCCCACCAGCAGTGCTTTCAGTGCCAGCGCGAACCCAGACGAGGATTGGACAAAGATCACGGATCTCGCTGAGCGGAGGAGAATTCAGAATCGCATTGCCCAGAGAAATTACAGTACGTATACCCAGTCGGTGTGTTCGTATCAGACACAACCTAACAAGATACAAAGGAAAGAAGCTGAAGAAGCGTCTCGAGGATCTGGAACGCCGTGCAGCTTCCAGCTCAGCTTCCCCCTCGCCTGAAGTCAAATACGTGGATCTAGATCTATCCAACCTGCCTGCTTTCAAGGGGTCTTCGCACATCTCTCACGTCCAAGAAAGCAACGACATCGGCGGCCGTGCCTATACATCCAATGGTTACGAATATTCCTATTCGCAGGCGCCGGACGATAAGAGAATGTTCTCGTACCAACATACTCGTCAGCTCTCCACATCTCCTCCACCATTCAACTACCAAGCCTATCCATCTATCGAGCAAGGTCAATTCGCTCCTTCGATGTCGAGTTACATGACATATCCTATTCCCGTCTCTTCTTCATGCATGGTGCCTCCCTCGACAATGACATACCAGACAAGTATGCCGGCCATCATCAAGCCAGAGGTGTATGAAGAGGATGATATGAACCCCTTCAGCTTGAGTTACGCTTCCATGGCTGGCGTGGACGTGGCCAGCCAATTCGCTTACCAGACACCCGCTGTTCACGTAAGTATTCCTCCTGCCGTCTCTCAAGTGCTTATACTGATGTCTCTAGCCAGACTCCAGCATTGTCAGATAGCTTCGAACCTTCGATAACCAGCTCACCCCCCTATGATTACATGACTTTTCCACGAACACCCCTCTCACTTCCTCTGACGCCGCCCCTCCGGGGAGGCAACAGATGAAAGCATATACGCCGATAACGATACAACGAAACAAGAACAGGGTCAAGATGGCATGACGGACGGGGATTTACGGGTACCACGCGATGGCGCAAAACACTGAGGATTACAAGGGCAATACCACACTGTCATTCGCTAGGGCCAGGGTCGGAGGAGTTGGGCAAACGGATTTGTGGTGCATTCTTTCACAACAACCCACCTCGTTCTACTTAATCTTTACGAGAAAGAGTCAAAACCATTGGCTACCGATCTTAAATGTACATTTCATGTTGCAACTAGACACCTCGCAACGGGCATACCGAATCGAGCATGGCAAGCTGCTGAGGCTGCACTTTTCCCCACTTTGACTTGGTCCTTGACCTTCAGCCCGACTAGCGGGAGCATGCGTTGGATGCGTGACCGGTTCGGTGTCACCAGAAAGGACCCCGAACTCCAGGGAGCCAGGTACGTACATCGAGCTACCACAGGCTCAGCAGACAACGCCCAAAGCTAAAGTGGTGGTCAAGGCGCAAGCAACCAACCACCACTTGCGCGCAGCGCACCCGACACCAGAACACCGACTTCCCACAAAGCACTCAACTATAAATATGGCAATGAACAAAGAGAAGGACCAAATCTTGTTCGGAGGTAGTCGGTTGGTGATGTTGCGTGTCTCTGAGTCTGCACGATGCTGAAAAGTTTACGCCCTACAGGTCTTGGAACGCCGCAGACTGGACTGCAAGCGACGATCGTGTACGCGGTGGGAAATCACAAGTAGGATGACTAGCCGCATCTGCGCTTCTGAGCTTCCAGACATGCTAAAACTGTGATGCGCAGTCTTTTCTCGAATGCCACAGCAGCACAGGGCGATTCCATGGCAATCTCGACATCAAAACACTAGGTGGCGCAGGATTTGCAAGCCAGCGGACCACGGGCGAGGATAGAGGCTGGGATTTGTCTGATTATGCAGGAATCGTGCTCGACATTGCAGAAGCCGACGGCAAGTTTCCTAATCCCCCGCATCATGCCACTGGTCTTCTGGTGCAGGATACCAGGCTCATACCTAGAGACTCGCAGACAAAAGATACACCTTCATCCTCAAGGATGAGCTACTTCCCCGCAATCCAGACAACGGACGTGAACAAGCCACCATCTCGTGGGAGTACGACTTCAAGCCTTGTTCCGGGGAAAGCAGTCTCGAGAAAGGTGGCCTTGTATTCGTTCCATGGTCTGGTCTGAAGCCGACCTATCGCGGTAAGGAGAAGGAGCATGCGGACCCTATCAATCTCGAAACAATCAAGAGGATGAGCATCATGATGCGAAGGTAAGTCCCGTGCAGCTTTCGTGTTGTTTGATTTTCGTTCATATTGCGTTGCAGCTTCTTTGGCGATCAGGAGGGACCATTTTCCCTGACCTTACGCTCTATCACTGCAGTTGCGAGCTCACCGGTCGAACCCGGCAGACTCGAACGAGGTGACGCAGCATCTGCAACAAACAGCACTAGTCGATGGAGCCGGTATACCCAATCGTTCAATGTGAGTCGACTCGAACAACACAAGCCTGTCTGGTGGAAATTAACCCTGGCAGCTTGCATTATCGTCGTGGCGCATCTGCGGACTCGCTTTGCTCGCGACTGCCCTATACTACCTACATCGCAACACTTCGCCAGCAGCCTGATTTCAAATCCGATGGTCTCGGACACGAAGCACTGAAGGGTCGCACTGAGTGGTGAATGGTCCTGACCAGTATAAAGTCGCACAGCTATATGCGCGTGGTCTGCTCGTACAGGACCACCTTGATTCTGTAGAAACAGTCGAGTGTAGTGCAAGATGTAAAGCTATATCCATTCTACCAAGCTCGTGGTTCGAACACAAGCGAAGGCGCCACGTGGAGTGTATAACAACCTCTCGGAATGCTGCCGTTTTGGGGTCGTGCATATCCGTCTTTGAATCGCTCGAGGAGTCGCCAGGCGTGCGTGGCCATTGTGTTGCTCCACCGAACCGACATGCTGCAACTTCGCGATTCGGCATCGCCGAAAGTAGAACAAGATACAAGGCACACCGGTCGCCTTTGCAATCTTTTGGCGAGATTGCTCCAGTCGCTCGTGGTGATAAGAAGCATGAGCGAACGTGAAACCGACCAGAGGTTGCACAACTCCCTCAGCACAAGATCTCTCTCGGCAACCAATCGCCTCAAGCGGAGCGGCGGTCGACACCCGTGGAGGACCGGCTCGCATCGACCGGCGGCCAAAGGCCCGATCAGATAGGCGAAGGCCGCGAGTCAATTACAAAGCAAATCTGTAACTGTTGTTGAGAGAGCAGAAGTCACACGAATCGCAAGTCGCTAAGCAGAACCTCTTTTTGTTTAAGATTACAGGGGGGCGCAAAAGTAGGATATCTTGGGCCTCATTAGAGCTTAGAAGACACGTAGAACGAATCTGTTTGTCGATCAGGCAGAGTAGACCTACTGTACCTTGCGTGGGCCGATTGTATTCGACTGACGCAGCCATTCAGGTATTCATGATCACACAGGCTCCTCTGATTTATAATCTGGATACGGAAGTATTATGAGAAGTAGCTGATCACTCGCTAACAACGTTTGAGAAGTGCTTGTCAAGAGCAGATGCGTTCGGATACCTCGGCAGCATCTCCCTGATGAGGCGTTCTGGGCACGCCTGCCGCACGCCAAACAAGCGAAAAGCTTTGCACAAAAGCACTTCTCACGACGATGATCCAATCAGACTGTCCAGAGGGCCATTGGCAACGGCACAATTCGATCATACGAAGCCATCGGAACCTCGGTCCTCCGAATTGGCGCCCCGCATGGGATAACGAACTCTATTACCAGGCAAGCGTTTGCCATGTTGTCATCGCAACACTTGAGAGTCCTTTTTCTCTTCATATTAAAGAGAATCCCCCTTCTGTGCTACCTTCGAAGCGCTAGAATTTCTCGAAGTCTTACCACGACTCATACGCTAGCATCTGGACCCTAGCTTCTGCTACTTGGATTCCTGGTCTACCCCAGATAAACAAACTCCACCTTTTGAGCTCTCCCACCACACACACGACAGCATGGAGAGGTCTAAGGATGTCGAGGCTGGCAAGGGACCTTCTTCAATTCCCCACTGGCGCTTGGTATGGGACCAAGGTCTTATCACTGATGAGGTCATGAACTGGAACTACCCAGGCTCAGGAACTGATGAGGACCCGTACGTGGTCAACTGGATTACGAACGACCCCCGCAACCCTATGCTCTTCTCCGAGCTCAAGAAATGGGGCCTCACGATGCTCGTCGCAATTGCGACTCTAGCGGTAGCTTTTGTCTCGTCAGCTTACTCTGGTGGCATCAGACAGATTCTAGTCGAGTTCGGTGCTTCGAAGGAAGTGGGTATCCTTGGTGTTTCTCTCTTCGTTCTCGGTTTTGCCATTGGTCCCCTTCTCTGGGCGCCACTCTCCGAGATCTTCGGTCGTCAAGTGCTCTTTGTCACCACCTATGGCGGTCTGACTGCTTTCAACGCTGGAGCTGCTGGTTCTAACTCTATGGCTACTCTCATTATTCTTCGATTCTTCGCTGGTGCTATTGGATCTTCTCCTCTCACTAACGCCGGAGGTGTGATTGCCGACATGTTCTCGGCCAACGAGAGAGGTCTGGCTATGACCCTGTTTGCTGCTGCCCCTTTCATGGGACCCGTTCTTGGACCTATCGTTGGAGGCTTTGTCGGCGAGACTATTGGTTGGCGATGGGTCGAGGGTGTTATGGCCATCTTGTAAGTGTTTTTCTTCTCGGTGTGGTTTGTTCATTGACTAATTCGTTTTCTCCAGTACTGGTGTGCTCTGGATCGTCGGCTCGCTTCTCATCCCGGAGACCTACCCTCCCGTGCTCCTTCGCAAGCGTGCTGCAAAGATGTCCAAGATGACTGGCAAGGTCTACCGCAGCAAGGGCGACGTTGATCAAGGTCCCACAACTTTTGGCAAGGTTTTCAAGACCTCTCTTCTGCGTCCCTGGATCCTGCTTTTCCGCGAGCCCATCGTGTTGCTTCTGTCGATCTACATGGCTATCATTTACGGAACTCTTTACATGCTTTTCGCAGCATTCCCCATTGTCTACCAGCAAGGCAGAGGTTGGAGCCAAGGAATTGGCGGTCTGGCCTTCTTGGGAGTCGCTGTAGGCATGCTTATGGCCGTGGGATATTCGATCTGGGACAACAAGCGTTACGTCAAGATCTCTGGAGAACATGGAGGCTTTGCTCCCCCTGAGGCTCGCCTGCCTCCCTGTATCTTGGGCGGCATCTGCTTGCCCATTGGACTCTTCTGGTTCGCTTGGACCAATTCGCCCTCGATTCACTGGATAGCTTCGATTGCTGCTGGCGTACCATTTGGCTTCGGCATGGTATTGGTCTTCCTTGCTATCATGAACTTCTTGATTGACTCGTACACTATCTTTGCTGCATCTGTACTTGCAGCAAACTCTGTCCTACGTTCGCTCTTCGGTGCGGCTTTCCCTCTCTTCACCGGACAGATGTATGACAATCTTGGCATTCACTGGGCTTCCACCATCCCTGCTTTCCTCGCCCTGGTCTGTGTTCCTATGCCATTCCTTTTCTACAAATTTGGACCTCAGATTCGCGAACGTTGCAAGTACGCAAAGCAGTCCATGGACTTCATGCGTAACATGCAGAAACAGATGGCAGGAGGCGAGAGCAAAGAGGACGAGGAGAAGGAAGAACAAGAAGCCTTTGACTATTCGTATGAGGATGAATCGCATGGTGACGGCGAGACTCCCAAGTTCGAGGAGATCAAGACCGGAAACGACAGTCAGGGACTTGGTGGTGCCAGACTATCTCGCACCTCCACATATGAGCACTCACCTTACGACATCGACCGCGTCAACACACGGGAGTCATTCACCAAGCCCAGGTCTCGAGCTTCGAGCCTCCGTCGCGGTGCTTGAGCAGGCCTCATATGTTTGCGACCATCCTAGCCACTTCTTCTTTCTAAACCATTAGATACGGAGACTGTTTTCTCATTAGCGCGGCGTTCTGGGATACCAAAAGTTGGATGTCTCTTAGAGCATCATTGACGGTGTAGGAACGGGTTTTATAACGATACCACTTTAGACTCTTCTAGTACTTAATGCTTTACTGACATTTCATCGCTATTCTCAATTGTCTAGACTAGGCTCCGTGCAACACAACAAGGCTTGTGTGTGAGATTTTGCATAAATCGATGTATCTGAGAGCAGGTGCTTCTCTGAATAAGGAAGTTTGCTTTCGATCGAGGCAGTATAACGTCTTGCCATGCGCTAGACGATGGATGAGATGTCGAAAAGCTTGGGTTGTCGATGAGAGCAGAAGTGTCCCGAGCGGTTCGGCAGTCGGTTCAAAATACTCAACTAAAGCGCAAGGTGAGTAAGAATGCCTACAAGAGTAGGTCATGACTCGTCAGTACAGCATGAGCGGAAGGCATCGGCATCAGATGTATGATAGCGTTTCGGGATTTAACTTCGTGGTAATCGGACAGATGCCGCGCTAAGAGGTCCGGTGTAACAAGATATCCCTCAACACTTTTGGGCACAAAACGAAGGGTCCATCTGGGGATTGACGACAGACGATGTTGGAAGCAATGAACTCGGAGTGGTCGAAACAGCGTGGGTGAGAAGGTGGAGAAGAGTGTCAGGCCATCAATGTTCTTTGTTGGCCGGGCGCAAAGAAGCAGTTGAGGAAGCAAAGCCAAAACACGGGCAGAGCCAAAGACCCTGAATGACGTTGCGAGGGATTGGATTTTTCATGACGACGGGTCAACAGAAAAATATTGCCCCAAAGGGAGAGTTTCGGAGCAAGATGAGGTGATGAGGTGACTCGTAAACTGGCCCGTCAGGGATTCGTCGCAGATTTGATACGAATAAAGCCCCTGCCTCTTCCCCATTCTTGATTCTCTAGCTAGAGTGACGATATTGAGAAAGAGAAAACACACAATCATGGCCCTCACACTTCCGCTGGAGCTGCAACAGCAGATCTTCTCGTACCTGGACCCTTGGTCATTCTACGCATCGCGCAATGTCTGCCGGTACTGGAAGTATGCATCCAGGGATGCCGTGACGCTCGCCAACCAACTAGGACAATTGCCCATCGAACCGACAACGTGGGCCAAGAAGGCAGACTCGAAACGAAGAGAGTCGGTATACGACGAGGCGGCAAGAGCGTTGATGCTGGGCATGCGCGTCAAGGCTTCAGCACCAGCCGACGACGACGGCCTCTCAGCAAGACTCGACAAGACCAAGCTTGCTCTCTCCAGGGACGGCAGGCGAGCAGTCTCTCTCCACGACCGTACAATCACACACTACGACACGACCACATCCGAGCCCACCGTCATCTCCACACGTCCCATCAACGACCTTCGCACGGCAATGGGTGGAGGCCCGTGGTTCAAGTGCTCCCCGACGTCCATGTATGAGCTTGCTCTCTCTTCCGACGGACGCATGCTGGCCATCGCCCTGGAACGCACCGTCCAGATCTACGACCTGGACGCACCCGCCGACTCATGGCCCGTTGCCTCGTACATCACCTCGGCCACTGGCCACTACATTGCTGCTCTCGACTTCGAACACAACGACAGCTTGCTGCGAGTCCAGCTGAGCAACAAAGGCGTCGTTGTCTACCTTGGCTCGCCTCAGGAATCCAAGCCTGGCCTAGAGCACTGGCAAGAGAAGGGTGGTCTGAAGCACGCCTTCCTTGATGCTAGCAAGCTCTCCTTGCCCTCCTCAGACCCTGTTGACGGTGCTCCTGCCATCTCACAACGTTTGGCTGGCCTTCAGCTCTTGCGTCCCTTTGCCGATGGCTGGCTCATTGCTGCTCAGAAGCATGCGACCAACGTCCAATCTGGCTCATACTGTTTAGCCTATGTTCCTTTCAGCAAAATCCACGGCCACGTTCTTACCGCCGAGCGTGCTGTTACCATTCTCCAAGATCTTCCTGTCCATCTCTCCGAGCACATCCAGCACTTGTGGCACGACCTGCCTTCTGCTCACATCAACCACCCCCGTTTTGCTCTGTCACCCAACAACTCATTGTTGGCCATGTCTGAAAACAAATCGTCCTCCACTTCTACAACTCCCTCATCGAACCGCGTCTTCCTCTACCGCTTGCCATCGGCCGAGAAGCTCATGGAGACACTCAAGCCGCAACACCCTCTTTTGCAAAAGCTCGAGGCCGAGCAGGGACTCAAGTACCAGATTAAACGCCTTCCTACTAGTCTTGGGTCAATATCTGGCAAGATTCTCGATTTCACTTTCAAGTCTGGCGATAATGGTGCCAGCTCTCCACTTGCAGTCACTGCCGTCACTGATACTGGCGCCATGACCTGGACGTTGCTGGACAACTAAAAAGGTCACGCAACCGCCACATTTTTTGCATCTTTCTTTCGTCACGCCACCTTCTTCATCTCACAAACTCTACTCATTCACGATATATTAGACATTAGATTATTTGTACTTCATACAGCATTAGACGCATTATAGACGGAACCATAGACTGCATAGACGGAGTTATAGATACCCAATACATTGTATACATTCGTACAGACCTTTGTCCTGGCGTTTTCTGACGTATGACCGTTGCTTGATTCCATTCGGGACTGTACGTTTTGCAGAAAACTTGAGCTCAAATTATAACTTATACTATCGCTAGTCCGATACCCTTACTTCAACACACGCTAAACAAGAACACAATATGCAAGCTCTACCACTTCTACACCTTTACTCCACCCTTGCTTTCTTGTCAGTATAGACTTCTTCTTGATCTTCTTCTTCAGAATGCCTGCGTTTGAGACCATTCTCCTCAGCCGCCGTGGTGTCGTCAAGATCAAACGTGTTCGCATCTGGATCATGTAATGCGTTCACGATCTTCTTCGTGCCCATGTCATCGCCTTCGACGGTCTCATTCAACTCGGGATCTATCCATCCTTCTGTGTAGCTGCCTCCAAAGTCGATGATCCAAAGCTTGTCGTCTTTATCCACCATGAAGTTGTCAGCTTTGGCATCGCCCCACACAAGATCGTGTTTGTGTAGAAGCTTCACCATCTTCTCGGATTCAGTAGCCCAGCCATCGCGTTTGGACTGAGGGACATCAGAATCGAGAAGATGAGTAAGTGGCTCGGCTCCTTCGATATGTGTTTGTAGGAATCCCATGATATCGGTTCTGGAATTTGAGAAGGATACCAGACCTTTGACTTGGGGCACTCGCATCTCCTTGTGTAGGTTCAGCTTCTCGATGTGCTTCATGATCTTGATCTCGCGTTTTGTTGGCGCGGGCTGAGTTGGATCAACAACCTTGAGGAAGTAAAGGTTGTCGTTGTGCCGGACAAGGGTGGGTAGTGGGCCAGAGGTTTCGACTATTTCCAACTCTGATGCTTGGATCGAGGGTATGTTTAGATTCAGGATGTTTTTTGGTAGAGTGACATTTGGCAGGAGATTGTCCATCTTGAATCGAAGTGCAGGTGTCGCCTCCAGTTCTCTTGGTACAATGTCGCCGTCCGTGTACTGTAAAGCGTAAAAGTGTGTCGAGGGGTGGTACCAATCATATACGTTGGCTGTTTGCATCTCACTCCTTGATGGAGCGAATTTGTCGATCTCGGCTTCCAGGTGGGAGAGTATCCAGGCCTGAAGTTTCTCCTCTGAATCGTTCTCTGCTTTGTCATTGTCTTCTAGTACAACACCACTGTCATGAGATCCGGCAGTGGGACTTCTGACATTGTCCTGGCAGCCCGAACAAGTGTACCCATCCATCGAAGTCCCCTCTTCTTGGGAAATGCCAACACATCCGCCATGGAACCACTCGTCGCAGCTGTCGCAACCGATCATGAAACCCCGGTCAGATCCACGACACACGCAGTATGTTGCTTCGTCTCCATGGTCTGCCTTCGTATCTTCCGATCTTTGCGGCTGGTCTTTTTGTGAACGACCCCTGACCATCTTGATAAGCTTTGAGTACTCTTCTACAGCCTTGTCGTTCCCCTCTGCAGCACCCTTGATCCTCTTGAAATCGACAAAGGCGTGAAAACGTACTCCATTGGCGAAAACCGTTAAAGCAGAATCATCATTCTTATCGTGGAAGAAGTCGAGAACGTGAGCAGGCTTTGTCCTACGGCCTGCTGAGGATGACATGATGTATAGAAAATGATATGAATCAAATCGAAATGGGCAAGTTGAGTGATATGAGACGAAGTGTAGGATCAATGGTATACAGAATTTTCGTATCAACAACGAACACTTACATGAGGGACGCGACCTTTAACAGAAAAACCACTTTACGCGGTACCCTACGCGCTTGACTGATATCATTTCTGAAAGCAACATATCAAGGGCGTCATGGTTCCTGAATCTGCACAAGAATATCGATACATTTCCCGATCGGGCACTGTGATTGCGAGATTAGGTTTGAGATCAGATCTCGCGAACGAACGTGTCATCATCGTGTTTTCCAGCCATGCGATGACGCCAATTTTTACGACCCTCTCTTTCGTCATGGCTCCTGTTATACTCGAACAAACAACTGACAAGCAGAACTCGTCTCTACAATGTAGGCCTTCACATTGAGCACGACCTCGAGGCGTCCTGGATGATACATTAGAGACATATGCGTCACTGCTGGACTTCTCATTCTTACCGTAAGTAGTTTCCAATGTCAAATTTCACTCCATCAACCAATAGCAGCTCAGCTAGCTTATCTTCATTGGTCTAGTGGTCATGATTTCCGCTTGTCAAGAGTAGTTTCTCGTCAAGCGCGGGAGACCAGGGTTCGATTCCCTGATGGAGAGCATATCGTTTTGCTGCTTGTCACATCTGTGAGGAGCCTCTACAGAACTCTTTTGGTTCATTGACGAGGTCCCTCAATTCATCTTGATGGTGTGTCCTCTGAACGCGTTGTCTTTTTGCCAGTTGTGTGGGGTAGATATCCAGACATCGTGCGATTGAGAAATTATTTTCGACAGCTGCTGTGAACTTCTCACATACAACCCTTATTCAATTGTTTCTTGTGGATCTTCATGTATGATGATCACTCGCACTATGCTATTCGATTTCATCAATCATCTTGTCGTGTTTTAAGGGTCTTCATGAGAAAGGTTTCGTATTGAACATTGTGATGCTTGCTAGCACTCATGGGAATTTATAGGTCTTGACCTGATGATCACCTAGCGGCAGCGAACGCTCTTCCACCGCTTATCATCCTTCCCGTCTCGTCGAGGGTCACTGGCCATGCAAGCTTGGAAGAAACGCGCAAACACCTAAGAGGAATTGTTGGCGCGTGATCTGCTTGCAAAAGACGGGCCCCCCGATGCTCCGTACCTTCGTGGTTGATTCTGAGTCCACGTACCTCGTTCCGTGCACATGAGCTGCCTCATATAAGCCTTGCTGCCTGCTGTTTCGAAACTTTCGTGGCGACACGCGCTACCCGTGTGATGCTGCAAGTCTGCGGTTGCCTTGTCACAGCGATGGTGGGAGAGTATGAGAATGATCAGCACCACTCGGCGACAGAATCCCGACCATGTAATGCATGGCGGCTTGGGCGCAGGAGCGAAGACTTCTCATCCAATTGTCGATTTATCTATATGAGGTGGGCGCTTATCGGATATCGATAGGCTGAAAAAGATTCAACACCAACAACAGGCTTAGGCGCTGTTGTGATAATCTCGCAAGTAGGATCCAAGACGCGTGCAGACCTGCATAGGGTGTAAAGCCACTGCTTCCAACGAGGTAAGGAGTCTTTACTTTGCATCCTGAACTGATCAGCACGATTGTCTCCTTTACACACTTCCATTGATTTGTACACCATGTCGCTCGAGATACTAGAGCCCAACAGTCTCCACGTTGTCATCCATCTACGCAGCGATCCACCAGAGCAATCCGTTTTCAGATGTCGCGATCTGGCGGCTCTAGAACAGGAGGTGCTCGATTTCGGCAATTCCAATGATAAATCGGCGTGTCTGAACCACCAACCACGACCACTGTTTCGCTCTGCTCTATGCGGCATCTGAACAGATCGGTTCTACACAATGCTTGGGTTGGGTAGGTGCTGGTTTAGACCCACAGCAGCGAAGTTTGAAGGCTAGACGCAGGAGACGTCTTTGCTGTTCTTTTGTAGAGGTTCGCTTAGAGATGTCCGTATCAAATTCTCGCCGTAACGGTGTCTTAGCGTTGCAAGTTTACTACGAGCCAGTGTCTGAAAAGTGTGCCGGAGTTAGGTCGATGGCCCCTAAACATGGCTGGCCAGAGACCATGGCGTTCAGGCTACCACCCGATAGTATATCCACTGGTGAGATTGAAAAGTGCGCGTTCAGCCTCACGGTAAACCAGGTATCTATGACCTCCAAGCTTGACAACAAAGTCGTACCACCAAGAGCTCTCGGGGACGAGTCGGAGAGCAGTGGTAAACTCCCAGTATTCGGGGTACCAACCGGCAGATTCCCAATCGAGCAGTCCCGAGACATGTCCATTGTGAACGAGAATGTTGTGATGCTTGAAATCGCCGTGGGTGTAGACAATTTCGTGTCTGTCGTTGAAGAGCTTGTCGGTTGCGCTCTTGAGCTTCGGGAATCTTTCCTCGTCTTCGTACATGTCATGTCCGCCGGGGTAGAGCAAGTAGTCATTCATCTGCTGCTCCGAGTCGAAAGGGCCCATCTTTGTAAAGGGTACGCGAACACTTCTGATATGAGTTCCTGATGATGAACATATCCGATTCTCGCCCCATGGACTATCCCATTTTCGCATCGAAGAGAGGTAGGCCTCTAGCTCGAACAGGACGGTATTTCTCTCCGCAGGAGTGAGACTCTCGTATACCTGCCCCAATTGACGTCCTGGTAGACGAGTCATGAGTATGGATACCGGTGCATGTGGCGTATCAGATTGTTCGCCATAGCAAATGACCCTAGGCACAGGCATGCCGGCCTTACGAACGGCTTCCATAGCGAGGACTTCTTCTAGGCGTGTTCCATCTGACCACTTCAGGAGGAGTCCGAAAGGCAGTTGCGCGATTTGGCCACTGAACGGGATATTGTACCAGCGACAGTAATGTTCAGAGAAAGAAAGAAGTAGATTTCTGTGCACGAAGCCCCAGAATTGCGCGACGATGGAAGGAGAGGCTCGCCCAAGCGGCTGCATTTGAAGATTAGGGGAGACTTTGTACTTATAGGGCCAGGTGAAGGCAGGCGAGAACAGGTTCCACATCTTGGTCCTTGAAAGGTACAGAGATATGACTTTGCTAGAGTGGAGCAGCAGAGTTCAGGGCAGGTTGTTGCAAAGCGAGAACAGCCAAGTGCAACGGAATAGAGTGGTGTTGAGCGTCGTTAAATGCAACCTGTGACTCAAGCCGCTCATAACAGAAGAAGGGACGCTTGTCTGATACACATGATTTGTGTAGCACGAGACAACCTCAATTTCTCTGTCTGTCATTGGTGCTCGTGCGTGCGGGATTGCCGAATGCTGTGCGAGCACAACAATTCATCAGGAATGTCAGAGCCGAGATACGCAGTCCGTAAGCCCCGCAATATAACTTCTAACTAAGGATGTACACAGCCAGTACAGCCAGGCGCTTAGAGCCAGAACAGGACCGCATCAGCGTACACTCAGACAGAGTATTGACCATAGCTTGGAGCTGGGCACAGACCTGTGCGCCTACATGTTCTGACAAGCCCTAGAGCTCCAAAAAGATCTCAGATTGCCGCGACCCAGGTGACCCTGTCCTGACTGCGCTACTAATCCAATGACCCAAGCCTCAAACATCGTTCACGCATTAATGCTTCATCGATCGTCGTTCCTGCCTGTCAACTGATTGCTAGCCGTTAGGATAGGTCCCGCTATCATGCGCAGATGTCAGTTGTTGCAACATTTCGCTTACAGCCTTACGTACACTCAAGTCTTGTGATATCCGAAACAAGTCAGTAGGCTCATAGCACGTGTGTGTGTGTCTAGAGGTCGGTTCGCATCAAAGTACCAGGGAGATGTTGGCTCATTGAGACCGGAAAGAATCGTCGTATTGAATGTTGCTGAATCTCTATGAGACTGTAGATTGTCGACAGTCGTAGACGAAGACAAACCATTCGACATGCTCTCTCTCAGACCTCAATCAACACTGGCAAAGGGCTGTGTGGTTTACAGGCTCTGGAAAATGGCAATATCTGAGGAGAGTGACAAATCTACCCACTGAGAAAGGTAGAGGACTCTGAAGTTGTACTCTAGTCTGACTCTTACACATGACCTGCCTTTTGGCGTTGCGCCTCAGCCTGCAACACAGCGAATCTCCTGCTTCCAACGGCCATGCACTTTGGTCCACATACTGCTACTACTTATCGCCGCGTTATCCGCCAAAGACATGGCGAACAATGATGGGAGAAGACTAGATTAAAAACTCCTTGTTCGAGCCAAGATTGGCTGCAGAAAGTTGGAAGACGACGTCACTCACAAGCGCTGGTGCTGTTTCGTCTCGGCTTTTGGTGAGTCTGCGATTGTGTTTTTTTGACAACACATCAGACAAGGAAGCTGTATATAAGGGAAGATCGTTCTGCTCTATTCATTTGCCCCGTCTCCCATGAATCATCCCTTTACTTGAATTCAGCAATTCTTCACACTCATCATGGTCGCGTCTCTACCCTTCGAGCTGGTCAACAACAGCAACTCCAGCAACGTGTGGGCTTATATCACAGGCATCAACATTGCTGATGGAAGACGTGTGCTGTTACAAGCAGACGGCAAAACGCCTTATTATCTCGAAAACGTGTCTGCAATTGGATCGGAGCTGGCGCAAGACTGTGCCATTCCGCTCGGACAGCCAGGAAACACTGTAACCGCTACCGTGCCTCAGATTGCAGGCGGTCGTGTATGGTTCTCCATCGATAGCAAGTTAAACTTTCTGCTGAATCCCGGACCTGCCCTTGTCGAGCCTTCGGTGCTCAATCCTAGCGATCCGAATGCAAAGGTCAACTTTGGATTCTGCGAATTCACGCTTAATGACGCTCAGCTGTATGCAAACATCAGCTATGTCGATTTCGTGTCCAATGTTCCTATCGCCATCACACTAAAAAACTCAGCTGGTGCGATACAGCATGTATCTGGCATGGCCTCTGATGGTCTTGAAAGAGTGTGTGCAGATCTAAAAACCCAAGCACAGAAGGACGGAAAGCCATGGGACAAACTGATTGTGCAGGAAAATGGACAAAATTTCCGTGTCCTCAACCCATCTCACGGAGACGCCGTTGGAGCAAGCTTTGCAGGATACTATGAGCCGTATGTCGACGAGGTCTGGAGTTATTACAGCGCAGACTCGAGAATGTTCAAGGTCGACACTCAGGCAGGCCCTGGTGTTCTCGATGCCAAGGTGTCAAACAACCAGTTGCTCGTTGGCGAAGAGGCTTTCGACAAGCCAAACACTGCAGACATCTTTGGATGTAACAGTGGACCGTTTACCACTGGGCCCAATGGCACCCGCAACGCCATCATCCCTCGTCTTGCAGCTGGCTTCATCCGTACCACGCTGGTGTCTCAGACTCAACAACCGTCGGACCCATCGACCTACTACAAGAGTGATCCGACCAACCACTACTGTCGAATTGTGCACGAGCACAACCTCGACCAGAAAGGCTACGGGTTTGCATATGACGACGTGCAGCCGGAAGGAGGAGTGGATCAGTCTGGCAAAGTCAACGATGGCGCACCTGCTCTCTTCACGATTGCTGTGGGAGGCAACAAAGCGTATGTTGGAGATTCAGCTCCTGGAGCTGCTAGTAAAGTGATGGAAGAAGAGTCTGAGTCTGCTCGGCAGCCCGAGTCTGGTGCTGGTCATCAAGAGAACGGGCAGCAGCAGCCGATGCAGGAGAGCGCACCGCCAGCTCCAGAGCGAAAGAGCAGTGGACTCCGTGGTAAGCTTAGCGGTTGGAAGAAGAAGTTCTCGCAGTAGAAGTGTTGGCGACAAATGCCTGCATCGAAGTTGGTATCGAATTTTGACAGACGGCAAACCTTTGATTATCATGAAATAAGGCTAGTATCGCATACGAGTTTGTTCCTTTCTATACACGGGAAATTGTCACGTAGACAGCCACAGAAAGGCACACTTCGTTGGCTCATGGGGAGGATATTGGAGACGATGGTCCCGGGCGGAGTGAGATTCCCAAGTTCTTGTGATTCCATGTCAGACAGGTCTTGGCACCGAAACGCGAGGTGCATGTTTGGAACAAGCTGCAGCTATCTAGTTTTGCTTGTATTCGCGTCTTAACGAGCTGTCAAGGAGCATACGGTACTAGCAGTCTCAGTAACACACTGTCCATTACTCTCTGTGAGAGTCAGTCGCTCGTGCGCGGCCAAGCACAATGGCGCCCATTACAAGGAAAAGCGTCAGCTCTGGCGCATCCAAGCCCGTCCATCGCAAGGTTAGTACCAACTAACCACAACTCCATCTCTGTTGCCAGTTCTGACTCGTTCGTGAACCGCACAGCCCTCTCAAGCCAACACGAACTCGATTGTCGACGCTGCTCGCTCCAACAGCTTCTCCACGCCCCAGGTGCCTTTTCCTGCCGCTCATTTACCTCGATCCAACCGCTAACCACATCCCGTCAGAATTCCGACCTCCACCAATCCGCTCTCGTACCCTCTAGCCAGCTCATTGACCAAATCAACCCCTTGCGCGACATGGCTGATCGTGTCGGTCGCGAAGTCGACCACTTTGCAGAGACACTCGATAAATTCAACTCCCGTCTACATGGACAGGATGCATATCGTACTGCCCTCGATCTGACAATGGAATACAAGGACTTTGCCGACACCATGGTCAAGAAGCTGAAGAAACGCCACGACGCTCAGCGCGTCAATGACATGAAGAACGAATTTGGCAAGAGGATCACCATGTCTCCCATCAGAAGCTCCAGTCTCTCTGCTCCAGTCGGCCCCGTCACCCACAACGATGCTGACCAAGACATCCCCGCCCAAACTTCTCTCGAAACCTTGAGACAATGGCAAGCCGAACGCGACACCTGGGAGTTGTTTCGTATCATGCTCCAAGAACGATACTCGCCCGAGAAGCACATTCGCCAGCAAGAGAAGGAAGCAAGGTTGGCAGAGTTAGGCATGCCGAATACATACACATCTGACTCGGACATTTGGGAACGCTTCACTCTGGACAACGACTCGGCCAGAGAGCGACATCTGGTCCTTCAATGGCTACAGGGGGCTGCCAACCACGGCGGGAGCGATATCGAAGCTATTGCCGAGGAACTCGAGAAAAAGTCAGGCCGAGGAACAGGCATCTGGTCCAATGGCTGGATGGAGACGCGTGAGAGGATCAAAGGAACAAAAAGAATGCGTCTATTCTCGACTGCCTCGTCTGACATGCTTGATGTGAAGCGTACGCACAGCAATGAACCCCTGGTATCTTCTCTAGACCCGGATGCACCGATTCGCCAGTATCGCGTTCTGGAGAAGGCAGACGAATACTCGGAAAGAGCCCTATGGATGACTTGCTGGGAGATGCTAAGGCGCGGTCACTCATGGTACGACATCTGCCAATGGTGCTCTGAACGTAACCAAAGTTGGCGTGCTGCAAGCATGGCTGCCTGCGCTGACTCGGACATGGACGTCGCTCTACCAGGTCTCTCGGCTGGTTCGCTCTGGCGTCGTATGTGTTACGCCTTGACACAGCAATCGGGCTTGGATGAGTATGAAGCCGCTGTGTATGGTGTGCTGAGTGGCGATCTGGACTCGGTCAAGCGTGTGTGCCAGAGCTGGGACGACTATATCTTCGCTCACTACAATTCCCTTCTGATCGGACAACTGGAGGAATACTTGCAAAAAAGCTTCCCGGAAAAGTTTGCATCTGGTATCGCCTCAAAGTTCCCCATCTTCGACTCTCTCAGGCACCATGGCAACCAAAATGACATTTCTCGAAGTTTGATCAGGCGCCTCAATGAGCAGTCTTCCACCTCGCAAGAAGCCAAGAGACCCCTCAAGTTGCTGCAAGGCAGTCTCATCGCGGACAACTTTGCCGATTTGTGCAAGAACCTCGCAACGGCCATCTCGGATGCTGCATGGTACCAAACAACTTCGACCACCATAGCTCCTCTGCGTACGGCTGTCTCTCCAGATTCTCAGCGGGAGAGCGTCATCTTCAACGACTATGATGCTTTACGTATTGTTACTCACATGGTACTGATGTTGCGTGAATTCCACGAGCCCCTCTCAGACACAAAATCCGACCCCGAAGCTCTGGACAACATTACCGCTGCCTATATTCAACTCCTACGCGCTGCAGGTAGATGGGAACTCACATCTGTATACGCATCAAGAATGTCACCTGGTCGTGGCATCAAGTCACTTGCACAGACCATGACCGATGTACAAGACCTTCAGGAGAAGATGCACTTTACCAAGCTCATGTCGACATACGGTATCGATGCTGTAGCTGTCTTGACCGAACAGGCCAAGTATCTTATGGAAGAAGTGCTACCGAAGAGGCCCGCGGAACAGGATAATCTGAAAATTATCGAGAACACCAAAGAGGAACTTCATCCTGGCCAAAGGATAAAGCTGGATTTTGTGGAAGAAGCAAAAGGCGGCGAAGGCATTGCCGACCACCTTGCCGTTTTCCATCTTATGGAGGGCCATTGGGATGTCTCGTTCCAGACTCTTGCCTATGCTTGCAGGAAGTTGCTGCGTAAGTCACAGACGCTCTGCCACGATCGGAGACTCGTACTAACAATCTCCATAGTCAATGGTTGCTTCCAAGAAGCGTCACGCCTGGTGGATCAATTGTCTTTCGACTTGTTGTGTACAGCAAAATCACGGCCTATCCTTGGAACATCAGTCAACGTCATGGACCGTGAGGAAACGGCTTTACTTCCTCAAGACGTTGAGCATGCAGCAAAACTACGCGTCCTCCAAAAGCAATGCAGAGGATACTATGAGCTCAGTTTGCTGGTGAAGGCAGTGGATGCTCTGGACGCTTGGAGAACGGTGGAGCATGATTATGCCACGTAAGTACAAGTGTACGTGTTGCTGCCTGCGCGTACTGACTGCGAATTTAGTAAGGTGCCGCGACCCAGTTCACTGCCAGCCAAGGTCAAAACAACCTTCGAGAACACCTGCGCTGCGGTCGAGCCTGTACTGAGTGGTATTCTCGTGCACGCAAAGGATGGTAAGCAAATACTCGTTGCTGTAGGAACAACAGCTCAACTGACTTGAAAGCAGAAGATGAGGCCGCCGACTTGGTCAAGATTCGCAACTGGTATCTTCCTGAGGTTGTGCTGGCATACAACACAGTCCTTTGCGCGGGCGCTCACATGATCAGCCGTGAACATCTCTTGAGGAGTATGGAGCTGGCAAACGATGTTGCCAACGACAAGACTGGTCTTGCAGAGTGCTTCATCGAGTCTGGCCGTATGCGCGAGCTGGTCATTGCATTCGCTCAATCCAGTGAGACCATGTTGAAGCTGAACGAGATGAACCAGGGCAAGCGTGAGAGGAAGAACAAGGCAGGCAAGAACCTCGACATCTGGGAGATCAAGACATAAAAAGTGATCACCGAGTAAGAGCTGTACATTCAGACAAACATTGAGTGCATGACTACATTCCCAAAGCATCATGTACATGGTTTTGCACTGATGTGAATGTGCTGGAGATCTGAAACGTGACGGAAGGTGGGGGTGCAAACCAAGTGTGGGGTAGTTCAAGTACTCGTAGCCCAAATGATGGCATCTGACGATTTTACGGCCTCGATTGAGAAGAAGGAAACAGCGGAGCATTTGCAGATTACGAATCATCTTCGCATTATTCACTGCTCTCACGTAAGTCTCGAGCTACATAAACCAGGCCTCAGTCACAGATGCTGAACACTCAACGCAGCTCCCATCACCAGTCACAATCTCATCCAGCTCATATCCAAGGCCAACACACCCGGCTTTTCATCATGTCAAAGACGATTGAAGACAACGGTTGGACAGCAGTCCCAAGAAGCCTCGAAAAACTGCTTGCCACTCGCAGAAACCCCAAGTCAAAGCCAATACCGCTTCGCGTCGAGGACATGCCGTTACCGAGCAGCCCTGTCGTAGACATTGTCATGAAGCACGCAAAACATCACCTGCCCAAGCAGACCTTCAGCCACAGCATGCGCGTCTACTACTACGGTACGTCAAAGCCCCTTCTACCAACGCCATTGACTCTGTCAACTTGTTACACGACATGACAATCAACTGACACAATGACACCTCAGGCCAAGCAATTGCTATGCAGCACTTTCCCGAATGGCGCTACAGCCCAGAAACATACTTGCTGGCCAGCTTGCTCCACGACATTGGCACCACAGATGCAAACATGTCTTCTACACAACTGAGCTTCGAATTCCAAGGTGGCATGCAAGCATTAAAGCTCTTGATCCAGAACGGTGCACCTCAATCGACTGCCGAGTCGGTCTGTGAGACCATCATCCGTCATCAGGATGTGGGCGAGACTGGCAACATAAGTACCTTGACTGCTGTGATACACTTTGCGACATTGCTCGACAATGCGGGTAAGAATCCCGAGTTGCTGCACAAGGACACGGTTGAGAGTGTTGTGCATGCTTGGCCTAGAGAGGGATGGACTGGCTGCTTTGCTGCTACCGTGAGGAAGGAGACTGAACTCAAGCCTTGGTCGCATACGACAAAGATTGAGGGCTTTGCGGAGATGGTCGAGGCGAACGAGACGATGCGTCCCTATGATTGAGGTTCATGGATGGTAGGAGAAACAGTGGATAGTCTTCACTGTAAACAAATGGCTCGCAGGGGACATGGCTTTGTTCCTTGAACGTGTGGTCTGATTTTATAGCTACGCACATTGCTCTGTGCCGTCATTACAAAGCTTAGTGGAAGAGAAGAAGAACAGCGTAATATATACATTAACTTGAGAGCTTTGTCCAAGTATGTGATGGTAAAATTGGGGGAGTCTGAAGATATCCAAAGAAGCAGCAAGAACGCCAATCATGTATGCAAAGATATGATTTAGTCGACAAAGGAAAGAATGAAGAAGAAGAGAAGAAAAGCTCATGATCTCGGGGCAGGCTTCTTGACACTCAATTCGACCTTGCTGTACCATGCAGCGCCGAGAAGAGTGACCAACATACCAGCACCGTTCTCGGGTCCGACGCGGACGTTGAAGAGAACGATACCGAGGAGAATGGTAAGGCATTGCTTGAGGTTGCCGCAGACGCTCAAGGTCAAGGCACCGGCAAGCTTGTTTGTTTGGAAGGAGGTGACGTTGAGCATGAAAGCGAGGATGCCGTTTCCGAGCAGGGCGAGAATGACAGAGGAGGTGAGGCCACCCTCAGCAGCGAAGTTGCCGAAACGAGTGACTTCGCCGGTGCAGTATGCGTATACGAGCGATTGTGCGGCAGCGAGAGGGGACATGCGAAGGAGCAGCTCAAGAGCGGGCATCTTGAGGCTACCGGTCAGAAGACGGTTGGTTGCGACAGTCTAGTAATATTGTCAGTGAGGATGCAAGGACATCAACGTGTATTTGCAAGAACGCACCTTGATGGCGGCGAGGAAGACGCCGAGGAAGGTGAGAGATGCGCCGACAAGAGAGAAGTAGTAGTCGCCGTAAGTGCTAAGTCCGACACCGAGGACGATCGGAATCAGAGCCATGTATGTAGCCTTTGCGTAAGAACGACCGTAGAACCAGCGGTAGATCAGGATGGTTGCGACGGGGCAAGTCGAGCGGGCGATCTGGTGGAAGGGAACCGAGACCATCTCCAGGGAGACGTTGGATATGGCAATGTTGATGGTGAAGAGAACAGAGAAAGCCACCAGGACATAGTTGTCTTGTCGCGTGAGGTATGAGAGTTTGATGTGGCCTGCGAGCAGGAGGGTGTAGCATCCAATTGCTGCACATGTGGCGTGTAATGTGGTCATGAGCCAGGGAAAGGCGAACTTGGAGAGGACGGCCTTGTTGTATAGCGTGAGGCCCAGGTTCATGGCGAAATAGAGTCCAAGACAGATCATCTTGACGCGAGTCGACACGAGGTATTCGGCGCCCTCCTGTGCGCTCTTTGCTTGGGGTTGTTCCTCGACGATTGACTGCTTCTCGACATCGTCATAGTTCAGCAGCTTCTGGCGCTGCTCTTCCTGGATGTCGCTGAACTCGGACTCGTCCATGGATCGTTGCGGTTGCTTCTCGGAGATGGAAGCCATGACTGTAGTTGGTAAAGGGGATACCGGCCTCGAGGATTAGGGTGTAGCGAGGGAGGTGGCAGAGTTCGAGAGAATGAAACAAAGAGAATTGGTGGAATACGCGGCCGGTACGAAGAACGATGTAATGCGAAACTATCTCGCAAGCCTCGACAGCCCACCCTAGCTAATATATCAGATAAGCTGCTCTCAACCCGCCCACCAACCTACGTAGTCGTGTCATGCGAAGGGGCCGCATGCAGCCGCCCCTCTCTAAATGCGTGCAGTGCCAAGCGTATAATGGCAACATAACAGCCCTCAAACAAGGCCGCTCACCAGGCCTGAAGCTGGCGGTTGACCAGGGGGTAATTAGCATTCATTTCTTGCCTGTGAAGCAACAAGTCTTAGTCCAACGTCGTGTCTCCTCCAGCTCGCGCCGTTGCTGCAGATCACCACCGTTGCATCCTAACACAGCTCCATGTTATTGTCCGTTAGAAAGGAGACGGCTTCCAACCACAAGACCATCAAAATCCCGGTGGCCAAGAGGTGAAGGATCTGCACACGGAGAATCTCTTGACATGTCGCCTATCATGGTGGGGTCTGTGGAGATTGGCTCAAAGCACAAGGGTTCCTGTCTGAGAGCGTTGGCTTTCCGAAAACACAAAGTTCGCCATCGGACATTCTCACGTGTGCTTCCTAAAGTCAAAATCCTATCAATATATCAAAACGTTCCTATCGACTATCCTACGAGTCCAGCTGCCCAACCACCCGGAGTTGACACATACGTGCTCATCTACACAGAGTGATCAACTCTGAAACGAAGGATCGATGCAGTCCACGTACACACCCGGGACTCCGGCCTTATCGTTGCCGCCTTCGGAGAATATGCAGGCTTAACTCCACTGTCGCCAGGCGCCATGGCTTTTGGGGGCGTTCATGGCTTGCAACCACCCCGATGGCTAAAGAGAGCCGCCTCCGATTGCTGGGTATCAACTATCAACCGGACGCTCCGCTGATTGACCGCAGCCGGTAACGCACAATCCTCGTGGCATAAACGAGCATGGATCTCGGATGCCTGACAGATACCGTACTCCGTACACCTCGCACGATGGGTCTATGTACACAGTGAATTTCAATCTCCTCCCGCAGACATGCAGAGCAATCTAAGTCTCGAAGACTCACAGGATGTTGGGTGATCGACAACTCCCAATAGTATCGCTCGAAACCAGTTTATGGTGCATACACACAAGTGTACGAACACGCGTCACAGAATCGGTAGAATGGATAGATGTGGCAGTAATTTCGAGCGCCTGGCGCTGATTAAATGGATCAGATAATTACAAGAACGTACGTATAGACATGATGAAACCCAACCAACCAAAACTCCCAGAAGTGCCCTCTAGTTTTGAATCATGCCATGATCATGCCCCAACGAGGAAATAAGAAAAAGGAATGCCAGAATCCTTTGGAGAAATTTTACTGGAACGAGTTGCCTCTGCCGATGCACTCGACGCGGAAGCCCAACCGTTGCAACTTGCCGGCGTCAATCACTCTACGGCCGTCAAAAACGAATGCTGGACGTTCCATGATGTCGAAGATCTGTTCCCAATCCACCTTGGCGTTTTGTGCCTCGGCGTGCTTGATGGCTGTTCTGGGGTTGTAGCGTTCGCGCGCAGACTTGTCTGCAGGTGTCATTTCCATCTCATTGTCGGAGGAGTGCTCAGAAGCCACGGGGCTAGGCAACAATTGCTGAGGGTTCTCACCGCCAGTCTTCTTGGCAGGCACAACATCCTTGTTGGAGAACTCATCCCACTCGGTAAGGACGATGACGGCGTGAGAATCGGAAGCGCAGTCGTAGGGGTTTTGGGCGATAGAAACGTACTTCTCGACGTCTTCGAGATGGCATCCGTTGATGTCGAGCTCCTCCCAAATCTGTGCCTTGGTAACTTGAGGGTCGTAGATGCAGACTCTGGCTTGTTCGGCGATGAGATCCTTGACAACCGAGATAGCAGCACTCTCACGAGTATCAGCGGTGTTCTTCTTGTACGAGAAACCGTAGACAGCAATCTTCTTGCCAGTCAGGGTTCCGTAGAGGGTTGAGATGATGCGCTTGGTGAAGCGAGACTTCTGCCACTCGTTGATAGCGACAACGGATTGCCAGTAAGCGGCGACCTCGGGAAGATGCAGGGTTTCGGCCATGTATGAAAGGTTGAGCACATCCTTGCGGAAGCAGGAACCTCCGAATCCGACCGAGGCTTGAAGCATGCGCGAGCCGATTCTGGTATCCAGACCTGCGGCGTATGCGATCTCGCCAACATCGGCACCGGTGGCCTCGCAGATTGCGCTCAGAGCATTAATACTGCTAATACGCTGAGCCAGCAGCGCGTTGGCAGCGAGCTTGGCAAGCTCAGAGGACCAGATGTTTGTCTTCAAGATGTTTTCCTTGGGAACCCAGCTGCCGTAGAGGTTTGCCAGGACGTCTGCCGCCTCGAGGCCGCTGGGTGTTTGCATTGAACCGATCAGGATACGGTCTGGTCTCATGAGATCGGCCACGGCGGTACCCTCGGCCAAGAACTCGGGGTTGGACAGAATCTCGAAGTTGACACCAGGCTTGCCAATGGCGTGGAGAATCTCTCTCATATTTGCTGCAGTTCTGCAGGGAACGGTGCTCTTCTCGACAATGATGGTGTCTTTGTCGGCCTCGGCGGCGATCATACGGGTGGCAGATTCAAAGTAGGCCATGTTGGGAGCCTTGCCAGCACCAATACCGGCGGTCTTTGTGGGAGTGTTGACACAGATGAAGACAATGTCGGCACGCTTGATGGTGCCTCTAACGTCGGTGGTGAAGAAGAGGTTCTGGGGGCGGACTTCAGCGTCACGCGCCTCCTTGACGACGGGAAGGAGGCCAGGCTCGTAGATGGGAAGGGCGTCGGAGTTCCATGCTGCGATACGCGTCTCGCTCAAGTCGACAACGCTGACCTCGACGTCGGGGTTCTTGAGTGCAAGCACAGCACCACTGGGACCGCCCTGTAGGAAGGAAAGTCTTGTCAGCCTTGCTCGGCAGACGATCTCGTGGCAGCTCGTATTCGGCCAGGATTAACTCACGACAAAGCCGGCGCCAATAAAGCAAACACTCTTCACAGGACCCATTGTGTAATGTGTTAGGCTCCGAACTCGAAAGAATGTGTGGATTGGGTGAAAGCAAGTGAGGATAATGAAGGAGAAATTGTTTGAAACAAGATGGAGAAGACAAAGTATGTATCCTGGGCAATAACCAACAGAATACCGATAAGGGATGTCCCCTCGCTTCAATCGGGTCCGCCGCCTTGGCTCATGGCCGCCTGCAGGAGAAGCTTGCCAGGGGGACCCGTTTGTGATTGCCCTGTAGTTTGATCCGCCGCCCAACTTGACGCTGGGAAAGGGGGGGGATCAGGGCTCCTCTGCTGGCACAGCTGCCGTCGGACAACAACGCCTGTGGGATCTTGTCCACCACGCCATCTTCTGATCAGCGCTCCAGCGGCACATATGCTCCGCTTCTGGTCAGACGAGCAGAACCAACAGAATCGTCAAACTGGCATGACGAGAAGTTATCTCGTGTTCCTGCAACTGGACGGGAAAGGCTGAATCTTGGAGCACTTCCGAGTCCCGAAGGGCAGGAGCCACAGAACCAACACATGGACTGTCAGTGGCATAGAGTTCGCGGTCGGTGTGTCGAATGACTCGCACTTCCGGCAAGCACCCCCTTCTTGCCCTGGCCGCAGCCTTGGCATGTCCGTCCAAGACGTTACGCGCGTGCTCCTTTTTATTATCTGGTGGTTAGATGAAGCGCGAGAGACCGTGAGCTGTGTAATGCTGTCCGTCAGTGTCCACATTTCAGCTTGGCCGCTACTAGCTGATATGTTGGGAGCCCTGTAGCCGCGCGACAAGGTAGCCCCTGCCAGCTTCTGTGCGGCCGTCTTGATAACTCTCCGAACAACTACTTCCGCCCAGGGGGCTTTATCCACAATCCGCCGATTGCTCTTGAGATTTCCAGATTCTGATCCCTTGCATTCTACGCATACAGTAACCTTCATGCGCCTGTGAGAGTGCGCGTCCTTCTCTTTTTCCGTCTTGCTGTCACCATGGTTATTCCGTCCATGTCTAGATCCGACATGTCGTACAGCGATATGGGCCGCTCTATTCTGAAACCGAGGTGGATTTTTGGTTTTGTCGTCGTGCTCGTAACTCTAATCACGCTGTTCACACATACCGCGTCCCACTCGGTCAGCGGCCTGGTCAACTCGATCAGCACTACAGTAAGCAAAGTCCACATCGACTGCAGCTGCCGTCTCCTTACCACAACCCCAGAAACCCTCAGCCTCGACATCCTCTACGCCGTCAAGCAGCAATGGCAAGGCCGGCCTTCACTACCTCATCCCAGCGACAAGCAGCAACCGCGACTTCTGCAAGCTGCTCCTCTCCTCAACCATCCTCGATTACCCCACCCCGGTCTTGATCAACTGGGGCGCACACGAAGAAGCCAACCCTTACAAGCAACATCTTGCCAAAGTCGAGACGCTACTCGCTTACATGAAGAGGCTGAAGCCTATCAGCAAGGAAGATGATCTGGTCCTCATCCTGGACGGTTACGACGTCTGGTTCCAATTGCGACCTGACGTTCTGCTCAAGAGATATTTCGAGATGAATGCGAACATGGACCAGCGAACCATCCAGGCTTTCGGCCAAGACGCTTTCGAGAAGGGCGATCACCGCACTACCGTCATCTTCGGTCCTGACAAGATCTGTTGGCCCATCGACTTCAGTCGCCCTGCATGCTGGGCTGTTCCGCACACTGGTCTCTCCCCGACCGCTTTTGGCCCCGAACCCAACGACTACAGAGAGACACACAACGAGCCCAGGTGGCTGAACTCAGGAACCATCATGGGACCTATCCAGGACATGATTGACGTGTTCCAAGCAACTCTCGACCTGATCCACTACAACCACACTACAGACTCTGATCAATTCTACTTTGCCAATGTCTTTGGTGACCAAGAATTCGCTCGTCTGTCTCTGGATCAAGAGCTTCTCGAAACCCAAGCAAAGGAAAGATACAGAGAGGAATTCCGCAAAGAAGAGGATCCGCCTCGCCAGATTCCCGAGTTTGATGTCGGACAGAGAACCGAGTACCACATTGGTATCGACTACTTCTCAGCTATGTTCCAGACCTTGGCCTTCTACAAACAATTCCTAGCCTGGATCCGTCCAAGTGACTCCTGGGCGACCAAGACAAGCGAAGGCGGCGATGTTACTGCAGAGAGATACACTTTTAAGGTGGCCGAAGACATTTCTTCTTCGCGCTCACCTTTCGCCGCGTTCGAGGCCTCACCACCTGCATCGAATACCTCAGTCGAGTATCCGAAATCGTGGGAGGATGTCAGTCTTTGTGTCAACACTGTCACTGACCTGGCTCCTGTCACTTTGCACTTTACTGGCGAGAAGTCTTTGCGCGAGTTGTGGTGGGACAAGCTTTGGTTCTACCAAGATGGCGAAGAGCTCCGCAAAGCCAGCCTGAGAATGCCCGATAGACCTATCAGCGAGGAGCCCATTGCAGGCAAGACATGGTACAAGATTGAATCCAGTGACCCAGAGGCAGGAAAGGGAGGAGCATGGGCTGACAATGGCGGCTGGCACTCATGGACCAGTCTGTGCAAGACGTACGAGGATCAGATCTTCCCTCGGAAAACGCTCAAGAAGAAGGGACCTCATCATCACCCGTAGAGGTTGTTTTCTTAATGTCGTAAACCTCGTAGAATAATACACCCTCAAAAACAATGAAACAATTCCAAAATGTTTTGATCGATTCGTGCTTCAGGTGAAGGAATGACGTGTCTCCACCACTATGGCCCCTCTTCCGATACTAGGAGTCCGCTACTATCAAGACTGCGGAACGGCGTTCCTATCAAAAGGTGGCTTTTTTTTATTCAGCTGGCAGGCGTTGCAGGGCTTGCAATCATGCATAAATCGGCGAGAACGGGCTTCGAGTAATTTTAGCAGATAGGATGGCGACAACCCTTTTCCAAGGGGGTCCCAACCAGTGGGTTTATGGATCCTTGTTAATTCATTTTTTGGCACAGACGCAGCGGCTCATGCTAACCACTCGGCGCTCGTAGGAAGCGTGGACTTTCGCCCGCGCCGTTTTTGCTAAGTACATTGATCTACTTAGGGAGTCAGTCTCGCACATGCGCGCGAAACACAAGTGTTCCTGCCCTCTCTTACGACAAGATCACCCTTCAGGGGTTCTACTATTTTTCCGTCCTTTGCTTACAATTTCCATTCTTTTGCCCTATCTCGGTTGGTCTTTTGTTTTCGCACTTTCAGTCTTTTCGCAACGTCCGCCGACACGATGCCGGTTCAAGGTGTCATGAATAAGCTCAAGCAAGGCCTATGGCAAGGCGATGGGCCGAATTATGAACGAGTTGACCTCGAGGACGGTTTTGAGAAAGAGCACACCAAGCGATCTCCACGACATGCCAAACCGGTCATCGTGATCCTTGGATTCCTTCTCGCCATATTCCTGTTCATGTCTTCGGTACGTGCTTTCGCATCATTCTCGCTTTTCCGCCAGCCAAATCTAACAACACAGGGTGGTCATGGCTCTGCCAAATCTACAGTTTCCACCAAAGTGGAATTGTTGCCTCCAGCCTACCTGCGAATGGTCTATCCAGTGAGGCACGCAGATGCCAACTACTGCAAAACTATTCTTAGTAGCGCCATCCTGAATTATCCGGAACCAATGTTGATAGGATTTGCGGGCAGTAAGCAGGAGGAAGAAGATGCTGACTCCACTGTGGACTTGGCCCAACGCGTCTCTCGCAAGACCAGCATCCTTGGCATCGACAAGCACCTCAGGAACATCTCGACAACTCGCGATGAGGATCTGGTAATCATAGCCGATGGTCTGAACACCTGGTTCCAATTGCGCCCTCAGACACTCCTCGATCGGTACTTTGAATCCAACAGGAACGCAGACGAGCGAATCAGAAAGGAGTTCGGAGTGACTGCCGACGTCTTGAGTATCCGTCAAAAGATTATTTTCGGTGCTCAGAGAGACTGCTCGCCATGGAATCCAGAAGATCCAGCTTGTGCTGCAGTGCCAGAGTCGACACTGCCAAGGGACATTTACGGACCTCAGACTGATGCTGAAGTCGGCGAGAAGAAGGATGCTTTCACCAAGCACCGTCCTCGATACATAAACTCAGGCTTTGCTATGGGCCCCGTCAAGGAAATGCGTAAGCTATACGCCGAGGCCGCAAAGCGCGTCCTGGGTGACCAACACCTCCAAGAAGAAGGCAAGGTTCTTGGTCAGCTTTTTGCCGAACAGGAAATGGCTCGCGAGTCCTATAAGACGCCCCCTGCTTCAGCTCTCGCACGTCTTGGATCGTGGCTCTCATCTCTCTGGGAAAACGCCAGCGCAGTCAAGGATAGACAGGCACAGCAACTGAGAGAGACTGATCTCTCGCGAGAGTTTGGTATCGGTCTGGACTACGCCAGCGGTCTTGCCTTTGAGGCTGCCCATGCCGACGGTGACATGGAATTCGTCAAGTTTGGCGATGTAGAATCAGTGCATGCAGCCAACGCTAAGCACGGTATCAGCGACAGCCGCATCAGCCAGATTGGGCCTGATATCGGTGCATCTTTGCCCCCCTTCTGGACCTACAGCCACGAGCTCCTTCCCTCTCGCAACACATCATGGACCAATGTTTCGCTTCTCACCAATGCCTGGACTGGCGTCACACCGGCTGTCATTCAACACGACATGCGCCACTACGCCACCAGCGGCTCCCTGCGCGAAACGTGGTGGTCCAATATCTGGTACCAAAAGTACGCTCGCAAGATGTTCGACGTGCACATTCAAATTCCCATTGGTGCCGTCGCCGTCTCTGGCTATGATGCTGCATCTCGCCGTCAATGGTGGGGTATCGAAGATTGGAAGGGTGGTGCAAGAAACGAGACCAAGTTCTGGTGGAGATATGAAGATGTGTGCGGAGGTACCGAGACTGAAGTCTTCAGAGACAGCAAGGGTCCGTGGTACTTGCCATCTAACCACTAGACATGTTCTACTGTGCTATCTATTCGCTTCTATAATGTCAAAATCTATATATTGATCTTTTCTATTACTCCTTTGCCGAATGTTGCCTGTGTTTGCGGATATCCAGACCGAATTGGGCACGAGGAACAGATGTCACAAATTATAAGACATGAATCGTCGACTATCAAGATCACCTCGAGAACCAAATCATGAATCCAGTGTCACTCTTGCAGCAGAGATCGAAGTGGCGCTCACGTATCCGTTCAGAAAGCATCTAGTAAGTTACGAGCCTTGCGAAGGATGCAGAGTAGATCTACCAGATGAGCGGTGCAATATTCTAGGTGGTACCCTCCCCGGCGATGATCGTGAGAAATGCAAAAGCCATCGTGAATCAATGAAGCTCTTCATCGTTTGACAGAAGCGACGGCGGGGGACAAATGACCGCCCCTTGCACGTGGCATCGAGAGTTCAGAATGGGGAAACTATATTCACGTGCCTCAACCCTCACATGTAAAATCAGGAGTCTCAATGATTTCAAATTTCCATATACGTTAACATTTCGTGATATGCTGAACGACTACCAATCTTGCGTCTTGTAAGAGGGAGCCACCGGACTGCTGCCATACCATTGAGTAGACGCTGTAGACGTCGAGTCAAGCTCGTAGGGCTGTGTGATCAATCGCAGTCTTCTGTTGTCCGGTAGCTCAGCTCGGTGCTCAGCTCGATGATCAGCTGGCAATTCCACCCGGCATCCTTCGGGTAGTTCCAGAATTCGTCCATCTGGCAGTTCCACTCGTAATGTGCCTGGCATCTCGACCAAAGCGTTTTCCGGAACCTCTGTGTGTGAAGGCGTATCCGGAGCCTCGCTCCACGGCTCGATTGGCGAAGTAGGCGACTGTAGTTCGATGTCCTGGGGCTCCGCACGTTCGTCTTTGGGGCTCGAAGGCACATGCTTCGAGTCATCGTCGTCGCCTCGATGAACGTAACTCTGCTCTCTCCTCATTCGTCGATAGTAATGCACTTCCCAGATCTCGCACAAGAAGAGGAGGACGTGAAATACTCCCAATACCAAGCAAAAGCACCATGGGGTCTGAAGAGCATCTAGTCCGTCCTCTAAGAAACCGCCATACCAGCCTGGAATGTATTGTCCGTTGAAGGCCAAATTTAAGGACATCAGCAGACCACTGATGAGGTCGCCAGATAGCAACCATCCGGGATTGGCGAAAAACTTCCTTCGTAGGAGGAAAAGTAGCGCGAGAGCGGTAGCATTGGTAATGAAAGATAGAAGTGGCTGTTGCTGACAGTGAGTATGACTTGCCATATTTCCGCATTCGCAGTAAAGGAGAAACAAATCACTTACAGCCACGATGAAAAGTATTGTACCAAGATACAGAGTATGAACGTGCTTATACTCAGCATAGGTGTGATACACGATGCCAAATACAATCAAGGCTGTGACAGAGGAGACGATGGACAACCAGCGGAGAGCAGATCTCAGATACCAGTATTTCGTGTAGCCATTCAGAATGCATTGCCATCTGGCACTCCCTTTGCCGTATGACTCGGGCGTATCCATGCTGTAAGAATCCAATGCCCCTTCGTATATGTCGTGTTTTCGTATCCACTTCTAGTGACTGACTGACAAAGGTATGAGGAAGGAAGACGAGAGGATCTCCTTGGGCGAAAATAGAATCATTGGGACCGTGTTTGACCCGGGAATCGTTTCTGCGGCTTGAAGAGCCGTTCGAAAGTTGCATGGGAGCGGGGACAATCCTCGTGTTTTTCAGGAAGGAGAGAGGGAGATCGCAGCCGAAGGATTTAGCGCCGAATTCAACCACAACTTATCTACCTTTAAATCTTGAACTGACGAAGACATGTAGCGTGCCAACAAGCATACTCACTGACGCACTTGCAAGCTTCAATGTTTCCGTAATCCCAGGGGCATTCGTTCGGCTTTCCTGGTTCAACCATTCAGAAAGCTCTCGCTGCCTGAAAACGCAACCTTGATGGGCATGCTTTGTGTTATCTCGAGATCACGCAATCACTTCGGTGCCTGCCACTCTTCACGCACATGTCTAGTAAATGGGAAGTCAAGTTCCCTGGTCAGCATCAAAAGAAGTAAAATTCCTAGTCCCGGCATCAACTCTTCCAAATCTACTGGGGTATACGATAAAACAGCTCTTTCGGACGGGCCAAGCGTTCGCCATACTCAAAATCCACTTGCAAACTTCTTCTTCAGCTTCTCATACTTCTCGATACTTCCGACACTCTTGTGTACAACACTGATGGCGTACTGGAAGTCCTCCTGGGCGACCTTGCTGTCTCCGCGCTTCAAGCAGTGCTGCCCAGCTTGTCGCAAAAGTGATTCGAGATCAGCACCAGAGTAGCCATTGCACTTCTCGTTGCGAGCAATCTCTTCGATACCGACCGGCCATACACCTGCTCTACCTTCCTTGGATCTTGACTTGATCAGAGCCTTCAAGATCTCGACACGCTCCTCCATGCCAGGCAGACCAACGTAGATCTTGGTTTCAAGACGACCGGGGCGCATCATGGCCTCATCGATGATATCGGGTCTGTTTGTCGCAGCGATAACGTAGATGCCCGCGCGATGAGACAGACCGTCAAGCTCTGTGAGTAAGGTGTTGACAACACGTGCAGAAGCTTCAGAAAGCGAGTCGTCTCGACGAGGCACAAGTGCATCGAGTTCGTCAAAGAAGATGACACAAGGTGCCGATGAGCGAGCGCGGTTGAAGAGTGTACGCACTGCGCGTTCTGATTCTCCGACGTACTTGTTGAGTAGTTCTGGACCCTTGACACTGATGAAATTGGCCTTGGACTCGGCTGCGACTGCTTTGGCGAGCAATGTCTTACCACAACCGGGGGGACCCCAGAGTAAGACACCAGTAGGCGCAGAAATACCAACGGCAGCATACAAGTCGGGCGATTTGATGGGCTCCACGATAGCAGTTTGAAGCTCTTCTCTGACACTGGTGAGTGCACCGATGTCATCCCAGGTAGTGTCTGGTATCGTTGCGAAGCCCTCACGCTTGGAGGACGGGGTGATGGTGGGTAGGACAGTCAAAAAAGCTTCCATAGGGATGATGGTCGTCTCGAAGCCCTCTGGCTCTTCCATGTCTGTGTTTCTTGCACGAATGACAAGACGATCCCATAGTTCGTCAACATTGGGTTCCTGGTTGTCGTCAAGCTCCATTCCGTCAGTGTCTGCCTCGACCTGCCTGATCAAGGCATCTTGATAACGGTCCATAGCCCAAGTAGCAGCCTTGCCAACAAGATCTCTCAGATCAGCACCCACGAAACCAGGAGTCATCTTTGCAAGTTTAGGGAAGTCGACATCGTCGGAGATGGGAGTGTTTCTCGTCTGCGTACGCAGAATCTTTTCTCTCATAGGCTCGTTAGGAACACCCATGTTGATTTCGGTATCAAAGCGACCACCTCGTCGCAAAGCAGAATCAATGGTATCGGGTCTGTTGGTAGCGGCGAGCACGATCACAGGCTTGCCGTTGTTCTCTTTATTATCCAGAGCCAAGCTGTCCATGCTGATCAGAAGCTGGGCGACAATACGCTTCTCCATCTGACTTTGCGAGCTCTCACGTTTCGGAGCAATGACATCGATCTCGTCGATGAAGATCAGACACGGAGCGTGTTTACGAGCTTCGTCGAAACGATCGCGGATTTGTTTCTCGGATTCTCCTGACATTCCTGACACGACAGATGGACCGGCAATCTCGATGAAAGGAACACCGAGCTTAGCAGCACTTGCTCTTGCCAGCATAGATTTACCACATCCGGGAGGACCATGGAGAAGGATACCACGAGGCAGAGGAACGTTGAGATCGGCATAGCGTTGAGGACGAAGTAGAGGCAGAGTCAGAAGGTTCATGAGCTGGCGTTTGACATCGTTGACACCACCCAAGTCCTCGAGAGCGATGCCAGTGGGCGGAGAACGGTCGATTTCGTCGTTCTTGTCACGCTTCAGGCGCTTCTTGACAGGTTCTCCGTTGGGTTCCCTCTTTTTTAGTTCTGTTGCAGAGCCGTTGACTGCCGGGGTGCCAGGAGCGGTAGCCGGAGTGGCAATCTTCCAGGAGCCAGTAATGCTCTTATTCATGATGTTTGGAACGTCTTCTGTGAAAGCGAGCTTCTCGGCCTCGGCCTCTTCGTCTTCTTGAGCGTCATCTTGGAGAGTGTCAAGGATGCGCTCGAGGCTGTCTTCGAGAGATCGCTTCGGTTTGCGTTTGAGACTGGAGTTGGAGCGCTGAATGGCTTGATATAGACTGCGCACGTCAGGTCTGTTGGTAGGATCCTGAAGCAGATGAGTCACGGCCTGATAGACTTCATTGTCAAGGCCCTGACGCAGGCGGGAGGAGGGCCGTCCGGGCATGGTAGGATGGGTTGTGTGTGTGTGAAGCGGTAGGTGATTTGGTCAGTCGATGGACTTTTTTTCAGGGACAGATGTGGGGCTGCTGTCGCCGGTCGAAGCACCCAAGTGTTTTGGTTCTCTCGGTCGGCTTTTCAACATGGGATTCGTCTCTATGCATCGCCAGATTGACTCACATGGCTCAGTCATACACGCAATGTGCTGCACGAGACAACCCATCTGTCCACAATCTGGTCAACCCAACAGCACAGGCAGCAACATTATCTCACAAAAAAGGAAAGAGCCTCGTGATGGCCGAGGCTTTTCCGAATGACATCAATATTCACATGCCAATCCACCGTCTGCCTTCGAGGGGCACGCGCTGCTGTACACACAACTGTGCCCAACCTTGCATATCTCTCTCACCATGGGTAACTCATCGAGTACGCCCAAGATATCCGCCCAGGATAGGTTAGCCACCATGTCCTTGTCCGCCGCTGCCACCACCCTTCTGACTCGCACCCAAGGGCCATCCTTGACATGAAGAACCAGCGCGATAAGCTGCACCAGTACCAGAAGCGCATCACCATCATCACCAACCGAGAGAAAGAGATAGCCAAGGAGTGCTTGCGGAACGGCGACAAAAGACGCGCTCTGCTCGCCCTCAGGAAGAAGAAGTACCAGGAGTCATTACTCGTCAAAACAGATCAGCAATTGGCTCAGCTCGAGACCCTTACGAGCGACGTCGAATTCGCCCTCGTCCAGAAAGATGTCGTCTTTGGCTTGCAGCAAGGCACAAAGGTGCTGAAAGAGATACACAAGGAGATGGGCGGCTTGGAACGCGTTGAGCTCATCCTGGGCGAGAACGAAGAGGCCCAGGCGTACCAGAACGTACGTTGTTTTCTTGTCCAGACTCGCGGATATCCACTGACAATCTGACAGGAGATCAACGAGATGCTTGGAACAAGAATGACCAACCAAGAGGAGGACGAAGTCGAGGATGAGCTCGAGGCTCTAGCAGCCGAAGCGAACAGACTGAGGATGCCGAGCACCGTACAAGAGGGAGTCATCGCGCCCATGCCCAACGTGCCTGTAGACGCACCCAAAGAAACGGCAAAGGAAAGAGCGGCGAGGCGAGCAAGAGAACGAGAGGTTGACAACGGTGCGGAACCTATACTTGCATGAGACACGCGACATGATTGGACGGTGGTGTTCTTTGGTTTTGTGGATGGTGGTGTTCTTGTTCAATACCCATGACTCTGATATTATGTATATACACGCGCCCCTGAGATCCGTCTAGTCCACTTGGTTGCAATTGTTGCCCGAGCCTCGTGTCTACCTACCTACCTACCTAGGTAACCATGCATGACGCACGGGCTACAATGGCAATGACATGAATGGGCAGCGCGGATTTGAGAACTCATCAGCAAAATCGCAAACATGTGAAGAAACAATCAATCGCTCACCAAAACACCACCAGCATCATGTCGCACTGTCACGACGAACACGATGGTCATGGCCACGACCACAGCCATGCCCACGGCGCCCACGATCACTCGGACGACATCACACCAGCTCTGCAGAACAGCCTCTACCGACAGATCGACTTTGACGCCATCAACACACTGAACGAGAGCGCCTCGGGCTCTGGAAGTGAAGTTTGCAAGAAGACCTGGGATGAGCGGCTGAACCCCGAGCCCGACCTCTGCAGCGATGCCGACGAACAATTGCTGATGCACATCCCGTACGCCGCCCATCCATCCACTCTGCGACCAGTTTATTGACAAGTCGACCAACAAAAGCTTCACCGCCCAGATCCGTCTCCGTTCCATCATGATCCGCACATCGACATCCGACTCGGCGCCTCTGACCCTCAAGCTCTTCATCAACCGCGACGACCTCGATTTCAGCACCGCCTCAGAGGTTCACCCAACCCAAACCCTGTCACTATCACAGACCAACGATATCCAAGAAGTCCCCGTCAAGCGCGCTCTGTTCAACACGGTGCGCTCGTTGGACCTGTTCTTTGAGGACAACTGGGGACGAGGCGATGAGGACGAGACTCGCATTTCGTACTTGGGCTTCAAGGGTGAGTGGATGGCTCTGAACCGTGAGCCCATCAACTTCGTCTACGAGGCTGCTGCCAATCCTAGTGATCACAAGATGGTCTCTGGCGTCAGAGGTGAACTGGAAAGTCGTTTGGGAGGTGCAGGTGGCCGGGGCAATGGCTTGTAATCACTTTGTCAACCAGAAGAGTGGAAAGAAGCAAGGCCTATGATACAATAATGCACCGCCATCAAGGCTGCTACTTGCGTATCTGGTAATACGTAGGTGCGTACTCTGTCAGCCAGCTCTTCTCTATCTTTGTTATGTCTCTGATGAACGTTTTCTCTCCAGTCTGCATGACTTCGTGGAAGATGACCCAGTCCGCCTTTCGGTTCTGTCCATCTTGTTAGTGCTGTCTTTTTGGACTACAGGACGGGGAGTACTCACAAACATGAGAGAGCTGGGATGCGCATGCAGTGTCATGCTACCATCCACTGTCTGGAACGTGCCATCTGCCTGCATCCTAGCCGCATGCACAAAGTAGCCTGCTGTTAGACAGCGTCGTATTTGCTCTGCTTTGTCCGGACCTCCAACTGTCAAGACGCCTTTGGAGCTCAACGACTCTTCCACGTTGATGCCAAATCGCTCCATGTATCGCTTGAGCTGATTTCGTACACTGACAGCTCTTGTCATGCTTTTGAAGTTGAGGTGATGATTGCGACACCACGAAGCGTCCTTGTTGCCCTTGGTGATAAACGTTTGGTACACGTTGAGCATTGTGAGATGGTCGCCTTCTGCAACTGCAAACTTCCATCTCGATGTCTCCATGGCCTTTTTCTCTCCCTCGTGTTGAAACCATACTGCGCCTTGTAGCGTTGTCATAGCGGCGATCGTCAATATCTCGCTCAGACATCCAAAGTCTGGAGCAGACAGCAGCACCTTTGCCATCATGGGCTCTACAGCCAGTTCTGCCATACGAACGCCCAATGGTTTCGTTAGCCTCGCGTAGTCGTCCAGTGCTCCTAGAGAATATAGCATCTCAAGTGCTCTGATGACTAGCTCTGATGGTGGTGGTGTCAAGTACGGGAAGCGGACTATGTTATCAATTCCTAGACATTTGAGTTGTAGGATGACCGGTGCCAGATTGCTCCTCTGGATCTCGGGAACAGACGCATCTTCTAGAGAATCATAGGTAGCTTCGGTGTACAGTCGATAACATTTCCCAGACTTGGTTCGACCAGCTCGACCGGCCCTCTGAGTCGCTGCAGCTTTGGATACCGCAGTAGCTGTCAGAGTCTCGATACCAGTACTAGGATTGAATGCTCGTAGTTTGACGAACCCAGAGTCGATGACGAAAACGATGCCAGGGATAGTCACCGACGCTTCGGCAATGTTTGTAGCCACAATGACCTTTCGGGTATTCTCCGCAGCAGGCTCAAAGACGTACATCTGCTGTTCGGTTGAGAGGCCAGCATATAGTGGTAGTGGCTGGAGTGCTTGTGATCCCGGGGGTAAGGAGGGTAAGCGGTCAGCAATCATGGACATGCATGTGTCGATTTCCTCGCGGCCGGTGAGGAAGACCAGTATGTCGCCCTCGCCTTCCTGTGTGTGGATGTCGAAGACAGTCTGCACAGATCGCTCAACGTAATCCTCGGCAGGAGCTGTCAAGTAATGTATGTCGACTGGGAACATTCTGCCTTCGAGATTGACAATGCGACCGACGTCACCAGGTTCGTCGACCTTTGTCGAGTTGTCGGAATCGTTCTCATCACGAACAAAGAAACTCAGAAAGTCTTCGGCTTGAAGAGTTGCACTGCTGACAACTATTCTCAAGTCTGGTCTGCGTTTCCTGATCTTCTTCAAGACTCCCAGTAGGATGTCAGAACTCAGAGAGCGTTCATGAGCCTCGTCTACCATGACGACCGAATAGCGCGATAACAATGGATCCACGAGTGCTTCTCTAAGTAGAAGACCATCCGTCAGGAACTTGATTTTTGTGGCTGCCGAAGTCACATCTTCGAATCTGATTGAATATTCAACCTGTGTTTATCAGCCTTGTCGAAACTGTGTATTTGCGAAAGATTGATGGTACCTCTTGACCAAGGTTACACCTCATCTCCTCAGCTACTCTTGCAGCCACTGTAGTTGCAGCAACCCTACGGGGCTAATTTTCCTGTGAGTCGGTGTCATGGTGGATGTTTGCAAATTCTAAGTACTCACCCACCTGAGTTACAGCAACCATCTTCCCTTGATCACACCATCCTGCCTGATGTAGAAACTGAGGGATCTGGGTGGTTTTACCGCTTCCTGTCTGGCCGACGACAATGACAACAGGATATGTCTCTATCAGGTAGAGAATACTTTTGCGATGGCGGGCGATTGGCAGTAAGGAGGAAGGTTTGTGTAGTGCAGGAATGAATTCCCGAGACAGATCGAAGTCGGCCATGATGATTTACCATGATAATTCCAAAGATTCGTTGTATGCCGATAGTGTTGTATCGATGGATGACATGATGCTTCAGTTTCTGGGCGTGTTGGTCGGTGCTGGTCTGAGACAGGGTCCACAAGCTCTCGCTGCCCCTCGGCTTAGCAGCCTAAACATCTTGACGTCTGTCACACAACATCAACATCACAACATGTCCGAAGGCTCACATTCAGAGAAGCCCGTAAGTGTGCTACGTATATCTCGTCTGCGTAGACTAAGGCGACCGGCTATCAGAAAACGGGCGGCGAATCGCCAACAACAGCACGCGAACTCGACTTTGACGATGACGACCACCACGAAAGCAGCCCTCTCAAGAGTCCCACTCCTAAGCAGGTCAGCTTCGTCGAGGTCCAAGACGAAGATGCTCCGACCAAGCCTGCTCGTCCCTTGAGCCCTCAGGCCCAGAGTGAGAAGACGCTCAAGGAGGCCTTTCCCACAATCGACTCCAAGGTCATCAGAGCTGTTTTGGTCGCCAGCGGTGGAAGCGTCGAGCCTGCATTCAATGCTCTGTTAGGTACGTCATAGACAATCGGTTCAAGAGCTATGGCTGATTGCTGGCAGCCATGTCCGACCCAGACTTCAAGCCTGAGGAAGCTCCACCACCGCGCCCTCCAAGGCCTACCCAGGCGCAGCGCCAGCTCGATGCCGACGAGCAGTACGCCCGCCAACTTGCCCAGCACTTTCAGACAGAGTCGCGTCCTCAGCGCACCAGACGAGACGATGATGATCGCGGCCCGCCGCTTCCTACTCGTCCGAGGCAGCAGCGTCCGGGCGGTGCAGAGGAAGACAGAGAATACAACTTCTTCGATGGTACTGATTGCTCCTTCTTGGACAAACGACGGAATATTGGCTGACATGCTTGCAGATGAACTTCCCCAGATCAAGGAGAATGTCCGCAAAGGTTTCTTGGAAACACAAACAAAGGTCAACAGGTGGATCACCGACTTCAGAAAGAAGCTGGACGGAGATGACAACGACGACCCGTATGAGGGTCCTACCAGGCAGGACAGCCCTCCTCGCAGACAAAATTACGGCCCTTCGCAGTCGGAACAGCTCTATGGCATTCGCAGATCAGCCGATGTGAGCAGGAAGAGCACCGACAAGGATCGCTACGACCTGGACAACCGCGTTCTAGACGATGACTTTACTGCCCTGGAGCTTCGTGACGACGAAGGTATGTCAAAAGAACTCGATTCGACAGGAACACATGCGCTGACTTTACAACTAGCTCAACCTCGTGCTTCGTCTTCGCGCAATCGTCCTCTGGCCAACCCTGATCTCTACAAGCCTAACGTCGCTCCTCCCCAGTCCGGTCCAGTCGATGAAGTGGATGCCATAGACCGAAGGAACCAACGCCAGCCATCTCCTGGTGCTGCCTCCAAGTCAGCCAAATGGCAGCCCCTCACCTCGATCGCGCCTAATCCCGAGTCGGAAGAGAACGACCCTTTCAGCTTGGGCGACAGTGATGACGAGAAGGAGACGAAGACAAAGGATATCAGAGAGTCTGACACTGCGCGTCTGAAAGAGGCTGCTCGTAAGAGTGTGACAGCTGAATCTGCAGATGCTCCTCCTAAGGGTCTTCAACCTAGCGAGAGATCTGGAAGCAGCGACGTGAGAGACAAGGATGCTGAGGCTCTGTTGAAGGGCAAGAAGCCTGCTTAAGGAACCTGTCTGTCGCAAATCCTTACGCAAACATTCTCTGGTGTCTCATACATACATCAACCAAGACGGGAGTAACACAATCGTTCTGTAGTCCCAATTTTCTCGTCCTCCCATTGTGCTCTAGACTATCGAATTCATAAGGTCTATGATTCACGATATTCTCCGGTATGGCGTAAATTTGCGTGATTCCATCCAAGTCCCGATTGCTTCTATTACGACCCTGTCCTTGTTTTCCAGCCGTATGTGCTTGTCCATGTCCTTCTGTGAGCCATCCCTGGATGATTGGTCTCAGTCATGACAGGCTGGTGTATCATTGACCGGAGTATGAGTATCGTCACTGCTGTTGTAGCCGTCGTTGATCCGGTCTCTGCGTTACGCCAGTACCTTCCCTTTTGAGCTAGCCGACCATCAATCGACCTTTGTCAACACTTCGGGCAGCTATCTGAGACGCGCTTTCATACATATATGTGCTGCCCTGACATCTTTCTATCTAAATCTGATTTTAACATCAGACTCTGACAATGATTTCCGTGCTTCCGATCTTGCTGCTTGCCTCCTCAGCTGCAGGCCGAGACATAACTTTTCCGCCTGTAGCAGGATTCCAATTTCCCTTGACGCAAGGCTCAGGCATTGAAGACACAGATATTACTGGAGCCAAATTTGCAGGACTAACCACCTTCGCCAACCTTCCTTACGTTCACTGTCTTGACAAGGCCGGGCCCGAGAAGTACGACATTGCTATCCTGGGTGCTCCGTTTGATACTGGCGTGACTGCAAGGCCAGGTGCTAGATTTGGGCCCAATGGTATCAGAGCAGGATCGCGTCGCATACACCCGGACTTTTCTTGGAGCATCTACAATGGCAGAAATCTGTTCAAGGTAACAACGGAGCTTCATCAGGCACTGGCTCGCATCGCTGAGCTGACTTGGATACTAGGAATGGGCTACGATTGTTGACTGCGGAGATGCTCCTCTTACCGTGTTGGATAATACAGTGGCCTTGAAACAGCTTGATGCAGCACACAGGATCATCTCGAACCGTTCTACTAACTCGACCGACTACGCTGTGCCGAGACTTGTCACACTGGGTGGTGATCACACCACGACACTCTCTGCTTTGAGGTCCACGTTCAAGCATTGGGGACCTGTCAGCGTCATACACTTCGACAGGTAGGAGTAATGTTCTGACAAGAGATGTCGTGGAGCTAACATGAGTTAAGTCATATTGATACGTGGGACCCGGAGGTGCTTGGAGGCGGAGTATCGCATTACGCGGGAGTCAACCACGGCACGTTCCTCCACATTGCGCACGAAGAAGGGCTGGTCAGAAACACATCGATCCACGCAGGAATCCGGGCTCCGGTTGCCAACAAGAAGCATGACCTTAAGAACGATCGCAAGTGTGGATTCGAGATGATGACAGCCAGAGATATCGATAGACTCGCAGCGCAGGGAGTGATGGAAAAGCTCAAGCGCCGCGTTGCCGGCACAAAGGTCTACATCAGTGTTGACATCGATGTTCTTGATCCTGCATTCGCACCAGCGACTGGTACGGCAGAAGTTGGAGGTTGGACCACGCGAGAATTATTGACCATTCTTGATGGATTGAGCGGGCTGGATATTGTCGGAGGAGATGTTGTAGAAGTGGCACCGATCTACGACAACGCTGGAGAGCCGACTACACTGGCGGCGGCAGAGGTGGTCATGTCCTTGCTGCAATTGATGGTGGACCAGCCTGTCAAGGCAGGATAGACATGCAATCTGGTGGTGATGGTCTGGTACAAGGCGGTGTGGAGGCGGGAGCTTGCAAGCACAGGCCCAGCCATCCGCCTCGGAACGAAGTCTCAGTCCAAAAAAGTTGGGCCCTGTTTGCTGCTGCCTGTACTTTTTTCTGCAATCCATACAAGACCACAAAACCAATCATGACTCCTCCACGCAAGAAGCAGAGAATGTCTCTGGACGCTGCAGAAGTCAAGGCCGCCGTCGAAAGCGCTACCGAGGCCGCCGTCGAGACCAACGCTGCCACCAAAGTCGTCTCGGACAAGGAAAGCGAAGTCGAGGCCGCTGCTCAGCGCCGCTCGCTCTTCGTTCGTTCGCTGCCCGAGTCTGCCACCTCCGAGTCTCTGACCGAGCTTTTCTCCACCTCCTTCCCCATCAAGCACGCCGTCGCCGTCACCGACAAGGAATCAAAGAAGTGCAAGGGCTATGGTTTCGTCACTTTCGCCGACGCCGAGGACTGCCAGAAGGCAAAGGAAGAGTTCAACGGCTTCGCTGTCGATGGCAAGAAGTTGCGCTGCGAGGTTGCAGAACCCAGACACCGTGAGAAGGGCGCTGCTGCTGTTCCCTCGGCCGGCGAGAAGTTTAGAGAGGGTCAGGCCAAGGAGCGCGCGTCCGCCCAAGTCCCCAGACTTATCGTTCGAAACCTTCCCTGGAGCATCAAGTACCCGGATCAACTCGCAAAGCTCTTCCAGAGCTACGGAAAGGTCAAGCACACCGTCCTCCCCAAGGGCAAGACTGGCCTGCTCCGTGGTTTCGGTTTCGTCATCATGCGTGGCAGACCCAACGCTGAGAAGGCCATCGAGGGAGTCAACGGAAAGGAGATCGATGGACGACAACTGGCTGTTGATTGGGCCGTCGACAAGGAGACCTGGGACAACACTCCTCAAGAGGAGACAAAAGAGAAGGACACAACCAACGAAGACGCCGCCGAAGACGATGCAATCGATGGCGCCAGCGAGCACATTATGGATGAGGATGACGATGAGTCTGGCTCTGAAGATGGAGACGAGGGCGACGACATCGACGTCATGGATGATGAGGATGAGGAGGACATGAAGCCAAGAACGGAGGACAATTCGTCCACCCTTTTCATCCGCAACCTGCCTTTCTCATGCACTGACGAGGATCTCGAGGACCACTTTACACAATTCGGCTCAGTTCGCTACGCAAGAATCGTCGTTGACCAAGAGACCGAGCGACCCAGAGGTACTGGTTTCGTCTGCTTTTACGAAGTCGACGATGCCGACAATGTTCTCAAGAATGCCCCTAGACACCAGCCTCCTCGTCCGAACGACCCCAAGGCCAAGGACGGCTCTATACAGATGACCCACTCGGTCTTGCAGAACGAAGACGCCGATCCTACTGGAAAGTTCACCCTGGATGGTCGCGTTCTGCAGGTATCCCGTGCCGTCAACAAGAACGAGGCCAACCGTCTGACTGAGGAGGGTGCTGCCAACCGTTTCAAGCGTGACACAGACAGAAGACGCCTATACTTGCTGTCCGAGGGTACCATCCCTTCAAACTCCCCCTTGTACGAGCAGCTTCCTCCTTCGGAAAGAACCATGAGAGAAGCCAGTGCCAAGCAGAGAAAAACTCTCATCGAGAGTAACCCTTCTTTGCACATGAGTCTAACCCGTCTTTCCGTCCGCAATCTACCCAGAACCATCACATCCAAAGACTTGAAGCAACTCGCTGTAAAAGGTGTTGTCGGCTTCGCAACTGATGTCAAAGAGGGCAAGCGCCAGAAGCTCAACAGAGAGGAGCTCAACAGAGGTGGCGAAGAGGATGCAAAGGCCGAAGCCGATCGCAAGAAACGTGCCAAGGGTATTGTCAAGCAAGCAAAGATTGTCTTCGAAGGTCGCGAGGGTGCCAAGGTAGAGGAGAAGAGTGGAGCAGGACGCAGTCGTGGATACGGTTTCATCGAGTACTACACACATCGTTCAGCGCTGATGGGTCTGCGCTGGTTGAACGGTCACTCCATCGACTACCAAGCAACAGAACAGAAGGGCAAGGGCAAGATGTCGCAAGAGATGATTGCCGATCGCAAGAAGCGACTGATTGTCGAGTTCGCTATCGAGAATGCCCAAGTCGTCAAGCGAAGAAAGGAGATGGAGGAGAAGGCTCGCGAGCGCTCATACCATGCCACCGCACCCACTGCTGATGGTAAGAGACAGCCGTCAGCTCGTGACACCAAGTTTGGCGGCAAAGGAGGCAAGTTCGATCGCAAGCGCAAGCGAGACGGAAAGGACGAGGCTCCTGTTGATGAGGAGAAGGACAAGAAGGCTCCTGCCGATGAAAAATTGGCGAAGCGTCAGCAAATCATCCAGAAGAAGCGCATGGCTCGCCGTGCTCGCAAGCAGGGAGGTGCCTAAGGAAGTGTCGATGTTCATACCCGTCGACACGGCATGAAGCATGTGCGACCCCTGTGTCTTTGACTCTGTCGCAGCTGGACATGCGGATCCATGCTGGACGCTCGGTCAGAAGAGCAGTCTGTCATACATGATATTCGAGTGTTGTTGACTGGACGAAGTGGCAGTGGGACAAAATACAGCATTGGCGTTGATTGAGTGAAGCCGATAAGATGTCAACCGGCCAACATTTTTCGTACAATTTCCTTTCTTATTGTAATCCAAAACGAGCTTTCTTCAAATACAATCTATCTTGCTCATTATTGTGTATTCGCAAGGTATTTACGAATGTCGAGTCGCAAGTGAGTAGGGCCAAATGGTCATACAAGCATTGCAACACAACTTCCATCGAAATGCAAGTAACCAGATTGTTGAGCAAGGCCCAGACAGGTTGGATCCTGATACTCAACCAGGTTCACAGACCACAGATTGATGCGCAAGAAAAAAAGAACCAGGTTTTGGTTGTGGATCCAGCTCTGGCCTTTGTGTCACCATCGGGCCACCACTACCGTCGGTAGTCGGTCCATCGTCACGGATCTTTGTGCATCTCGAAGCCTCGAATGTCTTTTCTGCCACTCACTCATGTGCGTCGTACGCGTGTTGAAATCGTGTAAAGGCATCTCCCTTGCTTTAACGCTAATGGATTCGACAGATCGAGTTTATCTTCCCAATGAGGAAGTGTATACAGCATACGGAGAGTGCAGGAACGATACCTTCTCACAGGCTCCACGTTTCAGCAAACATCTGCCATTGGACCTCTGTGTACCGATAGCTTCTTTCTTGTTGATGATTTTTAACTCGTCACTCTTTGGAGAGCTTTTGTTTCCTATTGTCAGCCGTCGACCCTGCATATTCCATGTCGATAGCCTTTGCGACTCCCGTCTGTCATGAAATCATTGGTATACCGTATATCGATAGCTTCGCTATCAGCTGCAAGTCATTACTCAATTGACGTGCATGATCTCTGTTGCTTGTGTTCAGATTGTCCAGTTCGTCATTTTTTGTAATGACAGGTCGTTCACATGCTTCTACATCATGGCATATCGATGGCCGATCTAACGAGAAGAAGCATGGTGGTTGAGTGAATAATAATAGAGCTTGGAGGCCTTGAGCGAGGAGCAAAAGGCTGCTCGAGGTATATAATGCCAAAGAGCCTCGACTCTTTGACTACGTCTATCAAGTCTCTGCCTCTTCTATCGAACACCAAGATCAGCACTTGTTTACCCAGACTTCCCATATTGTGACATCCGGCTCGACAATCACAACATCAGCTTTGGAAACCAAGAATAATCCCGCAAGACCACAGCAATTCCATCTACATCTGCACACGTACTACCATCTGTTCTTCACTCAAACCCTCCAGGTAAGCCATCTACTCTATGAAAATCCTTCCAAAGCACATACTGACTCGAGGGATAGTAACATCCAACAATGTGCCAATACGAGAACATCCACTACGGCTGCGGTCACGCCGCCCGTCGTCTGATCAAGCACTGCCACTTCGCCCGCAACGATCCCAATCATCAATGCTTCGGCGCCTGGTCCGTCAAGAGAGAGTGGTCGAATCCTACAGAGTATTGCCGCAACTGCGCGTACTATGCTAGACAGAGGGCTTTTGGTCATGCTCGCTAATGGACTCTGGGGTGTGCTTCAAAGGATACGGAAAAGGATTGGTCCTCACGGACATCAAAGTTGTTGGTTATGGGTCCGTTCATGCTTGACATGAGGCGAAAAGGAAAAGGCGCACAAGGTTCGTATGAAGGAGTTTGGCTGGTCAGGATGAGGGAAAAGGAGTCCTGTGGTTTCTGGAATTACCGATTGGCTCATGGTGTGATCAGTATCTTGTTGCAACGAATCTTATCGATATTCTTCTATTGGACATATTCCTTCGTCGTGCTCGAGCTTCGGATGCGTGATCTTTTCCCATTGGATGCTTCCGTAGATTCATGTGATGTCTCGGGCAAGAAAGTCACACCCGCGTATTTTGTGTATCGTGAGCGAGGCCAATCCGTTTGCTAGTGAGAATGTGCGTATACGTTGTTGCCAGCGTGTCGCGGCTGCCGACAGCAAATGCTTCCCGTAGACGCCATTGCTGATCGAGGAGAATAGTAGAACCTGAATCTATAAGCGTCAAAAAGCCTGCGAGTTCTTATTCCCTGTACGAAAACAGTTTATTCCTTGTTTTTCGAAAACGGTTCTTCGCTTTTGGGTTTGTTGAGTATAAGAAATCACTTCTTCATTCTTTTGTTTCTTCTTCTTCGTCATAAATATTGCTCCGACAGTCAGCCGAAAGCAAGATAGACGAGTCTGTTGAAGCAGCCAAACATACCTTCAATTCCGACGCTCCATACTAGTAAGCGACTCATATCTGAGAGAAGATGTGTACCTGGAACGCAGTCCACTACAGCTGCGGACACGATGCGAAGAAACTGGAGAAAGCGTGCAAATGGCATGCATACGCAGAGTGCAAGCTGGTCAGGCGCGTTGGAAAGCATCTCAGGATGAGAAGAAGTTGTCCGAATTGCTCGGGAAGAGTGGCGGCCTGGTGTCGTCAGTCTTGATGGAAAGTCGACTGTGTCGCTTGTATTGAAGATATAATCCATGCTAAATGTTTGGATAGATGCGGAAAGTCATGTGTGACGAGAAGTCGAAGTTTTGTACGCGGCAGGAAGTTCGGAAGCTTGGAGAGTTTTTGGAAGTATGATTATATTGCGTATCGAGGGTAGCCATCGCTAGGCTAGGGAGATGGCATCTATCATGTTTGGAGCGCGTACTGGATGAGAGGAAGGAAGTGGATGTGTTGGAAGAGGAATGTTATGACGATAATCTTTCTTGTGTCGGAATACCATCAAATTTCATCAGTCGATCACAAGTTCGCATTTCCAGTAGCCACCCTGCCCTTGATATTGTAGCGCTTGCTGAAGAACGTGAACCAGTCGTCTAGAACCTTGATGTGTTCTGGCTTGAGATCTTCCCACTCTGGTCGGCATTCCTCCTTCTTCAGCGAAGATTGTGCGAGAGCTCTGGATGCGTCCTTGCCGGCGAAGACTAATGCAGAGTTAATGAGAGTGCCTTTGGCATATTTTCAAGAGGGCATTACCCGAGTATGAAGCTCCTGGTTCATATGCTTTGTTGCCAGTCACATCGAAAACAGTTCCCTATCACATGTAAGTTTCGGTTCTCAATCTTCGAGCATCAGCTGACCTTGATAGCCACGTATGTTGGATATCCCTCATGTGTTCCTTCACGTGAGTTATTAGCAAGAGCTCAATCAGTGATGGTCTTGTCAATCGCATACCGTCGCATTTAGATAGGTAGTCCAAGCTGATAGGGTCGTCCTTTGGCGGATCAAGCTCCACCTTTTGTTTCGGCTCAAATTTTCCAGACATGATGATGAGAATCGATGATTTGGTGTTGTTCAGATGCTCGAGAACCGAGGAGTGAAGTTGGTGGAGAAGCGACGTCTTGGCACCAGCCGCGGTTGTTTCTTTCGGTGCCACACTTGATCACGCCTTCGTCTCTCTTTCCCTTGATCGTGCCAAATTTACCTATATAAGTGTGAGGGAAGGTGCACTTCGTCATTGCCTACCGAGTACGTGAACAGACAGGGTCGCATCAAGAGCTGGAATCTGTCCAAATGTCAAATTCGCTTATCGCTCTAATGTTTGATGAAACATATGTGTATACATGCCGCTCTAACTCCCACTTCCTCGTCCCATTACTCTATACTTTCCGAAAACGCGATGTAAATCCTCTAATCATGTTTGCCAGCAGTGTAAGGCCCACTTCCTCGTCCCGATTGCTCCAAGTCCAATCTCCTTCTCAACTCCGGACTTTCAGTCTCCCCTGAGTTGTCCTTCTCCTTATCACTCATGTGTGAACTGTCCCCTTCTTCCTCAGCGGTATAGCCTCTCTTCTTGCGTTCAAGCGCTACTTCTGGCATAACGGGCTTACCGCCTAGACTGCACAACACAACATCCGAGTCTGCGGTGAGTGCATCCATGATCTCAAGTTCTCTGCGAGCAAACAGATGTGGCATGACTGACCATCGCAGAGGTATAAGCGAGAGAATGATGACAGGGAACCCGATGGCGCCAATGGTTTGCGAGATAGCGACACTGAAGCCCACACCGAGGATCTGGAATAGCAAGAAGAGCATGATTTTGGTTCTTGGAACCTGCAGAAGCGGTTCTGACGGGTCGATGAAGCGGTGCTCTTTTATCAGGAAGATAACTTTTTGCGTCATGCCGTTTCCTTCGATAGAGCCCCAGCCAACGACAAAGAAGACACCGCAGAACAGACAGCGGGGCATGGTATGAAGGACGATGAGGAGCGGCCCAGTCATTGTGCCTATAAGAGCAAGACCCATGAGGAAATGGCTGACGCGTTGCTCGACTACCATCTCTGCCTCGAAGACTTTCTTTCTGCGTTCCATAGGTTGGCCATTGTCGTCCTCGGTCTCATGGCTGACGACGAGTTTATCTTTGTACTCAGTCAAAGAGTCTGTGTGAACCGGGGCTTGAGGCACCAGACCGTTGGGCAGAGGGATACCGATGATGCCAGCGATGAAGCATGTAGCCCCGAGAAGGGCAAAGTCCCAGTGGAATCCGGCGGGCTTCTTGAGAGGGTATTGTCTTGCTTGAGCGCCGATACTGCTGACGTTGTGATCATAGTAAAACAATAGAGTTACGAGGATACCGATAGGCAGAGCGACAAATACCCATTTAACAGGTAGTGTCCAGAAATGGATCAGCCAGGTACGATCGGTCGAAGGATAAAATGCTCTGGTGATGGGCAACGTGAGCACATCTGCTCGCTTGATCGTTCCTGGAATGTGGACGAAGCCGGTCCAGAATATAGTAGCAATCTGAAGGAACACCTGTCAGTCTCGTCTGGTGTGGCACAATATGGACCACTTACAGGATATGCGTAGTCGGAGAGCAGCTTGCGAGTGACTGGGCTGAAGACCACAGTGTGAGGGAGCATCTCTAATGCATACACAGTGGCCCAATAACACAATGCAACGACAACGCTCAAGAAGCCTGCCTCATGTGTGCTCTGGGTGAATTGAGCGATGAGTTCTTGAACACCCTTGACTGCAAGATTGTCAGCATCATTATATCGCTCGATACAAGACCACTCGACATACTCATGTAAATAATACCAACATACATGCCGAAAGCATTACTCGAGAAGTCGGTGATGAATCGCATGTAATCGCAGAGGTTTCCGAATGATGCAATCCAATGCGTGATGGCAGCCCAAATAGACACCCATGCCAGGAACTCCGGGTATAGATTGCCGATGCCCTGCCTTACGGCGATATCATAGATGGTGTAGTTGAACAAAGAGATCAGACCAGTGATACCAACAATGGTTAACGGCTGAGCGGCCAAAGTGCTGAACACAATCGCAGCCAGGGCAGAGGAGAATAACGCCTCGTTCACGCCGAAGAAGCCATCTGTGTGGCGTTCCATATCCAGTAAGAATGCGAGCGCCGGTAATAAACTTGGGATGCCTTGTTAGTTTCGCTTCTCATTCGAAATATTTGCTAGCTTGGGACATACTTTACAAAGTACATGCGGACTGTGGCTGCAAATGTTCTATAAGTGAATGCATCTCTGATGTCGCTCCAGTAATATGGTAGTCGTCTTTTGACATCGTAGTACATGCCACGGCCCGGTCTGAGCATTCGATATCGCCGCCATCCAGTTGCACCTTCCCAGGTGTAGGGATCCTGTTTAGCATCCATTTTGAAATTCTGTCTTCCAATCCAGTCGATGTAAGAGATTCTGATTAGAAAACCACCAGTTTGCCTTTTTGCGAGGCCTTCCAGGTATTGATTGCCAAGGTCGTGTATGTTATGATCCGCAAAGGAGTACTACTGTCGACAATCTGTTCGTCTCCAGACAACCGGTATATCAAGCAGCCGATATGCCCAACCGAAACCAAGATATCAAAATATATCACAAATATGAGGTATATGGTGGCCAAAACATAGTCTGAGTTTGGAGAAGTGAAGCCATGCAAGGGCGTATTTATCCTTCGATGATTATCCTTTTGCGCCTCGCGAAAGGTGATGAAATCGGGCGCACAGACCCTGCTGCCCGTTTGCTTGATGGATTGTGTGGGGCGGCAGCAGACGATCTGCGCTTTCAGATTTCTCTTACGGACGCCGAGTCGAAGGTACAAACATGAAGATTTCTGATGGTGAAACTGTTCTCGGCGAGAAGAGCAACGACCTATCAAATCAGGGAAAGTACATCGTTACCATGGCAGAGTACCTGTCCAAGACTCCTATGCTATGATACAAGCTGAAGCGGACCTATTTTCCAACCACGATTGTTCATTGCCAAGACTTTAGACACAAAAGCATATTCTCACAGCGCGGTCCCCGTCGGGGTTCCTCTGACACTGGTCGATACGAAGACATGGTGGCCGTCGGGCAAGAATGACAAGCCACGGCCCGAGTTCTTGGATATGAAGTTGGATCCACACTGCTCATAGCCGGTGACAGTGGCTCAACGTCCGAGCTGTTTGCTGCCCGGGCAGAAAAATTGCTGACTTGCATAGCCATGCTAACTAGAAAGGTTTGTTATACAACTTCGAACTTAGATATGCGTACAAAATTTTAGTTCTCTGGCTAAGCGCGTAGCCGTGAGCGTACATGGTTCAACAAGAAACGGCATGATCTCGTTCAAGAACCACAGATCATTGGTTTGTCGCAGCCCCAGTTCCTTTCGAGAATGACTGCGCCTTTTGATGTCGTGGTTCAGGCCCCACCATGCATCTCTAGAGCAGGGGTGGAGAGTGCCGACCCTTTGCATCCAACTCTGGTTCGTAAACAAGCAATCTTTAGTCGGTGGACTCGTCCAATTGCACAGGTGTAAACTCTTTACGAGTCATGGAAGTGGCAGCAGTTTTGTAGCGCACGTAGAATCCCGCGAATACGCCTGCTGCAAGCCCCGAAAGATGACCTGCGTAGTCAGTCCTCGTGTTTTTGCCGCGCCAGGCTCTCAGGATTTCAAATCCAGCGATGATACCCAGGACCGTTAGGCCAGTCACATCTGGAATCTCGTAGCCGAGCACTGTCACATTGTTGCTGTAGTACGAGCGATTAGTGGGAGAATCAAGATGACAAGGGCGCGGAACCTCGCTTACTTTGCTCTGACCAGACAGGCTGCAGCCATGGTGCCAATGACGGCGGTAGACGAGCCGAAGCTGTAATTCATCCAGCGCTTGGCAAGTACGTTGAAGACCAAGGAGCCATAAGTGCCCACAGTGCCACAAGTGAGGTATACCGCTAGGAAGGTGCCTCTTCCGACATCGTCATGGACTACATGTCAATCAGTCAGTGTCGACAAGTGACTTTGGAGGTCGAGCTGATACTTACGGATCCAACCAAAAGGCCACAACATGACCATGTTGGCAAACAGGTGACGGAAGCTCTGATGACTGAATTGCGCACCGAGGGTTCCGATGGCGAAGGGATATGCAGCAGTGACCTGGAAAGTCTTGTTCATGGTTCTCCAGAGTGGGGGGATTCTCCAGGCAACGAATACAGCAAGATTGATAGCGGTGATGGCTCCGAGTGTAGCGATAGCAGGTGGTACATCGGGGAACATCCTCGCTGATCGTGGAGGGGGATTGTACGTCTCATCAAGCATCCAACAGCCAGCAAGAACGGCCAGAAGAACCACAGCAGAAGGTCCCAGTCGGCGAAGTGTAGAGAGATTCGGAATCTTGTTGTCCTTGATGATGGTTGCTTGTTCTTCGTAATATTTGACCCATGACTTGCGCTCAACAGGCTCTAGCCATGCCTTCTGGGTAGGTTGCGCAAGGGCAATCTCGTCAAATGGACTAAATATCTTCCCCAAGTCCTCTTTCTCCTCGACTCCGGAATTGTTGTCCTTGGCCTCGGCCTTGAGAGCAGCAACTCGTTCGACTTCTTGCTGTTTCTTTGCTTCGTCCTTTTTTCGATCTTCTTCCATCCATCTTGCTTTATTTGCTTTTCTGAGTTTATCTAGAGCACTCTCTCCATAGATGTCGGCAGATGGCTGTGATTCGTCTGGCTGGCTATCGTCGGTACGCTTGTAGATACCTAGCTTCTCAGCGCGAGCCATGTACTGTTGTTCCACTCTCAAGATCTCTGATTCTGCCCAAGCAGCACCAGTTTCGTTTTCATCAAAGGCGGGATCCAAGGATCGGACGTATTCCAATGCTTTAGTAGCCATGTCCGGGGAGATGGCAGACTCTCTCGGAAAGTCGATACCCACATCAATGAGACTGCCTGAGAGTCTGCGATAATGCATCAACCGTAGTATATGGTTTCCATCTTCGCAATGCATGTGGGGGCCAAAGATTGCTGAGATGGTAGCCTGATCGAGTTCTCCTGAGGGCAGTGGAACACCGATTGCTGGGTCGTAGTCTCTCCAAGTGGGATGATCCCTACGTCGACGGGCGGATCTTTGGTCGTCCTGAGCAGCAGCACGACCAGTTTTCTGCACAGCAGGAGACGGTTTTGGGATGAAGCGATTCCGTGCCGAAAAGTTGGTGGAGGCGGAAAAGGTGCGCAAGCCATTGGCCAGAGATAACCGAGAGCGTAGAAGCGATTGCGAGAGGTTGTGGGTTTCGACGTGGGCTACAAAAGATGCTAAAGAAGATGGCGCAAAGAGTGATGGTATAGTCGAGCATGAAGCCCTCATGACTGCCGGACGAGCATGATTCATGGTGTCCTGATCATCCGTAGCAGCCACGCAGAACGGCGAGACAGATGGCGAGAGACAGAACTGGAGATGGTCCGAGCAAAAATATCATGTCGTCGACGACGAATGTCCCATCAACGTGATGGATTGCGGAGTTCGGTAGTGCTCGGACCATGTCGAGGCGGCGGCGTCATGGTGTGTTTGCCTGTGACGCCCCAAGTCGCATAGGCACCTTTCTCCCTCATCACACAGAGTAGCCTCTTCACAACCGAGATCATGTCGCACGAAGCACTGCCTATCGATCGAGTGCGCTTTTCGGAAGCCCTCGAATCGTTACCCGTCGATGCACTGTACGCCAAGGTCGCCGAACTGCGCAACAATATGGACCACCTGAGATATTCCAACGAGCAAATGGTTCCCTTCGCCGACGAAGGCGATCAAGGTACGTCGAGACAAGTTCGCTTCCCACAAGACTCTACCTGACCTAGAACAAGACTGCAAAGACGCCATGTACGAGAACCTTGTTGTCATCAGCCGCATGAACGAGCGCATTCAACTGCTTCGAGCCGAAGTCGAGAAAAGAGGCATGACATGGTCAGAAGCCGATGTTCAGACTCGTCAAGTTAGCGAGAACATGGTCAACGGCTATTCTGCACCCACCATCCAAACACAACCATCACAACCACAGAGCGGACACCTGACAGACGAACAGCTGAGAGCTCAGTTGGAGGCCAGACTGGCCCAGGACACACAAGACGACCAAGAAGAGGAAGGTCTCCATCTCTAAAGCCTTGGGACAGCATTGCGTCTTCCTTTCTGTACGATACCCACTTTGCTTGAACAATCTACAACTTGATTTTGGTTGCCCTACACACACATGCTCCTCCTCTATCCACACAGCCGATTCTACTCGAAAGCCGAAAGATCTAATGGCACCGTACTGCCTCTACCTGCTCGGTACATTTTGGTGACCCCAGAAAATTCTCGCGGCTTGGGAAGTGTCTCGTCAGGTTGGAACTTGAACCTTGTGTCCTCGATCATCGTGCGACCCCCACCCATCCTGCTTCCGCTTTGGCCCTGATGCGACAAACTGGGCGACTTTAGGGATCCTCCGTTCAATGTGTAGGATGAGGCATCCATTGTCGACCGCGAAATAGAACCTGCGTGAGGCCGTGTAGGGGCAGCCGAAGGAGGTGGTGAGGGTGCCGCTAGAGGAGGACTGGGTGCCGCAATTGGCGGTCTGGGTGGCGAGGGTGCGGCTGCAGGCGGCGGCGGAGGTGCAGGTGATCTCGGCGGGGTAGCATTAAACATTGCTGGCGGTGGCGGAGGAGGTGGTGGTGGCGGGGCTGCAGGCGAGGCTCGACCAAAGGCGTTGCGAGCAGCTGTTTCAGCCAAGGATGGAGCATTGCTCATAGGTGGTGGTGGCGCGCTCATCGATGGGGGAGGAGGCGGTGGTCGAGACACAGAGGAAGGAGGCAATGGAGGAGCCGCTGGCGGAGCTGGCGAGGCAGATGGCGGAGGCGGTGGGATATTGCCCGAGGGTTTGCGCGAAGACGGAGGTGGCATGGGTGGTTTCTTGCCAATCGGTGGAGGTTTGGGTTTTGAGGGAACAGCAGGCGAGGAACTGCTAGTGTGTGGTGTGGGTCGCATGCTGTTTCTGAGGGCCGATACGGCAGGATTGGGGGGCGGTGCCAACGGAGGAGCAGATGGCGGGACCGGCGGGGCAGAACTGATAGGGCGAGGAGGCGCGCCTGGAGGTCTGGGAGCCGAAGACACAGGGCGAGACGGAGCAGCTGAAGCTCCCAGATATGACGAATCCTCATCGGCGCCAGTCTTGACACCGCCCGACTTGCGCAACTTGGGCATACCGCCAGCGAAAAGGCCTCCTAGTTGAGGTGGTGCAGCTCCCACGTCGCTCGAGGCCCGATCTCTGTTCGCGCCAGGTGGGGGTGGAGGAGCAGCACCTCCCGGAGCCTTCATCATTCCCGGTACTGGGGGAGCACCCATAGCAACGGGGACCGACGACTTCTTCTCATTTCCTACAATGGGAGCAGAACGATCGTTGATCTGCGTGACCTTTTTGAGTTTGGCGCCTTTTGCGATATCACCTAGTAGAGCACCCTGGGGAATCGTCAGTCGATGCCGAGTGCAGGGTATGATGGTTCGCATACTCTGCCTGGAGCGGCGGTAGGTGGTCTACTGGGCAAACCTCCGGGCGGTGGTGGGGGAGGTGGAGGTGGGCCTGGGCAGTGTGATGAGCACAAGTACGAGCGGTAGCATGGCAGGGTTACTTACCCCCAGACATGGCCGGCGGCATTGGGGGCGGAGGAGGGGGTGGTGGAGGTGGCGGCATTGTCGTATGTGCAAAGACTCAAGGTCGACGGTACAGCGGGCGCGTGACGGAGGCAGCGGATAGTTTGCGCGCGGGCGAGGTGAACGGACGGGACCAAATCGGGATGGTATGTCGAGCGCAGATGGGTGGAGGGAGGAATGTCGGAGCTTGGGCGGACGATGGCGGCAGATGCGGCAGACTTGTGGTGGTTGGTAGACGAGGGAAATGTGTCTGGCTGAGCGAGCAAGTGGCCGAGTTGGATGCGTCGTCACTTCCAAGCAGCCCCGATGCCTCTCGGCCCGAGCCCCAAGATTCCATATCGACTTTGGGCAGTTGCGACAGGCCATCGGCAGCCCATCGACACAACCAAACGATGAAGGCCTTTACTCCACCACGAGCTGCATCGTTGTGCCATTTCTGTCGCCAAAGTACCACACGACAGGCTGCTGCACCAGGGACCTCTGCGAACCGACTAGTCCATCAACCTCGATCCTTCTCATCATGCTCTACAAGAAGTGCACTTGGGCGTCTGGACACAACCCCTCGCTCCATTAGACAATCGCGCAGATGGGTCGCATCATCCGCTGCTCCTATCGAAGAAGCACCAACCACTGTAATCGAAGTCCCATCGACTGGACCTTCGCAGCAAAATCTACTCGACTACAATGCCAGTGCTCAAAAATTGGCCGAGACCATCCTGCATCATCCGGGCGTACCTTCCGAGGACCATGTCATTGACCTCTTGGAAACCTACAATGCAATGGCTCGGACACTGGTTACTCCAGAAAATACTCCGCAAAAGCAAAAGACAAGCCAGCCCAAAAAGACAGCTACTTCTGCCCTGCTCAGCAATCTTGACACTCCTTCCAAGTCCTCGATTGCGACCTCGCGTCTCAAGCAAGCTCTTACTACCAAGGCTTTCGACGTGCTCATTCATGCTCCTGTCTTCATCACTCCTCGCATCCTCCAGCTCTACGTCGACCTGCAGTGTCTCTTGAAACGTCCAGAGTCCTTCCCAGCCGTCTTCACCCTGTATCGTGAGAAGCCTGTACCGCGGCCATCCAGTCAAGACGGCATAATCACCTACGACAACACCAATCCCGACAAGCCTGCCGCTGCCGTCCAACCTGCTGTGGCCGAAATGGCCATCGACGCTGCAATCGCAAGCCGTGATTTGTCTCTCGCCTTGGCCACTATTGACGCTACTTACTGCACAAAGGCATACAAACGCTCAAAGTTCCTGCGAGGTGCTCTCATTCCCTTGACTGGCTTCTTCTTGACCCCGCCCGCTGCTTACACCCTCGCAACACGCTATAGCGACTACCAGAACACGATGGACCCAGCAATGGCCACCAACATCGCCATGGCTGCTATGATGACATATAGTGTATGTGTTGGCAGTATCGGCTACGTTGCCCTGACCACTGCGAATGATCAAATGGTTAGAGTTACCTGGGCTCCCGGTGTGCCGTTGTGGGAACGTTGGACACGCGAGGAAGAACGAGCCGCTCTTGACAAACTGTCCCAAGCTTGGGGTTTTACTAGTACAGAAAAGTGGGGAGAGGAGGAGGGTGAAGAGTGGGACTATCTCAAGGAGTTCTGCGGTCTCAGGGGGATGATGCTCGATCGCGTTGAATTGATGGACGGCATGGAGTAAGCAAGACATGAGATGAGATGATGATTGTGCAGATGAAAGAAACCACTATATACCCCAATTTTCACAACTGCATCAGCAGATTTTGCAGCCTCTGTTCAAGAGCACTTGAGACATCACCACCGCACTGTATCTCCTCTTTGATACCCAATCGTCTACACTGCACCTCGACTTTACCCTCGGTTTTCCACGCTCTGCCCAAAACGACAATCAACGGGTAACCCACCAAATCGGCGTCGTTGAGCTTCCATCCCATAGGCTTCTTGCGATCATCGAGCACAGTATCAATGCCATTCGACAAAAGCTTCTTCGCCACGTCCTCAGCAGCATCTTCGTTCCCGTTTGCAGGCACCACAACTGCAGAAAAAGGTGCGATAACCGCAGGCCAATTCAGACCTTTGGCATCAGACAACATACTTGCAATTGCTCCAACCAGTCTCGAAACACCGATACCGTGACAGCCCATCTCAATCGTCTGGCGAACATCATTGCTGTCGACAAAGGTTGCTGATAGTGGGACAGAGTATCTGGTGCTGAGGTGGAATGTGTGTCCTACTTCTATTGCGCGATCGACCGTCACTTTTCCATCACCGCATTTTTGACAAGGGTCGCCTGTTAGTGTGCGAGTGAGTTGCATGGACTTTCCGTTCTTTCGTGGGCGCAGTTGGAATTGTATGCTGTTGAACTTGCCGGAAGGAAGAAGCAGTTCGCGTGGTTGTAGCTTTTGTTGGAGGAAAGTGAATGTGGAGGCAGAGAATGGAAGGCGTTCGTCGTTGATTTCGATGATCTGGGCGGATGAGGGACGGGAGCCGGTTTCTTCTCGACGGGGGTTTGCTTTGTCCCAAGTCTCGAGAGGGTTCTCGACTGAGAGGTCGACATCGGGCACCAGAGCTTTTATGACATTGGGGTTGACTTCGTTTCTGATGCTGTCATTTCCAGAGTGTTGTTGCGTAGTGGTCGGGAACCAGGCTATTACGAGGCTGTTTCGGTCCTTAGTTACACCAATCCAGCGAGAAAGATCCTTTTTGTGTTCAATAGGTATCTGATCCGGCTGATCGACTGAAGTTATAGCGAGTTCATCATTGATGGTGTAGCCACAGGAGCCACAACTGATGACGTTATCCTCACCTTTCGCCGATACAAAATGATATTCGTGACTCAGAGTGCCACCGATATTGCCGGAGTCTGCTTCGGCTACCAGGTAAGGCAGTTTGAGCTCATCGAGCAAAGCTCTGTACGCCTGTCGCACTTCCTCGTAGGTCTGTCTGGCTTGTTGTTCTGTGATGTCGAAGGTGTAGAGATCTTTCATGGTGAACTCCCTACCGCGTAGGAGACCTTGTCGTGGACGTGCTTCATCTCTGAATTTGCGTCCAATTTGGTATAAGCGAAGAGGAAGATCTTTGTAGGATTGGACAGTGCTGGCGACCAGAGATGTAATTTCTTCTTCATGAGTTGGGGATAGCAGGAACTTTGCATCTTTCCTGTCGTGAAAACCAAACAACTTAGAGAATAAGCGACGCGTTCGTATGGAGTAGGGAAACGCGAAAATAGAAATACGAAAGTAAATCAGAGATGCACTTACTTCACCGCCATGGCCTACGAATCTACCAGTTTTCTTCCAAAGCTCTTCAGAGGAAATGGTAGACAAAGAGACTTTAGCAGCACCTACATATGTCTCAGCCAATGGAGTCTACCTCCCTCGAGCGCTTTCTGCGTACCTATGCTCTCCATGTGCTTGTCAATCAATGCTTCAAGCTTTTGTTGTACACGATTGCCCAGTGGCAGCATATGAAAAATGCCAGCGTGAGCTTGTCGTACGTAGCCCGCTCTGATAAGCAATTCATGGGACTCATCTTTGGCATCTCTAGATCTTTCAGCCCCAACAGTAGGAATCCAGAAGCGTGAAAGACGTTGGATGCTGCTGCTCGATGTTGTTGACCTCGAACATGTCCGTGACACATTACGAGCCAATGGACTCAGACTATGGCCAGTGATTCGAGACGATGACAAACATCTCACGAGTCCGACTTGGTGATACATCCGTGCCACAAGCTGTCGAATGCAGAAAAGCAGGCTGACAGATGTCCAGGGTCGAGGACGATGCAGATGGTTCGAGAGGGTGAATGTCGCGCACGGATGATCTCTTTGGCCGGGGTTAATGTGCGGAGTTTGGGGGAAAAATCAAGAAGTTCTGCCATGTCCGAGACCCGCAAAACTTGTAGGTCGGCGCATGTGAAGGACTGCAAAGACAGGCCAAAAAACATTTTCAACTAAAAGACACCACAGATATGGGTGTCACTAGGAAGCGCTCCGCCGATGAGGCCCGCGCTGGAGGATCGCGTCCGGAGAGGTCATTCCCTAAGAAAGAGTACCCGAAAAAAGAATACTCCAAGAAAGAAGGTGGTGACCAAAAGGCAAAGAAGACTCCTCTGGTATGCGCCCTGCCATCCTATTCTGCCAACACGTTCGCTGACCGCTATCTAGGTTTTCGCACCCAGACCCGACTGGTATGCCACTGCACTGTCCGAATTGCCCGTATCCGCATCCGCCCAACCTCCTTCGCAGAGACTGGTCGAAGAAATCCACGACTACGCCTACACTCTGCTCGAGTCCGAGAACACCAGCTATGCCGCCAACAACAACTCAGCCTCGTCATCCCACAAATTCTTGTCCACAATCATGGCTTCCGGTACCCTCGAGGATAAAATCTCAGCCTTGACCCTGCTGGTCCAGGAGTCGCCGCTACACAACACAAAGGCCTTCGAGACCTTGCTCGGCTTGGCAAAGAAGAAGAGTAGGAACCAGGCTCTCATGGCTGTTGCTGCCGTCAAGGATTTGCTGGGCCAGGGTGATGTCCTTCCTGGAGATCGCAAGCTACGCGCTTTTACGAAACAGCCCGCTTTGGCCAAAATAGTAGAGGACCACCACACTGTCTGGAGAGTTGGAAGTCCCCTGCCCAAGGGTCTTGAAAAGACTCACCTCATCTACTGGGCATTCGAGGACTGGTTGAAGAAGCAATACTTTGAGCTGCTGAAGATTCTGGAAAGTTGGTGCAGCGACGAGGTCGAATACGCAAGGAGCAGAGCAATCACATACGTCTGGGAGTTGCTGAGAGACAAGCCCGAACAGGAAGAGAACCTCTTGAGGTTGTTGGTCAACAAGCTCGGTGACAAGGACAAGAAGATTGCCTCCCGCACATCCTATCTCTTGCTCCAGCTGGAAAACACACATCCTGCCATGAAGGGTATCATCGTAAACGCCATCGAAACCGAGTCGCTCTTCCGCCCTGGACAAGCTGCTCACGCCAAGTATTACTCCATCATCACCCTCAACCAGACCATCCTCAGCGTCAAGGAGCCCGAAGTCGCCAACAAACTTCTCGACATCTACTTTGGGCTCTTCATCCAGTTCCTGAAGCCTAGGTCGCATGCCAAGGCAAAGGCTCAGAAGGTCCAAGGTGGTGGTGGAAAGGGCGGCAAGATGGCTGCGAAGAAGGCAAAGGCCCTGGAACAGGCGGATGCTGCTGACAGTGAACTCAACGAGAAGATGGTTACAGCAGTCTTGACCGGTGTCAACCGTGCTTTCCCCTTTGCCAAAACAGACGACCCCACCTTCGAACAGCACCTCGACACCATTTTCCGCGTCACCCACTCTTCGAATTTCAACACCAGTATCCAGGCTCTGATGCTGATCCAACAGATTTCTGCCACCAAGCACTTCTCCGCCGACAGATTCTACCGTACCCTTTACGAATCCCTCCTCGATCCCCGCCTCATCACCTCTTCCAAGCAGATCATGTATCTTAACCTTCTCTACAAGTCACTCAAATCCGATGTCAACGTCAAGCGTGTACAGGCGTTCGTGAAGCGTTTGTTACAGACAATCACTTTGCACGAAGCACCGTTTGTTTGTGGTGTCTTGTATCTGGTCAGTGAGCTCGAGGCCACCTTCCCCACCATCAGGAATATGATTCGCGAGCCTGAAGCCGATCCTGAGGACGAGGAAGAACACTTTGTCGATGCACCGGAAGATGGAGAGGACAGGCCCACGGACTCGACACGGGAACAGACCGCCCCTGCTGTGCGCTACGATGCACGAAAGAGAAATCCGGAACACAGCAACGCCGACCGCAGTGCCCTGTGGGAGATTCTGCCTCTCCTTTCGCACTTCCATCCATCTGTGGCCATCTTCGCCGAGGCATTGGTGAACCAGACGACGCTACCGCCCAAGCCTGACCCTACCAAGCACACATTGATGCACTTCCTGGACCGCTTCGTTTACCGTAACGCAAAGACCAAGGGATCCACAACGACACGCGGCGCATCCATTATGCAGCCTATGTCAGGATCTAACGCAGCAGACGTGCTCATCAAGGACCGTGCTGATCCCACTCACCGCATTGCCCTTAACTCGGATGCCTTCTGGAAGAAGAAGGTTGAGGATGTCGCAGCCGACGAGGTCTTCTTCCACGATTACTTCACCAAGGTCAACAACGCCAAACCTACCAAGAAGGACAAGAAGAAGCAAAAGGATGCTGCTGACAGCGACGCGGAGAGCGATGCCGACGAGGACGAGATCTGGAAGGCCCTTGTCGAATCAAGACCCGAGATCGAAGGAGACGAGGACGACGATGACGACGATCTCGACATGGAGGACCTCGAGGAAGGCTACTCGGACAGCGAGGAGGGCGATGGTGGTGTTGAGATTGGCGAGTTTGCCGAAGACGATATGGATGAGGCGGACTTGGGAGATGACATGGAGGATGATGTGGAAGATGACGGCTTCGAGGGACTGGAGAGCGGTGACGAAGACGCCATGCTTGGCGACGACGAAGACCTGCCATCTGACTTTGAAGGCCTGGGAGACGACACGGAAGAGAAGGACGAGAAGAAAGAGAAGTCGGACGAGAAGAAGAAAAAGAAGAGAAAGCTCAAGCACCTGCCGACATTTGCGTCCATGGACGATTACGCCAAGCTGCTGGGAGCAGACGACGAGGACATGTAGATGTAGCGATAGTTATACCATCCTGTTGCCCTCTGTACAGGGCTTGTTTGCAACGATCTTGGGGTACTCGTCTTATACGGGTGGCTGGGTGAGGCGGTGTATAGGCAAAACAAACTTCGACCCACACTGTGCCATGACGAGCAGCGGCACGTTGCAGATCCGGGGCTCGGGTGTTGAATGACGGAAGTCGAGCAGTCGCGCAATTGTAAACAGACGACAATTGACCGACAGGACAACATGTTAGGGTAGCGCGATGGGGCTGGAGAAGAAGGACGTGATCACGGCTGGACTCGGGGCTCTTGTCTCGTGGTTGCTGCTCACGCACTGGGTGCCGTCGTTCCGCTGGATCCCCTACGCCTTTGTCACGGGCTGTCTCACAACCCTCGTTGCACTCGCATTGCTGCTCTTGACATCTTCCAAAGGTCCCAACCATCGCTATAACCATGCCACTACTATCAAGCCTCCGGCCTTTGTCACCCCTGCGCTTTGGAAGCAGGAGAAGGCTGCATTGAAGTCCCGCTCGCGATACGACAAGACGCCCATCTACCCTTCCTCGGCAAACGTTTCGCTCAACATCGACGGCCTTTTGGACCTTGTCCTCCGCGACTTCATCGCCGTATGGTACAAGAATATCAGCCTTCGCCCGCTGTTCCAGAACGAGGTGGATCGCGTCATCAGACAAGCCTTGGACAATGTGCGAAAGAGAACACAACAACTCGACATGGTCGAACTCGGCGTTGCCAGGATCGTTCCAATCTTGACCAACCACATGCGCGACTTTTACAATGCTGAGCGCATCGTAAGAGGCAAGAATCTGTCTCGCGACATGACCGAGTCTGAAGAGCTGGATCTTGCAATTGCCGCAAAGTTCAGAGATGGAAAGCTTCACCCAGCCGCCGCCCTGGCCTTCTCTGATACAAAACTGCTACAGCAAACCCATCTGCGTCGTCTGATCGCCAAGATACTGCCTCTCGTCATGCCCGAGTACATGAAAACTAGTGCAGCAGTAACCACCCTGGTCAAGGAGATTGTCGCATGTGCTGTCCTCACACCTGTTGTCTTGATGCTCTCCGACCCCGATTTCTTCAACCAGCTCATTGAAAACTCCGGACGTACCATGCTCCAAGACCGCAAATCTGTTCGTAAACTACGCGCTGCATTGGATGAGCATGCTGTGCCTGCCCCTCAACACCCTAAAGCCGGTCAATTTCCACGCCTGAGACCAAACGACAACGAGAGACAATTTGAAAGATTCATCCGTGCAACTCGAAATTGTGCCACTCTCTCCGATGCTAGGCGCTTTCGAAGTGAGATCTCCAGTCAGGTTCGAAAGGCCAGTTCTGGCCCGGAGCAGGATCCTGTTTATCTCCGCCGCCTGGAGTCTGGACGACGCATCTTGGATCAGAAGATTGCCCACTTCACAGCTGGTGGTACTTCTAGACCCAAATTGACTGTAAAGGCCTCGACATCTAGTGTCGAGCAAAGGTCGAAACTAAGTCAGGCCTCTCTAGACGAGGTACTGCACAATGCATCCGGACTTTCATACTTCATGGAATTTATGGACCGCAAAGGTCGTATGCGCCTGGTGCAGTTTTGGATCGTGGTGGATGGTTTCCGCAACCCTCTCGAGGCGGTCAACGACGAGCCAGAGCAGGAACTCCAAGATGCTTCTTGGACGCCCTCAGATAGAATGGATCTGGAACAAATGTATGAAGCCTATCTCACCAAGCCCGAGCTTAGTGTACCAGACCATGACAGGCAAACGGTAAGAGACTTCTTGAGGGCTGGTAGATCAGCACATGTTCGACTCTACGTTTCCGCACGTCGTGCTGTGCTTCGAGCCCAAACTTCGGTTTTCGAGGAGATGAAGGAACAATATTTCGACAGCTTTAGGAAGTCAGACTTGTTCTACAAGTGGCTTGCCACCGAGGAGAGTTCAATCATGTCAGCTACTTCAGAAGGCCACCCCGAGCTGACGAGGTCCTTGTCCGTCGGTGGTGAAAGAGACAGACCGCTGCATCGAGAAGCTAGACCGGCGGCAGTGTTATCTCCCAAATCGCCTCGAGCGCCTGAGCTACGGAGACCAGCCATGTCATCAAGCGATCTGAAAAGCTTCATCAAGCCTAGCGTTGTTGCCAGCCCAGTGCGGCAATCAATGGATGATGGAAGACCCCGGCCTTTGTTCGACGACGATGTCGAAGATGAACGCATGACTCGATCTGTGTCTGCGCTTAGTAGCATGGACTTGGACATCGAGGCCGATCCACCACAGGATGACTCTGCTCAGGTCGTTGATGCTATGCAAGCTGCATTGAATGAGATCATGGATGAACCAGAGAGCGGCTCGATACTTTCTTCTGAGAATCTAATTATGACTAACGACTCGCCAAGGGATTCATTAGACGGTGCAAGACCTACTCTGGCCCAGACGAGATTAAAACCTAGCATTGCTTCTCTTGGTTTGGTGGGAGCCGTGTCGAGCAAAGGAGTCTTTGAAGATGATCTGTTTGGGGAAGAGGAAAAGTTCGCCGAAGACGAGAAAGAAGATTCAGATCTAGCAGACAAGTCAATCGATGACGATATCCACGAAGCTGCGCCTGGTGATCTGGGACTCACGGAAGCCATTAGTACCCTCAATGCAGACATCGATCGATTGACGGCTCAAGATGCCATCCTGGATTCATTAACGAAGAAGGCTGAATTGACGAACAATGCAGCTGAGCTACGCATTCTACGCAAGTCGAAGCAGAGCCTGGCAAGAGAAATACATCGCAAGGAAATGCAGAAACAACAGTATACCATCCAAGAGAGCGACAACAGCTTGTACGGGAGAGCAGCGATCAACATCAAGTCGATCATGGTCGGGAGAGAAGAGGATGGTCACGAGTTCGCACTCTGTAAGTCTATGTATTCCCGCTTCCTTGATACGCCGCTGATAGTGTTCAGATGTCATCGAAGTCAGACGCCAGGCAGGCGACCAGATGCCCGCTGCAGTCTGGATGGTGACTAGACGGTATAGCGAATTTCATGAGCTGAACAAACGTCTTCGAGCGAGATTTCCTGCCGTCAGAAACCTTGAGTTCCCTCGTCGCCAAACGCTGTTCACGTTGCAGAAAGACTTTTTGCAAAAGAGGAGGGTAATTCTCGAGAAGTACCTCAAGGTGAGTGTTTGCTAGGACATCCGAAGTCCAACGACTGCTAACATACCATAGGCACTGCTTTTGTTACCGGCTATCTGCCGCAGTCGAGAGCTTCGCGCTTTCTTATCCCAATCTCGAATTACAACAGGTGCCAATGGCAGTCAAATCGATGAAAAAGACTTTGTGACAAGAATTTACAACTCGGTCACAGACGGCATGGAGGAATTTTTGGGCAATATACCAGTCCTCGACCAGCTCTCTGTTGCTGGTCAGAACCTGATATCTGCAGCCACTGCCCAGATGAGCGGACTACCGCTGAACCCCAACGCTCCTGAATTCTCCTCAGACCCAGCCTCCGCTGCCGAAGCTGAAGCGGAGATCAATGCTTTTGAAGACCGAGAGGCAGAACCCTTCGTCAAGCCAATCTGCGATATCTTCCTGGAAATCTTCGAACTACAAAAAGGCACTAGTTGGCTGCGAGGGCGTGCCGTGGTCGTAGTGTTGCACCAGCTTCTCGGTGGCACCATCGAGCGCAAGGTCCGCGATGCAGCCAAAGGCTTTGGGCAAGAAGACTCGATCATACGTTATCTTGATCTTGTCAAGGGCATCATGTGGCCAGATGGTCAAATGAAACAAGGCGGTGTCCCGCGAACGGCGGCGCAAAAGGCAGCAAGTCAGAAGGAAGCAGGGCTTCTACTTGCGACATTGGTCCCTGACCTGGCTGGGAGTGTGGTTGGGAGGCATAACGCACAGGCAGCGAGTAGGAAGGTGTTTGCTATGCTGAACAATCAGCGTTTGAAGTACGTTTCCCCTCGATCGTTCTTTGTGCCATTGACAATCTCTCTTACTGACATCAACACAGTACGCATTTGGTGTTCACGCTGTTGGACGAGTTGATAGGAACTGTTTTTCCGGAAGCAGTAACACGATGATAGAAGATACATGATACTTAAAGCATCAACGAGATTTCAAGGTTGACCTCCATTCGTGCTGTTCTAATGTTGCCACTGTGCTCTGGTACATACTGGTAGTGAGAACCGCTTGCTGTGTTTGTTACGTTGCTTGCGTTTGCAAGCTTGCTCGATTGTGCCTCCTTAGTTTGATACGCGTCACAAAGCCAACGCCACACGCACCTTCTTCACTTTCCCCCAACAACACTGACTTTGCCTTTTTGGCCACATCAGCTCGACGACTCGCGCCTGGTTCAGCCATCATCTGTATCGAGCAGACACCGCAAGCATGAATCCACGAGCTCCGCACTACAAATTCCAAACGTCGACCTCGTCCGCCGGCAGCAAAACCAGGGATCTCGATAGTATGTATGGAAGCTTGAGTAACTCATTCGTGCCCGCTTCTGTCCCCACTATGAGCAAGGCGTTCGTTCCCACTTGCACGCCGGCCGTGAGTAGCACGCATGGAACTCCAAGTTCTGCCATGAGTAACAGCACACGCGAGCTGCCTGCTCACAGTCGTTCGCTTGTCAAGTACAAGTCTCAAAGCTCTGATGTGAGTGGTTGCCATTCTCGGCTGTCTTTGACTCTTGCTGACTCTTGCTGACTCTTGCAGGATGATGTACTGATCGAGCGCGCACGCGGCGAGCAACAAGAACAGCATCAGCTGCAGATGCACGCAAAGATGATCCGCCTGGAGGACCAAGTCAGTGACTTGATGGATCAACGCGCAGCCTTCGAGAAGAAACAGGCCGAGAGCGTCCAAGTCATCAGGGATCTCCAACGCGATGTCGCCAGTCTCAAGACTCAAGGTCAACAACACCACGACAAGCTTGACGTCTGCAAGCGTGGTGTAGATGACAACGCCAGAAACACCCAAGCCCTCGAGCAGCGCATCAAGGCGATCCCTGGAAGTTTGGAACCTCGTTTCCAGCACCATGTCACACGTATTGACAAGATCGAGAGTCTTGTTCGCAGTGCTGCAACCCAAAAGAACGGCCACGAGCCCTCCGGAGGCAAGTCATAGCTGACACAACCTGACTGACACTCGCTAACGCCTTGCAGTTTCGCAACTCACATCGAGCATCAGCAAGCTCGTGATTACTCAGGACAAGCACGAATCCTACCTCCAGACTATCGGAGAAAATCTGTTCGCTCATCAGACCAGGATGGAGACTGTCAACAGCGCCATTGATGGTCTTCGCTCTAAGGTCGAGGCACTGAAGACTGTCAATTCTGGGCTTCGTGACAATGAGAACTCAGCCCCCAAAGGCAGCCTCATCAAGATGGATGCGACTACAGACGCAATCTTCAAGCTTCAGACTAAGGTCGACCACCTGGCTGAGCAACTCCGCCACCACGGTAATAGCGCAGGCAGTCCCAAGAGTGACACGTCCAGCACTGCCAACGATGTGGAGAACCTTATGATCCAAATGGACGAAGTGCGCCAGAAGATGACACGTATGGAGAGGAACTTGGTAAGCCATCAAGACTGATTGGCAACAGAGCTGGGCTAACACTCGGTGTACAGGGCATGCAGTCCGAGATGCAAGGCTTCATGGACAAAATCGCACTTGCACACAAACTTAGACTGGAGACAATGTTCTACCAGCTGACCAAGGAATACGAAGGCAGATGTAACCCCGAAGATGTTGAGTTCGGCCTGGAAGATGACCATCTCTTCATGCTCAGACAGAGAATTTTCGAGCGTTTGTCTGTCGAGGACGGAGTGCAGTGCGAGTTTGTGCGCCTCAAGGAATCGCAGCAGATGTATTCTTAGTTGCATGGTGCGGAGATTGATTTGGCGTTGGGCGGCAAGGGACGAAGAGTGTGAGAAAGATGGTTGACATTACAGAGTGTTGAGGCTGAGCGTTCAAGCATGGTGAGAACGAGGTGAGACTCTATGATCAATCATGCAGAAGAGGTTAGGTAGCAGCAGACAAACAGAAGTAATAGCAGTCATCTGAATTCTTGATGATGGAGGGCCTTGGAGGAAGTGGTCGGGGATGCTAGAGCCGAAATGTGGAGATGGACGTGGCAGAAAAAGGCGGTCAGGATAATATTCCATGGGCCATGATTTTTTGCCAGGGTCGAGACGCTGGGCAGAGAGCGACATTTGCACACTAGACATCCCACTCGACACAATGGTCGGAATCAAGCGCAAGGAAGCACCCAAGGCTGTCGCCCCTGTGAGATCTGGATCGGAAAAGAAGCAGAAGCTGGCCTCGACGGGCTCGTCCAAGAAGAAGGCCGCCCCGATCAAGGAACCCACTCCCGAATCCGACGACTCGAGCGAGAGCGACGACCAAGATGAGCTGGACGGAGACGACGACGCCATGTCTGGCGTCCAACTAGAGGCCGGAGACAGCGAGTCGGACGACAAGAAGATCAGAAGTACGTCAAGGACAAGAGCAGCCAAAAACACACGACTGACACAAGCTGTAGCTGGACAATCATCAGCAGAGGCACACGCCGCCCAGCGCGCTCTAGCGAAGGAGCGCAAGGCCGCCAAACCCAACGCAGACATCATCGGCCGCAGCAAGAAGATCTGGGAGAGACTGCGCAGGAAGTCCCATGTGCCTACCGAGGAGCGCAAGGCTCTTGTCGGCGAGCTGTTCGACATCATCACCGGTAGAGTCCGCGACTTTGTCTTCAAGCACGACAGTGTGCGTGTCATTCAGTGCGCCCTCAAGTACGCCAACATGCAGCAAAGGAAGCAAATCGTCACAGAGCTGCGTACCGACATGCGCGAGCTGGCCGAGAGCAAGTACGGCAAGTTCTTGGTCGCCAAGATGGTCGTTGAAGGGTTTGTTTGACCTCTTCCTGTTTCACTCTTTCCTCAACTAACAATCTCTGCAGAGATGCCGAGATCCGCAACATGGTCGTGCCTCAGTTCTACGGTCACGTCCGTCGCTTGATCAACCACCCCGAAGCGGCCTGGATCGTCGACGACATCTACCGCCAGGTCGCTACTTCTTCACAAAAGGCCCTCATGCTCCGCGAATGGTACGGCGCCGAATACGCCATCTTCGGCAAGACCAAGGCCGCCCAAGGTCAGACCGACGAGAAGGTCACGGCCGACTTGAAGGCCATTCTGGAAGAAAGCCCCGAGAAGAAGAAGCCCATGATGCAATACCTCCAACAGCTCATCAACCAGCTTGTCCAGAAGAAGATGACTGGATTTACTATGCTGCATGACGCCATGCTTCAATACTTCCTCAACACCACTCCTGGCACTCCCGAGGCCGCTGAGTTCCTTGAGCTTCTCAAGTCGGATCTGGACGAGGAGAACGGTGGTGATCTTCTCAAAAACTTGGCTTTCACCAAGAACGGTAGCCGTGTCGTGTGTCTGGCTCTTGGTTACGGAACCGCGAAGGACCGCAAGCTCATTCTTCGTGTGTACAAGGATGCCGTTGAGATGATGGCTCTCGATCCCAACGCCCACACTGTCCTGCTTGCCGCCATGGACACCGTCGATGACACAAAAATGACCGCCAAGGCTCTTTTCCCGGAGTTGCTGGGAGAGAACATCAAAGATGAGGCAGAACGCGAGAACCGTCTTGTTGACCTCATCTCGCATCTGACCGCCCGTATCCCGCTACTTTACCCTCTTGCTGGACAAGCCAAGTGGCTGGTTTCTGACGTTCAGAAGAACATCATCGCCGAAGTACACTCCGTACGTGAGGTCACCTCCAAGAAGAACCCCGAGATCCGTCGCGCAGAACTCATCGCATACATGTCGCCCTACTTACTCCCAATCATTCAAACTCGCGCCGCCGACCTTGCAAGTGTTGGCTTCGGCTGTCAATACATCAGTGAGGTTCTTCTGGAGGCTCAAGGTGACAAGAAGGCGGCTTGCGAGGCGGTCGTCGCTTTGACCGAAGGTGATGTGACATCGGAGGGCCACATTGCACAGAACGCAGCCGGTGGCAAGATGCTGAGAGCATTGGTCAGCGGTGGCAAGTTTGATCCCGAAACAAAGAGCGTACAATTGGTTGAGCCTCGCCTCGGCTTCGGCGATATGCTTTTCAAGACACTCAAGGGCAAGTTCGTCCAATGGGCAGCAAGCCCTTCAAGCTTTGTCGTTGTGCAGCTGCTCGAGAGCGAAGACGTCAGCGATGCCAACAAGAAGGTCGTTCGCGACGAGCTATCAAAGGGCAAGAAGACTTTGGAAAAGGCGGCCAAGGGCGAGGACGCCCCTTCGAAAAAGGCGCTTGTCGAGTCAGACGACCAACAAAACAAAAAGAAGAAGAAGACGACCGCAGGGCCGAGGGGCAACGCAGGTGCGAAGATTCTGCTCGAGAAGCTGAGCAAATAAGTGTAGGTGCAATCTTTTCATGTTGGTTCTGGCTATGTAACTCTCAAAAATACCCAGCAGTGTTTTCTTTCTTCGTTCCCTTGACCCTGGGTCGGCCAAATCTCCCCATGTGCCACATTCTTCTATTCTCACTCCCAATTCACTCTCGCGGTAACACAAAAGCGCAGCTGGTGCTATAGAAATGCACAGTTCTTGCTACAGGGTGGCGAAATCCGTAGAGAGCCGACTACACCGCGACTCTCTGTGAATATTTCCGACCTACTAGAGAAACCGTACATTTCTATAGCGTCTGCGTGATGTATGCTTGCACATGGGGAGGATGCAACAAGAGTGATTGCTAAAACTCTGCTCTTCACTTGGTTCGCAGCCAATTTGTCACCTACGCCCGCGATGACACTCGATACTCCATCTTGACAGATGTCAACCAAGACCAGAGCTTTGGTCTTTCTCGACACCACGAGATCGAACATCAATAACGTAGAATTTGGCATCATCATCATCGTGGTTGTCGCAATTACTTGACCCGCAAGACTTGATCGTCACTTCCTTGCGAACGGAACGTCGGTGTGAAATGCACGCTTCATTCTACTCTGGTCGACCGACCATGTTCACTTATTTATTCACAGGTTCCGTTACTTCCTTCATATATGACGGCACCCTTTCTTCCTTCCTTGCCTACTCTACTTCTCAACTCACAAGCCATACAAGTTCAACACCTTTGCTGCTCGTACCATACCATACCATATCTACAATGTCTCCTTCAACACACAGACTCTGTGCACAAGGTCGTGTCAAGAAGCAAAAGGCTCGCTCGAACTCACCTCGTGCCTTTGAGATCCTGCCAGTCGAGGTACGTTTACCCGTCGTCTTCTCAACCCCAGGCTTCCATATACTAACTCTGTACACTAGTTACGGCAGTCAATTGCGGGTTATCTCGACGACAAATCCATCATATCTTATCGACTCACCTGCACATCGACAAAGCACGCCCTTGATGAAGATGAAGGATCCTTCTGGCGCAGTCGTTTCCTTGATACCTTCGATCCTCCTCAAAGCATTCCTATCGGCGAACGCTCGGTCGTCAACGAGTGGTTCAAGAAGCAATACCAGTGCCGCAGAAGCATCGAACATCAAAGGTTCAGCTTCCAAGTTGGAAACAGTCAGAACGAACTGGCAAGCCTATCGCTGATGAGAGACTTGATCAATGGTGCGTGCATGGAACTCAGTCCAATCTTCGTAACACCTCGCTGACACAACAGTCAGAGTCGTTCAACGTCAACCCTTGGCGACCCAACAAGCAAGTCACCCATTCTCGTAACATGGACCGCCTCGAAGCAATTGTCAAGGCTACAGGCTTGCTCGAGTGTGTCTTCCGCCGCTCCAATGTCAAGGGCAGGAAATCGATACCCAATCCAGTCTTGCTCACCATACAGCTCATCCTCACTCACCTCACCTTAACTGCTTCGCCTGCTTCGAAAATCGCCAAGTCATGGGGCTTCTCAGACTCACAGACCCTGGTGTATACTCAGAACTCGGTACGACCCATGTTTAAAGGTCCCAACTGTCAGGAGATTGACATCGAGTGGACACTGCATGTCGCAAATTTCTTCAAGAACCATTTGCTTAATCAACACGAACTGACTCACCTCCGCTACGATGATTTGACTGCATCAGAACGTCCACAGTGCTGGAAGAAACCTGTGTCGCCCGCCGTTCTGAAACTCGGCAAACACTGGAAGGGCAGCTATGCCTATGTCGACCACGACGAACTCATCCACATACGCGACGGGCAAAACGAGGACTATCCAATTCCGGACCATATGAGTGGCGACGACACCGATCAATCTTTCCAAGTGAGTTTCTCTATCGTGCGTCCAAGTTTCAACCGTACTGACAATAATAAAGAATCTCTGCCTCGATTTTCCCGGGGACCCAGAATCTTGGCCTGCCCTCTTTGAAAAGATCCTCAAGTCCCGTACCAAAGTTCAGTACAGCACAGCGACCACGAGAGCTCAAAGACGAGCCACTGGTCCCGGAGTCTTAACACCCGGCAAACCAGTATCTTTTTGCTTCAAGGGCGTAGGTGAAGATGGCAACGACAGCTTCTTGGCATCTGGTTACTTCAACCCTCTGCCACCCCAACACGGAGTACCCGGATGGCATCGCATGACCATGATGAAGTATTGGCGAGATGTGAATGGTGACATGGATCCCAGCTCGCTGTGGGCCTATGAAGGCGTCGTCCTGCCTGGAGGCATGATCATGCTCGGACGCTGGTGGCATCCCACTGGCGATGATGCAGAGTACTCGGGTCCTTTCATCTTCTGGAACGTCGACGCCAGCATGCCTGTCGGTGGCGAAGCAACTCCTGCCACTGACTGATACCAATCATCACTTACAACCCATCACTATTCGTACGACTGGCCCCGGAGCAAGACACAGCACAATTTTCACGACTATTACGACCCATTTTTATCTTCTCTCCTCTTTTGTTGCCCAAACGTCTCGACTGGGCGGAGGCAGGCCATTGAATATCACTATACCCATCCTGGAGCACACTCTTTCTTCGACTCTTTCTTCGACTCTTTCTTTTTGTTTATTATGGCGTCGATGCTGCCGTTGCAGAACTCGTCTCTTGATTTGTAACTCGTTTCTGTATTGCCCTTTTTCACTGGACACCAAAGGCCCTCATACATAGCGTAATTAGTCAATCGAAGTAACATTTTTCACTCCATTTTTCTCCTACGAAGGGATAGAGCGTGAACATCACTATCGAAATGCACAATCGTCTACAAAAGCTAGAGATCTCCACAGAGAGCCATCGATGTCACGATTCTCGATGGATTCCTCCTGGTTCCCGAGACATCTGTGCGTTTTGCAGTTTTACGCTACAAACTTCAGCAGACGAGGAGCGCACCCTCGTCGTGGCTCCCGTATATCTGGGCGGGACACATAGGCCCACTTGTTGTCTTCTATTCAACACTATGCGAACAGCTTGCTTGGAATTTGATCATCTTTTTGGTAGTAGATAACAGACAAAGCTGTTTCCATCACCCTCTGTATCTTCATACTCGTTTGAATGCTCATGCTTGAAGCGTTATATGTACTCGTAATAAAAGAGATAGAAACCTCAAGGTTGTGCTTGTCATCCATGAAATATTTTGGAGTCAGACTCTTGGTCGAAGATACTCATGACACCTCTTACGATGGTTTTAGCTAGACAAACTTTTATCAATCCAAGAGAACGGCCATCTGATAGTCATAAATCTCTGATATTCCAGGTTTGCATTGCTGATTGCAAGATGGATACAAGTTGTTTAATCTTCTTGGAGCGTTCATCCACGCCGAGGGTAAGTAGGTAGAAGTCGTCATGAGCAGGTACAGATGATGTTGTGAGCATGGAGGGAAGAAAGGTTGAAGAGTACCTGAAGAGACAGCACATAGAGGGATCAAGGCAAAAGTGTTTTCAGATGCAAGAACTTTTTGAATTCTATAGTAATCTGTATCAAGTATTTTAGTTTTTGACCACGCAGTTGAAATGCGGGTTCCATCCTTCTAGCAAGGGGAAGAGTTGAAAGTGATGAAGAGCTCAAAGCAGATAAGAAACGCCCAGACACCATCGCCTTTTGTTGGTTGAATCTAAAAGTCGAAGCTCCATCACCACCACATGTTTCCCCCTTTTTGTTGTTACTTTGTCCCCGCCTGGTATCATTGCACATGTTGAATCATCATAAGCACCCCTTGTAAAGTCAAAAGAAGAATATCAGAGAGGGTGAGAGCTGTTGTGGCAAGACAGCTTCCCCTCTATGCTATGCAGAAAAAGGTTGTGGAAACGGGAAATGCTGTGGAGAGAGAGAAAAGAGAAGAAGCGGCGCGATATACAGCTCTAGATAAGCATCTAGTATCTGTACATGTCGCTCTTGAAGGGACCCTCGACGGGGAGACCGAGGTATTCGGCCTGGACGTCGGTGAGGGTAGAGAGCTCAGCGTTGACGTGCTCAAGGTGGAGAAGAGCGACCTGCTCGTCGAGGATCTTGGGCAGGACGTAGACACCAACGGGCATGACACCGTTCTTGAGCTCACCAACACCCTCACCCTCGTTGGCGCGGGCGAACTCGACGTACTTCTTGCCGAAAGCCTCGTCACCGGCCTTGTACAGCATGATCTGGGCAAGGACCTGGTTGGCGAAGGAGCAGGACATGACAAAGGAAGAGTGACCGGTGGCACAGCCAAGGTTGACGAGACGGCCCTCGGCGAGGAGGATGATGTGACGGCCGGAAGGCATGAGGAAACGGTCGACCTGGGGCTTGATGTTCTGGACCGAGGTGGCGTTCTTCTTCAACCAGGCAACGTCGATCTCAATGTCGAAGTGACCAATGTTGCAGACAATGGCGTTCTCGGGCATGGCCTCGAAGTGCTTGCCGACGAGAATGTCACGGCAGCCGGTGGTGGTGACGAAGATCTGACCGACGGAAGCGGCCTTCTCCATGGTGGTGACCTGGTAGCCGGAGACGGCGGCCTGGAGGGCGTTGATGGGATCAATCTCAGTAACGAGGACGCGGGCACCCATGGCGTGGAGAGCCTGGGCGCAACCCTTACCGACATCACCGAAACCGGCGACGACGGCGACCTTGCCAGCAATCATGACATCGGTGGCGCGCTTGATACCGTCGACGAGCGACTCACGGCAGCCGTAAAGGTTGTCGAACTTGGACTTGGTGACGGAGTCGTTGACGTTGATGGCGGGGACAAGGAGGCCCTTGTTCTTGAGCATCTTGTAGAGGTGGTGGACACCGGTGGTGGTCTCCTCGGAGACACCGTAGCAGTCCTTGAGCATCTCGGGGTACTTCTTGTGGACAAGGGCGGTAAGATCACCACCGTCGTCGAGGATCAAGTTGAGAGACTTGCCCGAGGGGAAAGAGGTGAGCTGCTGCTCGAGGCACCACTCGTACTCCTCCTCGGTCTCACCCTTCCAGGCGAAGACGGGGGTACCACCGGCGGCGATGGCGGCAGCGGCGTGGTCCTGAGTGGAGAAGATGTTGCACGAAGACCAGGTGAGCTCGGCACCGAGGGCCTTGAGGGTCTCGATGAGGACGGCAGTCTGGATGGCTGTGAAGGCGCGGGTTAGCTTGGATAGGCGCTTCCTGAGGACGGATTGACATACTCATGTGCAAGCAACCGGCGATGCGGGCGCCCTTGAGGGGCTGCTCCTGAGCGTACTTCTCGCGGGTGGCCATAAGACCGGGCATCTCGTGCTCGGCGAGCTCGATCTCGCGACGACCGAAAGCGGCCAAGCTGAGGTCGGCGACCTTGAACTTCTGGGCGGGGGCAGACATCTTGATGGTACAGAAAAGAGGGGATAGGAAATGGATTGGAGGGGAGAGAGATGTAAGGAAGGAAGGGAGGAGAGAGGAGGGCAGAGTGTATGTAAAGTGCTAGCAGCCAACAAAAAGTGGCCCCACCCCTCTCTCAATCTCGACAATTGCCGTAATGTCTACAGATCTTCACCGCCTCGGATCTTTTGGAATTCTGCCCCCCAGCTTCAGAAGGGTCTCTAGCTGGAGCACGTGCCTCTGCGCAGTCAGTGCTGGTGCTGTTCCTGCCAAAAGCGGTGAATAGCGAGTTTTGGAAAGAACAAACCTCTCAACCACAGTGCCAAGCGCCGCGAGCTCTCCATGCTCTCTGCACCAGCCATTCCACTGCGTGGTCTTGACGTCTTTCATTTGTGCACTGTCTAAACCTCTGCCACCGTGTCCTCAGCTTCCTTGTCCACTACCGTGCTCGCCTGACTACTGCTTCCACTCATCCAATTGCTCAACACGCCGCACCGTTTGTCACTAGTCAACGACCTCTGCGCCATGACTGTCTACATATGCTGCTTTGATTTAGGCCTCCTCCATGACATTCCAGGTGCTGACCATTTCCGTCTACGAACAATACCATCTTCACACACCTAGTACACAGAAATAAACAGTCTACCGTCATTGCGTTTCATTGATTCGTGATTATGCTCTAGCTATTCAGGAAAGAAGGGGGAATCATGTGTCGGAGCTCTCCCGCTCCTTCGTGCTGATCGTAGACATCGTAGTGCGTAAGGGGGAAAAAGGAAAAGCGAATCTGTCCATATGCTTGCTGTGTTTCATTTCCGCCGTTAATGTCCTTTGTGTTTGTGCTCGTCAGAAACTGGATGGAGATGCAAGTGCTGTGTCGTTGTCGTTGTCGGCTTCATCAAAAACTCGTGAAAAGCGAAAAGAGGTCATCTCTCAAGCAAAAACGCTGCGGAAGAAAAGGGTACCGAAAAGAGTTTTCGTGATATGCAACATGCTTGCTTCGTCCAGTCAACGAAGTTTCGTTATTTGTCGGTCCTCAGACGTGGGTTTCAGGATTCCTCGTATGGCCCGAGGTTGCTCCTAATACCTCGCAGCAGGTGGAGGTCCAGGTGGTGGAGGTGGATAGCTGCCGGGATACATCATCTGGTTTCCAGGCTGCATGGGCATCTGAGGAGCTCCGCCCTGCTGTTGTTGTTGCTGCTGTAGAAGGGGGAGCATACGGTACAGGCTCTCTTCTTGTGCACGACGTGCCTCTCTGTCCTGTTTCTCGTGGCGTTTCTGCTTCATGGCCTTTTTCTTTTCCAGCTCGTGGATCTCGCGTCTGTTGCGAGTTAGCCATGGTCGATAGTCATGCATTCATATAGGCTTACCTGTGTTCATTCATTTCCTTCCACTCGCTGAAAGCACCCTTGATACCCAAGGCAGCAATACCAACGGCTGCTGCGTCCTGAACCCATGCCTTGGTCTGCTTCTTGCGAGCTTCGTTGGGAGACATTTCACCTTCTTGGACGAGCTTGTGGCGCTTCTCATGAGCTTCCATGCTGGAGTAAACACCATGAGCAGCGTGAATGGTGGCGACAGTAGCAAGACCGGCTGTGAGCAGCTCCTTGCCTCGCATACGCTTGCGACGGACATCCACATCAGTGCTGCTGCTCGAAGAACTCTCGCTACGTGCGCCGCGGTTGTTTGTTGAAGCAGCGAGGGCGCCGGCGCCAGCACCTGCACCAGCGGCGGGTCCCAGGTTTCGATCACGACCGCGCTGGGCGACGGCGCGGCTTCCTGTATCTGATTGAGCGGGTGAGCTACGCTCCTTGTTGCGACGACGATTGCGGGAAGGCACATACGAGTCTGCAGAGCTGGACGAAGGGGAGCGCCTACGACGTGACTTGGATCGCACACGGTCGTAGATGGCCTTGCCAGCTGCTGCTAGAGCTCCTCCAGCTGCGAGCTTCTCAAGCCCGCCAGCACCACCGCCTTGGCCATCACGGCCACGCGACTGGCTTCTGCCACGACCACCAAAGATGGATCGAGAACGACTGCGAGAGCGGCCATACGGGTCGTCCCTAGCGCCAGCAGGACCTCTACTTCTACTGCGAGGGCCATTGGCAAGACGGTTGGCTGCAAGACCTCCAATCACGGCTTCGGCCAGATGACGTTTGGTCTTCTTGTCGGGATTGCGATCAACGAGGCCGTCAATACCTCCAGCACCAATAGCGGCAGTGGCAATGCGACGGCCCTTCTCTCCAGTCCAGGGTCCAGGGTCTTTGCGAGAGCGGAACGCCTCGACAGCACCAGCAACAAGAGCGGCTTGAGCAGCCTGAGCCCACTTGCGTTCGGCACGACCCTTGGATCTGCTCCGACTGCGGCTGTCTTCGTCCGAGTCGTAGCGGCCACCATGACGTGATCTGGCTCTAGCATCTCTGTCACGACGAGAGTCATGATCTCTAGACCTGCTGCGGCTGCGGGAGCGTCCTGTTATAGCAGCGGCGACTCCTCCAAGTCCAAGGCCTTCCAAGATCTCACCGACACCAGACTTGCGACGTTCTGTGTGACGACGACGGGGGGGAGAGTACTCTTCCGATTCATAGTCGCGATCATGGCGATCGCGGTGACGGCGGCGGTCCTTTGCGCGTCCAGCAGCGTATCCAGCACCAGCAGCGGCGGCAGCAGCTACGGGAACGTCGCAGTCATCATCGTAATCATCGTAGTCTCTGCGGCCGACCTGGCTCCGGGCGCGACGGGGTGGGGGATAGTTGTCGTATTCTCTTCTTCCTCCACGGGGAGCATAACGATCGTTGGACGGGGGAGGAAAGTCTCTTGTGATGTCTTCGACGCTTTCGTCGCGAGGACGGTAGACCAGATCGCGAGGAGGAGGGCCTTTACCGCGCTCGATGTATGTCGTTTCCTGGACGAACTCGGGATCACCGCGTTCGCGGGGTCGGGTGCGGGTCTCGCGGTAGCGGCGGCGGTCGTCGTATGCGCCGTAGTCGGACATGATGTGGCAGGTGGTCGAGGGTCGGTCGAGAAAGAAAGAGGGAGGTTTGGCAGGCAGCGCTCAGTCAAGATGACAGGCGTGGCAGGCGTCACAAGCCTGACAAGGGTGGCTGGTAGTGGCCTTGGCTTGGTGGGTGTGGTGGGGTGTCAAGCGCCTTGACTGGGCGTTCGATCTCAGATGTGTTTGTTGCGAGATCAAGGAAAAGAATAAGGTAGGGATTGCGTCGCGTTTCGAGCGGTCAAAGTTCACAGGGGCGTGTGTTTATGCGTGATGGAGAAGTAAAGAGATTGTAAGAGGCAAGTGAAGATATGGATGAAAGGGAAAGCGCGGCGCTACAGACCAACCAATTCACAGACGAAGTTGCAACTGCAGGTTTGTCGAGACGTGGCAGGCGCGACCGCCAAAGCAGCAGCCACATGAATGCACAAAGACGTCATCCAAGCCTGCCTTTCGCAGCCCAATCTACGCCTAACTCCTGCTTAGACATCTAGACAGCCATTCGGTCTGGTTCTCTGCTGCATTGCTGTTATGTCGATGGCAAGCAGTAAGGAAGTAGGCAGGTAGGTTGGTATTCTCGTTGGACCCGTCTTTGTTTCAATCTGTGGAAAGACCCTCGCCAAGCCGGCCCCGTTGCCAAACACTTGTTCCTGTCAGGACCCAACCTTAACCCCACTCTGCAGTCCTGGTTGTGATTGATAACTCTCCATTGCACTGGCATCGACAGCATGACAGAACAAATCTCCTGTTTCCCAAGCGCTGAGTATCACGAGTCTTCGTCCGCTAGGTACTGGAACGACGTGCCTTATGGGAGTACACGACTGAATCTGCTTGACATATGTGTGCCTAAGAGACAGCCTGAAGATGCTTCACAAGCAATATGGCTAGTGTAAGTAAAGTTTTTTTTTTCTTAGTAACTTCTTTCTCTTTGGAGAAATCTTCTCGCGACCGGCAAAGCCTTGTCCAGCGACATCTGTTTCGTCAAAAGCACCAAACCCTCCTTCTCTCAGAATCATGTCGATCGCGACCTGCAATGGCTGACTTTCAACCAGCTATATCCACGGAGGAGCTTGGAGAGATCCCTTGATCGATCGTAAGAGTTTCAAGACTGCCCTCGACATGCTTCTCGAAGACGATCAGCCACACAATATCGCCGGATTCGTATCCGTGGACTACCGCCTGTCACCCTATCCCTCTCACCCTATATTGCCATCGTCTCCAAGCGACGATAGCCGTAATTCACAGCATCCAGAGCACCTTGACGACATCCTCGGTGCTTTGTTGTTCCTTAGCACCGAAGCTGGTACAGATATCCAGCTCGAGAAGGGTGAGATTGTTCGGTTGCCAGACACATCGTCTATCACGGAAGGTCGCTACATTTTGTGCGGTCATAGTTGCGGTGCGACACTTGCAATGCAAGCCACTGCTCTCCTGAACGGTGGACGGCGTGGTACACGGCCTCCAGTAGCATTGTTGGGTATGGAGGGCATCTACGACTTGAATGCTCTGGTGGCCAAGCATAGTCATCCGGCTTATCGCGAGTTTATCACAGGTGCTTTTGGTGAAGACGAGGGAACATGGATCACTGCAAGCCAACTGTGCTGCGAATTACAAAAGTGGCAAGGCAATGCTTTGCTCATACACTCAATAAACGATGAGTTGGTGGATATGCAGCAAACAGATTCGGCGGTGGAAAAGCTGGTCATACAAGGATTCACAAGAACAACAGCAGCACCAAGCTCGGTCAAAAACGATGGCAGGCGAGTGTCGAAGATAGTCATCGACTGCATGCATGACGAGGTCTGGGAGCAGGGAACCGAGTTGGCAAAAGCGATTCGAAGCGTGACTGACGAAAGCTGGATCCCCAATACCTCGTCTGCAACGTGTTAACACCATCAAAAAGTGGTTTCAGCGACTGAGCCTTTTGAACATGACAATACAACAGATCTCACATGTCTCAGAACCGAGGCATCTGCTTTGACGAAGAGTTCAAATGGTATGAGCAGGTTCCCTTTGACGAGTTCTTTAGAAAACCAATGTATACAGAGTGACCCTGTTTCAGGTGAGGGTGAGCGCCAAGGGCCGACAAAAGCCGAAGACGCTGGGGAAATTCTCGAGCGGACAGCGACATGTGATTGATGATTGTCCAAGATTTGTCTTGATATAAGAAATCGAGTATGGCGGACAAGGTAGCAGGAGTGCCCCTGGCCAAGACAGCAGAGCAGACGGTCAACAATGGCGTAAAGGCTGCACCCAAGGCGGCCGAGGGCAATCCCGCCTTTCGCATGATGGGTATGTCACCAATACGATCTTCCCTTTGGCTATGCCACACGCGCCTGTCAAGGGCGAACCTGATGCCACACTCAGAGGAATTGTCACTAATGCATAAGAAACACAGGCCTACCAAACATCAAGGCCAAACTCCCCTCGCGAAACTGGATGATCTTCCTCTCCATCACCGGATCCTTTGCAGCAGCCGTCTACTACGACAAGCGCGAAACATCCCGTCTCCAGAAGAAATACTGCGATATGGTCGCTCCCCTCTCCGAGGTCATTCTGCCCACAACCACAATGCCCAGGAAAATGACCATCTACCTACAAGCGCCGCCAGCCGACGGCCTAAGAAACGCCAGAGAACATTTCTACGAATACGTGAAGCCTGTTCTGGTAGCAGGAGCTATGGATTGGGATGTTGTCGAAGGCAGAAGAGAGGGAGACTTGCGTTTCGGAGCTGCAGAAAAGATCAGAAGATACAGGCGGAAAGCTGAAGGTCTCGACGAGGACACTGTCGAGCCTACGAAAGACCAGATCGTCGCCGAGCAGCGAGAACGCGTTGGCTGTGTCGATGAGGCTGGCGTCAAGGGAGACCTGGTCGTTGGCAGACACGCGTGGAAGGAATATCTACGCGGCACACACGAAGGCTGGCTGGGCCCCTTGAAAGAGCCTGTCCAGCTCGAGCAGACCGACGACGTCAAGCAGCACATCGATGGCGCACCCTCACTGGGCGATGCAGCCGTCAAAGCAGCCACCGATCTGACCATGAAGGACACTCCTCCCACCGCTTCCTCGGGCTCGTCAACAACCACAAACTCAAACTCGATCGTCTTCGACTCAAATGCCGACGACTCTGCAAACACAGCCCCTGAGTCCCTCCCCGACCCGCCAAAGGAAGAAGCACCCGTCAAACCAAAACTCACAAAACCCGACCCCTACATCTCAACCTCCGCCTACCCCACTGCCACCTTGCCATCATCCATGCCCGGTTCCCTTGGCCCAACCATCGCAATTCCCCTGCCTCACCTCCTAGGCTTCTGGAACTTCCCCATCCGAATTTACCGTTTCCTCAACCGTCGTTATGTTGCAGAAGAGATCTTCTCTCGTACCGCTGCCGCTGTTCTCGCGTCTCACCGCGAATTCCAAAACTCCGACATTGATTACCTGTCACACGAAGAAAAGGAATGGCACAAGAGCGTGAGGAAGCCCAAGGCTGACTCTGAAGCCGAAGAGGGTGCCGTTCAACAAGAGAAGAAGGAAAGATTGTGGTTGGATGAAGTTGTTGTCGATGATAGAGTTACATCGAGAATGCGTGTCTTTGAGTTGCCCGCCGAAGGCCAGTTGCCTGTATCAAATCTGGAGCGAAACAACACACAGCAGCCAGCTTGGACCTACCAGGGTGGTGCCTCTACTAACAAGGAGTAAATGGCATTGGATATTCCGTCACGAAAAGAAAGCTCAGGCTTTTGTATATTTATTGTATATGAACAAATCACTGCTCAAATTCAGTCTGCTTTCGCTCCTTCATGTTCTGACCAAACATCTCGTTCTCTCAACACATTTACTCAGCAATCAGCCACCCACGTTTGTGGCAGGTCATATATCGTTTCCGCCAAAATCTATCCCTCTCCTTCCATAACACCTTCCTCTCCGACTCGTCCAAAGAAGGTCACTGTCCGCTTGTTGATCTTCCATGCATCACTAGCACCAGCCTCCACCTCTGCATCCTGTGCCTCTGCAGCAGGGAGGCAGACCAGTTCGTCAACATACTTTCCATACGCGGTCACCTGTTGACCTTCCCACTTCCCTCGGCCCAGATGTACGCCAGTGAAGTATGTGGTTGCCTTTGCTGAAGATGACCCAGTGACCAGATGCTGCGTTGTGAGAGCGTGTTGAGTTGTCACTGGCTTTAGTCTGTGAGATATATTAGTCCAGTCCGCGAATTCTCTACTTCGAGTGATGAGAATAAAGACGTTTGGATCGGAGAGAGGCTTACCGTTGCTGAATCCTCTTGCTCAACGCATCAACACCAAGAATTGGTTCGTCATTGAACGGGTAGATTGCCACCACATCTTTTTCAAAGACCTTCTCTAACAGAGCCCAATCTTTGTTATCCAGAGCTATACAGTATAGCGCTATCGTGTTTCTGATAGCATTGTAATCATGGGGTCCTGGCGAGGATGACATTTCTTCACTTGGAGGAATGCTTCCCAGGATATGTGTCGATATGATGTGTTTCCTCGCTGTTGGTAGAACTTAGATGGTAATGTTGCTAGGATGAAGGCGCAAAGAGGTATCTATCATACGAAGCTGTAGTTGTAGTTGTGCTTCGGTCTCCCCTCTCGGCTCCGTGAGTCGGGTCTCCCCTTCACCTCCAATGTCGTCGGGCAGCTATCAAGATGCACAGTTGCTTCACTGAGTAGAAAACATTCGCTGAGACTCGTAGCGCGAGTCCCGTCTGTATGGATATATCTGCCAATCTGGAGACAATTGTGCGTCTCGACGACTTCAGATGACTGAGGGATGGTTGTGACGAAGACTTCTACATTTCGCGACCCGCCCGAAATGTTATCGATGCACCATAGTTCTTCTCGCGTTTAACTTGAAGAATTTTGGCCGTTGAGCCAGCAGTTCTGTGACGTTCATGCTCGCAAGTGAGACCATGGACTGGAGAACGCGTCTGTTGTCGAATTCGAATTTACCGGCAGCCCCAGGGTCGGCATCTCACACCTCGTACGCTCCCGACATGCGCATCTTTCCATCCTTCTTGGCCAACAGACCACCGGGTACGTGGTTCGCAATCAATGACGCCGCCGATACTGGGCATCTCTTGTTCGAGCGAAACCTTCATGACAAGTCCAAAGAACAACCCACGCGAGACGAAAGAAGGTCGCCAAGCGGAACGAACTTTCCAAATGAGGCATGGGGCTGGGCGCAGCAAGGGTCACACGCAGTACGTCAGGTCCATCTCTCTTGGTGTTCTTGTCTCCTGTGGAGAAATGGAGCCTCCGACGACATCGACATCTCCAAATCCACTTGGCAAGAGGTCAACAACCAAGACGAGGGCATAGAGGAAAAGATTTGAAATTCCCCAGAGGCACACCCCCGCGGTGCCCGCAGCGATAATTCGATGGTGACAACCGTCGCCAAGACGAGAGCCTTGGTGTGTTCTATGCTCCAATACCCATATGTCTGGAAATGTCGACACCACATCTGCATTGACAATCTTCTTGGTGTCTTTGGCATAAGCCTTGGCTGTTCAAGACGAGCATTTACTCTGCCTAGTGCTTGTATGTCTCAGTCTGATCGAGGCCTTTGCTGAATCCTCTTCTTGACTTTCCACCTACGGCATTTGGACAAACTTGGGCGACACATGAGGCAAGAGCCAAAATAGCATCACCCAAGGTATTCCTAAGACCGCCAAGGGTGAATCTTAGGATGTATGAACGTTTGGAGATTGAGAAGTGTAAGCAACACACAGTCTCCCACGCCACTTCGCACGATAGTGGATGCAATATGAGGGCAGTTTGTGTGAAACCTCAGAAGGTCAATTGACAGCTGAGCTTTCCGCCAGAGACGCCAGTAGCTAGCAACAGAGTGGCTGGTGATTGCAATGCGTTCAAGCTGACTTTCAACTCCGAACCTCAGTTCGCACGCCGAGCATACCACTCCGCCCACAGCAAGCCAGATCAACGGCCTTGGCAACTCTGATCTATATGCCAAAAAATGCTCCGCCCAGCAAAGGGACGCCGAGAGAAGAAGTCTCCAACGGTTGGAACTCTCTTGCATACCACATGACGCTTGGCAAACATGCTCCCCAGGCACGAATGTATCCCAACTTCTGACGTGTGCCTTGGGAACGTCTTGGATAGGCAATCCTCTTGAGCATGGAAATGGTATAAGTATGTGTGCCTGCCCTTGCTGTAAAGATATCCATCCACACAACAATTCGACAACAGCTTAATACGACCAGCGACCAACACCAATACACACCAACAACAACCAATTCTTTATAGAAATCGTCAACATGAAGTTCACTGCTGCCACCATTGCTACTTTGGCCGTTGTCGCCTCTGCCCTTCCCACAGAAGTCGCAGCCCCCAAGGGTAAGACTTCCACTCTCCTATCTACTCTGCTCGACCTCTTACGGATCTTGACATTCTCTAGGCGGCTGGGAATCTATCACTTACCCTAAGGGAACTGGTGCAAACCTCCATGAGTATCCCAAGGGTACTGGAGAGAACCTTCACGAATACAACGCCCCTCCCGGTGGCTGGGGATCCGTCGATTACTCCAAGGGCGGTGCTGCACCTGCCAAATGCCCCGAGGCTCCCAAGATGGCCGGCTCTCCCTTCACATTCACCTCCTACTACGAGGTCAAGGCCACCCCCGATCAAGTGGTCAACGGTACGACTCCCACTGGCGGTCTTGCCGGTGCTTCAGGCCTCTTCAAGATCGGCATCAACAGCGAGTTGAACCTGATCTGCTACAACATTGAGATCTACAACTTCCGCGGCGACTACTCATCTCCCGCCGCCACAGCCACACACATCCACGAGGCTGCCAAGGGTGCCTCTGGTCCTCCCAGAATTGCCTTCCCCAACCCCGTCGATGTTGGCAATGGTGTTCGCCGCAGCGTAGGCTGCCAGCAGGGTCCCTTCAAGACTGGCTTGTTGGCCAACGGAAAGGACACGGCTGACGGCTTCCACATCAGCCAGATCGAGAAGAACCCCGCTGGCTTCTTCGCCGACACTCACTCGAGCTTGGCTGTTCCCGGAGCTGTTCGTGGTCAGCTTGCTTAAAGGCTCTGTTCACTCAAGATGATGGCCTGAGGATCTTCCTGTGATACCAACTGTACTGCTCTTTTGCTTGTACCTATTTCGTATGTCATTTGGTCAGAAATATAATTCATAATCTCACTCCTTGCAATACTTCTTCCTCCAATCTATAAAGACTAGTAGAATGAGTTGTAGAGAAGCGCGATTTAACCGATATGCAGTGACATCTGGAATAGACCTTGACATGTTTCCAAAGCCATAATCGTGTTTACAAGAATACTGGGTTCTTGGATAGTCTGTGGACTCATGACCTGTTGCCGTGAGGCCGAGGCCAATTGTTGTTTTCGTAGTCAAGTATGGTATGATCTTGTGGTAACGAATGCTTTCTATATAGCACATGTCCTTGTTTCTCCTTAGAAATGAAGGACCTCTGTCCATTCCGCCTTCTCTTTGAGAAGGCCATTGGGATACGTCCGCCAAGTGATGTTACACACGCCCCTTATACCTTCAGAAATATCTCGAATATCCATATCATGGACCCGAAAGCACTCTAGAGGCTTTTGTGGAACCTTCGCCTCGCCGTCCGCAATCATGCGCATCATAGGTCCTGGTTCCATGTAAACAGATTTCGCACCCTCGAAAATCAACACGCTGGCTTCTTCGACTTCTAGCAATCTTCTGGCGACTTTTGCATGTAGGCGCGCGTCCCAGAGGCCCTCACGGCCATTTGTTTCTTCAAGAATGGAGATGGCTTCGCGTCGTGTAATCGGGTCACGGCACTTGATGGCCACGAGGTATAGAGGGGGAATATATTCCATGTTGAGCGAGAATCTCGGCACGTTGGTGACAGAAAGTGCGGCCAGTCGTGTGTGCAAGCATGGCTCCCTTGGCTCTGACGAAGGTGTAATCAGGGCTCGGGACCACTTGACTATGGACGCAAACTCGGGGAGGTAAGCATCAAAGCCAGATTCTTCCAGTTCAGTGCATCGTGCCAGCCAGATGAAACTAGCTGTATGCTGCATCCGAAGCGATTTTTCGATCTTGTAGTCGTCTTCTGTGAGTGTGTTGCATGACTTTACGAAGTTGGCCATGCTGTTCTTCCAGATTGAGAACTCGCTCAGCAGATGGATTTGTAAAGTTCGTCCCGTCAAGGAAACAGACCCAGCTTCGGCGTGCTTTCCATCGTGAATGCTGCGAATGAAACCAAGACTTGAAGCAACCAGTAGATCAAGCGAGCTTTTAGCGTGCTCAAAGCTGTCGAATGATCTTGGTACAGACAGAGTCAACAACTTGTCCATGTGGTAGAATAGGCTGGAACCTGAGAATCCCATCAAGGTAGTCTGTGAATCCAGCCGATGGAAAAGGGGTCGGACCTCCTGTCTGATAGATTTGGCGATCGTATTCGACGATGCTTCCTTTCCGCCATCCTGGACTAGCGACGATCTGAGCATGTTCAGGCCATTTTGTAAATGATCGATGACCAAGATGCGGTTTCCATAAATGCATTCTAGTGAGATGAACAAAAGACAACATAACATAGCTATATCAAGTGATCCTGGGTCTCTGCTGAGATGTATCTTCAACTGCTTGATGGCTTCGTTGTAATGTCGCAGGACAAAGTTGGGGTCTATCGCATTTTGCACGATTTGATTGTTGGCTGCGCCGGCTTCAAAGCGTGCATGTGCGGAACTCAATGCTATCAATGCATGTCTGATAGCTGGCTCTGAAGCACTCAGTTGGGGCAAATCGAAGGACCAAAAAGAGTGACTCAAAACGTTCGACAGGGCAGGTCCGGTCCGCATGCTGAAGAACTCGATCCAAGGGCTTTCTTCACCCGACACCGCTGGCGACAGGAAGGCAGCATCAACAATCAACTTGGCTGGTGCCAGACGCCGAACCGCCCGATTCGAGGCAGACGTTGTCGTGAGCGATGGCCTTTTCTGTGTCAAAGGTACTACCGCTCGATCCGGTGGTGTAGCTGATTTGACGGTCTTCCTCTCTGGCTGCACAGCATAGCCATCGCATTTGCGCCCGGTGTCAGTGCAGCGCTTGCAGTATGGCTTCTCTTCATCACATTTCACTTTGCGTATCTATCATATTGCGTCAGTAGTGGCTCGCTGGCGCATTGATTGCAACAGTCGCATACTTTGCAGGTGATGCAGCCGGTGCGGACCTTGAGCTTTCGACTTGGTCGGCTGCCTTCGGATGGGGTCGCAGACATCAAGGACAGCTTACACAACGCGCTCTATAACGACGCACACGCTGGCTGTTCGTCGATGTGTGGGTCTCATCGCAGAATCAAGTGACACGAAATGATGGAGAATTGAGGCTTTGCATGCCGTTCGTCATGAAACCGGTGAGGATACGCAGTACTAAACAGCTGCCTGGGCGTGTTTCTATTTGTGGTCAAAGTGTGCAGGTACAACCGACTTTCAGGGCGGATTCCTCGTGTCGACTTGCTATTCTCATCCTTCTCTATCTACTCAGTACTTATCCCGACATTTCCTATATGTATGAGAAGGAGCTCTCTTGAAAGTTTCTCTGTAGTCTATGTTGCAATACTCGTTTATGTCATTTAGGTCCTGTCACGCGTGACGTGATCTGGACTTTGTATACGGAGAACCACGATTGAATTGGGCATGCTAAATCTAAGCACAAGTCTTTGAACCTTCTTACATCCTCCCGACGCACGGCATCCCTCCACACGCTGTAAGACCGCTGACGCCCATCTTTGACTCTGCTCTCATTCTCATACTCGGGATTTCATGTCGTTCAGCTCGCTCTCAGCGATCGAGGGTGTTGCGGTCTCCTGGCTCACCATTCTGATATGGTTGTTATCGCTCTTGTTGCTCTTCTTCCATGTCCAGTTTGCAGCCGCCCAGGATGCAGCACTACCGAATGCGATTCCAGGGTGACACACAGTCAGGGCGATCGTTGCAATGATGATCATCGGACCTTCCAGGATCATGAATGCGGTTTGGTTGTTGGCCAGCTCTCCTCCAAACCCATCCTTGAGCTCTGCGACACGGAAGACGCAACGAATGTAGATTGTGATGGTTGCAACGGCGATGGCGTAAGGGAGAATGCGGAACATGGTGCGCTTTCTGAGATTGAAGAAGTCGAAGTTGAGGTCGCTTTCTCTTGCCTTGCGTGCTCTGTAAACGAACTCCATGCTGAGTGCGATGAAGATTGTCAGACTGACGACTTGGAAGGCAAGACCGGCAATCATGATGTTGACACCATCGCGGGACGGGTCGTTGGCATCCTGTGTGGCAGCCAAAGCTCCCCCAACAGCTTGGAGCAAGAGACTGATGAAGTCGCACACCATGAATGTGAGAGTATAGAATTTCGGAGAGAAGCGTGAGATGTTTTGACCGTAGACGATAACGATGCGACCAAGGCAGAGGTATATGGATGCTGTAAGGAATGCCGGGCCAATGGTGAGGCACACAAGATACCTGGATGGGTCAGACGAGAACCCGAATGGGAACAAATACTGCTTACAGGACAAACTGGTCAAAGTTGAATGGGTTGCCACTGAGGGTGATACGACCGGCATAGCCAAGTACTTCGAGAAGGAGGCCACAGAACATCCCAACAAAGAAGCCAGTCGTGCGATACCTCCACATGAGTCCCATCTGTGCGAGTAGGAACACGGCGAATATGATGCAGTATGTCAGGTTGCCGCCGTAGGTCGGGATGTATTCAATCTGTGCATAGTCCATTGAACACACGCCAATCGTACAGTCGTCTTTGTTGATGAGGGTGCCATTGAGTGCTGGAATGAGCACAGTGCCATTGACGACGGTCGCCATTGTTGAGTCTGCGTAAGTTGGGTGTAAAGATAGGCTCGTTAGGTAGAACGGACAGATGAACTTGATGTGCGACGATGGAATACAAACTGTGGGAGATTGAGCACCTGTTTATATCCTCAACCACCTACCATCCTCCAGGATGTCAAAAAGGACTGAGTACTCGATCGCTGCAGCTCAGCCTCCTCTGTCTTGTCAGATCTCTACCAGCATGCACACAAACATATCGCAAGGACTTCCCATTCGGTATACAGGGCTCCGAAGCATGAAGTAGAAGTCCAACGTGCGTTGTCGGGCCTGCAAATGATTGGTCCGCTCGCAAGGGTTACTAAGATGAGAGCTGTCCAACACGGTGGAACGACAGGGCTGCGGTCCGAAAAAGAAAGGGACCGGGCAGTGCGTGGGCGGGACAGTCTCTTTCCGGTAAAGCGTCCCTTCTCGCATCATCTTCTGATTGGCCGATTCGCACTTTTGTCTGGAAAAGCTGCGACGACGACATGACGACCATCTTCCACGTTGTCTTGAAGGTTGGCATTTGTGAGTCAGTTGGGTGTAGTTTCAACCAGGCCGGCATTGGTTTGCGTAGGTAATCGTGAGTTTTGCCGCCACGACGTGAGCTTGGGATAGTTGGGTTCGTGTCGTGATCGCTGGCGAAACGCAGCAGGACCAGCTTCACATTTCTAACCCAACAACCACACCCGTTATATAGCTCGTTGACCATGCAACCCTGCGGAAACACTGATAACGATACTACACATAGTCTGGCTACAGCATGTCAGCCCAGGCACCCGGACTGTATAGTTGGGTCATCAAGTCCGGAACGAAACAAACGGATCTAGTTTTGATGCCGTTGTAGCGAGTTGCTTTGAGACGTGCAAGCAGCTCTGGATGAAAGTCGGGATGGATACGAGCGCAGGCGCTGTTGATACGTCGAATCTGTTGGCAACAAATCCCTCGAGAAAAGATGGTCATTGGCGGAAGATGTACTTAGAGCACTCGGCCAGACGCGAGGGTGACGCGAACTCAAACGAAGTCATGACCTAAAGTATGCCTCGCTCGTGAATCAGTGTCGCTGCAGAGTGCATGTCTGAGAGTAACACTCTACCACGAGACGAGTCGCAATCCGCGCCGACGCTCCCGAGACGACGTAAAGCTCGTGCCTCTCGCGGGCGAGGACTTCGAACCACCACAGGATGGTGAGCCGCCATTTCCATCACGAATATTGAGGCTCTGCTGACTCGGAGTTTCGCAGTGTTGTATGCCGAACCCGTCACATCAAATGTGATGAGAAAAGGCCAACCTGTTCGGCCTGCCTGAAGAGCAAGAGACAGTGCGTCTATTCTCGTGTGAGTCTCGGCTTTCGGCTGCCAAAATGATTGCTGTATTCCTTCCTACGCGTGCCCATTTGTATCATTGAATTCCACACACGTGCAAGCGTATCTGATCAAGCACGTAGGAAAACCAGGAGGATGCTTCAAATCCCGACAACTCACCTACTGTGTTTCAAGTATCAGATTTTGAAGGCGCTGCTCGACGTGTAGACTCAAATGTTTCCGAGCCACGACCACATGTCCAGTATCAAACGCCTTTTTCAGAGAACAACGATTCAGCCTTCCATGCCCTGCCTCGCAGTGTTCATGCTCCTGACATCGTCAGACAGCTTGAAGACACACAGACGTCAAGTCCCCGCTCAAGCCTAAGCGTAAGCACTACATACGCTGCCGACATAGCACCTCTAAGATGGTTCGGTCTACTTGCTGGAGATGCAGCAAATGCAGATTGGAACCTCAATCCAATCTCGCCAGCCCTTGTTACTGCTCAGAGTAACACTCCTATCAATATACCTCAGCACACTAGCGGAGGCTCCTTTGTCCGACCATCAGGACTCATCCAAGGCTCATACACGCCTTCAGTCATCCCACAAGAAGCGGTGGTACTGTCGAAACTAGAAGTTTCTCTGTTCAGATATTTTGTTACGCATTTCAGCCGCTGGATCGATCTTACAGACCCTCATCGCCACTTCTCTGTCATGGTACCGCACCTGGCCTTGCGCAATCAAGGACTAATGAAAGCCATACTTGCGCTCTGCACAAGGCATCTCTCAATCAAGCCCTTCGCTGACCTGGCTCCTGATCGAACACTTGCCGTGCAATACTACTACGAAACACTGCAATATCTACAGCAAGCCATGAAGAACGAGGCATATCTACGTAGTGAAGAGCTTCTTGTCACATGCTTGATAATCAGCACATATGAGATGATAGATGGTGAAGGCAAGAGCTGGGAACGACACCTACGGGGCATCTTCTGGGTTCAGAGATCCCGCGAGATCAACGGCGAATCTGGAGGATTGAATCAGGCTGTATGGTGGGCCTGGTTGCGTCAAGATGTCTGGGCCGCTTTTCGAGAAGGCCGTAAAGTGTTGAGCTTCTTCAAGCCTACGAAGCCCTACTATGCTATGGATCACTGGGACATTGCTGCAAGATGTGTCTACCTGGTGGCCCAGAGCGTCAACTACAGCTCAGAGCAAGAGGTCGAAGCTGGTAAATCTGATTTGATCATGCGTCTGGCCAAAGCAGACGAGTTGACGACCAAACTGGATGATTGGTATCAACATCTGACCAGTCACTTCGACCCTTTACCTTGTCACAACGTCTCACAAGGACCCTTCAAGCCAACCTGGATTCATCCCCCAGTCTTTGCGGCTGGTTTACAGCTCTATCACTTCGCCAAAATCCTCCTTCAGATATGTACTCCTGCAGCTGGGGGACTAAAGGAATACCTCGCGAGGGAGCGCGCGCTCCACGAATCGATCGACATGATATGTGGTATCGCTCTGGCTACCGAGGATGATGCGGCCATGGCCATCTCAACACAGTGTGTCTTCGCTGCCGGTCTACACACGCGGGACTCAATCAAGAGAGTCGCGATTCTGGAGATAATTACACAACACCAGAGTCGGACTGGCTGGCCTGTCCACGATCTTCGTGTTGACTTGGAAGCCGAATGGACCAAAACTGACGATCCGGCATGAGACCCCATGCAGACTTCGGCAAATTTGAGAAAGTATGTGGTGGTATCTGCTGTCTGCTATCATATACTGTAGCAATGATTCACCTCGGCCCGATTCCCTGAATCCCTCCGTCTTGTGTCTACGATATGACTGCACGGAATATTGACATGGCATCGTTGTATAATTTATCTGACCATCCCACGAGTAGCCTCGTCACTTGGTCGTTTCACAACGAGGGATTGTCATCTGGTCGAAAGTCCAAGGCCGGCATTGTCAGATCTCGCTGAATATTATCTTACCTCCGTGATCGCGCTGTCAAGCATAGATGCCTTGACTGTGCGATATCGCGAATGGGTGATCAATGGTTGCGTTTCTCATACCATGTGCTGCTTGAATATATCGAAGTTGATTGCAACCTTGTCGAGAATCACCTCTTGCAAAAGGATGGATCCCGCTGGAGCCACCACTTTCGGCCGATGTCCATGAGACAAGAATACCAAACAGAAACTACCTGTGTTGCAGTGTTCTCCCAGTCTTTGGGTACTAATCTTTAGTATCGGGTCGACAGACATTGGATTGTGTTTACGATACTGCGTCGGAGAGGCACTTGTCCTCAACCATGTGGTGAACATCGATCCCTTGACACCTCGAACAGAAACTAGTGTCGATTGTCTACAATGCAGCAAACTTGAGTGATGTTGTCAGTGCTGTCGATGACATACGAGCTGCGCAAACACGAGCGTTGTTTGCCTTTCATCATGTTGACCAGGACCACTATCCTTATTGCATGTAACCTTCTTATCATTACATGATTATCAGACAACTGCTACTGAACCCAATCTGGCGTCTCACGTCTGTTGGTAGCGCTTCCTTGATCCAGATCTATCATGTGCTTTCCACATTCGTGCATCCTCACGCCAGTCCTCTAAAGGAAGGTGGTGTTCTTCTCGCGCAAATGGCTCAGGCGGCAGCATCTCGCGCATGGAATGTCACTCCAAGCCACACTTTTAAAGGGAGGAGGACTTACTTTTTTCCTCTGATCATTACGCGTCTACGGTACAGGAAACATGATCTTACCCGAGACCGAGCGCATCTTGATATTTTGATCGAAGATTCACAAGTCGGCTGGGAAAAACAGAAAAAACGTACAAAAAGGTTTTACGATATACGTTCCCTGGCAAAGACAGATGAGTGAGGTCATGAATTCAGGCTGTTGAATAGTGTTTGGCGATGGCACTTTTGAGTTAAGCAAAACGTGGCTTGACAAGATGCTTCAGCCGCGTTTCCATCGATACCCGAGATCAAGCATCGACAGACACACAACGCTTTGAGTACTCCCGGGAGGTGGCTGCTGTCCCTCATTGTTCGAATAGTGTCGCATTAGAATATGGTGATGAATTAATAATGTAGATATCTAGCAAAAGAACAAGTCGTGACGTTTCCTCAAACATGCGAGTTCATGGCATCGCGGCCTCACATAACACCTTCCTCGCTACTAGATCCCCTTCTCAGAACACCCTTCTCACTTCCAGCTCTCTTCACTAATTTTCTATCCCTCCAGATCGCCCAGAACCTGAGTGCTAAGAATAGAGCACCGAGGATGGCGACGACTATTATATAGTACTTGTTGTAGTTGCTGTCGCCTGCGAGGTTAAGGCCGAGAGGTACATTGACGATACCCAGAATTAACAAGCAAATACCGAAGACCATGTGCACTTTTCCAATGATGGTCTTGTGGCCACGGCGGAAAAGAAGATGATGAATAAGGCCGCCTAGGGCTTGAATAGCAAGGAGTGCGAAGAGAACGAGGCCGATGATTTGGTGAGCAGTGTTGTATCCTGTCTGTTTGAAAATTTTTGTTAGCAGTTGAAAATAGCTGAGCTGACCGAACTTGGCATGGCGATAATGTGCTGAACTTACCAGGTTGTTTTGTTGGCTCAGATAGATTCCTGTTCCAAGACCGACGATGACGAAGCAGTAGGCTGTGGCCTGAACAATACCATGGCCAATCACGCTGTGGCCCAGACGAAGCACCAGGACACCTAGGGGGAAGAGAATGACAAACGCAATAGCCATAAATATTCCGTGCACTCTGTTGTAGATAACGGAACCTGTGGCGCCAGAGGAAGAGGAAGAGCCGCTCGCGCTGTTTGACGAAGCAGCACTGCTACCGGAGTTCAGGTCGGGTGATCCGGACCCGGAAAAGGAAGCTTGTGTCATATCCAGTGAGAAGCCCTTGTACAAGGTGTGTTGATCGATACTCTGGGAGGTTGAGTCACTGGATATGGTTTCTCCAGTGGGACCGAGGGCGAAAATGAACGGCTGTTGCGTTGATGTGGTGTCCATCGATCCAAGAGACCAGGTCGTGCAGTTCTTGCACACAGCCATGAGTTGAAGTGTTCCATCTGTAACAGAGCTTGATAGCGTCTGCACGTCCTTGGAAGATGTGTATTGCGGTTGTTGGTGTCCCGTAGAAAGTCGAGGGCTCAGAGTTACACCTGTTATGAATCAGTCAATGCCTGAGTGATCAAGGATCTGTTGTCTAGGACTAACCGCTGCCGTTCGAGCTAGGATAGCCAATGAACATGAGTGAGTTCTTCATCTGGTTCCCAATGCCGAAAGCGAACCATGAGTATGTCGAAGGGGCTGACATGTTAAAATAGAGATCATTGCCTGTTGTGTTGAGCCCGAGGGCCAGAGCGAATGCTTGAGATCCGTCATGCTGATATGTGTAGGTGGAAGAGCCATTAGCCGCAAATGCGACGGTAAAGAAAGCAAAGAGAAGTGCTTCTGTGTGATGGTTAGCCACTGTATCGTGTGATGATTGGAGCAGGAACAGGCAACATACGATACAGAAAGCCGAACATCATCGTACTAAATTTCTATTATGGGACCAAGAAGGGTATCAATCGTAATTGGCTCGTGGTCGGGCTCGTAGGAAGAAGGTCGGACGTATGCCCTTGGTTATATGTTCGAGCCCAGATGAGATAAGCTCTGCCAATGTAAGATACACGCGTCGCTGTGGTACAGAGCTACCGAGTCTCGAACGCCTCACTCAGCTGAAAGAATAAATGTGCCGATGGAAGAACAGTGGGGGAAACGAAAACAACAGCGATTGTGGTTCTACTTATCGTCGCACCTGCTACAAAAGCATCTTGCGTCCACGCGTCTTTCGAGCCACACGTTGGTAAGACATGACACTTGAACCAGGGCCCAAAAGGTTGTGATTAGCAGGAGATGAATCCAAGCCAGTGACAACGGGCTTGTTATTCTGTCGAGCGTCAGCGTGCTCTTCGATTGGTCGGGCATGAATCATCAGTTGAACTCATGCTTTTTTGGTCCGCGATCGAACGGTGTGTAGTGAACTCAATAGATGGACGGCATGGGACGTTTGTCGGAGATGAAGCAGGCCAATCAACACACTCGTCCCATTCAAGCTTCTTTCGAGTCCCACACGTCGAATCCGGGGAAGTTGTCGCTCGCATGACGCGGTGATGCGAACAAGTTCATGATGGCATGCACAGTGCTTTTTGACCGACTTCACGTTGTGGGTGTGAATTGCATCGTGGTTTGAGAGCGGAAAGTCTTCATCAGTCACGCGTGGCTTGCGCAAAAGCTGTGGAACGTTCGTCGTGGTCATCGTGCTGTTGCAACACTCATTTTAGCTTTCGTCTTCCACCAAGACTGGCGGTGGCTGAGGCTGGGCTTTCGCGACCAGGGGAGCAACGAAAACACTGCCTCCACTGCTAGTCATCAGCTTTGTCAATCACTACGAACACCTCGGTTGCAATAACACTATACGAGAGCAGCAAAGGCAAGCGACACATAGCATGAGTCTTGGCAATACTTTGGGCTGTGCTGTGTAAGAAAGAGCAAAGGAACTATCTTACCTATCGACCACGACCTTGTGGCCTGTAGACAGGTACTTTAATCATGTCGGAATGGTCTGCGCTCTTTAGCACCGGCTTGGCGAGGGTCGGGTTGGAGCTTTCCCCGGCGTTGTCCAGAAATGCCCAAGCATTCGAGCGCGGCAGTCAGCTCTCACTCTAGACTAACCTGAATGAGCTAAAACGGACAGACACCTCTCGTTTGACTTGTAAACCTCTCGCGTGCAAGTTTCCGTCACAATAGGCGGTCTCATTGGTATTGACGAAATTGCCAGATCGAGCTTCGTGTCTATGGTAGTATTCAGGCAAAGCTCTTCCTCGGGTCGTACTCGAGTTCAGGAGATAGTTGCGATCTAGAGTACAGTGAGAGGATGGCGCTGACCTAGATAGCGGTTGTCATAGTCAACCTCTAGATCCCACCACCCAGAGCGCAACGATGAGCTCTCCATCCGTCACGGTTGTCGTGTGAGCTTTGTATGGGTCGCGGCTCGAAAGTGGCTGTCTAAACACTCTGGTCGGCGTTGTTCTTGTTCTTGTTGTCGTCGTCAAGGTCAGTCAATATCGTCTCTCCCCTCCAAGGCTGGAGCATTTGCCATTTCTAGAGAGCGAGAGCTGTCGGGAGAAGTACGATGTCCATGTACTTGAGTTCTCCAGCCATGACGACGCGAGGCGGAAGAAGCAATCGAGTAAAACGATCACCGTAAAAAGCATTGAAACGAGGTCCCAGCAGAAAGTGTGCCTCACATTATTCTGCAGGTTTGAGACAGTAAGCACCAACGTGGAAGAGACTCCAAAAGGAAACCGCATCTTTTGTTTACTTGTATACCAGCGTCCGCGAAATCGAACCATACAAGTGTTTATCAAAAGATTGGCGGGACGCGTTATGGACGTGGTGGTGTTGGAGAGGGCACGGCGATAAGATAAGGAAAAAAACAGGGTCTCGCCAAGCAAAAGTCAACAATCTTTTGTCGCATCCCTCACTTTCTCATTTTCAGCCTCGTCTTCCATCTACCACACTACACAACACATACCGAGACCTTCACGTCTTCTAGCACCCTACACAGCACATACGCACAGGTCTTCTAGCGCACTACAGCACATCCATCCAAGATGCCTATCTCCAAGAAGGACCGCATCCACCGCGAGCACAAGAAGGCCGAGGCCGCCGGCACTCGCATTCCCGTCAACCCCAATGGAACCCCTAAGAAGCAGCCAAAGGCAACCTCTATCTGCGTCTTCTGCAAGAAGGAGTTGGTGAGTCGCCGATCCCTACGCAAAGCGTGCCCAAACCACTGCCATCCCGGGGCCTTATGGCTGACGCCCGATAATCTAGACCAGCTCCAACCTTGCTGTCCTTGAGCAGCACGCTGGCACCCACCCCGATGCATGGACCAAGGAGAAGTGCTGGCCCAACGAGTTCAAGTAACCTCTCCACCTGCATCAGCCTTGACATGACCCACCCCTCGCCGTAACGCCCTCACCGAATCGTCTACGACACTGGCTCGAGCATGACTAGACGCCAAAAATGGAGTCCGGTGTTACACCTGCGCATTAGCAGACATACATCGCCATCTCCCTGGCACGGTCAATTGGACCTAGACGAATACTGCATTTGGACCGGAACTGCAGAAAAAGCACTGCCCGTAGACACTTTTGTTTCATGATACCCAAAGAATACAAGAACTTTTCACCACTCTCTCAATCCACGTACTGTCGTGTACATCCTTAACGATCGGTGGCTCGATCGCATCGGCGAAGGCATGAGGACTTCCAGAGGATACCTGTTTCACAGCAGCACATCCAGAGCATAACACGGTCTGCAAGGATGACTGACCGATGACTAGGTGCATCGTCAACGTGCAGTGAGTCTTCTTGCTCAGGTCATAAACATCCTTGACCTACGTACAGCTTCGTAATGCTTGAGGAGGCGGAAACTGTCGACCGAGCTTGAAGACACCAGCCAACTCTTCTACTGACTAGATACTTGCTACCGGTTGACTATCTTTATCACCACCCGTCGAAGGTGTTCCCAGCATCAGGATTCTTTTGTCTGCCGTCGGCAACATTACCCCCGCAAGAAGGTTCCTCGGCCAGGTCCGCATCTGCCCTAACCTACAAGCTTTTTACAGTCAAGATCATCAAGACCAGTCGAGCCCTCCACACCACGTTCATCTCAATATACCGATGAACACGCATATCATCTCCAGTGTCGACCACATAATTGATAGCACATCCTTCATATGCCAGGACTTCCATTGCGCTTACGTTCGAGGTCGAAAACGAGAATCTCATGCATGCCACACACCCTGCTTTCTCCACAATCCCCACACACAGAGTACAGTCGACTCCACTTTTCAAGCCATCGACGCAGCAAGTTGCACGAGCATCCTGCAGATCATCATCGACGGCATGGCTGGAGGATATACCCGGCATTTTCGCTATTGCGAGCTGCCGATCGAATTGTGAGCATAAGAATCGCTTTCGCCGCTCCCCAGAACAACCGCTTCATTGTGCATCCACCTGTGACATATTCAACATGAAGACGACGCAGACCCGTCTTGCAGCTATTGCAGCTTTGACATCAGGCGCTTTCGCCATCACTTGCGACAAAGACTCGTTGCAGTCTGCCTTTTCTTCGATTGCTACCGTCGATTTTGCGCAATGGTTGCCTGCCAACTCGACCTTCACGGTCCCCAAGACCGACATTGCCTATCCGGTCTCGCCAACTCAGCTACGTGCTGCGTGTGCTGTTCAAGTGTCGGTCAAGAATGGCACTTCGAACTACGGCTTCGGAGTCTTCTTGCCTGATGACTGGAATGGCCGTTTTCTGTGAGTGCTTCCCCATCCTGGGATCGCTAAGCAGAGATTGACTAAAAAACAGAGCCGTCGGAAACGGTGGGTTCGCTGGTGGTATCAACTGGTTAGACATGGTATATTGTCTCAATTTCGCAAGCCTCGGCAGAGACTGACTCCGAGCAGGCTGCCGGCCTTGGTTATGGCAATGCTGTCATGTCTACTGATACCGGACACAACAGTGTTTCGAGCAATGGTACCTGGGCATATAACAACGAGGGTGCTGTTCTGGATTGGGGCTACCGCGCTATGCATGGCTCGGTCGTATTGGCCAAGGAATTGACCACTGCGTACTACTCCAACAAGATTCTTTACTCATACTACAGTGGTTGTTCTACCGGCGGCAGTAAGTTTGCTTGTCTTCACTAGATCATCACGAGACTTACACATCGCGCTTCTCCAGGACAAGGTCTCAAGAACCTTCAACTGTTCCCAGAAGACTTTGACGGTGTAGTCGCTGGAGCGCCTGCCTGGTGGACGAAGCACCTTCAGCCCTGGACATCCAAAGTCGGAAGCTACAATCTACCTAACACATCCGCTCACCACATCCCACCCTCCCTCTTCCCCGTCATTGGCGCAGAAGTGATCCGTCAATGCGACGGCGCAGATGGTGTAGTCGACACGATTGTCTCTGACCCAAATGCTTGCGATTTCCAGCCCGACTTCCTCCTCTGCACGCCCAACAAAACGACATCGTGTCTCACTTCGCCTCAATTAGACACCCTGCATCAGATCTATAGCGATTACGTCGACACAAACCAGACGTTCGTGTTCCCCCACCTCTGGATGGGCAGCGAAGCCCAATGGGTACCGCTGCTTGCTGGCCTGACCAACCAACCTAACAACCTTGGTCCTGACTATGTCAAATACTTCCTTGGCCGCGGACCTCAATGGCAGTGGCAAGACTTTGATTACGGCGTCATCCAGCAAGCTGATGTCCAAGACCCTGGCAATGCAACTGCCGATGACTTCGACCTATCACCCTTCCTGGCTCGTGGAGGCAAACTTCTCCACTACCACGGCATGAGCGATGGGTTGATCCCAACTGGAAGCTCCGTCTATCTCCACTCACAGATACTGCGAACATTGGCACCTAAAGGCATATCTCTGGATTCATTCTACCGCTTCTTCCTTGTTCCTGGAATGCAACATTGCGCCGGCACTCCCAGCACTGTAAACGCTCCCTGGTATTTCGCAGGTGCCAATCAAGCAGCCGGACTTTCATCTAGTGCATATGGCGTTCCTGGATTCAGGGATGCCAAACACGATGTGCTGCTTGCCATGATGGATTGGGTGGAGAAGGGCGTCGCACCGAACGAGATCGTTGCGACCAAGTGGGTCAACGATACTTTGCAGGATAAGGTCATGAGACAGAGACCCCTTTGCATGTTTCCAAAGAAGCAGAAGTGGAGTGGAAAGGGTGATGTCAATGCAGCAAACACTTGGTCATGCGAGTAGACACGTTATCCCAAAATGCGGACTCAGCAGAATGACTTATCGAAATACCATCGTATCAGCAGTTGCGTTCAATGCCTAAAATCTTCCCGTGTGTTGCAATCCGTGTGCAGAACGTTACCGCACTCCATTCACAAGGGTATAGATCGCGATGATCATTATAGGAACGCACGATTGCTTTCGGAGTAGAGATGTATACAAAGATGTTCTACGTGATGTTCTTCCTCATTAGAGACTGTCCGTTCTTCGAAACCACTGTGCGTTCTATAGCTGTACGCGCTACAAAGTTTAGCACATGGGTAGGAGAGGTGAGGTGGTAGAGATGTGGTCGTATGCGGAGAGCGTTGAAGCACAGTTCAGCTGGAAGTTGTTGTCATCGAGAAGGTGACCGATGTCAACAAGAAGGCGTCGCGATCGCTCCTTCGTGCTGACACGCGTGGAAGTCCTTTCTGCTTCGTTTCAACTCTTGTGCCTGAACCGATCGGTCGCGGGATGTCACGTATTGCTGTTTGAGCGTGTAAGTTTTCCGACTGCACAAATTCGAGAGACCACACGGAACATCGACGACTGCGGTTAGGCGCCCGTTCTCAGCAGAAGTCGTCGCAGTCCAGCGCATTGGGTGTCGAATAGCGTGTGCTTGTACACCCATCGTCAGACGGTCGACCACCTTTGACCATCGCTGCCCCCAAGTTCCATCTCAAATTCATTCTAGAAGGTCGAAGTATGCTCGTCTGAGCCAAGCTGAAAGAATGCTCAGGCAATAGCATTCCGTTTTGCCCCGCACCCGTCAGTAATTCGAGTCAGTCAAAGATAGGCGGATCGGAGTTCGGCCGCCGGCCATTGATAAGACATATCGTCGGCCACTCACTTGGTTGAAGAACATCGGTCAGTGATCCCTGCGCTGACTGTGACCGACCAGATAGTGTTGCGTCCGAATCATGCAGCCATTGACCAACGAGCGTGCCCCAGCAGATGTACCTCGACATGTGCTCTCGCGAAGAGCCTGTCTAGAGTGTCATAGACAGAAACAGAAGTGCAACAGACAGCAGCCTTGTTCCAATTGTGTTCGTCGAGGTATCCCTTTCGACTGCATCTGGCCGACCACTTCAAAAAGGCATCATGTCGCTAGACTTGGTCACTCGACCCAGCAATCACCAACTTCACAAGCACATCCTATCACTCCGGCTCAGATCCCTCAGATCCATGAACCCAGGAGCCCGGTAAATTCCTTTCCTGCTGTGATCCAGGGATCAGCTTCTCGTCCAGGCCAGCTCTTCATGGTCAGAGATGCACCATCATACCATGGGAATTCGTACTTCGGGCATCACTCGGCCGCGGCTCTCATGGGAAACCCAAGTTCAGACCTGTCAGATGGTATTTACGTCGGTTATTCACATCGGACACGTCTAGGTGGTTCGACCCAACCCTTTCGATCGGAGCGTGGACCGTATGCGCAGCTCTGGGAGCTCCTCGGAAGTCTACCACGTCGAAAAGCAACTGTCGATAAGCTCATTCGACTCTTCTTCGACGAGCTAAACGTTACATTCGACGCAGTCCACGAGAGTACGTTCATGCGGCACTACGAAGAGTTTTGGGACCGCAAGGCAGGCTGCGACGATCTGAGCAGCATTAATTTGCGATGGCTTTCGGTGTTGTTCATCGTTCTCGCTTTCGGTGAACTGCTAGACTGTCCTCAGCCATGTTCAGTGGAAGCACAACGAGAGTGCGAAGACTCTTCGCTACACTTTTATTGGTCAGCGAGGAAGAGCTTAGTAATTGCTCCATCATTCTACGGAGAGTCTCCTGACCTGACCAGAGCGGGTATTCTTATCACTCGCTACCTGATTTACACAAAGCGCATCTCTGAATCGTGGCTGACCGGTAGCTTTGCCGTTCGTATGGCTCAAGCTCAGGGGATGCATATCGACGGGGAACACCTGCAACTTCCGAGAAAGGTCATAGAAACTCGCCGAAGGCTCTGGAGTCAACTCTACTTTCTTGACGTGACCATTGCTCTCGCTCTTGGAAGACCCAATTCTATCAATGAGAAGCATTGCGTGTTCAGAGAAATAGACAACATCTGGGTGGACGATATGTCGAATGAAGAAGCCGCCCTAGCTCAACCATTAGACTTGGAGACGAACCCAACCCCAAGTGCTTTGCTGATATTCCAATATCGTTTGTCTCGGTTAATCACACGAATATACGACATGCAGTTTAGTGTCGCTTCCGCCACCGACTCTTCGGCATCCTATGACGAAGTCATGCAGATTGAGGACCTTCTTCAGCTCTGGAAGGATACTTTGCCATCTTATTTCAGCCTCGATGCTGACTTACGCATGGATCATCAATACAGCTACCTTCGGTGGCATCGTCACTATCTCCATACAGCTTTCCACTTTGCTCGCATCACCTTACACCGTGCTTTCCTCTTTCGATCTAGCATCACTGATCGTTTCCGGCGCAGTCGTGATGCCTGCATATCTTCTGCATGTGCAGATCTACAAATCAAGCTTTCTTTGCACAATCCGACCACTTCCGAGCGCATCAAAGCAGATCTGGGTACACAGCAGCTCTCAAACAGCGCACTCATACTTGGTGTCATTGCAGTCCAGTCGCCTCAGGCACCGCAGACGGAAGGTATACTGAACGATCTGCAATCTTACTGCTACCAACAACACCACGATCCCTGGGCCAATGAATTTGGCCTCGCGGAAGCAAGAGTGGTGGAACTCTGTATCGCAAGAACGTTGCAAGCACGTCAGTCATCAGCTAATTCACAAGTCAATCCATCGACTACGATACTTTCGGGTTCGCTTACAAGATCAGTTTCGGACCAAGCTTTGGCTCTTGGAAGCTCACATCCTCATTCCTCGACTGCATCATGTACTGTAGGTGTTCAATCAGGACTCTCTACAGGATTGAATGCAACCGGGACGGAGCCTTGGTCTTTCAACGAGTTCCCAGAGCTTATGGATTTTACCTATTGGGAAGGACTAATTGACAATTTGAGTGGATTTACCTCCTCCAACACTACCTGAGTCTCCTTCAGGTGATCGAGTTAACCAGGGTCCCTAAGCCATGGCTAATGGATACCTTCAAATCCGCGCCCTTTTGGAGGTAGACGGGAGGGTCGTAACTCGCTCCAATACCACTAGGTGTACCAGTTAAAATCACTGTGCCCTTCTTCAGAGTGTGGCCCTGTATGACAAATCAACGGCTATCACATCAGTATGCTGCTGGGTGCTACTCACATTCGTCAGGTACACCAAAATGTCCTCAATACTGAAGATCATGTTTCTTGCTTGGCCATCTTGCATGACCCTCCCATTCAGTGTTGTCCTAAGTTCCAGCACTTTCGGATCAGGTAAAGACTGTCTGCTGACAACCACTGGACCCAGTGGGCAGAAGGTGTCGAAACCCTTACTGAACCCCCATTGACTGCCTCTTGCCTGGAACTTACGGGCCGTTACATCGTTTGCAATAGTATATCCGAGCACCGCCTCCATCGCATTCTGAAGTGTGAGGTCTTTGCAGTCTCTGCCAATAATGACCGCGAGTTCGACTTCTCCGTCGACTTGGTTGTGACATGTTTTCGGGATGACTATCGAGCCAGTAGCTGCGGTGATCGTGGTTGCTGGTTTGAGAAAGACCTCGGGATATTCTGGCGTAGCCACCTTCATCTCCGCCTGTCATGGAGTCAGCAATGCAGGTGATACGGCCAAAAGAACCTCTCACCGCATGGTCAGTGTAGTTGAGTCCGATGCAATAAATTGCGCTGGCTTGAGCGGCACTGATCGGTGACAAGAGCTGTAATATCCATCAGCGCGTGGAAATGGTATGGACTCGACCACATTCACCTTGGAAACACGCTTCTTCTCTCCTGTAAAGTTCGCGTCGCCATCGACAGCTGACTTCGCATCGAGTATGTCGACCATGACAGGTGTGTCATCCAGCATCGCTAGGCCGACTACACAAACTCTGTCAGTTGCATGCTCAAAGGACGTGGCACAAGGATTTCTCACCATCCACATCCTCCGACTCTGGTTGCCCACAGTACTCTATACCATCGTCTGCCACGAATCGGATGAAGCGATGCCAGACCGGCCCTTCAATATCTGCTAGAGGTGTTTTTGAGAGCATGGTGTAGCTGGAGAAAGAAGTAGGTGAAGTGTTTAGGATTCTCGTGCAGCGGACATATTGGTAATATAAAGGATGACACGACTCGTCCAAGTTTCGTCGGCGGGTGAAAGGCCAGCATTCATCATTGTCTACAACATTGTCCATCAATCGTTATCATCAAGGTTGCAGCATGTATCTGGTAATGCTTGCCCGAAGACGAACGCTACGGCGCTTGGCAACCCGACTGGCCTATCCTTCGCCGATGCTACGGCGGCGATCGGCCAAGCATCCAATTGGAGGGAAGCCGCAATCAACGCCGACCGTTGACAAGATATCAAATCGTATCTCCAACTATTGTACCAGTACTTGTACAGGACTGGGCAGTTCCTCAATCATGACATGGAATCAAGCATATAATGGTCGGGGGTCCCTAATATACACGACTATCTCCAAACACTTTACTTCAAACCAAAGATACCATAGACATGGACGACAAGCCCAAGGCACTCCAGGATGTTTCTGCTGCCGAAGATAGCCTGGACGGCACACTCGATGTCTACATCGACTCCAAGGCCCAGAAGAAGCTGCTACTGAAGCTTGATCTCTATCTTGCCCCCATCATCACTCTCATCTTCCTCTGTGCATATCTGGACCGCTCGAACATTGGCAATGCACAAGCTGCCGGCATGGGCCATGATCTCGGTCTGGTCGGGAACCAATATGGCAGTGAGTTCAAGCTTCATACAGATGCAGCACGTTGAAGCCTATGCTGACGCATGCAGATGCTGTCACCTTGTTCTATGTGTTCTACGTCGCAGGCGAGATACCGTCAACGATTCTCATGAAGAAGCTGCGACCCAATAGGATGATACCCGCACTTGTCTTCTGTTGGTCGGTGGTTCTCATCGGTACTGGTTTCATGCACAACGCTCGACAACTCTACGCTTCAAGACTTTTGCTCGGCTTGTTCGAGTCGGCCATGTTCCCTTGTCTGGCTCTGTACTTGAGTACCTTCTACATGCCTCAAGAGCAGGCGCTGAGAATCTCATATCTTTTCGTTAGTGCGGCTTTAAGTGGAGCTTTTGGTGGATTGTTCGCATTCGCCCTGCTCAAGATGGATGGCGTTCAAGGTCTTGAAGGGTGGCGATGGTTGTTCATCGTGGAAGGGAGTCTCAGCGTGCTCGTCGCGATCATCGTCTACTTCCTTTTGCCGAACGACTTCGAAACAGCCAGATTTCTGACTGCGGAGGACAAAGAGCTCATGCGCGCACGTATGACTCTGAACGCCAGATATAACGGAGCACCAGAGTTCGACTGGAAAGAAGTCAGGAAAGCTTTCCGTGACCCTAAGCTCTACATCTCTTGCTGGTGCCAGTTCATGGCCGACATCTGCTCCTTTGGACTGAGCACTTTCATGCCGACCATCATCCGTGGTTTTGGTTATGGCACTGTCGAGACACAACTTCTCACCGTACCGGTCTACATCTGGGCTTCCATCGCGTACATGATTATATCATGGATGTCAGACAGATTCCAGAGACGTGCTTACTTCATGGTCCCTGGCGCCTTGTTGACCGCGATTGGATATGCAGTGCAGCTCGGCGTGCCACAAGCTCAACGAGAAGCTCTATACTTCTCGATATTCCTTATTGCGCCCGGCATCTACATCATCGTCGGTCTCAACGCAGCATGGCTACTGAACAGTCACGCCGGTTACCACAAGCGTGCGACCGCCGTTGGAACCAACCAGGCGTTCGGTAACAGCGCAGGTGTTGTCGTTGGACAAATCTTTGCGAAGAAGGTCAATGGCAAGTACGTGACTGGATTGAGCGTCTCTCTTGGGGCTGTGTTGCTGGCTCTTCTTGGTCATGTCGCATTGTGGGCGTACATGAGACGGCAGAATAAGAAGAGGGACGCTATGACCGAAGAGGAGCGGGAACGTTTGATCAGCGCTGGAAAGGATGGTGACTATCATCCTGATTACAGATATGCCCTGTAACCCCAGGATACACAGTTGTCAATCTACTACACGTTCGTGCTTGCAAGTTGCTACGCCGAGATGATGTGCTCAGATTGAGACCATGGACGTTGATTCCAAAGCATGAGCCAAGCGTTGTTTTGCGTATGAACGAGTGCCTCCGCTGTTGAACTTGACATCGATCTGTTGCATGAGATGACGCTTCACTAGACTCTCATCACTGTTTCGCAGCTGTCAAGCTGAGATAGATGCCCCAAATAAGTCCAACCAAACTCAGAAAGACAATCCTTCTCTCGACCGGAATGAGAGTAAAGTTGACAACCGATGCCAACGGCCAAATTCTGTAGCTAGCATAGATGATGGGGAAGGTGTCCTGTGAAAGTAGTGGTTGTAGTCAATTCCAGCAGAGAAGGGAGAGGCGCCGCGCAGTTGATGCACAGCAGACCAAAGAGATGGAAGTACATACCGTGCGCAATGCATTGCCAATCTGACTCGACGATCTTCCTTTCATGAGGCTCATGAGGATGATGAAAGCAGTGACATTCAGCAATGCACCTAATGTCATGCAGTCCAAAAGCCACTTTACCACCGTGTTCTTCCAGTCCAGCTTTGTCACCAGTTCTTCTTCTTGCTGCGAACCTTGATTGTCTATCAGTCCATCATGCTCACGGTCTTCGTAACAAGGCAATGTCGGTTTTGCAGGGGTTGATGGTTTGCGGGCGGGAAAGAGACGCTCGAGAGCATGTTGCCAGAGGTAGTTTGGCGGTGCAGTGAGTAATGTGAAGATGACGAAGCGCAGAAAGTCTGGAGTTGAGAAGCTTGAGGGGATCTTTTCCAGGTTATGTTGTTAGTGACGGGATTCCCAATGAGTATTTTCATCGGGGACGTACCTCGTTGCTGCGCAGTTCAAGGACCTGTGCGATGACATTGGATATAGCAGCAATGATAGTCGCCTGGACAGTGGCAATAGCGATTGGCGAGGACATTACCAAATTGCTGTGTCAATTACATGTGGACGGGAGAAAGCGAAGAAGGAAGGATGAAGATGTGTTGTTTGAGCGTTGACGCGTTCATTCGAGATGCTCCTTCTGCCGTGTTTCGCTTTTGCGGGGAATGTTACACCTTGATGAGCTGCACCGCCACACTTAGCCACGTCTTTGTAAGATTCTCTAATATGCTGATTGTTGTTCTATACGTATATTCTTCGTAAATCGTCATCGTCTTGTTCAAGAAACCACTGGTACAAGTTTGATCGCAGTGCATCCAACCGCCGCCGCCTTCGTAAAGTAGAGCCTTCCATTATCTCCACACGCAGCAGCCTGGTACGGCACTCCACTCATGTTACACCTGACCTCTCCACCCTCTCTCCGGCACGTGAGACGTCCCTTGCTGCTGTTTCCATCGTATGCATAGAAGCCCACTTGCTGGGCATTGAGCTCTGGGTTCAATGTGGCAACATAGCCTTGTGAAGGACTTTGCTCGACAAGGTCCCCAGAAGAGTCGATCGTGAACTTGGTCGCTGCATTCTTGTTTGCTGTGAATGTGGCTGGTCCGCCAGCGCCAGCGCTGACTGCGGCGTAGAGTCCGTTTGAGCTGCCACTGCTACTGCTTTGGATGTAGAAGGCATAGCTTGGCGGAGTGACGGGAACAAAAGAGTTGACAGGAGCCACAAAGCTGTTTGTCGAAGATAGGACACCAGTCGGTGAGGCCTGTGCTGTCGAGGTGACGAGTATCGGAGTGACAGAGCTTGTTGTCGAAGATGCTTGGATCAACAGCGGAGTTGGCATGATCTTCGCCGAGGTTGATGCGATAGAAGCGCTTGGACTGATATCGGCTTCGTCGTCCCAAGGTCCGCAGTCGAGCTCGTCATTTTCGAGTTGGGCAATTGGCAATCCCGACACAATGGTAATGCCGATGGCCAGAAGCGCCCAAAGATGTGTGGTCTTTCTAGAGTACATGATTGCTTGTGCCGAGTAAGACAGATCTGCGTGTACAAGCTGAGGTGCGGACAAGTATGCTTATATTTTGACTTCTTTCTAGACTTAAGCATCACGTTCTCGGCGCTGCCTTCTTTCCGAGCATCTCCTATCAACTGTCAGGGATCAAGCCAATAGCCTCCGTTGGGATCAAGGGGGGATCAGAGGGAAGGATCAGACAGACGGTAGTGGCAGTTGACACTTCAACAGTCGGCGTGAAGCGGTCGTTGACTGGAGATGGGGCCAACAGCACCCTGCGGCTCTGCCACGACTGTCAAGCTTTTGACATGTCATGACCGATCTTATGTCCATATTCACCCAGCTCTTATGGATTGAGTTGTGAGGCTATATGACACGTCTAGTGCGGTAGATGGAGAAAGAAGAACTGCGAGCCGCCAAGAGACGAGGTTCGGCGAAGCCGACCACCGAAGAAATCCTTCGACACGCGCCGTTGACTCCTCCTCAAACATATCTGCTCGAAGCAGAGGAAAATCCATACGCGACATATTACACCGATGTTTTTCTCAGCTACGCCCGTAAATGAGGGGGTGGCTCTTTGGGGTCTCAGGGCGATCTGAGATCACCTAACAGAAGCCGGTCTTCGACGTTGATAGGGCCACCAGATCCGGAAGTCACACCGTACACTAACTTGATCGACCCAGAGCGGCGGTATCAAAAGCCGAGCCAATCCATCCGAGACCGACCAGAATCAATACATCACCCCTATTGCTATTGGCGATTCGTCATGCAAGTTGACGGCCAAGTGGCTGATATCGAGTTCGGGTACATGAGTAACAGCCAGCGCTTTGGCAGAAAGGGAGCCGGAGACAATCCTTAAGTGATTAATCGATAGCAGCAGTGCAATCAAAGTGCTAGCAGTATGAAGTAAAGGCATGTGTGCCGAGGATCTTATTGTCGAGCTCTGACCGCAATGGAGTGGTAGTCGAGACCCTGAATGCCAGTGGGCGCTGCTCTCTCCAACCCATCAGACGGCTGATAGCGGAGACGCCGTCTACTTGGAATGTACACGCCGATGGCCTATAGAAACGTCCGTTATACGGATACGGTCTTAGACATTAACTCACGCCTCGCCGATCAACCCAGATTAGCCAGTCTCTGCTTGATCCTCAGATCCACTGCTACAGTCAAAGCATAAACTGTCGCCAGCGTCGGAACGTCCATTCCAAACTCCCTGGCCATTCTCATCGGTGTTCCGAGAATCACGTCCACTTCCAGCCTTCTACCCTCTCTAGCATCAACCTGCATACTACTCTCTATCCCCGGCATGCCCTGGATCCTCTCCATCAAGACATCGACAAGCCCATATTCCAGCTTCACCCCAGCTCTTCTCGCCACGCTTATCACTTCGCGCATCAGGCGCTTTGTAATGGACACGCTTTCTTTTGAAGATGAGAGCCATTCTTGTGTGTTTTGTTGTGTCAATGTGGTAAGAGGATTCCATGCAATCTACACAGTCAGTGTATTGCCTACCACTAGGGTATTCGGATGCACTCACGTTCCAGACAACCTTCTCCCATCGCTTGACTTGTATATCGTCTGAGATCTTGTACGATGTCTCGGCTGCTCTTAGCATGGCGGCGAACCCCTCTAGTCTTTCGTTTTCCAGGGCAGCATCGACTTCTGGGTTAGGATACAACCCAATATCCGTGTGTTCAGAAGCAGTGTGTCGTATTACTCCGGGCGAGTCTTGCTGAGCGCCAACCCATATCTGTCTCCCTCATCAATAACGTATTCTTGCCCTCTTTGCACGGTGGACTGCAAGGGGTACTTACTACACAGCTGACGATTGTTGAATATGGAAACGACTGACGAAATGGCTCTTCATTACCAACTCCGTTCTGCAAGATCACAAAGGTCGTGTCCATGTTGGCCACAGATCGAAAGTCATTGGGATCCAAGCCGGGAGTAATTGCTTTGTGAGCACAAACAATATAGTCGTATTTTGTTGCAATTTTGTGCGGACAGCTCAATACTGTGCATTTGGGATAAGCATTAGACCATCAGAAGCTATTTTACTGAACATACCTCTATCAAAGTGTATGTTGTGTGATCCATGATTCAGTGTGTGTATCGTCATACCCTGCAGCTCAATCAGATTAACAGTCACCCTGACCCGTCTGCAATGACGATCAAGACATACATTTTTCTTGACGGCCTCTAGGTTCGATCTTGCAACTACACTGAGTTCTACGTTCGGATCACGACTCAGAAGAAACGCATAGAAGCCTCCTATACTGTCATTTTGACAAGGAAGCACAGTCAGCTCTTCTATCCCCACGCATACCCCGCTATCGAGGGGAGGGAAAGGAAAGGCAACTCACGCGCCTAGTCCATAGAGCAGAACTTTTGTCCTTTTGGTTTCGGTCATTGCTGATCGATGTGGTCCCAGACTGGAGTCTGCGTGTATTCGTAGCGGCTGGAGGGCGATGAAGGATGTGACATGTCACTGCTTTGTTGACCGTGTCGGAAGTCGAGCACGTGTTTGCAAGAAAGCGGCCAGTGCAACGGAAAACTCTCTACTTCAGGTATAGTCCCAATTGCCTTGATTTGATTGATCTTTACCAGGTGGGCCTCGATCCTCAGCTTCACATGCTTACGAAGCAGAACTCCAAAATTCTCACTTTAGTATTGATATGACTTTGCTGGATCGTCATTCACGAAGACGGGCGAGATGCATAAATCGAGTTGTGCAAACGGGACCCTGAATTTCACGAAGTTCTCGGTCCCACCTGTTCTGGGCAGCCAACGGCAAGACTGCCAAGAAACCATTCTCTTTGAGATATAACAGGAACAACAACGAAAGCTCGAGAAATCAGGCAAAACGAGAACTTCATTGATATGACAACCCATTCGCCTCAGATTTCTAGCTCTGCACCCCACTCCTTGGCCCAAGCCTTCACAAACTTAGCCACCATGCCCGACTCGATTAGATCCGGGATCGCAGTCATGGTGGAACTATCCTTGCATGTCTGGACAGTCTCATAACGACCTGCACTCTTCATCGGCGCATTTTTAGCAACATTACCGTATCTCTCGGCAAAGAAATCAGCTAGCTTGACCGGCGGATTGGTTTCTGGATTCTGGTCACCAGCTCGCAACCTTTGTACCCATTCTTTGGGCGATACTTCATCGAACTCCAGGCCTGCTTTGTGGAGAGCAGGCAAGACGTCTCGAGTCCAGTGATACACTTTCGGATTCTGGATGTTGTAGACAAGTTTGTCGTCTTGCAAGCGAGTATCGGCGATCGGTTGGGCTAGGCCAGAAAGCTCTGCAACAACCGATGCCGCGAGATCTACCGGAAGCCACGAAAGCTCTTCGTTGTGAGTTGGAAGAGCTTTGATAGTCGTCGCTGTCTGTATCATCAAGGCGATGGCCTCGGTCGTGTTCCATTGCCCGCGTTCGCTGTCGCCAGCAATCTGACCAAGACGCAGCACTCTAGCATACATACCAGTGCGCTTCATGGCGTTGTGGACGATCCGCTCTGTCACCAACTTAGATCTGCCATAGCCTGTTCCTTGAGCAAACTCGAGTCGTGGTACCGGACCTTCGCTGATTGTCTGATCCAGAGGAGTGCCTGCAGCCGATGAGACCGACGAGCAGAAGAAGAATTTCGCAGGCTTCGGTGTACGAGTCGAGAGGCATAGCTGGATGAGATTGTACGCTCCTCTAATATGCTGGTCTTCGAAACTCTTCACACCGAGGTTGAAGTTGACAGCCCAGGCGCTGTGTATCACATGGGTGAGCTGCGATTTCAGGTTTTGCAGATTCTCTTCGTCAAGTCCGAGATTTGATTTGCTTAGATCACCTAAGAACGGAACAATTTTAGCACGTTCTGTCTCCGTGAGGTGCAAGCCGCGTGAGCTCAGAGCTTCTGAGATTCGCTCGCTTGCTTGGGCGACTGAGGAAGCTCGCACAATCGCCCATACTGCTATTACATTGTTCTGCTTCACCACTTTGGCGAGTATGTGTATACCGACTGTTCCAGTGGCTCCAGTGAGAAGCACAACGTCTCTGGTGTTAGTGGTTGCCTTGTATGGCTCGTGTTGCTTGAAGGTGGAGTACTTCGAGATAAGCTGTTCCATGACCGCGATCTCGTCTTCTTGCATCTTGCTCTCGCCAGTCCTTATCGAACAAAGATGCTGGGCAAGTCCACGGGTGTTTGCTGTTTCGTAAAGTACGTTCCGACTCAGTGATGCATGGTTACCTCCAAGGTTGATTTGTTTCTTGATGCTTGACCACATTCTAGTCGACTGAAGACTGTCGATACCAGCTTGATAGAAGTCTGTGTCAAGCTCCAGCATAATTCCCAGCTCTTTGTTTAGCTCACTGAGAAGCCACTTCTCAAGTTCGGGTGCTTCGAGGGTCAGATCTCCTAGGCAGCCATTCTCAAAATCGCTATACTTGGTTTCAATTTCTTCCTTGAATTGATCATAGATCTTGGCTCGGATAAAAGTGCCCTTGTCGGTCTTCGGATATTCCGTGTCTGCGACAACAAGGATGACAAGCTCCTTGGGGACTCTGGAGAAGCTCTCTGCCTTAGCATTAGCGTCCTCAACAGCGGGCCATACTGCTTCGAAGAACTCGTCGTCGGACATGTCCTTAGCGTCGTGTGACCGAAAGATGATGACTCCGGGTACGCTTCTGCCGATGCCGAACACAGCAGCTTCCTGAACCATACGATCTTGGCGAATGCGACCTTCGATCGGCAGGGGAAGCACTTTCTCACCGTTTACCAGCGTCAAGCGATCGTCGAGTCTGCTGAGATACTTCCAGAGATTCGGACGTGTCGGATGCGGTGCGAACAAATCTCGAGAGCGGAAGGAGTTTGGAGGATCGTCTGAGTTGACCGCAACCCTCGTCTTGAGACTCTCTAATGCGACACACTCGAAGACACCAGGGGCTATCTCGTCCATCAGCACATGCTCGGACACTGGCGGATTGAGTCGGCAATAGTTCCATTCGAGATCTTCTGGTGCTCGGAACGAAGTCATGATGCGACCAATCTCAGTGCATCCGTAATTCTGTACCAGATTGACTCCCCTGTTGACCAACAAGTCGCCAACGTCATCCGGACAACCACTTCCGGCATATAGCACAAGCTGGACTTTGGCCAGTTCCTTGATGCCGTCCTCGGACTCACACAACAACTTGAGCAGGTAAGGCACGCAGTTGAAGATCTCGGGCTTCAAATACTGCAGTTGAAACGTCAAGCCTTGACGTGTGTGTGGGATTGTGTAGTTACAAAGGTAAAGAGGTTTCTTGGAATAGATGGTTCTGAACATCTCATAGAAGCCCTGGCTGTGGAAAAGAGGAGATGCCAGGAAAGCACGCATGCCGAAGTTCTGAGTGAACGTTGCCAGACATTGCGCGTGGCGGAGATATATTGGTTTTGGAAACCCTGTCGATCCAGATGAATGGATGATTACTGCAATCTTGTTGGTTTCTTTGGCAGTGTTATATTGACGCTTGAAAGCAGATGCCTTCACGCCGATGTAGTCCGAACGTTGCAGTAGACTCAAGAGGGTGATAGGTGACTCGGCTTGAACATCATCGAGTACAGGTCTGAAGGCCCCCGTTGAGATCAGAGTGGAGCAGCCGACCATGCTCATCAATTTGACATATGCTGATGCTGGTAATCGGGTCGAAAGGAGCAAAACGCCATAGCCCAAGCGCAAGAGACCGAGAAGAGTGACAACCATATCAAGTCCGGATATACACAGCATGCCAATAATGGGGCTTTCCTCCAGATCCGGATTCTATCAGGAGTCAACGACTATTCTCTTCGATTTCGTATTGGACCAATCATACTGCAGGCTTCAGACCCAATTCTTGCAGTCGAGCTGCTGCGGCATTGGCGAATCTGTCAACATCACGAGCAGAATGCTCTTCGAAATCTATGAGTCCGGCCACAGGAGCTCCTATCAATGTAAAGTCTTCCGGCTCTGCGGCGTGCGATCTGATCAGATCGTCTATTGTGTAAAGAGAGTCATGGCTCTTCAACCGCAACTTCCCGAAGGATGCTGGGTCGAACCTCATCTTGGTCTCTGTGGTAACAGACATGGCGTTTGATTATGGTCGGATTGAATCAGCTCCATGGTTTGAGATGGGAAAGAAGTATATATAGTCCATGATGAGTGAGATCAGTCGTGCTTTTCCGACAAGATAGGCGGAAAAACACTCGACCAATCAGTACTTGTTGATATCCGACAATCGTGGTTATGAGGCGGGGTAGGCGGGTGGAATTCTTCCGCGCGGATGGTGATTGCTGCTTGTATGACCCTGACACAAGTATGCTTGGTCGCTCATCACGATAGCATTAAGTTACAGGCCATATGATAAGACATACAGTAGATGTGACAACCTCATTTTCAGTTGGGTGTACTAAAAACAGTGGTTCCGTGTACTCGATTACTGAATGATCGATCATCTCATGCTCTGGTGCTTGACATCTATCACCAACTCATGAAGAACGACACCAACGACGAGATATCCAGGGATTTTCGCTTCAAGCCTGCCTGAATAAGTGGGTACAGCAGCGTACAAGCACCATGCCTGTCTCCTTGAGATCTTCACCCTATGCCTGTACGTTGACCTTTGGCATTCGTAGTGCACATATGTTGGTCACCAACCAAAGCACGGACCGAGTGTGAGAAAACACGGAAAGATGTTTACTAAAGTACTGAACGGGTTCTTTCCGTATCATTTGAATATGGTATTATATACATAGCATCCTGTTACTCATGACATTTGTTGACCATCAATCATTATACGTTTAGAGGGGGTTGTCGGCCTTCGCGAACTGACGAGCGGCGGCAGAGATGCTGTCGACGACGTCCTTGAAGGTCTGCTTGGTCTCGGAGGAGATGTCTGAAATCTCGTTGGCGGCAGGGTCGCTCTCCTGATTGCACCAGTTGATCTCAAGAGTGTGGAGCTCGAGGACCTGGTCAAGACCGTAGACATCCTTGGTCTCGTGCGAGGGGAAGCCACGGAGTTGAGAGATGAGGCGCATCAATTCTTGGACGTCGTCACTAACATATTATTGTCAGTCGTGTGCTCATGAGCAATATAAGAATGGCAGAGAACGTACGAGGCCATGGTGCCGACCTTCTCCTCAATAGTGTTTCCGTGGTGATGGGTCTGCTTGATGTTGGCAGAACGGTTGGGCTCGCCAGTGATGTCGACGGTGTGGGTGGGTGTGCCGTTGAAGGGCTTCTGGAGTCTAACCAGGAATTCACCAGATGGGGGAGGGGCCATGGAGCGAGGCATGTTGATGTGTGTTGTTGGAGGGGATTGGTGGTGGAGAAATGTGTGTATGGAAAGAGTCAATGGACAGATGAATTGATGAAAGACGAGAGAAGAGCTTTCAGTGTTTGCAGTGAGAAAAATAGCTATAAAGCAGAGAGAGCTTGAGGTGGAGCTTCAATGTACCTTTTCGCAGATGACGATGTCTTTGCATCATCATCTTTAGCTCCACAGCTGCTCTGTTCCTGACAGCCAAGACTTTGCGATCATCGATGCATTGTATTTTCGGTGCTTCTCAGTTCTTTAAGAAATTTCTCTCGTTCATCGAAGTCAGTGCTGTGGTCCTCGATCGCTGGCTGCTCCAGTCAACAAATTATCAGATGCGGTGGAGACATGATCTGGATATCGAGCACGTCATGCGGGGCGAGCTGAGATCCACACCTAATCTTCAGTTTTGTTTGTGTTCAGCATTGATGCTCCTTACCCAGCAGCATCACGAACCTGATCAGCGACAGATACTTATACATCGGAACAGCTTGCAAAGAGATGAGTCACTCACTAGCGACGACGTGCTTACGAAGCGACCGAAGTTCAGTATACCGGCCTGGATGTGAGACCATTCTCAGGGACTCTAGAGACCACTGTTCCGGACACCCTACAAGCATTGCCGTCGAAGACATGGCTGATTCCATTGCCTCTGCTGTGAACAATGTAACCCGGTTACCGAGAACCCTTCTTAGGTGACTGTGCCAGCTGGCTTCGAGATTCGTCGTCGAGAAGCGCCTCCCACGATGTGAACTTCAACCCAGCAAGCTTTGCGTAGAAAGTGCGGTCCCGCAACAGCAGTGACTTGACTCATTTGGACCGAAGGCTGGGAAATTGACATAGGCCAGTATATATCGGCATGTCGACGTCGGAGCCTCGCTATCGCGATATCCCACTACCGCGATGTCCCCCACACTCCACATCGCACGTTCCCCATGCCCCGCACCGGGCTATCACACACCGAAGCGGTCCCGGGAGTAAATCAAGTTTGTGTACGACGAACCTCAGCACAAAGACCTCGCTCCTCGTCGTCTGGGTACCATGCCCGCAGAAGACTGTTCACAAATTCAAGTAGAGACTGCATAAGTTGCTTAAAGGTTCTAGTGTCGGCCGAGCTCCATGCCTACTCACGCGTACTGACCCGATGTAAGGACATCAAGGAGATGGAAATCTCTAGGCATCTAGGCTCCCAGTGGCTTGTTCGAGTTGTGTGCTTAGACTACCATTTCTCGAAGTACAGATGTGGAGCCGCTCTCACTGTCATCGGGATATCACCGAGCGAGATGGTCAATGTATAAAGAGAGAACACAGTCCTTTGCCTGAGCAACAGCCAGCTCTATAATTTGTAGACAATGCAAAAAGCTATTGGCATCCTCCTAGGCCTGTCATGGCAGGCCTTGGCTATTCCGTTGTCGAGGTATGCAATACCTGCACAACCTCGTATGACTTAACAGTCACTGATGTAGAGCAGCCTGAATGAATTTTACCCTTCTTCAATTGCTCTTGGAAACAGTACAAACCAGAACACACACGCTTTTACGACTTTCACGCTAGACAAAAACACTCCAGTGGCAACATTGGACTATGGATACGAGGTCGCTGGTTATCCGTTCTTCCAAGTTTCAAGCTTCAAAGGAAAGGTTCAGCTTGAATCAAGGTCAGTGCCACAAAAAGCCATGATTGTTGCTCAACTGACCTTTGGAAGATACACCGAAGATCTTGGGGACATAGATTTGCCCTTCTCTGACGGTCCCTTCTCCTTCGGCCAAGGTCTCACGAACAGCTATAGAGTAGAGACATTTGAGGTCACATCAGCATGTCAACTAAAGTCCTACCTAGCTCAAGGCGGTCAACGCTGGCAGACCATCCGCTTGCTCACCTCAGGTTCGGTGACCTTTACCAAGGTCGGATTCAAGGCAACTGTCGACAAGCTAGATTACAACAGCCTACCTGGGCAATTTACATCATCGAATCCTCTGTACAACGAGATCTGGAAACTCGGCGCCCGTGCCTCTGGCGCTTCGTGCTTTGCAGCAGGCGCGTACAAGGCCATATGGGAGACGTCTTCCGACAATGGCGTGTTCATCAGAGGATCCCGCGCTGGTCTTACCACAAAAGCGGATACCTTCGAGAATTATAATCTCACGTTTTCAGCTAAGATCCAGCGCGGTGGTATTGGTTGGACAATGGCCTACCCTGTAAGCACGAGATGGGGCGGCCTTCAACTGAATCTGGCTGGCAACTATCCTGAGTCCACCACTTTTGCGAACGTCAATAGAACGCTGCTTCCGCCTAACACAGTTTCTCTGGCTTATGGCTTCAATCTGGTGAATCAGACCACGCTTACCTCCTACTATCTCGACAACTTCAAGGTCCCTTTCCAAGTCAAAGAAGGCCAGTGGTACTCCATCTCTGCAGCAATGTATGATGGAAACTATCTTGCTGTATCAGTCAACGGAAAGAAAGTCTTCAACGTCACTCTTGACAACTACTACACGGGAACTCCTCCAGCTAGTACCAAGGGCTCTTTTGGCTTCGGCGGATGGCAAGACCAAGCTGGATACGTCAAAGATGTCAAGGTCATCTCGAGCAATGGCACTACCGTCTACACCAACTCCATGACTAACGCCTCAGCGGTCTTGCCCGAATTTGGCGTCCAGTCAAACACAGCCGACATCTGTATGGATGGTGCGAAGGTATGATTCGAGTCTCTTATTCAGGGTGTTTGAGTATTTATACTAACACAGAAGTTGTCATCTAGCGTGACAGATTGGTTTGGCTCGGAGACTTTTACCACACGGCTCCTATCATTGGTACCTCAACCAACCGCAAGGACTATTCTGCTGGTACTCTTCAGACGTTCTTGGACTGGCAATTGCCATCCGGACAGCTCCCCCTCAACACGCCGATCGGTTACCCGGGATCTGCAACCTTCACCTTTGCTGAATACTCAGAAGCTTTGGGCTACTATTACGCTCTCGAGGATTACCATATTCTCGGTCTGCTTGCTTTCAGTTCTCACATGCGCTATAATAACGATATCGCTTTTGCTACGAAGAACTGGGCGCAGTGGAAACTTGCTGTCCAGTATCTTATTGGCAAGATTGACAAGTCTACAGGACTTGTGACGATCAGTTTCGCCTTCTTCGGCGATGGTGCAGGTCTCGCAGTCAACTCTGCTTCAGTACAAGCCTTCAAGGAACTAGCTGTCGTTGCCACCGCTCTTGGAGACACAAGTTCAGCCCAAGCTTGGTCTGCAGTGGCCGCGACTCTGAGTGCGACCATTCAGTCCAAGTTCTGGCAGCCCAGTCTAGGTCACTTCAGCGACAACCCGCAGAATGTGACCAAGCTCTCGGTTCAAGGCTTGTCGTTTGTCATTACATCTGGCATTGCATCAGCTTCTCAAGCCAGGTCCTGCTTGGATGCGTTGACTGCTTTGAAGCTCTCGCCTGGCTACAAAGACTTGACTACGACGTCATCAGAGGGAATCGTCGACATCTCGCCCAACACGAACGGATTCCTGCTCTCGGCGCTCTTGCAGTCTAACCGCACGGCCGAAGCGAAATACCTCTTCGACAATCTGTGGGCAGCTATGATCAACAATGATACGACACACAGTGGTGCATCTTGGGAATATGTCAACACAAATCTGCAGCCTGCACTTTCTCGCTACACCAGTTTGTCGCATCCTTGGGGTGGAGCTCCGACCTATATTTTCACTGAGCACGTCGCCGGGATTCGGCCAGTGACATTTGGACACCAGACCTGGGTTATATCGCCAGCGTACACAGGCTTTGATCTCCAATCTGCCAGTGCCCAGGTTACAACGCCATACGGCGTGCTCAGTGTGAAATGGAGCGTAGGAAACGGCAAGATCAACGCAGTTGTGAATGCACCAGCCGGCACTTCTGGCACGTTTGTCATCAACAGAGCTTTGGCAAACTCGACCAAGCCTAATACGGTTGTGCAGATCAAGGGCGGTATGTCGCCAAAAGTCCTGTGTCTGGACTTGTAGAAGCAATTGGCAGAGTGCGTGCAAACAATGTATATAGCTCTGTAGCTCAAGTCAGTAGCGTTTTGAATGAATTTGAGTCAAGCGACAGGATTGATCCGAGCATTATCTGTATAGTATCTGGAATGGCGTTATGACCACACCAGTTGAGTTACTCGTGTCTGGGTAGTAAGGAAAGTTGCAACTTTTCCACTGTGCAAATATCGGTGTTCGTATCTAGTGTGTGCTTGTGAAGTGGAAGAGACGGAAGCAACGCGTCACGATAACGCCAAGAAAAGCTCGGAGCGCGGGCAAGACGAGCGGCCGGCGGGACGAGAGACGGGCTTGCGACAGAGACGACGACAAGGACTTGTTGACCATCTTGACCATCCGGACCGGACTGCATATATCACGCGCGTATCGCCCAACTATAAACAACAGCTGCCAACCCATCGGTTCGCCTGCGCGACAAGGCGATTATCCCTAAACCAATCGACCACACCCAGACCAGTCACAGCCATGGCAGCAGCAGCCGACCAAATGGACATCTACGACTCGATGACGATGCAGTCGGACAGCGAGACATACGACCAGCCCGACATGTCGTCGCCGTCCTCGCCATCCTCGGATTCAGCATCACCTTTGATCCTCTACTCCCCACCCACGTTTTGGGGCTTGGTGCGGGGTGCTGCCATCAACCTGCTTCTGCCCTTTGTCAACGGTCTGATGCTGGGCTTTGGTGAACTGTTTGCAAACGAGCTGGCATTCCGCTTTGGCTGGTCCAACACAAAGGTGCGTCTGCTTGCTAGCATCAGGACAGAAACAGAGACTGACTCTGGAACAGGTCTTCCCCAGTCACAGACGAGTCGGACCCGGCGTCGAGATGCGAACAGACCCCATCGAGAAGAGGAGACGTAATGGCCAGGAGTTGGACGCCTACACGAGCTTGGAATAAGGAGAAGGATCCAGAGAGACACACATGGAATACGCGGATATACGCGTGAGGTTTGCATGGCAGCATGGAGAGGAGTTGGCGTTGGTTGGTCATTTTCTCTTTCTTGTCACTTTCTTGTCCCGTTTGACAATGTTCATCTCAGAAGCTATCGCAGAGAAGCATGTCAACCTATCAGAGCAGTATCCGAGCCCCATTCACATCTGTCCTCTTGCTTAGGTGCAGGCTATTCAACATGTCCCCTTGTTCCCACCGACCATCAGGGGACCTAGGAAGTTAGAGACAACCTTTGTTGAAATGTAGATGAGGGCTTCAAGGATGTATGTATCGTCCAGGAACAACAGACGGAGAAGCTGCCAAGATGTCGCGGAAGGGATTCCGACGCACTGCGGGCCGAGCCTCCCGTAAGAGTCGCCGAGGCTCCGACTTTCATCCGCGTCACAGCTTCCGCTTCCAAGTTCCTTCTGCGTCGATATTCAAGAAATCTTCTGGGCAAAAACACTCTTTCCACCTCATCTGGTCCCATACTAGCCCGATATTCGACCACGACAGACCGACAACATGTCAGGCAAAAACATGTCTTCACGCTTGCTGAACATGAAGGTGCGCCGCCCAGCGCCATTACTCCCTTCACGGAGCTGACCAGGACAACAGTTCATGCAACGCGCATCGGCCTCAACTCCTACAACTCCCACCACCCCGGATGGTACCAGACCTTCCAAACGTGTCAAGACAGAAGCAGCCATCACTCCCGATGCACGCGCATTTCAGGAAGCTGCCGCCGCCGAAGAAGCAAAAAAAAACGCCTTCATCGAACGTGCCGCCGCCGAAGCTGGAGAAACGAAATGGGTCTTGAGCCTCACGGACGACAAGACAGCCTCTGCTGCTCCAGCATTGCGTATCGTCGAAGCTGGTTACGGTGCCATTGACTCGGGTGCCCCCATACCTGAGAGCGACGATGAGGAAGAGGAAGAACAGAGTGCTGGCATGGCCGGACGAAGGAGTTTTGGGAAGTTCAACAAGGCTGTCGAGGTAAGCACCTTGTTCTCTGTATATAGAATCAACACACTGACTCTCGTAGCGTCAACACAACCCACATCTCTCATCCTCGGAATCCGAACACGACTCGGACGCTTCCTCCGACTCCGACTCAGAAGACGACGAGGACCTAGACGAAGCAGAACTTCTCCTGAAAGCAGAACGCAAAGAAGCAGCAGCAAGACTACGTGCCGAACGCAAAACTCAACGAAGAGCCGAGGAGGCCAAGACGAAACAAATGGCCGAGCGACGACGAAGCAGGGATATCAACCTGAACAAAGTCGGCGGGATCTCTAATGCCGCCATCAGGAGCAAACAGTCGAACGTGGCAAATATGGCTTGTCATATCTGTGGCCAGAAGGGTCATTTGCAGAAGGACTGTCCAGACAAGAAGCAAAGAAGAGGAGACAAGAGGAAGAGTGGTGGTGGCATGGACTATTGAGCTCAACTATGCGGCCGTAAGCTTCTTACTGGATGGCATTCTTGTGCCAACTCGTCGAGTCACTCCAACAACCTGAATCGCGTGAAACGGGCTGGACATCCCAAGAAGACTAGAAGTCGAATTGATTGCGTTACCGAAAGACGTACTGCTTTCACGCCATTTCGGCTTCAACAGCTCTGCTCTTGGAAAATCAGATAATCGCGAGCAGAGAGCCCATTTCGGTCCGTGTTGGGTCAAAGGATTCAAGCAATACAATACTGGGATCCGTGCATCCGGAGAACCACATGGATAAAAGGGACACTAACTGGTCGAGGCTTTGTTTCTATCTGATTCTATTCTTCCGCCAACTTCAGTGCACTCAGGTCAGGAATATTGACAGCAGAATCCAGACGCTTGGCTACCATGGTTGGCTCGTGGACCGGGATATTGGAAACTAAGTCCCTCACTGCTTGTACCAATTCTTGTAGCAACTTACCATGGCGAGGAATGGTGTGGCCGCCGGCACTGTCGAAGAAGACAACCATATTGTCATCGAAAAGATTATACAATGCAAGGGCACCGTCTTTGTACGGGTCTGCGAGCGTTAGCTTGCAGGGTTTTGGTAGTGAGGGGCTGCGTCAACGTACCATTGGCGCCAACGATATGCAAAGACTGGACCTCAAGGAGGTCCTCGACTTCATCCGATAAGACAGGTCCAGTTTCTGAGATGGCGGGCCAACCCATGAAGAAGATTGCAGCCTTGATCCTCGGGACGTACCCCTCAGATTTCGCCCTCTCATGCTCATCGTAAATCAGTGTGGCTGCAGCAGCCGCGCCTTCACTGTATCCGATGATTCCACCAATCTCAGGATCAGCATCGAGTGCTTCGTAGAGCTGTTCCAATGCAGCTTCCCTCGCTTCAGCAAAGCCGACGGTCGTTTCGCCCTTGGGCATGAGTAGTCTCAATGCATCCTCGGGCGTGTCAGCCTCGGGAAACACTCGGATACCCTCAACTGCTGAGGCCTCTGCCTCTCCTTTGTCTTTGAGGAATCGAAAGTGTGGTCCTGAACCGAAGTAAGACTCAAAGCCTGCATATACTGTCAATTCAAGCCCTTGGTGATAAGAGCTGTGGATATATCTACCTGGAGGGGGTGTCACTGGCACTCGGCCTTGGATGAACTCGAATGAGGCTGAGCTAGTAGACTCAAGGAGCTCAATCATCGGTCCCAGCTGAACGCGGAATGTCTGTGAACTCGTCAGTATCCTGCATTGGCTACGTCTCTCAGAACAACACTTACAGGAATGTTGCCATAGGCTCCGTGCAGACACAGAAACTTCATCTTTGCTAGTCTTTGAGTTGTGAATGAGAAAACAATGGTGTTGCCAGAGAACGCAGTCGAAGGCCCATAAAAGGCAATGACTGACTCGCAGTATCTAGCACTTGCATGTCGCCTTTTCCAGAAGTGGTAGAACCCATATCGTCCGGCCGTTATCTTAAGTGAGAGAGAAGGATGAGACACTTAGTTAATCAGGGTGATCAGCAAAGAAATACCCTTTGTGATCCACTAATTGTTCATGGATGGTGGTTGGGAAGGCAAATGAGCTTTTTGCGTGTCTATCAAGATTGTCGTGCTCGTAGCATGTGCCTATCAAGTCGTCTAATTTACGCACGTATATTATCTCCCATGTAGACGACAGTAGGTTTAAGCTACTTTGTGAGACACCATATACCGCCGATTGGTGGGAGATGTGGGTAGATCCGAGGAGTAGACAGGCACGGTGCTGGAAACGGTCTGTCACACCGAGACCCGCTGATCATCCGCTTTGGACCTTTCTTCTTAGCCCTTCGACCGTTATCGTCCCTGAACCTCACCACATGTCAATGCTTCACCTTGCTATGTCGAATATGATCTGCAACCGCTTTCAGACGATCAGCAGAACGTCGATGCATGTCCGTGTAGGCACTATACTAAAGCAAAGCTTATAGGCTGTTCCTGCCTTGAGCTATCGGTGCGACACATGGTTTCCATGCATGCTTCTCCGGATTCGTCCTTGTCTTAAGCCGTCGTTGAACAGAAGAGTACTCGGCCGAGAGTACCCTGCATAGCACTGCGATTTTGGGCAGACTCACAACATTCACCTTCACACTTACGAGATAGCTCCGTATCAGCGTTGAGAAGCGCCAGAATCGCTCTTACTGGCCCAAGATTAGTCCATTCCTCCGTCTGCTTCGGGGAGAAGGATCGAACGAGACCTTGATTCAACACGAATGACTACTCTTCTCCAAGCCAGTCTCTAATGGCAGTTGATCGATAGCAGAAATGACCCTTGTGGATCTATCACATTGCCGAGTCTCAACATGAACCGGCTGTATTGTGGCACGCAAGACACCCTCGAACTTCTCTTCTGCCTCCTCAACGCGCAGTGATCCGAAAATCGCTCACCGAAGGTCGGACTCACTCTGTAGTCAGCTGTGACGGACTGGTAGATGTCCATGATTATGATAAAGCATCGACATTCCCAGCATACTGGTGAAAATCTCATCCATATCTCAGCTTTCTTTGTTACATACCAGCTAGACGACTTATTCTTCATCTTTTTTTCGGAATCTCATCACTCCCACCAACACAAACATGGCATCATCTGTGCCCATCCCTATCGCCATCGTAGGCTACTCATGTAAACTACCTGGCGATGTTTCTTCTCCAGAGGAGTTATGGGAGCTGTGCTCGCGAGGTCGCACCGGCTGGAGTCCTACCCCCTCTACACGCTACTCCAAAGATGCATACTACCATCCAGCTCCTGGCAAACAGGGATGCATCAACACAGAGGGCGGTTACTTCCTCCAAGAGGATCCTGCTCGTTTTGATGCCCCTTTCTTCAACATGACTGTGCAAGAGGCCACTGCACTTGATCCTCAACAACGCCTTCTTCTCGAATGTACCTTCGAGGCTTTCGAGAGCTCTGGCATGACCAAGGAAGGTGTCGCTGGAACAGATGTTGGTGTCTTTGTCGGTGGAAGTTTCGCCGATTATGAGGTTCACAACACCAGAGACATCGATACCGCACCCATATATCAGGCCACTGGCTGTGCACCGGCAATGCAGTCTAACCGTCTCTCATACTACTTCGACCTACGAGGCCCCAGTATGACTGTAGATACGGCATGCTCGTCATCTCTGGTGGCGTTGCACAGTGCCATGCAAAGTCTTCGCAATGGAGAGTCATCATCAGCAGTCGTTGCTGCAGCGCATCTCAACTTGTCGCCTGACTTTTTTGTTACTATGTCGAACACACAGTAAGACCGAATCCAAACAAAAACAAGCTGTGGGTCATTCTAACGATTTCCAGATTGCTCAACGACGCTGGTAAGACTTTTGCTTTCGACCACCGAGCTATATCAGGATTTGCACGTGGCGAAGGTGCCGGCGCCCTAATCTTGAAGCCCCTTGATGTCGCTATGCGCGATGGCGATGTGGTCCGAGCTGTGATTCACAACTCGGGAGTCAACCAAGACGGCAAGACCAATGGTATCACTGTACCGAACGGCCGTGCTCAATCAGACCTGATCAAACAGGTCTATGCCAAAGCGGGACTTGATCCAGCCGACTGCGGATTCAGTGAGTGTCACGGAACTGGTACCAAAGTCGGTGATCCCATCGAAGTTGCTGGTATACACGAAGCGCTGGGCGCTGGTCGTGGTCCCAGGAATCCTCTCTTCATCGGCTCTGTCAAAAGCAATGTTGGACACCTTGAAGGTGCCAGCGGAATAGTTTCGGTCATCAAAGCCGCAATGATGCTGGAGAAGGGCATGATCCTGCCTAATGCAAACTTCGAAAAAGCCAACCCAAACATTCCACTTGACCAATACAACATGAAGGTAAGCGACGCCGACTCATCGTAGCCATAAAGGCACTAACAGAGTACCTAGGTTCCAACATCAACCAGACCTTGGCCACGTGGAAAGAAATATGTCTCGGTTTCCAACTATGGCTTCGGTGGTGCAAACGCCCATGTCGTCTTGGGCGCTGCTCCCAAAGGAAACAAGACTACCATGGTTACGATCGGCTCTCTTGACGAAGCCCCTAAGGATCCGCAATGCAAACTGTTTGTGCTGTCTGCCCACGACTCTCAAGCCTTGCAGAAGAAAATTCGCGATCTCGGCAATTTTCTTGAGCAACGGCCCGAGGCCTTCGAGAAGCTACTTGCTGGCAATGTAGCTTACACCCTTGGCGAAAGACGTTCTCACCTGCCTTGTAGACTTGCACTTGCGGCAGTCTCGTCTGACGAACTGGGCCACAGTCTTGCAACCGCAAAGGTCCCCACTTTCAGAGCTCGTAGCGAGCCCACCTTGGGCTTTGTCTTCACCGGGCAAGGCGCGCAATGGGCCACTATGGGTGCCGAGCTTGCTCGCGACTACCCCATTTTTGCTACTGCGCTGGACGCGGCAGATAGCACACTCAAAGCGGTTGGTGCCGACTTCTCTTTGAAGGCGGAACTCTTGAAGCCTGCAGACGCTTCACTCATCAATGCTGCTCACATCAGTCAGCCTGCTTGTACCGCACTGCAGATTGCACTCACTTTGCTCTTGAGCTCATGGGGCATACACCCTGCTGCCGTGGTCGGCCACTCGTCGGGCGAGATTGGTTGTGCTTTCGCCGCTGGCATCATTGGTCTCGAGGATGCGATGAAGATTGCTTACTTCAGAGGCCAATGTATGCTTAGCCTCAAGCAGAAAGCTGTGGGGAAACCACAGGGAACCATGATGGCCGTTGGTGCCAGCGTCGAAAGCATTCGTCCTCTTCTCGACGCTGTCACTAAAGGCTATGTCACAGTGGCCTGTGTCAATAGCCCTTCTTCGGTGACTCTGTCTGGCGACGTTGAAGCGGTTGAAGAGCTCCAGCCAATCTTGACGGAGAAGAGTATCTTCAACAGACAGTTGAAGGTTGGTGTTGCGTATCACTCCGCACATCTCGAGCCGGTTGCAGATGAGTATCTCGACTTGATCAAGGATATTCAGCCTGCCGCAACTGCCACTGCAACTTTCTACTCATCTTTACTTGGACGTGTTGCTGAGCCTTCGGAGCTCACTCCCGACTACTGGGTTCAGAACCTGACTTCACCTGTCAGATTTTCTGATGCGCTTGGTGCGATGGCAAAGGAGACTGGATCCAAAGTAATCGACCAGCTAGTGGAGCTTGGCCCTCACTCCGCTCTCCAAGGCCCTATCAGAGATACCCTAGCTACGATTGATGCTGCGAAGGGCAAGATGCAGTATGTCTCCGTTCTTGCAAGGAACCAGAACGCCAGCGAGTGTGCCCTTCGTATGGCAGCTGCTCTCTACATGAAGGGACTGCCCCTGACTTTTGGCGAGATCAACTTCCCTCGTACCAAGAGTATCAACCAAAAACTTATCACCGATCTTCCGAGATATCCATTCAACCACGATACCAGATACTGGCACGATTCTCGTCTGGCACAGAAACATTGTTTCAAGGAAGGTGGGCGTAACGACATCCTGGGATCGCTCGCTGATTGGTCCAACGATCTCGAGCCTACTTGGAGGAACATCGTTCGGCTGGATGACTTGCCTTTCCTCCGTGGCCACAAGATGCAGTCTATGCCCGTTTTCCCGATGGCAGGCTACATGGGCATGGCTCTCGAAGCCGCTGCTAGACGCGCAAATGCTCGCGGCGTTCAATTTGAACGTCTTGAGATCCGAGAGTTCGTTGTCAGCAGTGCATTGGTCCTCAATGAGGACACTGATGTTGAGATGACCATCACCCTGATGCCTTACAGTGAAGGGCTTCGCGGTGCAGCATCTGATTTGTGGGACGACTTCAAAATCTGCTCTTGGGACGTAAAGCGTGGATGGCTTCAGCACTGTCACGGTCTTGTTGGTGTCCGAAGCTCTGCGGCCACAAACGCTGTCGATGCACACAAGATTCAGAGTGCTTCCAGAGCATTTGAGGCACGCAAATCGAGCATTATCCATGCATCCACTGATACCGTTGATGTTCAAGCCATGTACGAGACACTCACTGCAGTTGGTGCTGAGTATGGACCCGTGTTCACCGGTTTGGTGCCTTGCCAAGCAAGTGACTCGGCCGCCCATGCTGAGCTCATCGTACCCGATACTAAGTCTCTGATGCCCAAAGGCTACGAGACTGATCTGATCGTGCATCCTGCTCTTCTGGATCAGATCATCCAGATCGTTTGGCCCATATTTGGTGCAGGTCGTCAGGGGCTCGATACGCTGTATATGCCCACCTTTGTCAAGAACTTCAGCATCTCAAGCAAATTCTCTGCAGCCCTTGGCTATCAGCTCGAGGTGTTTGGCTCAGGAGCTCCCAATAGAGACGCTCCTGAGCCCACGAGGTTTGGTTTCTTCGTTGTAGATTCCTCCAACGCCAATGAGCCTCTTCTCGAGTTCGAGGGCCTTACAATGACCCCCCTTCGTGAGTCCAGTGGTAGCTCTGGACCTCAAGCTCGCGAGCTCTGCTATAAGATCGATTGGCAGACGGCGTCTGAAGCAGAAGAAGTTGACTTGGAGAAATCCACGTCTGATGTCTCAGACACAAAGGTCAAAGCCGATTCTCTTGTCAGTACGCCTTTCACAAGGGATGAAACTATCTACGTTGTCTACAATGAAGCCGATGAGAAGACTTCGGCAGCTGAGATTGCCTACAATATCTGGCAAACTTCAGGAATTCAAGCCGAGCTGGTTACACTCTCAAAGCTCGTACCTACCGACAAGCAAATGGTCTTCGTAACCGGCAAAAACATTCTGACAGGTATTGACACCCAAACATTCGACGCTCTGCGCCAGATGCTACTTTCAGCTCGCAAAGTCCTTTGGACATACAAGGAAGGTCCTGATGACTTCGATGTTGAAGGAAGCATGGTCGTTGGTTTCGCTCGTACCATACGCTCGGAGACATCTGCCAACATCATTACTCTGGGTCTCCAGGGAGCTCTCGATAAGACTACTATCAAGAACGTCTTGACGATTCTTTCCAAGACTAGTGTCGATTCGACGTCGGCTCTCAAGGACGATAAAGAATTCATCTTGAAGGGCGACGAGCTGCTGGTGCCCAGAGTCGTCGATGACGAGGAATTGAATGTCCGACTTCATCAAGAATCGCAAGACTCGGTTGTGTACCAGCAGCCCTTCGCACAATCTGACCGTCGCCTCAAGATGACCATCGCCACGCTTGGTTCCCTCGATTCGTTTTATTTCATTGACGATGAAGCTAAGCCGCTCGGCGACAACGAAGTCGAGATTGAAGTCAAGGCTACTGGTATGAACTTTAAGGATGTGGTGGTGACGATGGGACAATTGGCACAACCATATATCGGTGTCGAGTGCAGTGGTATCATTGCAGCTGTTGGCAAGAATGTGATAGACGTCAAGATCGGACAATCTGTCATGGCCATGACGGAAGGTGCATACAGCACCTACGCTCGCTGTTTGTCGACTAGCGTTGCGCCTCTGCCCGAGAAGACGGATTTCACCGCTGCTTCGACCATCCCTGTCGTCTTCTGTACCGCCTACTATGGTCTCTTTGACCTGGGACGTCTTATTGAGGGCGAAACAGTTCTCATCCATGCCGCAGCTGGTGGTGTTGGTCAAGCCGCTATCATGTTGGCCCAAACTTGTGGCGCCGAAATCTTTGCCACCGTCGGAAGCATTGACAAGAAACAGCACATCATGAAGGAGTACGGCATTCCTGAGGATCATATCTTCAACAGTCGAGACACTAGCTTTGGGCCTGCTATCCGTCAGGTCACCGCTGGAAAGGGCGTTGATGTCGTCCTCAACTCTCTTGGAGGTGAATTCCTGCGCGAAAGTTGGGACTGCTTGGCACCGTTCGGCCGATTCATTGAGATCGGCAAGGCAGATATCACGAAGAACAGTAGACTCGAAATGGCTCAATTCGAGTACAATGTTTCTTTTGCTTCAGTCGATCTGACCAAAGTGGCTGCATACCGTCCCAAGCTCATGAAGAGACTTCTGAACGATGTGGAGAAGCTGATGAGCAATGGCAGCATCAAACCAGTCGGTCCAATCACCAGCTATGGTATCAACGAGGTCGAAGCTGCCTTCCGTAGTCTGCAAAGCGGCAAGAGTATGGGTAAATTGGTCATCACCCCTCGACCCGGAGATCTTGTCCAAGCTATCGCGCCCAAGAAGACCACAGGTCTGTTCAAAGACGATGCCTCATATCTGATTGTCGGAGGTACTGGCGGTCTCGGATGCAGTATCGCTAGATGGATGGCCTCGCGTGGTGCCAAGTACATCTGCTTGTCTTCCAGAAGGGCCAACATTACGCCAAGATTGGAAGGACTCATTGGTGATCTCGCCAAATTGGGAACCACAGTGTCCGTCCGCGCTTGCGATGTCGCGGACTCCATATCAGTCGAGACTCTGGTCAACGATCTTCAGAAGGAAGGTCCTATTCGCGGTGTCATCCAAGGCGCTATGGTACTCAAGGATGTTCTTTACGAGCAGATGACTCTGGATGACTTCAACGCAGTCGTCAACCCCAAGGTTACCGGTACCCTTAATCTGCACAAGAGTCTTGAAACTTCCGAGCTTGACTTCTTCGTCGCTCTTTCCTCGGTCGCCGGTGTTGTTGGCAACCGTGGTCAAACAGCCTACGCAGCTGCCAATGTCTTCTTGGACACTTTCATGGCTCACCGAAACGCAAAAGGACTGCCTGGTACCTCTCTCGACCTTACTGCCGTTTCGGACGTTGGCTACCTGGCTGACAACAGCGAGAGAGCAGCTGATGTCCTCCGCAATCTTGGCGGTGAGACGATCGAGGAGTGTGAGATCATTGGTCTGCTCACCGCTGCTGTCACAGGCAAGATCACCGCAAGCAACAATCATGTCATTACTGGTCTGAAGATCAACCCTGGCTCTGAGCCTTTCTGGTGTCACGATGCAAAGTTCAGCAAGTTGCTCGCTGCAGCTGTATCACAAACTTCTGCCGAGGGTGGTAATGTAAATGTGCCTTTGCCCCAAGCACTGAAGAGTGCTGGTGACAGCGAAAAGGCACTTGAAGTTTTGTATGCCGCTCTCGTGAACAAGCTAGCTGCAGTTTTGATGTTGTCAGTCGAGGAAATGGAGCCTACAGCAGCAGTTGCATCATACTCTCTGGACTCACTGGCTGCTATCGAGGTCCGCAACTGGATTGCAAGAGAGGCGGATGCGAATGTTCAGGTCTTGGAATTGCTCACCAGTCCCAGTCTGATGGAGCTTGCAAAGTTGATTCTCAAGAAGAGTAAATTGGTTTCGTTTGAATGAGTACATAGACGCGAGATGTGGTAGCGGTTAATCGCCGGAGTTTAGTACTGTGTACCTAGTTCCATTTCGTTTATATATCTATTGTCGTTTCGTTCTAATGTCTTGCTTCAAACTACACTAATCGGCTCCTAGCCCCTGTTTGTAAAGGCTTGTGACGCTTCTGACTGTCGAAATGCACAGTGGCCTGAAGAAACAGCATAGTATCCAAAGAAATGCAATGTTTCCTTGGCTCTCTTCGGTCATACCTCTGATCTCGAGATTATTGTGCACTTCCATAGTATGAACATCGCTCTGGACCTTTGTTGCAGGAGTTTGAGAGTATCTCTGGGCAAGATTGATGTTTAATCTTACTGTGACACGACTATATCTTGTGCACCGGCTCGCCTTGCCTCAGCGTTCAGGGCATCGACTTCTGCGGCGACATACGGTATACCAGATTTCCTTCTTTCCACTTCCGTCAGCTGTTCGATTTCTCCCGGAAAGTAGATTCTGTCTACCCCGGCCATCTTTTCCGAGTTCACGACCTGGGATTTATCAGCGATGGCACATTGTTCTGCCGCTTATCAAACTTACTCTGTTGTAAAGATACTCCATCCTTTGCTTGAACTCATCCGAGCTGAGGAAGAGATCAGGCTTCAAAGCAATGAGGAAGTGACCCACGTCCGCTGGCTTTGACGGATCGTATGGATTCGTCACATGTCCGGCGAACGCGGATCCAGACAAGACACCCGAGAACACATCCATCATGACCGACAAGGCCGACCCCTTCGGCCCACCCATAGGCAGCATGACTCCTTCGAGGGCAGCACTCGGGTCATCAGTTCTGTTGCCATCCTTGTCCAACGCCCAGTCTACTGGAATCTTCTCGCCTCTACGTTTCGCTTTGTAGATTTTGCCTCTGGCAGCGACCGAAGGAGCCATGTCCAAGATGAAATCATGCTCGGAACCAGGAGCTCCACAGGCGATTGGTGACACTCCCATCAACTTTTCCTTGCCGCCCCAGACTGGTAGTGCGGGTGATGAATTGGTAAAGACCAGACTCATCATGCCAGAATCAATAGCTTGCTGGACCAGCCAAGCACTCATGCCGAAATGATTGCTGTGCTTCACGCTGACCATACCGATGCCATAGGTTTTGGCCATATCGATCGCTTTCTCCATGCCTAATCTGGCAGCGACGAAACCAAAGGCATTTTTGCCGTCCACTTGAGCCACAACGGGGGTCTTTTCTGTGAGAGTGGGTTGAGCAGCGGGGTCCAGGACGCCTTGGCGGATGCGAGCGAGGTAGGAGGGAATTCGATTGACGCCGTGAGTATCCACGCCGCGGAGATCGGCAGCAACGAGACAGTGGGCTACCACTGCTGCGTCTTTCTCGGATACATTGTTGGCTTGGAGGACAGCCTTGACATAGGCATTGGCATTATCGTGGGAAACCAAGAGTTTGGCGGTGCTTTCTGAATCAGCCATGTCGGTACTGGAAATTGATGATCCTGAGTATTAAGGAAGGTAGATTGGCAGTGTGTCAACAATGAGGCTGTGAAAGATCCTAGAAGTGGTCAAATAATTATAGGTGTTGCTTCGGGTAAGGTTTGCGCGGCTTCTCCGAAAGCCGAGCGGAAATTCCGTATGCTGTCCCGGTATATATGCTGGGTGTGCCTTCCGCTGTGGGCAACTGCATCAAGAAGATCTGATCAAAAGGAACCACCAACATGACTATCGTACACATCGGTTCGTGTTCCGTTTTCTCTATCATCAACATGCTAATTCACGACAGTCCTATTCAAATTCCGCGCCGAAGTCACAGACGAGCACAAGCAAAAGTTTGTAACGGAGCTCAAGAAGCTCAAATCCTTACCATGTGTCAAAGAGCAGCGACTTGTGGTGGGAGGAGCATCGATAACCGATCCCATTGAACGAAGCAAAGGCTTTGAATTTGCTCTGCTCAGCTTTCACGAAGATCGAGCCGCGCTTGCAGAATATCAGAAATCAGATGAGCATCATCAGTATGTTTAGAGATGATTGCTTTGGGAGTACTAGCTGACAGTCTTTACAGTGTTACGAGCACATATATGTTCCCATACAAAGAAGATCTCATGAGATACGATTTCGAGGTTGACGAAGCGGATGAACATCTTCTTGGATTCTTGCCCCAGGTCGCGGCAAGGATGAGCTGAGGATGCAAGGGGTATGACAAGAGTCCATGAAAACACAATGGCTTTGCGAGTTAGGGTGTGAGCGAATATACTGTAGCTGTCGAAAGGCAGGTAGACGTCGGCAAGCCTTGTTTTTTCGCGTCTTCTCCGGGTGCAAGAGTTTGTAACGCTGGAGCTTTCAAAATGCATAGTAGTCTCAAAAAGCATGACAGTAACCATTGAGATGTAGTGAATGTAAGGCACTCTTTGGATGCGTTTTTGATTCATGAAACCGTTGTGCCACCGGTGCGATTTCATAGCGAGTGTCCCGCTCCATACTTTTGTGTGAGGTATTCACAAACTTCCAGCACACGGAAAGGGCCGAAATGGTTCAAGCGGGTTCCTTCCGCAAGTTCGGATTTTCCGCACCTCTCTCTAATGTCTGGTTTCGAGCGTCACACCGTGAATCACATCAATCATGAGCCAGGAGGCTACCAGCGACAGAGCTGCGAGACGGCAATCTCGTAGGTCGCAGCGGATTCGTACAGCCTGCCTTCGCTGTCAACAGCGCAAAATACGCGTAAGGATGCAATCGCATACATCTGACCATTCGTGTGCTGATTGACATCAAGTGCGATGGGCTATCTCCAGTTTGCACATCTTGTAGTAAATCCAGCAAGGAATGCGAGTATCAAGATGGTAGCGCGGTCGAGAACCAAGCACGAGCGTAGGTCAGATTGTCCGCCTACGCACATGCGGCTGAGTAATAATCTAGGCGATACATACACTATCTTGAGCACCGAGTGCGCTGGCTAGAAGGCATCGTCAAGGAAAGGTGTCCTGATGTAGGTCTCGCAGAAGGACCTGATGTAGAAGACGCTGAGAATGTCAACAACACATCAGTCTCGACATCCGACGCCGCTCTAGATCCTCAGCCTGATGGTCACTACGAACGCACGGCGGATGTTGAGGTTCTAGATGACACTCAGGATGTACAGATGAACGTTACCGAGACAACCGCAAGTATTCCCGAGGCACCCACGAGTGCTCCACAACCCGCAGATTCGAGCCTGGCCCATCAGATTGGCCTCGTGTCGCTTCCCAACGGAGATGATCCGCGCTACATCGGTCCGTCCAGTGGTCACTTTTTTACCCAGCTGGTTTGTACAGCCAGTGCGTTGACTAGAAGCAATAATTCAACTCGCCTCAATCGGGGTAATGCAACCCTACAGCGAGACAATGCTCTTACTCAAAAGTTGCTTCGTGATATCCAGACGCCGCTGCCGTCCAGCAAAGACCTGACAGAGGACTTGACTCGGACATTCTTCAATACAATCCACCAGCACCTCCCATTCCTTCACGAGCCGACGCATATGCGATTAATAGAAGAGGTGTACGCTTCTATTGAGCTAGATCCTATTGCCGCTTTCCAAGTCTATATGGTGCTTGCAATCTCGTCAATCATGTTATCGCGCCGAGACAGAGTTGCACTGCCTAGTGAAGGCTGGGCCGCAATGGCTGCTTCGTTCTTCGAGAAGAGTCCCATCGAAAGCTCGACTCGAGGGCTACAGTGCCTTTTGCTACTCCATGTCTGGGGCATGCACAGTCCAGCAACGAAACTGAACATCTGGTATCTAAACTACCAATGTATCGCGATGGTTGTAGACCTTGGTCTGCAGAGGGATGTCAAGTCGGCATCGTCCATCTCATCGTTTGATCAGGAGATGCGAACGAGATTATTTTGGGTTGTATACAGCCTGGACAGATCTCTCTGTACTATGATGGGTCGACCAATAGGCCTGAGAGATGAAGCATGTGATTTGAGGGTAAGACTCCTCCAATATGGGCACGATATGGTGAACTGATCATCTCAATGTGTCCAGCTCCCTTCAGATATTGACGACATAGGTCTGACCCAGATCAATGGCAGACCTAGAACAGAATCAGAGCCTCCAACCCACATGACTTATGCCATACACCTGTTCAAGCTTGCCAAACTCAACTCCGAGATGAAATATATCCTCCACAGCATTTCTAGAGACACGCCAGCCTATGCCTACCCAGCAATTCGCTGCATGAGGACCTGGCAGAGAGACATGCGGGATCGCCTCGACCAGTGGGCTGCCTGTATACCACAAAGATCTGGCCCTAAAGACTATGTGATGAAAGTCTGCGACATCCGCTACCACGTCCTGAAGACGCTTCTTCTCCGACCAAGTCCCGGCATACCTCAACCAAGCTCGGACGATCTGAAAACTTGTTACGCGAGCGCTTTGACGGCCATCAGACTCTACCATGATTTGTATGTCGAGAATGCACTAGTCTTTACTTGGGCATCATACCATTCGATCATGATGAGTGCCGTGACGGCTTTCTTTTGCATCTGGACTTGTCCGTCCGTTGCACAGGTCATCGTGATCGATGAGCTCGTTTCTGATCTAAGAGCAGCATCGAATATCCTAAGTGCCACTGGTGAGCATTGGCAAGGAGCCAAGCAAAGTCGCAACATCCTGGACGAACTGTCTCACAGAACCATCAGATGGATAATGGATCGCAAAAATGGTAGTAACCACGATCATCCCGCACGACCGAGCGAAGTGAATTTCGGGAACTCCGATTCGACAGGTCATGATAGAACATTCAACCATCACTCCAACGTTGGCAATGTACCAGGACAGTCGCAAGCCGATGAGCTTGAAGCTCTGATGCAGCAGTACAGTCGGAGCTGGACACCAGGACTTGAATTCCTGCCATCAACTTTCGACCAGATGTCCGACATGAACACAGGTTTATGGACTGGAGACACCAACACGGACGCGTTCCTTCAGGATCTTTTCGATGGAATGGCTCCTATGTCATTTTGAGACAAGCTCACTCCATCGTGATACATAAGATGTGTTTATTCATTCCAGGAAGAAAGTAAGCAGTGAGTCACTGTTTCGATCAACGGAAATCTTCAGAAGAAACTTCATCTCGAGTGCCGCTTCTTCCGTTCAACTCTCCAACTCTGGCGCCCTACCGGACTTCCATCACATCTACACGGGCAGTTTACCGCCCAGTTCCGGCATCTCAACATCCTGGTTCCATCCCGTTTTGTTAGTATACTTCGCCTTTGTTTCTTCTTTCTTCTGCCACCACCACCAGAAGCACAAAACCATGGTCGTGAGCGGCACTGCGACAACGAAATAAATCCACAGATCCTTCGAAGTCTTTAGATGTCCACCTGTGGGGCCCGAGTCGACGCTGAAAAAGTTCATACCGAGGAGTGCCTGGGAGCTAGATGTTAGATCTTGTGATTGTATGAAGAGCGAGATTGGAAGCGAAGAGGAAACAGCAACGTACCGTAACGAAAGTGGCGGGCAAGAAAGTCAGAGTGACGAGAGCGATGGTCTTCATTGCCGCACCGTCAGCCTTGGTCGCGAGGGCTATCTCGGAGCTAAAAAAGGACATCTTGGTGTTGACATTACTGTCGCGTTGGGATATAATATTGGAGAGCTTGTGGCAGCACCCGAATCAGCAATCACTCACAAAGACTTTCTGGCTGTGGAATGCTCCAGGACTCACCAGTATTTGTCTGCATGGAGGCGTACTTTAGTATATGCAAGTGTCAGCCACGCGCGCGCGTGGCTGCGAATCCGGCGCGTATTGCTTTCTCCCAACGGCAATACCACAGAAACATTGCTGGATCGATGCGACATGTAAATTTTTGGCTTTATCGATATTTTCCTTCTCCTTCGAGGCCCCAATCGAGCTAATACTCATCGTTGTTCGCGGCAGCTAGTCGCTGTAGAATCTCACTGTTGTCCTGAGCGATCAAATTCGACAGCTACATCGTGGAAGTCGTTAGCTCTGTGGTTTTAATAACGGTCCTGAGTGTAGAGATGGGAAGGAAAGAAAGAGCAGAACATACCAAGCTTTGCTCATTAGCCAGTCTCTTCTCATTAGTCACGGCGCGAGCAGTCAGGCCTTTAACCATGCTGTGTACGAAAGCAAGTCTCCGAGCCCTTTGTGCAAGCGTCCTGTCTGGCGTCTTCTGTGCTGCAGCAAAGCTTTCGCACTCGACTCTCATGCGATCGACTGTGTCGACTGCCATTTGCGTCGTCTCTACCAGTTGAGTCGCGTGGCGTGATATCTCGAAGACGGCTGCGAGTTGTTCTTTCCGTCTTTTTGATGGTGGGTCATCTAGATCGACAATCCTGTCGTTCTCACTTGCGAGCTTCAAGACTGCCTATCAGATGTTAGCCTTGAAAAGTATGGTGGTCATCAGAACTTGATTTGACTTTACCTCTTCTATGCTTGCGACTGTGCCTTGGACGTGCCCAATACTCATATCGTATAGCATGGTCAGCTGCTCCAACAATGGTATATGCAATGCATAGGGCCCTTGCAAGTCCTGTAGCATTGTTGGCAAAGATTCCTGGAGTCCAACGATAACACTATCAGGCACATTGAAGCAGATCAAGATGTTCCGACTAGTAGAGGAAGAGGACAGAAAGCCCATCTCGGACCATTCGTAGGCAAGAGATCCGTGCGGAGAATCGTAATCGGGTAAGCCTTGGTTCTTGGGTGACTTTACGGCCATGCGGAAGTAGGTAGAGTAGGGCACTGTGGCTGGCGGGAGAGAGTACTCGCAGCCAAAGAAGCCATTGTGAAGTGAACACGTTCTCGACCAGAACAGCTGAGGCGTATACGGAAATCGCGTCATGACGGTTTCCCGAAGCTTGTTACGCTGATGGCTCTGAAAGAATTCAATCTCAGTGAAACTACAACAGCCGCTCGTTAGCGGTTGTTGACCTCATGCGTAATGGAACACCTACATAATGCATGCTTGCCTACACGTAGATCGCTGTCAAGCCTCAGTCAGCATTATTACTTGTTGGTGTACTACTTGGTGGTGGCCTACGTCCAACAACTCTCGGATAGATCGTGTCTCTACCGATGACCATTGGCGAGTCAAGCTGTCTTCAAACATCAATAGCTTACTCAGAGTACTTTTGACTGTGTGGTCTTACCATAGAACAGAGCATTTGCGTCCGGATTAGGGTCCGCAACTTGTGTATCTGACATAGTAGTCGATGTGCCCTGTTTCTGTGGCTACCCAAGACGATCAAACAGCGTGGAAATGGATATGGAAGCGAAAGACATGCGATGGTTTCCCACGCCAAGCCGAGGCGCGAGCGAGCCGAAGGATTGTCTTGCTCGAATCGTGGTCATCACGATACCTATATGCTGTCCTCTCGCGTGACGAGCAATGACAATCGAAGCGTACCTTGGACCAGGCGACCTAATATGGCCATCTCCGGCGCTTTTTTAAAAAAACGAAATAGCGTGCTTGAAACCCAGTTCGATAGGCAAGCTGGCACACGAGAGGTGCACGAGCTCCACGAGGCTTGCACGATGTGGGGAAGCTCTGACCATCTGGAGATGTGCTAAACTTATTTTCCTGTCATCACAAAATCAAAGGGCCCAAAGGAGCATCACAACCACTTTTTGTCATGAAATTTTGTTATTCGTTATACATCGTAGCAAGACATGCTATGGTTATGGCTTAGGTACCAGTTTGAATCAAGTATCCACCGTCCACAGGGATATTCTGTCCGTTCAAGTACTGATTAGCTGCAGCAAAGAGGATAGCCGCTGCCATGTCTTCCTCTCTGCCAGGTCTCTGCGAAGGCAAGTCTCCCTTGTGCTCCTTGGGAAGCTCGCTCTTCTGGTCGTCTTTGCTCTCACCAGTAGTCATCTCGGAGGGGAAGACACCAGGAGCGATGGCGTTGATACGGATCTTGAGGCCGGAGCTCTGGACCTCGGAGGAGAGCATCTTGTTCAGGTGAACAACAGCTCCCTTGGAAGCATTGTAGTTGAAGTGACCTTGAGAGATGCGAACAAGACCAGAGATAGAAGAGATGTTGATGATGGTACTGGACCAGCCATGCGTACGCTCAGTAGCCTTTTGGAGAAGAGGCAAGAAGGCAGTGCTGAGGAAGAAAGGTGCAATAACGTTTGTAGTGTAGAGGTTGCTCCAGTCCTCGAAGCTGGTATGACAGTCAGTAACGACACGCGATGAGGTGATATGACAGGATCTTACGTGTCCTCGTCGAAGAGGTTCTTCTTCATCTCCTCGGCGTTCTTGCCGTCGGGAGTGAGCTTGCCAGCGTCGATGCCGGCGTCTATTGATTGTCAGTTTTGGTTCAACCGGGAATTCGTGTGCTGACATACTGTTGATGAGGATATCAAGGAAGCCCTCCCTGTTCTCGATCTCCTTGACGAGCTTCTCAATCTCACTCTTCTTGGTGACGTCGCCAACAATGGGGATGATCTCGCCAGGGATTTCCTTTCCGTAAGTCTGTTGAACGGTCTTGAGCTTCTCCTCGGTACGGCCAACGATGTAGACCTTAGCACCGTTAACAGCGAGAGCTTGAGTGGCCTGTGAGAATGAGTATATTGCATCGTATCATCGCAAGTCGGCTGCAATAATTACCATCAGACCAATTCCGGAGCCACCACCAGTGACCAGGGCGACCTTGCCCTTGACGTCAAAGACGTTGCTGAGTTGAAAGTTACTGTTTGACATATTGATTCAAGTTGTGTTGAATTGTATACCTCAATGATGAAGGTGAGGAGACAGAAGGTATTTAAGCTCGACATATGATGATCTGTTTAGGGAAGTGACGAGTGACGTTTTGGTGACGATCCTTCCTCAAACTAGTGGGGCATCTTTCTCTGGTGATCAGGGTTCCGATCATCAACGATCATATATGCATAGTCTGACGAAAAGTGGATAACTTTTGATACTATGATATAGGTACGAATCACGCCTTCATTTGCTCAGGGATGTGGAGGGATTCGATGTATGTGCTACAACTTGTTCCTTCTAAGAAGCTCTCTCATCCTCCTTGGAGCAGGTACGGCGGTACAACATCCACCCTGTTCTCCTTCTTTGCTGACTGTGATTCTCTCTCCTGACGGCTTCAGTCATCACGTCGATCCTCCTTTGGAGAGAAACCTGACTCTGTAGAAACACCAACCGACCGACTGGCTCGGGGAACCGTGATGCTACCGGAGCTGTTGTTCTGCGCCATCAGTGAGAGGTGCTTTTGAACATACTATGTTTCCTTGTCAGGATCATGTGCCGCCGACTCGACATTGTGTAGAGCTCGTCTTTGCCTCAGGGAGGGCCAGTGGTGTAAGAGGATCCTCCATGTTCACCAATGATAGACTGCCTTTGATACAGAACTCGACCAGTTCACAGCTCTCCCAGGCTCATACACCATGCACTCCTGCCGCTAGCAGCGTCCGACTCTTTGACACCGTCGTCCAGAGCGGCCAATGCGGCACTGTGTCCCGGCTCTTGCGCCGATACCCTACTTGCCACATCTTGAGCATCCGGCATCTGTGTGTCCGCAGGTCCATTGACTTGAAGCGTATCATCGTTCGTCTTGACTTTCTTCAGCGTGGGCGCGGGGTCTGCGACGGCTTCGATCTGATCGTGTGAGCGCTTTGCTGCGAGAGTAGGCGAGTGCGGGATAGCGTTTTCGACAGCGGGTTCTGAGATGGAGATTTGGGTTGATTGAGCCATCGTGTCAGCGCCAATGGACTATTGTAGTTGGTGGTGTAGAGCGTGGAAATGCGAGACGGACGCGAACGGCCTTTGTCTCGCGTCGCGGACTTTAGTCCTGTCTATGACGAGTTGTTTGCTCAACAAGCAAACTGCTCTTGTGCTGACGATGCTGGTATCACCCTGATTCAATACAAACCACCGCGGCGACGACCATACCCACGTCTTTTTGCTCTAATGCACGTCGAGGCGAGGAGAGATATCCGTAGACCCACGGTTAGAGGTGTCATCAAGACAGACGCGGTCATACAAGTTATGTTCAATAGATATTGCTCATCGCTAAGGATATTCTCCTAAGTGACTATCGTTACACTGTAGACCTTGGGCCACGAAGGAGAGTTTAAATTGGATCAGAGATATGTCTATATTCAGAAAGACCGCTTTTATAGCAACAACGCCAAGAAGCCAACCGTGGATATCTAGCGACCAGAAGAACAACAAAAGCTATTGACAGTATAGTATAATGTACACACAGGAGAGAAGAACCACATGCCCTTAAATTATCCAATTTCATATCCACAAAAGAAATATTGGCGCGAGGAATGACCATATCGCCGGATTGGTGGCGAACAAGGCAGGTGCAGCTGCACCACTTTGTGTGGCACCAGCCTGAGCCACACTCGTGGCACTGTTAGCTGTGTCGGAAGCAGACGCCGACTCCCTGCTGTTGCTACTGCTGCTCTGTATCTTCTTGCCGCTTCCACTGCTAGAAGGTGAGATTGAAGGAGAAGCAGTAATGACAGATGATCCAACGGCCTGAGTAGGGTTCCATTTGGACGCGCTTTGTTCAGTATCAGAATCAGACTCAGATCCAGATCCGGATCCAGATCCAGTATTAGATCCAGATCCGCCTCCAAGGCCACTGAGGATGGCACCAGCCATGCCAGTGACCGAATCAGGGCCAACATGATGTCCAGAAAACACAATTGCTGTCGTCGCAGCACTTGCAGTCGATGTAACGGTTGATGCGTACTCCGCTGATGGCGAAGACTTGGCTGATTCATAGACCGCGGTGACACCAGTAGAAACTGGTCTTGTTGTCGTGCTAGGTGCACCAGTCTCAACGCTGGACGCTGGGCTAGCATCTCCGTCTCCGTTGACCCGACCTCCCCAATCAGCTGTTGGGGTAGCGAGCTCAGTGCCGGTGAGCATTGGTGTCAGCACTCTCGGTGGATCGTATGCTCCGCTCAGATTTGGATCTGCTCCGCATTTTGAATTGATCCAGGGCTGTTGCATGCTGATCAATCTTGGTGGCAGTAATATGACGGGGTGACAAGGGTCGTCGTGATACATTGCGTTCGCCGCGTTGATGGGATTATCGGGCCAATAAACGTATCCAGAAATCGCAGAGCAGTTCTGTCCTACTTCATCAAAGTCTACAGACTTTGGTGGAGGTTGTGTCGTTATCGCTGATCCCATCATCCTGTATGTCGAGCCTTCGGAGACATAGTCGGATTCAAGTTGTGTCAGAGTGGTGATGGGCCTGGCAGTTGTAATCTCCGAAGCGTCAAAGCCTATGGTCGTGCTGGTCCAGGCGTCTCCTACTTGGCCACATTTGTTGCTTGCGACCAAAGAACTAAAGGCCATGTACACACTTGGCGAAGTAAAGGTAAATCCTTGCGCGTCGACACTTGTACTAGGTTGGCCGGGAGCTGGTGCAGTTGGAGTTGCTTGATCTGGCCAGAAATAAAAGTCGATTGTGCCTGCTGTCATATAGCAGGAACTACAACATGGTGGCTTTGGCGTGTACGCGCGAATGGCATATTGTGTATCTGGTCAGAATTAGCACCATACACTATACGTATTTGGACGAGGCTTCATGCTTAAACCAGGCGCTAGACCTTGGACAGGTTCGTTCTACAAAGTGATATAGAGCCCGATAACCTGGTCTCATGGGAAAGGGGTGGATGAAAGCCTGAAGATAGTGGACAAGGGAGGAAGATGGAATCAAGGCAAACAGCGATGCGAGGTACTGAGATGAAGCAAGTCGGAAGGAAACAAAATAAGTGAAACCGGTCTCTATGGCACTTACACAAGAAAGTACTGGTCCAATAGGTTTGAGAGGTGACAGATCCCGTCAGATCTCCCAGAGAGTCAGTCGGTCCAAAACCTTCATACCAGGTCCACCTGCTAGTAGCAATCTCTGTACTCTGATATGTCGCGACGAAACTATTCAACTGAGCCGAGCAGAACTTCTCAAGAGAGGCGGACTTTCTCTTGGAATCATCAGCGTCGGCATCGGTTCCATTTTCGTCCCTCTCGGTCCCATTGGGGAAAGTCGGACTGGTGGCGACAACTTGGCCGATGAGAGCAGGCAACACCAACAAGGGCGACAGCGACAGCATCCCGCGCATTGATGGCTAAGAACAGAGCGGTCAAGGCGCTCGCGCGCGTCAGGTGGAGGTGAAAGCGTCCTTCCCCACTGAAACTGGGCACGTCGTTCGGTAGATTGGGTCCAGATCAGAGTGACTGTTGATTACGAGAAAGTGCCGTACGCTGGCGCGTTATGGCGTCGCGAATGGAAGACTCGGCCGAAAGAATGATGGCCACGCAGCGGGCCGAACTGGCGGAGGAGCGAGTCTGTCGATGAGTTGAAGCTGACAAGAGCAGCGAGTTGTGGTTGGAATGCGACGAGTTGGTGCCCTCTGTCGTGGCAAGTGTCGAAGAGAAAAGGTAACTTAGGGTCGAGACTGTTTCAATTCATGGGAACGGCGTCCAGATAAGATCCCCTTTCTAGCGTTGAAGCAAGCCGTGTTCCAAAGTTAAACCGTACGTCAATAGAGTCGAAGAAAAAGATGACGAGGCCTTTCCGCTCATTTGTGCTCTGCCAGCACTTTTGAACGACTGTCAAGATTCCGATCTCGGTTTACTAATACTTCTTGGATACTGAGTCTTGCGTGTCTCGAGAGAATCCAGTGATCTGATCTTTACCCTCTACATGAACTCGAGTAGCAGAAGTCGAGGCCATGGTCGAGTCAAGAGGGTGAGCATGGCGCACATGGCGTGTAGGACGAGAGATCAAGAGGATATATTGGGAATTGTCGAAAAAATGCTTCATCAACCAATACCAGCTCAGCTGGCTCATCTTCATTGGTCTAGTGGTCATGATTTCCGCTTGTCAAGAGTAATATCTCGTCAAGCGCGGGAGACCAGGGTTCGATTCCCTGATGGAGAGCACATCTTTTTCTTTTGGCCATCAATGATGGTGATGACTACCTTTTCGGTTTCTCGTTCCATCGACTGAGATGCAATTGTTCCCCATCTGTGTCATGAACCGGATGTTTGCTGGCCGTCTTGTTCCCGAGAAGGATTCGATACTAAACTATGAGTTGCTGATCACAATCCGTCATTAGATCAGTCAAAAGTGAAGATAAGGCCAGTTTAACCTACGAAACACTGCTCAAGTTGACTGGTGTCTCTGCACGATCACAATGAAATTGATCCCTACCTTCTTCCTCCGCACAAGCATACGAATACTGCTTTTACAATCATTTCTCGCCTGGCTATGGCTACACCTGGACAAGCTCCCTTTGTCAATTACAACCAATCTCGCCATAGGAAGCGCAATTGGCATGGTCGTCAACATTTTGAAGAACACTCTAGATGACAACCTTGGCTTCATCACACCTTGGGATACACCATATTTCCTGCCTATGCTTTTGGACGAATACATAATCACAACTATGCCCGATCTTGCCGTACTGCTAGGCGAATCTCCATGCTCGAAGCGTGTAGCGGGCACACATGCTGAGACTGGTATCTGCGAGCCTGAGTTGGCTTATGCTTGTCTACAGCATGCCACAGACTTCGAAGCCGGAAGGTTGAGTCTGGAGTTTGTGAGAGCTTGTAATGAGGATTATGGTGTTCCTGCAGACAAAGCTCGCAAGCATCACGAAAGATGCCATGCAAAGAGCGAGCATTCCGACGTACTGGGTATACGTGCTTGCACACGGGCAAAAGAGCAGATTGAGAAAAACAAGGAGGTTTGCTTTTACTTGCCACCATTGATTGACTGCACGATACAATACTCAAAATGGGAAGATTTGGGTATACTGCTCAGGTCCGCTGGATATCGTGGGGATGAGCATCTTGAGCAAGGAGTCTGCGAGAAAAGAGTGCTAGGAGATACGTATATTGATGATCGGTTCAGAGGTCTGAAGGTGAAAGGCTAGATGGATCTAGCCTGGAGAAAACCTCCTTGATCTCCTCGGGGGGACTGCTAGCTTTCTGCTTGAGGATTCCCAATCGAGGGCTCCAGGCGAGCCTATGCAAGAGTTCATTGAGTCGCCCTGCTACGTAGAAGCGTACCCTCCTCACCTGTAGAATGTTATGTCCCGCATAGTCATATGATGCCTGACGCAATCGCCTAGCTGAATGCCATTCTTATGATATATTCATATACCTCTTCAATCATCCTCTCAAAGCTCTCTTGACCCTCTTGAACTCCATACCCTCTCTTGGCTCTGCAGTCTTCCACACGACCACGCCTGCACCTGCAAACAGCAGAAAGAACTCGCAGCCAAAACCTCTCGAATACACGAGAAGTGAGCTCAGAACCGTAATGCCGAAGAAGAGGCGGATGTCTGTTGTGTACGAGGTAGAGGTAGTGCGTGTTACGTAGGTGAAGAGAGGTATTCGGTAGGGAGCATCGGTCGCCGGAGGAGCGAGCGAGGGCGGCGGTGACGCGGACTCATGATCCATTGCGAGCGAGGAGGACGAGCGAGATAAGATCGAGGGGTCGACGTGAAGGGGTCGAGTGTCTCGCTGTCGCGCAGCGGAGTAAACACTTCGAATCGTAAACACCGCCTAAAGCCGTACTACCACCGGAGCACCCCTCTATCCGAAGACAACGGCAACCCACGCTGGTTGCATCTCAAATATGTTAATTCTCCGAGAGTAAGGTTTCTAGACCATCATCACTATCTACCTGACATTTCTCTCTATCACGTCGTCTTCCGGCCCATCACCAAATCTCAACTCAGCAAGACCATCATGGTGCTAGAAGCCGGCTATCCAAACACGACAGGCTTCCGCAAAGTCGTCAAAGCAACAATACTCGTAAAAAAGAAGCCAGGCCTGAGCGATGCAGACTTTGTATCACACTACAACAAAAAGCACGCAGAAATGGCCAAAGGAGTGTTGGTCAAGCACGGGTGTATAACATATAGTCTCGTAAGCACATGATCTCCTGTCCTTCAATCAACCACAGCTAATGTAGGCTATGAACAGACATACCATCTGCAACGTGACAGAAATATCATGCAAGATATGCTCAAAGGGAAAGCGAATCTTCTGCCGTATGATGCCATCTGCACATTTGTGTTTGGTGATTACATGTCTTTTGCACGCTTCATGTATGATCCGGCTAGCAAAGCTTTGACGGGCGATCATGACAACTTTATGGTCGAGGAGGAGATGAAGATGATGGTCGGAGATGAGTATATGGTAATTGAGGACGGGAAGGTGGTCTCGTGAGACGGCGCTGTCCTCGGGAGGAGAGGAATCTAAGAACCACAAGAGCATAACGTTGCGTAGCAGAATCATGATAGAATGTTGTGATCGGACGGGTTCGAGTCAAAGGGGGATGGAGCATCAAGGGGCATGACAAGCATATAAAGCGTTTATTTCTTTTTGCGTATGTTCGAGAACTGTACTTGTGCGCGACATCTCTAGAGGTAACCTGGAATGTCCATGTCAGTATACCGACAGTGCTGAAGAAGTATCATCGGAATAAGATCTCACCCTTGCGTCCAGTCTGGAAGAACATTCTGACGATAAAGACCTGCATACCAGCCATGGCGACCATCATCAAGCTCTCAATGATGGAGAAGTTGAAGATTCTCTGCTCGGTGCTTCTGACGGTAGAGAAGTTTCTGTTCTCGCGGGTTCTGAAGTATTTCTGTTGGCGGGTGATTGTGCTGAGCTGGCCGCTGAGCTTGAGGACCGAGTTCTCGAGGGCTGAAGTCTGCTCAATGTTGGCGCCCTGCTTGGAGGGAATGCTGGCGGCGCGGGGCTCGTTCTCGATGGAGATCTCGAAGTCGATCATCTTGTCGGCGAAAGTGCTGATGCTGTTGTCGAAGCAGAAACGGTACTCGCCGGCCTCGTTGGCGGTGAAGACAAAGTCGCCCTGGCGCTCCTTGGTGCCGTCGAGGATGGTCTTTTCTCTGCCGGGCTCTGAGCTGGGTCCGTGGACTGCGTAGTCGACTGTGACGGCGTGTTAAACTTGGGTAAATCGTGAGACGAGCGGGGATGATCATGTACCATCGAAGGAGCCACCGGATTGAACCTGAATGTCGCATTAGCACGCGTGAGGTCTGACTGGATGGATAAGACGTACAGCAAAGTAGAAGGCGACCTTTGCGCCCTTCTGCTCAATGTGCGAGTAGAAACACTCCTTTCCATTGGGAGGAAGCTTGTATGTCAGAGCTGTCGCCGACACAAAGGACGTTAGGAAGCCCAGGAGGCCGAGCAGGGCGAATAGAGGTGCCATGTCGGACAAGTTTGCGACAGAGCAATGCGGTATGCGACAGCAAAGATGTTGTTGTTCAGATGTTGCTCCTCATGAGCTTTACGGGACACGCTTCAGGGATGCGCCGAGCACAGACCCCCTCAAACCAATCCTGGGGCTGTTCGACCTTCTCCTTTATGCACCCCATCCACCCCTTCGACCTTTCGTCAGTCTATACATTGGTCTCGGATTGAGCTGGAGACATCTCCTCAATTCCCTGAGACTTTGATGGAAGCTGTCTCCACAGCACAGCAGAAAACATGTCATACCCATTTAGTTGTTGATGAAGAGTGACTTCAACCACATTGGCCACAACTGATAGACGCCTTTTGTCATCTAACATGGCTCTTAGCCCGTCACTAGATACTCAAGAATACTGCAGGACCTCCGTCGTGATATCTTAACCAGTCTCTGGCCTATTGATCGCCTGTTCAACCAAGCTTTGCCACAATCCTTCAATAGTGGAGCCACATCCAGACCGTTTTCCTAACACGATTCTACAACTTGCGACAACACACATACATACCCAGCAATTCGATCTCTTCGACTTTCGAAAACCACAAGCAATCATGACATCTCCCGCCTTGCCCAAATTCTATCCTTCCATCGACACGACCAAGTACCACCTCTGCCAAACCTACGAAGATGTAAAGCACTTCGCTCAACATCACGAGAACCCCAATACAATACTCGGCCCTCTTGATTCTGGAATTGGCTTCTTCGCTGGTGAATCCTTGACCGGGCCGAAAGACACTCTGCTTGCAATTTGCGGTCCTGCAGCCATTGACGAGATCCTGCCCAAGTTCGAGGAGGTCAAGAAGCTGGAGGACCAAGACGGTCGGACGGAGGAGGAAAAGGATGCAGAGGCCTGGGAGGGTGTAAGGAGACTTGAGAGGTTTCAGAAGGGCATCAATGAAGGAAAGAAGAAAGAAGACTGGGATGGCGATCTTGGAGAGTGGAAGGAGAAGGCCGATTTGGGGGCTGAGTAGGTTGATCTAACGTTCATGGAGCATTTCCGCCTTCACACTGCTCTCCTGGAGCCCTTCCACCCATCTCCTTGACCCTTTCCAGCTTGATTATTCTTTCGTAGGACTCCTATCGCACATCCATGACGAACCACTCGATGATGGAAGGTGCTATGATATGACTAACCTTATCACGTGCCCGGTGACTGAATTTGGAGCTTGCGGTGATTCGGAACACTTTGCTAACACGACATTTCCCTCTTTTCTATAACTTGCAAACACAAGAACTCACACCATATTGCTTACATAATAGCCACCGAATTGAGACTGCTGTATATCTACCGCATAACCTACCTTGTTGCCATGACTGGGAAGAAAATAGCCCCAAAGACACAGCCAAAGAAATCTGCGAAAGGCTGCAGAAGGACCCAACAGCAAAAACACGAGGACTTGTCCGGAGAGGTTTCACAGCCATCAGACGAATTGATTCACGAAAGAAGTATCAACCCATCGTCTGCCATGGGTCGAGAGAGACACAACAAGAAGAGCGTTCGTCCACCCCTCCTCTTTCATCGCGAGTACGAGGAACCTCATGGCTATCTCAGCCAGTGGTTCATCTCGTCATTCACACATCCTTTGACGAATCATACATACAACTGCGCAGAGCAATACATGATGCATCAGAAAGCAGTCTCTCGCGGCGATCAAGCAACGGCTGCAGACATCCTCAGAACTCCATATCCCAAAGAGCAGAAAGACCTCGGTCGGGGTATCGCCGATTGGGATGATGCCGCGTGGGATGAAATTAAAGAGAAAGTTGTCGAAGAAGGAAGTTATCTGAAGTTCTCGCAGAATAAGGAGTTGAGGGACAGGTTGTTGACGACCGGGGATAGGGAGCTGGTGGAGGCGAGTGCAAGTGATCGAGTCTGGGGCGTTGGATTCAATGCCAAATCAGCGTTGTCGAAGAGAGAAGAGTGGGGTGCGAATCTGTTGGGCAAGTGCTTGATGAAGGCTAGAGAGAGGATCAGGAAGGAAGAGGAAGAGGGAAGGTCCACAAGATAAAGAGAGACAAGAAATCGGATTTAGGCCAACTAAGCCCCGATTCCTCATATAACTGCCTTTGATCGACCTCTGCTTTTGCCTAGATGATATATTGATAAAGGGCGTTAGTAGAGGTCGTAAATAGAGAAGGTGCCGCTCAATAAAACTCGTATACTAGAGGCATAATGAAGGTCTTAGTCCGTTTTGCATGGAATAATTCTCGACCGCGGCGAATACAACGACTATCAGAGGGTTCAAGCCTATCTCAATTTCAGATCCTTTCCGTTCAAGCACCGTAAAGTCTCACTTACGAAAAACCCTCTTTCGGGACTTTTCGAATTGCTATGCTCGACAGTCGCAGAGCGTTAATCCGACTACGATGGCAACAAGAACGCATTGCTCGAATCCAATGGAGAGCGTGCGAAAACCAAGCCCACCACGCCTTGACTCTCTACGAAGGGTAAGAGTTCTGGCGCAAGAAAGTGAAGATAGCGAAGATCAACAAGAACGCCGACGAGGTTAGCCATTTGGACGTTGATGCCTGATTCCAGACTGGAGATGAACATGAGGCTAAAGCCAAGGATGAGTATGGAGGCGAAGATGAGGACGGACATTCGATCAAGGCTCGGATTGCCTTCTTGTTGAAGCGAAGGTCAAGTCCTTACACTCATCAAGGGCTTGGAAGGTGTCTTTTGCAGGCAGGTACAATAGGAAGCAGAACCAGGTACTTAGTCCAATCCTCCCATAAGCCGTTGGCAATCATTTTAAAGTGCAAATTCACATTCTTCCTGCACGCCGAGTACCTCTCGCTCATCAGCTTAACTTTCGCAAGTCAGCCACCGAGAGTAAGCTTGTGACATGCGTAAAGCTGATCATTGCCAGACTTATCCGAGCAATATCAAAGTGACTCGATCTTATGCGATACCTGTTGTTGCCCTCTTGAGCCACATCAACATTGTTGCAAGAAGGTTCGATTGAAGTTGTTGAAGAAGGCGCGTTTTTGACAGGTTTGCACAGACCAGGCGTTTGTTCGAACACGACCTTGATTTGTACTCTTCCCCCCCCTCTTCTCCCTCTGATACCATCATGTCCTCAAGTGATGACAGACGATCTAAAGCTCTCGGTCTATCATGACCATGGTCTTATGATGTCCCCGGCTATCAATACTTTCACTCGATGACAATTTGTGTCGACAACGCGCCGGCACCGACCAAATTCTTCCTACGTGATGGCCACTGTCTTTATCTCGATCGATATGGGATTGTCATAGCGGATCTACTCCTGACTCGTCTGTCCTCGAGGAGACTTGGCCACTGAAGGATGCCTTTGCCCCACTGTCTTTGCGGTGAGCATGCAGAAAACCGGGCTATGAAGCGCCTTCTCAGGCCCCAGCCACCACGGCTGACTTGCATATATTAATCTCGAACTGAATTTCAAAAAGCATCTGAGACCGCCTCAACTCACTTCCATCAACGCGAAAAGATATGTCGAGTTCATATATGCAAATGCCAGCCGATCGTAAACCACGATCCAATGCAATTGTTGAGGCTCTCGTTTACGGTATGGTCAAAAGTGTACCGCCCGGAGATCAGGTCGTACTGACATGTTTATTCTCTGGACAGATTCATCGAGCAAGACATGGCGGATGATTGAATTGCCCATACTTGATCTGCTAGAGGTATCGCAACTTTTGGATTTGTAACCGACGTTATCTGACACAAATCAGAACAAAGAGATAATAACTTGTGTGATGTGGGAGCTTCAATCTACTATGGCATACATCTGTATCAATGCTGACCAGTTGAAGCTTCTCGAGCATACAACGTTTCCTCGACGATGTGCCACTACGGAAGGAGCTATGCAAGTACTTCCCAAGCATACCACGAATGTTCTGGAACAAGACTTGTGTCCAGCACAACGGCTTCTTCGGAACGAAAGTATCAGAAACTCCTTCCAACACCACTTTCAAGCCTGTTCTTTCCGGAGTGGAGACGTGGTTTCGTATGATTGTCAAAACCATCCAAGCAACGCCGAAGAATGTCGATTTTACGCAATACCAGTGGTACGAAATGTCTTTCATCTCTATGTTCAGCAAAGAGCGAGACATGCTGCTGTGCTTCGACACGCCTAGATCCCTGGCCTGGGATATGCTCAACGTGCTGTCGGACGAGGACGACAAGGACATCGTTACTGGACCCTATGGTTTACACCAACTGCTGCTCGAACAGCTGATGGTAACGTACGACGAGAGTGTCTGGGACATTGCAAGGATCATGAGAAACAACGAGAAGAGCAAAGGAGTATGCACTGCACCTCGGCAAATATCCCACAAGCTCCAGCTGACAAAGCCTGCCACGATACAGCCCATGGGAAACACAGATTTACACTACTTTCTCAAGCTGTATGAAGATTCCAGACATACCGTTCACTCGATCGAAGCAACCCAGGAAGCAACCAAAGTCGTCGAGTGCATCGCTCAGCAGTGTCAAATTCTAGCTTCACGATCATCTCCACACCGAGAGATTCTCTCATCACGAGCCGACATGTTGAAGTTCCATCACACAATGATGCAAGGCTTTCTAGCCAGAGCAGTGTCAAACGACAGACGCATGGGCAACGAGCAAAACCTGGTGACTACAAATTCACTTTTTCTAGCCAGTATATCAAAAGAAGAAACCCACTAACCAATTCACGAAAAAAACAGACATCGAACCTCATGACCCAACTCGACGCAAAAACAAACGTCGACATTGCAATGGCCACAAAAGACGACGGTGCCGCTATGAAGACAATCGCCATCGTCACAATGTTATTCCTACCCGCGACTTTCGTTTCTGCTCTGCTAGGGATGAATTTCTTCAATTTCGACCCAGACGAGCATGGAGGACACATGACGTATTCCCACGATTTGTGGATCTATTTCGTTGTCTCTGTCGTGTTGACATTGGGGTTGTTTGCGCTGTGGTGGGTTTGGCAGAGGTTGAGGCAGAAAAAATTGGCGAGTTCGAGATTGGAGCAGAGTAATGCTATGGAGAATGCTTATGCGGTGTTACAAAAGACTTGACGGGAGGCGGCTGAAGATGAAGTGTGTGTGTGTGTGTAAAAAATATGATATATACACGAAAGATATGTACCTGAATAAACTACAGGATAGAATGAAACAAAACGCCAAAATCCCTCATGCTTTGACCCCAAGTTCTAATTCTGTCCTTGAGGTTTCTTGACCTTCTTGACAGGATGCAACAGCATACCAGGCAAACACATCTTGCCATCTCCACCCACCATCCCAATCCCTCTGATCTCCTTGCCTTCCTCCTCATCCTGCTTGCCTCCCCAACTGCCCAAACCAGCATCCTCAGCTTCCCAGCCCAACCACCGCCAGAACAGCGTCCTGGGGAAGTCGGTAGCGTAATACCACGACCACGTCTTGAAGTTGACTTCGCGGTCGTGGGCATATGCAGAGTCGAATTGTTGGGACCAGCGAGCAGGGATACCGGCATCGGCGTTGAAAATGGCATCGGCGTACCACGCAGGCCAGTGGTGAGAGGACCAGATCGGGTGGGGAGCGTAGACGGCTTTGAGACCGTGGTGGAGGGCAACAGTCGCCGGCCACATCTCTGCTTGCATGGAGCGACCCTCGAGGTTCTCAACGTGCATGGCATGTAGCATTCTCTTGCTGAAGCGGGCCAAGGTATTGATGAAGACGCGTCTGGGGATAGTCTCGAAACTCTCGTGGTAGAAACCTTCGGCTGCTCCGTTTTCTGCTGTGAAGATGGGACGAATTCCCGGAGTGAAGTTCCAGATTTTGTGCCGGTAGGACCATTGTGTGTCGTTGGGGTCCCAGATTGGTTGGAGTGTGATGAGGTCGGCTTCTTCGTCCACGCCCCAGGAAAAGTCGTCGTCCTCCTGCCTAGTAGGTGGCTCTGGGCCGAGAGGGATCTGAGTCGCGGCATAAGGCAGAGCGCCCCACACAGGCGTCATATTACCCTTGCTTGTCGCATTGGCAATGGCTCCATCAGTATCGGCAAGGTAAGATTGGTAGTCTCCGTGGGCTTCCGGCAGGTAGAAACGAGCGTTTCTCTCCCAGAGATGCTTTCTGGGCATCTTCTGAGCAAAGTAGCTGACTTGTTCGAGGAAATGATAAGGGTTGCCTGTGTACCTAGCATCAGTCTCCCAGTTCCAGATGTAGTCGAACTCAGGGTGAGTCTTTGAGAACCACTGCAAAGGCATGAATTGCATCCAGTAGACTTGCCAATCGCCAACCTTGGGATACCACTCTTCGCATACTTTCTCGGTCCAGAGAACGGAGATATGGCGCAGTTCGGCGGGAACGACTTGGTGGAGGACGCTGTTGTATGTCTCTTCGTTGTCGTAAATGTCGGCGTCGCGTTGCTTGACGTTCACAAAGAGATAGACTTGGTACTCTCCACCGCTGAGAAGGGAAGTCTCGGTGACCAGCGAGCGAATGGCTTGGAGGTCGTTCTCAGTGTATGCGTATCCTTCCCAGGTGCGAATCAGGATCGCAGTACGGTGGTGAGGTTTGGGACCGGATGAGGGCTTAGCCTCCTTGTGGTCGTCTTCCTTGGGCATTGTCCTGCTGGGCCTGAGCTGCATGGAGCTACGCTGGTGTTCGCCATATCGCTCCTTGTTCTTGCTCAGACACTCGTTCTGGAGCTGACCCCAGTTGACAGACTCCCAATCGGGAGCATCCTTGGACACGCTGTCGTAGGGAGAGTAGCGCGACTCGCGGTCGAAGCAAGAATGGATATCGATGCCCAAATCATGGCCAACACTGATGTTGGGGAAGTTTTGTGGGAGTTGTGGCCAGGCCTTGATCAAGTCTTCCGGGCTCTTGTCTAGTGTCTGGCCGCGAGGGCCTCTGCAGGAAGCGTACTCGCCTGCCCATTGTTTCTTGTATTCTGAGGATTGGTAGTCGGGGTAGGGGTTGTAGACGGAGGCGTTAAGACCCATCTTCTGGAGCTGCTTGACGCCGTTGGACGCGTAGTAATCGACGTTCCTGGATGTACGTTAGTTGAAGTTTGACACATATTAGTATAGCTGCATACATGGGAAGACCCTCCCAGCGGTTCGGGTCGTAGTCCTTGTCGACATAATCGCCGTAGCCAGGCCAATGGCCACCCTTTTCTGGGCGGTTCCATTGGATGAACTCTTTGATCTTTGCTTGCAGCTCCTTGTACGATGCATGTACGAAAGGTGTGATTTTGGCCAAAGATGATGTCTTGGACGCAGATGTGCTGACTGACTTGGACGTCGATGTGGTGGACGAGTGTGAAGCCTTGGTGGGAATGCTTGTGACTTGGACCTTCTCCTCGTACTCTTCTTCCTTTGGTGGTGGTGGCGGCGCTGGCTGGACCTTGTCCTGCTCAGGCTTGTATTCTTGCCATGGCTCGGTCAATGCTGAGCCCTCCTTGAAGCTGCTGCTTCCGGTCGATATGTCTTGGGGTGGTCTGGCGTTACCGAATGTTGGAAGATCGTATTTAGGGAGGTACTCGGAATATGTCGAATTGCGCACAAGCACGACGATTGCCAGGAAGACGAGGACTGTCAAGATGGCTAGTCGCCTCGGCGATCCAAAGGGTGAAAGCAGCATGTTCGCTGCGGAATGCGAGCAGAGGCGGCTGCTCTGCCTGACTGTAGTTGGAGTGTGAGATGCTCAAGTCGCTGACGAGCTGTTGATTATCAAGGTTACACGCGATGCAATGATTTTCGTAAATTCATGAGGGGACATGCAGCACGACAAAAACACAAGCAATCCAGAAACACCATGGGCACATGAGCCCCTTATCACTTCTGCCGTTTGCCATATGCTTCAACTCTTCCCCTGAGTTCATGCCGTCGCCCGTCAACGTTTTCCACCGGTCGCTCGCCAAGTCTCCACCCATCCCTCTCCCCTGGAGCTTGTATACCCAAACCTAACCCACGACGCTTCCGCCGCGATTCCTGGCCCTTTTCTTTTTTAGTCCGACTAGCTACAGTTCTCCTCACGAACATCTATTCTTCTTTCTCGCCGTCTGATAGCTCATATTCGTTGCTCTTCCACGTACGTATGATAGACGACCAGGTTGCTCGCCCCAGCTGTTTCAGAATCTGCTCATCACTGCTCATCATCTGCAACCGTCCTCGACCTTCGAGGCTGTGCAACTCATGCCTTTGATTCTGAAATGTCACTCTCATCGGACCTCCTCTAGCATACCGCTTTTTGACGAGATGTAGTACAAACAACTCCAACAATTTGTCCGCAGCTCATGCCTCCATCTTTTTGGGGTCATGTCATTGTTCCCCACTTCTTTTGACCCCAAAACCCATGTAGCTATCGATAAGGGCATGACATACATAACTACAGCTATATCCATCATGAGTATCCTTCCTACTTGAATCGAGACCTCTAGGATTTCCCCAACTATCTCTGAACAAGTCTCTCTCTCGAACGTGCAATCATGTCCTCTACCCTCTTTCCCGGTGTGGCTCTCGTTACGGGTGCATCTTCCGGTAAGAAGACCCTCCACCTCATTCCCACCTACTCTGCATACCAACGAAAACCCCAACAGGCATCGGCAAAGCAACAGCAACAGCATTCGCCCAAGAAGGCTGCACCCGCATCGTCCTCGCCGACATCTCCTCAGTCTCTCTAACCGCCACCACCTCCTCTCTATCCCAACTCTTCCCTTCCGTCCATTTCCTCGCAGTCATCACCGACATTTCCTTACCCTCCTCGGTCCGCGATCTCTTCCGCAAAACCCTCGATGAATTCAAACGTCTGGACTACGCGGTAAACTGCGCAGGTGTATTGGGCACTGCAAAAAAGTCTCATGAAATGACTTTGGAGGAATTCGATCAGATTGTTAATGTAGATTATCGCGGTTCGTGGCTGTGTTCGAGGGAAGAGTTGAAGATCATGGTTAATCAAGATCCGTTGCCGACGACTAATGGAAGGCACGGGAATAGAGGTATTGTGGTCAATGTGGCCAGTCAATTGGGTATTGTGGCTAGGCCTCAAGCACGTAAGTTTTACTCTACAGCATCATTTTATCAAATACTAGAGGTGAGGATGCTGATAAGATTCACGAAGCGGCATACTGTTCGGCCAAGGCAGCTATCATTGGTCTCACCAAATCAGACGCTTTGGACTACTCCGCACATAACATCAGAGTCAACTGCGTGTGCCCTGGCGTCATCGAGACACCACTCATCAACGACGAGGTCAGGAAAGCAATCTCGATTGCTCCCATGAACAGAGCTGGCACGCCCGAAGAGATAGCCGACTGCATCCTTTTCCTTTGCTCACCCAAATCTTCTTTTGTTCAGGGTGCTGCCTTGGTCGCTGATGGTGGATACACCATCAATTAGAGGAACAAGCATCAATGAATGCTGATAATGATTGTTTTTGTCATTTGACCTGTCTCGAGGTTGCAAGTCTATCTTTTGCTCCTAGCTTCTCAAAGGCTGAGTCTTCATCTCCCGAACATCAGACGGTCCTGAACAGCCCACATCTCTGCGGTCTGATGACCGAAGATGGCAAGCTCTTTGATGCTGCTTGCTTTAAAACACTTGTTATTGCCCCAGCTGAATGGTCTGCCCCACAATGCGGGATATGTCTAATTCCACTTTTGCACGACGGTACCACCACGCTTAAGCTCGGGCAGATCTTCCAGCTTGGCGCTCTTGTCTTCCAGATCCTTGTTGGGGAAGGTGGTCATGAGAGTGAAAGCCCTGCTCTGGCTGGCAGTACTGCTGGCCATGACAAAGTTGTAGATGTCACCGACTGTGTGGCTTGTGTTGAAACGTGAGACCAGGCGTGCGCCATCACCAAGACGGATCTGAAGTTGTACGGTGGGCTGTGCCTCATCAATATCGACCTTTGGTGCTGACGACGCAGCTGTCGAGGATGTGGATGATGTAGCTGCAGCGGCAGGTGCAGGTGTAGAGCCAGAGGGACCAGGAGCAGGGGAGCCTAGACGCTGACCGGAGCCACCGAAAGGCTTGTACTTTTGCTTGGGTTGAACGTACTTCTCATCCTTGTGAGGGTCGAGTTGGAGGTCAACTTCCTGGCCTGGTTGAACCCCAAGCAGAGCGAGAGGAGCACGGCCTTGGTTGATCAAGGCAAGAACAGGGGCGTTTCGGGGGTCGTCAAAGCGGTGCAACTCTCCGTCATCGATACTGAAGCCATCCTGCCAGAGATGCAGGGTACGACTCACGCGAGGAAGCGAGGATCTGGCGTTGGTGGGCGCAGCGGCGGCAGTAGGATCTTCGATTACACGCGAGGGAGCATCGTCGCCTCCAAGAGTTTGGGCGCGGCCTGAGAAGGCGCTCGACTGTGCAGGTGCTTCCTCCTCATCGTCGTCAACGGGACGGTCGCGGTTTCTGGTTGAGAGTCAGTTGAATTAACAAAGAGGGTGTCGAGTACAACGTACTCTCTAGCTTGGTTCATGATGTTGCGGAAGTGATCCTGAGGGCGTCTGTTGGGGTCCTGGACAGCCAGACCGGACTTCTCGCCTCCAGCGAAAAAGTCCTGCTGAGGATCTTGATCCGAGTGGTCGTCATCGCCCTCGTCGTTCTGAAGGTCACGGAATGTGCGAACCATGTTGGACTGGGTGTGTGAAGGACGGCTGGCCGAGGTGGACTGGTTTGTGGCAGAAGTTGTCGAAGGCAGGGATGGCGCGGCGGCGGCTTCTGTCGAGTCGTCGCTGTCTTCGGCAGGAGCGTCTTGGGATGCGAAGTAGAGAGTGACGGCTTGTTCCAGGTTCCAGTCGGATGCAGTGAGAGCGGTTTGTGCCTGGATTGATGTCTCGTGAGAAGGTGATGACTGGAAGGAAAGATAGAAAGGTGTCGAAGGTGAACAGAAGACTGGTGACGGATGTGGGGTAGGGTTCGTTCCAGACTTACGGTTGCGGGCGATGCTCCAGTGATGCCACTGAACTGAGCGATGAGATCTTCGTTAGTTGAATCCATGATGATATCTGATGATGTGTGCAAGAATTCCAAGTGATTCGTTCTTTCGATTATGTTTCTGGTTTCATGAGACAGAGAGCAAGACCATCAACCAACGAACGCCTTGGCCCGCACGTCATGCTCACAACGGATCCCCTCAAGCATGTGCTTCTGGTCATAGCTTCATGAGCCCGCCTTCCATTATCAACCCTCTTACGCGACTCTTCTACTCGTACATTTCACACTGACATCTGACCAGCGTCAAGTTGAGCAATGCCTTTCATCCGCACGAATACCGCTACTACTTCACATCTGGTCAGTTGCGATGGTGCCAGGACTACGCACTGGCAAACTCCTGGCTCCGGCAACAGCGTCTTGGAGATTCAGACATACCCAGATTCTTCCAAAGTCACAAAGGCTCAACGTGCCCAGCTAGGTAGGTATCCTCAGGAGATTCGTGATCGTATTTAGAAAGCTAACGAAATGCGGACCCGCCCACCCATTGGCATTGGCATCAAGAAGAGTATTTCACTGTCACACAAGGGTGCGTTTTATATCACCTTAGCTATGTGCCGAAGTCTGTAACATGACAGTGTCTTACTGAGAACGACTGGAAGATTTTGACTCACAGACTTTGGCACCTAGGAAGCCTTCATCCAATACCCATGATCGAAGCTGACTGTAGACAGAACCTTTATCTTCACGCTCAACGGCAAAGAGACCAAGATTTCTGCGACGGATCCCAACCCCAGGATATCAATCACCCCTGGTGCACCTCACACCTTCACTCCAGATCCATCGCACAGAGGCCCTTGCGTTATCGAGATCTCGGCCGAGACATCTCCCCTATCGTCAGAAACCACAGCCACTGATCTGGGCATTAGCGAGCGATTCTTCCGCAACCTCTACTCTTATCTCGAAGATTGCAGTCGGCAGAACACCTCTCCCAGTCTTCCTCAACTTTTGTTGTTCCTAGACTCGGCCGAAGTGAGTTTGGGTTGGAGTGTTGGACCGACATGGTTGATGCAGTATTTGAGCTACGGACTCGGAGTTGTAGTCGGTCGCTGGATTGGCGGAGGCCTGTTGGGCTACAAGGGCTCGTACCCAGAGTACTACAACCCTGCGCTCAACGAGACCAAGAAGGCAAAGTGAGTACTCTCTTCGAACGCGCTATTGTTCCTAAAACAACTGTGCATTCTTGCGTCCGATGTTGCTCTGTGTGTAGCACGGGAAGAAGTGCAGAGCGGATGGCCTCAGATGATGGCCTGCGTGCCCTTCGACCGGCCGACTTCCATTTTGGCTGTGCGAGCGCCGAACTGGATCTATGGCTGTCGTCAGTATATCGATTGTATCACGCTAAAGAACACTTACTGCCCGCTTTTTCTCTGCCGCCACAGTTTTCATCCCAAGTTTCCAGGCGAGGCATCGCAATACCTTCTTCGCAGGCTCCAGATGACCAGTCTCGCTGTTCAGATCTTCCGTACTCTCACCAAATCCGCAACGCTCCCACACCGGAGCGTTGACTGCCCACCTCACAAGATCTTCGTCCAGAAACGGAAATCTTGTCTCCCTTGCCCAATTGGACAATACACGATCATCGCGACCAAGATTGCGTTTTCCCAGCCTGTCAACATCGAGGTCGAGCTCATCTTTGAGTCCGGAGAAACCATGACGACGGAAAGCAGTATCATGTCGAGTGTAGCCACCAAACAACTCATCGGCACCTAGACCAGAGAGCAAGACCTTTGCCTCAGATGTATACTGGACCGGCTCTTCAGACCCCGGAGATGTTAGCCCTCGGCCTCGTGAAGCAAAGTAGAGGGCAGAAGCGATGCTCAAATCCATCTCAGTATTGTGAGGGTGAATCAAACTGATAACCTCTGGTTTATGAGCGAGAAACTCCGCGTACGAAATGTCTATCGCGACGAATCTCCACAATCGGCCAGGACAGATGGCTTGGAGTTCGGCGAACGAGGCGCGTCCGGTGATACGATCCGGGCAGAGTTCGAAAGGTGACCAAGGTTCGTTAGGGTCTGCATTTGCAGGCCGACGATGTACTCGAGGATTCTCAAAGGCAACGTTGAGTAGATCAACCGGCTGTGTAGGATCGAGTATATCATGTGAGAGTCGCGCCAGAAGTGTGCAATCCAAGCCACCAGAAAAGAGAATAGCAAGATTCGCTGCAGGGGAAGATGGCTCAGAACGTGAGCAGGCGGGGATGTGGGAAACACGTAGTCTCAAGGAATCACGCAGCAAGGACTCGATCTTGGCAACAGAAGGAGATGAAGTGCTAAGCGGAGAGGCAGACGATGCAGGTGCTTGAGATGTAGAGACAATAGTGTTCGAGGAGGAGAGATAAGGAAAGCGGGTGGGTGTGAAGGGCTCGTTCTTCTGAGCAGAAGCATAGAAGGACTTGAGATGAAGCGAGTAGATACCGTCGGCTTCTACTTCGTGCCATGCTTGATCTTGTTGGCCGGAGATGGTAGAGAGGATAAAATTACCATTTTCATCGACGCGATACATCAAGGAGCGGCGTCCGAGAGGATCCCTACCAAAGAAGAGGGTATCTGAGTGATGATCATAGTAGACAAATGCATATGGACCGGTGATGAGATGCAATGCCCGCTGCACAGTTCTAGTTGGGGAAGCAGAAGCATCGCCATGTGAAGCTTTAATTCGGCTTGCGATGGTTGTGAAAACGACATCCGAATCGTTGCCTGAGATGGGCTCGCCACCACACTTCCAGGCCTCGCCATTCCAACAGAGGAAAGCATCAGGGTAATCTAGATGCTGTACAGGTTGAACAACAGTATGGTGGCCTCGCAGGGCGAGAACGGTACTGAAACAGGTCAGATAAACATTTTCAGATTTCTGTCTTAGCTCTCTCGAAGAGTCAGGACCTCGTTTCTCCAGGAGCAGGCAGTGTCTCTTGGTGGGGACCAGGTGTTCGGTAGCACTGACGGAACAAAAGATGCCGCACATGGTGTTGGGATATAGCAATGCAGCTAAATGGTTGGTAGAGGGCTGGCAGAAGGAAGGCGCCAAGGCGAGCGTCATGCTCGTGCGGCTTCATGTCTCAGGGCCCCTCGCCATCCGCGCTCAAGGAGCTCGAGGACTCGGACTTTTTGCATCTGCAAGGAACATAGCTAATATCTAATACCTGTCTGTTTTTTCCATCGTCTACTTGCGCATATTCGGCACGCATATCGCATCTGTCCATCTGGACACTTGGACAAATTTGAGAGATTGCTGCATTCGTAAGCTGCCGATTCGCTTTCGTTGGCTCGCTGTCAGCACTGGAATGCAACAGAGCAGCTAGAGAGAAGACGACATTATGAGCACAGAGAAAGAGAAGAATGTCTTGATCGACCTCGGCATTCCATCAGAACCTTCTCAACCCACTACATACCCTACAAGCTCGCCGACAACGACGACGTCGCCGCCAACAACAAACAATGACTTGGCGGAAAAGACTCAAGATTTGGACCTAAGCGAGAAGACACAAGAGCTGGACCCGAATGAAAGGCAGCCAGAGCTGGACCTGGATGAGAAGGAACCAGAGCCGGTACAAGGCCAAGTCAACAAGGAGAAAGAAAAGGAAAGAGCTCTGTCACCAACACCTCCACCGCCGCCCCCGAAAGACGACAAGTTCCTGCACCAGCAGTATGCTCAAGACGAAGATTTGGCCAACATCATGGCCGAGATGGACGACGATGTGGCAGACCCCGCCTTGCAAAAGATCATGTCGCCTCGCCTTGACATGACACAGCTGCCCACGCGCACCTCGAGCCTGGACCCCTCGCCCTCACCGAGCGCAATGACCTCTCCAAAGCTACAGCGTATGCAATCTCGCGACAGTTACGTCTTCAGCCCTGCCGCTGCTCGACCGGGCTCCATCTCTGGCGTCAGCATCCAACAGCCCGACCATACCGATTCTCCGCGTCCCGCATCCTCCATCTTCCAACCCCCGCCGCCCTCTCCCGACCCAGAGCCCGCTCTCCCCTTCGACTTTCACCGCTTTCTCGAACAGCTCCGTCACCGCACAGCCGATCCTGTCGCTCGCTTCCTAAGATCGTTCCTCAATGAGTTTGGCAAGAAACAATGGGCTGTTCATGAGCAGGTCAAGATCATTTCCGACTTTCTCGAATTTATCTCAAAAAAGATGGCACAATGCGAGGTCTGGAGGACAGTCAGTGACGCCGAGTTTGACAATGCTAGGGAGGGCATGGAGAAGCTGGTCATGAACAGACTGTACTCGCAGACTTTCTCACCTGCTATTCCAGCCGTCCCAGCCCAAGAAGTCAGCTCTCCCACGAAAAAGCGTTTCCGCCATCAGGCACATTCACCCCATGGTCCAGGCAGGAGAGGCCAGCATCAGGAAGATGTAGAAAGAGATGAGGTGATTGCACAAAAGATACGAATCTACGGCTGGATCCGAGAGGAACATCTTGACATCGCCCCCATCACCGACAAAGGCCGCCGTTTCCTGGTGCTTGCACAGCAAGAGCTGCTCAAGATCGGCTCATACCGCGCCCCTCGCGACAAGGTCATCTGCATTCTCAACACTTGCAAAGTCATCTTTGGCTTCCTGAAAAACAACAAGAGTGATCAGTCTGCTGATGCTTTCGTCCCGCTTCTTATCTACACCGTCCTCCGCGCCAACCCTGAACATCTCGTCAGCAACGTCCAATACATCTTACGCTTCCGGAATCAGGACAAGCTGGGAGGTGAAGCTGGATATTACATTTCCTCCTTGATGGGCGTCGTCACATTCATCGAGAACCTTGATCGTACCAATCTGACCATCACCGACGAGGAGTTTGAGAAGAATGTCGAAGCCGCTGTGAGCCAAATCGCCGAAGGCCACAAAGCAGACGAGGACGAAGCCTCGACACACGACAGAGTTGCCTCGAGTTCTTCACACTCGACGCATCCTCAATTCAACGAGAAGAGCAGCCTGAGCAGACCAGAAGTAAACACTAGGAACAGCACCGAAGGCGAACGAACGCCTCTGCACAGAGGAGGCAGCACGAGGTCCAGAAACTCTGCTGGTGAATCCGAGGACGATAACGCGGCAGTGACAGGGCTCCTGCGCACGATACAGAAGCCGTTGTCCACCATTGGACGCATGTTCAGCGACGAAGGTCAGACCTCATCTTCATCTCCCCGTCAACTTGCCACACCGCAACCCAACTCTACGCCCAGATTATCACCTGGTCTTCCGCCGCTGCCGCAGCAACGCAACAGTGCCGAAGATGTTCGCAGACTGCGCAGTCCCGAGCGAAGTCAAGTCGACCGAGCGAGGAGCTTCGAGTCCAGTCGTGGTCGCAGCTCCCAAGACTCCGCTGCAAGACAGGCGAGCACTGATATGGCAGAAGCACAGAGGATCCAAGCGCAGGAACATCAAGTTGTTGTTGAGTAAGTCCGACGACGCCTAGCCGCAAGATGTTTCACTGACACGTTACCCAGGACGTTACAAGGCATGTTCCCAGATTTGGACCGCGAGGTAATCAGTGATGTTGTGAGGATGAAGGAAGGGCGGGTAGGCTCTGCCGTGGACGCTTGTCTTGCATTGAATGGTTGATAGCCCTATTGCCATCAACTCGAAATCAACCTCAATAGTTGTAACAACCGCAAACACTGAGCTTGGCCATTAGCTCGAAGCTTCCACGAGACTACAAGACAGCAAACAACCCGTTGGTGGACATTGTAACTTGCCGCATCAGATGGTTCGATGATAACGTCGCCTGTGTATAGAGCAGGGTCATCCCGTCGCAAACATGCATGACGTCAACCTCAGCATAATAGTTCTATACCATGTCCGAGCCATTTCAAAAGACTGATGGCCCTTTCAATTGCTATTGCTGCACCTTAGAATTATTCTGCCAAATCTATATCTAGAGCTCTAAGAGGAACAAGCCATCTGTTCAATTCCATTGCGAGGGTGCACTGGATGGTACCCAAAAAAGGAGAGTCAATACGTCATCTTATTGAGGCGCGGATGGCATGGTAAACATGTCGATATTTCTTTTCTTTCTCGTTATTCTTTTGCTTCATTCCTATATCCTGAGTTCTTTTGTCAAGCTCCATAGCCAATATCTAGGCGAACAGAATCTTTCCTGGAGAAAACTGCTTTCACGGACAAATTCAAAGCATTGCAATCGGAGCCATGGCAACCACACTACAACACACCAACACAATGGAGATTTCGACACGATCCGACAAGTCAACACCAATCTCTCTCCTCCAAACGATCATAAAGCCTTTTCGACCACACCTGATCAAATCAAAGAAGGAGTTTCCACCCGGCTCACCATACCTCGACGTCCACAAGACCGCAAAGAAACGCTGCAATGTTACCGAACGACAAGTACAAGGAATATGGCTGTACGACATGAGACCCAAACTTCCTGCATCGTCAACGAAAGAAGGAGTTTCAGAAAAGAGAAGGAACATCATCTACTTTGCTGGAGGAGGTTGGCAGATGCCGCCGAGTCCCGAGCATTGGAAACTCTGCGCTGAGCTGTGTCATCGGGTTCCGAATACAGTGGTCACGATTGTATCGTATCCGCTGGCTCCAAATTCGCCGGCGAAAGATTCGTTGCCCATGCTGGAAACACTATATCCATACTTGTTTCCAGTCACCGAGGCGGAGAAGGCAAACACAGAGACAATCTTCGCAGGCGATTCTGCAGGAGGAAATGTAGCTTTGGGTTTGGTCATCAAGGTGTTATCGTCGACTCCTTCAGCACCGGTGCCTCGAAAGTTAGTCTTGGTTTCTCCGGCTGTGGACCTCAGAAAACAACCTGTGGCTTCGTCGCCGTTTGAGAGGGATTTGAAAGCAGCAGATAAAGTCGACCCGCTTTTGGGTATTCCATTCACGAATGGCACGGCTGAGAATTGGAGTCGCGGAGCTGATGCTGAAGCACCTTGGATCTCACCGGTATTGGCCGACGTGAGTATGCTTAGGGAGAGAGGAGTGGCCATTTATGGTATCACTGCTGGCGCTGATGTGCTGGCACCTCCGGCGAGACATTTTGCGGAGCTTTGCAAGGAGCAGGGTGTTCAAGGTAGATGGTTGCATTGGGAGGGATTGATGCATTGTTTTGTGTTGGCTTGGTGCTATGGTATCAAAGAGGGCAAGGAGGGGCTAGAGTGGATGGTTGGTGTAATAGAAGAGTAGATTGATAAGATCTTGTTGTGAAGAATACAAGGTATTAATCTATATTGGTCTCAATCGTTCTTTCCTCAGGTATTCACGGCTCGACAATACCGTCAAATGAACCAGGCCAGTAGGTATCTCTAGACGCCCTTTCCTGATAACCGACCTGATCTTCTTCTTGATCCTTCTTCAGCAGGAGCATCCTCGACCTTGGACTTGGCTGCCTTCTTCGTATCGGCTTGACTCTTCTTGGTCTGTCTCTTCTTGCCCGGTTTGGTGTCCTCCGCCTCTTCTTCCTTGACGGCACTGCCACCATCTTCTTCATCGGACTCTGCCCTTCGCTTTGTTGTTCGAGTGCGTTTAGGCTTGGAGTCTTCCTTCGCAACCTCGTCTTTGGTGGTGGTCTCTGTTTTCTTTGACTTTGTCGTCTTTGGCTGTGCCTTGGTCTTCTTCGGTGTGGGCTCTTCCTGTGAGTCTGCTGCACCCTCTGATACCTCATCGGCAGACTCCACATCTTCAGCCACTTTGCCAGTCTTCTTCTGCACTCTCGGTACAATCGCCGAAGTCCTACCTCCAACCTTCAGATGCACAATTTTATCTCCGTTAGGCAAGACATTCTTGTCCTTCTTGCCCTTATCCCAGCGATATCTCATCAACCAAGTCTCGGGGAATCGACTGCTGTCCGACAACACCTCGACTGCAGTACCACATACCTCCATCATCGCCTTGTGCAATGCTGAGATTTGAGCAGAGGAGAAGGTATAGCTGTATTGCTCAGGGTGAATTCTCGCCTGATACAGAATCTCATCAGCAACCCAGTTTCCTATACCCGAGATGTTGGCTTGATCGAGCATCAATGCTTTGACGGGCACTTTTTTGCTCTTCAGCTTTTCTTCCAGCCAAGCTTCCGTTAAGATGTCCTTGTCGATGACCGGATCGGGTCCATTTTCCTTTAGTGGTGTGGTGTTGCGCAGATCCTTTGCCTCTGCCTCGACAACTCTGATACGAGCCAGCCTTCTGGCATCCACAAAGGCAACTTCTTGATTGCTATCATTATCCAGCTGCAAGATAAACTTCCAGAATCTCGGCGGCCACTCCTGAGGTTCATTCTTATCGTTCTTGCTGCCATAATAATGCGTCGTAGTATCGTTTCTGAACCTCACCCAACCAGTCATTCCCAAATGCATGACTGGGTGTTGCTTTCCTTCCATCTCGAGCCAGAAATACTTGCCCTGTTGTTTTGCATCTAGGATTTTTTTGCCGGTGAATGCTTTTTGGAAGGCGGTTGCCGAAGTCCCGACTTTGCCGTATACAATGTTGTCTTCCTGGACTTGGATGGTGGAGATTACTTTGTTCGCGCAGTGTTTGCGTAGGAAGTGCACTACGCGTGCTACTTCTCCGATCTTGTGGGAAACGCGTTAGTCGTAAGATTGCGTACTTTTGCATGGGAATATCTGTACCTCTGGCATGATGGATGGTCGGACGAGGAACAGATAGAGTGAAAGGTCGGGGTCAGAGAAACTGTGTTGAATGGGTTGTGAAGATGTTTGAAATGGTGATGCCCGTGGCTGATGAATGACGTCGTCATTTTGATGGATAAAGGTGCCACCCTGTTCCCACGAAGAAAATACATACTCCTTCTTCCGAAAATGACCAAAGTCACAGGCATTTGTTTGTTGAACTACAGAGTATCTTTAGAGGTAGGGTTCGAGGTCATCTGATAGACTCTTGCTCATCTCGAATACAAAACTCTCCAGTTGAATCAACTACTTTTTACAGCTCGTCCTTGTTAACATCCTGCTTCGTCCTCGCCAATTCCATCAAACCCCTTCTAACCATCGAAGTAACGATCTCATAGACAACCTGAGCAGCCGCAAGTGCCGTGGTCTCAGCCTGAGAGTCGTATGCAGGAGACACTTCCACAACATCAGCGCCCACAACGTTGAGTCCCTCAATACCTCTGAGAATACGGATCAACTCTCTTGTAGTCCAACCGCCGGGCTCAGGAGTACCAGTACCAGGCGCGAGACCAGGATCAATGACATCGATATCGATAGAGAGATAGACAGGGTAGTCTGCAGGAACGGTAGACAGAATCTTTGAAATGACTCCTTTGGTGCCGATATCGTCAATGTCGTCTGCAGAGATGCGGACGAATCCTTGTTCGCTGTCGTTTGTGTAGTCGTCTTCATCTGACAGTCTGGTGCGAAGACCTGCGTGGATGGAAGAGCCGTTTGCAATCAAACCCTCGGTTGCAGCCATCCAGAACATGTTGCCGTGAGTGAAGAAGGACTGAGTCGATGGGTCATCGAGGTCAAGCCAGTAAGAAGGGTACTTGGACGGATGCCAGGTATCCAGATGAGCGTCGAAATGCACTACCGCAACAGGCTTGCCGTACTTCTTGTTCAAAGCTCTCAAGGCTGGAAGAGCGATGCTGTGGTCACCACCCAGAGTGACAATCTTTGCAGTCTGCAGATAAGACGCTGCCGAATCCACGTTCTCTGGGATCGCCTGTCTGGTCGCAAGCTCATTGTATCCCTCACTCATCTGGCGCAAAGCCAATCCATTGTCAAAAGGTGTGATGGGGATATCACCACAATCAACCACATTAGCCCAGGAAGTGTAGGGATTCAGACTAGCACGCGGATTGTATCCACGCAGAGCAGTCTGTCTCGCTGATGCCGCGCGAATGGCACGAGGGCCGAAACGAGCGCCTGGCCGATAAGAAACAGCGGTATCGAATGGTGCTCCGATGATGCCGATATCAAATGGCGTTTGCGGGTTTGTCAAGCACTTGTGATGGGGCAGATGCGCAAAGGTGCTGATGCCACCAAAACCGAAATCAGTGCCCCATTTGTCTTGGAGCTCCTTTAGTTCAGCAGGAGTGAAGTCTCGATGGCCGTGGTGATGATGGTCGCCGTGGGCAGAGACCAACGGGGTCGTTGCTACGAGGAGCAACGAGGCTGCTGCTATGGTACGCATGATATGGTCAGTGTTGGAGAGATGGGGTAGAGCGAGACAAAACTGGTGGAGGTCACTGGAGCTACTTATAATTGATATCGTCGTGAATGCAGGGTGGACTTGCTTCTTTAGGTGTCTCTTCAACCTGCCTAATCGGGGACAGAAGTGTGGAGCCAGCGGTGGATATGCATAAATTTTATGCATGTATGATGGTTTCATGCACTTTACATCTTGCCTTGCTGCTTTCTCTTTGAGTACACCATGTTCTTTGTCTAATCTTCCAGATGAAACAATTCATGAGGATCATCAGCCATGAATTCTGAGATTTATCTCTTCTGCTCTCTACAATCATGTCTCATCAGTGTTTCGTCGTCAAGTTCACAATCCAGCAACTTTCTTAAACCACCCCTGAGTACGTTCCTTGACTCCACCTCTTGCTTCGCCTCCAACCACCCTGCCATCCCATGTTCTCTGCGGCTCAAAACCTTCGTAGCCAAGGCTGTTATAGGCTTTGTTGCCTCCTCCATCCTTTCTGTTCCCGTTCTCACGATCACGGAAGGCAAGTTCTTCCTCACGTCGACGCAGTTCCTTACGCTTGCGTCTCTTGCGGTCTTCCTCTGTTTCAACACCACGAGATTCGCGTTCACGACGATGACGACGTCGAAGTTCGCGAGCTGTACTTTCGTCATCGGGTATCTGGTCATTCTCGGCGGCTGGGTCGGTGGGAGGGAGATCTAGTATGGTAGGTTGGAGAGGTGGGGGTGATGGAGGCGAGGATGTCACGTTGTTCACCCAGGAGGATGTCTTATCTTTAGGTGGACTGCGAGGGTCTCGACCATTGGCATCACGATGGAGTGCCCGTGCGTCAAAGTAGGACTGTGCAGGAGCCGTAGAAGAACGATGGAGACGTGGCTTGTTGTCTGTGTCGATAGCGCTAGAGCGGCGTGAGGCATGACGTTCTGCTCGTTGTTGACGTCCCAACTGTTCTTCCTCGTCTTGTCTGGCGCGCTCGCTCTCCTCTCGTTCTCTGCGTTTTGTGGCCTTTTCTCGTGTACGGAGGTCTTCTTCTGCCGCTTCAACTGCAGCACGTTTGGCCCGACGCTCTGCACGCCTGCGTTCACGCTCTTCAGATTCCGTGTTGTCCGCTGCTGGTGTTGGCAAATTGTCGTCCAACGGCGTAGATGGAATGTCTTCGGGCCGGTGAACGCGTCTCTGTTCGCGGCGGAGATTGCGTTTGGGCTCTTCATCTCCGTCGCGATGCGAAGAGTGTGGTGTGCGATGTTTGTGGTGACGTGCCGAACCATCTTCACTGTCATAAGCACGACTGCTACGATGTCGGTGCGCAAATTCTTCCACAGGTTTTGGTTTGAATGATTCAATGATGTTACTGAAGAGGCCGCCTGCTGGCTTTCTGGCGCTAGTGGTAGCTGAACGCCTGAGCATCGGCCGGGAGGGTGTCACAAAAGGAGTGTCTTCAGGTGCAGTCATTGGAGCTGCTCCGTCACCATCAGCAGGTCCTAAGCCGCCAGACATCATGGCTGAATCCCGTTTGTCGTGCTTGTGATCGCTCCGGCTCGATCTCTTCGTGCGATGGCTGCTAGATCTATCCATAGATGCGGAATGAGTGGCATCGTCGGGTGTGTTGTCGGGATCAATTGCATAGGGATCCGGCACGGTGCGTGACTTGCGCTTCTCTCGCGTGGATTGACTGCGGCTGAGCGATGGTCGTGGTCCAAGTCCCATCAACTTTGCTGCCTTGCTCGCGATGTCGCCAGGCGGCGAAGAGACGTCGAGGGAGCGACGCGATTCTCGAACCTGAGCAGGACGCTGTGCAGAGCTTGATTGTCGCATCGACCGCGACCTGGTAGGCGTAGGACCGAAGAAATTGAGACCCATGCCTTTGGCCGGAGTGGAGGGGTTTCTGCTTTCTCTTCTTGACTTTTTGTCGTCGCTAGAAGTCTTGTCGGCTTTTTCCATCAAGTCGCGTTCGTTAGGCTTGCGTGCTGATTTTGATCGTGTGAGGCCGAGGGCGGCAGATCGTTTGACGGTCGGAGTTGTCGTGTCTTTGCTGGGCCTGCGTTCCTTCTTCTCCTCTGCCTTGGGTGCTGCTCCCCACAGACCCCAGTGTGAGCTTCCCGTTGGGTCGCGAACAACCTTTGGTCGTTCCTTCTTCACAGCCTTGTCAGCAGCAGGTGTACTTGGCACGGAGAGATCAACTATTGCTGGGCGTGAAGATTTCGTGGGCTTCTTGACCTCCTTCTTGACAGAAGACTTTTTGTCTTTGACGAGCTTCTTGTCGGAAGAAGACTTGGGCAGCACTTCCATGGGTGGTAACACCATATCAATCGATGGTGGTTCGACAGATACAGCGGCCGAAGTATTAGCGACGATGACTGGTGGTACAGCAGGTACATCTGCCAACGCATCAAGTTCGACGTCATCTTCAGGAAAGCCACCTGGAATAGGGCTCAGCGAGGGAGGTATTTCGACAGTTGGAGGAGGAATTGCAATAGTAGCTGGCGGCGGTGGCGACGATTCTTTCTCCTTGCCTTTCTTCTTTTTCTTATCCTTCGATGACTTCTTGGCTGGCGCCTCCTCGACCATGATCGGTTCAGGCACGACAATCACCTCTGGCTCGGGTTCAGGTGCAGGAGGGGGCGGTGGTGGCACAACAACCACTGAATCCTTGGTAGCTTCGCCTTGTAATCGCTTGATTCTGTCCTTGACAGATTCCTTGGCTCCAGTATCGACTTTGCCCTTGAGAGCAATGGGCTCCTCCACAGTCTTGCTAATGGTGGTTGGCTTCAAGAACGTACCCCAATAGCCTGTGCTGACCGGTTCCTCGACTATGGGTTGAGAATCGAGGAGTAAGTCAATAGGCTCGTCGGCGAGAGCTGCTGCGAATGCTGCTTCTTCGTCCGCTTTGCGCTGCTCTTCTGCTTCTCGTTCTTTTTCCTCCTTCTCTCTCTTTTCTCTCTCCTTCTCCTTGTCTTTGGACGAAGACTTGGACTTGCTTGAGCTACCCCATAGACTGCTGCCCCACCCAGAGGAAGTCTTGACTTCTTTCTTCTTGACCTCTTTGACAAGCTCTTCAGCAGGTGGGGACTCGATCACGACAACAGACTCGGGCTCAGGTTCGGCCTCTTGGGGGTCAACGAGTTGCTCGGGTTCTGGAGGCGGAGGCGGTACCTCAGTGATTGGTTTTACCTCCTCGACGCCCGAGCTCTTCTTTTTCTTATCCTTCTTGCTTTTCTTGGTCGAGATCGAGGCCCAAGGATCATCGGCGGGTGCTTGTTCAACAGGGAGTTCAAGTTCTGGCGGTGGAGGGGGGATCTCGATAGACTCAACAACTTCCACAGGTGGTGGCTCGATAGCAGGTAAAAGAGGCGGAGGAACATCATCGCCTTTCTTACCCTTCTTCTTCTCTTTCTTGCCCACGCTCCACCCGGCCCAAGCGTCTTCAGCAGGTACGGGGTCGGGTTGTTGGACAGGAACATCGTATACAGGCTCCACGATCTCGATAGGCGTGACTTTGCTTCCCTTCTTCTTCGACTTCTTACCGGTCGCCCAGCCTGCCCAATCGTCCTCCTCTACCTTAGGCTCGTCGATGGATTCAGGAATCATGATGACTGGGTCTTCTTGCGGCACAGGCTCGGGTTCGGGTTCAGGAGACTTGGCCTTCTTCTTGTCTTTCTTCGTTGATGAGCCCCAACCAAAAGACCACGAACTGCTGTTCTCTTCGACAACGGCCTTGGAAGCAGCGGGCGGAGGTGGAGGTACTTCTGGCGGAACCTCCTCGGTGTCTTTCTTGCCCTTCTTCTTGCCCGCAGTACCCCAGCCAAACCAGTCGTCTTGTGGGGGCTCCGGAATGGCAAGGGCAGTGGACTCGTTGAGCGTGGGAGGGGTGTCTTCGACAGGAGGCGGGTCTGGTGCAGCAGGAGGATCAGGTTCCGACCAATCGAAAGCGCTCTTTTTAGCTGCTGCCTTCTTCGCTTTTTTCTTGTCCTTTGCGCTCATCCCCCAAGAAAAGTCGTCTGCGGGTTCTGGCTCAGCAGCTGGCGGAGCAGGTTCCTCAGCGACTGCTAAGACTGCTGGTGGCTCGGGTTCAGGCTCTGGAGCAGAAGTAGGTTCAGGTTCTGGCTCAGCAATGAATTCAAACGCATTTCCACCCTTCTTGGCAGCAGCCTTTTTTGCCTTCTTCTTATCTTTTGCACTCATACCCCAAGAGAAATCTTCCACTGGAGCCGGTTCGGGTTCAACAGGAGGAGCTTCGGGCTCAGGCGGTGAGTCTTCGACGACAGCGACAGGTTCAGGTTCGGGATCTGCGAAGGCGGCAGCTTTGGCGGCTTTCTTCGCCTTCTTCTTGTCTTTGGCACTCATACCCCAGGTGAAATCATCAACAGGCTCTTCCGGACTTTGAACATCGACTACAACTTCAGGTTCGGGTTCTGACTCGGGGGGTTCCTCGATAGCTCCTCCCTTCTTTTTCTTCTTCCCCGTACCGAAGGCTGCCCAAGGATTGTTGTCCTCTTTTGGATCTTCCTCGGCAGGTGCAGGTGCAGACTCTCCAGGCATATCACCTCCATCGGCATCTCCGAAGCCAAAGTCGAAGGCGTTCTTCGTCTTCTTCTTGTCCTTCTTGCCGAAAGTAGCCCAACCGTCATCCTCGGCCGGCTTGGTGCCCCAAGCTCCATTGCTGCCGAAACTGAAGCTGTTGCTGCCGCCGAAATCCACGTCGACTTTTGGTGGTCCATCGTCGGGAGGCGGATCATCGGGTGGAGGATCGGGGTCGGCATTCTTGCCCTTCTTTTTCTTCTTCTTGCTGGACGCGGTTGTGAAGCCTGCCCAGTCGTCTTCTTCCGCGGGAGCTTCTTCGACAAGAGGAACATCCTCTGTCTTCTCTTCCTCGTCCTTGTTGTCCTCATTGTCTAGGGCATCCCAGCTGAAAGCACTCTTCTTCTTGTCCTTCTTGCCCTTCTTTTTCCCGTCGTCCCAGTCGTCATCATCATTGCCTCCTCCTTCTCCACCATCACCTCCAGCACCATCTGCTCCTCCACTACCGCCAGCATCGCCCGGCTGATCACCATTGCTGTCGCCCTCGGGCTTCTTTTCCTCTTCGTTGTCGCTGTCCCATTTGTTCTTTGCCGCAGCAGCGCCCTTTTTCTTCTTCTTGTGCTCGCGCAAGTTCTCACGGTATCCAAAGTCAACTTTCGGTCGCGATGGGCGAAGTGGCTCCTCGAGTTTTTGAGGAGTACCAGTAGAAGTAGTCGGTGGAGGCGCATAAGACGGTGGCTCGATATTCAGGGTCGCGAGGGCATCGCTTGTCGTATAATCAGGTGGGCAATCGTATAGGCAGTCGCTGTAACTCGGGGGAACTTCTTGGAGATCGAGAGATAGTAGAGTGGGTATTTTCAGCGGATTCGTAAACGTTTCATCGTGATGTGCGTTATATGCATGGCCAACGCATCTCTGCAGCAGTCGTTGGGTCGACTCGCTGGTTGGTGGAAGCTTCAAGTCGAGGAACTGCGGAAGACGCGCCGACAACGCGGGCGCGACAGGAACCGCCATTTGGTCCCGATCTACTGCATCAAATCAAAAGATGCAGAAGATGGCGAGAGCAGTCGTTGTATATGTGGGCCAGTTTCGGATTTCTTGAGTGTATTCTGAAAACAAAAACTGAGCGTGTTGAGTCAATACCGCGCCATCAAGCAGGGAAATAATTGCGGCGGCTGGGATGCAATCAAAAAGACATCAACTCAAGGCACGGAAGCCGATAATTCGTCGTGGAGCGAGCAGCAGTCACAAGACTATGGCAAGATGTGATGCGCCTGTTGTATCCCCCCCTCTTGTATACAGTAGTACACCAATCAATGCAAAGAGGCAGCAAGGGTTCTGTTCAAATTCCCCTTGCCGTCGTGCAGTGGGAGAAAAAAAGGAGAAAGACATCGACTTACCAGAGCGCCTCGAATGCCACACTTGTACCTACCTTTGATCAGTCACATCTAGCCGGTAATATTCGTCCGTATGGATAATGCGCCAAAGCTGTCGCTCGCCCCGCTGCATGAAGAGGGGCAAACCGCAATCAACTTGTCGTGGATCGTAGAGCCGACTGACCGCCAATTCGGCGAGCAAAAGAGGGTGTGGGGCTTCTCTCCAGTCTTGCCGGAACCACCCCCATGGCGTGTCACTCGTAGCGGCTGTTTTGACAAGTTGAGAGCTGCCGTTCCTTGCTGTTTCCCTTCTCCATGTGTCCGTGTTCCTGTGAGATAGGACGATGCAACATCTTTCTGAGCCTCAGAAACTCAAACGGCAAAAACGGACTCACTGCAGGGCGATGTGTAAAAACTACGCGCATGAGCGTGACCCTGCATGCAAATGCATGTCGGCATTGTCTGGAGCCTAGACGGTTACACATGGCGGTGTGAAAACTTGCAGAAAGAGCAGCATGCAATCACGCATATACCTTCGTATACCGGCTCCCAACATTGTTAGGGCGAGCCCTTGTGGAATCCGCGGCTTTCTACAGTGACACTAATGTCGAGAACACGTCAATATTACAGGGCTCAGAATGCATTGTTGGAGATATGTGATATGTTTCATTCATCGTCGTCATTGTCTGTTTCCTGGTTTATGTACCTCCCATGTCAGTTTGTCGTATGCTGTTGTTGTTCTCGTGGTCTTCATGATTGGGTTCTTCGATCGTCGAGCAAGTTTCAGGGTAGCTTAACCGTGAGTGACCTTGTGTACGGTGCCGTCATCGCCAACGTGGATGTTGAGACTATGCCTCTGTCAGTCTCGTTCTTGTTGTCTTGCATCTTCTCTTGGTGCTCTTACCGGTCGGGGTTGTGGTCCATGGTCATCATCGAGTCGCCCTTGACGACGCGGTGCTGCTGAGGCAGGTCCTTCTTTGCGAATGTCTGTACAGCCCTTGTCAGGAACGGTGTCCCAGATCGCGATAGGTAGAAGTGCCGACACATACCATGTTATCGCTGCTGTCGCCGAGCTTCTTGCCCATGAGCTGGTCCATCCACTTGGAGGTCTTGTCGTCGCCGCCGCTGGACTGCATTCCGGGGATTACGAGAGGCATGATTGAGTGTGTGATTGTTAGGTTGTGGTTTGATGTAGGTGTCTTGGATGTTCAGGTGAGATGAGTTCTGAGGACTTTATGAAGTTTGCGAATGAGGAGGGGCAGGAAGCCACAAAGGTGTTGCCTTGGATTCCTGCCACCAAAACGGCCGGGCCTATGACGTCGGGGTTGACAACACAGAACGGCTTGAGATAGGCTGGACAAAAGTTGATCAAATGACCTTTTTTACGTACAAGCTCGAAAACGCACTTCTTGTTCTATGGTAAACTCGAATGCTGTCTATTTTCACATGTAGAGAAAAAGGTGGGCTTGGAATATAGGTGGCAGGAATACAATTTCGATTCTGAGGCCGCCTCCGCTACTCGATGCATTGCCATCACTTCTTGAGCAAATACTCTTTGCTGACCAAAGTTTGGAGGACGCCGTAGACTCCAGATATCGGCCAAGTGGACCATACCTTCTCGGTAGCCCAAGATCTCCATCCTTGAGGGCTTTCACCACTACTTTGAACACAAGCCTTATCAAAAGCACTAGGCAGATGCTCGGCTTTGTACTTGCTCCTCAGTTCCCGATATGACTTTTCATCGTAAATTTCCCAGAACTCTGTTTCGGAATAGAATGCTTGAGCATACAACCATTTCCTGCCTCCGTGATTTCGCACAAGGCTCTCCAAATGGCGGTTTCGCTCGACTGCCTCTGCTGGATTATTCGCTCCATTCGGACCCCAGACACCGACGTTGATAAGCAGATCGGTTCCGATGGCCTGCGGATGGAAAGAAGACTGCTGTGTCCATGGCTTCATTGGGCATAACCAGAGAGGATAAAACCCAAATGTCTTGTCGACTGCAACGATAAAGTCTCTGACGTTTGCAGCTGGAATTGCTAGGTCTTGGATAATATACTGTTGCATGTGTCCACTGGCATGCAAAGCATGATACATCGTGCTTGTTTGCATAAAGTCGTCCAGAGCCCATCGGGTTATACGATTGAAGGGGACCATAAAATAGTTGAAGGCGTATTTGCCCATCCAGAAAGCACCGCGATCATAACGGAAGAGATAGTCGGCCAAAGGTACAGCCTCTGTGACCGGGCCGCCAGCTTTTTGTGTCGATCGGTCCGCATGCATGTAAAACCACGGATCTCGAGGACCTTGGAATCTTTGTATGCGTGTCGCACGAGATACATAAGATGTCAGACGGCCAGTGACAACTATACCTCGGTGCCGAGATACGAGAAACCCGTCGACGTAGTCGTTCTCAGAGTCTCCGCATGCGGTCTTGACCTTCTCCAGGGTCTCTTCCAGCGACTTGCATGGGGTGTACGTGGTTTCGACGTATCTCGCTGCGTCGACGAGCTGTATCTCCATCAGAGTTGTCACTCCCAGCGTGCCCAAGGAACTAGTTGCGCCATAGAAAAGATCCGCTTTCGATTCTGGAGAGGCCTTGACGACTTCTCCATCAGCCAGCACGATCTCGATCCAGTTTACAGTACAGTCGAAAGAGCCATGTTTGAAGCTCGAAGACTCTCCTCCTGTGCCACTGAAACCCCCACCAGCAGTGATGCCTTTAAATTCCATTACCACAGGAGGTACCAAGCCAAGAGGTAGTGTTACTTCGACCAGCTTGTCCATTGGAACATTGGGCTCCACCAATGCTGTTTTTGTTGACTTGTTCACAGAGAGGACACGATTTAGAGAACTGGTGTCGATCATCCTGCTTCGGTCGATCGAGTGGTTCCTGGTCGAGTTGGTAGAGCCGTGAAATATTCGGAATTGCACTTTCCGTGAGTACAAGTCTTTCAAACGAGCCGATATATGTTTCACAGTCTCAACATGATTGTCCATTTTGATTGAGCGCTGTGTTGGTGCGGGAGATGTAGAATCGATCGATGCTGCAGAGCTGGATTCTGTTCCTGTTCTCGAGGCCACAGAATCAAAGGTGATAGCAAGACGACCCGCAACCAACAACGTGAAGTTTCGCAGACCTTGAAGTGTTTGGAGTGTGAATGTCAATTGACAGGTTGGCTGCTCTTTCCGCAGGCACCCGGTACAAGCCCCACAGTGAAAGCATCGGTTGACATCCACGTAAAAGCAACGTTCTCAATCTTCGAGCAATCCACTGTGCAAAACGGACTTGACCGCTCCCCATGTGCAGAGATACGCACACCACTATCGTAATGCATAGTCTCTATAGCCGATAAGAAGCATCCGCAGGGAGTCGTGGTATCATCGGCTCTCTATGGACTTCGCTACCGTCGAGAAAGAACTATGCATTTTGATGGCCTCAGCTCCGCCTGTGTTCTCGCGAGAGTGGGGTGGAAGCGACAGAATTTAGCACATAAAAGATCTTTTCCTTCCATTTCCTGTCCATCACCCGTCTATCGCGCCGACATGGATGGTGCCGAGCAGGAGCGTCCGACCAAGCGTCAACGTATCGGGAAGGCATGCAAATCATGTCGCACTTCGAAAGCGCGTTGCGAAATTCAACCAGACGCCGACGCGTGCCACCGATGTCAAGTACTCGAGTTCGTCCCCGTCAAACTGCAGTGGCATATAACCTGACATCAAGTCAAGCCTCGAGTGTGAGCTGCCAAAGCGTAGCGCTGTTCGTGCTGCGGCGTCAACTCCCTTGATCGATGGGAATGGCAATGTCGAGGCTCGACTCGCGCGGGCTGAGCAAATGATTGCCAAATTGTCCGAAGCAGTATTTCCTCATGCCGAGTCCGCCCTGGCCGAAGTCATCGATGCGACGAATGATGCTCCTCCGGCGGGAGACGCCAGCGACTACCCAAAACCTGTTGAAATCCTTCAGGACTTGCAATCCGAGTTGTACGCTCAGTCGGGCAAGCCTTCGTCAGAACAGACCGATTTGGTTTCTGTTGGACTTCTGTCTGTCGATACCGCAATCCAGCTCCTCCGAACGTGAGTTTCGCAACTGAGAGCCCTCAGTTCACCAGATTTTCCTCTCCCCGTGTGCAAAGGGTCGTAGCGCGTGTAGCTGTGAGAATGCATAGTGGTCTCGAGAAACGCGTAGTGTCCATCGAGAAGTGATATTATATTGGCTCTCTCTGGAAACATCTCTATCGTGGAAACCATTGTGCATTTTCATAGTGAACAGTTCGCTCTGTGTCTTCATGAAGAGAGTGTGGAAGGTACCAACTTCATCACATAGGGAGCCCACATCTCGCGACATCCCTGAACTTCCGCAGCTCACAACATTGCTAACACCTGACAGATCCATCGACAGGTACAGCAAGTGGATCCCTCTGGCCGAGATTGTCGACTTCGTTAGCAATGTGTCTCGAGATTTCTCTCGGAGCTCGCCCCTTCTGATGAACGTACTTTGCTTGCTGGCGACTCGGTATCACCCTGGGGTTTTCTCGCAAACAGTACAAGACATGTACAGACACGTGAAGCGCCTCGTTGCAGATGCAGTCATCGATACACCTCCAGTCGCGAGTAGTGTCGTTCAGGCGCTGACCTTGCTCTGCCTCTTCAACCCTACAGTCCAGACGGACAAGCCTCTGGATAGCTGGCACCTCAGTGCTAGTACTGCCAACCATGCAGTTGTTGCTTTTGGACCGATCAATGTTAGACAACCGAGCGCTGCAGAAGAACGAACTACCGAGCAATTGCGCGTGTGGAGTGGACTCTGCCTCACTCACCTTCAGCACTCGATCGGCAGTGGCCGGCCAGTCAGTATATCGATCCGACTCATGGAAGGTTGTCGTCGGCTACTGGACCGCCCAACGATATTGCCATCCGATACACCATTGATCGCCGAGCTCCAATTCTACATCTGCCTTCACACCGCTCTACAGAGTCCTACGGCGACTCCAGAGTCTGCTTTCGCGCCTTGGAACCTTGCATGGAGCCGTTTCCTTACTAGCTCTGGCCCGCCCAGAACTCTTGAACTGTCTCATTGGTTTGGGCATCTATTACTACATCGCCGTAACGCTTCGTCTCAGCAAGGCTCCTCGCCACAAGCCATACACGAAAGAAACATACCAGCCTGGCGGGAAAGCGCGAACATCGTTTCACAATTTGTGCGTCACTCTTCGGACCAAGCACTTGATCTACCTGACTTTGCTTTCTTCATCGCATCTTATGCTGCACTGGTGCTCTGTGAAAGCGCAATCGATCATCATCTGGTCGAGAACCTACGAGCATATTTCTTCAAGGTTGCATGCAACGAATCACACATTGCGTTCAAGCATGGACGTATCTTACAACGCGCACTGGAGAGATCAAGACACGCCGATCCAAGCGTCGAAGATGGCACAATTGCTGGCGTAGAAATACTGCCCTACACTGCTGGAACGCCTTTGCCTTCTCAAGTTATGGGAGCTGGTGATCTCGATGCCTTAGCAGGATTCGAGGTTTTTGGCGAATACTTCACTGTAGAGAGTCTGTTGTAGTGCCTGGCCATTAATAACGAGCTGTCTCACGTCGGACGAACTCGTCTTTCAAGGCATGGCAAACACCGATCTGTAAGTTATACCATTCTTTACTTGTTCTCTCGCACAAGAACGGCCATGAAGACACAAAAGACAAAAACAGATACTTATGATTCCCGACTACATCTTCCGGTCCTAACCCTCTACTCTTCTTAGTGTATGGGTCAGGTAGGAAGAGGGACATGATTGCAACAAAAGGCAAATCGGAGCCACAAAATATGATTCCCTATCATGCAAGACTTTATATTCGAGACTTGATGCTGACTGATAGTTGTAGGAAGTGGTTGTGCGGAGGGTGGTCAACGATCAGTCTTCCCGACCAGTTTCCCGATAAGTTTCCCGACGGGTTTCCCGACATCGTTCAGCGGAACTCCGCGGTTCCCCGCAGGACTTAAGAGTGCATCTCCACGGTTCCCACATGATGGTAATCAGTTCCTCCGACGGTGTCCGACGGTTGAGAGATCTTATAAAGTAGGTATCTAAGACTGGTTCATCCATCCCGATAATTACACTGTCTCCGAAAATCCAAGCTACTCTCATCCGGCGTATTGTTACTTGTTTCAATGCCTCTCAGATTCAAGTCGCCAGAGAGATCTCCACCCCGACGACCTACATGGATTCGCCAAACATCCTCGAGCTCTCCAATTCCGTCAGCCGACTACACCATCCAACATCACTACCACAAGGCACTTGACGGATATGAACCCACAGCTCTGCTTTCTATGGACTCCCTCGCCGCAGAGCTAGGTCTCGGTGGGATCTACATCAAAGACGAATCATCACGTTTCGGCCTTCCTTCCTTCAAAGCTTCCGGGGCCTCATGGGGTTGCTTCCGCGCCCTAATCTCACACTTGTCTCTGGACTTCGCCACTGCCACCCTCGAGCAAGTGGCTTCTGCCGCCAAAGATCGAGGGTGCAGACTGCTGGCTGCTACAGATGGCAACCATGGCAGGGCGGTCGCTTGGATGGCTCGTTCCTTTGGTATCCCATCCTCAATCTATGTCCCTCACGATTTGCACCCGAACTTCCTGCGGTTGATTGCTGCGGAAGGTGCAGAAGTGGTTGTGGTTCAAGGAGACTATGACTTTGCTGTCTCTACGGCTACCTCTGCCGCCGCTGCATCGAAGAACAATATCCTCGTGCAAGACACAGCCTTTGAAGGTTACGAGGATGTCCCAACTTGGATCATCGATGGATATGCGACCATATTCACCGAAATGGAGCAACAGTTGCGTGAGCTGAATGCGCAACCAACACACATCATTACACCTGTTGGTGTAGGCTCTCTAGCCCAGGCTGTAATCACATACGCTAAAGGACAACGAGATCTCAAGGTTGTAGCCGTGGAACCAGACACGGCGGCATGTCTCCACGCTTCCCTCGTCGCTGGGAAGGCTACACCCATTGTCACTTCCAACACGATCAATGCTGGCTGCAATTGTGGAACCTTGAGTTCCGTCTCTTGGCCATTTCTTCGAGACTACGTAAACCTGAGCACTACGGTTTCCGACTTTGAGACTCATATGGCAGTGCAAGAAATGCATCGTCATAATGTTAATGCTGGCCCCTGCGGGGCTTCTGGACTTGCAGCGTTGAAGAGACTTGTCGCCGAGGGACATGTCGCAAAAGGATCTTCGGTGATCTTGATCAATACCGAAGCTCAAAGACCTTACGATGTGCCTCTTGATGTCAGTGCCGACGACGTTGTGACCTTGACCAAACAACTTGTCCAGATCGATAGTTCAAATCCTTCGCTGGACACGACAAACACTGCACGAGGAGAAGCCAAAGCTGCAGCATTCATCACGCAATGGCTACACTATCGTGGCATTGAGACACACGTCGTCGAGTCAGTACCGGGTCGCCCTTCTGTGGTCGGAGTCGTTCGCGGCAGCGATCCCGACGCCAAGTCTGTCATGCTGAATGGACACATCGACACAGTATCCTTATCCACATATGGCTCGGATCCTCTCAGCGGCAGCTTAGTCGATGGCAAGATCTATGGCAGAGGTGTGCTAGACATGAAAGCCGGAGTCGCAGCCGCCATGACTACCCTCTTACATTTTTCCATCCACGGCAGCAAAGGCGATGTCATTTTCGCCGCTGTAGCAGACGAAGAAGACAAGAGTATCGGTACTGCTGCCGTCCTCGCAGCAGGCTGGAAAGCAGACGCCGGACTGATCCCCGAACCTACTTCTCTGCAACTATTCCACGCACACAAAGGTTTCGTATGGATCCAAGTAACGATACTCGGGAATGCCGCACACGGGTCTGATGCGCAAACAGGTGTGGATGCCATCATGTCCACTGCCACGTTCATGAAAGCAATGGACAAGTACGCCGAGACGCTCGACTCGGACGACGTGCTGGGACAAGCGACAATGCACTGCGGAACCATCAGAGGCGGGGAGGAAAACAGCAGTTATGCCGCTTCGTGCACGCTGACCCTCGAGTTCCGTACTGTGAACGACAGCAGTACTTCTCAGTCATCTGCTGCCATTGTCAAGGACATTACCAACATACTTGAGAAGCTTGCGGCTTCGGACAAAAGGTTCAAGTTTGAAGTACCCGAGGTGCTGTTCGAGCGTAGACCTTTACTGCCAATGGCGGTGACGCATCCTTTGCTCGTCGCAGCAAGCAACGCAATTGCCGATGTGCAAGGAGGCAGAGTGGTCCAGCCTACAGCGGCCAAGTTCTGGACCGATGCCGCATTGCTGAGTGAGGCTGGAATTCCTTCTTTGATGTTTGGACCTGAAGGTGAAGGACTGCATGGGAGAGACGAATGGGCGGATGTGCAGAGTATCAAAGTCGTGGAGCAGGTGATGAGGAAAATCATCGAGGGGTTCCAGGAAGGTTCATAGCTATCTCGATGAAACAGGCAGTAACGAGAACAAGACGTTGCATTCGCATGACCCTTGGCTCCTGACATGTCAGTCGCTTAGATGATCAGACACGGAGAACGAGCGCAGTATCACGGTCAAACACAAGATAAGTGAGATTGGAAATAGATTGATTCATTATACATTATTGCTAACTTGGTTGAAAAGATCTGTTACTGGTCAGCAACATGATCCCACTGGCTGTGTGTATGTGTAAAATGTGTATGTGGATGGGCAAAAGGTCAGTTCTCCAAGGTGATGGTATCTTCAAAGACGTGTCTCAGTAAGAACACAGCGAAATATCATTTTTGTTCATCATTATGCAGGGCGGGGGGAAATGTGGGTAGCAACGGAAGCGAAGAAACTTACAGCTTGAGACGGCAGGATGATCGACATGCCGAGGTGATACTTGACCTATGCCAGGGCAATCAGTAATGGCCTTCCATGTTTCGATCGAACAAGGCGGTGGGATGTGTGATTGCAGTCAGGCTCTGTTGACAATCAGTACTGAGGCGAGGAGAGATGATGAAGAAATCGCATACCATTAAATCATTATACATGTCCACAACGGATAAGCCTTCGTTACGGGCAAACCGTTCACGGTACGAAGGTTTATCATCATGCAGTGATGATGGGAGTTGTTGTTTCGAGATCAGACTGCATACCTGACGAACCATGTTGTTAGTAAGGGACTCGGAAGTCAAAACAGCGAAGGTCGACAAGCATCAAGTGCTATGGGCTTGAAGAACAGTTAGCAAAGGTTCAAGAACATCGAAGACGTGCAGAAGCTTACCATTCAACATTCTCAGAATTTTCAGTGTTTTGTGTTCATGTCCGACCAGCACAATATAGGCTTAGGAAGGATCAAACAGTGTGAATAAAATGTTCATCATTGTGAAGAATGCCCACGCAAATGTGGTTGCAATCGACCGGGATCTGAGATAGAAGCTGCATACCTAAACAAAACCAGTCTTAGTACATGTGTTGATCAAGACAAGAAGTGCAAGATATGTGCATGGGCGCAAAACAATCAGCTGACGATAATCTCAACAAGCAACTCCCGGCCGAACATCCCAAGAGTTTGTACGCTCTTGTTTCAGCGGATGCCAACCGAGAGCGCAGTCTGTCCGCCCGTTCGTTCAAATCTTCTTCATATTGAAAGGGGGGAACACGAGTCGATGGGTGGAGCGATGGGTAGATACCTGATGCACATCGGGTTAGCTTGGCTGTTCCAGCAGAGCAAAGTTATGAAGTGCAAAAGAAGATTCATGGCAAGATAGTCAGACAAGGCTGAAACTTGATTTTAGACAGATTCGACATTGTATATTCAGGTCGAGGAATGCCTTTCCGTGAGTCGGTATATCATCACCCAAGCCGGGGAAAGTGTGCAGTGTGGAGGAGTTGTGGGTTGACCAACCTTTTAAGAAGTGAGAGGGCGTGCCGTAGATAGCACACCCCCGATGCGACCAGCGCATTTTGACGAAGGGTAAAGCGACTCGAGAGAAGGACTGTTCATACAATTGTTAGCATGATGATGCAAGAAACAGTTGCAGAAAGAGTGGTGATTGCGAATCAAGTCTCAGTGTAATTCTAGAGTTATTGTAATCCTTCACGACGCTATAGGAGTTGGATTGTTCGTGTTTATTGTATCATCTCTGTGATGGGTGTGATGGACGTGGTTGAGGGATGGAAGCTTACCTGATGCTGAGAATCTGACCGCCTTGTCTGCGCAGTTGCATAGATGCGACAGAAGCAAGGCGGACAGCAATTCCGAGTCACAGCTCGTGCGAGTGCGCGCGTATTGGCACGCGATGGTTTGTTTGTTGTGATGCAGGAGAAGAAGTTGAAAGGACAAGAAAAATTGCAGACTTTGAGGAAGCCGCGGCCGGTTGAAATCCGGCTTGCTTGGAAGCTTGGGCCCGAACGCGCTGTGAACGCGGAGACTCTGGATTGGCATGTGATAGGCGACATGATGATGCTGTTGACGATGGTCAAGCAGTCGTCGCCATGTCCTTCGCCGAAGGCTCGTCGCAGTATGCGCAATCTCCCAGACTATCTCAGTTCACGCACTACGATGCCTCGACACCACCTCTCCCGCCGCCAAAGCCCTCGAGCGGCAGAGACACTCCATCTCGAGGCCCCCCACTGCCACCTCCACCGACAGCCCAGCCATCATCCCTGAACTCAGCAGACGCCTATGCCAACCAGCACCAGAATCAGATTCCACTTCCTGCACCTGGTTGGCTGCCTTCGATCGTTCACGATCTGTCTACCGACGATCTCAAAAGACTGCTCGAGAGTCCTGACGTACAAGCTGCTCTGCTGAACGACTACGAGAGCACGCATCCTTCGATACCTGCCTCTCAAGATAGTCTGCGTCAAGTCCTCGACTCGAACCTCCAGATAGCTTCCTCATTGCAACAAGTCGAATCCCGCTTGCTCCATCAACGCGCCCAAACCCAATCTCGTTTGATCGCTCTTCGCGCTCTCGAACAGCAGCACAAGTCGAAGATTGTCGAAACCGAGGATACTCTGAAAGGCTTCAGCCCCATGGCTCTGTACCAGCGCCTGAGTGCCAGCGCTCAGGAACAAGATGCTTTGGTAAAAGGAATCGAGGACAGCTTCCTCGACGATGGTGGTCTTGCTCCGGACAGAGAGGTCCAGGACTTTGTCCGTCGTTTGAGAGAAGCCAAACGTGTCGCCTTCCTTCGCAATCAGCGCAAAGAACGTTGGGATGAAGGAAGAGTTGGCGGCTGGAGATGACCTGGCGATAATGTCTAGCAGATCCATATAAAATAGTTTACCGAATCAACCACAGAAAGTCTCCTGATGCAACCCTTGCCTAGCACTAACCGCATTCGGTGCCTCTATAGGTCTCACTAACGGCTCGAGCCTCAGAACGCATCGCACTATGTAGGGGACGCAACACTTTACTTGTCGTCGTCTCATCCACGCTGCTGCATCGGCTATACAGCTAGAATTGGTCTTGTCATCGATTCAGGTCTACAAGCCATCGTTCAGCCAACCACTCGATAGATTCCAGTCACTGTTATCACTTGCGAAAGTCAAACTAATAGATCGTGACAGCCGTGATGCCCTCACTGTTCTCTAAGATCTGGTGACGTTCTTGATGGCTTCCCTCTGAACCACTAGCGCCAACCTGACATCTCCCAATCCATGCATCTTGACTCGACCTAGCTTCTCTTATGCACATCAAAACCTTGCCAAACATCCATTCGACCATCGTCAAATTACACCCTCCTCAACATGAAAGTCGATGATATTGTCGACTCATCCTCGTCACAACCCGAAAAACAATTGGAAACTGTTGCACGTGTTCAAGATCCCGTCAATCCGACGCCATTACCCCCGCTGGTTGAGCATGACAATCTTGAGCATGGCGACGATCTCGATGGAAGCAACGATTTCGACGACGACGACGATGACGATGACGAGATCGAAGAATCTGCTTTGACCGATGAACTAGAACGCGCCGAGTTTGAGCCTTACACTGATGATGGTAAGTTTGCTAAATTCACCATGTCGCCCTTCCCCTTGTTTCGCCAAGGCTGACATTGACCAAAGAACCAGGACCTAACTCCTACACACCCGCAGAGGCAAAGGAGATCCGCGAGAGACTACGCCGACTCGGGCCTAACAGGTTCGTCGAGCAGACCCTTACTCTCGGTGCTGTTGGCGTGAGAAAGCTCGTCACGGCGTTTGGCGTAAGGCCCGACTTGCCTTATTCTACCACCTGGTACTACCAAGTCCTTGGCCTGAGTATCCAACGTGAGCTCAGAAAACGACAGAAGCTCACCGAGTACAACACAATCGATGATGCCGTCTCGCTGCTCCAAAAGTCCAAGAACATCATGGTCATCACCGGAGCTGGCATCTCGACCAGTCTCGGTATTCCTGACTTTAGATCAAAAAACACCGGATTCTACTCGCAGCTTACTGCTCGTGGGTTTGAGAGTCCGGAAGACGTCTTTGACATTTACAACTTTGACAGCGACCCCACGTATGCATATTCGCGGCTTAGCTCGACACTTGACAGAGCATCGCTGACCTTCCGCTCAGACATTTCTATCAATTAGCCAAAGAGATCTTGCCTGTCACGGATCGATGCTCACCTACTCACGCCTTCATCAGACTGCTTCAGGACAAGCAGAAGCTGCTCACGAACTACACTCAGAACATCGACAACATCGAAGCATATGCAGGTATTGATCCAGAGCGACTCATCCAATGTCATGGTTCATGGGCGACTGCAAGTTGCCGCAAATGCAACACAGAGGTACAGGGGGATGCCATTTTCGAGGACGTGAGGCAACAACGAGTCTCATTCTGCCAGACCTGCTTGGACATTATCGAGAAACAGCCCCGCAAGCGCAAGCGCACATCCAACGGCAAGTCAAAATCGAGATCGAATCACTCCGACTCTGAAGATGACGGACGCTATGACGTACCTCAGCCTGGCGTGATGAAGGTGAGTTGAGACCTATTCTTGCGAGTAACTCATGACTAACATATGTCTAGCCCAACATCACGTTCTTCGGCGAAAAGCTCCCCGGCCGCTTCTTCGATCGCCTCACCGAGCACGACGCTGCCATAGTCGACCTGATCATCGTCATCGGCACCTCCATGAAAGTCGCTCCTGTCTCCGAGATGTACGTTCCCCTTCTGCCATCCTTTTTCAATCTCAAATTCGCTGACCAACACACCAAAACAGCCCCAACTATGTCGACGAGAAAGTGCCACAGATTTACATCTCCCGCGAACCAGCCGATCACATTAATTTTGACATCACACTCCTCGGCTACTGCGACGATGTGGTAGCAGAATTGGCCAAACGTGCCGGCTGGACCATCGACCACGCAAAAGTCACCACTTCGTCTTTGACGGCAACGCCTGGAGTCAAGACTGGACAGTGGAATATCGAACCACCGACCGAAGTCGATTAGTTGACCATTGTAGCATTTAACTTCAGAAGGCGTTTCGGTGAATGGGGGTTGGTAGTGGGCAAGAAGCAGTGTTTTTGCTTGCATCGTATGGACTTGACAAAAGGGAGAGGAGCATTTGTGGGAGTCGGTAGAAACAAGGGATTACATATATAATTAATCAAGTTCACACCACAACAATTAGCTGTAATTTGGGGAGCCCTTTCGGAAAAAGATCATGCATTCTTCCATTATCACTCGATGGTCGAACCGTTTATCACTACATTCACTCTTGAAATGTTTTTAACGTGATGAATTCGATTGTAACTTTCGATCGCAAAGCAGGCACCGCGGATATGCAACCTGATCCTACCCGACCATAACCTCTAGACTGGCCATCTACAAAAGCGAAAGCTTGACCTTTCTCTTTCCAGTGCTCTCTTCAGCCTCATCCGAGATCCTAACCTTGATCTTCTCGAACAGCTCCACATTCCTATCAATACCCTCACCCTTGATCTTGAGAATGTAATTTTCAGTGTCAAACTCGCTTTCAGGCTCAGGGGTGGCAAGATCACGCAGACGGATCAGACCTTCGATGCCAAATCTAGGGACAAAGACGACGATGCCGTTAGAGAAGACGCGCATGATGAAGCCGTCTTCATCTACCACGCGACCCTTGAGTGCTTGGCCGACGTAGTACTCGACACTGGCGCGCCCAGCTTGCTGGGCATTGCGATGGCGCACGTTGATGTTCTTGCACACGCCTTCCAGCTTGGCCTTTGAGAGCAGACTGGCGTCCAGGGGCTCGTAGTCGATTGCGGCTGCGAGCTGGCGATGAGCTTCGAGATCGGCGTAACGACGGATAGGGGAAGTGAAGTGAGTGTAGATCTCGCTGGCGAGACCGTAATGGCGGAACTCGGGATATGCTTGAGTGCCTGAGCAGAAGTACTCGGCTGACATCATGCAACGAGTAGCCATGATACGGACGAGTGTGTTGAAGAAAGGTTCTGATGGTTCCACGCAGGTGTCTAGCGAGTCGGCAAGAGCTTTAGAGCTGTCTGTCCGTAACTCCATACCACGCTTGACACGCAACTGGTTGGAAAGCTCTTCGAAGTTTGTCTTTGGAGGAGCAGCGTGGCGACGCAGCAAGGCAGTTTGGGGGTAAGCTTCGTAGATGCGAGCGGCGACGCTGGTGTTGGCGAGAAGCATGAACTCTTCAACCAACGACATGGTGTCCAAGTGCTGCTTGGTCTGCACGTCTGCGGGGTCTGCAGTCTCGGACTCGGTCTGGACACGCACCTCAGGACTGGCCAAGTTCAAAGCACCAGCGTCCATACGCTTCTTCTTCAGCTTCTTCGACAACATCATGAGCATTCGGATACCGTTGGTGAGATCATCTTGCTGAGACTGGTCGTCGACACGAATTTGGGCCTGTTCGTAAGCAAAAGCTTCCCTTGACTTGATGACCGACTTGGTGTAGTCAGCGCGCACAATGTCAGCCTCGGGTGTGAGTTCCCAGATAACCGAGAAAGCAAAGCGCTCAACGTACGGCTTCAGAGAACAGAGATCGGTACCGAGCAGCATGGGCAACATGTCAATACGCTTGTCGACTAGGTACACGGTGGTACCACGCAAACTTGCTTCTTGATCCATGGCGTTGTTTGGCTTTACGAAGTTGGAAACATCAGCAATGTGGACACCGACTTCGATGTTTCCGTTCGGTAGCGTTCTGGCGTGTAGTGCATCATCGATATCAACACAGCCAGGAGGATCAATACTGCAGATCAACAGATCGCGCAAGTCCCTTCTCTTGTTCCAGCCAGGGTCAGACATGTCTGTGGGCACCTTCCAGTCGTGACCTTCGGCAGGCAGACAATCCAGGACAGTCTTGGGGAATGGTCGGTACTGTACATCCCATTCCAAAAGCAGAGCTTCGGTCTCGGCGCCTTTGGTCTCAAGCTCTCCGAGAGAGCGGACGAAATGACCAACAGGGTATCTCGACTCTCTGTCCCAGGCATCGATAGTGACAAGCAAACGCTTGCCGAGTAGATCTCCAGCCTGGCGGGTACGAATGCGAATCTTTGGGATGCGCTTGTCCATGGGAATCAAGAAGACAGTCTGCTGTGCTCGGCTCTGCTTTGTCGAGGATTTTACGGAGTCTTTGTCGACATGACCAACATACTGTCTCCAGTTACGTTTGATGATGCCAACAACGCGAGCAGTAGGTTGCGGCCTTCCTTCAGCACTCTTGCCATGCGTCTTCTTGACTTCCTCTTGCAATGCGCGCTTTTCCTGCTGAGTGATAACGGCCTCACCCTCGTCTGCATCCGCGTTATCGTTCTTGTTGACAACTTCCTCTTCCAGAATCTTGGATGAAGGAGCCTTCCACTGATCCTTGGGCAGAACCTCAACAACCACAATGTCTCCGGAAATTGCTCTGTTGCTGTTCTCTCTTCCGATGATAAGTAGTGGTTTGTCGAATGCCGGGACGAAGACGGATCCCTCTAGGTAGTTGTAGGGTGATACGTTGAATGTTCCTTGGTGCATGGTTCCAGCCTTGACACCAGTAATCATCTTTGAGACAGAAAGGTAATCCGGGTAGAGCAGCTCGCCCTTTGTTTGCTTGCCAACCCTCTGTTCCTGACCAGCGCTGACCATATCCAACAAACGTTCTGATTCGTCGAGTCCAGAGACATAGTCGCGCAATGACAATCCAGTGATACCATCGTTCTTAGCTTTACGGATGTTGTCACGATCATCGCTGATCATGACGATCGAGGGACATCTGATGGATTTGCGCTTGCTGACAGCCTCGTCGAGATGGTCGGCATACCATTTGACGGCGCGGCGAACAGCGCGGTCGTTTCTGTCGTTGATGGTCTCCTTATCTTGGCGAACGACGTAGGTCTGCAGTCTGAAGTCGTTGAAAAAGACGTAGAAGCGCTTGCTGTCGTTCTTGGTCAAGCTGATGAGGCGATGGTAGAGAGGCAAAGAGCGGTTCTTGACTTCCTCCAGAACAGTTTGCAGTACAATAACATCGAAGAAGGCGGTTTCGAGCTCAAAAAGATCCATTCCGGTGAGGAAAGCATTGGTGTCGGGAATTATGTAGTGGCCATTGGGAAATGATTTTGTTCCACCAGGAGTCTCGGAAAGCACAAACGGAGCGACTAGAAAAGTCAGAATAGTTCAAGAGTGGCGATGACAGTATTACCCTTGTTATGATAGTCGGTAGGAGCGATCTCGAGACAGCGAGCACATAGTCTTGATGAGCAAGGGATGTCTTCGCGCAAGTAGAGCTCGCGAACAATTTTTTGAACCTTGCCACTCTTGGTGGAGCGAATATAGACCTTGCTCGAGAGGTTCGGCGCAGCGCTGTCGGCAGCGTACGAACGCTTTAAGCTTGTCATGATGGATTGGCAACGATACGGACAATAGTCGCCTTTCTTGATGTTATCAAAAAATGTCCAACTATGACGGCAACAGGCAAAGATTGGGAAGTTGCGCCGGTTGAATGCCGGACTGGGGACGGCAGGTGCGACTCGCCCAGCCCAACAACGTCACTCGCGAGCCTACCGCTGCTCCTGCTGTTCAGAGCACCGAGATCCCGAGCGCAATTGAAGAGCTCGACAGAGGAACATCATACCACTTTCTCGCCCTCGCACAAAAGACTTCACCATGTCTCTTGACCCGCCGGCTTACATCCTGTCGCTCCAGAACAACATCAGGGCGCGACCAATCTCATGGGAAGGAGCCGTTAGAGCAAAGACAATCACCGACCAGGACCTCAAGAAGATCAAGTCGATAGACAAGGTCCGCAAGGAACAGCGCAGACAGACGGTCGAGTCGGATCCCGCCAGCTATGCCGCCCTGGTCTTGGGTTCCGACGACGGCGTCAGCATCTTCCAATCTGCAGCCAAGCGCTCCGACATTGTTCAGTACATGCTGGTCCTGACTGGCGACCTTATCGAGGGTACGACTCTTTTGCAGCTGCTTTGTGTTGCCCGCGCATGTGACTGACAGCTCCTACAGACATGCCATCCTTTGTAGCCAAGCTCCTCGAACACTCCGACCCTTACGCTCCCTTCGTGCCGCTCCTCAAGCAGACGGCCAATCCCGAAGACCCCATTCCGCTACTCGCATCGTGTGTCTTGTCAAGTCTCCTCTCTCACGGCCTTGTGGCCAGCGGTCCCCAGTCTGAACAAATCGACAAAGCCTTGCCCAAGCTATACTCGTACATCTCAACTCTGGCAAGAAGGTCTGACAGCAACCTCCAAGACATTGCTGTGCAAGAATACTCGGCAGTCTTGCGTACTGCCAAATCTCGTCAGCTGTTCTGGGAGCAACGAAACGACACCGTTACTCCTCTGTTCAACATTCTGACCAACGCAACCGGAGGTGGCATGAGAGACACCGAGTCAACCTTGATCAGCGGTGGAAGCATTCGCAGCATTGCCGATTCTCAGATCATCAACAACGTCGGCTTACAGCTTCTGTACCACGTCCTGCTTGTCATCTGGCAATTGAGTTTCGAGGGCAAGCTGGTCGGTCGTGGTCTTGATGAGTACGTTTACACACTCTCACGTCTCTTGTAATCTTGTGCTTATCATTCTCTAGGGAGCACGACATTATTGTCCTCTACGCCGCACTTCTTCGCATTTCGCCCAAGGAAAAGACAACTAGACTTCTCCTCGCTACCCTCACAAATCTTCTTTCAACCAACCGCGATACCCTTATGCCCGCCGTTATTCCTGCTCGCCTCCCCGCCATCCTCCAAAACTTGCAAGGTCGCCATCTCAACGATGCCGATCTCCTCGAGGATCTGAAAGCTCTCCAATCAATGGTTGAAGAGTTCCAAAAGACACAGACAACTTTCTCAGAATACGCTGCAGAGGTCAACTCTGGCCATCTCCGGTGGTCGCCACCCCATCGCAACCAGGCCTTCTGGAGTGAGAACGCCCGCAAGATCCTCGAGGACAACAAGGGTGAGTTGGCCAAGAAGCTCGCCGAGATTCTGTCAAAGTCCTGGGACAACGACAAGCAGGTGCTAGCTATTGGCTGCAACGATGTCGCATGTCTTGTCAAGGAAGTGCCTGAGAAGAGACAACAGATGGAGAAGCTTGGTCTGAAGGCTCGTGTCATGGAGCTTATGCAGCACAGCGACGAATCCGTGCGCTGGGAGAGTTTGAGAGCAGTCGGCGAGTGGCTCAGGTATTCCTTTGAGAAATAGAGCCGCAGCCATGTCTGACTCTCATGTTGTTCATATACCGCTCTCTTCTGCACACCTTAATCATCGCTCCTTGTTTGGGCATATCCTGGCGATGTCAATCTTTTCTTTTCGTTTTTCTTATTGTACAGCGACCCGGAGTATACCGATACAATGCAAGTTTTTTTTCGATAGACCGCATTTTCCTTTCAAGTAGTTGTGCCGTAATCACTGCTGTCTGGAATATGGATAGCAAACTCGTGTCTCCTGACTCGCAACTACAGTCTGTAAAGGCCTCAATCCATCGGCGTGTGGCGTTCACAGCTCGCACGTTAATGCTGTACCCATAAACGAGACTCGTCCAGTCATCACGTCATGGAGCTGATAGTGATCGGTACAACTACCGCAAGTCTCACATTGAACAAGAAAGTACAGGACAGGATCCCGCACGAAGACCGTGCAGTGCATTTGCATCTTTGGGGTGGCTGGGGGGGAGGGCGTGTTATTGTCGTTGCTGTAGAAGCGGGAGCTACGATTTCGTGATTGTGGAGAAAGGGAATTGGAACAAGGGTGTGGAGACTCTTCGTTGCTCTTACCTGCGCCACAGTTGACAACCCTTGTAGAGTTTCCTTGCCAACGAGAAAGGTTAAAAGTCTAGCGAGCAGGTGAGAACAGGTTACCTTGACCATCATGATGCGTTTTAATCAATCGATTGAATCTGATCTGTCGCCATCTCATGTCTCTTGCTGATGAGAAACCAAGCTCAGAGCGAACAAGAAGCTCGCGACATAAGGTACCATCGGACAAGGCCATTGCAACAGCGGGAGAACTCGACTGTTGAGAACGTTTTGGTACAAGTACCTGCCCGCATCTACTCTATTCTGGGCAGCAGAAACGGTTCAACTGCATGAGAAGAAAGATCCAGACGACCTAGCACCACCTTCGGGATACGCAAAGGGAAGAGAAAGACGCGTAGACTACACACCACCGTTACGAGGCATCAGATGTCACCAGTGGCCCGATGACTTGGGAAGTCGCATTTGGCGCGGGGTTCGGAGAAATAGGCTGTAGGACCTGGGTGCGCGGCGAGAGAGGCTTGGAGAGCACGTAAGCAAAAAAAAGTAGGCTGGTACCTTCTGGACATGAGCATCTGGGCCATCGACTTCTACATCTCATGGCCATTGGCATTGTCTAGGATGAGTCCGGAAGAATTGTCGAAGAGTATCCTGTTTCTCCCCGGTTGACCTGGGGATGTCTTTTGTTCGCAATCTTGATTCACTGCAATCGAGCAAGGCCAGAAGCGAGAGGCAGTTGCCGTGGAGAGAGGTCGAGAATAGAGAGGGCGACACCACAGCGATGGCCGAGCTGAGCAGGAGGTTCAAGAGGACGGCAACGATCTCCACGAAGCTACTGCAAGCCAAGGGGCAATGGCCCGGTGGCGCTCGAAGGTTGGGAACCGAGTTGCAGACTAGACCGTCGGCGACCAATGGGGTGGCAACCTGGTGGCACTGCAGGAACAGTGGTCCTTGTCGACCCTCGAGACAGCCACTTCTACTAGCCTTCCCTAGGAAAAAAAGCTTACCCGCATATAAATGTCAGGTCATGGCCGTGTAACTTGCTCTTTCCCTCTCAGTTCAACCAACAACACCGTTTCTTTGCAAACACCTTGCTTCTTTATCCATCATCCATCACATCCAAACATCAAGTACACGAGCATTAATCGATAATCGATAATCGATAATCATCATCGTCAATTTACTCTTAATCACATCACCGACCAACAACACAATCAAGATGCGCGCTTCCGTCTTCTTCGCCGCCCCTCTTGTGGCCATGGCTGCTGCTCAGAGCTCGGCTGCCAATGAGACCTCTGTTGTCAGCACCATTCCTGTCTCCTCCTCCAGCATCCCTTACACCAACGGATTCACCTCTTTCCTCACCCAGACCAACTCCCTCGGTGTTGTCACTGGTCAGCCTCTGCCTGCCACCTCCGTCGGCGTTGCCGCTACCAACTCTGCTCCCGCCGCCATCTCTTCGGTCGCCGTGCAGCTCGTCCCTGCTGGCCTTGCTCCCGGCACCGTCACCACCCTCATCTACGGCAATGTCACCGCTGGTAACGCCACTTCCATCGTCGTCACTGTTGGCGCCTCTACCACCCAAGTCCTGAGCGCTGCCGTTATTGCCGCCACCGGCTCAGGTTCTTCGGCTTCCGGCACTTCTGGCGCTGCTGCTGCATCGTCCTCGGGCTCAAGCGCTTCCCAGAGCGGTTCCTCCTCGCGTGGTGCCTCTTCTGCTTCCTCTCGTGTTTCCTCCGCTGTGGGATCTGCTAGCTCTGCCGCTGGCTCTGCTGCCGCTTCCTCTACTGGCGCAGCCTCCAGCGTCAAGGTCGGTGCCGGTGCCCTGATTGGTGCTGGCGTCTTCTTCGCTGCTTTCATGTAAAGAGCCGTCCAACAGTCTGCGCTTTACCTTTCTTGTTCACTTTTTACTTCTTCACGCCTAGTTACGCCTTTTGACACGATGGAAATCATGGGATTAATGCTTTGGGGGATTGGGACGAACGACATTGGAGTTTTTCTTCTTCAGCGAGGTGCATCAGCAAAGCACAGTTGCATTGCAAAGGGAATGAATCATGGGCTTGGGTCTTGTACCATTGCCTCTTGGGGGTCTGTAGTCATCCTGTTATAGTAGACCAAACAAAAGAACCAAAACTTTCTACACTTTAGAGTACACTCCAACTCCTTCTCCTTTTTCATCGAGTGATGTGCTATCTGTACAACTTCTCTCAATTGCTTTTCCTTTTGTCGTCTTCTTTCCCCCAACACTCGTCATGTCTTGATCTCGAGACAGCCGTACCACCTTCTTCGATACGCTTGCCTTTGCACGATATCCTGGTCTGATCCTGCTCTGCACAAAGTGGCTTTTTCTAACGCCGTTCAGTTTGCTCTTCGCCAGCCGCCCTCTGCTACACTCCCGCCTCCGTACCAGAGACACTGTCTAATTTCAGAGGATTGTACAATAACAACAAACACTCATCCCTTTTTGACAGCACGCCATGGCTTTCTCGCAACAGATGTTGATTCTCTCAAGGAAGAACTAGGCACAGAAAAGGGTTTACCTGCAGAATGTGGGTTGTTCGAAGAAGGCGATGGCTTGCGTGGCCTGTTTGTAGAAGGCGATGACTTGGTCGATGAGGGTGATGGTCTGTATACAGATGAAGGCAATCTGCTTGCAGGAGAAGCTGCTTTGCTGGCAGAAGAAGGTGCTGTGCCAGCAGAAGGGGACAGCTTGGTCGAAGAAGGCGACGACTTGTTTGCAAGCGCTAGTAGTTTCTCTGCAGAAAAAGTGAACTGTGCTGCGGAGAATGCTGGCTGTTTCGGTAGCTTGCGTACAATAGGTTTCGAAAGAGGCTTGGAGGGAGTCTTAGACAGAGATGATGTGTTTTGGAGAGATGACATGGGTGCGTTGCGGGTAGTCTTCGACACTCCACCAGGTTGAGACGAGTCCTTTCTCGTTGAGGTAGTCGAGGGCTGCGTTTGGGGACGTTGAGCTGTAGCGAGGTCTTGAGGTGACTTAGCCGTCAGGGGCAAGCCCGATCTGTTTTGGAAGTTGGATGAAGGCTGAACGTTTGGCAGCATGACGGCCTGAGGTGTACGGAGAGGTTGCTGAACATTTGGCAACATGACAGCCTGAGGTGCACGGCAAATCTGCTGAAAAGGCTGTGCAGAGCGAAGAGCCAATTCTTGTGCGGTTGCTCTTTGATCATTCACTGTAGCAATCTCTGCAACAGATGGCTTGCGAGAGGTCTTTGGCGAAACATCCGGCGAGAGAGCATTGCTCTGTGCAACTTTGGGCTTGTCGAGGATGCTTCTGCCGAGGCTAGAGGCATGGCTCAACGACGAGGCCAAAGAATTGGAACGAGACTTTTTGGGCGAGGAACCATTCTCTGAGCTTGCAGATCCGCTGCGTTTCCTGGTTCTTGGAGTGTCTTCTGGGATGAACAGGCTCTCGTTGTCCCTGGATTGGAGAGACTCGAGACGGCGAGCGAATTCTTCGGCTCCAAGTTCGATCGTTAGAAGTTCTTCCAGGTGGCTTATATACTGTTGTAGGTCTGCGAGGGCTTCATTGCTTGAGTAAATGCTCATGTGGAGGATCTGGAGCGCATTGGCTGCATTGCTGTTGCGTCGGTGTTCCAGGTTCATCATCGCTACATGAACAGAAGAATAACGACAACGAAGGACGGAGTGAGTGCTCGTAACAGGATGCTGGTTTGTATGTCGTTACAATGGAAACGATGCTTCTGCCAGGCGCGACTGATGTGTGATTAGCCGAAGCATAGTGAGGATGAAGGAAGAACAAGCACTCACCTCAGACGGGCTTCTAATAGTATATAGAGTCGCGTGTCGATGCTGAATAAGATCTACCTCTTGTGATCAATATTGATAGAGGAGATGCTGAGTTGTGGTGATGGGTTGTTTTGGTCGGCTTACGCGCACGGAGAGCGTGCACTGCGAACAACGGAACTGTCTGTTACGATCTAAACATAAGGGAAAGGGCTCTCTGCTTCACGTTGCAATGTCAAGTAAGAGCCTCCACAAAAAGCCATCCCACATCTATATCATCGAAAGGGATATTCATCTCTTCAACTGAACACTTCGGTAAAGGCGTGGGATGAAGTAGAACATCAATTTGAGCATTCACTTTCAAGCTACCAGATCAGCACTTCGGCGCCTGCTATCGTCTCTATAGTAACCGTGATGCTTCTTCCATATCCCTTTGATGTCCTTCCTCCAGATCCGCAGTTGATGGCTTCTCTCAGGACCCTCAGTCGATGTGATCCTCGACGACACGAACCTTCAATACGACGCTGATATCGGACTCGTTGACCTGGATCAGCTCGGCAAACTCCTTTGTCATCTCGCTGATAGTTGTGCTACGGGGAACAGTAGCCGGGAGACGCTGGCCATCCGCAAACTCCATGGACAAACCCTGCTCGGTGTTTGAGTTCGAGTTTTCAGTCTGGTTGTTATCGACTCCAGCACGGATGTGGTCAGCAAAGGCACGAATGAGTTGACGACCTTCATCACTGTCATTCATGCTGAGTAGCATGGGAATCCACTCGTTGCGACTGAAGCGACGAGTACCATTTGTCATCTGTAAATACATGTCAGTAAATGTACCCTCACTGGGTGTTGAAATGACGTACCGTTTCCGAATTGTAAGCAGCAGTAGACGCTGCAAAGACCTCGTTGTCGGATTCGGATGGCTTGGCCTTGGGGCTGGAACAGTGTCCGTGGGTGACAGCCATAGGAGCTTGCGTGTCGAATTTGGTATCGACGTGGGCAGAAGAGCGGTCGGTGTCGGTAGACTCGGTTCCTGTCTTGACATCAAGTTCGCGAAGATCAACCCAGGTACTGGCCACGACCTTAGAAGGCTCTTGGACCTTAACCCAAGTGTCTTGATCGGACTCGGGTGTGTGATGAAGATTGACCAAAGTGTTTTGTGCATTGGCAGGGGAACCGTTCTGGACGGGGGTAGAAGCTGCGGGTTGGGCGGGACGCTGCATCTGAGCAGCAGCGGTTGCCTTCTGGACATGAGGTCCTAGCCTGGTGTGGGGAGCAGGCCTGTAGCTGCGCGTACTGAGACTGGGCGAGGCAGGAGGCTCTGTCTTGACGGTGGGAGAAGGAACGGCCACGGCAGGCGCAGTAGGCACGGAATTGGCCGGAGCGCGGCTCTGGAGTTTGTGGTGGGGAGGAAGTCTTCTGGGTGGAGCCATGGTAGGAGGAGCCATGTTGTCAGCAGCGACGGAAGCAGGAGTGCGTCTAGGAGCGTTGATACTCGGAGGAATGAAAGGTTTGGCATCAGGCGAAAAGGTCGTGTGCGAGTGAGACTATCGAAGATGGAAAGCGTGAGTTCATGTTGCTGTTGCTGTCGTGGGGAAGTGAAGGAGATAGTTACATAGTTGTCTTGGTTGCTGGGAGCGTCCTCCATCTCAGTATCGCCGTATAGGATCAAGGGCTGTTCGTCGGCAGGACCAGCGCGGGGACTGGTCGACGCCGAGGACGGCTCGTCGTAGACAGAAGGAAGCAGAGCGATACGAGGAACAGACAGTGGGACTGGTTGATTAGTCTGTGCTGCAGCAGCAGCAGCAGCGGCGGCGGCCCGCATCGCCTGCAGTCTCTTGATCGCCATAGTGGGTGGACCTTGGTGACTCATGATGAATCGGGGTAGAGTAATCGAAAGATGATGGAGTGAGAATGATCAGTCAAGTTGGAAGTTCTGAAAGTTGATAAGATACGCGTGTTGGAAGGAGACAAAAGCAACGCGGCGGGAGATAGCAACGCTACTTCCTTGTCAACGGAAGAGGCAGGAGCTAGCTCAACCCTTCGATTGAGTCTTTCAACTCACGCAAAGCAGTATCTTGGACTCCGAGCAAGCACTCTTCCATTTGGAACAAAACATGAAGGTAGAAAGAATCGAACAAGGCAGGAACCGTACTGCTTGCCTATCTTTCACTGTTTCTACTCCCTGCCACTCTTCGCTCAACCTCGCTGTCACCTTCTCCATCAAAGGACGGCGACATAGCTGATTGAAGCTCCTCACCAATCCTTCTCTTGATATTCATGACACGCCGTCCTCCTTCTGTTACCTACGAGGAACATGCTCCATGTATCCTCCCGACTATCTTGCTTGAGATCACGATGTCTGACCGCTCGTTGGTACACGATGAGGAACACTAATGCATCAATGCACGTGGGAACAACGAGCAGATGTAGCTGAAGTTGAGGCTTATCCATATCTCCGCAAAGTCCGCCAAAACCAATGACGTCAAGATACAATCTGATCATTGATCAATCGCATCTTTTGTATCTCGGTATCCAACTTGTATGACTACTCGGTTTCTGGAGATATGGCTGGGAATACTTCGACCGACATCTTGATTGTGAGTATCTTGGAAACTTGGCTTCAATAAAGGCATATCTAACATCAATCATAAAGGCCGGCGCATTTGCTGCTTTCACAGTCGATCTGCTTGTCTACCCTCTCGACACGCTCAAGACCAGATGGCAATCACCCGACTATAATCGTCTCTACCTCGACAAGGCCACCAAAGCTGTCAACAAGCAAGTCCTCTTTCGAGGCCTCTACCAAGGCGTGGGCAGCGTCATCATAGCCACCCTTCCTTCCTGTAATGGTGCCCATACTCTTTCAATCAACCCACCTTCTAACCTTGTCCAGCAGGAGCCTTTTTCACCACCTACGAAGGTGTCAAGTCTGCGTTCACCAAGGCCAATCCCACCTTTGGCGGCTCCTCACCACTACTACCACAACCAATCATCCACTCCGCCGCCTCCTCGATAGCAGAACTGGTCTCCTGCGCCATCCTCACCCCCGCCGAAGTCATCAAGCAAAATGCACAAATGGTCGATACAGCCAAAGGCGACAAAGCAAACGCAACACTACAAACCCTCGCCAAATTCAGATCAAACCCACTGGCTTTGTGGAGAGGCTACACCGCGCTGGCAGGCCGCAATTTGCCATTCACCGCTTTACAATTCCCTCTATTCGAAAAGCTAAAGCAAGCGATCAAGAGACACAGAGAAGATAGAGGAACACGGACGAATACTTTGTTGGAGAATGGATTGATTACTGCGGCTAGCGCTGGTTCAGCTGGTGCGTTTGCTGCCGTCGTCACCACGCCGGTCGATGTAGTCAAGACTCGCATAATGCTTGCTGCTGCTTCCAGTGCAGCAGAAGACCAAAACAAGGATACGAAGAGCAAGTCAAGCGGTCCTGTGGATGCAATGGGTCGCTCAGTCAACAGCAAAGGAGAAGGTCTGAAAAACGTACTCCAAAACGGCAAAGAAGGCCTCAAAGACGCGATTCAGAACGTTGCAAAGCCTGTCTCGCGGAAAGGCAGTATTCAGATTGCGAGGGAGATTATCGCTGATCAGGGCGTCATCAAGGGACTCTTCCGTGGTGGTGCTTTGAGGGCTGTTTGGACTTTGATTGGGTCTGGACTCTACCTTGGTGTCTACGAGAGCGGTCGCGTGTATTTGGCCCAGCGACGGGGCGAGGATATTGATGAAGAGGATATATAACTCCACATAATGTATACACAGATAACATCCAAGAATGGTTGCATACCCCCGCTTCCTTCGAAGTTTCAAACTCGCCTTGAGTGTCTCTGATGCCACCAGAGATTGCGGAAGAGATCATGGGGCTATCGCTAGTGCCCCCAACAGCCACGAGCACTACGACTTCCCGTTTCTTGAACCTGAAGAACAGCATGGAGTCGCATGGGTCCTCGTCGGCTCCGGGGCGTGGGTAATTTCATTCCACGACCTCATCAAGGACAAGACCACGTACGGTCAGGAGCGCGATGAAACTGTTTGTATATTCTCGAGATTACCGCAGACTTGCAATTACCCGTCTATATGTCTTGGGCTGCTGATGCCACGTTGGCAGGCTCTCAAATCAAGCTTTGATATTTATCCAATCCACTGCTTTGAGTATTTGTCTTCTGCTGTTGGGTCTGTTGTTGCAATGCCTGTCTTTGCTGCTGTTGTTGTTGATGTTGCTGTGGTTGCATTGCAGGCATCGAGAAAGCAGAATACGTGTTTGGATTCGCTGGTGTCTGTGCCATGAAACTCGGTGGCGGGGCTATAGTAAAGGAAGATTGTCGTTGAGTAGGTGGAGGCAAAATACCACCATTTGTTGGTCTTTGCTGTGACCACGTCGATGTGTTTGGCGTGGTAGTTGCTGCTGACCAGTTTATGGTAGACGAAGTGTTGCTCGACCCTTGGTTGAGTGGTGGTGATGTGAAGCTGGGGTTCGAAGTTTGGCGAGCTGACGGTTGCAGAGGTGCATTGAAGGGCGACGCAGGTGTGAGCGCAGCGAAGGAACCGTTGAGGTCTGGCGTGACAGTCCTGGTGGCAGGTTGCAATGAGTTCAGTCGGGAGGCCGGAGTCGGAGCTGCGCTTGTCCAGGATGAGAAGGAAGAGGCTTGAGAAGCGCCAGGCATAGCAGTGGCAGTCGACGCAGGTTTGGCGGCAGGCGGACCCCAATCATTCATGATGTCTGGCGTGGCATTACCCTTTCTTCCACTGACCAAGCTTGCAAAGTCCACCTCATCACTGTTAGTGGCAGAGCTTGACTGGAAAGCTGTGGGTTGTTTGGCGCCAGATCTCGTCGAGCCAGCACCATTGGTCGAGCCAAGTTCTTGAAGTTTGCGAGTATGCTCTCTTTCGATACGCGAAGACAGAGACTTGATCAAAGTCATGAAAGCTTGGAATTGCTCAAGATCGAGAAGAGGTCCGAGACTGAAGCTCCAGAGAATGGGCAGAGCTTCCATGGCGAGGAAGTCCGCGTCTACAACCTGACCTATCTGCCTGAACACTTTGAGTGCAGCCATCTGCTATAGTTAGCCTCAAACTGTATAGATGACCGGCAACAAGACTTACCATGACACCCGGTTCCTTTGTCTTGATGCCCTTCATCAAAGGTACGACCTTCTCCTGAATGGTGAATTTGTCGAGCACCTGGCTACTGCTGAGTTTGGAAGAATCATGAGAGATAGAAACACCATCAAGGCCATCACTGATGGAGTCGCTCTCGGCAGTACCGCCACACAGGGTGTAGAAAGCTTCGAGGCCACGAATCTTGATGCCAAGAGAGTTTGTATGAGCGAAGACACCAGCGATCACAGGGAAAAGCTCGTTCTTGATCGTGCTGTAGTCGAGAGCAGGCAACACGGCAGGTAATGTCGAGAGAGCAGCGTCCACGACTGCGTGAGTTGGAGAGGCAAGACCCAAAGCAATGATGGGAAGAATGTCTGCAAGCATTAGCAAGTGGTGGGCTCTCGAAGGATTCTAAAAGATGCCTACCGTCTCTGAACTCCTTGCCAGAACAATTGTCGGTCACTACCTTCGTGTTTTCGAGCACAATCATCAACCCGGCCTCTTTGGTGGTGTCTCGCTCAGCAGGCGTTTTTGCGTTCGATTGTGTAAGGAATATATCGCGCAACCTAGGGATGACCTTGTCTGTGAAAACACGTTTCCCTGATGGCGAAGCCTTGACAATGGCAAAGACGTTCAATAAAATCGGGGCTAGCAATTCGCGGTCTTTCATTTCTTCTAGCAGAGCAGGTAAAAGCTTTCTCTCCAAGACTGACTTCGGAAACTGCGGCATAATCTTTGCAAGACCTCGCATGAACTGAGCCTTCTCACTGGGTGTCTTGGCCGGCAAGTCATCCAGGAAGCGTATGGTAGACACGAGGATGTTGTCAAAGTATTGAGCTTGTTGGAATTCCATGGCATTGAGACGTTGTGCAGGACGTCGAGTTATGAGGCGTGGTAGAAGCTCGGATGAGAGGTTTTTGGGCAACGGTACAGAAGAGAGAAAGTTGTTGCTTTGATTGGGTACGGAAGAGGACGAGGAGAAGGTGCGTTTGTAGGCCGAAAGACTTTCATGTGTTTCGATGGGACTTCGATGCGGAGAGTTGTAGAGAGCGATGATTAAAAGACCCAGAGAGAACATGTCAGCTGAAGGGTTGATGTTGTTATCCAGCACAAAATCGGGAGATGTGTAGTCAAGACTAAGCTGGACCGAGGGAGGAAGTCGAGGGTCGTGGTTCAAGACTTCAGACAGCGACAGGGATGGTGACGAGACAGAGTCGGAGAAGGGCGTGGAGAAGGCCAGACCTGAAATCTTCCAGTCCGATTTTGCATTGACAAAGATGGCGTCCGGTGTCAGATTTGCGTGGACCAGTTTCGCACTTTGATGTAAGAAGTCCAGGCCTTTTGCAATCTGCAGGAGACCCTTCTGTATTTCCAGCTCATCCAGCTCGAGTTCGCGTATTTCGTCATGACCATCGCTACCTCGAACAACGTAGCGACTACCCCTGCCAGCATTTCTTCCAGATCTTTCTTGGTCGTCCTTTTCGGCCAGCAAAGCAGCGAGAGACACAGTGACTTGTTCCGTCGCAAACATGAGACCACCACTACGCGTCTCCTCAACCGGTTCGGCCAGCTCCAAGACACTCGGATGTCGCAGGCGAGCCAGAGAGCTTGCCTCCTTCTTCAGACGCTCGATGACTTCCTCCTGAGCTCGCTTGATGGACGAAGAGTTGCCGCGACCTCCTCCTAAAGAACTGGCCGATGGTTCAAGAGACTTCTTGTCGAAGACAAAGACCGAGGCCGGTTTGCCAGTCGACTTTTTCTTCGCATCGAATATCTTCCATGGTCCAGAGGTCGAGCTAGGCTGGGGTGCAATAGTGTAGTTGGATCCGATGTTGGACGAGAAGGACTTGAGCGCTGACGAGAACATTGTGGCTGAGAGTGTGAGGGCTCAAGGTTCCATGAGAGACAGTCGGACGGCGGGCGATGCCTCTGAACGGCGAGGACGGCAGGAAAGAAGGCAGGAGCGAATGACTCGACAGCAAAGACAGGAGCGCAATTGCACATACGGCAACAATACGCAAGGACACCTTCAAGTTCAGGGTCCAACAACGAGGTCCAAGCGCTGTATAAGGACAGTCCAGGCACGACTCCGATGACGGCCGTGTTTTGGAGAGGCTTCCAACTTCCGGCCGCTCTCCCGCGCCCTGCCCGCAGATGCCGCCAGTGCCAGCGAGTTGATCTTGACTCATTGCGATTGACTAGATATCGCTCTATCCACCTGTCCCTCGCTCCTTCCTCACATCAACATGCTGTCTTCCTGTGGCTTTCGGTCAACGCGGGCGGCGTCTCGCACCTTCCACCTTGTCAATGGCTTCCAATCGCGTGGCTATGCCATGGCCGCACACGACATCTTGAATCCCAAGTTGACCACGATTGACAACTCCAAGTTGACCATCACCAAGACGACAACGCCCAAGGAGTTGATCCCCAACGATGAGCTGGTTTTCGGCAAGCACTTCACCGACCACATGCTGTCTCTCGAATGGACGGCGACCGACGGCTGGCAGCCTCCCCGTATTACTCCCTACCAGAACCTCTCGCTCGACCCGGCTACCTGTGTCTTCCACTACGCCTTCGAGTGTTTCGAGGGTATGAAGGCCTACAAGGATCAGAAGGGCAACGTTCGTCTCTTCCGTCCCGACAAGAACATGGCCCGTTTGAACAGATCCTCAGCTCGCATTGCCTTGCCCAACTTCGACCCCAAGGCTATGATCGATCTCGTCGCCCAGTTCGTCAAGACTGACGAGCGCTTCATTCCTGCGTGAGTACCTCTGGTCATGATATCCATTCATCTCTGACCTGATGTCTACAGTGCCCGTGGCTACTCCCTCTACCTCCGTCCTACCATGATCGGCACTCAACGTACTCTCGGTGTCGGTCCCCCCGGCTCCGCCCTCCTCTACACCATTGCCTCTCCCGTCGGTCCCTACTATCCTACTGGCTTCAAGGCCGTCTCGTTGGAAGCAACCACATACGCTGTTCGTGCATGGCCTGGTGGCGTTGGTAACAGCAAGCTCGGCGCAAACTACGCTCCCTGCATCGTTCCCCAAATGCAAGCCGCATCTCGTGGTTTCCACCAGAATCTGTGGCTGTTCGAGGAGGCTGGTGAAGAGTGGGTCACCGAGGTCGGAACCATGAACCTGTTCGCTGCCATCATCAACAAGGATGGAAAGAAGGAGTTGATGACGGCTCCTCTGGATGGAACCATTCTCGAAGGTGTCACTCGTGATTCAATCCTGGAGCTCGCCCGTGAACGTCTGGTACCTGAGGGTTGGGAAGTCAACGAGCGTAGATTCTCTGTCAGAGAGCTTGCCGAGGCCGACAAGGAAGGTCGCATGCTCGAGGTGTTCGGTGCTGGTACCGCTGCCGTCGTCAGTCCCGTTCGCAACATTGGCTGGAAAGACTCGATGATCAACTGTGGTCTCGAGGCTGACAAGGAGGCCGGCCCTATCGCCCAGCGTATGAAGGACTGGATCGAAGGGATTCAGTATGGTGACGAGACTCACCCCTGGAGCTTCAAGATCTAGATGAAGGACATCAGCAATGGCCTGCCATCCGGAACTCAATCTTTGTAGCGACACAGGACCAGGACGGTACATTCTCCGCACAGCCCAGCGTCGAGTTCAGAGGGGCGCGGGCATACCGTACCCACTTCATACCTCTGGTAACTTCAGGCATGCTCGGTCTACAAGTTTGGTACGGAGTCCCACGGTCAAGCATCATGACCATCGATTCAGACGTCTGAGTATCGATACAAAAGCGTGCCACAACTCTACGAGGTTTGTTTAATTCTCTGTTCATATAGATCATCTGCCTCCCTTTCAATAAAGCATATCTGCATCCCTTTCCAATTTTTCATCTTTTCTCCCATGAATGTCCGTCTTCCACATCACGAAAAAGCAGAGAGGGAGAGTCTGTGATTGGTCTGTGAAAACCAAATCGGTGTCAGTGTTGCCAGGTCGGAGTGCTGATGCCGATGCCTTGTCACTGGGCGTGTTGGCTGGATTTGAGTGAGGGCAAAGCTCTTGATCTGTTTGTGTACGGGCCTTCACTTTACATTGTCGTCCTTGGCAGTGTCGTGACGGTCCAACACGACAAATTCCCGCTCTTCGTACTCTTACCCCGGGTCTATACCAATGCTCGGCACACCAATTCTCCGCGCAAGACGTCTCGGCATCCACACAATGGCTCAGCAACCTCACCTCAGCGGTATGCGTCGCGCAGACTGGCTTTCGTGGCCCTTCAGCTCTATCCACCCCTTATCAACCGACCTCGACGGCGACGCCTACGCCCAAATTTTGGCAACCTTTGTATCCAACCGCCGCCCTATCGGTCCCCGCGCTGCTATGGCTTTGCCCAACTTCGAGGACAGTGACTGGGACTCTGCCTCGCAGGAGAGTGATGCTGTAAGTAAACAACACGCTCACGGACGTGCACAATGCGCAACAGACTGACACAAAAGCGCAGACGGTCGTGCCTATACTCTTCAACACCGAAAATGTCATGACTTCAGATGTGATCGTCCGCTTTGATGGTGGTCGTAGAGAGTTTCTCTCTGAGAAGCGCATCCTCAGCGCAATGTCTAGCTACTTCAAGCGCGCATTCTCGGGCAACTTTTCTGTATGTGTTATGGCCTGATACGTTCTTCTCGCATCAGCTACCATTTCCCAACTCGATCAACACAACTGACACTGGCTATGTATAGGTCGCAACCTCCGATGTGATCGACCTGGGCGACGAAGACAACGCCAAGCGCATCTGCGCCATGCTTTGCTTCATCCACGGAACCCCCTACACCAGACTCCATCAGCGCAATGCCGTCGGCCACAACCTTGACTTCCACATTGATCTCTACCTCCTCGGCGAACAGTTTGACATCCGTACTCTTCGTTACGCTGCTGCCACTACCTTCTTCAAGGAGGCAGTCTTCTTCATCGACACTCCTTGGTTCCCTATGGCTGTCCAGAGGGTCATTGGACCTGATGCTCCCGTCATGGCTGACCAGTATCTCGTTGAGGTCACCGTCAAGATCTGCATCGAGCACATCGAGAAACTGATCACTAACGAGCGCTTTGTTGAGATGGCTCATGCTGGTGAGCTCGCCGACGACGAAATGATGGTCAAGCTGTACCTCGCTCTCGGCCAGCGCGTCAGAGACATGTCTGGAAACGAGGCCAGGCAGTCAAACGAAGACCTTCTCTTGGAGGCTCAGGTGAACATGTTGATTGCCGAAGCCGCCATGGGCCCAGGTCCATACGAGAGATCGACCCTTGGTGGTCAGGTCATGGCTACCAGAGCTCGTAACGCTGCTTGGGCTGCTCAGACTAACCTTGCTGTCCTCGCTCCTCAGCCTACCTGGGCTCCACCTCCTGCTATCTTGGCTTCGCAGCCTCCTCCTGCTGCTGCTGCTGCTGCTGCTACTTCCTTGGCTGCCAACCCACCTCCTGTGGGTCACCCAGTTGTCGCTCGCATCAAGACCGGCTTCACCAAGACGTTCGTACATCCTTAATCTTTCCATGATGATGCACGCTGACCCCTTCCGTAGTGTCCGTACCAAGGCGTCTCTGTTGAACAAGGCACTGTTCTCGCGTCTCAAGAAGACCTGATCTGCTTGGCTTGCTTGAACGATCTGCTCAACGACTGCTCCGTCTCAACTGCAACTTGCTGTCATGATGCCGGTATTTTCAGGCTATGGAGCAGACAATCTTTGCTTGTGCGCGATCGCTTGGCATCACACATGAGATCTTTGACGTGTCTGCTTCCACGTATTGCTTTGAGGCGCTTGTTTTCTGCTACGGAGGGTGGACTGTTTCTCAGGAAGATGACGAGGGTGTAATACTACAGGGCCTTGATCCCTATGAACTGGAAGAGATGGTGATGGAACTTGGAGGCATGCGGTCATCAGTCTGACAAACGATCAGAGGAGAAGATTGAAGTGTTCTTCGCTTTTGCACTTTAGCTTATACTTGAGGCATTACTGCGTTGCTTTCCATCAAAGGCTCTTCTCCAAATAAAAAGTCATGCAATTTGCTTTCTACAATCTTCTGTTAATCGCTCCTCGACATGAGACTTGACCATCCTCTTGCTCTGTCTCTGACAACACCCATGTCATCCATATTCAACACACCAACTTCATTGTCCATCAACCACCGCCACAAACCTTCTTGCTTGTTCTTCTGCGTCGGTACATCCCAATACCTCGTCACCAACCCCCTGACCTTTGCTTGCTTCAACTGACTCTCCATGGCATCCGCAAATTGAGGATTGCTACCATCCACCAGAGCCTTTTCTTGCTCAGACCCCTCGGGAAAATCATATTTCCTCACTCTTGCATTGGCGACTTTTGTAGATGCGTAGTATGAGTTTGACACGTTGAACTTGAACATCGGAGCTGGAGCGTTTGTCCAATCGTCACCTTGACTCACTAGTCTTGTGGCTTCTGCGTCGAAGAAGATGTCGCGATGGGAAGAGTTGAGACTGAGGATTGAAGTGAAGAGGGTATTGCCACTCGCGACGATAGTCAAAGGCCGTACTACTCTGTGCGTACCGTTCCAGTGGGTGAGGAAGTTGAGATTGCGAAGAGGTTGTAGTTGAGCGTCCAACTCTGCAAAAGTTTCTTCGGCCGAGGTTTTGAGATCGACGAGCAAAACAATGCTCTGCTGGGGTGCTTTGTCGAAAATGCCTTTCCAGTCTTTTCCTTTTCTGCTGATGTTTTTGTTTCGCAAGGCGATGAGTTTTTGCAGTGGATCCAGGTACATTGCTCTCAAGGTTTTGGTCTTTTCTAGTCCCCAAGACTTGTGACCGACCAGCAAATCAGAGTTTTTGAGATGGACGTCTGCTTCTACGCTGATGCAGCCTGATCCTAAAGCTTCCCAGAGAGGAATGCGTTGGAGGTAATCGTTGTGAGAATGTACAGGCACCGGCAGTGCATTTTGGATTAGGGATTGAGGTCGCTCGTTCCAGATTTCTGGACTCCACCATTGGAGGTTGTGAAGAGCATTGTCGAGGTTGTCGTTGTAGCGTTGAGAGGTCGATGCGGTGTGTTGGATGTACCATGTTTCGAATATAAAGCTGAGTGTTTTTTTGCAATGTCAGGTTTGACAAGCTCTGAGAACGGTTTGGAGAGTTGACCTTACAGTGTTGTTATCACGCATACTACCAACAGAAAAACGATGCGTGCAACACTTTTTAGTTGTTTCCGCCTATCTACTTTTGTTTTGGTTGTTGTGCTTGAGTGCTCGTGATCATCAAAGGAGTGAAGAAACGGCATGGCTTCCATGTATTGTTGTCAGGTCTTGAAATTTCGAGCGAGCAAGGGAGAGAAACCCAGAGACGTTATATGGCTGCCTGCAGTGTCGGACTCACCAATCTGTTCCCTTACAGTCATGTTTCGGCGGGTTTTTTGTTGGTGAGCTCTTTAGCGGCAAACTCTAATGATCCTTCGTGTAACTGTTTTGCATCTCAGTTGAACTGTCAAGCCACAGATAAGCTTTCTTGAATACGCATGTCTCCAAAGGTCGCTGGCTATATCTAGCTCCAAAGGTCGTGTGACTGAGCTACCAATGTACTAGTAGTATCTGACATTCTTCGCCAAGTTTGATTGTCAGACCAGACGGATATTAATCTAAGGCTGATCGCACCTTTGACCTAAGTTGTCATGAGGCAGTGATATTGCAGTTTCGAATGTCAGAAGAACGGAAGGGGCTGATCGTCAGAACCTCCGGTAACTCTTTTCACTTTTTTCTAACATTGATCGCATCCGACTACAGAAATAATAGGATACCACTGAGGGCTAGAAATGAAGCCCGGATGGAAGGTGCTACTAGCGCATTGGTTCCACTCTTTGAGTCCTCGCTGTCGCCGTTACTCTCTGCAGTGCTGTTACCTCCCGGAGTGGTGCTGTTTCCAGAGCTGCTAGATCCCGAGCTGGTATTCCTCAGAACAGAGTCAAATTCTGCTCCCAACACGATACTACCATTTCCTCCAAAGAAGTTCCTAGCCATCTCGGGTGGTTCAGCAGTGATGTCACTACCACCGGTGACCGAAGAAGGATGTTCAGTAGATCCTTCGACACACTCCATGCTACCCCAGGTAGAATCGTACGCTTGATCCCAAACAGCAGCTTGATCAGCATACATTTTGGGAGTATAGAAAAACCTACAGTCTGCTGCTTCATAGATGTGCTGTAGTGGTGTCTCGCTCTCATCTCCCTGGCGGATATTGTTGCGGAAGTTGACGCTGGCTTTGACGATTAGGGAGCCACCGGCGGAGGCACGGTTGAGTGCCTGTTGAGTAGCTGAAACGAGATCGGTCCCGAACTTAGTGATAAAGTCGAGTTGATCAGGCAGAGGTGCAGCGGCGAGGACGGCAGTGACGATGGTAGACAGGATGAACATGCCCTGGACCTGAGAGCCTTTGACACCGCCAACACCTTGCATGGGTCCGGTTTGTGGTCTTCCGCCGACCACGACTGACCGTGTGGACATTTGGGAAGTCATGAATTCGCTGAAGATGGCGCAAGTTGATGCACAGTTTCCGTCATGTAAGAGGACTATATCCTCTGGTGAGAAAGTCTGGGGCTGTGTGATATTGTCCTCAGCGTAGCCAAGTATAGGCACCGTTGTTGCAGAGATGTCTGTGAGATTGAAGCGGTTGAGCGACGTAAACTCTCCTCTGTCATTTTGCTGTGGCCCAAAGAAGTCTTCCCAAGAGGTAAATTGCTCGTTATTCTCGGTCAGAGGTTCACGATAGTTGAAACTGTTGAGCACGACTCCATCAACACCGGCATTGACCAACTCGGGGTAAGCCGAACGAAGCTGTTCTATGTTCTCGCTTGCAACACGTCCTGTAAAGTTATGAAGCTCGCCTGCGCGATAATTGCCTGCACCATATGGAGTCTCGGTCGGGAAGAGTTGGCGGAAGATATCGTAAGCCAGGAAGATGGTGCCTCCTCCATTGCCGCGAAGATCGATGACGAGTTTGGTTCGGTTGTTCTCACTTGCAGTTGCCAATAGTTGACGTACGACGTTCTCGAATTCGATGAGGGAGAGAGAGGAGAAGCTGGTTACCGCAAGAATTGCAAGATCTGGATTGGCGTTTGAGAAATAGCCGGCAACACTCTTGTCCTCAGAGATGACGATAGGTCTTGGGTATGCTGGATGCGGTGATGCAACACCCTCCGTCGAAACAGGTTCGTAGGGAACAGCAGTATCGTTCAAAGTGGTCTGTGAAGGCGTTGTTCCAGAAGAATTCGCTTGCGCCAAGATCGTCTCTGTGAGATTGTTGTTGCAGAACCTATCGAAGAAGCTTGCACCATCTGTAAGACCCTCCAGTGACTTGTCAGACAAGTAGTGCGCTCTTGTCATCACATCACGGGTAGACTCGTTGGCAAAAGTGAGTACTGTGTTTTCGCCTTGATAGAATCTAGACAGAGCAAAGTAGCTCGTCTCGGTGCCCTGGAATGCCAATGCAGGAACACTCACGAATACCTGATTGTAGTTTGCATCGGGATCTTGGGACCGGCCATTTTGAGATGCATAGCTGTTGAGCCAGGTCAAAACATCCTCACCATTGATCTGGATGATAGGGGACGGACTGTAACCGAAATCTCCAGGATTGGTTAGGGCCGCTTCGTCACTGTATGCATAGACATCTGGAGTATCACTTTCGCCAGTCACGACCTGAGTGATCAACCTATTAGCTTGCGTGGTATTGTAAGCTATTTTGGACCAAACTCACGGAGATCAGCGAGAAGTATGCGGGAAACCCTTGATCGTCCAGATCTTCGTTGAGCAATCTGCCGAAAGCAAACACGTCCACGATATCAGGAATATATAGAAGATGACCATCGTAAGCGGAGGAGAGAAGTTTGAAGATATCCAGCTGGAAGCTGTATTCGTTGTCGTAGAAGTCGTCTTCGAGCAATGAGGTGAGCTTGTCCAGGCCGGCCAAAAGATCGACTCCAGGGTAAATGCGACCAATGGTGGGATCTTCAAGATATGTCAGGTCGCTCTGGAACTCAAGGAACGTCCGGAGGCCGCTGAGCTGGACCAGATCACCTTCCTTGGCTAATGGTACTGAGCGCAAACACGAATATGCGAGGTCGGCTGGGAAGATGGTGGCATTGTTCGTCGAAAGAGCGCTAAGCTGCGAGCATGGTGGCTGGTTAGATTCATCTTGAGCATGCACTAAGTCCACAATTGCAGCCAGTGCCACGAGTGTCGCTCTGAGCAACATGATAGAAGTCCTTGGTCAACAAACTTCTGTCTACAGGCACGGAAACCACATAGACGGAGTTGGAGAAGAGTGAGCAGGTTCAGAGAAAACAGAATAGCGGATCGTAGGATGCGGTATTGTTGTCTGTGCCCAGACTTGTTAGGTATTACCTTGTCTTGGTACCAAGAGCTCGAGTCAAGGCGTACCGTTCTACTCCTCACCTCGTTGACAGATGCTCTTGACTCTCTACCATCAGCTTATACTATGGGCTCCGAGCCTGTAGCCGCGTTAGTCTGATCCCGAGGGACTCGTCCTCGTTCGGACGTGTGAGAGCCAGCAAACTGCTGGATGAGGATGCGGCGTGCTGCCTGCGAATTTCAAAGCGGTATTCGATGTCTGGCAATTCAAGGCAGCGCTCTGTTGGTCATACGGCCGAAGGCTGCAGCGCAGTGGGTCTTTGTGCAAACAAAGCTCTTGGGACGTTCATCGAAGGATGAAGCGATCGAAAAATGATGTGCAAGTTGTTGTTTCTGTGGGGCGCCAGATCCTTCGATCTTCAACACGGTAGCCACTACAGGTGAGATGGTCTGGAGGCAGTGTAGTCACGAAACAAAGTACGAGGCATGTGCTCATGAGAAGAAGGACGAGCCAGCTATGGCGAGGATTTTATCATTCGCTGTCCATGACGCGACGTGCTGAGGTGGTTGGTCATGATATCGGAGGTGGCTGGCTCGGCACAGATTGGCGTCTCGAAGACAGGGTCGTACTGTATACAAGCAATTTTCGACTCGACGACGATATTGTGGCAGCACCAGTGACCTTTATCACCTTATCGGAACTTTAGCGCATCGAATACACTATCGTATGAATATTAATCTGTTTTTTAAATCACTTGTGAGCGAGACTGAGCTGATATGTACCAATATTTGTCCTTAGATCTGCCTTGTCAAGAAGGCCCACTCAAACAACACGCAAACAGGGAGAGCAATGTCATCGATCAAGTTTTCATCACGTGAATATCGTGATACCATGATATCGCACTACAACTGGTATTGCTATATACAGACAAATGTACTGTAGTCTATCTACGCAAGAACGAATTAATAGAGAGCATGTTGCTGTCGACGTGGTGGACTCGATCGAGGGACAGGGTGGTAGTCTACAACGAACTTTGACGCTTGTATCGAGTCCGTGCGATCTGCGGTCTTGGTCATGACGCAAGAGTTGTTCAAAATAAGACAATGAGAAAGGCTTCATATTCCAGTATAGAGAGAGGACTCGACTCATGAAAATACACAAATTCATCTGAACTCAAGAGCTCTGAAGCAATTCCGCATCAAAAGCTTTTCGTACAAATCCACCAACAACCGATCAACCGAAAAGCTTGTCCAAGACCTTTTCGAAGTAGGAGCTGCGAATGAGATGTTAGCCGACGGCATCGCACAAAAATAGAAAGGGTTACTTACTCGCTGGGCGCAGAAGCAACAAAGTTAGCCTGGTATTCCTCAATCTCCTCGACTTCACCTCTGAGATCCACATCCACCGCACGAGTCCACTTGGTCTTCTTGATCAGCTTCCACCCAACAAACAAGATTGGGAAAAGTCCAATCATGAAGTAACTGAAGATGAATGTTGGAACACTCCACTGGCCGGGCAGGAACACGGTGTATCCTCCGACAAAAGCCATGACGGTGCAGCCAATGAAGCCATACCACGCAAGGTAAGGCTGACCCCAGCCCTTGAAGGGAAGATTGTTGCGATCGAATCCTTGCGCGTCGCAAGCACGCTTCCAGAAAATGAAGGTCATACACATGACGGCGTAGTTGATGAGCTGAGAAGCAGTGACCAGATTGATGAACCATTTCAGCACCGTGGCAGCGTTTTCACTGACTTGCAGGAAAGCAAGGAGAGCAATGCACAAAACGACGAGGGTGCAGTAGATGGGCACACCTCGACGCGTGGTACGTGTAAGTATTCTGGGTGCTTTGCCTTCGAGGGCTAGACCGTAGAGGGAGCGGGATGCGCAATAGACGTAACTGTTACCGGCCGAGAAAGCACTTGCCAGAACCATAGCGTTGACGATGGACGGAAGTACGCGAATGCGTAGACGGTCCATGGCAACGACGTAAGGTGATGCTGCTGCACCAGGAAGGCCAGCGGTAGTGGCGGCTATCAGCTCTTTGTCGTTGTACGGGACCAGAATGCCGACACAGAGGGATCCGAGCATGAAGAAAGTGGTCAGACGGTAAAAGACAGCCTTGAAAGCTTTGGGCATAACGACACGTGGGTTCTCGGCCTCACCGGCTGCCATACTGACATAGTCGGGTCCAGCAATGGTGAATGAAGCCTGAATGAGGCACTGAAGGAAACCAAGGAAGTACCCAAGATTACCGCCGTAGTATAGCTGAGCAAAGGCGCCCTGTGAAAGATCTTGTTAGCATGATTTCATTACTTCTGGGACTGGTACGTACAGGTTCATTCCAATATCTAAAGCCAAATCTGTCGCCAAGCGGGTTGCCACCCAACATGACAATGAAGGTGAAAATGATGAGACCTAGAGTGCGTGTCAGATCGGCTCATAGACATGGATTCGGACACCTTACCTATGATCAGCAACACTTTACCCAGAGCTGCCCAGAACTCGGTTTCGCCATACCACTCGACAGTCAGGACATTGATCAAGCTGACAGTGTTAGCAGTGTGACTGATACTTATGATAAGGGTACCCACGCATAGAGCACAATGACAATCGCAATGATACCACCAGCTGGAACAACATCGCTCCAGTAGTGAATGACGACGTTGCAAGCGGTAACTTCGAAAGGGACCTATACGCTGTTAGACTCCTGAAACAAACAGACCGCGATATTCTTACCAAGATTGCTTCGAATACGAAGAAGTTCCAGCCGGCTGCAAAGCCCATAGCTTCGTCCATGTAGCGACTAGCGAACCTAATGAAGGGGGATGATATAGGGAGGTAGGTGACCATTTCGGCAGTGCCTAGAGCACCGAGTCAGCACGTTGAAAGAAGGTAATCTGACTGGTCGCATTGAGCTAGTGAATGTCGCTTGAGGTTTGACGAGGTAACAGCACTACACACGGGAGGGAGGAAGGATAATTTTTCGTACTTATAGTGACGGCAAGGATGAACGAGCACCTGCAATCCGAATTAAATTGATTCTTGACTGTAAACTCTTTACGCTCTTGGATTCTCGAATCACCGCTGAATGGTAGAGTTTTGTGATGCCATTATAGAAATGCTTGGTGTGACTTACCATATGCTGAATGCCAGGAACAGACTGGCAGGCCCACCGTTGAGGAGACCATTTCCGATGGAAACGTAAAGAGCAGTACCGATGGTACCTCCGATACCAATGAGTTGAATGTGACGAGATTTCAGACGTCGATGAGTTCCGTCCTTGGCCAGAGAGATTGAGTCGATGGAACCTCCAGACTCTCCTCCATATTCGGGCAAGCTAATAGTCTCGACACCCGTCTTGGATGACCGACGATATTTGACAGCATCTCCACTGCCAGAAGCTTCGACGCTGGACGAGTGGATGGCGTCGTGTGACAGAGAGGACCTCATATTGTCAGCTCAAGCCGGACTTCTATCCGGTGGGTTGCTGTCTCTGTTTTATAGGTAGTGGCGGGTGGCTTGTTGTAAGGCTTCAGACCCTGGGGGCGTTTTCAATGGATCTGTTTGAGGAGAAGGCAGAAAAACTGAGGCACAAACTCCATGAGATGGAGTCGACGCGATAGAGGAGGGGAGCGACTGATTTATCGAAGAAACCAGGCCTGTAGTTATTCGCCAAGTATACCAAGGCTTGGACGAATTCTCACAGGGCGACAGCGACAGTGAAGAGGATTGACAAGTTAATGCGCAGTCCAATGACAAGATAAGAGGTGGAGAGGTTCGAGGGACAAGGCGACAAAGGCTTTTCTCTCCAGATCGATTGCCGCAGCAAGGTTTCAACCCGCGTTTACAAACCGAGCACCGAGGTACGGAAGGAATCATAAAGCTTTCTCCCTATGATTTGCATGTTCTTTTCCTTTCCTTGATTCTCAACGCGTCGAGACCGCACTAGGGCGGGCGACATTGAATCTTATCTTGAAAGACACGAGCGAACGGCTCCGCCTCTCCACGTTTTTGTGAAGCTACGAGTGCCAAGGCGTTTGCACATCAGACGTTTTTTTCCATAGCACTTAATTATTGGAAATGACGGTGGGAACGGCGTTCATGATGCTGTTCTTGATAATAATACATGATGGAAGCTGTAAATTCCTGCTGATTGAGACCACTATCCTATGCCAATTGTCCACAAGCCTTTGTCAAGTCTGCTCACATGTGTCAAGAATCAAGACGTGGAGGCTAGCACAGCGAACGGACCCTCGAGCTTCCCCAGCCAAGGGCTCGGGACCAGCGTGCCATGGCCATGTTTGTCGCTTGACGTTCCTGCGAACACCGAACATGCAGAGAATGTGATTTTGCCCTTGTTCTGATCAGTCTTGAACCATTATGAGATCGGCTATGTGAACGTGCACTTCACACCAGCGGAGAAGCAAGCCTGAATCTCCGAGATCATCGAGTCGATCATCCTTTCTGACCTGCGAGCCTTTTGCTGCCCTTGACCCTTTGTCTTTCCCGGCTTTTGACCTCTTCCCAATTGTCAGGAATCCACTCACGCAGTTTGGGGTTTACCTCGTCCGATTCAGTGATGCAGAACGCGAACCGACCTTGACACTCAGCATCCATTTCTGGCTCGTCGCAGATGTACGGCTCGCCATCTTCGAAGGCAACAAACCTTTTCAAGGCTCGGACGACCTCGTTTAATTTCTTGCTTTCGAGTTTGGCGAGCGGCGTGAGGATTGTGGTCTTGATGACATACCAGGCGTGTTCTTCGGCATTCTCGATAAGTACTTTGGCGCGACGAGTATTGAACTCATCTCCTTTGCCAAAGAATAGCAGAGCAATGTTTGTAAGTGTTTCTCGGGTTTCGAGACTGTCAGCATTGGCATCTGAGAGGGCTGGTAGGTATTCGGACATGAAGCGACGGAACATCGGACGTTTCTCCATTCGACTGCGCATTTCAGAGTTGTCCCTTCTCTTCTCAACCAACTTGCGATTGAAGAGCCTGGAGCTCACAGCCCAGTCAAAGAGTTGGCGTTCGGACTCAAAGCCTCGATGGTATCTGTGCTTATCAAGACCCAGGAACTGCATGACCAGTTCTGGATCCTTGCTCAAGAAGACCTGGCTCGCGGACCAATTCTGCGCTTCCTGTTCTTTGATACGTACAAACAAGCCGTCGTTCTTGGATGTGAAGCCATAACTGTAGTTGAAAGACCCAAGTATAGAGCCAAGGTCGCCGTAGCCATGCAGGAAGATGGTCCAGGCGAGGTCGCCAGGAAGACAAACCTGGATGTCGATTTGAGCAAAAGTCTGGGGAGCTTGTCTCGCATTGTCAAGAGGAATAGCAAATGAGTAGGTGGGGTGGTTGATCTTGGTACGAACTGCTCCGAGATCGAGAGCCACCTGTTGAACGGGCAAAAGCATCGACGATGGCAGTTCGATGACGAGGTCGACATCACCAAAGTCGGATTTTTCAGGAGCTTCGGGCATGGCAGTAGCGCCGACGTAGCGTGTCGACAAGATCTTGAGAGTGGTCTGTTTGACTTGTTCATAGACGTGTTGTTTCATACGAGGGACAGGCAAGTCCGGAAAAGCTCGACCACCCATGATTGTTGGAACGAGATACGGAAGCGAGGGAGAGACAGGAGCGCAGTGATTGATATCAAGTCATGAAAGATGTGTGCGTTGAGGTCAAATAATGAAAGGATGATGAGTTGGTAGGATTGAATGTCAGTCCGTGGTGTTGAAGCGAGGTGACGAGATATGAGCAGCGACCCAGTTGATGAATCGAGCTAGAAGGTGCCGGAATGACGAGATGACGAAACGAACTCTCACTTGTGTGGCTACTCGAAAGGCTTACACATGTCTAGAGAATAAGACTACACGACGTGGTGTGATTATCGCCAGGAGATGTACTTGTAGAGGTGAAGCGGCAGATGGCAGCGGAAACAGAACTGAGCCGCTTGTGACAGGACGAGCAAGCAGTGAGAGAGAGGCTTTGCGGCCTGCCCCGCGCCACGAGCAAACTGCAGGTGCATTTGACTCTTTGAGTACGTCAGGGCTTGGCGCGTGCTTTGATCTTGCTACTCGTTCTTCCGGCCTGCCGAACAATAACTCGACCACCGACCGCAGGCGAGAGAGATTGTGCTGGCATATTCATAGGCGCAGACTGAGCCGCATCTTAGAACTACAGAGCACCGACTATCCGACAGCTCTTCCCATCCGTATTCCGCTGGTTGCCGTCCATCTGCACGCGTGAGAAGTCCAGCAGCAGCAGCAGCAGCAGCAGCGACACTACCTGGACGTCCACAAGCACGCACATTCCTACTTTGGCTGCATCGCACCTTCCCATCTCGCAGCTGCTCTGACACACGATGGATGTAAGTTTTCCATCTGGTCCCTTATGCAATCCAAAATCAACATCAACAGTCCTCTTCATTGTCGCCCGTTCTACTCCATCCCACCCCCGTGGCACAGCTTGCAACTGTTATATGACAGAAGCTTGCCTTGCTAATCACACACAACAATGTCGTCACCGCCTCTACGAAAGGATGCAGTCTTCAGCCACAAAGCACTAACACTACGACCGCAGCTCGGCCATGACATGCTGGTCGACTCAGACTACGACGAGAAGCAGCAAGATGTCGCCATAATATCTCCCGAAGACGACTCAATGGAAGAGGTCGCTGTCCAAGAGCCCCGCGCCGACGACTATGCCGCCATGCGTGAACGCTTCCTGCCCGAAGACCCCGACCTCGAAATCGAGTCCGAGATAACCTACACATGGGACATCAAAGACTGGCGCACGCTGCCACGCAGACACCACAGTCCAACTTTCCACACTGGAGACCACCCCTGGAAGGTCCTCTTCTTTCCCGCTGGTAACAACGCCAATGAGTCTGTCAGTTTCTATCTGGAGCAGGGCTATGGAGACGAGGACAAGCCTCCGGCAGACTGGTATGCCTGCGCTCGCTTCATGCTGGTCCTGTGGAACCCGAACGACCCATCCATCTATCTACACCACGAGGCTCAGCACCGCTTCAACCAAGAGGAGGGCGATTGGGGCTTCACACGCTTCGCAGACAAGAACAGAGTGTTTGCTACACGTTTCGACGACAAGGACCGCCCTCTCGTGGAGAACGACTCTGCAAAACTCACGGCATATGTGCGAGTGCTGAAGGACCCAACCGGTGTTCTTTGGCACAACTTTGTTAAGTGAGTCAAATCCCAATTCTCCGCGCCTTGTTGCCGTTGTCTACCATCATCTTTCTCCTCCAACGTGCTTCTCGTTCGTCACAGCTTGGAGCTGTGGCAGAGATCGTCAGATGCATTCTCGTTCTCGCACCTCTCCGGCAACTTGCTTGTTGTTGCAACATCTCAACGATCTCTATCAGTGGCTACAAGGCCTGCTGCCTTCCTCCTTGTTCAATCGGCACGATCTTTCATACTCATATCAACAAGTCTTTCGCGTCGTTATATGGCTAACATTCTGCTACAGCTACGATTCTAAAAAAGAGACAGGCATGGTTGGTCTACGCAACCAGGGCGCCACTTGCTACCTGAACTCCCTGCTCCAATCCCTTTTCTTCACCAATGCTTTCCGCAAGGTATGTGCGTCTTGACCGGTGTTCATACATTCCCGCTGACAGGGATCGTCCAGGCTGTATACCAAATACCCACCGAGAATGAAACAGACGCCCGGAACAGCAGTGCATGGGCCTTGCAGCGTCTCTTCTACAAGTTGCAAACAGACCCTGTCGCCGTTTCCACCATGGAGCTCACCCAGTCGTTCGGATGGGAGTCTCGTCAAGTCTTCGAGCAACAAGACGTCCAAGAACTCTCTCGCATCCTGATGGACAAGTTGGAAGAAAAGATGAAGGGCACCGAGGCTGCAAACGTCCTGGCCGAGATGTTTGTTGGCAAGATGAAGACATACCTCCGTTGCATCAACGTCGACTACGAGAGCTCTCGTGTCGAAGACTTCTGGGATCTACAACTCAACGTCAGCGGCTGCAAGACCCTCGACGACAGCTTCCGCGATTATGTACAGGTCGAGACTCTCGAAGGCGATAACAAGTACGCCGCCGAAGGATACGGCCTGCAAGACGCAAAGAAGGGTGTCATCTTCGAGAGCTTCCCCCAAGTCCTGCATCTTCAACTCAAGCGCTTCGAATACGATTTCGTCAGGGATGCAATGGTCAAGGTTAACGATCGATACGAATTCCCTGAGGTCTGGGATGCTTCACCTTACCTTTCAGAGACAGCCGACCGTTCCGAGCCGTACATCTACCGTCTTCATGGCGTGCTCGTCCACAGCGGTGACATGAACGCCGGCCATTACTATGCTTTCCTCAAGCCGACAAAGGACAGCCCATTCTTCAAGTTCGATGACGATCGCGTCACTCGTGCTACTCCCAGAGAAGCCATGGACGAGAACTTTGGTGGTGACTACGCACCGACCGGCCCTAACGGCGCTACAAAGATGCAGAATCCCTTCACTCGTCAATGGTCGACCAAGCGTTCCATGAGCGCTTACATGCTTGTTTACATCCGCGAGAGCCGCATCGATCAAATCCTTGGAGATAGCGACAGCATTCAGCCCCCAACTCACCTACCCAGCCGTCTTGCCGAAGAGCGTGCTGCACTTGAACGCAAAAGAAAGGAGCGCGAAGAGGCTCATCTGTACATGAACGTCCAAATTGCCACGGAAAGTAACTTCCGCTCATACCAGGGCTTCGATCTGGTGGATTGGAAGTCGACTGACCAGGACGAGGCCGTTGCTCCCAAGGTACTGAGATGTAAGAAGGCAATGACCTTGTCAGAATTCAACGAGCAGGTTGCACAAGATATCGGAACTGATGCTGACCTGATCCGTCCGTGGGTCATGGTCAACCGCCAGAACGGCACAGTCAGACCTGATCATCCTTTGAACTACGCGACAATGACACTCGAGGAAGCGAACGCCAAATTCTCGACCAGAGCAGCATCATTCCGTCTTTTCATCGAACAGACCACCCGTGGCGAGGACGGCAAGCCGGTATGGGATGCTGACGTTACGCCAGCCTCTGCTCCCACTCAGGAGTCAAAGCCTATCATTGTTTTCCTCAAGCAGTTTGACCTTGAATCGCAGACGCTCAAGGGTATCGGCCACGCATATATGCTCCAAAGCCAAAAAGTCCAGGACCTTGCAGAACCGATCCTGAAGCTCATGGGCTGGGAAGCAGGCACCTCGCTCAAGTTGTTCGAGGAAATCAAGCAGAATTTCATCGATGTCATGAAGCCCAAGCAAACTCTCGGACAATCCGAGATCCAGGATGGCGACATTATCTGCTTCCAGAAGATGCTTCCTGTGGAAGATGTGCAAGCATTCCAACAAAAGTATCCCTCTGCCTACACTGACGCAGTTTCCTTCTACGACTATCTGCTAAATCGTATTCGTGTATTCTTCCTACCCCGTCCTGGAGCACCGCAAAGCATTCCTCTTGAACAAGGAGCAGACGAGTTTGAAATGTATCTCTCAAGGAAGGACAGCTACGATACGTTGGCGACCAAGACAGCACAGCACTTATCGACGATTTCAAAGGCAGAGGTCGACCTTACTCATCTGCGCTTCACCACCGTCAATTCCCAAAGCGGCAAGCCTAGAGGGCCTGTGAAACGCACACCTACAACGACAGTACACACCATTCTGGCCGGCGTTGGTAACGGTGGATATGGCGGCGGTTATGGCTACACCAACCAGTCACCCGACACATTGTACTACGAAGTTTTGGAAATGAGCTTGACAGACTTGGAACAACGCAAGACTGTCAAGGTGACTTGGCTGCCCGAGGGCGTGACCAAAGAAGAAACCTTTGACTGCCTTGTGCCCAAGGTTGGTACCTTTGAGGACGTTCTCCCAGTATTCCAGAGGAAGGCCAAACTACCGGATGAGCTGATTGAGCAGATCCGCTTCTACGAGGCTCACTCTGGCAAAGTGTATAAGAACCTCAGCCTGGACACACCCGTATCGACGTTGAATGAATTCATGCAAGTTTATGCAGAGCGCTTACCAGAGGAGGAACGAGAGGCCGAGAAGGAGGGCACACCACCCCTCATTGGATGCTTCCACTACGACAAAGAGCCGGCGAAGCCGCACGGTGTCCCCTTCATCTTCCTAATGAAGCAAGTAAGTGATAGCACAGGAACGACAAGGAGAGAAAGGCAGCACTAATGCGTATGAACAGGGTGAAATCTTCAAGGACACCAAGGAGCGATTGTCGAAGCGTACGGGCATCAAAGGCAAGCAATTCGAGAAGATCAAGTTTGCAATGATTCCTCATGGAAATTACTCGCGGCCAAAGCCTCTTGAAGATGGTAAGTTTGGTGCTTAGACTTTGGACACGAATGTAGCTGACAAAGCTTGCAGACGATATTCTTTCAGAACACTTCAGCGAGGGCGACCAGCTCGGCTTGGACCACGTCAACAAGCAGCGCAACGCATGGCTAAAGTACGAGAGCCTGAACATCCGATAGACGGAATGTGGATGTGGATGGGATGGTGGGAGAAGGATGACGGCAGCAAAGCACATGAACATGATTGTGTAGAGGAACATCAATAGCACGAAATGGGATGTCCAAGGTTATTTGGCGAATGAGGCCGAATTGGAGAGGGCAGACTGCTCTGTTCGGCGACGTGACGAGCAGGGCCATGACTTGGTTCTTTGGTAGAGGATAGCATACAAAGAAGGATACAACAGCAGAGATTGAAGGCACGTTGACGAAGGGGCATGAATGAAGTTGGATGAGAAAGCAAAGACGAAGATGGATTCTGAGCATAAAAATCAAGCTTTTGATTGTGCACGTGGAAACAGGGTCCGGTAATATGCGGAGGGCCCCGGCACGCGATTCAATGACGAATGCACGGGGGAGACGGTCGATATGGATCGTGATAGAGTGGATGAGATCAGGCAGATACAAGACGAGAGAGAACAGATTCGGTGGACTGCAGAAGCTTGCTACACAGGAATATTGTCTTTGTTGAAGTCGGACAAGCAACCCCTGGGATTCAGAGAGTGGGCCACTGGCGGATGGTATTGTTTGAGGAGTTGGCGAAGAATGCTGCAGCTCTTCGCCTTCAACGTTTCGCTTGCTCTGAGCATGTGCAGTCCTGGACAAGAGTAAGACACTTTTCACTATCATCAGCCTCTCCATCAAACAGAAGAACGAGACAGTTTCAGCACGCGCATCCCCAGTCCTGTCAGCGTCATCATCGCCAACACTCGCGCAGCCCCCTCTTGTTCAACCGAGGCGCCATGGTCGGAACCAGCGCAGCCAACATGTCGCTCCCTCAGCGAACCGCATCGACTAGGGCCAGTGTCCTGACCGACGGAATGGAGAAGCCGCTGTTGGACAACCGCACATACCGCGTCGTGCGACTAGCCAACGACCTCGAGGCCCTGCTGATCCACGACCCGGACACGGACAAGGCCAGTGCCGCCATGGACGTCAACATTGGCAGCTTCAGCGATGCCGACGACATGCCCGGCATGGCCCACGCCGTCGAGCATCTGCTGTTCATGGGCACCGAAAAGGTATGCACAAGTGTCGATTTCATGTGGCGAGAATGAGCGACGTCGACTGAGACCTTTGTGCTGCAGTTCCCCGTCGAGAACGAATACAACCAGTACCTGCAACGATACGGTGGCTACTCGAACGCTTTCACCGCTTCGTGCGACACAAACTACTACTTTGAGCTCTCGGCCTCGTCAACCGCCACCGCCACCACCAGCCAGCCCCCGTCGCTCGCCAGCACCGATGCTTTGCCCATTGAGAAGTCGCAAGCCCCGCTCTACGGCGCCCTCGATCGCTTTGCCCAGTTCTTCGTCCACCCGCTGTTCCTCGAAGACACGCTGGACCGCGAGCTGCGTGCCGTCGACTCGGAAAACAAGAAGAACCTGCAGGCCGACAACTGGCGCTTGCACCAGCTGAACAAGAGTCTGTCCAACAAAAAGCACCCCTTCAACAAGTTCTCCACCGGCAACTACAAGGTCCTGCACGATGACCCCATCGCTCGCGGCGTCAAGATCCGCGACGAGTTCATCAACTTCTACCGCGCAAACTACTCGGCCAACCGCATGAAGCTGGCTGTTCTCGGCCGTGAGAAGCTGGATGAGCTGGAGTCATGGGTCACCGAGCTCTTCTCCGATGTGCCCAACCAGAACCTTCCCAAACTGCGCTGGGACGACGTACCCGCCATGACCGAGGCCGAGCTGGGCACCCAGATCTTCGTCAAGCCTGTCATGGACATGCGCCTACTCGACATGCACTTTGTCTATGCCGATGAGGAGAACCTCTGGGAGTCACAGCCTGCCAAATACCTCAGTCATCTCATCGGCCACGAAGGTCCCGGCTCTATTCTTGCATACATCAAAGCAAAGGGCTGGGCTAATGGTCTCGGTGCTGGCCCCATGAACATCTGTCCCGGCACATCGCACTTCTCCATTTCTATTCGCCTCACCGAGGACGGCCTCAAGCACTACCAGGACGTTGTCAAGGCCGTTTTCCAATACTTGGCCATGGTCAAGGAGCAGCCCCCACAAGAGTGGATCGTCGACGAGATGGCCAAGCTCGCAGAGGTCGACTTCCGCTTCCGCCAGAAGATCCCTGCTAGCCGCACTGTCAGCGCTCTGAGCGGTGTCATGCAAAAGTCGTTCCCTCGCGACAAGCTGCTCAGCGCTCAGTCTCTGATCTGGAAGTTCGACTCGGACGCCATCCAGCGCGGTCTTGACTACCTCAGACCCGACAACTTCCGCATCACCCTCGTCTCTCAAGAATATCCCGGCAACTGGGATCAGAAGGAGCAATGGTACGGTACCGAGTACAAGTACGAAAAGATGCCTGAGACCTTCATGAAAGACCTGGAGACTGCCAGCAAAGCTCCCTCATCCCAGCGTCCATCTGAGTTGCACATGCCTGCCAAGAACGAATTTGTGCCATCTCGTCTCGATGTTGAGGTCAAAGAGGTCGAGAAGCCTGCTGTTGCACCAAAGCTTATTCGCAACGATGTGAACGTTCGTACATGGTGGAAGAAGGACGACCAGTTCTGGGCACCCAAGGCAAACATCAAGGTCTTCTTCCGATCACCTCTGGTCAGCTTGTCTGCCCTTACCGCCGTCACCACTCAATTGTACAAGGATTTGGTCGAAGATTCTTTGACCGAATACTCGTACGATGCAGAGCTCGCCGGCCTCGAGTATGATCTCCAAAATCATGCTCAAGGCTTCGACGTCACAATCAGCGGTTACAACGACAAGATGGCCGTTCTTCTCGAGAAGGTCTTGGTGGGCATGCGTGATTTGGAGGTCAAGGACGATCGCTTCGACATTGTCAAAGATCGCACTCTCCGCGGGTGGCGCAACTTTGGCTACCAACAGCCATACCAGCAGATCAGCACCTATAGCAGATGGTTGGTGGCTGAGAAGGGCTTCATCGTTGACCAGCTGCTAGAGGAGCTCGATCAAGTCACTGCCGACGACGTCCGCAAGTTCTTCCCTCAAGTTCTGAACCAGATGCACATCGAGGTTCTTGCCCATGGTAACATCTACCGTGAAGATGCACTCAAGATGACTGATCTGGTTGAGTCTATCTTGAAGCCCAAGACTCTTCCTGCTGGCCAGTGGCCTCTTCGTCGCTCCATCGTTCCTCCCCATGGCAGCAACTTTGTCTACGAGCGTACGCTCAAGGATCCCCAGAACGTAAACCACTGTATTGACTATCAGCTGTTCACGGGTCTCCTGACTGATCGCGCCAATCGTGCCAAGCTTCTGCTGTTTGCACAAATGTCAGATGAGGGCTGTTTCGATACCCTGCGCTCAAAGGAGCAGCTCGGCTACGTTGTCCAGTCCATGCCTCTGATGCTTACTGCCATCTCTGGTTGGCGTGTGCTGATTCAGTCCGAGAGATCACCCGAATATCTCGAGAAGCGCATCGACGTCTTCCTGAACACCTTTGGTGACAACCTCAAGAACAAGATGAAGGATGAGGAGTTTGAGTCGCACAAGACAGCCCTGATCAACAAGCGCTTGGAGAAGATGAAGAACCTGAACCAGGAGAGTGGTCGTTTCTGGCACCATGTCACGAGCGAAGCCTTTGACTTTGAGCTAGGTAAATCTCATTATTTATACCCTACTGACTACTCTTACTGACCGTATCAACAGTCTACCGTGACGTCGAGCACATCGAGCCCATCACCAAGCAAGACATGATTGACTTTTTCAATACACACATCGATCCAGCCTCCAAGACTCGTGCAAAGATCTCTACCCATCTGCTTGCGCAAGCAAAGTCAGAAGATGGCAACAGCACCAAGTCTTCGACGGAGCAGAGCGGAGAGCCTCAAGCTGTCAAGGACGAGACGGCCAGCGCCACGAGCTCGGAACTCAGAGTTGAGGAACAGAAGAAGGAAGTCGGCACTGCCATCAGAATCGAAGACGTCAGAAGTTTCAAGGCTAGCATGCCTCTTTCGGAAGCCATGAGATCTGTCAAGGACCTGGCCGAGTTTGAGGATCTAGGTGCCAAACTCTAGATGATATTCTCCTCTTTGACATTCTGCATTAGTGGGCTTAAGTTTTTTTCGGATATGAATTGCGAGTTTAATGACATGGTTGCATGAATGGTGGGACAGCTGGGTCGTGTCTTGTTTTTTTCATAGTTTATGAGTCTCTGCTCTTTTTCGGATCCACAGAAGAATAGAGGATCTTCTTCTAAGCCTCCTTCTGGAGCTACTGAATGCGAGTGCTTGCGAGTGATTGCGATGTGATGCGCTTGCCGCTTGTAGATTTTGATTGAGGAAGCAGCCCCTTCACTTCTTGCTCAGCAGCCTCTCGGCTTGAGCACCTTTTGTAGCTTCTTTGTTCCGCCCTCTTCGCCGACGCAAACAACTTTCAACACTTTACGGCATCTGGGTATCGTCGCTTCAACCGTCAAACCCTCGCAGCATCGATTTCACTGTGCGTCGAAGGAACTCACCAATCCAGCAAAGCCACCTCGTCTTCTTCACTCGACCGTCGTCGTCTCAAGCCTCTGCGTCGACAATCCCGAGAACCATCATTGCCATCCACTGTCACGCATCGTCCAAAAGCACAAAAGCACACCCGCACCTGTGCTGCCGTGTACCTGCAGTCGCTGCTGTTGACTCTTGCGCCTCCTCGTCAGAACATGCTCACTCCAACACCGGTGCCATCCTCCACTACTCCTTCTTGTGAAGTTGTTTACTCAGAACAAATGGTACCATCTGCAGATCAGCCGTCTAGCGGTGCTGTCAGCGACTCTTCAATAGCCGAGCCGTCTCATGGTCTCGTTCTTCCGAACGAGCTTCTTACCATGATTGCTGGCGAGTGCGACCCAGCCGATCTGAAGAACATGCGCTTGGCCTCGCGACTCATGCACCAAATCTCGACTCGGCCTTTCGCGCGCAAAAGCTTCTCTCGTCGTCGCTTTCTCTTCACCTATCAGAGCATGAAAGCGTTGGTTGATATCACGGCTCATCCGACCTTTGGAACCCATCTTAGGTGCATCTCCTTTGGCACCTATCGCATGATCGAAGACCCTGAACGACACGATTTTCCTGGTCAATCTGAAGATTGGTTAGCTCGTTACCGTTCAGTCGAAGCGATACATCGACGTTTCCGCCAGCGCGATCAGCACATCGAAATGCTTGTGCTAGCTCTCAAGAATCTTATCACATGCCAAAACAATACGGTGATCCTAGGAATTCATGATGACTTCCACCGCGACGAGTACAGACGTCGAGGTTATGCCTTCCAGGCTTCGTACCAAGATCTCGATGCCCTCGAAGTACACTCGACCGCAGCGCTCGATGCGGTGTTGACGGCCAGGCGGCAGAGTGGATTTCCACTCACGGCACTAAAGTTGTGTCTCTCTGAAGCGTCTGAGAGCCTATCAGAACTGGCGCTGGAACCAAACACTGTGCTCGATTCGGTCCTACCCTCTCAAATCTCGGTATCTACAACAGCACTGGACTTCCATGTCAACGTCTGGCAAGAAGAAGGATCTCATGCAAAGGTGAAGATTTTATCAAAGTTCACTCGTCTCGAGTTGTCGAGACTCAGCATAGACGCCCAGGAGTTGTCCAGAAGCTCTCTCAAAGCGCTCGACGAAGATTCTTACGGAAGAATTTGGGAGACCATCATCTCATGTCCGTTACAATCTATCTCTCTGGAAAGATCAGATGCAGATTCCCATCACTTTGTCCATTTCCTCCAGAATCACAAGGACCGACTGAAAACGCTCAAGCTTCGTCAGGTGCGTATTATTGCGTTCGAGCCGCCCCAAGACGTGATATTTGCATTTCTTCGTTTCTTGAGGGACAGTCTAAGACTAGTCCATCTGTCCATTAATAACCTCTCTGTAGTAGAGAAATACGTTAATGGACCGATGATGTATCTACCAGCCTTAGAGCAGGAATTGGTATTCGAAGGACGCGAAGAGGTCAACGAGGGACTAGAAGGTTTGATCGAAGAGATCAAGCAAGACTACCGGGATGACGGATCGGACGACTTGTTTAGCTTGTCCGATGGCGAGCATGAGGATGATTGAGCTGGGTGGAGGTTTGTAAGTGCAAAAATGCGCGAGAGTGGAAGCAAATGCAGAAGGTGAATAGGCGAAGAGGGCGTGAGACACCATTTGCTCAACTATGGCTGGAAGATAATTCAAAGAGACAGGGGGAGAGACGCAGTCAGTTCACAGAGAAGCCATGGGAGTATGCAAAGAATCAGCATTGTCTTGACGATACATATTGTCAACATTTCATACTTCCCGATCTGATCAACGCCGCAAAGTGGTAACGACGAATACAACACCGTAGATGCTGAGATCGCATTCGGCTTGTTGGACAATATCCCCGATGATTCCTCCCTAGTCATCGCAAGGTAGACTGGTTTTTCCCCCCAAAGTGTACAAGGGACGATGCATATCGTGTGGAACGTAGGATTTTCTGTCAAACGCACAGCCAATCATCAATCTCACATGAGCGCTGAGTGAGAATCGTTCTCTCTGTTTCGCCGACGGCATCGTATAACCATCCTCCAGCCCACTGCGGATTTTCGTATAACCTCCCCTTCCAACCCCACTGCAAATTTTTGGCAAAATCAGATCCCGTGAGCACTTCTCAAGGGCCCACGCGTCTTTTTTTTTGAACATTTTGAAAAGTCTTCAGCATTGGCAGAGATGGGGTTCAAAACTGTGGCTTCGGCAGTGCCTTGCATTCATTGTATCACACAGTACAGAGCACAGGTGATAGTGTCTCGAGTGATACGATATGACTCTGCATCCGCTCAACTGGCCTGTATCAGCCAACACAGCTCAACGACGATTTTATGGAAGCAAAAAACGCTCAATTAGTAGCACCTGTGTCTCTACTTCGAGAAGTGGCATTCGAAGGGCTAGCTAGTGCGTGGTAGTCTTTGTTCCTTTTGCTGCATGATGCGCTGTTTGATGTGGGGCGCCTTTTCTACGATAAGTGTGTTTTGCTCGCATATCCTGTTGTTTGCTCTACTTTGATTGTACATCTTTATACCGAGGTCTGGGTTAGTGCTGGGACTGGACGGACTGGACAGACTGGACTTGGGATGTCTTCTAGTTGTGTTTATCGAGCTAGGGTTATACCTATAGCTGGCATGTAGGTTGTATATGGTGTATGACACATTGTGCTCTTATAGCTTTATATCGACATATGATTATACGGCTTCCGCTTACTACACCTGATTACCTATGCTTAGTAACTGATCCACTAGGTTCTATCCCATAATCTGCCTTGGTCGGGTGCTTCGAAGGTTGTCTTGAGCAGGTCAAGCTCAACCCGAACAGGCTACTCTCTGCCTATACAGGTCATATACCACGGGAAGCATAAGATACGCGTTGCCCCACTGCTTGAAACCAGCTTATGGGATAGATTTGAACTGGATGAATGGATTTGAACAGAGGGGTCCAACCCACTGAGCCCCATCACTGGTCTGGGGTTTCCATAAAATCTAGAGAGCTCCTTTCCAAAGCTAGAAGGTATAAAACTGAACCTCATCAGTGTATCTGCATGGTGATATATAGATCTACCTATAGAACGAATTGCGCAAAGGACAAGTAGCGATAGATCCTGAATCTAGAAGGCTACTCGAAGCTCGACCCAGCCTTTATACTCTATGCAAAGGGTCATGACTGAGTAAAGTAGAACGTCTCAGCTACCCACGGCTCTTAAAAGTAGGGCGTGGATCTTTCAGAGGTACATGACCATCCTCCGGTAGTGTAGCAACATGTTCCTCCGATGATCCGGCAACAGGACTTGAGGCTTCTTCAGAGGCCGAGGGATTGCGGAGTTTGTTGTAGAGGTCTAAAACCTTGCCGATCTCGCCATCCTTCTCGCCGATGTTCTTCTCCACCTCAGGCGTCAGGTCAGATGTTTCGTTCTTGAGAGCAGCCATGTAACTCGCGACGATAGCATCGCCGGCTGCCTCGCCTAGAGCGGCACTCAGCACTGCTCCGCGAGTGGAAGCTACCGAAGCACCAAGTAGTGTGAAGAGAGCCTGAGTACCTCTTTTCAAGCCAAAGGTCATGGCTGCGAATCCGTATTCCGTGGCGGATTGCACGTTTTCTGACCCGTATTTAGCTTCGATTGTGGCGTGCAAGTCTCCGATCAGAGGTTCCCTCTTGGACTCTGCGGCGCTTTGGACAGGGACAAGCTGTTGCTTGAGATTGTGCATCAGATTTGTACGCGCGTTGGCCAACATCACGCTACCGATTGCTGAGTGCAAGGTAAAGGGTCGGTTCCCCAACTCTCTCTTGACGTTTCACCCAAGTGCAACTGCACGATCGGATGTACCCACCACCGTTGACTTTGCGGATGACAAGGCGCTCTGCGCTCCGCTAACCAGATGGTCCAGTGCGGCGCCGCTTGAAATTGGAGACGGCGTGTTGATACCTCCACTGAATTGCTCGTTCTGATGGTATCCGTGCATATTGTTTCCAATACTCGGCGCCGGTGCCGGGGTCTGAGATAATCTGTCTGATTTCGGTGCAGGCGGAGCACCTCTGATCCACGTGGATAACGCTGATATACGACTGGTACCGCCGGGATCTTTGTAATTCACGGGATCATTCCCTACGTAAAGGAAGCGATTGAGACCATCATTGAAACCGGCGGGATCGATGGTCGTCCAACGAGCCAACCACGGCGCGTAGTATCTTGAACCGTAGTAGTACAACCCGGTCTCGACGTCGCGTTGCTTTGAGACCGTGTGCAAAATGTACTCATCTTGTCAGAATTATCCGGACCGTTGTCTTCGCTATTCTTGGCCGTCACCACCTATATCTGAGACCATCGCCACTTCTGGTTTAACTATTGTCTGTTTCATTGCGTTCTTGATCGACGTTCTTACAGATACCGGGGGATGGCTGTCGAGGGCTGACTGGTCTGAGCGATGGAATGATACTACTGTCCTGAGCGATCTGAATGATGTCCCTACTGCCTGTTGGCTTGGAAGTTGTACTCCTCGAGCCGCCACATTTGCGTATGACTCAGTTGTTCGTGGGGACCACCAGAGCCACTGCTCCGACTCGTGATGTAATGATAAATAATGGAATCGATGAATAAGTTCGTGATTACAGTTGGTCCTTAAGCTTATACATACTTGCCTTGCAGTTGTTCTGACTCTGACTTAAAGTATTGGACCAAGGTACGTACCCAGTCTCGCCGTGCCAGCAAGTAAAGTAGTTACTCTGGTGGGTCTTTGCTGCTATTTGTCGAACACCATACAGAATTGCCGTCCCTTGATCGAAAGCTTCTGCGTAGTACCTTTCCGTGCCCCTAGTTCCTAAGTCATTTGGAGGTGCAAATTGCCCTTGTGCAGCTGCTGACTCGTTCAGCTGGTTGAGCAATCTATCGTTGGCCTTGGGATGCAATGCCGATAGGCATAACGCCAATTGAGGAAGTCAACTGGTCACATGTTAAGCATTGTTCGATAGATCCAATGTTTGGATGCGAAGTTATGATCGACTGCTCCTTCCTACGGTCATCCAGACCTCGCCAGAATGTCTTTCAACTTATCGTCCTGACCAAACCGCTTTAAAGATAGCTGCCTCCATTCCTGCCAGCTGTATTGGTGGTCGACCCCCATACTGCTCCGAAACCCTTTGAACAGGCCTAGCAGATCTTCAAAGCTAAGGCACAGATCAAGAGTACAGAGAAAGGCGAGTTGATGATGCAGTCTGCCATTTCGCACGATCTTTGCCAAGTCCTTGGCTCCTCTCTCTTCCAAACACTCGGCAAACAGCTGCTCCTCCTTGCCAATTCTGCTCTCACCATTGAAAAAGTCCGAGGTTGGAAGCAGTAGCATCGGAGAGTTGAAGGCTAGTGGTTCAGGTGCTACGAAAACCCACTCCCGATCGATGATTGCAGTGATATTCGATTTTGCATCAACGAGAATATGGCTTCCCTTGTCGTCAGCATGAGTGAGGTAGAATCCTGTGGGGGGATTTCCCTCATCGGGGTAAACATTCGCCAATTGCTCGTTGAGGAACTTGTAGATCAACTACGTGTCCACCGGCCTATCCGTGTGTACTTCTCCGCGATGGATAAGATCCAAAAGTAGATTAGTGGAGCCTCGATAATATTCTCGCAAATCTGCGAAGGGACCGAGAGGCTGCATTGTCGGTCCCGCGGAATCAGTCAAACATTCTCGAGCAAAGGGGCCCACAGCATTCTCGCCGACCCGATTCATGGAGCCCATCTGTCCGAATTGGAATCTCTGTAGCTCAACATAGATATCTGCGAGCTGTGCAATGACCTTTCCCCTTCCCTCTTTTGATGTCGATGACCAGTCAAGGGGCTTTCCAGGCATGCAATCCATGAGGATGTGACCGACTCCAACAGGATTTTCTCCTCCTATATCATAATCCCAAACTTTTGGGGTAGGTATGCTAGTTGTTTCGAGGGAACGTAATGTTGCAATCTCACTCCTGATGATGTAGTCTTGTAAGTGCGGCGGTGGCGATGTCGCATTGGAGCGACGAACGCGCGCTAACCAGATGATTCCGTCTTCGAACACGATGCGGAGGTGAAGGTTCATCCCACCCATCAGATAGCTCCTTTCGTTTTTTTCATCTGTGGGAACCTCGATGCGACAAGAGACATCATCACGTAGAGAACTCGCTCTCAGGCTGAGCCGCTCCAGGTCAATTCGATTCACCAGCTGCGCGATTTCGTGATCTTCTGCCTTCGCGATCTCCTGATAGAAAAGATCTCCATCCTAATTAATCGTGTCAGTCAAGCTTTCAGACCAGATTTGCGGAAAACGTTATCAACCTCAGGAGTAGCGCAACGATGATAGGATCTCTGTAGATGTTCAGAGCAAAGGTGTTTGCTGCATAACACACAGTCGCCTAGGATGCGTACAGCCGGCCTCTCGCATTTGTCATAATCGCAAGGCCACATTGGACTCTTCATTGTGCGCAAGTGCTCCAAGGCCATTAAAAACACGCGGTAAGTATCAACACAACAATGGTCGACGACCCACAGTCTGGAATAAGAACGGTTTGGTCAGAGCACATGTTAGACATGAAAAAAGCAGGGGGACCGCTTCAAAAGCACCGCCGTGACAGCCGATGACAAAGCAATGCATATACAGTAGTCTAAGCATGTTGGCTGACTGATGTCCGAGTCACGTGCCATGATTGGAGATCTGCCACGATGAACTGTTACAGGACTCTTTCCACGTCCGACGCTTAGCGTGGTGTAGTATGATGTGCCATACTTTCGGATCACGCAAAAGACTTTGGAAGGAGTTCTGTTAAAGGTATATCACAAGGAAGTACGAAAACATGGATGATCACAATGTGCTTTTCGATGGAATCGGCTTCATAATAAGTTAGACTTGAAATTTCCCAATGGCTTCCAACCCATTATATGACTTACAACGTGGAAGGGAAGACTACCCAAGTCATAAGTCAAAGATTGGTGGAGGGCGAGACGTTATCACTCACTTGTAAGCGATGTAAGGAAGACGATCTTGTCTTGTCTTGTCTTGTCAACTGCTGAGGTTGCAAATGATAGCAGCTTTGCACATCACTTGTCTGGAAAAGAAAGAAAAACAGTCAGTAAAGACGCGAAAGCGCTCTGCGCAACTTACGAGACGAGTTGTGGTTGGGTCGGTGAGTTTGACAACGCGCATGTATGTGTGACTCCTGGATGGTCTTACTTGAGAGCTTAGAGATGAGCATCACGCGACGGTCAAACTCGGCATCGACAGCGCGGAACCAAATTTTCGGTCGACAAGTTTGAGGAGGCACCTAGACCGTGAGGTGCTGACGCCCCCAACAACAGGCAGCTCGGTGAGGCTGAGGAGCAAAATGGCACATGGATCTTGCCAGACGGCTCGAAGCCGGGCTTCTCATGTCGGTGAACATTGGTGTTGACAGGCCAGGGAACAGATCGTTGGTGGTGAGGAGAGCGTCTCAAGACGATCGCTCTCAAGCATCGGGAAGGGGGGCGGACTTCTGCAGGGATCTGCTTCCTGCCAGCGAACTTGAAGAGTCGGATGGAGAAGCACAAAATTGTGGTACATTCATCAATCAACAGCTAAGTGATGTTCAGTGCTTTTCTCGCACCGCTCTACGGCCCATGGGCTCTCATCAAGTGGTCGTGGTGCTGGGGTGGGGTTGAGAGAAACACGCATTTTTTATCGCGCGGCAATGACTTGTGCCCGCGACTGCCGCTCATGTTTGGGAAAGGGGCAGTCGAAAAAAATACACATCATCTCGGCGTCCTCTCGTAAGATCTCGTACTTGCTGACTCCATTGACACAACAACAGGAAGCGATGGGTACAGCACGATGATTTCGAGAGGCCATGCTCGTGAGGCTGTTCCTGTTTGCCACCCCCTGACGGACCAAGGTTTGGAAAGGTACATGGGAGATGTATCTTGGTTGAACGTCATCTGATCAACACCTTTGACGCATACGGAGGTAGTTCTGGCCATACCCACAATACGCTGTTCATTTCGTAGCCACGCTTGTCGTACGATTTCCTTACCTTCCATTGTCACATATCCAGGTGACAAAGGGGAGCGGTATAAATTCTCTCATACGACTGGACCACTGAATCTAAAACCATCAGAATTCACCTTTTCATATATCTCTTCGCGACGACGGTCAGAGACAAGATGGCAACGATTGCAGAAATGTCCCTCCAAGACCTGAGTCCATCGTCCCCGCAATCAGGCACCCAAGCGGCATCATTTCAGTCAGGGTCGCTTCATACGCCGATCGCAACACCCTCACCCGCATCACCTACGCAAGGATTGTCTCAAGCAGCAAATACTCGACCACCGACACCTACAACATCGCAAGCAGTAGCGCCTCAGACCCAGCAAACTACCGGCTTTCCACCAACGCCTAGCTCTCCATCAACTCTTGATCCCTCACAGGATGCCTTACAAACAGCACCCACGCCCACCAGCAAGTCCAGGCGAAAGGTATGGAAAAAACGACTCAATAAAACCTTGCCCTGGATAGGCCTCGTCGTGACCATCATTTTCGGTGTGCCCGCCTACAATTTCCTTTTTGGGAGTACGGACAAACAAGCGTTGGCTCTACAAGTCTGGAGTGCCGGCAATGATCAACGGATGAGCTGCTGGGCAGACTGGGATCACGGAGTGTTTAGTCAGATATGTAACGACACACTCACTCGTCCATCCACTGCGCCACCGGTCAAGAGGGCAGAGGAATCGCAAGAACGAAGTCTCTTCGATTTCTGGTGCAGTTACATCACAGTCCTGGTAGTCTCGACGGTATTGCCTTTGATCGGCTTGTATCTTTCCGAAGGCCGGGCTCCGCATCGTCACGATGGCCCTGCGGCGACCTGGGGCGACTACTATCACCGAATCAAGACCAGATTACCCTTCTCGCGTCCCATGTGGCTCCCTTCGATGCCAAAGGTGACTTCCAGGTCGGTGTTTGTATGTGTGGGCCTGGGTCTCTTCGTGCTGAACTTTGTCGATCCCTACACGAGGAATATGATCGTACTGGCCATGGCGACGATGGCGGTGTGTTGGTGTGTCATGGACAGTTCATCGATACGCGTCGGTGATCTTCGGAGAAGAAGGCTTTCAGAGCAGCTGTATGAAACAGTGCAGATATGTTTTTTTCCCCTTTTTACATACACGATACATGGTCGAGAGGCTAGTCCACGGGGGCAGTGCTTTCTTACGATGCCTAGTTGTGCTCCGCTCCTGTTTTCCGACATTTTGTGTCGTCTCCCTTTTCTTCTGATAATGAGCTCGTTTTCCACCGGAGTGTGTGTTTATTTTCCCTTTTGTCTTTGGTTTCATTTCTCTTCTTTCTCTTTTTTTTTTCTTCTGATTGGAGTTTCTTTTTGAAGTTTCTTTCTCGCTTCGATCTTTCTTCTCATAGTTGGTATGATTAGCATGTTTTTTTGAAATGTAGCCATTGATTCCACGTCTCTTGTTGAGTCATGCTTTCGAGCGTCGAGTATGGTTGACATATCGCATCCAGGAGCTTAAGAAGAACTCGGAGAAGTGTTGGAGTATGTTGTCTGGCGGGGCATGACATGTATGCCAAGAGTCAGAAGAGAACATACAATCATGTACTAGAGAATATATAATAAAAGGGTATCAGACAAAAGTGAGACAGAATCAGATCAAAACCCAACGAAAACCATGCCAACAAACTGGCAATACACAAGAGAGAAAGTCAACACCGACAATTTAACTCTCAAGACCCTCGCCTTCGAGGACTCTTCTGGCCTCGTCAAGACGTCGCCTCAACCATCTCCTTCTCTCCTCGCCTCCAGCACCAAGTTGCAATTCTCCGACTACATCTCTCAGACTCTCGACAAGAGTGTAGACCAAGGCCTCATCTTTGCTTCCCAGCCCTTGTCCCCTTTCGGGATCCAAGAGAGCAGAAACAGCGATGGTGGTGGCAGAAGGAGAGATGGATATGTATTGTTGACCGTTCTGTGCAGATGCAGGCGTGTAGGTAGACGGCAGGATGGGGCTGGGCAGAGCTCCCTGAGTGGATGGATGGCCTCGGCTGGGTTTGGTCGATTCATTGAGATTGTGAATTGAGGTGGCAGAGGTGGAACGGGACAGCCATTGGGCGATAGAAGCTTGGTGGCCTTCCTCTGCGGTCTCAAAAGTGGCGATCGTGGCCAGAGATTCTGCTGATAGACCTCGTCGGTGTTGGATACGAGAAGGGAGTGTGACCTCTTCGATGTGGCGGAGGGCTTCTGGTGTTTCTGGCGTTGGAGGCGGCTGCATATCTTCCTCATCCTCAGCACCAGCAGTAGTGGGGTCTTGATTGACGGGATATGCGCGGGCGGTCAGACACGAGTCGGAGGAGCTCAGGGATGTGGTGCGGGCGTGGCGAGTAGGAGTGTTGGGCTCGAAACTGCCCGTTGCAGAGTGCAAGAAGAATTTGGAGTAGTCAAAGGCATCGTCGCGATCTTCGTGGCGTGGACCGGCCGAAGGGGAAGATTCGGGAGCATCTTGGTAGAGACTGGTGGGGATCGAGTGGTCGGTGGTTGTCGTGGTTGGTGTCGAGGTGCGATCTGTGCTGCCGGAGCCAGAATGTGGTAGCGTGTAGTTGTCATCGTCATCCTCTTCCTCATCCACATCTTCTTCTCTTGGTTGGTAGTCGTCATTGTAATGGTCGTCGATGGTCTCGGCCGAGACCCAGGCACCGGGGACATTGCTGGCTTTGGTGATCCGGGCAAGTCTGGGTCTGGGGGAGCCTGTGGCACCAGGAGACGTGTCTGCGTTGTTCAGAGGACAGGTTTCTCTCAAGTTGTTTGTGCTCCGTCTCCGGAAGTTTTCTTCTTGAGCGCGCTCTTTCAAAGTGGAGATTCTGCCTCTCAGTTGCATCATCTGTTCGCGCAGATTGCGAGCCGATGTCTGACTGCGAACGCTTTGCTCCTCGGACACGGTATCAAGTTGCGGGTCTGGAGACAGCGGGCTCCTCGGGTAGCGTAGCAGTTCAGAGCTGCGAGTGTTGCGGACGGGGTTTGTTGTCCACGAGGGATTCGAGTTGATGTTGAGAGACATGTAGCGGCGGTCGTCGGACTGGAGATTGGAGTCGCTGAGCACACGCATGTGCTGTGTGTTTGGCGAGCTGTGAGGAAGGTAGCGAGGGCGGGAGAAGGACGTGTTGCGCGCAACGGGAGCGGCGGTGAGGGAGGTGGCGCGCTTGAGGTTTGCGGCGGTCAAGGGAGTGACTATCTCGCGGGCTCCTCGCAGGTTCTGGTCCATGACCTGAGGCTCGTCAGTTGGGGTGGTAGACGTCAGGTGCGCCGTGTTGACATACATTGAGACGCTTCTTTGCATTGGCGAGGATGAGTTCGGCGCGCATGAGCGTCACGCTGGACTGCTCCGTCTTGGAGACATGGTCATACGGCTGTTCGACCTCGCTGGGCGTGTCAATGTCAAAGTCGTCCTCGTCGAGCGTTTCGGTATCCGAGTCCAGACTCGACTCGAAGCGCGGGATCTCAATGTTGTCGAGGTCCTCGGTGAGAATGCTGCTGGCGGCATAACTGAGTCGCCGGTCGTCCCATGACTGCTGATTGTCGACTTGCAGAGTGGGCGACGAGCCAAAGCTGTGTAGCGGCGATTGCGAAGGCGTGCGGAGATTCGGTCGCGACTTCGTTTTGTTTCCCAGCGTCTTGATCGATTGCGCCTGCAGGTACGACGGCGACGGCGGCCCTTCTGTCTCCTGCCGCACTTCATCGGCCACGTCCAGCACGAACATACTCGGCAGCACCATGTCGGGGTTCGTGAGTGTCGGCGACGGCGGTGCCGGTAGAGGTTTGTCGTGTACGCTCATTGTTGTTTTGTTTGTGTGGAGATACATGGTGCCTGTCGTGCATATGCCTGACGTTCACCATGCAGTTTCAGCTCTCGGCACTGCGACTCTCTGCGCTTTTGTCATGCACCTAGATATCTAGAGGAAAGGAAGCGCTCCACCCGGGCATCATCGACACACCAAAACCGCTGGACCGTCCGTCTCTTTGGTCGCCGGCGGCCGAACGAGACAGCCCGTCCAGGCCCACCCACCAAACTTTCCTGGAGAAAGCTTCGACCCCGAAACTCTGTCTGCATCCAATCATAGCACTTCCTCGGATATCACTTTTAGATACCCCTGTCAATCCTATATCACTTTCTATACAACTGCTCTGCCTCATGGACAACCCGCAGCCACGCGCGATCTTTGGCAGTAGATAATGTTTCATTCTGAGCCCGGGAACCTGTTCCCATACACCGCCGTTGCATATAGACGTTGACCAGCCCACAAACGGCCAGTTCGCATGCGCTTTATTATTGACGAACTCCTCGAGTTTTCCTCTTCATGAATGTTCGGCTGTCCAACTTGTCCCCTCCCCATTGACTCAGGTCGATTTCTCCGACCCGCACTACTTCGAATCCAAATTTTCTGTATAACGGAACTCCCATCAACGACGCTTGAAGGTACATGTCCAGTCCTGCCATGTCCGCCAGTTGCGTTCCCTTCTCGAGTAGCATGCCCGCTGCTCCACGCTTTCGATGACCTGGGTGCGTGCAGAGATACATTAGATCTGTCCGTCCACTTTGTCAGTCTTCTGGCCTGACTCTGTGCTCTTGACATGATTCAATTTCACCTACACGCATGCGGCTTGCCCTTAAAATGATCTTTAGCATATTCATCCGATATTTTGTTGAGCCATGCGAAGAATTCAATCAGCCTCTTGGGCAGAGGTGTCTCGCCTTCGACAGGTGGGGTGGGTGTATCCTGATACGCCTCGCCTTCGTGGTACTGAAACGTAAATTTGGCCACTGACACCACCTCGTTGGTGTCGCTGTCCACCACCTTCCAGAATGTGCCTGCATGATGCTCCGTTCCAGTCGCTATCCATTGTGCAAACGAGGTCGAGACGTCCATGCCTTCATCTCTTTGAAGTTGCCTGATGATGTGAACAACGCCTTCATTCGGGCACGCAATTTGGTCCAATTTGGCAATGTCGGCGAAATCGCCCTTTTCCACTTGTCGGAGTTCCAGAGGCATTGTTATTGTGGTTCGCTGCTGAGAGCTGGGAGCCACGTCCACATCCTATATACTGCCTTGAGTAGGATCGTGTCACGCGTCCAGTGCGGTGTCCAGATCTAGCGATCTGTGTACTTGATATATTAGATAGGAAGCTCGTATCTGGCACCTATCGGCTGATATAGCGAGCAGTGGCCGGCAGCCGCTTGTAGCCGCGTTCGCGACATGGATGTGTAGCACCACAAATTCGAGCCACGACTCTCAGAGGCTGTCAACAACAACACAATCCGTTTCTGCATGCGCACAGCGCGATTATGCTTCTCATGGCTTGCACTGCTGCCGGGGTCGTAGCCGTTGATATGCACACGTGCAGAATCGGCTATGCATGCTCGAATCGAGGGCTGGATTTGTGATCGGCTTGTCCACGAGATCGATCCTTCGCACACGTCCGACAGCTTTGCCAGCAAGGCTGCAACCTGTGCTCCATACAACAGCGCCTTCGAAAAATATAACGCAGCGACAGTCGGACATTGTCATTGTTCGAGCAGTCTTATAAAGTATTCGAGTGAGAGAACAAGATAAGTGTCGCACCGCGAACGTCGTGCTGCAGAATCATGACGTTTGTCCACTCGGGTTCCCCATGTTCTTCTTACAAGAGTCCGTCTCCTGCAGCCATCTGACAGGGCCATGCCTGTATCTTGCATCATGTCGTAGCTGCTGCAGCACTTGTCGCCCGGTGGATCGCAACTGTCTTCCGTGCGAAATGCTGAACCTAAAAGCATCAGGAATGTCCATGACATTTTCTCCTGGACCTGACACAAGGCTGCTCATCGTAGGTTTGTCATATCTCTTTCTCGCTTCTACCTACCCGGAACAAAACCAAGCACACCCTGTGTGCGGTACATTTCCACGAGAAGAAAGTTCCTGGAGCTTGTTGATCAGGAATATCTGGGAATCTCGCCATAGGTGCACGATCCCCATATAAGATGCAAGACGCAAACCAAGTGCCACGGCGACTCTCGAAACGACATTTGCCATCGATTTTCAGAAGCGGAAGGAAGTCTCCAGGAATTGAATCAACATTCAGCGCGACCAACATCCTGCCCAGGAAGGAGCAACACCACCCGAACGTCGCTGCTGCATTCGAACCTCCGCCCGACGTGCCAGACATGGCGTCGACGCGTGCGGGCTCCGTCTCGCCCATCCAACAATCCATCTTTGATCCCGTTGAAGAAGAAGAAGCACAGGCAGATTATATTACCGAACCTACGACAGCTCCACAGTCTGGCTCCGGAGACGAGCACGAATACTACGACCTCAAACCTCCTCCGCCTTTGGTCTCGCACTCGAACATGGAACACCTAGCCATGCGCTTCTTCTCGGTCGACCACCTGAACATTATTCTTCGCGATTATCAATCGTCTGCTCGCTTCCATCGCTTCCTCACCCAATATCGACCCTATACGCTTCCATCACTCGAGAGTTATGTCGACACGCAAAAAGCCGTTGCTGCTATAGAATACGCCAACTCGCTCGCGGACAACCTACCCTCGCTGACCGGCGACATCCCGAGACCGGCAGCCGTCATGGAAAAGAGGTTTGAAGAGCGGTCGCGCCTGGTGGTGCAAGAGCTGGTCGACGATGCGTTGCCAGCATATCTAACACACCGACTCGTTACAATCGTGACAGACAGCCTTGTCAAGGAGATCACTGGCAACATCGCGCCCATCCTGCGTGATCTGATTCCCTCGTTGGCCGAAGTTTACTGCATCAGCGACCCCTCGCTACCCGACAATCCCATCGTCTATGCCTCGGAAGGTGATACCGTCCTCCTTTTTTCTTTTGAGACAATCTGCTAACCGGAAGCAGCCTTCTACGACATAAGCGGTTATCAGAAGGACTTTGTGATTGGCCGCAATTGCCGCTTCTTGCAGGGTCCCAAGTCATCTTCGGCCAGCGTACATCGATTGATAGAAGCTTTGAGAGCCGGTCAAGAGATTACCGAAACACTCCTCAATTAGTGAGTTTGCATTCTACGAGGTCTGCAACGCTGGTACTGATATATTCACAGTCGTCGAGATGGTATACCCTTCATGAACCTCCTCTTGATCGCACCGCTGTACGATAACAAAGGCAGCGTGCGATACTTTCTCGGTGCCCAAGTCGACGTCTCACATCTGATAGAAGGCGGCAAAGGCATCGAGAGTTTCGAAAAACTTCTGGCCAACGATCGCGCTGAGGAACGATACCGTGGCCGGAGCAATCGCAAGCCGACGCAAGTGTTGGGCGAGTTGGGCCAGATGATGAACGACGACGAGTTGGACGCCATTAATACTCGCCAACGCAGTCAGTCGCGCAGCTCGACGCCAGCTACCTCGTCGCGTAATCCCATTCCTATCCGACATGGCCGCAAAGTCTTTGGTATGGACGACTCATCCGAACATGGACTGTGGCCCCACCCTTCTCTCGGTCCCTCTGGGCGTCTGCCCGGTGTATACCAGAACGTGAGTCTTCGAATTCCTCCTACTCTACACTTGAAACTGATTAATCATCACAGTATCTTCTCGTTCGACCATATCCATCTCTGCGCATCACATTCACTTCTCCCGCCCTTCGAATTCCAGGTCTGCTCCAGACAAAGTTTATGGAACGGCTTGGAGGACCTCAGGAGGTCCGCGACGGTGTACTCGATAGTCTTTCCCACGGTACCCCTGTGACAGCAAAGGTGTCCTGGCTCTCGACGCCATCACAGCCCGGCAGCCCTCATCGAAACAGCATCGAAGGAAAGCCACGTTGGATTCACTGCACACCAATGCTCGGCAGTGATGAGAAAGTCGGTGTCTGGATGGTCGTCATGGTAGAGCAAGAAGTCGTGACTGGCAATCTGACCCGGCCAACAGAGGTTATCAACACCTTCCCCTCGCCACCTCCCAACGTTATTGGCAGGTCATCGCTCGACACTCCTGTTAGAGGCGGAGAGGGAGCGAGGAGTCCGAGGTTCAAGGCTGAGACTGGCAAACTGTATGCCGAGTACTTGCGGCGCGAGGGAAGGAATGACATGTCTCATGGAGGGATTGCGGATGAGCGGAGCGGTAGTCCGAGGGAGGCGAGACCGTTCCAGGACTTTTGAGTGTCTGCTGAGAGGAACGGAAGGATTTGTATAGAGGTACTTTGAATGGACCAGAGGATCTTCTTCTCATCCAGACTCGCCTCGAAGAGATTGTGGTACCTAAATCTTTTTACCTAAGCGAGGGAACGCAACAGTAGAGTACAAGGTATCCATGTCATAATGACTTGTGTTTATCTCTTTTGCTCTATGCTGGTCCGTCTACCTTTGCTATGCATGTCATGTCAAGGCTGGGAAGAAAGACGCCGAAAACTACCCTGTAGCGGTCAGCTCATGAGAAAGCAGAGGGGAACACGATCACATACCGCCAACTGGCCAATAGCCGTCGTGAAGGCTGATTAGCACTGCCACTGCACAGCCTGTGGGTGCCAGCCACACCGGAACCTCCGTAAGCGCTCTGTCAAGGAGTATTTCACATTTCAATCCCGTCGTCCTTTCCACATCGTTTCTTTTTCTCTCGACACCGCCCGGAACAAAACTCTTTGAGAGTGCTTATCTTTGCACTGCAGGTCATGGCGACCGTGAAGCCTTACACACCGGCGGTACCTCTACAGCATCTACATGCCCAGAGCCCTTCAACCTCACAATTAGCTCCGACAACACAATCTCTACCAGCTCCATTGCATTCAACATCAGCTCAAACAGAGCCAATCCAACCCGCTGCACCACCACCAATAACAACCCCGCCAACATACCACCCGCCAACCATGCAACCGACCACCCTGCCCTCGCCATCCCAGAGATGCATCGAATGGCTCAACAGCCCTACGCCCTGGCTCTGCACAATACTGAGCTTTGTGTTCGGCACTCTCACGTACAAGCTCGCTGCCAAAGCCCTGGTCATCCAAGTCTGGAGTGCTTGGAATGACTACTACAGCACTTGTCAATCTGCAGCCGACCATGGACAATCCAGTGCTGTGTGTGACGATATGCTGGCTAAGGTACCTGCGCCTCCATCAGTTGCACCTGCGGGAGCACCCGATATCAGTTTTGATCCTGGAATGGATGGCTACACTCTTGTAATCGTGTTCGGTCTGACATGTGCTCAATTACTGTACGATCGGATAAGACGGAAAGGGAGTGATCGCGAGAGAGGTTCTGCTCATCCGGACTCGCCCCGGAAGGATCGTAGTACCTAAGACTTTTTTTACCCAAGCGAGGGGGTGTAATAGTATAAGGTATCCATAACACTTCGATGGAGACATCCATTCGTCCTACATACAGGCTTCAGATCATGTCGTGTTCAAGCAGAATCAGTATAGTATTGTGTGAGTTGGAATTGTCCACCACCAACAGCTTCAAACTCATGACCCTGTACAACACGACCATTGACAAGCGTAACAACTGTACTGTTCTTTGTCAAAGGTTCCATTGGCCACGGTAAGCTCACACTACCCCGAGTTCCAGGAGGTGCAGAGACATCCATCGAGACAAGTCCCTGTTCGTCGTATCTCCACTCAACAGTGATGTAGCCCGATGGCGTCGGTTGACTTCCCCTAGCCCATTCCAACCCCAAAGATTGAGGAACCACGCGCCATTCACGGAATCCTGGCGTCACCGCTTGGATTCCAAGTACATTTCTTGTCAACTCTGCTGTTGGACCTGAAGACCACGCGTGACAGAGTGATGTTCCATCCCCCAACCCAGGTTTACCGTCAAGACTCACTGCTTCCCAGAAACAGCCACTGTAGTTTGCGGCTGTTTGCAAAGTCATCGGTGTCCAGAGGTTGTCTAGCAGATGTTTGGCGGATGGGGGGTCTTGGGCGGCAAAAGCGGCGCGTAAGTGGTAGGAAGATGCGAATGGACTGATTATCTTGGAGACTCCAGGTGTTGAATTCGAAAAGGGGAGGGCACCATGATTGACCAAGAGCTGAGCGGCCATTGCTCGCGAGATGTTGAGTTTTGTGTGAGTGCCTTGAGGAATGTCTGCGAGGATTGCCATGGCGTTGGCGTCTTGAGCTATTCCTTGCGTCTGGGATGACGAGATCATATAGGCGTTACTGGTGTTGCTGTAGAGGTGTGCGTTGATCGACACTCGCAGATCTTCGAGCGTCTCCTGGTATCTCGTTGTGTTGATGCCGGCGACAGCGAGCATGGGTATCACCTCCTGCAATGCGAGCGCATACACGACGTTGAATTTCGTCACTACACCCGACCGCGCTGGATCGTAGTAATTCCAATCACCCCCGAAACCGGCGTCGGACAGATTGAAAAGGCCATTTGAGAGTCTCTGTGACGCTGCCCAGTCCAGCATACGCGTTGCTGCTGGCGCATACGCTTTGGCGGCTGCAATGTTACCTGAGATTAAAACGTACTCGCCCATTGCACTCAACAGACTGAATGAATAGGCAATCAAACCCGTCTGGTTGATGTTGATCAGCTCTTGTCTGGGCGACTGCTGTATCTTGACTGTCGGAACGAAGAAGCCGGCCGTCATTTGGTTGGAAGCCAAGAGCTGGATAGTGTTGTTGATGTACTCGAGTTGGAAGTTGCTGGTTGCTACTGTGCGGGCGGCGATATCGAGGTCGCCTGCATATGCGATTCTATCGCGCCGGGCGCCGTCGACAATCATATTCAGAGGATTTGTCCCGACGAGGAAATCCTCGAGAACAGATTGGGATGTCAGGGTTGACGAATAGATGGTTGCGCCTGCTGATGTTACCGATAGATTGGTGAAGAGTGCCGATTGACCATTCGCAGCTCCAAGTCCAAAGGAACCGTAAAATTTTGAGGTCTGTGAGAACGACAGTATCAGTGTGTCATCGATGGACACATCAATCTTGGACAAGTCAACCGAAGCGGAAACGCGATACCAACGATCGAGAGCGTCTCCAGTGCCATTGAAAAATGCGTTCGTCAAAAGATTGCCAGCTTCCGTCGAGCCATCAAAAGCCGAGATTGTGCGCTTGGACAGGTCGACCCAGATATATATGCCCTCACCGAGTGTATCACTCAGAACCTTGAAGCTGAACCCGCCTACCACAGGCTTCACAGTAAAGTTCATCTCATAAGATGTCAGAGCTTGAGCTTGAAGGCCGGTATATGGTTGCGGTGCTGCACTTTCGATATGAGCTCCCTCTGTCTGAAGTTGCCAGAACTCAGGTATGGATTCTGCGGCGATCATACTGCCAGCGATAGTCGCGGCACCGGTGTTCCATATGTTGGTCCAGTTGGCATTCGAGCATTCAAAAACACCTTGCGAGTTGCTGATGCGAGGAGAGGGTATGAGACCGACATTCGAAAGCATGAGATCACCAGGCGAGGATAGAGTAAGCAGCTGCCAGCGCACACCGCCCTGCAGAAGACGGCTGGTGTGGGTGGTGTTGACGGCGGAGGTATTGTAGTGTTGAACTCGGTAGGTTTGCTGAGCGGCAGCCATGGCGATTGGTCCGTCGCTCTGGTCTCTGTCTAGATACTGTTTATCGGAAGATACCAAGGAATCTGCCAACCCACCTGATCGTCATTGAGCAACGCTCTTGTCTCGCTGTGCGCAATGCTGAAGTCAGAGGTATCTCCGGATGCGTTCAGGACATGGTATGTGGTGAAGCCATTGACATCGTGACCATGATCGATCACGAATTGAGCTGGACGAGACCCATCGGAACGAAGGTGAATGATGCCGTTTTCTTGCCGAGCAAACACTAGATTCTCATTTGCTTGAGACCCAGGGCAAAATAGCAAGAGTAATGGTAACCAGGAAGATTTGAGCATGGCGACTTGTAAGACTTTGCTGGAGATGACTTGCGACACAATCGAGGCGTTAGAGACTCCTTAAATAGTCATGCAGGCCATTTTCAATTTCTTTCAAGGCAACCAAGTAAAGCATGATGTGATGATATTGCTGCGTATTGCGTGTTCCGTATCGCGTATCGACCGCGTATGCAAAGTCTTCATCTCTCACACAGACATCAGCGTAAGACGCAGCGATCAAACAGTCTTCCGTCGAAACACTGCTTGCTTGCTTGCTTTGTCGCTCGAGTTCCATGATCTTCGGCTTGCAAGTGGTGGACATCATAGCATTGTTAATGATTTCGAGTCCGACACTTTCCGAAACCGCGAATTTTGCAGGGTGCTCGCAAAAGCAGAATCGCACGCTTGATAACTGCCATCGCTGGAAATAGAACGTTGATGTGCGTACCTTCGGCGGGTTCATGTAGAGAGCAGAGCGTTTCAGATCTTGTGGTTATGATTGTATGTAAATGTGTAATCTTATCAACGTGATGTTCAGGACAACCTCTGTTGGGCACGCGGATGACCCTGTCAATTTGGAGGAATCGCGAGATGATGTTGTGATAGCTGCCCGATATGCTTCTTCAACTCGACCAATAGAAGCATAGGGTAACACTGTGTTTGGCGATGATAATGTTGTACGTTTTGGCGTGTATCCTGCACGCAGTCGTGGTCTACATATTTGTCGTTGGTAGAAATGAAGTTTCTATGACAAGGAGTACAAGTTCTGGTGCAGAAATGCCATTGGTTATGTGACACAACAAGATTCAAGATGAGTCTTTCAGATGTTGACATCAGTGACTCTGAGACGGATGAGTATAACGCAGCATATCATACACCCGCAATACAGGTGGAGGGACATCGAAGACTCAGGAAGATAGTTATCGATGGAGGCACTGGAGGCTCAAATCTCGCCAAGACGTTATTTGTTGAGGCAGGTTCTGCCGACTGTGTCGCAATTTTGTCGACATACGACACGGAGCGTTCGCTGTCCAGTCTTCGCGTGACATTACGACATCCTTTTCAATCGATGGCAGTACTGTATGGCCATCAATCTGGACTCAGCTGTCTCGTGAAGGAGCTCAAACGTCAATGTGATCGACTATTCTACCAGCAGACGAATTTCGCTGAGGCTTGTCGTCGTGTCCTCCCTCCTGAAACTTCCTCCACTTATCCCAGCCGCACACCGTCGCAGGTGGACATGAGAAGACTGGTCACGACTGCGAGTATGTCGTGAGCATATCGTGAGCATGTCTGGAAATCTGATCACTTTATAGACTGGTGGATGAGACGTGGATCTTGACAACGACGACCTTTCTGCTCAAATCACACCATTACATTATCGGACAACCTGCTGTTGCTGTAGCATTCTTGGTCCTATCTCCGCCTTCCCAAGTCAGTCGATCGATGAACCCACGAATTCGTATATCGTCTCGCGTGCAGACGATTGAAGATTCACAACCATCGAGAACCTGGCAAGGTCATGCTGGACAAGAGGCTTTCCCATTCGGGGTGCATCATACATATTCCTGATCTTCAAAAAAGTCGCGGACGCCACTGCAGGTTCTGGTGTCGGTTCATGCCTGAACGCGATAATCCTTTGCGTATCTGAATCTGCATCACGACCGGCAGACACCCTCCGCAAGGATGTTCACAACGCTGTTTTCCATTAAGATCGATGTTCACTCTTGCGATCTTCGTGGAGTCGCACTTGTCGTTGCGATGATGTTCCACAAAAATTAGGGGCCGACTCGTACGTTTGGCAATGCAAAAACTCTGTTATACTCGTGGCTGTGATAAGAGGCTCCGAAGGATTCGCCTGATTCTGGACGTGGCTCGCGACTGCACCGCTTAGTCAGTGGTCAGCAAAAGGGAGACTACCACAACGATGGTTATGCACACGTCAATTGGAACAACGCATGCTGTAGCTTTCAGCTTGGGCGTGTCGGACCTGCGCTTCTTCGAGTTCATCGAGAGTTCTGTAACCTCAGTCTCATGCAAAGTCAGACCAGACAGCGATCCTGATCATGACGCTATCTCCAAGACCATGCTTCGCGACAAAGGCATCGCGAAGATGGGGGACTGAACGCATCAATACCGTCGGCGAACTATGGATTTCAGCTTGGCCGCCAATGCACAGCATGAGCAGTCGGCCCCTCATTGAATGGATGGAGACAACAAGCAAAATTCAAGCAAGCAGTGAATCATCACGCAAAATCATCGGTCAGAACGCTGTGGCGTCATGTGAAAGGAGAGCTTGCATTGTTCTCGAAGTCAACAATGTGCAATGCTTGACCATCACACAACAGCATGGACCGCTCGACAAGGTATTGCCAATTCAACGGTCGGAAAGTGGCTCCAAGAAAAAGGGAGGTCCAGAATTTCCTCTGAGCTTCACATAGGTAACTCTGAACCCACGTGCAACACTAAGAGCAATCATTTTGCCCTTATATCAGCCGTCTCTTGGTTGTCCTCGGCTTGCTGAGATGAATGGGCAGAGCCGAGCGAAGATGGCGGCCGGGGCGGCTTGGCAAGCAGCTGAAGAGGGTGAGCCAAGGCTCGGAACAGTCCAACGTCAAGACCCCCAAGATCTTGGCCGACCTCCACGATGTTCCTTCTGGTCAACACGTGTTCGGATGCTCGAACCTCATTGTTCTGACCGTCCTCTCTCGCCAAGCAATTCCGATGACATTCGCAAGGCGTTGCAGTATGCGGTGGGTTATGCTTCCTGGAGGGTTTGAATTCGTTTTTGCAGTGGCAGTGTAGGCGCAACACTGTCTCGAAGATTTGTTCATAAGCAATCGAGCGACAGGGAACATTCGCTCTTGTCTTCATTCTTCTATCTATCCTACCCATTTCCTCTCCATCAAGTGTCGAATTCTCAAGCTTGGCAGCATTCTCGTTCTGCGGCTTTTCTAGAATTCCATCAAGATGCCTGTTCTTCACGAGTACACTTATATCTTCGCCATCGGCACATTCTTTGCGCTTCTTGAAGCGTACAACAATGGTGCCAACGATGTCGCCAACGCTTGGGCAACCAGTGTTTCGTCTCGTTCGGTCACATACCGTCAAGCTATGGTATGCTGACAGATAAGTCATCAATGGACAGGACTGATGCTAACCTCGATCAGCTCTTGTGTTTGATATTCGAAATGACGGGTGCGCTCGCTGTCGGTGCAAGAACCGCTTCGACCATCAAAAACGGAATCATTCCCCTCGCCGCGTTCCAGGGTAACGCTCCTGTACAACTTCTCGCCTTCACTTGTGCTGCGGCAGGTGCATCTATCTGGGTCATGTGGTGCACACGACACAACGCTCACGTCTCGTCCACCTACTCGCTCGTCTCGTCGATCGCTGGTGTTGGTGTCGCTACTGTTGGCGTCAAGGGTGTTCAATGGGGATGGAACGGTACGTCGATTAGACGTCTCTTCTGATGCGGCTTCTGCTGACAAGATGCTTCAGGTGGCCAAGGTCTTGGTGCTATCTTCGCTGGTCTCGTCATGGCCCCCTTCATCTCTGCTGTCTTCGGAGCCACCATCTTCATGCTCGTCAAGACTGTCGTCCATATGAGAGTCAACCCTGTTCCATGGGCTGTTTACACCTCGCCCTTCTTCTTCCTCATCGCCGGTACTGTTTGCACCTTGTCCATTGTTTACAAGGGCTCTCCCAAGCTCGGTCTCAGTAAGAAGCCGGGATACTGGATCGCTGGAGTCTCGGTCGGTTCTGGCTTAGCCCTTGCACTTCTGGCTCTTCTGTTCTTCGTCCCCTATGTCAACCAGCGTGTCATTCGCAAGGATTACACCTTGAAGTGGTACCATGTCTTCATGGGACCTCTTCTCCTCTCGCGCAAGGCTCCCGCTGATGCCGAATTTGCTATGGTCCCCAACTACGCTGTCATTGACCACGACGATAAGATCCAGGTCAAGGCCAAGACTTCCGCCCCGCCTTCCATCGAGATGACCGGCAAGGGTGGTGATTCTGAGGTCGCCACTGGCGAGCTTCGTCGCAGATCCATCCACGTCTCCGATGAGGGCATGAGCAGCACCGCTTCGTCGCCTGAGATCATGCCACAACGCAGAAACAGCATTAACAACGAGAACCCCAGAGAGGCTTACGCCCGCATGCTCAAGGAGGCTCGTGAGCAGCACCATGCCGATCTTCGTCAAGAGCGTGGTCCTATCGGATGGGCCATGCGCACTCTCCATGAGAACCAGCGCGGTGCCGGTTCCATCTACGAACTTCACAACTTGAAGGCAATTCTCAAGTGTATTCCCGCTGGTATTGTTGTTTCTCTGATGTACGGTCTGTACTACGACATCCACAAGGCCCAGCTTGGTGTTCTCGGCACTCCTGAGGGCAAGCGCATGGCTCGTGTTTACGCACACGCGCCCCGCTACGCCAACGAAGTCGAATATCTTTACTCGTTCGTCCAGGTCATCACCGCCTGTACCGCGTCCTTCGCTCACGGTGCCAATGATGTCGGCAACGCTGTCGGTGTTTGGGCTGCCATGTACGCTGCCTGGTCGACTGGTTCCTCCATTAAGGCCAAGGAAGCAGTGCCATTGTGGCAAATCGCAGTCATGGCCCTCACCATCTGTATCGGCTTCATCACATACGGTTACAACATCATGAAGGGTAAGTTCGGAACTTTTCCAAATTTTCGCATTCTTTTTCCAGCATGCTAATAATATCTACAGTCATGGGTAACAAGATCACCTACCACTCACCTTCTCGTGGTTCCTCCATGGAGATGGGTGCTGCTATCACTATCCTCATCTTCTCGCAGTACAAGTTGCCCGTCTCTACCTCCATGTGTACGTATACTCCTTCTCCATTGTGAGACCATGCTGATTGTATCTTTAGGCATCACTGGAGCAACTGTTGGTGTCGGACTCTGCAACGGCACTTTCAAGGCCGTCAATTGGAGTCGTGTTGGTCTGTTGATGTTCTCGTAAGTTTTACCGCACACTTTATTAACACCTTTGAACACTTTCTAATCACACAGTGCAGTTGGATCATGACCATCCCCATCGCTGGTCTCATCGGTGGTCTTACTATGGGTATTCTCCTCAACGCCCCCAGCTTTTAATGAAGTGCGACACGAATTGGGAAGTGGAATATGAAAGTTGTATATGCTTCCGCAATGTTTTTATGGCTTGCTGTTTTATGTTTGATAGAGTTGCTTTCCAGAGATATCCTCATGATTGGTATTTTTTTTAATGAACAACAAAAAGTTCCTTCATCTACTGCTCACAGCTCTCCTGAATTAGTACAGGTCTGTATCATGATCACGCAAGACCTGGATGTCGTCGGCGAGTCCGTGAATAGGCTCGGCGACGATTGGCAAAGACCGAGATGAATCTGGGGAAGCGGCCTTGCAAACAGTTCGCGGTCGTTTCGGACCGTGCCTCGCGACCCCAGTAAGCGGTCCAGTACGGGAGGGATGCTCCACACTCCCGAAGTCCCCTTACCTTATAAGATATCTGGCACTTGCTTGTCGAGGTCAGCGAATGATTATCAAACACAATACCCTCACAATGAAGTACAATGTTGATATCCCGATCGATGAATTGCAGAAGCCCACAACAGGCCATGGCGGCCATCAACCCTTGAATCCCCACGACGAAGTCTTGCCGAAAGGCTGGGTTGGTGAGAAGTCGACCAAGTCCTTGCCGTGCGATATTCTTATCCAACACGACTTCGGCATTAAGGTGAGAGATGGCGCCAAATTGTACTCGGATATCTTGCGCCCGGCAAACGGCTCCTCCAAGGTGCCGGCCATCATCTGCTGGAGCCCATTCGGCAAGAAGTTCAACGGCATGACCTCTCTCTCGTTCATGGGCCCTTACAATCTTGGAATCACTGGAGCAGACCTGAGTGGCCTGGAGAAGTTTGAGGGTCCCGATCCAGCGGATTGGGTACCACAGGGATATGCAATCGTCCACGTCGACTCTCGAGGATCGTTCAATTCTGAAGGAACCATGGCCATCATGGGCACACAGGAGGCAGAAGACGGTTACGACGTGAGTTTCATCTTCTGACTCATCTGCCACGAGTAGCCACTGATCGTTATAAAAGGTCATTGAGGCCATCGCCAAGCAGCCATGGTGTAACGGCAATGTCGGCCTTGCCGGTAACTCTCATCTGGCCATCATTCAATGGTTCATTGCAGCCCTGAACCCACCTTCACTCAAGGCCATTGCGCCGTGGGAAGGTTGCGGGGATCTTTACAGAGAGCAATTTGCTCGTGGTGGTATTTATGCTGGCGACCTGTTTGACGACACGATCCAGAAGTATATGCTGCGAGGCAATCATGGTATCGAGAGCTTCAGTAAAATGTTCAAGCAACACCCTCTTGCCACAGCTGACGCGAACGACTGGTGGAACGACAAGCGCCCGGATATGAAGAAGATCAAGATCCCCACTTACATTACCGGTACCTGGACCAACAGCATGCACGGCATGGGTGCTATTAGAGGTTGGCTCGAAGTCGCTTGCGAAGACAAGTGGCTCCGCTGGCATCCATACCAGGAGTGGTACGACATCTGGGGTAATCCACAGGCCAAGGAAGAGCTCTTCATGTTCATGGATCATTACCTCAAGGGCATAGACAACGATTGGCTACAGACCCCCAAAGTCCGTATGGCGGTGCTACGCTTTGGTGAGACTGACGCTATCGCAAACAAGGTCGTCGAGGACTTTCCCATTCCTGGTACTGACTACCAAAAGTTCTACCTGCAATCTGACAGTACAATGTCAAACACCAAGAGCTCGACTGCAGAGAATGGAACCATGTCATATGACGGCCAGACCGGATTCTTGTCGTTCAAGCATACCTTTGAGGAGAAGACACAGATTGTCGGTCTGCCGAAAGCGGTACTGCACATGTCTTGCAAGGAATACGATGACATGGACATCTACCTCATCCTTCGCAAACTCTCAGTTACTGGTGAGGAGATGTGGAACTTGAACATTCCATGGTCTGCTGTACCAGTAAAGAAGATTGCCGATATCCCAGAACTCAAACGTACCGAGGTACTTCTGTACAAGGGACCCACGGGTATCTTGAGAGCATCGAACCGCAAGATCGACACTTCGAAATCCATGCACGAAAACTGGCCATACTACACACATGACGAAGTCCAAAAGATAACGCCTGGTGATGTCGTTAGATTGGAGATCGGTATCTGGGCAATGGGTATCGAGTACGAGGCGGGCGAAAGCATCGTGCTCGAAGTCAGTGGTCACTCGAGGGGCATTGTGGAGTTTGGCAAGGACAAGCAGCATACTGACAACAAGGGCCAGCATGTGCTACATCTTGGTGGCGAGTACGACAGCCATTTGATTTTGCCTGTCGTGCCACTTCTGTAGAGGCAAGCTATGTGTTAGTTTTTGCAGATTGGACAAATAATATCACAGCACATTCAAATATGTCATATCAGTCATCTCACGTATGCCCCAAGACCAAATAAACAGTGTCCAGGCGAAGGACCAAGATCTTGTGTCAAGCTCGGTCGCGGATCGATATGTCCCTGGAATGGACAGGAAAACTGGCGATCTCTGGAAGTACGGTCTCAACAAGCAATGTCATTTCTATATAAGCCTTTGCTTGGCTGCAGCTCGAACGAAAACCTCCTGCCTGATCTTGCCCGATCTCGCCCAGTAAAACCTTCACAGATCGATTCAATCAACGAATTCTCGACATGGACATCGAAATCACAAACGCAACGTGGCACATCATGACAGTGACCATCCAGCAGCTCAGCGACACACTTCCAGACCGACCCGATGCGCCTCTCGGGGCGGGCGGTTGATGTCGGCTGGCAATGTATGTCTGCCAGTGGATGTGGCAGCCTAAGGTTGTGACACGTCACCGCTATAGGTACGCGCGTCTGTGGAAGAGCTGTCCCCAAGAGTCGGCGTGCCCTGACAAAATCCTCATCAACATACTCCACGTCGGGACTTGGATTGTTGTGACAATACCGACTGCTCATGCATCTGTCGGACAGAAAAACTCTGATCATTGCTGTTGCGACCTTGATAAGCATTGATATTGGCTAGAATCCTTGGTATGTGAAGGAGAGGCTTGATTTGCCGGCCGTCAAATAGAATACGAGAGTGTCGACGCCATTTCGAGGGGCTGCCTCGGCCGTAACATCGCCCGGTCGTTCATCCCACAAGGCTCCAGTATCATGCAATTGGCCATGCGCAAAGAGAGGAGAACTATAAATACTAGCTTCCACGACCATCTCCTGCCTCCCTGCTGAGGTCACCTTTCGATGTTATGGCCGTTCCTGGGTTGCATAGCGTTGTTCTGCACGCTTCTCCAATTGACCCAACCCAGATTTCCCACCCTACTGAACAGCAGCGGCCATACGTCCACAATCTACCGGCTTCCAAACCAGACCATCCCCCTCGTCTGCAAATCTGTGCATCCACACTTCGCTAATCTCCTTCTGCCTGTAGAACAAGAAGTCTACGAACGATTCTCTGCGCACGACCCGCCCCCAGGGCTATTATCCTATCATGGAATGCACGACGAAATACCTGCTGGAATGATCCTCGAATTCGCGCAACTGGGAAACTTGCAGGACTGGTTGCTCGAAGGACATGTCCCAACCAAGGACATGCTGTACAAGTGGACTTACCAAGCCACCGAGGCTTTGGAATTCGCTCACAAACTTGGAGTCCTGCACGCTGATATTCACTGCCTGAACTTCTTCTTGACAAAGACGCTAGATCTCAAGGTCGGCGATTGGGGCGGTGCATCCATAGATGGAGGAACGTCGCATTGCTCGTATCGATACAGCCACAGGTTATTCGGGGTCGATGGCACTGACGTCCCAGCAGAGAAGGGTATCTCTAAGGCAACTGGAATCTTTGCCTTGGGCACTGCATTCTATGTCATGATCTGTGGAGAGAAACCTTGGCCTGAACTCAAAGAGCCAAGGAACAGGCTCGAGATCAGGGAACGAATTGTCAATGGGCAATTCCCAGATACAGGAGGTCTCAGAATTCTCGGTGATGTCGTGGCGAAATGTTGGAGTGGAGGGTTCGATTCCATGACGGAGATCAGGCGTGCTATCGAGGATGAAAGAGACAGAGATATCGAGATGCTTGAACACGATTAGAGCACCACTCCCACAAGTCTCAGTAGAGTTTCCGTGATATTCTTCGATTCTCACGTTGCAAAACTCTAGGATACAATCTAGTCCAAAGTCAAATGATCTCAGGTTGGTATACGTTTGAATTAAAGATACATATATACATACGATCGAAACTCATCGAGAACATGGAAAGAAAAGAGATGACAAAGGAAATTGTCCGCAAAATGTCTATCTAGTTCGAGCCCCCGGCGAAGAAGTATCCAAGGTTTGCACGGCGCTTCATGGTTGAGTTCGAGAACGGAGCTTGTGAGCCCGAAGTGGGCTGCATGCTGGACTGAGTAGTGCTGGTAGAGTTCGTCATAGCGAAGGGTGCACTGCTCGAGCTTGACATTGTTGACATAGTGCTTGTGTGCTCGGTCGATGTTGTACTGTTACTCATAGCAGACATGGTGCTACTGAATGAGCTGGAAGAGACAACTGAGCTCGAAGAGGCAGTACCGACAGGAGTCGCGGAGGTCGTGGAGTTGCCCATTGTGAAGTGAGCACTGCTAGTACTGGAGCTGGAGCTGGAGCTTGATGCAGATGATGTGGTCATGGGAGCGCTAGCTGCAGTCGGGCCAGTGGAGGCAGTACTGCTGTTTCCCATGCTGAACACAGCGGAGCTTGAGGAGGTCAGGAGAGAAGAGGTTGTCATTCCGCCAGTCGACATGACAGAAGAGGATGTCGTGTTGCCGTTGGAGAACAGAGCACTGCTGCTGGATGACGAGAGTGGGGAAGATGAGGTGGTGACCTCGGTTGATGAGATCACGGAGGAGGATCGAGAAGAGCTTGAAGCTCCCGTGCCAGTAGGTCCAACAGATGTTGCTGTACCATTGCCCATGGTGAAGACAGCAGAGCTCGAGGAGGTTGGGCCCAAGGAGGTAGTATTCTCATCAGAGACGGTGGAAGAAGTTTTGAAAATGCTGGAGGTTACAGTGCCTGTGGGCCCGGCAGACGAAACCGTGCCGTTGCCCATAGTAAAGACAGCGGAGCTGGAGGAGCTAAGGCTGGAAGAGGTGGCCATGCTTCCAGAAGCAGTAGAGCTGGTCATTGTACTGTTCTTCGACGCCGAGGGCCCTGAACTGGAAGAGATTAGAGTCGAAGAAGTAAACAGGCTTGCAGATGCAGTTGGACCGGCAGCAGAAGTTGAATTGCCAGTGGGGAATGGTGCACTGCTGCTAGTCTCGATTGATCCGTTCGTCGACGATACACTGGTGGTCGATCCGGAAGTAGTGGTACCATTGCTCGTGGGGATCATAGTGGAAGAAGTAGAGAGAGTGCTTGACGGAGAACCGGTAGACTCCGCACTTGCTGTGCTGACTTCTGAACTCGTTGATTCGGATGAGCTTGTGGATCCGGAAGAAACAGAGTTGGAGACAGTAGATGAGGATGTGGACACGGAGGAGATGATAGCAGAGGAGGAAACAGAGCCCGATTGAGCCACGCTTGACGAAGTGGTGGGTGCAAGAGTGGATGCTGTGCTTGGAGAAACGCTCGACGATGATTCGATAGCACTCGATGAAGAGAGAGGTGTATTCGTCGACGAAGCCGATGCACTTGAGGAGGCTGACCCGGTCAAAGAAGCTCCAGAGACAGAGGAAGCTGTCGTCGTAGCTGAGGCAGACGGTTCAGACGAAGGCGCCGAGGAAGAAGTCATAATGGCGGTAGCACTGTACTGAGAACTCGACGCAGATGCTTGCTGAGCAGTGGCAACAAGGATGGCAGCGAATGCATTGGGATTGGGGACAGTGCCAGTGATCTCGCTGAAAAGTGTACACTGGCCACCGCTGAAGTAGTTGGCACCCTTGCACCCAGGGAAGTTGTCACAGAATCGGAGACAGGAGCTGAGGGAAGGTGCAAGCGCGCGCTTCTTCATGGTTCCGTTGCTCGCGTTGATCTCATCACCGTTATCGTCGAGGGTGATGCCCGAAGTATCAAAAGTCTTGCCCATGTAAGCTGTTCCTCCAGTGACGGCGTAAACGTTGCCAGAGTCGTCGCTACACTGTTGAGTGGATGTGGCATTCGCACTGCCGCATGGGGGAAGAGGCTTGTTGGATACCTCCAGAGCAGGTGCAGAGGTAGGGGCAGCCTGAGAAGTGGAGGCACTTGATGCACTCGAAACTGTGCTGGAAGGAGGACCGCTGCTGACAGAGCCCGACGAAGAGGTGTTCGTTCCAGAAGAGCTGAGCGTCGAGGAGACGGATCCTGACGACGGAACTGATGATGAAAGAAGCGAAGTGTTCGACGTGGCTTGTGTCGTCGAGCCGAGTGATGACTGAGTGGAAGAGCCTGGCGTAGATACAATTGCGGAAGTTGCTGAGCCAGACAAGGATCCACCTGAGCTGGCTACAAAAGATCCCGAGGTGGTGCTTGCAGTCTCAGAAGTCGACAGGATAATGCTAGTTGAACCCGAAACTTCGCCACTGCCTGTAGTCGAGGTCAGGCCGGAGGAAGACTGAACTGCGAGACGAGAGATGGCAATGGCAAAGACAACGTCACTCTGTGCATGTCTGCTACTCTGATCAATGGCACTGTAGTACAAGCATGCGGATGTGTCGGAGTTGAAAGAAGTGGCAACACAGACTGACGATCCAGCGCAGGTATCCAGACAGCTAGTAAGCGTGTTGGCAGCTTGTCTCTTGGCCTTAATGTTCAGAAGAGTGCCATCGTAGTTGACGCCTTTTTGGATAAGGAACTCGATGCCATCGACAGCAGTCTGGTATGGAGTACTGCTAGTGACGGTGCTGGATGAAGAGCTTCCCAACGGTGAGGTGTTACTGGCAACAGCGGATGAGGCAGATGCTGAGCTGGACCCAGCTGCCCCGGAAGATGAACCACTGATAGCTGAAGAGCCTAAACTAGGATTACCAGTGATGGTGGTACCAGGAAGGGTTGTTGTAGGACCGGGAACATAAAGCGTGGTGGGCCTCGTACAAGGACAGTCGCTTATCACGGTGGGCCCAGGGATGACGGTAGTCGAACCAGAGATGATGATGGTCTCACCACCATTGCAGGTGACAGAGTTGGGATAGACGACTCCAGTTGTGTAAGTACCACCAACAGTCAACGTTGTGGCCTTGGTGCAAGGGCAGTCGTAGATAGTCGTGGCCTGGGTGACGATGATGGTCTCTTCGTCGATGATGACCGTTTCGCCTGCAGAACAAGCAACCGAAGATGGGTAAACGACGTCGGTAGTGAAGACAGCGCCGGCAGTCAGGGTGGTGGTGGAGCCTTCGAATATGGTGATCGTCTTGCCATCGATCACGGTGACAGTCTTGCCTGAGCCACCGATGTTCTGATTTTGAGGAGATCCAGCGCCATGGGGTGAGGCTTGATTATTGCCAGGCCCACTGCTGGAATCCTGGTTGTCATTGTGTCCATTGCCAAAGACAGAGTCGGATCCCTGAGCGCTGTTCGATCCTTGGACAGGACTCGGAATGACATAGCGGGTTGAAGTCGCAGTGGTGGGGACGTTGTCTTGCGTAGCATAACCGATGTTCACTCCAAGAGTATAGGGTGAGGCATTGCAGGAAGCAGCGCAAAGCGAAACTGTAGCGACGGGACAACTAGTCACGGTAGACCATTCTGTGCGAGTGATAGTGAAGGTCTGAACAGTGTTGAGACTTGGTGAAGACGATGCGGCCAGTGTGGCAGAGCCCAGCAAGCTCAGAGTAAGAAAAGTAGTAATCATTCTACAAGACAACAAACAGACAAGAAAAAGAGTGTGGGGGATGAGGCGGACTGGTCTCGCTCACTCAGGTTACAGGACATAAGATAGCATGTTATATGATTGTGGGCAGGACGCAGACTCCTCTTGATATTTCAACAGGAGTATTGGCAGGAGACTTTACAAACGGTATGATTGCCCAAGGGATACAACTCCTCGGGGATACGAGTCTATGGGCTCTACTCGCGAGCGCCCTACACGTGGTTTTGACATGGCAATGCAGCCAGAAGAACCACCGTTTCTTGGAGACGTTTTATAACGGTGCTTGTCGACCGGTGTGTCGCGCGGCGCTGGTCCTTGTCTGTTGCTCGATCGGCTTCCTTCTAATTCATGCAAGCACAATGTTACGTGGCAAGCTTCACAGCAGCGCTGAACAAGAAAGTAAGAACACTCAATTGATACCACGATATGATCCGGCAAGAGTAGATGTTTTGTAAGAGTCAAGTACCGTGGGGAGTGGGGAAACAGATCTGGAGTTCGGCAATTCTGGCTTGTCGCCGTTGAACTCTACAAGTCGGCAGGTACGAGCCCCTGGCGCCCCAGGGTGGAAGCAGGACAATGATACGATTCTTTGTAAAACAGATACGGCTTACAATGATCGAGCAGACGCTTGCCGCGTTTAGGCTCAACACGAAAGAAGAGAAGGATGGAAGAATTTACCAGGCTCTTGAGAACCTCGACCCAGCAGAAGTCTGACGTTGCAACTCCTGCCTCAGTATGTTAACAGCCAGTTAAGCTCTAACAGTTTTTATAACCGGTTGCATTCTTGCACAGAATTAGGAGAGACGCGTAATCATCAACGAATTTGACTCGCAAGGGGTGCAGAAGGCCACAGCTGAGAATGGATCCCGTGTTATATCGCGCCTTCCCAAGTATGTCATCTGCTACACAAGCATTAGATGGAGACAAAGGGTCAATTTTAGAGTTGACCGGATCAAGTGTTTTCATCCGACAGTCAACATTTTTATATCTTTGTTCCAAACTCTAGTTGATCATGTTGGCTAGGCAATACGACTACCCATATCATGGCACAGTCTGGTAAACACTAGTCCAGGCATCATACTCCTGCTCGTAGCATATTAAGTTAGCGAACATGCTTTTCTCTCTACAAGGCTCTATATTCCATGAGGTATAAAACCACGTCGAGAGCAAAATGACCCAATCAATCAACCATAAGACACATCCCGGGGTTCTCGAATTCGAGTCCGAGAAGACCCTGCCTCCATACCGTTGATAAGGGACGGGGATCTAGGAACCTCGATGCCGTTCTGACCTTAAGCCCTAGCTACTCTATCTGACTGAACGTCTTAGCTATGATCCTCACAATCTCGAGGCTTTCCTAGCATGCTTACGCTTTACGCACAGGGTCTTGTCCCACAAGCCTTGTGATAAACCGTTCAGTACACCGGCATGAACCTCGTATTCCCAGCAACGTTACTGGTTTTATCTTCAAAGCTACCATTTCATATTATAACGTGTGCGTAGTATCCAGAGGGAAACTATGCCACTTGTCCTTCCAATTGGCATTACGGCTTTCTGGCCAGACACGGTGTAGGGCAGCTATGATCTGCGCATTCGTGATTTTTGCTAGTTCACCCGACTCCTCCATATAGTTTCGATCTAGCTGGTCCTCCTGATCATATTCTTCGAGTACGCATTCATGAGGCCGGTCGTCTCGTAGGGTTCCAGTACACGTCCAGGAGTGCCCGATGTACTGCAGTAACTTGATTAGATCATGTCGAGAGCCCCATCCCCCGTCCGCTCCAAACGCCTCGACCCGCAGTGTCAGACATTCAAGAGGTGTAGCGTAGGCGGGTTTCGCAGCCGATATAGTACGGAACACCGATTTGGCGAGTGTATCATCGATCGCGAAATCGATCAAGACTTTGTCTACTTCGCTCAATCTGCCCTCTATATCAGATGATGCTGAGCTGTTAGCAAGGCTCACGCCCCTCAATATCTCTTCGTCCCCAGATAGAGATTGTGAACAGTAGATTGAGAGATGTATCTTGCGGAGTGTAGGAATCTTGCCCAGGCCTCGATATATCGCGACCTCATGAGCATCTCCCTGGGTTCGAAGTATACACAACGAAACGTCTTCGAGAACCGGACACCTTTGCTGTAATGTGTGGGAGAAATCCGGACTGGCGAGCCCAGAAGAGCTCGGCTCGGGGACACTTCCTGACTGATCGTCTGTCAGTGCTAGATGGAGTCGCTGTAGGAATGCACCACTATGGTCGATCGCAGATATGACTGTACGTTGTTGGTATGTTCCGGTCAGTTTGAGCTTTCGAAGAGGCGGCAAAGCATGAAGGAAGTCCTCGGTTGCGTCGGCCAATCCCTCCACGTTGTCCTCGACGGCCAAGTCGGGTTTAATGATGAGGGTGTCAAGCGAGTCGAATCGACAATGGTCGGTAAGCCAGCGAAGTTCCGATGGAACGATAGAGTGATGCAGTTTTAGACTTCGCAGCGCTGAAAAGTCTGTCAGTTTGCTCCAAACACTGAGAGAGTCGATCGTGATCCTTGTAGCTAACTCTAGACAATTTAGGGCGCCTCGAGCAGTATTTAATGAGAGCGGCGAGATCAAGGCACGGTGCCATGATTGTCTTGGGACCCTTAGGGCAGCGACAAGCCATGGATCGCACCCGCTCGACTCGTAGAGTAGACTGACTTCTTTGAGGCTCGGTGCTACACTTGCGACCATCTCTCTGACGGCATCTTCGTTGTAGTTCGCACAGTCTGAGTACATGTAGTCGTATTTCATTGCAATGCTGTAGAGACACGGTGATCTGGCAATTTCAAGCTCGTGAGGGTCGATATCGATCGGGACCTGTGGAGGTTGAATCAAATTGCGCAAAGAGAAATTCCGCATATGGAGGCGACATTGGGGGAGGCGATCGTGGATGTATCGCAATACGCACGGAGGAATTTGCTCACGACAACCCCATGTCAAGTCCCGAAGGCCCCGAAGTCTTTTAAGGAGCTGCTCCAGCTTTTGCCACTGTGCGTGATGTTCGAGTTGCCTGGTTGAGCGATCATCGATAGCACAAAATCGCCAGGGATCCAAGGGGTGATCGCCACAGTTCTCGAGACGCTGAGACAATGACAACGAATAGAGATCCTTCGCGACTACCTGGAGGTGTTCAACAGCCGCGAAGCTGTCGGAAGATTGTAACACAGCAGTCCAGCGCTCAACAGTAGCCTCCAGTGTCTGCGGCGACGAGAAGTTGACACAGACTGTATGGAAGAAGCGTGGTCTTGAAGCCGCCCAACAGATTTTGTTGATAAGAGAGAACTGAACTAGCTCGTGGCGACTGAGAAAGCGACATATGTTTTGCAGAACCTCCGTCGGCAGACGATCCATATCCAGATCTTCTTAGCACGATACCATAACACACTTGTCAGCGCTGGCTCTTGCTCACCCAGATGCTGGAAGCGACGAAGATAAGCAGAGAGATATCGCGTGGTTTGAAAGGACAGGAAGTTTGGGTTTGTTCAGATGCCGCCTTGAAGATCAAAACAGGGTCAGCAGTCGACCCCGCATTTCGCCTGACCGAGATCGGCGTGCATGTGCTTACGTGCAGCTGCCTTTAAATGGACTTTAAACGGTCCGCTCGGGTTGCTCAAGTCTGTCTTGTTGATAGAACACTGTGAAACGCGAGATCTTGTCTGCCAAAAACTGCAATAGTCCAAAGGCCGAGGCTCGACAAGCGGGGTCGCATGATCACTGTCTGCTTTCTGCTAAGACTTCGTCGAGAGTTCGAGCAAGTAGCTTATCTCTACCGCTTGGTTCCCACCGAATCATCAGCCACCAAAGCTTGCCTGGGTCGATCGCCTTTGGATGTCACCCTGTGGCGCATGCAAGACATCGTCTGATAGGTCCAATTGTATGCTTGAAAAAGCCATGAGCTTGTTCTGCATGATCAACATCAAGTCACGGTCTTATCCTTTGTCGAAGCCGGTCCGCTAGGCATGACGACCTTCTTGTTCTGGGAGTGCTGGTGACAATCATCCTTAGAGACTGGCACACTCCCCCGCTCTGGGCTTCTCCGCATTAATAACGCATGCGCTCGATGATCGTCTTGACCTGGACATACTCAGCTGGTGAGTCTAGCATACAACTTAATCCGGGAATATCGTGCTGCATACTGTGTCTTTGTAAGTTCGTAACTTCATAGAGACATATATAAGGTCGCGCGGGTCCCCTCCCAAGTGCTCCCAGCAGGTCAAACAAGAATTGTCTTCCTTCATCTCTCGCAATTGCAGTTTACCAAGATGTTGTCCTCTCTTCTCACCAGCGTGTTTGTCGCGGCTGCTCTTGCTTCGCCCATTACACCGTCCTATGTCGCCCACGAGCGCAGACAGGCACCTCCTCGAGGTTGGCTCAAGGCAGAAAAGGTGCCAAGTGATTCGATCCTGCCAATGCGCATCGGGCTTGTTCAGTCGAATCTCGAAAAGGGACATGATCTGTTGATGGATGTGTAGGTTTATATCATGTAGCAAGAGCGAGACAGTTCTCTGATCCATTCCCAGCTCAACACACACCTCCCCCAACTATGGCAAATACTACACCGCCGAGCAGGTCAACGAGATCTTCGCTCCAACCAAAGCCTCTATTGACTCGGTCATCGACTGGCTTGCATCTCACAACGTGAACGGCATCAGCTTGTCCGCCAACAAGCAATGGCTGCAATTCGACGCGCCTGTAGAGATAGCCGAGAAGCTTTTCAGGACGGATTACCACGTCTACGAACACGCAATCAGTGGTGGCAAGAACGTCGCATGTGATGAGTAAGTCGTGTTGCGTTCCTGTTCGTCTGCTTGACGTTCTAACAATTCTCAGATACCACGTACCAGAGCACCTGAGCGAGTACATCGACTACATTACCCCAGGTATCAAGCTTTTCTCTCCAGCCAGGAGCGGGCACGCAGTGAACGACAAGAACGCCATCGAGAAACGTACTTTCGGTGTAACCAATGGCAAGGCGACAAAGCCACCGCCGCTCCTCAAGGCACTTCCCTTGGCAATCAGCGAGCTTTTGGGTCTCGCAGAGCTTAGCCTTTGTCAAATTGCCGCTACCCCGTCTTGCATCGCAAAACTTTACAACATCACTCAAGCCACTAGCGCCCAAGCTGGTAACGAGCTCGGTATCTTCGAGGACCTGGGTGATGTTTATTCTCAGACTGACCTGGATGAGTTCTTCTTGACCTTGGCCCAGTAAGTCTCACCAACAATTTATGAGAGAACGATCTGACCAGATTCAGACAAATTCCTGTTGGCACTCACCCAAAGCTTGAAGCCGTTGACGGAGCTGTAGCCCCTGTCAGTGTTGCCAATGCCGGTGCTGAGTCTGACCTTGACTTTCAAATCTCGTACCCGATCATCTACCCACAAAACTCTATTCTCTTCCAGACCGACGACCCAGTCTATGAAGCAAACTACACCTACGAAGGCTTCCTGAACAACTTCTTGGACGCTATCGATGGCTCTTACTGCAGCTACGACGGTGGTAACTCCCCTCTTGACCCGCCTTACCCGGACCCACAGCCTGGTGGCTACAAGGGTGCTCTCCAGTGTGGTGTTTACAAGCCAACGAATGTCATCTCTATCTCTTACGGTGGACAGGAGGCAGATCTACCTGCATCGTACCAGACGCGTCAGTGCCATGAGTACATGAAGCTCGGTATGCAAGGTGTCTCCATCGTGCTTGCGAGTGGCGATTCAGGAGTTGCAGGACCAGCAGGCGATGACAACGCAGACGGCTGCCTTGGGACTGGACAAGTCTTCAGCCCTGACTTCCCAGCAACATGTCCCTACCTCACCACTGTCGGCGCGACTTATCTTCCACCAACCGGAAACGTCTTTAAGGACGAAGAGACCGCAGTGACCAGATTTGGAAGCGGAGGAGGTAAGCAAGCCGGCCAGAGTATCAAGCTGGATCATCACTGACCATCTCCAGGCTTTTCCAACATTTTCGAAATTCCGTCCTACCAGGCCGCGGCAGTGTCAAACTACCTCACCAACCACCCACCACCGTACACTTCATACTCCACTACTAACGATGCAGACATTGGTGCCGGTGGCGGCATCTACAACCGTAATGGCCGTGGTTATCCTGATGTCTCGGCTATCGGCGACAATGTTCTGATATTCAACAAAGGTGCCCCAACCCTCATCGGTGGCACCTCTGCAGCTGCACCAGTCTTTGCGGCTATCTTGACCCGCATCAACGAGGAGCGTCTCAAAGTTGGCAAGAGCACTGTTGGCTTCGTCAATCCAACTTTGTACGCCAACCCAAGTGCCTTCCACGACATTACTACTGGAAACAACCCTGGATGTAATACCAATGGCTTCTCGTAAGTATCCTCCCAACACCTTGCGTGGATACACACGTGTCTAATCTTCTTGCAGTGCTGCCACAGGCTGGGATCCTGTGACTGGGCTCGGCACTCCGAACTACCCTGCTTTGCTCAAGGTGTTCATGGATATCTAAGCGTGAATTAGAGTAATAGGAACCATTACCCAGACAGCATGATATAGTGCAAAAGTAAAAGGTAGATACGAGGCATGTGTCACGAAATATGATAGTACAAGAATATTCTGAGATCAGATATGGATTCGCCAAGATCGGGACGCGCGACCTCTCGCTCGACCACTTGCTTGACCACTCCATCGCCTACGTCTTCGTCTCTGAGGAGGCGAACGTGTTTTTCATCTAGCTACGAAGCACAAAGTTCCGTAGGCTAAAGTCACAGCAAGTATATTGAGCTATGTGAAGACTTCTGATGGGGCAATGTATACATATGTCATTGTGTCTTCCCACTGATATTTCAATCTTGATCTAATTCTAGACCATGCGGATCGTGGTTAACTCATCCTATCAACCCTCGACAGTATATCTACTCGCCTTATCAAAGATGTCGCGGATCGCTACCTTATAGTTTTCATTGTCGTCCAGCTTCCGGGTAATGAAATCGTCAACATCCTCGCCCCATAAGCGCGACAGTGATGCGCCTTCGATATGCAACTGGAACTCTTGCGGAAAGAATCTGGGCATGAGATGCTGCGCGAAGATACCTGGATAGGCATTAATCGTACTCAAAGCGAGCACGTACCAAAACATCCCCGTGTCAAGGTCTCGGCGCAGACGTTGGCTCGAAGAGTCGTTCTGCGACACTGCTTTCTCTTCGATCTCCAGAACACGCACAAATTCATCATAGCGTTTCCTAAACTGCTCGAGGGACTCACCCTCGAGCTCATCAACGCCGCGGCCTGTCAGCCAGGCAGGCGCCGTAACCATTTCTTGCGGAACAACTGGCGCAAACTCGAGGTCAATGACGCCCGTCACATTCCAGTCGTCATCGACGAAGATGTTGCTTCTGTGCAAGTCAGGCAGCGAAAGCACAAAGGGACCGGAGTCAGATTGAGTAGTGAAGAATCGAGGAAGGAGCGCTCTCATACCCACCAGAGCCGCCAGTTGATGTGTGCCATCGTTGACACTAAGAATAGAGTTTGGTTGATGTATAAGGCGTTGCTCCTGGAAACGAAGTTTATCATGAACATACGATGCTGCTGAAGTATAAGTCGTGTTCTGTCACGTCAGTATATCGTGATGTACTTGGATTCTCGAGGCACGCACCCTCGAGACCTCCGTTGGGATAGCATGCCTGTTCCACGATATCTGGAGATCAAATATTGGGCGATTCGTGAGGGAAATATCCCCATCGTTGTCCATGGTCCAGGAGCCTATCCGGGCCAGAGGCACATTGGCCAGTCTGAGCAAGATTTTGGCGAGGCCGTGGTACAAGTTTCGACGCCGTTCTGGATCTTCCATCTTTTCATGCCAACTCGATGAGAGCATTTTCCCATCCTCGACCCACTCCAGGAGCAGATAACCAGTATCTGTCAGGTCACTACGGCTGTGGGCTCAGAGAGGAGTCGTCCTTCGTCCTCGAAGACGATTCCACAATCGGCGGATTTGCCAAACAAAGCGGCGATGTAAACTTTCGTTCTCCACGGCAGTGAACTATCGATATACTCAGTGTGCTGCGTGAACGATTAGCCTGGATTCCGACACGTCACTCACCGTGTGTCAGCCTGGAAAGCCCATCCCGAGCAATCGTGGAATGGGAATGTCAGGGCAGTTCTCGCTCATCCAGACATAGGTCGCCGCCTCACAACAAAGTTTTTCGTCTAGGGTGCCAGGAATGAAAGACTCCCCAGCATTGTACGGAAGCGGGAATCGAATGACAGCTCCAGAGGGTAGTCGAACATTGTGACTATTTTTGATGTCTATTGGGAGACATATGTTGAAACCCCCCTCGATCCAAGCAGAAGGAGGGTACAATGCGAAATCATTAGCAGGGATCCCCAAATGACGAGAGATCAAACGCTCAATCTGTGATGTCCGAGCAATGAGCTTGTCATGTATGAATTTTGTGTTTTCTTTCTCGATCCTGAGCGCGGGGATCATGTCAAGATCATTGGCTAAGGCTTCTGCCTCGGACATCATGCCAAGTGGTGTGTTGATGGTTACTCTCTGAGTCATGACAGTCGAACAAAGCGATCTAAACGAGAGCTGGGGTGTGGAGCGATCAATGATCTTTATGAGAGGTCAGAGGTTGATTATTCGATCTTGGACATTCATCAGTCAAATTAGATAATGTGACTGGAGAGGCTTCTCGCAGAAGAGGCATTGAAGGGTTGAGAGAAAGATCGCGACCGTGGATACAACGAAGACAACACGTAAAGTCGTAGCCGCCGCCAAGACATGCATGCAGCCGAAGGCGGCTCAGCTGGCCTTCTCATCACACTGATGCCAACGAAATCTACACACATTACGACAAAGCTCTCTTCTCGGCTTGCTTTGGGCTGAGACTGGATGCGACGGCGGGGAGATGTGGTGGCAGAATTGGTCCTTGGACTAAGTCTAGCAGAATACTCCTAGATTTGTACCGCTTGCAATCGTTTCCATATGCGCAAATCTATGCTTTCCCTTGGACTATGAATGTCTTGTGCCATCATATCCCGGAGTGTCTAAATAAATCGCTGGCATCCATGTCATTTCCACATCGCCAAGGACAACTATTCAAACGCTATAGCATAATGTAGGTGGTGCATATGATGTCAACGTAACGGGCAAGAGACTACGTTTGTAGGAGTGAGCACTTTCAATTATGATTTGGAGATCCGGTAACAAACTCAAAGGGAAGAAGAATGGTATGAGTAGAGCGCGCAATCCTCATGGTATTGTCCTACTTGAGAGATGGTTCTGTTAGTAACGATGCCGGCCAAGATACGGCTTTGACAATCATGCGCACCAAATGTAAGCCACCCTGGTGTATTTTCGCGAGACAGCTATCACACCGAAGGGCAGGCGGCAAATCGTCAGACATTAGGCCATGCACAGTGGAGCAGAGCTGCTACAAGGACACTCCACTACATGAATGTAACCTCTTGCCTGTCTTCAGGGTGCCCGTGCTATTTGGCGCCGTGATGTCAGCCTGGAGAAAGTGTGAGCGTCTTGCTAACCAAACACGATACGGAGCGCTCGACGTCCCAATCCAACGGAGACTGCCTCGATCGACTCAATGACTACTACTGCGACAAACATCGCGACTGACACCGCCAAGATTGTGTGTGTACTGGACTTGGGAGTCCCCAGCAAAGCGACGTTTCATCTGACTTGTGGACTCAGGGTCGATCATGTTCTGAGGTTCGTGCGTCTCACTTCGCCAGCCGATTTGTTGCTGCTACTTTTCCAACAACAATCACGCTCGCGAAGACGCTCCTTTGGACGACGGTATCTGTAAGTCTTCTAGATACAAGCCTTTTGGCGCGGAGGTTTGGGTATACAAGATGACGAAATGTAAAACGGTCTGCGGAGCTGCCGGAAACACTTGCACCACCGTCATCGTGTTCGCATCACCAAACTCTAAAGTCGACAACATCAGAACATCTATAAATGTCATCCTCCTTGCAATATCGGTTCTTCTTGATCTTACCCCGGGAACCGTTTCAATTTTCGACCATTTCCGCTGATTTCGAGACCGCCAACTTTCGCCTCACGCAAATTTCGCGACTTCACATTTTCCACCATGGGCTACCCAGAGACCGCTACGGGCTTCGTTGTCAGAGATCCCAAGCAGTACGTTTCATCTTCGCTTTGCCGAGGACACCCATTGACTCGAGTCAAAGATGGCAATCCTTCCACAAGGAAGAGTTCAAGCTGAAGACATTCGAAGAGGACGATGTGGATATCGCCATTGATGCATGCGGTGTCTGCGGCTCCGACGTACACTGTATGACTCCGACATGCCGTACGATGTCTGTACCGCTTGCTGACACAAACAGCTATCACTGGCGGCTGGGGAGAAACCCCTCTTCCTCTCTGTGTCGGACACGAGATCATCGGTACGTCGTGACAGACCACAATCGCTTCGTTCTCTTGGTCGCGTCAGCACTCCTCCCTGTCCATGTCACCACGCTGGCTGTTCCACCAAACATCATGCCGGAGCTTTGCTGATTCTGCTTGCAGGTCGTGCCGTCAAAGTCGGCAGTAAGGTCAAGGATATCAAGGTTGGTGACCGTGTTGGTGTAGGCGCCCAAGTCGGTGCCGACCTAAACTGCGACAACTGCAAGGCAGATCAGGAGAACTATTGTCCCAACCAGTGAGTGCGAAGGCGATCTTTGTACTGCCGGACATCTGACAGACCATCTCAGAATTGACACATACGGTGCCAAGTACGAGGATGGCACCGTTTCTCAGGGAGGGTTCTCTTCGCACATCCGAGTACAAGAGTATTTCGTGTTCAAGATCCCTGAGAACCTTGATACCGCCATTGCAGCCCCTATGCTGTGTGCTGGTCTGACAACTTATTCCCCTCTGGTCCGTCTCGGGTGCGGTCCTGGTAAGAAGGTCGGTATCGTCGGAATTGGAGGACTCGGCCACTTCGCACTCATGTGGGCACACGCCCTCGGTGCGGAGGTCTTTGCAATTTCTCATACCAAGGACAAGGAGGAAGATGCTAAGAAACTTGGTGCTGACCACTTCATCTATTCCGGAGATAAGGATTGGGCCAAGCCATACGCGTTCAAGTTCGATTTCATTCTCAATTGTAAGCTTTTCATCTTACTTTTTTCGCATGCATATCATATACTGATAGCGATCAGGCTCCGACATGACACAAGAATTCGACATGTCCACATATCTTGGTACTCTGAAGGTCATGGGTCGCTTCCACAACGTTGGTCTTCCCGACTACGACCTTCCCGCTATGAAGGCTCAGGATTTTGCACCGAATGGATCATACATTGGTGCCAGTCACATTGGTAACCACCCTGAAATGGTCGCTATGCTGGAGCTTGCTTCGAAGCAGAACATCAAGTCCTGGATTGAGACTATCCCCATCTCGGCCGAGGGCTGCGCCAAAGCTGTCACTGGCGTCAAGGAGAACAAGGTCCGCTACCGCTACACTCTCACCGAGTTCGATGAGGCATTCGGCAAGCGCTACTAAGCGCGATTTCATTGCCAATTGCCGTATCTTGGATAAATTTAGACAGCCTGGACGTGACAAGCAGGATATCTTTGGACGATGTCATGATGAACATCTGATTGAATGATGAAGCTCTTTTCGATTTCTACGAGTCTTGTGGCACATGTGAAATAGCTGTCATGAACAGTCTGATCCATTCTCGCCGACGTGAGGGAGTAGCAGACGTGATCTTCTGGTAGTCCTCTTGTCAAGTGATTGCAGGACCACGCACGACTTCTAGGTAGCCGATCAGCAGCTTCGTTCAGTCTCCTCAAGATCCCTAGCGGACGGAATACCGACGACATATCGACCTAGCCACTTGGTGTTCTTGCAGTGGTTAGGACTGGACTGGCTGGACATCCATCGGATCCACAGATCAGTGGGTAGGGAAGGTTCGAACATGCAGCAAGGAGAAATCGCGCCCTGCTCTGGTGTTGTGCTTAAGTCTGTACTGAATTTTTGCCATTGTAAGCTGTGTTAAGACGTGGATTTTCTCGAGATATCTACAGTCGCTACTTCCACTCCTAGTGAGCTTGCATCAGCGAGTTGGGAGGGTGCAACAGATGACAACAAACTGTATTGCTAGACTACTCAAAGAGCAGCAGCGACACCCAGCATAGCAAGAAAACCAAGACCAGCACCAACATTCGCAGCAGCGCCAGTGTAGACAGCCATTGAAGTCGTTGCAGATGCACCAGCGGCAGTGCTGGCACTAGCCTGGGACGAAGTCATCATGGATGAGCTGCCAGTCTTAGCAGCAGCAGCAGAGGAGGAGGTCATCTGGGCAGCACTGCTGGAAGATACGACAGCAGCTGACGAGGAGGCAGGAGCGGCTGATGAGCCGCCAGCAGCCTGAGCGCCAGTACCGTTGGGGCAGAGAGAGCTTGCGGCAGCGGCAACCTTCAATGCGTCCTTAGAACTGCAGCTCGAGGTCACGCAGGAACTGACGCCAGACTGATAGGCAGTATTGGAGCACAGGCAGGCAGAGTCGGTAGGCGAGCAACCAGTGGCTGCGATGCCACTCAGAATACAGGTTTGCTAGCGAGATTGTCTTAGCATACAGAACGGCACTTGAGGGATGATACATCACATACACCGCAACTCGGCAAGCTGGAAAGGACAGAAGCGGCGTTGGACTGAGCCAGGACTGGTACGACAAAGGCAATGGCAGCAGCGAAGATGGCGGCGGTCCTCATATTGGCGAGTGCAAAGTGGTTGATCGATTGAGGGAAGACGGTCGGTGACAGTGAGAGGATGTAAGCGACAGATAGTAAGATGATGGGAAGAGACAGCACTTGACATGGGAAATGGCAAGATATTTGAACTTGTTCAAGTCTGATTCAGGGAGCAGCGCCTCACACCCAGATTTGACCGAGGTACCTCGTCTCTCTGGGGAGGTTTTGGAAAGTTCAGACGGTTGGCACGATTTGATGTTCCTGACCAGACTTTGTATGTAGAAACAGGATCAGGTGTACCATCTGCTACGATTAACCTTTTGTTCCCCTCAAATCATTCCTACAGTAACCACTCCAAGCCGCACGATGGAAGCAAAGCAGCGACTGTCTCCGGGCTGGCTCGAAACGACCTTTGGGCTATATGGAGAACTGGAAGCTCACATGGGATTATACACGGATTGGTTCTCGTCAGCTCATGCAAAGAGGACCATCAACTGGGAAATTGCTGCGCACGTCGCGTGAGTCGAGGAGGTGAATTCACCATGGACGGAGAAATGATGCCGAGGCAGGCTTGAACGACAAGCATTTCCCGCCTTAGCAACCCTTGGCGACCTCGGTGTGATTGACTAGACTAGAACTATATTGACGACACCAATATCCAGGAACCAGAAAAGGAAGATCGTGAACAGAACGGGATGGTATGAGCGGTGGGTTAAGGTTTGTCGGAAATGAGGGGTAGTAGAGCCACATTTCTGGCGCTAGGATGGATAAAGGCAGATGAAGTAGTTCCCCACGGGGCCGGACTGACGGCGAGCGCCAACTTATCCAATGATCCGTCTCTATGGCTGCCATTCCTGATTCTTGTCTTTCTCGGAGTCGTTACAAGCTCATCCCCCAAGCACGCCAATGCAGTGGCATCAGCCTTGTACACCCCTAATCCGAAGTCTCGGTTACGGCGCCGTCTCTATTGGAGCTTGTGTCTAACTAGGATAACATGGAAGCATTGTGCTGAACACTGATCAACCTGCCATCTCGTCCTTGATATCCGCACGAGCTTATCATGGTCAATTCAACTCCATCACACGTGGTGCAGTTAGTAAGTTACACACAAGAATGTAGTGCTTTCTCTCATCAAGCTAGATAGCGCGATGAGGGGCCACATAGTGTTCATGCGTTTTCTCGGTCGGCATCTGGATGTTGAAGCCCTATCACATACGACTGCAAGTAATTCTTGGTCTTCCATGTCTTAAGACACATTAGCGAACACTAATGAAGTTCTTTCACATTCTGAGTGATCGCATGTGACAGCACAAAGCAAACATTTCTAACTACTGTCCATTGTATGGCCAGGATACGAAGCGCGGTCCCAGCCTTGTGCAATTTCCTTGACGGCAACAATATTTTTGTCCTTGGCGGAACCAAACAAGGAGAGTCACGTTAAGGAGTCGATTGACACTGTAGTATCTTTCGCGCTTGACGATAATACAAGTACGTCTCTCAAGTCAAACCAGGGTCAGACTGCTACATCCTTGACAGACTATTCTCACCACGAGACTCAGGTGCATCCACCATCATCGTGATACCGAACACCTCTGTAAGCAAGTCCACCAGTGCTTTTGCCGAGTTCTTTGTCATCACTGCCCTTGCGAAAATATTTTGGTGGATGCACATCCCAAATTGCTTCTCCTTCTCCAGCTGCGAGGTCAGCTTGCATCACAAACTCACGGCCCTCCTTCCATGCGACGACTGTCGCTGGTGCATTGACTGTATTAATGCGCGATTCAACACAGTCAATCATGATCGTACTCTCTGGCCAGCCAAGTGCTGCAGCAATGCTCCCATCCCCCTTGATCCTGTTGAGGACATCCTCACAACCGAGACTTTCAACCTTGCATTGAGGCTGGAGCGCGACTGGGCTCCAGGCCTCCGCCCGACTCTCTATTGCGCACGCCCGACTTGCTCTCTACCATTTACTCTTAACGCTATCTCTGAACAGGACATCACATGCTCCGCCTGCTCTGCCCAGACTTGCAGGCTCTGCCTTTCTCTCGCCCACAGCGGCCATTGCCAGATCGACGAGACAATCGAGCTTGTCCTGAGTGCTCTCAACTACGGTGCTTTCAAGCGTTGTCCCCAGTGCAATCAGATGATCGAACTGACTGAAGGCTGCAACCACATGACTTGTGCCACTTGCAAGTCTGAGGTTTGCTGGCTTTGCTGTAGAGGTTGGGCTGATTATCGTGCTACTTGCCAGGACTAGATATGCTCTTTCTCATTCTGCTCGTCCTTGATTTCCTAGCTCTCGAGCCATGTATCTGCCTCGCGATTCAACGTTTCATGTAGGTCATTTACATCCACATCATTACTTGTCTCAGTCTTCAACATGTCCTCCCAACATCTCCTCTTTTGCGTGCTTGTGACAATGTCAATGTCGGCGGAACGGACTGTATAATAGATTTCTGAGTTTTGTAGACCGTGACCAAAGCGACAAGCTTACCACAGGACGATGGCACGGACAACGTGACAGACTCTGTTTGTGCTTTCAAATTCGTGCAAGTATTTACAAGTGTGTCCTAGTACATGCCTCATTCGAATCGTGGAAGTGCGACAGCTGTAGGCTCCGGAGATATCTGCTTGCCCAACGCTATCCAGGTGGAAATGATGCGACATATGTTTCACTCAGCATTTCGCCGCATTATCTGCTCAGGTATTTGAATAGCCCAAGTCGAGCGGAAGGGAAATCCCACGACCAGATTTGGCCAAAAGTCGTGGTGCCTCAGCTCCCTCCTTTCAGCATGTCGTCATCTCCACCAGTGTTCACTCTGCGACTCCTTCTCACCATAACTTTGTCTGACGACGTTGGAAGTGACACTCGTGCTGAAATAGACCATGTCAAATCGTTCTCTGTCTTCGAACATGGTCCTGGCTTGATCGTAATTCCTCTGACAAACATGGGCGCGTCCCAGCCTGTGAAACTCTCTCAATTCTTTCTTTCAACAAGGACGCGGACGTGGTTGCCGCCACTCAACAACCTGCTATTACTGCCCTACCGATCTCCCCTTCGGACAAACGATTTGTCCGTGCCTCTTGCCCATAGCACAATCAACACTTGGTTGCAGTCGCTATTGCGACGGCTGTTGTTTCAGTATGCGCAACGCTGATCTCGAACCGGCTAACACTACGAGCAGTCATAGCTTCTGTCGCTTTGCCCCGTGTCTTTCCATTGTAGTTAGCAAAAATTCTGTTTCGACAGGAGAGTGTTCATAACTTACCTTGACTTCCGGATGGCCGTCATCACAATTGAGGATCTCGATTTCGATCATGCTTGCGCCTGCTCCTCGCGAAGGCACCTGCAAGCATTTGAACACAGCCTCTTTAGCCGCCCATTTTCCTGCATATGAAGCTCGGCGATCGGCCGATCTATCGCAGTATGCTCGCTCGGCTACTGTGAAGTTGCGCTCCAAGAACACCTGGTTGTCAAGGTTGATGCTGGACAGATCTTCAACATCGATGCCGATCGTAGCGTTGTTTGCACTCTGCATAGCAGCTTTCGACATTAGCTTGATCGTGCTTTCGAGCTCATCGATACTCGTGGGACTCTGCTTGTCGGGGTGCCTGGTGTCAGAGTCTGGCGCAATACTGACAGTATATGGACTCTTCCTATCAACACTCGCTACCCCGTGGCGATACGATGGATCAAGGAAGACTCTTTTCTCCTCCGTCTCTGCCCAGGAAGACTTTTCCTTGACGCGGACAACTCTGCTCTCCAGCATTGCCCGGATGTACGCCTGGTTAGCACCTCTACGACGTTGATCTGCCACACTTTTGTACGTGTCAAACGTGTCTTTTGAAATGGCGGCGAAGAGATATTTCGAATGGACCATGATGACGATACCGCCCTTCCGGCCAAATTCAAACGACGTGAGCATTGTTGCATTGATTCCTTGGGTTTGCAGGGGCCGACCAGGGAATATAAGATGATTGCGCTGTTCAAGTTTCTGTTCGATGTTATCGGCATTCCTGTTGCCCGGTACGATGCCCGTTCGGAGCATTTGCACGCAACCATTCAATTGCCAAGCTCCTGCTGCACCCTTCGGATGCCCCGTCGAGCTCTTTTGGCAGACGACTAATAAAGGCGCAGCAGGCGACCTCCCGAGGTGTTCCACTTGTTGCTTGACCACGTCAGTCTCATTTACGTCGTTGGCCTTGGTGGATGTGCCGTGTAATGATGCTACCTGGATGTCGTCGACCGTAGGATCCCACGTGGCTAGAGCTGAGCGTATCGGCGAGATACCGGGTTCCTGTTCACGCAAGTCGTTGGCCCACATACGTTGCAGCATTCTGACCCTAGCACTTCTCTGAGTGTCGGATAGGGACCTTGTAGAGACAGCCTGCTGGTGCCAATGACGCATCTCGCGATCAAACCTATGCCTGCGGTTTTTGGAATCCAGCAAAGGCGAGTCTGCGGTCCTGATGTCTTCTCGAGCAGCAGTCAGAATGCCTTGCCCTGGAGCTGGCACCGAACGACCTATCTTGTCGCTGACCATCTGAGTCATGACCACGATGCCGTAGATGGGTAGGCCCATCTCCAAAGCTTTCTCGGCGGTCATGATGATCTGAACTCCGCAGCCAGCCGATTCAACAAAGCCGCTACGGCTGGTTGAACAAGAGCGAGACATCTCGCTCGGTAGTTTTCCTAGTCCAAGCTCGGCCGAGGTGCTGCAAGTCGCCTTCATCCTTGCGAACTCGTATGACATTTCCTCCTGGAAATCATCACTGCCACCTACGATGGCCATCTTGGCTTTGCCTGTTAGAATGGCGTCCAGACCACTATCCAGAGACTCTACGGCTGTGGCACATGCTCCAACTGGTGACTTGATCGGCCCTGTCGCGCAATTGGAAAGCTTGAGCGGTGTCTTTGCAAGCTTCGAAAGGCGGCAAATCTTGCTCCACGGCAACTTCATGCATATACTCCTTCTTGTGAGGGTCATAACCTCCAGAGTTTTCGGTTTCGATGAAGTGGATGCCAGCGTGCGACTTTATCTGGGCACCATATCTTTCTTCAATCTCATCATCGCGAATGGGTTCTTTCGTGGTTACGTCGACCCATCCCACATATGGCTTGCCTTTGTTGTCGCCATTTTTGTGTTCGATGAGAGACATGATCCAGGCCATTTCGATGTATCCTTGCATGGTGAAGTCGCCGTTAGACTCCATCTCCCACCGAGTGCGTGAGTTGCCCCACGGACCGAGCTCGGAGAAACCCACCACGACAACGACGCGGGATAAGTCTACCATCCCTTCAGGATACTGTGTTCCTTGTGTTGTTGTTTCGTAGTCAGACAGTGCGGGAAGATCGAGTTCGAAACGAGCTCGCTTTGCTGGTTGAAGCTTCTCTTTCGGCGTTTCGACACCTCGAAGGACTGAGCGTTGAATATCCCGCTCAGCAGCGATAGCCTTGCGAATCGCGACTTCCTCAGAGATACGATTGCGAGCGGCCGCTATGCATTGCTTGAGGTCATCGATGTACTGCATCCCGCCGCGAAGATCGGCATACAGCGGAGTATCCTCACAAAAGCTTGAGATGTCTGGAGTCATGAGTGCGAAAATGTTGAGAGCCACCTCGGACTGTATGAATGTCAAGGCACCCTGAGACTCCACGGCATCTGCGACGATGTTGTTCGCACTCATCAGACCTGTCCCTCGTGTCCAGCCGATGACAGCTCCACATATTGTGACATATTGAGACCAGTTCTCGGAGCGGAATCGATGGAACAAGGTCTCAAGACCTAGCTTTGACTCCGAGTACAGGCCATAGTCATGCGATATAGTGGAATCAGTAGTGACCAATCACAATGAATCTTGCCGTTTGCGGATATCGCTTCATATTGATTCAAGATGCGTAAAGTTGACTTCTCACGAGGACTGTATGCAATTCACGAGATCCATCACATAGCCTTGATATGTAGATGGAGATCAATGTCGAAAAAGTCAGTTAGCCATAGCTGCCTGCTTACTGGCCTCTCACAACTTCTCGATGTTATATCAGTAATATCAGTTCCGAGACAAAAGTTGGGCTGGTTCGCGGCACAATCATGCCAGGCTGATCTCCGCAGGTGGAATGATTACTAATTCCAGGCTTGGCGCAAATGGCGGTGAGCCTACTCATAAGATGTGAGTTCGAGGCTGCACTTTTCTCTCGGACGTATCGAATCATCCTCGCAGCAGTGCTGGAAAGAGAAAGAGTCTTCACCGAAATGCCCTCTCAATCATTGACTGATCTACGCGATATGCCACTCTTAGGTCGAGGAGCCACTGGCTTGGTTTATAAAGTGACAGATGCGATGGTTGTGAAACTGGCTTGCAAAGGAGCCGAGGAGCAGAAAGATCATGCCAATGAGCAGCGCATGTTCGAGATGATCGAGGAGAATCCCGGAAAGATCCCTTACCTGATTGAATGTCACCATCGAACTCCGCATGTCACGTTCCTACAATTTGCCTCTGGCGGAGGTTTCGCAGTGCTTCTCAACAAATACCAGAAGCGCGATGAGCAAAATGGCTGGAAGGTCCTGGAACTCACGCAAGCCCTCGATACGCAGGATATCGACCGTTGGATGGAGCAACTGTGTGATGTCGCTGCCACCTTGGAACGACTCGGACTGGCTCATAATGACATCCGCCCGGGCAATATGCTTCTCGACGCAGAGCGTAATCTGAAATTGGCTGATCTCGATCGTGGCACGAAGGTCGGAGAAGACATTCAGGTGCTGACCGAACCATTTGGTCGGCTCCTAAACAAATCGGAAGGCATCGATGCAGGCAGCTATGGTAAGACAGGCGCTCGCACAGATATTTTCGCTATCGGCTCCGTCTTCTACAGCCTTCTTCGTGGCTGTGAGCCTCACGAGACTGAATATTGGGGGAACAACCATGGTGTTATCCTGAGTTAAAAATTCCAAAACAAAGAATTCCCACATTTGGCTGGATCTATCGAGGACAACATTATACGAAAGTGCTGGCATGGAGAGTATAGACAGGTTAAGGATCTATTGGATGGAGTCGAGAGTAAGAATATGAGGACGCGAAGAATTGGATGCGAGAAATTGATCAAGAGCGGAGCGATTTCTCGACTGGGTGGTAGTTGAATTGAAGCTCAACTGATATCACGTCTTGTCGACTACTGAGCTAGCCGTTTTTGCTGTCATATCGTCATCCTTGCGCGTGTACTTGATGAGTCGTAAACTGTACTATCAGGTCATGACTCCCGAGTTGACGTCAAAGATGTGAAACAACACTTGCGGGGACGTAACACATTGGGGTGACTTGACATGGCCTTGTGTGAGTAAAGACGGTAAAAGGCTAGTCGGCTTGATGTTATCAATATCTGGGCTCACTATCTACTTGCCGTACCCAATACATCATTCTCATGTTATCGAACTCTCTTTGCATTGAGCTTCGTTCGGGGTTCACGACTCTGCCTTTCAAGTCGATTCCACAGTCCATATGCCGGAGGGCGGAACGTGACGGTATGGTACGCGGCGGCTTGGTTGGTCTAAAGAAGTTGTTGGCCATTTCGGGAGAGTGTATTAGGCGGAACCGTCGAAAGTGTTGCTGAGATCGCCAAGGAAGTAGACAGAGTTGGCAGCGTCCCTATGCAGATAATTAAAGATTCAGTGAATAGAGCTGTAGTGAGATTGTACAAACAAAAGCCGTTGCCTGAATACTATAATCCAGTGCCTGGAGAAGAAGCAAAAGTCTGTCTTTAGTGTTACTCAACATGAAAGGAACATGCAACAAGGTTGCCATGGGATTCCTGCCAGGGAGGTTAAGAGATAGAGGGATAATGGAAGTCATCGTCAGATCGGTACAAGATATCCGTACTGACAGAAGCGCAAATGTAATGGTCAACGACTTCACACCGGAGGTGTAGAACCTACCTCAGTCAGGACCACCGCAGAGGTCACCACTTGCTCCTATCCTACTCCCCTTCTTCAACGCCGACCTAGTACAATCCAACCTACCCGGACCGGAAGATTCTGTACTATATCTGCCGAAGGATGCAATCTCGCAAGCCTAAATGGAGACAAGAAGGCAGTATAATCATCTGCAAGCTTTGCGACAATGACTATTGCAATACGTACGAAAATCCCAACATCAATTATATTTGCGAGATGAGCCGCGAAACCTACTGCAGCAAGCAGGCGCACAAAAAAACATGCACCAACACATATGTTCGAAGGCCTGGCTGAGAGAGAGAAACGGATTGCCTAGTATGGGACGGAGAACGTTTCTCGGATGTTCGAGGAGTCTGACGGTCTGGAAGGCTGATTTTAATGTCGAAGGTCTATGGTATTTAGAGCTTTGAGGATGCAGTGAGATGAGACGGTCCATTCGTTGCCTCGTAGTAATGTTCTTCTGCTCCATCATTGAATTCAGTTCCATAGCGTACTGTGTGTTTAGTCCGCGGCCGTTGGACTGGACCGGGTACATCACCTACAAACAAACAAGCCAAGTTCCACCTCCGATCGCAAGACACAGGCCGGGCTCAGTATAGGTGTACTGTCTGTCTTCTACAAAGGTGTTGAGTCGACGTAACAGACTATCTTATGGAAAGTCAGCTGCTGCTAACTTATGGCCAATCATGTCCTTACGCGACGTCTTTCACGAAACTCCCGATATATCTCGTTCCATATCATGCGGTCAGTGCAGTTTTGCTCTCCTGGTAGAGACTCATAGCATTTCGGTTGGAGTTTCAATCGCTCCACTTCAGATTCTGGTTTCCATGGCTTAGAAAATGGCCAATCAGAAAAATGAACATACTTAGTCTCTTCCAGCACTCTCTCTGCATCCCATTGCTCCGTTGTCGATCCTAAATATCTATGATGCTCCGTTTTGCGAAACTCACCTGTAAGGAGATCGTAATGTCGGTGAGGAATGATGATGCAGTCCTGGGCGTAGAGATCGTTCAGGATCTCCATGTCGAACGCTGACTCCCGTCGCTGACGAAAAGCTTGGAGAATCCGTTCGAACTGGTATTTAGATGGCTCTATTACCGCAATCTGAGATGACAGAGTATCCTCCAGCCAATACGCACGAGGCATGGCGATCGGGGTACGAGGCAAGAAGAAAAGCTCGTCCATAGGCTACAGGATAGATCAGCTCAAATACAAGGAGATCTTGTTGTGCTTGTCAACCTACTTTGAGGACATTGGCATCCGAATCCAAGCTGATCTCCCGTTCATACTGTGTTTGATTGAACGCCAGAAGCTTGGTGAAACTATCAGCCCAGGTGTTTTCTCCATTGAAGTGTTGAATCTGTATGGGTAACAGCTTCACCTCGTAGTCTCTTCTTGCCTTCCGTAACAAGTGTGCTTCAACTGAGCTTGAATGTATGTCCCAATGCTGAGGGTACATTAGTAAGAGGTCGGCTCGACTTCCATATCGACTGAGCGATTCAAAGATCATTAACGAGTTGCACAGGTAGTCCCTGTTCGTGACGTATTGGCAGTAAGCAAATCTAGAAGAAACAGACGTCTTCCCACTGGTTCCCGTCCACAACCACAAGGGTGAACGGTATTGCGAAGCCGATTTGTGGAGCATCATTCCCCCATTTTGCAGCTAGAGAAGATGCAGTCCTCCAAACAGCGTAAGGAGCAGCAGGATCAGGCCGATGACCTTGAAACAAAGTCGGCTTTTCCGCGTCGTGCTCGTGAGTCGGATGTATCTCTTCCAGATCATGGTGTCTCTGGTCGATTGACTGGTTCAGAAACTGACTAGACTTGCGAACAGGGCTGGTGTCTTGAAGATCATTTACACGTAATCGTTGGATGGAAAATATGTAATGTGAAGAAGTGTCAGATGTGAGGTCAAGCGTGTCAAGGATAGGATCAAGCGAACATCAGCCAGGAGCTAGATCACAGCACTGTCTTCCTGATATAGATCTTTAGCTTGAGGAGGTGCCTCGCTGTAACTTTCAATAGACAGTGTGGAGCTTGTCATAAAATGTGCTAGCTGCTCTCGCTGCTATCCCCACGCTAGTAGATCCTAGTCCTGTCATCAGATATTAACATCACATAAGGGATAAAATTATTCTACAATCAACACACTTGTTGATTTGAGGAGAGAAGTCTAAGTGCCATGTTTCATGTCTGATTAGAAAGTGTATGTCCAGTCTCCATCGACAGTCATTTGCATCGTGCTCAACTCCTTTCGCTCGAGCTGGAACGTTTCTACCATGTAGCGATGCACTAGCAAAACGTCGCGTTTTGTAGGAAACTCATTAGTTGAGCAAACTTCGACGTATTCGTTGCTAAACAAGCGGCCGTTCGTAAACTATTGTATTTGGCGTAGAATAGGCTTATTCTCGGTTTCAAAATTCATTAGAATTTGCCACTCCCAACTTCGAACTCGATGCTCAGAGCAGCTAATTACCTGCTAATTCATCAATTATACAGCTATATACAGCTCTACAAGCTCTAATAGCTATAGTAATAGCTGTAGGTCGTTGTTCTATTTGATATACACCAGTTTTGAAGCCTCTTAGAGCCCTCGCTGATGCGCAGTATAGCAGTAAACTAGCTCAGCTCAATGCCTCTTAGCGACCACGATAAAACGCTAGTTGAGGCCATGTTCCGCGACGACTGCGACGTTAATACAGTACTTAAAGTAGTTCCTCATGCTGCTCGGAGTACGCTCTACTGGATGCAGCGTAACTTTGAAGCCGCTGGCCACGTACAGAAGCCTTCTACTGCTATTAAGCAGCGAGGCCGTCGACGCAAGTTGACACCAATAGTACGCCAGTATGCCATGGAACTGCTTGCGCATAGGAACGACCTCTGGCAGGAGGAACTAGCCTTTGAATTGTGGTGCGAATTCGATGTAGAAGTATCAAAATCGACAATATGCCGCATGCTTAAG